CCCCCCCCCCCCCCCTCACCGGAAGGTCAAGCTTTCGAGGCGGGAGAAGGGACCATGATCCGCTTCCCTGCACGTCTCAAAAGGGCGTTTGTGATTGCCTGTCTCATAATTCTTGTTTACAAGTTCATCCTTGGCGGTGACTTTTCAGCGGCTCCGGCAACGATAGAATCGTATGTGCTCGTGTCATGGTTGAGTGTTGAGTGTGCAAAGCTGACGAGTGTCGCAGGAATGCTGCAAGCATCCTTGGCTGGCAATCCGCCGAACCCGAGGATGAGGATGCTTACCTTCACTTCAGTCGCAGACTAGTCCGCATCCTGAAGGACACCAAGCCCCCGGTTGCATCCTTGACTAAGACCAACAGTATCTCCGCCATCGGCTTTCAAGACAACAAAAGCAAACCTCTGAAACGACCCGATTATGTGCCCATCACCTCTGCCCAGGTCGAGGAAATGCGATTGGCCCATCGGGGTTTCGTAGAAGGAGTTTCCAACTTGACATTGCCTTACAAGAATGCAACTCGTGGTATAGTCTCTACTGCAGGTGGAGCACACTTGCCAATTTTCATCGTCTCCCTCCGCATGCTGAGGCGCTCTGGTAGTGTCCTGCCTGTCGAACTCTTCTTGCGAGCTGAGGAGGAACGCGGCGACAACTATCTGTGTCAAGAACTGCTTCCCTCACTCAACGCTCGCTGTGTGGTTTTGGATGACTTCTTTCCTTCTGGCCTGATCAAGCTCGAAAAGTATCAATACAAGATCTTCTCCGTCTTGTTCTCAAGCTTCGAAGAAGTGCTCCTGCTCGATGCAGACAATTTCCCTGTCCACAACGTGGATCACGTCTTCAAGGCAGAGCCTTTCACGTCAAATGGTTTGGTGACATGGCCAGACTTCTGGATTTCGTCAGCATCTGAAAAGTTTTACCAGATTCAAGGAAAGCCCGTACCATTGACTACTGTCAGGGCTTCAACAGAATCGGGTCAAGTCATCGTGTCCAAGCGGACTCACTCGGCAGCACTGCTGGTCTCTGCATACTACAATTACTACGGGCCTTCGCACTACTACCCTCTACTGACTCAAGGAGGCCCGGGTGAAGGGGACAAGGAAACGTTCCTAGCGGGTGCAGCTGCAGTTGACGCGCCCTTCTACCAGGTATCTGAACCAGTCAGAATCCTCGGCTATGACGAGAATGGAGAGCTGCGAGGAGTAGCGATGCTGCAGTCAAATCCTGTTGATGATTTTGTTGCTTTGGTCAAACCGATGCCCTTTACCATCCATGCAAACTTCCCAAAGATGGATCCCAACACTTTGTTCAACCAAGATGGTCCAGCTATCAATCACCAGACCGGAGAACACCGCCGACTATGGGGCAACAAGGAAAAGACGATCCAAACCTTTGGTATGGACGTTGAGCGAGAGCTCTGGGAAGAAATCAGACATGTCGCTTGCACTCTTGGCGGCGTTTTTGTACATTGGAAAGCAGATGCACCTCGGGAGTGGAAAAAAGGAACATGTGAAATGGTTGAAGAGCACATCATCAAGGTTTTTGGTGTAGACGTCGAAGAGAACTCGTACGGTGCTCTCGCGTCATAACGACACTCACTTCTGCCTTGCGTCTAGTCGCCATCTGGAAACAGGATCTACCTTATCTCAGCTATAACCCCTTGTACAAACACATATGGCATTGTTCAAAGAGTGTGGTTATACCACAAAATACCAGCCTATAAGATCGGCATGTTCACATGCTCCTCTTTGGTCTCTCGTCTTATCAGAAGCAATCTGGCTCAATCTGGACTTTTCTGTCACCGCCACGCTCTGTACTTCTCGAAAGTATTTTGTCGTCTTTGCATCTGAGAAGCCCTAACGGCGAAGCAGGTTGCAGAAACCATTCTAGCTAGCTGAGTGAGCAACATGCATATACACTACTCTGCTGAACATGCATACATTCAGCCCACTGGCCAGGCCGATCAACGATCAGATTCTGGGTATGTTGAGGACGGAAGGAATGTCGTTGTAATCACGTACATGCGCACCCCAGAAAACGGGCCGGGCCATCGCCGAGTGATAAGATGAAATCAAGATCAGATATGCCCAATCGAGCTTCAGCAAGTCATTATGACCGCATCAGCATCTACTCGAGTACAATTGGTCAGGAACCATCGATGATCCTGAATATCTCCTTGGGGGTCCACTCACTCCACCCTATTGTGTGACGAGTTGACATCACGATCAGGAGTTTGCATGAGGGGTACTGTTTATAAATGAACGCCATGACCCCTTCTACCTTTGTGGTACATCACAAGCACGGTCAATGAGTGAAATCCCAAACATCACAATGGAAACAATTAGAAACACCATCTCAGAGAATTTGGGCGGTCCTGCCCATGCTCTCGCTTCTCCGGAGAACAGCTTCAGTTTGGATGAGGTGCCAGACCTCAGCGGCAAGGTGAGCAAATCCAAGCCTCAATATGGGACAAGACTAATTTAGTGGAAACAGGTTGCTGTTGTCACCGGTGGCAGTGAAGGCATTGGATTTGGTTGCACTCACACTCTCCTGAAGCACAACATTTCCAAGCTCTTTGTCACATCCATGAGACAGGAGGTCGTTGAGGAAGCTTTGAATGCAATTGAGGAAGAGTTCGGACCCGAAGCACGCAAGAAGTTTATCTGGAAGCAATGCGATCTTGCTGATTGGGTGCAGACTGGCAAGGTCGCACAAGAGATTGCCTCGCAGACCGACAGAATCGACATCCTCATCAACAACGCCGGTCGAGGAATCATGACCAGACAACTGACTAACGACGGAACCGACCTTCACATGGCAGTTAACCACTTTGGTCATGTCGTTTTGACCAGCCACTTGCTGCCAACCATCAAGGAGACTGCCTCCAAGGGTAACACTGTCCGCATCGTCTGTGTCTCTTCCAACTTGCACGCTCAAGCCCCTAGCGAAACCGAGTTCGCATCGGTCATAGAACTGAACAAAGACTACGGCCCTCAGCCGCAGTACGGTCGTAGCAAGCTGGCTAACCTCTTATACGCCAAGTGGCTGAATGAACACCTCAAGACCGAATACCCCAACATTATCGTCAACGCTATTCACCCTGGCATCGTCGATACTGCACAAACAAACGTTCACATCCACGAGGCATTCCCTCTGCTTGGTTACGGCATGTCTGTCGGACTCAAGCCTTTCCGCAAGACTCAGTTCGAGGGTTGTGTCTCTGCCATGTACGCAGCAACCATGGCCGATACTGGCGGTAACTACATCGCCCCTCCAAAGGTCTACGAGACCCCTTCTGAGAAGGGTCAAGACATGCAATTGGCGGATCGCCTCATGAAGTTGACAGCAGAGGTTGTGGAGTCGAAGACTAGGTCAGAGAGTTCGGCAAAGGGTTGCCCGTTCAAGGAGGATTAGATGCTCTCATTTATCACGACATGTAATGCAAATCTCTAATGACTCATCAGATTCATTCCTCATTTGTCGTGTATGTGCAGTGAATATATGGGCAGTGAGCGGAATATAGTGTTAGCGAAGTTTGATTGCTAAATCTTCTTCCCTGTCAAGGTGGGTACCTTGACTTTACTGCTGACCTTTTGCATCTGCGCGACAGCGTCACCAAGCAAGACTCTGACAGCGCCTTCCAGCCTCCTATCCTTCTTGCGGCGCAAATAAAGTAGTACAAGCCAGAGGATGAATATGTCGACAGCAATCAGCTTGACCAGGAACCAAGAGGCTCGTAACACCCAAGCGAAAAAAGAATATTTCCTCCGTTGTGCTATGAAACTGCGCGTTTCGAGCTGCTCGCGCAATGCAGCGACCTCGGTCGTCATCTTGACCAAGGCAGACTCTATCCGTTTCCGCCAGCGGACATCGCGCGGACTTGATATTGATGTGCGAGGTTGCCGTGAGGGAGAGGGTTGTTGGTCGTCTTCATCTTCTTCCTCCTCGTCCAGGGCCGGGTCCTCGGTATCATCGTACTGACTTATGGGCGCATCGACAAACTCTTCCTCGTGCTCTTCATTCAACTCATCTTCATCAGCTTGACTGACAGGACTCAATATCCGTAGCGGGCGCGATGCGACATCATCATCTGCAAATGCGGCAGCAGAGCTAGACACCATACCCGGATAACCAGACCGCTGCTCATGCAACACACGCAACGGACTTGAAGCCTCTGAGCTGCCACTTGGATTCGAATTGTTCCGCACCTGGTCCCAGACAAACTCCAGCTCGGCGACCAATTCCCTGGCCTCGGGGGTCGCGCTCGCGTACTCGTGCATGGTATGTATGAGGGTCTCGATGTACTGGCGCTTTGCCTGTGTGCGCGTCAGGCCAGAGTTGCCAGCCCAGGCATCCCATTTGTCCTGCTCTTTCTTGTCGTCGTTGGTGGGGCGTTCTTGGACGTATGCGACATCGCCTTCCATTGCTTGTTTGTAGAGGCCGTATAGGCGGAGGCGCTCGCTCACGGGTGGTTTCTGCGACCCCGTGCGGATCTTGTTGACTGTGTTGAGCGCATGTCCGAATACTCGATCTGTGTCATTGCAAGTGTCAGTGGTGCTGAAGGTGAAATGTAAGGGGTCGAAGCATGTGATGCTAACCAACCGAGTCGGCCATGGTGAAGGGAGTTGCACGCTGGCCGGGCTACACGTTCAATGCTTGTTTCGTAGTTGGCTATTGGTATGCTATGTGTAGGGATATGCCGATGGGCATCTATAACGTCTGGAAAGTGGAGATGGGCGTAGAATGGATGGCATGATGATGTACCCGAGATGATTGTATCAAATCGCCGCCGCCCTCGGCCAACAACCTTGATAGCCTGATACCGAGGCTGCCCACGCTGCCCCTGTCACCCTGTTTGACCCACGTGCTTGTCGACATCTTCTCCTATTACTTCCTGTCTCGGTTCAAACATCCCGATCTCATGCAAAATATCTTCTTGAAATCTCCTGATACCATTTGTCAGGTTGTTTCTCCAGAACAGCGTGTGTTGTGTCTGACGAGCTCGAATGTCAATTTTCGATTGCTCGACGCCACGGAATCATATCGCGGAACTATTTCCCCATGAACAACAATTCCAATCCATAACCAATTATTGATGTATCAGGAGAATCTGGCAGTTTCAACAACTTCGTTTTGGTCGTTCCTGAGCCCCACGCAGCCATGCTCCCTTCCTGTACCTCAGCATAAATCTCGAAGTTCCGCTATACTCATCTCTTTTCGCACCCGGTTCATGCCATTGGTCCGTGAAGCCCAATCAAGGCAGAAGGTCCTGAGCCTGGGCGCAAGTTGAAAGAGCTTGTTCAGGTATTTGTCGGCTACGACGCTCTTACAGTCTTCGTCACTGTACTTCGTCAGTACGGCAGATGGGAGCAGGAGTGTGAACTGCCTACAAATTGTGGTGACGTGAGTATGTTTGGTAATGAAGCTCAAAAGACTTCAGCCGAGGGAATACAGCTCTCGATGGTCCTTGCTGCCATACATCCAGATCGTGGTATCGGACCTCGAGATGCTCCAGCGACGGGAGTTTTACACCTAGTTGCTGCAGAGCCGAGCTCGAATAACTGTGCTTCCATGCAAGCACAAGCCTCGATAACTTTGGGAAGTTGAGGGTCCAATGAGTGAGATATTCATTGGGGTCAGCAAAAGCAAGCCGAGAAGCGAGTTTAAGGTCTTCCAACAGGGGACAGCTCAGACAGATCATATCCAATGCATCTTCCGTCAAGACAACGCCATTTTCGAGGTGTAGCTTTCTTAAGCTAGGTTGCAGATATGGGCGGAGTCGAATTGATCGAAATACAGGCGTTACCTGCCGGAAGACTGGTGGGTCGAGGATGGCCTCGGTAAGAGTGGTGAACAACAAGAAGTTGAACTTGGGATAGCATTGTCGTGCAGTCACTTCTAGCTTGATAAACATGTCGGCGTAATATTGACGTCGAGGAAGTGGTTCAATCTCTGCAAGATCCTGTGCAGAAGCGTGTCGCCAAAGAAGGTTGATGGCGTGCATGTGACATGCTCGATTGACACGTATCATAGAGTTCAGTGCCTTCTTGTCATCTGCAAGGTGCTTGAGGATCTGAATCTCAAGCTCTGTCGGTATATCTGCAAAGGAAGGCATAATCCTGTATAGCGAGATTTCTGTCCGCAGACAGAGAGAAACTCGACCAAGATGTATTCAGGGATGTCCAAAATATGTTTGCAGCTCTGTGTTAGGTGTTGTCTTTCATTATTTGCGTGCTTGTCTTAGGCTCGAATGCTATACAAGCCTCTGACTTTCAGTCTGCAGCAACACGCCCTTGTTCTCTGCATGAGCTAGCTACAGGTCTCAATCACTGAGACTCTTGAGATTACTTACTTGCCAAAGACATGCTATCAAGACTAAGACATGAAAGAACATGTGTACCTTCCCAGCACGTTCTCAAAGTCCTGTCGCACATAGCAACCACTTTGATTGTTTGAAGACATTGTGGCATGAGTGCTCAGTATTGTCAAAGAATAAAACACCTGCTGGACCACGAAGTCCATATGTTTGGCAGTGCTGCGGTGGCTGGATGTTGTTTTAGATAGGCAAGAGCGATACAAACGATTTCATCGGAAGATGCCCTCGCAAGCCGAAATCGCTGTCGGACTTTCACAATGCCGGAGCAGCGCGGCGACGACAAGATAGGTAGGTAGTGCTCTGAGCTCAGAGCACAACTCTCGAATATGCTCTCTAGACCTTGAATTCCATGCCATAATGAGACACGACTGTCTTGCTATTCGAGAAATATCCCATGGTATGGAGGCGGACAACGATTGTCCGAGCATCGGGCAGAAATCCGATGGTGAGCGGAAAAGCGATCTATTTGATTGGTGGCCAACCAAAAACCACACGGCAAGGCTCCATTTTTGCCGTTTCATCGGCATACTATCTCAGATTCTGCTCCAATTCTTCGGCCTGCTCATCCTTCGGATCTCCATAATGTCTTTGACTCATTCCATTGTATATACCATACCTTCTTTTGCAATAAAATATCCTCTGCAAGGCATTCTGTTTCGTTGTGATTGAACAGCTACTCATCGTCTAATGGTACCTCCGCATTCGGCAGCCCATATTTGAAGACACAATGCCGGAGGACAAGCACGCGACCACAACAGAAACTCGGGCAGAAGAGCCTATAGTCCAACCAGCGATTGAACAAGTCCCAGAACCTTACGAGGATGCCCAAGGAGTGGATCTAGAAAAGGGCAACCAGAAGGATCCCAATCTGAATCTTGTACACATCCAAAGCCATGCCTCCGCACACGACATACCCCACATACCTTACCATGAGTCCGGAGATGAAATCTACGACAAGTTCACGCATACCAAGAAGATATGTGTAGTATCAGTCCTAGCTTTCTGCTCCTTCCTGGCTCCCATGGCATCAACGACGGTACTGGCTGCTGTGCCTGAAGTCGCGGCAACATACAACACTACTGGTACACTCATCAATGCCAGCAATGCGTTATACATGCTCTTCATGGGCTTGAGTCCTATGTTCTGGGGCCCCATTGGTCAGGTTTATGGAAGAAGATGGACTCAATTGCTGAGCGCTATTTTCTTTGCTGGCTTCTCTATTGGCACTGCGTTGGCTCCCAACTTGGCTTCATTCTTCATCTTCCGCATCTTGACTGCCTTCCAAGGCACTTCCTTCCTCATCATCGGCAGTTCTTGTATTGGCGATATCTACCGTCCGACAGAGCGTGCAACTGCATTGAGTTGGTTCTTCTCTGGAACACTAATTGGACCTGGTAAGTCTTCATAACTCGCTCGAACCTATGAAATCTAACCCTTTTCAGCTTTGGGACCACTATTGGGTGGTATCATCGTCACTTACAAGAGCTGGAGAGACATATTCTGGCTGCAAACCGGCCTGGCTGTCTTCGCTACAGTACTATGCTGCTTCTTTCTCCCGGAAACGATTCACTACAAGAAGTCTGTCGAGCTCGAAGGTCTGAAGAAGAGTGAGCAAGCCAAAAAGCTTTGGTCATGGACCAACCCTCTGCGCGTCATCAGGCTCTACCGATACCCCAATTTGCTATTCGTGGGACTGGCGTCAAGCAGTCTTGTGTTCAACATGTACAGTCTCCTGACCCCAATTCGATATGTGATCAACCCCCGCTTCCATCTTACTTCACCGATCCAGTCTGGACTCTTCTACATTGCTCCCGGATGTGGTTATCTGTTTGGTATGAGAATGTCTTTGATGTCACCGACCACAAAAGCTGTTTTTGTAACTAGGAACATTCTTTGGAGGCCGTTGGGCAGACCGAACCGTACGGAAATGGATTGACAAGCGCAATGGAGAACGTGTACCTGAAGATCGATTGCGATCTTGCCTCGTCTTCATGGGTGCCGTCATTCCTGGATGTATGTTGATCTACGGATGGTCGATCGAGAAAGACAAGGGTGGTATCCCTCTACCAGTCATTGTCATGTTCATTCAGGGCGTGGCACAACTCTTCTGTTTCCCCTCGCTCAACACCTACTGCTTGGACGTGATGCAGAAGCGATCTTCAGAAGTAGTTGCTGGCAACTACATGTTGCGCTATATCTTTGCTGCTACTGGAACGGCAGCCTGTTTACCAGCTGTTGAAGCGATCGGAGTCGGATGGTTCAGTACGATCAGTGCAGGATTCTTGTGCACTTCCGCAGTTCTGACTTGGACGGTCACGATCTGGGGACGTGGATGGAGAGAAGACATACTTCGCAAAAAAGAAGAGAAGCAGACTCGAAAGCAGGAGAAGAGAGGCAGTGCATAAGATGCATACTAGATGGCGTTTGTTTTAGATGTGTTCTTGCCAGATCTAGAGATACCGTCGTCACCAGCCGTACCAGAACCAAGATATGTGCCAAAACACTCGATAGGTTTGTAGTCCACGATGTTCAAGATGTTGCGACACTTAATTCATTGGAATGATGCTGTCGTAGATGGAGTTTGGGGACGGAAAGAGCGAGCATCTGAAGCTATTTTGACAGCATAAAAGATATGCAAAAGATGCAGGCTTCACTCACACAAAAAAGAGATGGCTTCACCACCGCTTGATTGAACAGAACAACCACGAACAAAAGCAAAATATCACTGCCCCCTGACGGAGTCGAACCGGCGACCTCGGCATGATCTAGTCGTACTAGTGCCGCGCTCTACCAACTGAGCTAAAGGGGCTTGTTGTTGAGGTTGTGGTTGTTGAGCTGCAATATGAAATCTTACACAAGCAGCCAAGCCTGTGCGTTAGCTTGGCAGCGATCTGGCCTCGGGGCCCTGGTGCGGGGCACTCTGACCGATACCGATAGAACGAAGCAGATAGATTGGATCGGGTGCATCAAGGTAGAAGGCAAGCACAGCCCTGCAAATAGACAGTGATAGAAGACGGTGAGTGACAAAGCAAGTAAAGAAGCTGTAAGTTGAAAATGGCAAAAAGTTGAAGGGAAACAAACAGGTGCTCACCTGCGCCACAATGCCTCAGCCACCACAAACCTTCCATGACGTCTGAAAGTCTAATCACTACCGAGTCGCTTCTTCACCTGCTTGTCTCTCTTGTATTGACCACGTCTCTTTGACCTCTTATACCTCTCCCATTCGACTCCACTATCTCTCCTACGCTCACCTTAAAGCTTTGACAGAAAACTCCAGACACAGCGGCACGACCTACCGAAATCAAACACAATGGCCGACTATGCTCCACCTCCCGTATGCGCGCTTGGGATCACTAGGCAACAAGACTTATCACTAACAAGCTCTCAGGGCCCCCCTCCGCCTCGCGTTCCTGAAGGCTGGAAGGCGCAGTGGAATGATCAGTACAAGGAGTGGTTCTACGTGAACCTGCACACCAAGCAATCCCAATGGGAGAAGCCCACTGAACCTGCCTATCCTTCATCAGGCGGCCCACCTCCAGGCGCTCCTCCCGGCTACGACAGCCACCAGCCTCAGAACACCGGGCCTGAGAAGGGTGGCTACGCCTCGAACAACCCTTACGGCGGCTCCTCGATCCACTCAGGTGGCTCATCACACAATGTCAACGACGATGAGGCTTTTGCCCGCAAGCTCCAAGCCGAGGAAGAAGCTCGCGCCCGCCAATCTGGCCAACCCGCATCCCGTGGCGCATCCGACAGCTACTACAGCTCTGGAGCCCCTCAGTACCAGTCTCAAACTCCCCAATACCAATCTCAAACGCCTCAGTACCAGTCTCAGTCCCAACCTCAGTATTCCAACGAGCTGCCGCCCCGCGACCAGGACCGTGGTAAGAAGGGCGGTCTCTTTGGCAAGCTGCTTGGTAAGACCTCAGGTTCGAGCTCACGTCCCCCGCAAGGCTACGGCCAGCAGGGCTATGGTCAGCAAGGCTATCCTCAACAGCAATACGGCGGATACCCTCAGCAAGGCTATGGAGGTTACCCGCCTCAGCAGGCGTACGCACAGCAGCCGCAACGCAAGCATGGTGGTATGGGCGGCATGGGCGGCATGGCTTTGGGTGCTGGTGCCGGTCTGCTCGGTGGCGCTCTCTTGATGGACGGCATCGACCACATGGAAGACAATGCTTACGAACAAGGCTACGAGAATGGAGGCGGCGGTGATGACTATGGCAATGACTTCGGCGGCGGTGACGACTTTGGTGGCGGTGACTTCTAACCTCGCACTACGTTCGACTTAATGCCTCTCTTGTGTTAGCAAGAGTTTTCCATATGGACCTGCGGTAAATTGGCGTGGCGTGTATCTCAAGCCTTTCTCATTGGTTCAGTTCTCATTCCTGCTTCTAATGGGTAAATATTCTGTAATCAGTTCTGGCATTTCTCCTATGCAATTTTCCATCGAAGCTATGCTAATTAACGACATATCGACGTAGAGCAAAGTTTGCCGAACAATCTCAATGTTATTTCTATCATCGTCTCTATCGATCGTAATGATACTCTAAGTAGTTGTGAGAGGGTTGAGACATTATCGCAAGTGCGACTTCACATTTCAGCAGCTTCCTTGACTCCAGCATCATTTCCCTTCCTCGCTCGTTCCAAAGTCATGGCAGCGATAACCGCAGCGCCGATACCAGAACCATCTTCTGCAGGAGTCAACACAATCGGATCTTCGATCCTGTCTTCTGGCCAATCCAAGATCTCAGCCAGCGCATCCGCCCATCGTCGCTTGAATTTGGGATGCTTGTTTGCAACCGAACCGTCAGCTGCCACATGACCATGCTTGATGTTCTTTTTGCTGCAGATTGCTGCAACACCACAGGTGCAGAGACGAGCACCTCGAATAGCGATGAATTCTGCTAAGCGGCGGCAAACCTCACGTTCTTGGTCGTTCAGTCTGATTCCTGTATGGGCCTCGAACAATGTAGCCGTGTTTTCGAAGCGAGGAGATTGGTCATCTTCAATTGCTGAGAGGAAGCCAGTGTCGAGGATGTATGATTTGTCCAGTCTTGAGATATCCTCGTCCTTGAAGATGAGCTGTCGCTTTGCAAGGTCTGCGAGTGCGAGGCGGAAGATTTCTCCGAGGTAGAGGCCTGCACTCATCTTCTCGAAGGCTTGCTCGCCTGGTCGAGGGGATTTCTCGTCGATAATATGATCGTATTTTGTCATTGGAAGCACAGTATGGCTATTGTCGAAAGCGCCATACTCGCAATTGATAGCCACTGGGCATGCGGGTGGTAGTCGTCCCTTGATCTTGGGTACTGAGTCGCTGTCTTCCATGTACGCAGCGTTACATCCTGTTCCAAAGATGGCACCGACAATAGTCTCAGGGTCGTGGTAGGCAGACGCTATCATGGCGCCTGTTGTGTCGTTGATCAGTGCGACAAGCTTGACAGGTAGCTGCCTCTTTTCCATTGCCTTGCGAAGCTGTACCGTAACATCCTCGCCTTCGACACCTTTTACGTCCCAGCCTTTGGTCCAAGTCTGTAGTACACCGTGATCGATATAGTCTTGCATAGCTGGATAGGAGAAAGTGAAGCCAAGCGACAAAGGCTGAGTAGCAGTCTCATCGAGTTTTTGATCTCGGATGAAGGTGTGCATTCGGTCGGTCACTTCGTCCCATAGCTGTTCTGCAGCGCCTGTCTTGACTTCCTTGGAGAGTTGGTACTTTTCTTGGACTATTCTAGGTTGACCGCGTGATCCTGGCAGTGTGATCCAACAGACACGAAGGTTTGTTCCCCCAAGGTCTACTGTGAGGAAGCTGCCTTTTTCGTCGCCGTGTGGTTGACCCAGCACCCAGGTGATGTTCATAGGCTATGACAGGATTGTCAGCGTTCAATGTAAAAACATTACCAGAAACTGGAAAGCATACAATGTTCTGGTTGTTCTCTTTTAGACCTTGGTCAAGTTCTACTTCGAACTGTTTGCTGATGTCTTTCAGCTTCTGTTGGTCGATCCAGAACATTTGGTCTAGCTTTTCCATCTCGTGTGTCAATCGGTTGCTCAATGAGGGAAGCTTCTCTGTTTGATACGTGTTAGCGCTTGGTGTTGTTTTCGAGAGGTTCCTAAGAGGGATGTACCGAACTCTGCTCCCTGCACAGGCGAGTCCATCTTGACAAGATTGACAGAGTCCATGGCACGGATATGTCTGATACTTCGAGATGTGCTCTTCTAGGAACTAGGAACAAGATAGTCGTGAATTTTGAGCGTGAGTATGCTGAAAATCTCAATGGTGTGAGATGGAAATGGAAATCAGAAAGAACTATCAGTGCGACGAGCAGAGCAGAACAAGCTATTTATATACTTACAGATCAAGACAGCACCTAGCGACTGCCTAAAGGATCATATCAATCTCACTTCATAGCCAGTGTTTCTAAGAGCTCAGACCAACAGAGCTGTCATTGTTCATCATGTCCCGGCGATACCGTGATCGCATCGGGCCTATATCATGGGAATCCACATATAGCGAACCGGCTATGCGGACGGATCTCATTTTCACCATGCTATAATCTTCGTTTAGGTATATGGTGTAAACATGACGTGCTGATAACGTGAAATCGATGAAGAGGGTAAAGCTGTTGGGACTCTTGCTATCAAGACCATGACTAGATACCCTGATACCGTGTGTTGAGCGAGGAGCTCGCCGATAAGTGTTGATGAGTGTAGGACCAATGAACCCTTCGATGTCGATTGTTGACCCTTTCGAGTGTTCAGATCGTGAGGGTCCACAGCTGGCTCACGAAAAGGCCAACGCAGAAACGGCTGATTCGCTGGAGGATATTTCTCCCAGACCCTCGATTCGCCGGTCCCAAAAATTGGCAGCCTTGCACACACAACTTTATAGTCGTGTATCTTGATTGTTATGGCTCAAAGGAAGAGAAAGTGCTGGTGGACTTGCTTCGGCGAGATGATTGACCGACGCGATGGATCATGATCACCGAGATAACGAGAGACGACCAAGAAAGCCAGAAAAGGAAGTTGTTGACCGGTGTCAGCAGTCCACTTCAGCGCTGTATCAACATTTACCAACATTTCAACTTTCTCATTGTAGCACCATCACCAACAACATGCCTTCTACTGAGAAACCGGTCATCGTCATCGTACCTGGAGCTTGGCATGTGCCAGCTCACTATGCACACCTCGCACTGAAACTCAACGCGAGTGGCTACACTGTAGACTGCATCGAATCGTCCTCTACCAACGATGAAAAGGATTTGCCTGAAGATACCTGGAAGGAAGACATTTCAATCATTCGTAATGCCATCACTTCGCACACCGAGGCCGGCAGAGATGTAGCAGTCGTTATGCATTCATTCGGCGGCATGGCAGGCTCGGAAGCCGCATGTGGCCTAGGCAAGAAGGAGAGCGAGACATCCGGTTCAGTCATCAAATTGGTCTACCTGGCTGCATTCATGATGAAAGAAGGTGCAAGCCCTATTGATTTTGACTGGCCGAGGATCGCTGTTCCCGACGATAAACAGGTATGTGAGATCCCTTCACACTATTGCGATCAGAGCCAACCCATGTCCTCGCAGAATCCCAAAGCGCTATACGTGCCAGACCCCATATCGAATCTCTATCATGACGTGCCTGAACAAATGAGCCGGCGCGCAGTAGACAATCTTGGTGGACATCCAATCGCTCATGCATTCAGCCGCCCTTCGAAGGTTGCTTGGCGCGAAATACCAACTGCATACATTATCTGCGAAGATGACAGAGCATTGCCCATAGGTCCTCAGGAGCAGATGATCAATGCTGTCAAGGCCGAGGGTGTAGATGTGGAAACCACGAGTCTGAAGTCAAGCCACAGTCCCTTCTTGAGCATGCCTGGCGAGACTGCAAAGGCGATCCGTGGCTTCCTCGAGAAGGCTTAACCGTAGCGACTTCCGCTTTGATCAGGTTAATAGAGCAAATCAACAACGAGAATAAGAATGGAAGGGGCGGCTTCCTGCGCTGCGTGAATATGATCATGTTCAGTCTCCCGCTTCTCCACCTCTTCATCTCCGGTCTCCATCTTCGTCTCAACTGTGACTGCCACGCCCTCGTTACCAATTCACGTACAGTGTTGCCGAAGATGGTATCGTGAGTGCCTACCTGTACCTCTCTGTGTTTGACGCCTGATCATCAGTTTGCATGACTACTTTCCTGCTCACACTCAACCTCAGCCGCCTCCACTATCGAAAGAAGAATCCAGAATACCGACACCCCACCACTTTATCACCGCGACTCACCAATCATGTCTGATCAGTCCGATCAAGCTTTCCATTTCCTCCGGCTACCTCCTGAGCTCCGCCTGATCATCTACGAATACGTCTTGGCCGACGAAGACGAGCAGTTTCTGCTCCCTAGAATCGCCTCAATCTCAGAACAAGTTGCTCAAGAAATCATGCCCATGCTGCTACAACGCATTTCAGGCATTCAGTGGACAACCGATTCTTGTGATGAGGAGTGGTACCTTGCTATACGGCCCTGCAGTAAGATCTGGCGAATGCGCTTGACTAACGCGGCCGAGGAACCTCTGGGTGCAATACCGATACTGCGCACGAAGACCACCTACCATATACTCGTGGGTTGCCACATGATCACACCGCATGATCCCAGACGGAGATTACGAGACAACGGACTGACTGGGGAGTTGTCCTATACATGTACCTTCTTTCCAGAGTCCCATGATCAAAAGGACGGAGTGAAGCGCTTCATCGGAGGTCGCTCCTGCAACAGAAATGGCAACGTGGGTGAACAACCAGCTCTCTGGATGGAGAGAGGCAAAGCAGGAGATCCAGAGACGAACAAGAAGTTGACTGAACAAGATTGGCATATACAGTGGCATGGGGGATCACGACGAGGACCCCCAAGCGCATTGATGTGTGATTTCCAGAAGCAGAATTGAACGCAGACTCTGTAGCTTCAACACGACAATAGCTCATGAGAGACACATGAACGGAACTGGCTCAGCTTGGGAGAAGACACGCTACATTGATTCATGGTCGGAATAAGTAAGAGTTTGTAAAAGAAAAAGCAGACTTGTAGAAGCCACTCTCGACGCCTCCATGAAGCCAAAATCAGAAAAGGAACACCACCAGGATTGTATTTTTTCCCAGACGTAGACGGAGAATCCTTGGACGTCTTGTTCCTTCTTGCTCCAGTCTGAATGAAGCAATACTCAAGCTCATTGGGATTCTGTAAAGTCGGGCATAATGTTAATTGGCTCTGTTATGCCAAAACGGTGGATTGGTGTACCACAAAGGCATGGATGTCGCTACTTAAACGTATTGCGACAACCAGCGGATACCCTCACCGTAACCCTGTCTCATGACAACACTGCACATGAAGACCTCGATGGGACGGATGCCCTCGAGAGGAATCTTGCCCTTGCCGGTGGTCTGGTAGAGACCAAGCTCGTGTCGCTGTTTTCTGCGTTAGTCGGGGTACCCTGCAGGTTAGCAGTCAAGGGAAACTTACGAGCTGGTCCTCACTGACGGCACTGGGGTCTATGTTGCATTAGTCGCTTATTCTGTGGCTTTCAAGTGGCGGTAGAGCTTACGGTCAATCTTGTTACCAAGAATCAGGAAGGGAGTCTTAGAGAGGTCCTCCATGGACAGAACTATGAGATATCTCGTCAGCAACATCTCCTTGTGTTCCACACGTGTTTGACGTACGAGCATCGAGCTCAGCCTTGCTCTCAATGAAACGCTCGGGATCCTTGGCATCGACAAGGAAGACAATGCCTAAGAATTATCAGCTGCCGTACTATAGATCAAATCAAGCTGCTCTCATGTACCGGAAACCTCGGGGAAGTACTGCATGGCATGCGTCAGTCTTTTGTGCCAACAAATGTGTCCTGATAGCGACTCACATCCTTCCACAAACGTCTTGCCTGCTGGTGACCTATTCTCAATCTCAGCTGTGTGTTCTCATATCTCTTTCTCGTATGTGGTGTATCATACCGCCCAAGTCGAAAGTGGTGAAGCGGACGTTGCCGATGCTCAACTCCTCAGAGGCTGGGTGACATGTCAGTCATTCGTGTTGTGTCGTGTTCGGTATGTTAGGAGCGTACTAGGGTGGAGGGTAGGGTTCAAGACGGCGCTGTTGAGAGTAAGCTCGAATGTTTTGGGGTCTCGTGAGTAGGGTAGGCATACACTCTGTCGTTCTGAAAGGAGTCAGCAATCGTTGAGCACGTGTGGCGCGAGATCAAGGAAAAAAACATACCTTGAGCATGTGAAGAAGCTGTTCGTGGGTTCATATTAGCTATCGAGTCCGAGTAGGATTACACAGGGCATGTCGGACGCACCGTGGTCTTTCCGGCATTGTCGAGACCAAGGAACAACAGTTTCTGTAGACGTCCGTGTCAGTAGGATTGTCGAAGGTGATCCAGATGTTCAATATCGCATACAGCGTGCTTGTTCATCAAGCCAAGGTTGGCGAGAACGTCCCAGACTACAAAGTGTCCTGGTTAGCGCTTGTCTCCCTCTGGCAGGCATACGCCGTCGCGACAGCCGTCACTTACACCAGTCGATAAGCCACATCTTGTCGGATTGCTTGTGATTATGTGTTGATGTGTAGAAGAGGACGTTGCGATAGTCCGGGTCTGGAGTGGGTGGGAATTGGCAGTGTTGACAGCTATTAGGAGTATCACAAACTAATGTCCACGTTGGAGCCGTCGCCGCCGTCATCTGGGAAGCTGCCACCCACTCGTGCCAAGAACCCCATCAACCATCAACATTCAGCTGCCAGCGTCCGACATCCATCTTTGTCAAGACTTGCTCTGTCATCACAAGCAATTCATCATCACTCGAGGTCACGGTGGAGACAAAAATAATGTGAATAGTCAATAGCGACTGTAATTCTTCTAGCTGCAATCCTGGCTAGGTCCAAAATGAAAAAAGAGACACTTTCATCCTCATCGTGAATGAATCTGCTTCCTTCCCCAGTCCTCATCGAAAAAGACAAACGCCAATTCTGATGCCTGTCCATGCAAGCAAAAGTGGTATCTTGGGCCTCCGAAAAAATCGCTGTCTAGAAGAAAAAGAGAAACTCCCAACCCACAAGGAATTGAGAAAAGAAAAGGGGTATGTATATACAGAGAAAAGGATCATTAACGTATGTATTGTGTTCCGCGTATCGGCCAGCCGGGGGATGTTCTGTGATCTGAGCCGCGCGTTGACTGAGGAAATGACATGACTACGAGCTTCCACTGCGCGAAACGTGCTCAGCTGGAAAAAGACTCGCGTCAATAACAATGATTCGTCGATCAACGAGGACATGCGACGACCAGCAGCCTCGTGAAACAAGACTGTAATGCGCCAACTGTGTGGACGGCGTCACATGCCTGTGATCAAGACGACATCTTTCTAGTAAGAGAGGACATGCTGTTTCTTGCCTTTGTAAGCAGCCAGCTCAAGTCCAACTTCTCTCATTCTTTCTGCGCCCTTGCCTGGTTTTGGTTTGCGTTCGTGATCTTTTTTGCCTTTCTGGCAATGTTTCTGGTAGAGCTTCTCCTTGCGTCGCTGACGTTTCTTCTCCAAGCCCTTGACGATGTCAATGGCGCCACGAGCGGTACGCATACCAGATAAAGGATCATCGTGTTCATCAAGAGAAGCAGCCAAGGCGTTCTTGCCGATCTTGACCTGACTCTCGACTCGTGGCAATGAAGCCGTGTGAGTGGGTTGAGGACGAGCAGCAAGAGCGGCTCTTGGTGTGAAGCTGATAGCGGATGTGCCTTCGACTGAACTGCGCAGGGATGGTGGAGGAGATGTAGGACGGCGAGGTGGAGGCGGGGGTGACCTCATGCGTCTAGGTGATTGGCCGAAGAGCTTGCGAGGTGGTGGTGATTTGTGGTTAGTGCGCTTAATTGGAGCAGGAGATCGTAGACGCTTGGCTGAGGGTGGAGGTGAGCGGTGAGAGCGATGCTTGGGAGGGGGAGGAGGCGAACGGAGTCGTTGATGAGGGGGCGAGATGGACTTCTTCTTGGAAGCAGTCTTAGACTTGTGGCGACCACGGTGAGCCATGTCTTCGTTCATCTCGATTTTGCCGTGCATGAAAAGGGGGTGATCGCTCTCCTCAACATCGTCGTCATCCTCATCATCGTCTTCCTCGTCCATATCCGGATCGGAGGTGGGGAAGGTAGGATCAATGTCTTGAGGCTTAGCCTTGTGCTTAGCAGCCTTTCTTCTCTCGAGGCTCAAGATGTATGCTTGCTCGAGGGGGCGGTCCTCGTCGAGGGTACCGCAGACGAAGTCAGTGCTGTCAGGAAGATCGGGGGTCTGAGGACGGTTGATCTTTACTGCACGGCTTCTGCGCTTGACCATGCCGTAAGGTGCCGATGCAGTCTTGTTTTCACCATGTGCTGATCCCAAAGATGAATCCGAATTAGTTCTTCTGCGGGTGGGACGGACAGTCTCCAGGTGTTCCATAGAAGTGGCAGCGGTGGAGCGGCCTCCAGGGGCCCACCATTCGTTCTCGCTGTCGTCACCTTCACTGTCGGATACTGCAAAGCCCTCTTCATCGTCGGTCTGGAAACCAGCATCGGAGACTTCATCATCTGAGACGGCTTCCTCAATATCAATGTCTTCAAGATCCTCGTCATCTTCGTCATCCTCATCTTCTTCGAGTTCTTCATCTTCATCGTCTTCGTCATCCTCGATGGCCTCTTCCTCGACTTCCTCACCAATTTGTCTGATGATGTTTTCCTTGTACAAGGTGTCGTTGACGGTCAGGCGCTGGCGGTAGCATCCAGATTCTTCCAGCCACTGTTCGTTTTCTTCCTCCGAGGGACCAAATTCGTGGAAACGTCTTTCTTCGCCAGGCACGTCATCGTTATCCATGCTGTATTTGCGTCTTCGAACAGTGATCGAAGGAGTTTTGCGAAGACTTTTTGGGGAATCATTTTTGACTGTCGCATCAGATCCACGATGACTCCGGGTAATATGCTTTGGGGATGCTTGGTTTCTTGAGGTCTTAGGTCCAGGGCTGACAATTCTCGGTTTGGGTCCTTGCGTCGGAGCCAGGGTGATTTCCTTGGTCTTTTCCTTGACAGGGGATGTCTGAGCGGCAGGCTTGGAAGGACAAGCAAAGGTGATGCAAGTTTTGCGCTTTGGGGGCTCTGCAGGAGCGGGAGCTGAGGTCTGTTTCTTTTCTTGCTCACTTTCCGAGGGAACATGGTTAGAGGCAGGCTTCTTGCCTCCACAAGCAAAAGTGATACATCTGGGACGACCGAGTTCGGCTTCAACGGACTTCTCGGGCTGCGTTTTGTTGTCCTCGAGTATGACTGGTTCCTTATAGGGTGACTTCTCCAGCGCCGGGATAGATTCTCTAATCAAGGTCGGAGGTAATGGAGGACTTGGAGTGCTTTCGCGAGTTCCTGGGCTGGTCAAATCATTGTCGCTGGTGAGCTCGGCCGTCGAGGCGACGCTATGGTTACTCCATGCCGACATGCCACGCACAATAGCTCTGGCACGTTGGTGTTCGTCCTCGTTGGGATGTTCTGGCTCCGGTGAATGTAGTTGGCGGGTAAGAAGAGATTCTCTGCGGGTAAAGGCCGGGGGAAGTGATTTCATAAAGGCGGCGTCAAGGCGGGGAGAGTCAACAAGTGATTGGTCCTTTCTTTCCGGTGGTTCATCTCCTTCAGCGAGGAGTTCTGTATCTATGTGACCCATGGCTGACGTGCTTCTTTGCAAGGTAGCCATGTGTGCCATATCCAGGGTAAGTGGCCTATTTGAGGTAGGCATGATTGATGTAAGCGGTTGTAGCCGTATGGGGGCTCAGTCGACGGCGTATAGGCTGTGTGAGCGTGGACTCGAGTTATGTATAGAGTGTGGCGCAAACCGCAGGACGGAGACTCCTTTGGTAGGACGACGCGCTGAAGTACCCGAAGGCTGTTGTTATAAATCCAGAACGAACATGGTATCTGGATACAAGAATACAACGACGAGGCCGATGCGATAAAAAGACAAGCGCCTGGCAGAGTGTTAGTCTCGACAGCGTCGGCAATGCGCAGGCATAGCATAGCCCATACTGCTTGCTTGAGAGTGGTGGCCAAGGATCCAAGGATGACGCTCACTTGCAGATCGCTCGGATTGTCGGGAATACGAGTAGGAAGCAACAGGAAGGAGCAGAAGAGAGTCTTTAGGTCAGCTGCGACTCGCAAACGCACCACACGCGACCCAGAGAGGGGCGAGAGGACGAGAGGGCGAGTTGATGAAGTGCAGAAAGAGGGCAGGCGCAAATTGCTGCTTGCACTTAGAAACTAGAAGGCCCCCCAGCTTACTTTGTGTGGGCTCCGAGGCCCACCCACAGTCCGTCCGCGATGCGCCCAACCAACAACATTTCGAGCGGCCGAGCCAAACTCGCTCGTGCTCCTTCCACCCCCTCTTCCATTTTAGACACGCTCCAGCTCAATGCACACCGCTTTACAATGGTCCTTACAGCCGCCGTTTTGTTGCTCGCTCATTTGCAAGCTGCACATCCTGCACGTGGTGCTCTTTCAAGAATGTAGCCGCCTTCTGCGACCGCGCCGGTTGTCAGGCTGATGTGAAATTATCATTGTCGTTGTTGCGACAGACCACAAATGCCTCATGTTGACGTAGTGAATTGAATGCCTTTTCGTTCCCGCCGCTACAGGAAAAGCGGGCTGAATTTTCCTCAACTCTCCCGGCTGTTCGCGATTTTGACAGCACTTTTGTCAAACTCAAAGCTCGTAACAATATTCCGTCTCGATTCTGGTGGCCTGTCACCGTGTTTCTGATGTGTTCTCTCGCTTAACTTGGTCGCTGCCGATCTCAAAACATGTCCACACACACACACTGGATGTGACGATGCCGGCAGTGGCCTTGCAGGATGTAACGAGTATCGACGAGGAGTCGCGGGCATGAGCTCTGCGGCATTTTTGCTCTGCACGAGGCGTCTCTTTGCTGCAGGTGCATCAACGCCATGCATCCCTGTAAACGTCGTCTGAAGACCCCTTGTATAGTTCGTCGCGACGATACTCTTCACCGCTAGATAGACCTCCACTCGTGCGTGTTATAGCAGACTACCGCGGTAACTGCTGAGTAGAGGGCGACACATGTCAGCCAGTACGCGCATGAATTATCCCGTACGCATTTCTCCTGATTCCTCATGCAATTGCAACGTTGGCGGCTCTCTAGCAAGTGCCGCTTTTATGCAAACACTATCTCGGACGCAAGCTTGGATGCTGTTACTTGCAGCATGCAGATGCACACGCGTGGGGGTCGTATACCTGTCTTCACGGATGAAGGGTTTCGATACAGTAGGTATCCAATCGCTATGTGCCAACCCCGCTCTCTTCTGTCTCCTGTTTCGAGTCCGCGCCTTCCTTCTTCATCTATCTAGCCGCGACCGTCTTCGAAGCTCGATCAAGCGTGATACCGCCACAAAGCATCTGACACGACTAGCCATTCAGCACACGAATCACCTGCTGTCTACTGATACCAGACCTGTTTCAATCACCATCTGGATTCTATCCCGTCGACATCATTGCTGGCATGAAAACATCCGACGTGATCCGTAACGCCAACTTCCCCTCATTTGGCTGAAAAACCAACGCGGATGTTTTGCGTCCACACCGTCGTAGATGGCTGTCTCACCGAAGCCGCTGTTATCCATAACTCATGAGCAATTGTCGGTATCGGCAGGAACATCCTAATTCTCGCCGTCTTTCGGAATTGCTGTGAGTACGTACCAAAGAGCTTCCGCTTGTCAGATTTTCTGATTTTATGCTTGACATCATCCATTATTGACATCCATCGTAATGCACATGGACAAATCTGCACTAAAGCATCACACAGTGCGTGATACCATTTGCAATTGATTGAGCGAGATAATCTGTCTAAACAAGGACTTGATTGCATCTATGCCACAACTGCCCATGCAGCTCCTCAGTATTTCAATTCGAAACCCATCATGTTACCGTTTACGATTTCGTAGACCTTTCTGGCCCAGGTCTTGAACTCTTGACTGAGTTCTACCTTCTGCTCTCCTTCGGCCACACAAGACAGATACATCATGGCCTCCACAACCCCAACCGCTGGGATACCATGAGCACAATCTATAGTTATGCTGGAATCTTGCACGGTGATCCAGTAGCCGTAGCTCTCAAGAATCTTGGTAGCACAGCGCTTGAGTTGGATTCTGTTACGAGTCTGGCAGTAAGTCTGACTGAGCCATTGCCAGACATCGGCCATGCCTAAGCACGGCAGACGATGCATCAAGTTGTCAGCATAGACTTCTTCGAGATCTTCTGCAACAATCTCAGCCATCATGACCAATTCTGAATCGGTGGTAAGGACATCGTTGAGATTTCTGTCACCCATGAATGCCATGGAAGTCTCGACATGGTCAGCAAGAGTCTGCATCTTGACCCCAAGGCTCGCTTCTGATGTGCAGAGAAGACAATCGCAACGGAAGCCCCATGAGCTGAAAAGAAGCTTTTGGCGATCTTCCAAGAGAGGCGCAGGGTTCTGATATGAGATGGTTATTTCTTCGCCGCTTTTGATGTCTTTGGCAGCTCTGAGAACAATCAAATCGCCAATGAAACTTCTCACGGCATTCGACAAGCAAGCATGGTTGGCGTTGGAAATGCGGATCCACAGGCCAGTCGATTTAGGGCTTGTCTTGGTCATCATCGCTGAGGTGCCGTATGCTTGTGACTCTCGACCCACGACGAAGCTGAAGCCGTTCAGGTCGAGCAACCTGGAGACCTTGAAAGTGTCGACCACTGGACTGCCGTCGACCATCGGAGCAGATACGAGTGATGTACGTGGTTCTCCAGCATACAGACCAAGCAGATCTTTGCTTTGCGATGGGTTGTCGATCACTTTTTGAACGCTGTTGAGCCATACTGGTAGAGTCGATTCTGGTGTACGATTGTCGGGGTGTGCAGCCATGAAAGCCTTCTCGCAAAGGATCAGATCGCCCATTCGAATGTCCTGGCTAGCAAATAATCCTCGACCACGATCTTGCGTCTGACGCACTTCCGTCTTGGAGATGAAGCTGGCGCGATCGGCAAAGAAGCCATTCTTTGTGACTTCGTCGATGACCTCTGCGAAGTTGTATGTTCCTTGCTGCTGCTCAAGGAGACGCGTCTTTGTCTTCTTGAGTTCTTCACGGCCTTTCAAACTTGATGGAGCAAGCATGAGCATGCGCTCAAAGGCTTTGAGAGCATCGGCATAGTGGCAGAGCTGATAATTAGCAAGACCACGACGAAACCAGGCTTCTATGTCGCTGGATCTTGATACATCATCCCGGCCGTTCGAAGTCGACAAGAAAGCATCCGGAATTGTGGCATCGTAGCGGTGCAGACGGAGATTGCTCGATGAGCGGTGGTGATAGAGGTCGCGCATCAGGTCACGCACGCCCTCGTCGACGTCGGGGTCCAGACGAGCCAGGCCGCGGGTATTGCTGGAAACTCATGTCAGCCATCTCTCCTTGGACACGAATGTGTGAGAAGCAGCTATAAAAAGGCACGATGCGATTGAGATCAATGGCGTTGTCCAAAGAAATTACATGACTGAGTCACTCTCTCTGGATTCGACTCTGTTTCCTCAAACAATCGTGCATTTTCATAGGCATACAAAAGTGCATTGCGAAGTTTGGAGTGTACGTGGAGTACTTACCATCGGTGTGCTTCCAGGTACTCCTCCCTAACAAAGGCTTTGTCGCCTTCGTGCTTCCACTCCAGAGCCGTCAGCCGCATCTCCTCATGATTCTGCCACTGCTCGGGACACAGCTTATGGTGCTGGTCCAGGACCACCATGTCGGACGGGTGGTCGACCCGAAGAACGTAGCGGCCGTCCTCCTCCAGATGGTAGAATGGCTCCTTGACGGAAACCACACTACCTTCTGGCACAACCTCGAAGGCGCGAAGGGCCTCCTTGGTGTGGAAGAGGGCTACCCTATCAACATCGCCAGTCTCGTCTTCTACTGCAGCCATGACTGCCGCCTTGCGAAACGGCTGGCAGAAGACGCGCAGCAGCAGAAAACTGCCGCGATGATGAGTCTCAAATTTGAGATCTTTCAGAAAGATCTTCTTGAGCTGGGCCAGGGGCAAGTAACAAGGCCTGTAAAAGTCCTCGGGCCTAGGACGAGGGATCTGTCTCACGACAGGAGAAAAGGGCGAAGGTCGCTACGGAACACCGGTCAGTATCGCGCAAAATTGGAGCGGTATCCCCAGCTTACACTGGCAAACTCATTGATGAGTTGCTCACGGGTCTGGGAGACTCTACGGAGATCTCCTGCTTGTCTGAGTCTCCGAGCCAACATCTCTTCCTTCAAGACAGACTTGTGGTAGGCGAGGGGGTCTTCTTCCATGGTAGGTCGTTACACCGGGATGGTCAAAGATTGGGTGTTTGACAGGGACCCGCGTCTTACAATGAAGGGTGTTTGCTTATGAGACAAGCAGGGGGTGAAGAAGAGGCAAGACGAGTTCACTGCGATATGGACCCGCTTGATGATGTCGTCGTTGCCTTGGTCGTCAGGGTGAACATTGTTTGCGATGATTCAGATGCAGATTCACGGAGTCAGTCCATGTGAACGAATGGGTACCAGTAGTATCGTCGACCAAGTACAGGTATCGTCGTCGACCGGGCTGTTCTTTCACCCCTAACTGCCTAGAGCAGTGGTATGTATAGTTTGATGCTTAATTCTACTGCATAGCATCGCAAACTCATATCTGCATCAGAGTCTGACCAGAGAAGTGTCATCTAGGAGAATCATCGGGTAGGATCTCAGGAGGGATGACTGCTATGAGAAGGCTCTATAGAAATGCACAATCTAGTATGGAATCAGGGCTATGTCCAGAGAGAGCATTGGTCGTGGCTTGTTCTCTCTGGACAAATCACCATCTCTAATAGTATCCTGACTTTTGGTAGAGAATTATACATCGAGCTGCTGTCGCGAGAGCTCTTTGAATTCGCGTTCAAGGTCTTGTATCTCACGCAAGATGGCCATGACAAAAAGTCCTATCAAAATTGCAGAAAGCAACACAGAGATCGAGACACATCCAGGAAGCCAGCCACAACCTTCACGGAAGAAACCTCGAATCTCGAAATCATGTATGCCCAAGTAGCTAAATCGATTTTTAATTCATTTCCTTATGCTAGACTTTCGTACACTCGTACAACACTGAAAAATGTCTCGCTCTTACAGACCAAGCTTCTCAAGGTACTTGGTAGCGAGCTCGACAGCCTGATCAGCGTTCTCGGGCTGAGTACCCTGTCCAAGCGAAGTAGCGCCCTTGCCACCAGCCTTTCCACCGAGCACGCCAGCAACCTCGTTGGCCCAAGCAGGTGCATCAGCACCCTTCTCCTTTGCCTCTGCGGAGACGTGGCAACCGTGGACGACCTTGCCGTCCTTCTCGTCGGCGGCGATGAGGTAGATGGTCTTGTCCTTTTGCTTGGAGCTGATGGTCTTGATGGCTTCGCTGATGGCCTTGGAGTTGGCGGAGATGGGCACGCGGACGACCAGACGCTTCGACTCGGGGTTCTCGGTGAAGTGCTTGGCGATGGTGTCAGTCACGGTCTTGTTCTCGGCCTTGAGGAATGCCTTCTGCTGGTCAAGGTTGGCCTGTAGAGCAAAAGGTCAGTAATCAAACCATATATAATCATCGAATCAGCGAACTTACCTTGGCGACCTTGGCGAAGCGCTCCTTAAGTTGAGTCTTGGTGACAGCAGAAATTGTTAGCTGGTTGAGCTGAACTTGCAACTGCTTGGCCTTGGCCTCCTTCTGAGGGCTGTACTCCATCTTCTCGAGCAGAGCGAGGTCATCCGAGAACTCCTGGGCGACTCTTTGCACCTCGTGGGCAGCCTGTCCAGTCACGGCGATGATACGGCGGATACCCTTTGCAATACCACCCTCCTCGAGCACGATCAATTCCTTGATCTCACCGGTCTTGTCAACGTGAGTACCACCGCAGAACTCGACACTGACGTTCTCCCACTCGGGGTTGTGAACATCCTCGAGAAGCTGCTCAACTGGCACACCAACACTGACGACACGGACAGGGTCAGGGTAGGTCTCACCGAACACGGCACGGACACCCTTGATGTTTCTGGCAGTAGCGAGAGGCACTTCCAATGAGTAAACAGGGCTGTTTTGGCGGATGTATGATGTGCTCTTGGTCTCAACCTCCTGAAGCTCCTTGTCTGACAAAGCAGCCTTGTGGCTGAAATCGAAACGAAGCTTCTCAGGGGCGACAAGCGAACCCTTCTGGTTGATGTCGTCACCGAGGACTGCGCGAAGAGCAAAGTTGAGAATGTGGGTACCGGTGTGGTTGTTGCGGATGGGGTGTCTGCGAAGTTCGTCGTACTCGCAAATGACCGAGTCGCCAGTCTTGAAAGTACCGTAAGTCATGTAACCAGTGTGGAGGACGTAACCAGCATAGCTCTGGACGTTCTGGACGTCCAACTCGGCTTCACCATCAATCAAGATCTTGCCAGTGTCGTTCTCCTGACCACCCTGCTCGGCGTAGAAGTTGGTCTTGTCAAGGATGACACCAAACTGCTCGCCATCGGGGATCTCAGAGGTGCTTGACAAGAATTGCTTGTTGTGGTAGATGGCCTTGACAGTAGCGTTGATGTTGCCACGACCGAACTTGGGTTCATCATCAGTCTTGCTGACCTCAGTCATGGTGTCGAGCTTGCCCAAGTCGTGTACGTCAAGCTTGACCAAGTCGGCGCCAGCTTTCTTCTCACCCTTACTGGCCTCCTTAGCCTTGGCCTGAGCAGCATTGACCTCCTCCTCGTTGATAGTAAGGCCGCGCTCCTCTGCCATGAGCTGAGTAAGATCGACAGGGAAACCGTAGGTGTCGTACAGACGCCAGACATCGGAACCAGAGAGCGACTTGGTGTTGTTGTCCTTGCATTGCTGAGCGTACTTCTCGAACATGGCCTCACCACGGTCGAGGGTTTTGGCGAATGAAAGTTCTTCCTCGTTAAGGATCTCCTTGACATCTTGCTCCTTCTTCTTGATCTCAGGGAACATGTCACCCATCTGGGCGACGAGAGTGGGAACAATCTTTGAGAAGAAGTCACCAATGTCTGTGTTCAGGTACTTGCGAGCGTAACGAGCACCTCTGCGCAACACTCTGCGAACAACGTAACCACGACCCATGTTGTTAGGAATACCACCGTCAGTGATGGCGAAGGTGAGAAGTCTCACGTGGTCAGCAACAACACGGTAGGCAGTATCGATACCATCGGCATCCTCGCTGCCGAACTTGCCCTCGTACTTGCGGACACCAGTAATCTCTTGAATACGATCGAAGAGGGGAGAGAAAACATCGGTGTCGTAGTTGGAAGACTTGTTTTGCAAAACACTGACCAAGCGCTCGAAACCCATACCAGTATCGACGTGCTTGTTGGGCAGAGGTCGCAGTGACTTGTCGGATTCGCGGTTGTATTGGATGAAAACGTTGTTCCAGATCTCCAGAACGTTGGGGTCGTCCATGTTGACGAGGTGTGCGGCATTTCGGCCACCAATTCTGTCGTAGTGGATTTCACTGCAAGGACCGCAAGGGCCCTGGTCACCCATCTCCCAGAAGTTGTCCTTCATGTTTCCAGGAAGGATGTGGTCCTCGGGGACACCGACTGACTTCCAGAGCTCCTTGGCCTCAAGATCGGGCTCCAGACCACCGGCCTTGTCACCCTCGAAGTAGGTCACGTACATTCTGGCGGGGTCAAGACCAAACTCCTTGGTGAGAAGCTCCCATGACCAGGCAATTGCTTCCTTCTTGAAGTAGTCACCGAAACTCCAGTTACCCAACATCTCGAAGAATGTCTGCATTGACCTGTTAGTTTGCTAGTCGATCGGATGATTTTGTTAGAATAGCTCACGTGGTGGTAGCTGTCCTTGCCGACATCATCCAAATCCTAAATCGAGTCAGATGAGCTTATCAAATTGAGGCAGAAGGTTTGTTACATTGTGCTTTCCACCAGCGCGGATACACTACATGTCGAGTTAGCAGTTGTTGATGAGTTTAGCAAAAGTCTTGGCTCGCCTTTTGAGAATTTGTGGCACGCTTGAGCGAGGCGAAATCAGACGAGGGGTCTACGGTTCCAAGGAAGATGGACTTGTACTGGTTCATACCAGCATTGGCAAAAAGAAGAGTCGGGTCCGAGTGAGGGACGACGGACGAAGAGGGGACTGTTTGGGCGGCGGTCAGCTGTAGGTTGCGGCGAAACAGAGACCCCCGAAGCTGGCCTCTAGGATGTACATACCAAAGGTGTGCTCCCTCTTCTTGACAAAATAGTCAATGAAAGTGCTTCTGACCTTGGCAGCATTCCATTGCTGCTCGGTGGGTTGAGAAGCCATGTTGAAAGCGCGTGTTGTGGTGAAGGAAAGGTATGGGAGGTGCGAGAATGTTCTCGTCGACAGCTGAGGTGGAATTTGAACGTGAGTCAACCCACGTCGGCAACAGTTGAACAAGCTCGTGATCATCCACGCTTTCAATACAACAAGTTGCGCGCGCACTCGGAGACGACTAGAACAGGCGTATCTTCACTTGGTCGACGATAGCAAGTCTAGACAACCCTCTGGCGCAGTCGGCGGTGATGCGGGATGAACTCGACCAGCGCGGAGGTCATGGACCGACACCGAGACACAGCGACAGCGACAGCTACAGCTACGCCAACACCTCCCACTCCCACCAGGGGGCTCAAGCGCACAGCAGACGACTCGTTCGATGATGACAATCGTTTTGCGAAGCGCTTCAACTTACTCAATCTAGGTAGCTCTCCCTCTCTTCTCACTGCTCACCTCGCTCCCACTGACTCGGCTCCCTTCTGCGCAGCCAACAACAATGACAAGCTCTACATTCCTGTCTCGGCCAGGCCCCAGCTCCAGACCACCCTGACTCGACCACCTCCTACCGAAGAGCACATGCACGTAGACGACACAAAAGATCGCGTCTACATCCACAACCTCGACGACGAATTAGCCGACATCGAGTCCGACGAGGAGAAACTCATCTTCCTTCCCGACATTGAAAAGAAGCTCAATGCTATACCTAGGCACATTCTACTCGGAGAAAAGAAAGATTCACATCAAGAGCTTGTCCTCTACAATCTGCCTCCGTCATTATCTGTGCCCATCGAGAAAGATAACGTACGGAAAGCTATACTCGAGGCTCGTGAGCGTGCCAAAGAGAAGGCAGCAATTACACCCTCATTATCCTTCAGTCCTGCCGACGATACTCCACCAGAAGACCAAATAGAGACTGCTCACGGTTACGACTCTCCAGACTATGGTATAGACGAAGACACGAACGACATGGAAGAAGACGAGGACGCCATGGATCTATCATGAGATAAAAAGTTGTTATTACATTTTTGGGGTCTCTGCCAGTCCAGCCAGCCTTGCTACCTAAGTTGTCTATATACGTTATGGCCATATTCTCCTCCAGGCCTCCTCTTTTTATGAACAGAAAAGAAAATAATACATTATATCTCAGAAAAAATTCTGGTATCCTTGGTATCCTTCGTAAAATCTTTAGATGCGTGCTCGGCCCCAATGTCTCGGGAGCCAGCGCCTGCTAGGGCTGGGTGCTTCAATCCGTGTCGATTGTGTTGCCGCTGCCGACTCGCCTCCTAATAGCATCAAGCTTTCGGGTAGAGCGGTGCGTCTCGCCTTTTGGAAGTTGACGGTACTTGTGATGGTCGTCCACATCGTCGTGTAGACGTTGGGCGCCTGTTGCTGAGTCGTCCATTGTGTGACTGTCGTGTCCACGGGTGCTGTGATCGCCCGCTCAATGCTTGTGGTGACGGTCGTCCACACTGTTGTCGTTGCATCGGCCGATACTGCCTGCACAATGGTCGTGAGGACGCTGGTCTCGGCGAATGATTGTGCTGTGGGTGTTGTCTCGACATTGGCGGCAGGGGTGGTCTCGACGTTCTCAGTGGGCGATGGCTGCTCAGTTGGGCTCAGCTCTGAGAGCGGCGGCACCGATACCACTTGGCGAAGTGTCGTCGTCACTGTAGTCCACTCTGTAGAGGTTGCATCAGCAGCCACAGCAAGAACTAAAGTAGTCAATACATCTGTCATCGATGGCATTGCTTGCGAGGTGCTTGTTGCAGCAGCCGTCTCTGCACTCGATGCAGGAGCGGGTGATGTATCAACACTCGACGTCTTTGCGGCAGTCGATGGAGCTTGAGCGACCGATGGACTTGAAGCAACCGAAGAGGCCTGGTTGCTTGACGAGGCTTGTGCGGTGGACGTGGGGCTACCACTTAATGAACTTGAAGTCGACGACTGGGATTCGACAGAGGACGAGGATTCGGCGATCGACGACGAGGGTTCGGACGAAGAGGTTTGCGTTGACGATGTCTCTGTAGTCGTCGAAGCGACAGTAGATGACACGGTCGAGGTAGTCTCAGCAGGCACCGTCTCCGTCGATGTTGCGCTAGCACTACTAACGAATGTCTCAGTTTGTGTTGGGTTATTATTATTATTGCAGAATGATGGCAGTGCAACCTTTCCAGAAGATTTTGCAGTCTGCTCGAAGACTTGTAGAGAGTTGATGGACCAGTAGGCATTCCCGAATGCCTGAGGGTTGTTGGCGACGTAGTCGGTGCAGGAGCCGCTCAGAGCAGAACATGTAGAGTCACTGCTCCAGACGCTTCCAGCCCAGTCACCACAAAATGTCACATCGAAGACAATCTGTTGGTCTGAGAAAAATTCGGGGATGTCACAGCAGCCCGTGAATTGCGAGAGTGGTTTTCCCCATGTGGCGTCCGGAGAGGGATTGCCATTTTGGACGTTTGCAGGGATGGAACCACGCTGGAAGAACCAGATGCTAATTGCTTCATCAGTCCATTCCATGGCGTAGACACCACCTCCCACATTGTTGAAACCATCGCCGTAAGTGTTGTAGTTGCTGGTGGTGATCTGGCAACCTTCGTTGTCGGTCTGGCCGGGTGCGTTGACATAACAGTCGTCGGACCAGAGGCTGCCTGTGAAATTGCCGTTGTCGTAGATGGAACATCCGTCTGCGGTGTGCAATGTCATGGCATTGTGGTTCTGTGTGTTCACACCTTCAATGATATCAATTTCACCACCATTGGGCCAGTTGGGTCCAACCATCCAGAAGGCAGGCCATGCACCACAGGCGTTTCCGGGCATATGCTCCAAATCGAGGATAACGAGAGTGCCGGAGTTGTAAGCGTTCTTGCTAGTCAAGCGGATACTTGGACGGCCATTGGGCTGGACGTTGGTATGGTCGACTCCGATGTAGACTTTGTCGTTCGAGTTACTGATCAGACCAGTGTTCCACGCTGTGCCTTGGTCAATATACTGAACAAAGCCGTGAGTGGGATCTGAATATGTGAAGAAGTCGAACATGTCGAAGAATGCTGCAGAGTTGTAGTCATCTTGAAGAACATAGCCAGCTATGCTCAAGTTGACGAACGAAAAAAGAGAAAACAAAAAGGGAATGAGTGGCATGTTTGTGAATGAGTGCATGGTGCAATAGTAAAAGAATGATTGCGCACGAAGAAAAAAGTCTCAGACATGGGAGATACACGAGTGCATATATAGCGCTGAATACCTACGAGAAGACGCCGCATCATCGGTTGCATAGTAAGATAGGCTGGCCCCTTTGGGAGTGGTTGTAAGAATGTTTATTGCAACCGTTTGAACGGCTTTAACGCAGACCGGGCGTGGCCCTGATAACTGCCATGGTGGTTACCTGCCTGGCGGTCTGGTCAAGACCTGAGCAGCGTAATACTCAAACGGTTCCAGCATGTATGTTCGTCGCTCTCCGAGCTCTTGCGCATGTTGTAGCTGAGTATTCGCAACGCACGTTGGAATGATCTGTTGTTACAAGGAGCACATGTGGTCGATTTCGAGTTCTATAGACCAGACGCACATGGTATGGCCTGTACTGTAATCTATGTACCCGGCCTCGATCTTTTCGTGGCATGTTCGTGGTCGGCTTGATGTAAGAAAAAAGTGTATGTTCGAGGTCGTGTGGATTGTCGTTGGAAAGAACCCCACCACCCTTGGCAGGCACAATTTCCGTATGCAGGCAATCGACCAAGCTCATGTCTCAACCAGGGGGCGAATCCACCTCCTGCCTCGTATACCAATTCTGCACGGCATTACTATTTTCAAAATATCACGATGGCGACAGGACTGATTGATCGCCTTGTCTTGGAGTATTGCCTTGGTGATGTCGAGTCTATAGCACATCATGGGACATTCTTCTATCGTGCTCTATCTGGCTCTATCGCATTTTAGCGAACAGCAGCGTGGGATTGACTCGTCGCAATCGATTCGTAAAGGCTATCAGAGGCCCTGGATATCCGGCACTGCACACTCACATGCTTGTGGATCACCAATTGTCAAGGGGTTGCCCTCCCGACATGGGTATTCCGAGAGCAAAAAAAGCCGTTTAGTGATTGCTTGCCGCAAGTCAAAACGGTCTCATGAGAATGGTCTCCATGTCAGCCGGCCAGTTGCTGCGCTAACGGTAAGAAAAAGAAGCGAACGACGACAGGTTTCCCAGAGGACTGCACACTTTGCACTGCCTGAATGTCTTGGATGCGAGCCTCCAAAGGGTCTGGGGGTCAAGGTTGGCTGTGAGACTATCCGTAGGGTTCTGATAGCTCTGATATATGGATATGAACAACGCATGGTTCCTCAGAGTGGCGCATGCTCCGTCGTCATTAACACATGATGCTGCTCACTTCGTCACGTCTCCCTGGCCAACCAAGTTCTTGTCGTCTTGTCCTTGAGCTGCGGCTCTCTTGGCTTCTTCTTGGGCGAAGAGGTCTTGCCAGTATGACTCTTTGTAACCATCCATCAATCGCGTGAACTGTGGTCCGCTCTTGACCCAGCCCTTGACGCCTCCTTCGAGTACCATCGATTGCATCTGCTCATCTCCAGCTGCGTCAATGAACTCCTTGAACCTGTATAAGTCAGCATAAGAGGGCGTGTTGATTCATATAGAGATCTCTTACCACGCAGCACAGCGAGGTGCTCTACCATTTGAGGAGCCACCTGATGCAAGGTCAATCGATTGGAGCTTCAGTGGCTTAGAATGCTCAACGTACAAGTGAAGACAACCCATTCAATGTCGGCTTTGTATGCCAACTCGTATCTGTGAAACGGTGTTGGCAAAGTTACGATCAATTGATGATTGCACCTACAGCATTCCTCTGTTCCACCAGAAGCCCTGGGCAGGAATATTCAAACTGCCACGAAGACATCCTCCCTCAAAATCCATCCTCCTGAGATCAATTACGAGTAGACTTGCTACACCGCGTAATGACAACATCTGCATCACACGGTTCCGAGGCATAACCGCCGCTTCTGTTTTGGGCTCTGGAAATTCTGCATACCATGGCTTCTCGGTAGTCATCGTGATTTGTTGTTATAGGTTATGCACTTTCAAAGTCTTGTGTGATGCAAAGAGTTGGTTGAGATTTGTCGTCAAGAGATGGCACATGGATGGAGCAAGTACGAAGCCGAAGTCCGAAACGACTGGCTGAGCTCCAAGCTCGACATTTCAGCTTCGGTCTCTATAGAAGCTACACCAATGTCACTATCTTTCCATGGTCATTCATAAATTCAGTTGTACTCGAGATATCTGAAGAGAGATAGATGGTCATAAAATGAGCCTTCATGGGCATGATTAAAAGCGCTTATTTGGGTATTCTGACTTTTCGTAACAAGAAACAAACAGACGTGACGCATCTATTGCAATGACTCGACAACCAGAGCACTGGCACCACCACCACCATTGCAAATACCGACAGCGCCGATCTTGCCCTTCTTCTCTCTGAGGACACCAAGAAGGGTGACGACAATTCTGGCACCACTTGCGCCCAGAGGGTGACCAAGGGCAACGGCACCACCGTGAAGGTTGACCTTGTCCTCGTTAACGCCGAGAAGCTTCATGTTGGCAAGAGCGACGACACTGAAAGCCTCGTTGACCTCGAAAGCGTCGACATCCTCCTGCTTGATACCGGCGTGCTTGAAAGCCTTGGGCATGGCAAGGGCAGGGGCGGTGGTGAACTTGGCGGGCTCGTGAGCAGCCTCACCCCAACCCAGAATCTTAGCAATAGGCTTCAGGCCGAGCTCCTTGAGCTTGGCCTCAGAAACGAGAACGACGGCAGCGGCACCGTCAGAGAGAGGAGAGGCGTTGGCAGCAGTAACGGTACCATCCTTGGGCTTGAAAGAAGGTCTGAGAGTCTTTGTCTTTGACTCGTTGAAGTTCTTAGGCTCGTCGTCCTTGTCAATGGTGATGTTGGGCTTGCCTCTGCCACCGCTAACCTCAATGGGAGCAATCTCCTCACCAAACCAGCCGCTCTCCTGGGCGTATTGGGCCTTCTTGTAAGATCTGATGCAGTAGTCGTCCTGAGCCTCTCTGTCGAAACCGTGCTCAGCGGCGCAAGCCTCGGCGGCCATGCCCATGTGCTGATCCTCGTAGGCGTCGGTAAGACCGTCCTTCAGGACAGCGTCGACCAGAGACTGGTTGCCGAACTTGGCGCCGGTGCGCATGTTGGGGAGGTAGTGAGGAGCGTTGGACATGGACTCGGTACCACCAGCCACGACGATATCGGCACCACCAGTCATGATGGTTTGAGCGCCGAGGATGATGGCCTTGGTAGCGGAAGCGCAGACCTTGTTGACGGTGGTGCAGACGACCGAGTTGGGAATGCCAGCACCGAGAGCACACTGACGAGCAGGGTTCTGGCCGAGACCAGCAGAGAGGACGTTACCGAAGATGACCTCCTCGACGGCCTCAGGCTGGACACCAGCTCTCTGAATAGCATGCTTGATGGCGTGAGCACCGAGCTGAGTGGCGCTAAGGCTGGAAAGAGAGCTGTACAAAGAAAGGGTTGGTCAGAATTGTTGAGCATTGAAGCATGGCGGGGCTCTCTACTCACCCCAAGAACTGGCCAACAGGAGTTCTGGTGGCCGAAACAATGTAGACGGGGGTTGAAGGAGCCATATTGGAGAATGGATTGAGAGAAGGACGTGAAGAGAAGGAAGAGAAAAGAAGCAGGGGAAGCAAGTAGAGAAAGGTAGCAGGAGCGATCAAGGAGAGTCCAAGAAATCATGCCATGTTTAATTTCGAGGACAATATGGGGGTCTAGCACACTGTTGCCAACACGTTTCGCCGCGCGCGTAGGGCCGAATAGAGCAGCTATAGATGATCGAGATAAGATGATGGTTGGCAACACAAAGCGGTGAAGCACGGCGGAGGGAAGCTTGACTCGCGCCTGCCTTTAGTGACGATCTTGTTGGAGACGAAGTCTCGCGGCGACTGTCGCATTCGAGCTTCAACTTTTGTCGCGTCCACTGTCGCCCATCCACACTACATCTGCCGCCATGGACGACCTTTACGATGAGTGCGCTTACTATCCGCCTTTCAGATATGTTCAAAACTGACCCTTTGCGACAGGTTCGGTAACTTTATCGGCGAGCCCGAAGACTCGGACATCGAACAGGAGCAGGATGTCGATGCCAATGACTATCTCTACGACCAGGACGAGCCGGATGAGGTTACTGCTGCTCATGACCAGCAGTTGATGGAAGTCGACGGTACGCGCTGCTTTGAAAGAGTTGGAGATACGAGGAATAACTGACATGGGCGTAGATGAAGGTCCCTCAAATGCCGTCGTTCTTCACGAGGACAAGCAATACTACCCTACTGCGCAACAGGTTTACGGTCAGGATGTCGAGACTATGGTTCAAGAGGAGGATACACAGGCCCTGTCACAGCCAATTATCGCTCCTGTCGTTCAAAAGAAGTTTACTGTCGAAGAGGCCGACCTGCCTCCTGTTTTCTTCAGCCGCGATTTCATGACCGACTTGATGAACTTTCCCGATCAAATCCGCAATGTCGCCCTTGCTGGCCACCTTCACCATGGTAAAACGGCTTTCATGGACATGCTCGTTATGCAAACACACAATATTCAAGAGAAACTTGATCAAAGGAAGGGCCGCGATCGAGAAGAGCAACTGAGATATACCGACACCCATATTCTGGAGCGCGAAAGAGGTGTGTCGATCAAGACTGGTCCCATGAGTCTGGTCCTGCCTGCTACAAAAGGAAAGTCACACTTGATCAACATGCTGGATACTCCTGGTCACGTCAATTTCGCCGATGAGGTTGCTGCTTCTCTACGCCTGGTTGATGGTGTTGTCTTGATTGTCGACGTTGTTGAGGGTGTCCAAGTACAAACCGAAATGGTCATCAAGCACGCTGTCTTGAACCACCTACCACTGGTCCTGGTCATCAACAAGATGGACCGCCTGATTCTGGAGCTCAAGCTGCCCCCTGCTGATGCTTACTTCAAGCTCAAGCATGTCGTGGAGGAGGTCAACACTGTCATTGAAAACACCATTCCCGGTCAAGGCGAGAAGTACCGTGTCAGTCCCGAAAAGGGCAACGTTGCTTTTGCTTGTAGCATGATGGGCTGGTGCTTCACTCTTCCATCTTTCGCCCACATGTACGCCGAGACATATGCCGGCAGTGGTCTGGATGTGCCCGAGTTCAGCAAGAGACTTTGGGGCGACATTTACTTCAACCCTGGAAGTCGTAAATTCACCCGTCGTGGAACTGAACCAGCCAGCAAACGCTCTTTCGTCAACTTCGTCCTCGAACCCATCTACAAGCTCTACTCACACACCATCAGCGAAAGCCCCGAAGATCTCAAAAAGACACTGGAAAGTTTGGGCATTCATCTCAAGCCCACACAACTTCGCGCAAACGCCAAGGATCTTCTGAAGATGGCATGCGAGCAGTTCTTTGGTCCTGCAACCGGTTTTGTGGATATGGTCGTTGACCACGTCCCATCACCTGTAGAGGGAGCTAAGCAGAAGCTTGAAAACTACTACACTGGTCCTACCGATACTAAGACAGCCGAAAGCATGCTTTCTTGCGACCAGGATGGTCCCCTCATCGTCCATGTTACGAAGCTGTTCAATACTACTGATGCAACTGGATTCAACTCATTTGGTCGCGTCATGAGTGGTACAGCACGCCCTGGTCAAAAAGTGCGTGTACTCGGTGAGGGATACACGATCGAGGATGAGGAAGATATGGTGGAAGCTACTATTTCTGATGTCTGGATTGGCGAATCGCGATACAACATTCCTACCAGCGGCGTTCCTGCTGGTAACTTCGTTCTTCTTGGAGGCGTCGACAATTCAATCGTCAAGACTGCTACCATTGTCGCGCCTAAGCTTCCAGAAGATGAGGACGCCTATATTTTCCGTCCTGTGCAACACTTCTTCGAGTCTGTCTTCAAGGTGGCTGTCGAGCCTATCAACCCATCTGAGCTTCCCAAGATGCTTGACGGTCTCCGCAAAATCAACAAATCATATCCTCTCATTACTACCAAGGTGGAAGAGTCGGGTGAGCACGTTGTTTTGGGAACTGGTGAGCTTTACATGGACTGTGTTTTGCACGACCTGCGCCGATTATACGCCTCCATGGAGATCAAGGTCTCCGACCCTGTCACACGTTTCTGCGAAACGGTGGTAGAGACATCAGCCATCAAGTGTTACGCACTAACACCAAACAAGAAGAACAAACTCACAATGGTTGCCGAACCTCTTGATGAAGGCATTGCCGAGGACATTGAGAGTGGGAAGGTCAACATCAGAGATCCAGTGCGCAAGGTCGGCAAGTTCTTCGAAGAGAACTACGGTTATGATCTGCTAGCCTCGCGCAACATTTGGGCCTTTGGTCCTGACGACATGGGACCTAACATTCTACAAAACGACACATTACCGTCAGACGTGGATCAAAAACTTCTCAAGGGTGTCCGAGACACAATTCGTCAAGGCTTCTCATGGGGAACTCGCGAAGGACCTCTCTGTGAAGAGCCAATTCGCAATACCAAATTCAAGATCACAGACGTCAGTCTCGCACCAGAGGCAATTTACCGTGGTGGTGGTCAAATCATTCCCACAGCTCGTCGCGCATGCTACAGCAGTTTCCTGATGGCAAGCCCGCGACTAATGGAGCCGGTATACAGCTGCTCCATGATCGGCAATGCAGACAGTGTGAGCAGTCTGTACACAGTCCTCGCCAGACGCAGAGGTCACGTCCTCTCTGACGGCCCAATTGCCGGCACACCACTCTACAAAGTGTCAGGTCTCATTCCTGTAATAGACTCGTTCGGTTTCGAAACCGACCTTCGCATCCACACTCAAGGACAAGCCACATTATCACTTGTCTTTGACCGCTGGAGCATTGTACCTGGTGACCCACTGGACAAGAGCATCAAGTTGAGACCGCTGGAGCCTGCTTCTGCACAAGCCACTGCTCGTGACTTTGTGCTCAAGACACGTAGGAGGAAGGGCCTGGCTGAAGATGTTACGATTAGCAAGTTCCTTGAACCTGAGTTGTTCAGGAGTCTGAAGGAGAGTGGTATCTTGGATCAACCGGCGTAAAGTAAACATCACGAATACCTCTTGTAGCGAATAGAAAAATGATCATCTTTCGCACTTGCACAAAAAATGTTCATTCATCATCTCAGTCCTTTCTCCTCCTCACCTAATTCTCCCTTGGGTGTCCTGACAACCGCACCTTTGAACCCTTCCCCGAGATCCATCTCTTCACCTGCCGTCTGCTCCATGGGGTCTTTACATAAAATCTCTAATAACGCGTCCACGGTATCTCGCACCTTCTCCGCATACTCCTTGCCACTCAAATCTTCCTTTCCAATCCACGCTCTGAAAGCAAAACAAGCAGCTTTATAGACGTGATGGTAGAGTAACTTGTACTCTTCGTCTTTAGCCTCTTCTTCTGGGTCTACAGGTTCTGCAGCAGAAGTAGAGGCGCGTTTCTTCCTTTTCGAAGCCGTGAAGCCCCAGACGCGTAGACCCGCTAACACGACTTTAGAGACCATGTCTTTGTTTTTCTGTTGAAGTAGTTCTTGCTCTGTGGATGGTTGAGGGCTAGATACTGGTGCTGGCGTCGCTCGTGAAAGTCCTGATGCTACTCGTTGTTTGGTTTCTGGAATCGTAGTGGTGCGTTGTAGACTTGCTATACTCGGGCTTCGGCTCTTGGGGCGAGTAAGTAGAGGGACGGAACCTCTGCTTGCTTCGGACTTTAGACGTGGTAGGGTAGGTAGCAAGGAAGGACTATTTGAAGCTGCCGCCGCGGCGGCTACAGAGGCGCCTGAGTGGCGCTTTCTGCGGTCGGTGGCAGCGGAGAAGGTGGAGTCGAGAGCGGTCTTGCGTCTTTGGCGGAGGGTGGGTTCGTCCCAGGGGCGAGGGATGAAACGACCATCTATCGTGTTTGGATCTGAAGTTCCCAAGACTGGAGAGGTTGGTGGTGTGATATCCGTATCGTTAAACAGCAGAAGATCAGAAGACAGAGGAAGAGCGTAAAGTCCCAATTCTGGATCTGCAGAGGAGGCTTCATTATCCGATAGCGACGGAAGATTTTGTTGAACATCCTTTCTAGCAGCGTAGAAAAGTATTTCTGTAATCCGTGGTTGAGGTACTTTGCTCTCATCTGCAAACTTTACTGCAGCAAGAACGCCCAAAGTCGATTCTAGAGCAGCATTCTGCCACCATTCATGTCCTTGGTCTTCTGCATCGTTAGTACTGAGAAGTAAATTGCTGAACCATGTCTCAGTCTCAGAGTTTGCGGTCCAGACATCCAGCCGGTTTCCACAGATCAAATGTAGAGGTATTCGTGAAGTGTCGACATGAGAGAGAAATTGTAAGGTACAATCGCTTGGTAGTGTATGTTTTGAGGAAGGCGCACTGATCTGTATGTCTGTTACACTAAATGAGTATGCATTTGATTGGTAGCAATTTCTTCAATCAATCTCACCTCGTATCTCGTTACTGTCATCAAGTCGTAAACTTCCAGTCCAAATGTCCATCGTTGGTATTATCATGAATCGTGAGGTTGATCATCAATGTTTTTCGGGGTGACGTGACCGAAGACGCGTCGCTTCCAATCTTGTCCAAAACAGGCAATTGCATGGGGGTTCAATGCAGTTCCTTGAATAGAAAGTCTAACATCCAATATACAAAGCTGGTATTTGTAGCAGTATATTAGACTGGTACTATGGTAGCAAAAGAAAGTAAGATAAATCATTGGGTATGTACGCCGCTCGCTCCATATTTACAAAATCTCCAGCAATGCAAAGAACGCCGACCATGCATAATGCTCTCCTCGTTTTCCCCCTGGTCATCGCCTGACTGGGATGACCCAATGTTCGTCTTGATCGTCTTCCAATTCATCAGAGTCCCATCCGTCTTCTTCATCGCGAACAGCCAGCTCGACGAATCGTCTGAATGCTGCTGCAGCTGCAGCGTCAATCTGTTGCTGATTGGGTGGGACCTGCTGTTGTTGAGGTGCAGGGCCTGCTCGTCTACCGTCTAAAGCAGCCACTCTTCCACCTCGTGCGCGTCTCGCTCCGCCTCTACGTGCTGGCTGTTGTGCGGCCTCTGCTGCTGCAGGTTGAACGTTGTTGTCTTGAGCAGGCTGGGGGATGGCTGCAGCATTGTCCTGGGCATCGAGCTGTTCTGCAAGCGCTCTTGCTGCGGCCTCGTCCTCTTCACGCTGTAGAGCCTCTGCTTCTTCTCTGTCTGCTGCCTGGGCCACTGCCAGAGCCTCTTGCTCCCAGCGCCTCGCACCAACAAAGGCACCTCCCTGACCTTCGTCACCCTCCTCCAGCTCCCATAGCTTCTGATAGCACTCGGTACCAGGCTTGTTGAAGTGTTGATATGGATTGTCAGGGCACAGCCATGCACCACATAAGTAGCAGAAGTGGGTGGCGCATTGTACACAGCGCATGTGGTTACAGCCCATAGTCTTCTGTGTAGGACTGCTACAGGTCGGACATGGTGAGGTGTGCGTGCGGATGTAGTCATAGCTGGCCTTCTCCTCCTCTGACAGCTCTGCTGGGTTGCGAGGCCAGCAACGAGCGAAATCGCCGTGCCAACCTGCATAACATGTTTTGCAAAAGGCGAAGCTGCACTTGCTGCAGATAGCTAGCCGGTCAGAGGGAGAGTGGCCCTTTTTCTGCGGCTCAGTATCGTCTTCATCTTCGCTCGACGATTCCGGGTACAATGATAGATCTTGAGGAATAGGCGGGTACTTCTCACTGCGAGCAGGACCTTGGCACCATGTACGTGGACAGTAGACAGTCGTCTTGTCGGCTTCCTGCTTCTTCTTGCGCTTCATGTCGACATAGCGACGTATCATGGTCTCTTCGATACCCATCGCAAGCAACTCTTTCGGATGTAATGTCTTCTCCTTTCGTCTCTTCTTGTTCTGACCAGCCGGCCCGTCCTTGCCACAGGTGGGGTCTAAACATTGCACTCTTCCAACGTCGCCCTCGGTGATGCAATTATTATAGAAGTCTTGCAAACAGGTCTGACAAAAGACATGACCACAGCGACGCATGCGATAGCAGGAAGAACCTTTTTTGGGCTCGAGACAAATGCCGCAGTCAAAGGTGCCAGCATCGAATGTAGCCTTCTTGGTAGAGGAGTCATAATCGAGCAAAGCAGGCTTCAGAGATGGTGGCAGGTCGAGACCAGTGGTTTCCAAGTTAAAAGCCTGCTCGGCTTGTTGTTGTAGGAAGTCGATATAAGAAAAGAGAATTTGGCAGCGACCATATTCGTCCCACAATTTTTCGCACTCGCGCTCCAACTCTTTCAACTTGTCGTCGGGGAGCCATTTTGGTGTTGTGGACAGGACGATGGTTGGCGGTTTCTCGGCAGGGTAACCTTCGGGGAGGGAAAGCTTTAGGTGTAGCGGGGGGAGATGTTCGAGACGATAGGATTCATCGAAATCTGGAACGAAAGACGAGATTTTGATTTGGCCATTCTCCGAGTCTGGTGGGGATGGTGGTGGCGCCGAAGGAAAGCGCAAAGCGAGAGGACTCGAGGGGTTAACGGCGAGATGTAAGGAAGCGGCGAAGGTATCGTTTGGGTCGACGAGTAGTTCAGGATAGATGGCCGAGATGGTCGACAACTCTTCCTCTCTCTCGTCTTCGATGTCCATGGTGCCCGAATCAGGATGACTCGCAAGTGGCTGGTGCTATGAGCAAGTCATAAGTGCAAGTGATCCTTCGGTCGAAAGACTATATAGGGTCGCGAATGTTGGCAGGTGATGGAAACAGAGAGACGTGTGTCGCAGAAGGGAGAATAAATGTTGGGTGGCGCGGTGACTGAGAGACGGCGGCTTTGACGGTGTCTTGGTTTCGCCTCGGTGACGGCTGGCAGAATCTCACCGCCTGGTCATGCACACGGGCCGAAGCGTCTTATCGCCGGCCGCTAGAGAGAGAGTCTTTCGTCAGAGCTCCCCAGAAGTTGGTTCCTTGGATCTGGCTGGTGCTCGTGTCTTGCTTGTCTTGTCTTTCCCAAAGTTCTTGTCACAGCAAACATTCCTCCAAGATGGATGCCCCTCCATTGGCTTCGCTTTCTTTGACACACGTCCATTATGTGAGATGCCGCATGCTTCTGCCCGTCCCATACAAAGCAGCTAACCCTGGTCTCAGAATCCCAATGACCCAATCGCACATGCCTGTGCCTTTCTGGCCCTTGTACCTCAGGCTTTGTGCATCACATATGCAACTCTGATATGGAGCACCCGCGAGGCAGAGGTCGCCCTCATGTTCGCTGGCCAATTGGCCTGTGAAGCTCTGAATTGGATCCTCAAACGCACCATCCGTGAAGAAAGACCACATCGTACGCACTCCCGCCCAACATCCCCCTGAGACATACCCTAGTACTGACCCTGCCTCTTTTCCAGGCCTGACCGGCAAAGGCTACGGTATGCCCTCGTCGCACGCCCAATTCGTCTCGTACTTCGCCGTCTCTTTGACCCTCTTTCTCCTCCTGCGACACAACCCTCACGCTCCCAACACCTCGACCACCCACATCCCGACTTCTACATTTGAAAGACTTGCCTTGTCTGTCTTGGTCATCGCTGGTGCTGCTGCTGTCGCCCAGAGCAGAATATACCTCAACTACCATACCGAAAGACAAATCCTAGTCGGGTGCATCGTGGGCGCCCTCTTTGCAGTCTTCTGGTATCTGTTCACAACATACCTGCGCCGCTCTGGCTGGTTGGACTGGGTGCTGGACACTTCAATTGCCAAGTTCTTTCGCATCCGAGATCTGGTCGTCAACGAGGATCTAGTTGATGCTGGTTGGGAGAGGTGGCAGCAACGTAGAAGCAAGAGAAGCGAGCAAAAGTCCAGATAGATGTCCATATTGTCCATCACATACAATCTACGCATTAGAAAGAAACACTCGTTTTCAAGCGTAGAGGCGTGGTTAAAGAGGGCGAAAGATGCCGATTATCAGCGGCCGCCGTCCAGTTTTCTAATGGTATTATGTGTTTCCAAGTTGCACGGGCAGGACAGCGAAGAATTTTCTGATCCTTCAGGACGACTACGCCTTACTGCTGTCTAGACACTGAGGGTTTGGAGAAGGATTGGCGCATTCCGCCAATCAGGGAGAATAATTGTGACCTTTTCCGCGCCCACGGGGCCCGACATCGCGTTTAGTCGGCCGTTCACATGTATGCAAGAGCCAACAACTCCACAGTGCCCGCATTTTTCTCAAAAGATGTCCATCACGTGTAGCTCTTTCGGGAATCCAATGCAACCTACGGGCACACGCGGCCGGAACAATCGTCGTCCTCCGGGTATAAAGAAGACTCACACAGTCTGTCCAGCTTGCAATTGTTCCTCGTCTTGTTGCTGTGCTCTCTGTCCTTCGCTGCTTCCGCTCCTGCCCTCATAGCCCGTAAACTTTCCTTATCGTTATCGGACCCTTTCCTCACCACTTACTCGAACGCCGCCGTGCATCGGAACCAATCACGGCCTTGATTCTTCATTTTTTCTCATTCTTCCTCTCTCCAAAATGTCCAGCTTCAGCGTCCCAACCCTCGCATCACAGTACAAGATGGCTTCTGATCACTCTTCGCCATACGACACCTTCAGACATCCTCTGGAGCTGCGCTATGCAAGTGCGTAAAATCTTTACCCCGCCAAGACCGATTGAATCATCAATGTTGCCCTTCCACACGGCCAATTGAACGCGCCAGCGAACATAAGCATGGTATACTGATTCAATAGCCGCACTACAGGCAAGGAGATGAAGCATCTCTTCTCTCCCCGCATGCGTGTCAGCACCTGGAGACAGCTGTGGATCTGGCTGGCCGAGTCTCAAAAGGAGCTCGGTCTTGCCATTTCTGATGAGGCCATCAACCAGATGAAGGTCAACCAGATTGTCCAGGATGATGAGTTCAAGATTGCCGCAAAGGAGGAGGAGAGAAGAAGGTTAGTACTTGCATCTTCCGTGATTTTCAGAATCTGGCATTCGTGACGTATCTTGTGCTATATGCGTGGTTTCCGCGTTGTCCAGCAATTTGTGTTTGGTATTGGCAGTTTTGCGATACATGGTCTGTCCAGTTCGTTGTGAAATTTCGGTTCTGACTTTCTCTATCAGACACGATGTTATGGCTTGGGTCCACACATACGGTCTCTGCGCTCCCGCCGCTGCCGGCATCATCCACTGGGGTGCTACCTCATGTTACGTTACTGACAACGCTGACCTCATCCTGATGCGCGACGGTCTCGACATTCTCCTCAAGAAGATGGCCACTGCCATTGACAAGCTTTCCGCTTTCGCCATGCAATGGAAGGACCAGCCCTGCCTTGGTTTCACTCACCTTCAGCCCGCTCAGTTGACTACTGTCGGAAAGAGAGCATGTGTCTGGATCCAGGACTTGTTGATGGATCTGAGAGCTATGCAAAGAGTTCGTGACGAGCTTTGCTTCCGTGGTGTCAAGGGTACCACCGGTACTCAGGCATCTTTCCTCCAAATCTTCGATGGTGACCATGACAAGGTCGAGCAGCTTGATGAGCTCGTTACCAAGAAGGCTGGTTTCGCTGGCTGCTACCCCATTGCTACTCAGACCTACTCCCGTAAGGTTGATCTCGAGGTTGGCAGCGCCGTCTGCAACTTCGGTGCCACTTGCCAGCGTATCTCTACCGACATCAGACATCTTGCTTCCTGGAAGGAGGTTGAGGAGCCTTTCGAGAAGGACCAGATCGGTTCCTCCGCCATGGCTTACAAGCGTAACCCCATGAGATCCGAGCGTTTGACCTCTCTTGGTCGTCGTCTTGCGAACCTCCACGCTGACTTCATCTCCACTTACGCCTCGCAATGGATGGAGCGTACCCTCGACGACTCCGCCATTCGTCGTATTGACATCCCTGAGATGTACCTGTGCGCTGATGCTTTGCTCATTCTCATGAACAACATCTTCAGCGGTCTTGTCGTTTACCCCAAGCGCATCGAGAACCGTATTCTTGAGGAGCTTCCCTTCATGGCCACGTAAGTTTTGTTTTCCAATACAGTTTGATCATTTGCTAATTCAGAACAGTGAGAACATCATCATGGCTCTCGTCAAGAAGGGTATCTCTCGCCAGGATGCTCACGAGGAGATTCGCGTTCTTTCTCACCAAGCCTCCGCTTCCGTTAAGCTGGAGGGTAAGCACAACGACCTCATTGAGCGCATTCGTGCAACACCGTTCTTCGAGCCCATTCTCGGAGAGCTCGACGCTCTGCTTGACCCCTCCACCTTCACAGGCCGTGCTCCTCAGCAGGTCGAGAAGTTCTGCGGACCCGAGGGTGATGTCGAGAAGGCCCTCGCCAAGTACCGCGCTGAGGGTATTGAGGAGAAGGTTGGTGACATCATCCTTTAGATGTGTTGCCTTTACGATAAGGATTGTTTTACATGCTATGAGACGTTGAGATGATTTGGGAGTTTTGCACAAAAAAGGCTGTAGATATTATAGTAAAAAGTCGCCCAAGTACCTAATTATGATCGCTTTGCAACTTGTTCAAATCTGTCACGGTCGACCGACCTCTTTCTCATGCCTCCCCGTGTGCTGAAAGCAGTCACAGTGTAGCTAGCGAAGATGCACAGCGGCAACCCGAATATAATGCTAGCCATTGAGATAGTCTTCAGTGGGATCCTCTCTATGGAGACCACATTCTTTACAAAAGTATTGTGCATTCAATAGCTACACTGTGACTGTATATAGCACACGGAGAGGTGGCAATACATGATTGTTGGCTATATCATCGCAACACACACAAGTGGATGGATGTCTTATAATGAGTACTAATCTGATTATTGCTTTTCTTTGCCGAAAAATAAATCGGCGTCGCGCTAGAGCGCGTGACGAAAGCTTGGCGCGCGTCGAAATCTCAAGGCTGCGACAACCAAACCAACTCTGAATCACATCAACCCATCTTCAACCTCATCATCATCATCGCAAACATCTTGCACTTCTTCTGATACGGCACCGACGACTTTTACACCACTCCTGAGTGATCTTCAGCATCTGCAGGCCAGAGCTGAAGGGTGTCAGAAGTCTTTGGGCTGTCTTTCTTGTTGATTCTCGCTCTCTACCGTCTGCACTGGCAACCCGCTTACCGCTTATACTTCAGCTCACGCTAGAAGGGTCAAGCAGGGAGCTGGGTGGTTACGGAGAAGTCTGATTCTTCGAGATTAGAAACGTGCAAGCCACTCCTCATCTTATCGAGTTAGGGCTGCTCGAGACGTCTCATCGAAGCCCGGGTGGGAGGGATCTCGCCTTGTCGAGGGCCCCTTTGGTATTGACCCCCTGACAAGTTGAACTGATCGTTGCAGGAAAAGCCCAGAATGCCTAAAGGGAAACGATCCGCCCGAGCCTCTTGGCTTTTCCGCAACAAACCAGCTGTAGCCTCAGCCAGCGAGACATTTGGCCGCTTCAATATCTCAATCATCCACGATGAATCCAAAGCCGAAGGCTCCATTGTCATCCAACATGCTGTGTACCTTGAAGGTTTCTCCTCCGGACAGACCCTTGACCTTGTCTTGCGACCCGAAAGCATAGTCTCGTGCGAACTGTACCTTGACAATCAAAACCATAGACTGCCTCCAGAAGTGCTCAACTTGATACCGACGAACCGTAGCGACATATGGAGTCTCTCGTTGACGATGCGTACTCCCGGTACCGTCATATGCCCCACAGCGCCTCTTCCCTTGTCATTCGTATCGACCAGTTTTGGACAGCAGTTCGCTGCGTTTTCTCACCTGTGTCAGACAACACAACTTCGGATCTATCTTGGCAGGGATCAACTTCAGTCAGAACACCGCGTGCGCCTCGAGCGCTTTGCTTCTGCTATCGCCCGGCGCAGACTCCGAGCAAATCCTATCGACCTTCGAAGCCTTGGCGGCGGTGGTGGAAAGCAAGAGACAACATGGGGCTATATACATCCACCTCCAGTGGAACAACAACAGGTGGGCTTTGGTGCCTCAAGAAAACGAAGCCGTGTTGGTGAGTTTCTACAGATTCGTTTCTCTCCGTGTACTAGAATATGTCACTTTTGTAGCTATAACAATGCACGAAATTTTTCGGACCAGCAGAGCAACCAAGGAAAGCCAATATTTTATTACATCTCTGTGGGCACTAGCCTGTTTTCAAAGACTGTTGTGCATCTTTGAAGCTACGCTAGTTGCATACTTCTATCAGCTATCAGCATGCGTGGTTCTTAGGTTTTGATAGACAAGTCTGACGTACTATCTAGATTCGAACAGCCAACAACAATCAGAGGAGCCGTCTACGAAAATACAAAAATTCTTCTGGGACATGGTGCCACCAGGTTCACCCACTGAAGTAAACACTCCAAGTTCACGACACGTCACTCCTAATCTCACCAACGCCAATACCCCTGATGCCGGATTAATGCATCCCTTCACATCTCCGACAATCAACAGAGGATCTGGAGATGAGCCGTGTCAGTCTATGACAAACAATGCCAGGCACAACCAAGAGAGGGAGTCAGGCTCACGAGCCTGCACACCTCTTCCCGCATATCCAGCAGGGCTTGGAAATACCTACACGCCATCACCTGCCCTCGAGAAAACAAGTTCTCCTGCTTGGGGATCCAGTATAGAGATGAAGCCCACATTCTTTCCTCGACCTGCAGACAACTACTCCGCTCTGCCACCTGAGCTCACAAAAGTCTTGGGTGGCATGCTGCAACAAATGCTACCCAACATCATTGAAAGCGCCTTTTCATCCATCCTAGCACCATTACTAGATGCACGTCTCGAAGCACTAGTAACCCATAAGATGGAAACGCTAGTCCAAGAAAAACTACCCCAACTCACTCACCAAGCTCTCCAACAAAACATGGACAAATTCATCGATGACCTCGAAGATGAACACAAAAGAGCCGAAGTGGAAATCGAAGAGACTGTTGGAGAAGCAAAGACGGAACTCAATGAAGCGCGTGATCGAGGTATAGATGATATTGAGACTTGGGCTCAAGAAAGATTCGAAGATTTCGAGGAGGAGGTTGTGGGGATTACCAAGTCTGCTGTTGAAGAGCTGGAAGATAAGAAGAATGATCTGATAGAGCGGCTGGACCGCAGATTTCAGAGTCAATGTAGGAAGTTGAGGGGGGTGCAGAAATGTGTGAGGAGGAGGTCTATATAGATTTAGATAATCGTCACATCCCCGGAATCTACTTTGATCAATGATGGACTGACGTATTGCAGATAACTTAGAACTTTCGGTGTCGACGGGAAGGAGCGAAGCTCCTCACGACATAGGTAATCAGCTCGACTGACATCTGTCACCATCAATCATCGAATTCAGAACGATTTGCTTCCCCAACTCACCGCGCCATCAACACTGAACATATGAACTTCACCACCCACGTGTCTTCGCATGGACTGACCGAGTTGAATGATTACCAATTCTTGGCGGCTCTTATGACTTATCCTCACTTTAGGCAGCATCGATCTTCTTACAAGTCACGACCTTTTTTCCATCCTCCGCTACTTCCCTCTGACACTCATACCAAACTCAACCGATGACTCGACAAATTTATTGCAATATCTGCGGTGGCCCCTTCTTAGGCAGCGAGCACACCTGGCTAGGAGAAGCCATCATATTGAGCACAGGACACCGGACACGGAATGGCACCGAGATCGACGACGAATACCACCCCCGTCATCATCTTGAAGCTGGTTTCTGGCTGGGCGAGCATCTGCTTGGACAGGCCAACAGAGTTCTCCTCCGCTTCAACTCGAAGTATGATCCCGACACTCGCAACTTCTACTTGCTGGAACGGAAGGAAACAGTGAGCCCAAACGTTCTCATCGAGTCAGCCAGCAGACCTCGAGGCGGCTCACTATATCTTCCTGTTCACAAAGCTTGCTTAGAGCTCGCCGAGAAGTTCATACACGCCGCCTCAACTCTGGAAAGAGCCGCGACGGACACAACCTCTGGCAAAATCACCTCGGAGTTACAGCTCTGGGAGGTTTTGTGCCGACGTTTGGACCAGTTCGAGGACGACACAATACCCAAGGAACCCCATCACTTCTACGTGCCACATACTATCCTAACACCGATGCCATGGGAACGCGAGCCTGATTCAGACGACGATTCAGATGAGCATCTTTGGGCTCACGCTCTCCTGATGGCGGGCCCTCTTGGAATACCGAACATCACAGAATCCATTCTGGAGAACCTTGAGACGGCCTCTGATACTGAACCGGAGTCGATCAAATCACAGGACGAATCGTATGAGCGACTTGTCAATCCAAGAATTTTCCCTTGGCTATGGGACCTCGACACTTGTTCTGTGTACAACAAAAAATCATCAGGTCTTTGGGATTGGGAATCACTGCTCTGTTCACTCTTTCAACCCGACATACACATGCACGATAATGACTCGTTGCACATTCCAGTCTCTCTTCGCAACCGCCGGAGAATCTGGCGAATCCTTGAAGCAGCCAGAGTTGGTGACGCTCCAGTCATTCTTAGAAAAGGTGGACCTGGTACCAAGATGTTCATACTAAGGTCGCTTGTTGTTGGTCCAGATGGCTCTGTGCGTGACCAGTACCTTCACCAAGAATGCTCGAATCTTTATTTGGAGAGGTATGCCCTCAGCCCATGAAGACGAGGGTATATGCTTCGTGGACCGTCCGCCTCTGGAGATTTCGAGACCCCGATCCTTGCAGTCACCAGGCTCCTGGAGAACTGTGGCACATAATGGCAGCCGCTGCGATTCCGCCCTCGCCCTCCATCCCTTCTGCTGAGATATGGCGGAGTTCCATGACAAGCTCACCTATACACCCTTCTTCTCGAATTTGCTTTCAAACCCTCAGAACAACGGTCATCAATTGCTTCGGAATATTGTGAACAAAGATGATACAAACGACTTCAGAACCAACCTTAACTTTCTTCCATCTCGCCATGACCGCTTCTGTACTGTTGGCAGTTTGACCAGCTGCAATTGAGTACGTTTCTTCACATCAGCCGGACGAATGGCTTTGAACAACTCAGAGATTTCGCATCACGCTCTCATGCTAGTTTATGGCCAAGGGTTAGTCAGCGAATACCAGCTCGAATTCAAGGAAAGCACCACTTAAGTAATGCTTTCTTAATGCGTAAAGAGTGCATACTTATGCAAACTGCGATCGTCATTCTTGGCAAGTATCAATGCTATTTTTGTTTGCAGATCAAACACACAACGTCTATCTCTACCACACTGGGCAGTTTGGTGACGACTTTTGTCTACGTGGATATATTCAGTGTTCGCAGATCCGCATTTCTTTCTTGTCAACATCTCATACTGTGTCGGACCTCCTCCACGATGAATTACTTTTTGACACCAGTCTGATAGTACCAAGTAATTATGAATTAAGCACCAGCAGCGTAGCTGAAGTTACTCGAACTCAATGCTGGCTTCACGCATATTAGCTGTCTGCACGTGTTGACGCTTCCGTAGTCGTTGCAAGTAGAGTACGACTGCACGTAGCAGTCCTAAAACTTTAGGCCTCTCTCTATTCCTTGTTCCAGATCGCACTTGCAGCTGAACTTTGTCAGGGATGACAGCTGACTAGGACGAAGCGGTGGTATGTGATAGACACAATACCCTTGACCGATCACCAGAGATGCCTGCTTTTTGTTTCAGCACAACTCGTATCGATGGTCACTGACATCGAGAAACGTGACGTCGGTCAGATCACAACATGGAGCAGGAACGATCGTGGCATATATATGCATTGGCTCCTGCTCTTTTCAGATTGTCATTCTCTCCAAACAAACAACAGATCTCACGACTCCTCCCAAAATCGTACACCAACGTCAGAATGAAGACCACTACCATCTTCACCGCACTCGCCGCAGCCCTTCCTGCTTTTGCAGCACCACATGCTCGCTCTACCGGAGACTCCTTCGGCGGTCTAGCCATCAACTCCGGCTCTCCTATCCACCTCTCTGCCATCAACGCAAACGGCAACTCCTTCTGGCTCAACAAAAAGACTTCATCCTACTGCCCTAACACCACCGTCACATCCTGCCCTGACGGCAAATACACCTACTTCACCGGTGGCAATGACACCCTCTCCCTCAACGTCGAGGTCCCCGGCGGTCAACGCGTCTACGTCGCCCAAGACGGCAGTCTCGGCTTCACTATCCCCCATGGCAGTGTTTCTGGCAGCCAGAATGTCAGCTACACTGGTTTCAACTTGAGAGATAGCGGTATTCATTTGCAGTTCAAGGGTGCTGATTGGATTGCTGTGCCTATTGGTAGTGCTTACAAGGTCTTTGCTGCTGCGGCTGAGAATGCTCCTAAGAACGGCACTGGATTCTCTTTCAGAGTGGGATCTGTTGATGCTACTTTTGGTGCTTGGGAGTATCTGTAAACCAAATCTTCTCTCTAGAGATGGAATATGTTAGATGGAATATGTTAACTTGGTTGGAAGCATGGTCACATAGCATAGACTTGTCAACTAAAGTGAATCCCACTTGACATCAAATACAATAACGGTCGATGCATGCCCTTGGGCGACTATTCAAGGCCGAATTCAACTCAATTACGAACCCTTACAATAAAACTCATCGTTCGTGGTCCTGATCTTGCGTGTTGTACATTGTGCCGAGGGCGGGTCCTGAACCAGTGATCTGACCAAACTGGTTCAAGCCGCGCCTTCGGTTGCTCCAAAGTTCGACTTCTCAATGTCACCATCGGCACCCATTCTTGAGCCTCCAATGTGACTTCACATGCGACGAATTTATTCAAAGAAGATAATCAACGGACGTTGAGCATAAAATCAAGTCGAGGAACAGCTACTTGGAAAAAATATAGTCTTGCTACTCTCCGTCTCGAACGCCAGCCGTCCCGCAAAGCCAGACTTCACCATCACAAAAAAAAATGTCCACGCTCTCACCTCTTCGCCAACACTTTCAAACAATGAGATAGGCGTGAGAAAGGACGAAAAAAAGAAAGTCAACTGGATGTTTAGGAATAGCCGAAGGCGGGGCTCGAACCCGCGACCTTGAGGTTGTACTTTATCAGATGATAAGAGCCACACGCTCTACCGATTGAGCTACCCCGGCAGGTCTGAATGATCAAGTTGTGTGACACAACTGGCTCGTTGACTTGTGGTGTGCTTGCGACTGAGTCTCAATATATACCTCACATCAAAGAAGCTGCGGCATGGCGAATTGGAAGGCATCCTCCGATACATAGTCATTTGATACCTTGCCTGTGATTATTCAGTGAGTGAACATCAGCAGAGAATGTATCTAGGCCGAGACTGAATCGTGTTTGGGCATTTTTGGTTTTCACGCTCATGTAGCACTGTTGTCCTGTCAAATCCATAACATGCGAAGCTCGACTCATAAGCCATCAAGTGATTGATATCAAAATATCGGTCGCAGCAGCAGATATACATTTAATGACAGGTTCTCTTTACACGGATATTCACAAAGATCATAATGTACAGATAGAAGCCACAGAACGCTGTCGCATCATCAGGTCAGGCATCGGCGCTGCTACAATGTTTTGGATCAGGGTCATACTGACAGCAATTGTACTTTGACAAGAATAAAGCCCGAGCAGCTGAAAAGTGAGCAATTTCGATTCTGGACTCCAATCAAGCTGGTCTCTGAATCTATACTCCTCTCGGGATGTCTAGCAGTAGGTAGCAGTGACAAAGACTGGGAATTCAAGGAGCTGTCGAACGAAGAATCAATCGAGAGAATTCCATAATATGAGTTACCTTGAGCAGGCAACGAATGGTAGCTTAAATCAGATTCTTACACCTTCTATCACCGTCTAACAGGTGCTCATACTTGTTATTCCGGATGATGTCCTCCGAGTGAAGCAAACTCCAGGATTCACAGAAGTTTCAGGCTTCCTACAAGAATACGTAACTTTTTCGCATTCAATCTCGAACACCTGCGAAGAGCACAAGACATGACTCAATGCCATGATAGTGCACGCGTCTGGAGTCGTCAAATGCCTTTCCGTCAAAAGTTTCTCGTCCCAGGCTTCAAAAAGCCAAAAATCACCAAAACTTCACCCTTCAATCCACTTCTTTCCTCGCACTTCTTACCCACTTACCACCCGCCCAGAGCGATGCAAAAATAGAGTACATAGGCTACAAGAAAAGCAAAAGAACGACGCCTGCAGGACTCGAACCTGCGCTCCCGAAGGAAATAGATTTCTAGTCTATCGCTATAACCACTCAGCCAAAGCGCCAGTAGTAAGCTCGATCCAGACGAATCAGAGCTCAGTTGATGAATGAAGCTTGAATACATGTGTACATATAGCATTGACATTGAGTGAAATATCGATAGAGCCTTCGAACATTGGTGGTGATGTCGTGGTTGAAGTCTGATGCAATCTGAAGAATCAGCGACGCTGTGTGCGTTGAGGCATTGCAAGCGAGACCGCTGCCCGTTGCTCCTCGTTCCGCAGCTTTCTGACAACCCTGCTGTCTCCAGATCCGAGGCCAGATTGAACGAGGGGTCGTTGCCCCGCATGCCCCACATTGAGGTCTCTCTCTCTCTGGAGTCAAAGATGGGCAGACAACTCGGTGTCATGCATAGCGGCAGGTAGGAGAGGGTTTGAGTCCGTACGCCGAGAAGTGCGGGTCTGGTGGACTGAACGGTGGTGTGGGGCCTTGAGCCCTCTTTCTAAAAATTGTTGATATGAAAGCTGGTAAGACCGCCAGCTGGATCATACACATCTTTCTTGATCTCCTCAAGCTTGGTAGTATTCTGTACTTGATATAATCGTGTGCCAATCGTGTTTGAACAACGGCAATAGGCGAGATGAAACCAGCCTTTGACAAGGTGAGAGTCTAACAGATATAACAAAATCTTGATGAACATACTCATAGTCATCGTAGATTATTGTCGTCGGAGCAGGACCGTCAGGACTTCTCCTGTCTCTGCTACTAATCAGAGCTGGCATCAAGGTGCATCTTCTAGATGCTGCTCCCACGCTAGACGATCAGCCTCGTGCAGCACATTATGGACCTCCTGCGATTCCCGACCTTCGACGAGCAGGTGTCCTTGACAAGATCAAGTCTCAAGGATTGACTCTCAACACGATGTGCTGGCGAAAGCTTGACCAAACATACATCGCGGGCATGGATACTAGTGAAACTTTGTCGAACGACCCTGAGTATGGCGACGTAAGAACTGTTAGCCTCGCTCTTCAAGAACTGGACGCCTTGATGCTGGAGGAGTTCTTGAAGAAAGGCGGTCAAGTCAGCTGGGAACACCGCGTACTGGAGGTTCAGCAAGACGAATTCAAAGCCTGGGTGAAGATCCAAACGCCATTGGAGAAGAAGAAGATTATTGAAGCAGATTATGTTGTGGGATGCGATGGCGCGAACAGCATTGTCAGGAAGAGCCTGTTTGGAGAGGAGTTTCCAGGCTTTACCTGGAACCAGAAGCAAATTGTTGCGACGAACGTGAGTAACACGAGTGATGTTAGGAGGATTCTGCTAACCAAGTGTGTCTAGACATACTATGATTTCCGCAAGTTCGGCTATCATGATGCGAACTTCATTATAGATCGTGATCACTTATACATGGCAGCCATCATCGACGACAAAGGCTTGTGGCGCGTCACATACGGCGAAGAGCCTGGCCTAACACGAGAACAACTGCTAGAACGTCAGCCCAAGAAGTTTGAGACCATCTTGCCTGGAAACCCAAAGCCTGGCGATTATGAGATGGTCAACTTTTCGCCGTATAGAATGCATCAGAGAGTGGCCGAGAGGTTCAGAGTCGGCAGAGTCATGTTGGCAGCGGATGCCGCGCATCTTTGCAACCCATTGTAAGTTGGCTTATCATTACTCAAATGTGTTGTATGTTGACAGGGTTCTTTTAGTGGTGGTCTTGGAATTACTGGCGGCTTCGTGGATGTTGGTTGTTTATACGACTGTTTGTATGGCATCTGGACGCATCAAGCCGACGACTCAATTTTGGACCTGTATTCGGAAGTGCGTCGACAAAAGTACAAGGAGATTATCGATCCAATCTCGACAGAAAATTTCAAACGTGTTTTTGACCAAGATCCGGAAGTTGCGGGCGAGAAGGACCACTTCCTAGTCTTGTGTAAGAAAGCAGCCGAAGACAAGGACTTTGCTCGGCAGATGCACTTGGTAAGAGAGCAAGCACCTGACCTTTTTACTCAACACTGACACTTGTAGGCATCTTTCGGGATCCGCCATGATTTTACACAGTACTATCGTATGAACAAAGGGAGGGAATCTTTGAACATTGACGCCAAGTCAGTTTTCAGCGTGGAGCATATTGAGGAGGTTGCACCAACAGGAGCGGACTGAGGTGCCTGCCGTCGTTCCTTCCACGAGCCCAGCCTTCATACATCATGTTGTGATCTGCGTTCAGCCTCACTTCGCAACAAGTCTGTAATGATATAGCTGTCGAGATGCACAATATCATTGTTAGTATATGTGACATCTGCTGAAAGTCCCTGTTTCATCGTCTCTGATAGATAGCATTTTTTTGCAGCATCAGCACATAAGGACCAGACAATACAAGTAGCCAGCAGAGAAAACGGAGTGTATTAACCTTGTCCACTTGATACCTGACATAATCTGAACCCTGCAACCGAAGACAAAAAGGAAAATTTTGTTACAAGCGTCAAACACCAGTGGCCGTCCTGACCTGATACGAATGAGACACCACGATTCCGCTCATGATTCTGTCATCTATGATATGATCCTCGACGGTCGACGGTCGCTGGTTGAGAATTTCATCCAAGCTATCCGTGTCTGCTGACTCCAAATCGTTGGCTGTGATATGTGCCTTGTTTTTGTGTCTGTTTAACTCGATGTCACCACGAAAAGGATCGAGGTTGGAGCCTTTGCGACTGTGATCTGTTTGTCTCTCATCGGTTCTGAAATATTGGCCGGTATGCTTTGAATCCTGTGTGCTTCCCAACATCCCACGGAAGTAGGTTTCAAAAAAGGGCTTCAAAGTTGGCACACAAGCACACATCATTGAGACAGCGGCCTCGATCGACGACCACAAAACGAAATCCAGGATCGTATAGGTGAGGTCGCCGTCTCCGGCCTCGAGGTAGGCGATGATACTTCTAAGACGGATGATGCTGACGATGCATCCGGCAGAACCCATCGCAAAAACCAAAGATAAGGTGATCTTCTTTCTACGTGTCAATGCCAGGTTCCAAACGACTGGGATCGGAAGTGCAAGAATCAATAGATCGCTGACGGAATTGAACACAGCGTTGGCCATATCTAGACGGATGTTAGCAAGATTACCCGAGACTGGAACCGACGTCACGAACAGAAAGCTGGGCGATTGATGCATTTTCCTTTGGCAAAGATGTCCCTGATATAAGTCAGCAATTTTTTTCCATCCAAAAGTGCCTCGTAAGCTCACCATTGGAAGTGAACCGGTGTACAGTCGAAGATCTCTGTGAGGATACCGGCCACAGAGTATCCGACGGCAAAGAGGAAGACAGCCCACCAACGCCACATGAAGTTCTGGATGGGAAACAGACGACGGTACAACAACATGATGGCGACTTTGATGGAAAGCATCGAGGAGCTATAGAAGACCGAGGCGATGAGGTACAGCCTGAGGAAGTGTGGAGAGAACTGAGCCACTGGGACGTCCCATAGATGTCGTCCCATACCCAGATGAACCAGACCTTGGTAGAGAGCTATGGCCGTTAAACATATAAGTAGTGAGGCGATCATCGCCCCTACACCTAACGTCAGTATACTTGCGACATCGTATGTACAATAAACTCTCACGTACAGTCGTCATAGCCGACGGATTTGACGATGAAGATCCGAGTGTACAATCGAAGAAGGACAACGACAATCATGACGATCAAAACGACTATGTTGGTAGCTGTTTGTCGATGACCAATGCTGGGAGGATCGACGAAGTTGGGTGTTATGCCATTCGGAGGTTTGGCTGAGGGCACCTGCCAGTAGTCTACGTCGGGATCCATGTTATGATGGACCTCCTCCTGATGGATAATGTCTTGTCGAAGAGCGCGAGAGACAGGTCACTCAACCTTGAGAGGGTCAAGAGGTCGAAAAGACACCATGAGGGGCATCCTCGCAGTTTAATAAAGAGAGTATTTTTACTCGGTCATCAAAAGCCAGGAACCGCCTTTGGGCCCGCACTCTTTTTACCTTTGGCTGATTCCTGGGGCAAACGTAGGGATAAGGGCTGATAGTTTGGCTTCGGTGCTTCGATAGTGAAGGTGATACTGCGGTCTTTGATCGGCTATAAGCGCAAGGTGTATGTCTCACCGCTTGAGTCATGTTGCGACCTAGGCGTTATGGATACTAGAAGCAGATTCTGAAGCGAGTTGAGTCACTGAGCTGTCATTCAACAACTATACAAACCAGGTGCTGTACTGCAAAGATTCCCGAAGACTAACACCACTGGAGTATTATCCATCGTGAGATTCTGTCTGTAGAAGGATTCTTGTTTCCAGTGTCCAGGTATTTGGACGGGTAGATTGATAGATTAGGCAACCGACATCGCATGAAGAAATATCCACAGGGTTTTCTTGAAGCACGGCCCATGGTGGAATGAATGCACACGGACGGAGTCCGGAGACCATATGTGCTATCGCTACGGCCCGTGACAGTCTGAGTCTCTGACATGAACAAAGGGGTGCTATTGTGCTTCAGAACGTGCAGCCGACAAGCTGGTCTGTCCATCGTGGTAGGACGTAAGCAACAGCGACCTAAGCCTGACGTTGATCTCTACCAGCTCGATCACCGTTTTTATTTTTCAATGTTGAATCTGACCATCTGTATTGTGTCATTTGAACGAGAAGAAGTTGATGTCCAACAAGCAAAGTTGTGGCTAGACGATTGTCCAAGTCCAGTAGAGACGTCCCGCTTTTGACGCGTCGTGTTTAAATTGGGCGCACACCCAGCGAAACTGTCCAAATTCACCCAACATATGTTTCGTCAACTTGAAATCGCCAGACTGAAATGTTGTCAAAGCTACTAATCCAGTAGTCACCCAGGTCCACTCATCTCAATCGAACCTGGGTTTGGGCACGGGCAAGCTCGCGTTGGTCGCTTTCAGACTGAATCAAGCGGAAAGTGCAGACGGGACCTAGATTGCGAAATAGATGAGAGTGAGGTCAGCCCTTTCTGACTTGACAAGGCGGCAATTACGGCATTTTCGAAACCTTCTTTGGTTGTTCTACGCTTTGAACGACAGGCGGTATGAAGCTTGTTTGACAGGTGCTTGCGTCGCGAGTCAAGTTTCACGGCGTTCAACTGAAGTTTGGTGATCTGGACCGAAATTCTGTGCTCATCCGCGCTGAACCGCCTATACGAAATACCACATATTTAGTCGATACATGACCTGCAGGTTGGCAAGGCGTTCTGTCCTTTAGATAGCGTGGTTCGACAAATTCACGTAGTGATACAAGCCTTTTATGGTAAAACAACAACAAGGTGTAATTTCAAAATATCTACCAACGAACAGCACTACATGATCATGCGAGGATCCAAACTCGAAATCTTAGCAGATTTTGCAGCACCGTCAAAGACGAACTCAGATATCAACTTGCCAGTGCCAGGACCGTTTTGAATGCCTGCAGGATTGTTAGTCAAGCGGAATAAAGGTTAAAAAGGTGTCAACATACCCCAGCAAGTGTGGCCGGCTGCTATCAGCAAGCCTTTTACTCCAGTGTGTCCGATCAGGGGACCATTGCCTCCTTGGACGTTCGGGAGGTAACATGCCTGTCGTGCCGTGACCTCTCCATCTCGCAGCTCATCACTGATGCTGCTGACGTAATTCACAATGTCCTGACATCTCTGCTCGTCGACCTCGACAAGATCAGACGATTTGGGAAGAGGAACCATATGATCTCCCTCACCACAAGCATAAACTTCGTTCTTCGGTCTCGTGTAGATCTCTGGCGAAACATGCTGCTCGCCCCGCGATCTTTTACCTTTCTCTGCTCCAAAGCCAGCTGGCAATTTGATCTCAGTGAACAAGGCGTACGCGCTTATTTCTCGAGTTGGTCGAATTGTAACAGAATGGGCTCGAGTAGCCGAGATGGGGGCGTCAGGGTAGACCTCTCTTGTCCATGGGCCGGCAGAGATGATCACGTCCGTTGCTGAAACGGTGACTTCCTTATTGTTGTCGTTTTTGTCCTCGTAAGTGACGCTCTCCACGCTCTTACCATCCTTGCTACGGTTGATACTCTTGACAGCGGCGCCAACGCGGATATCAGCACCCTTCTCGGCGGCCAAGTCGGCCATGGAAGTTGTGAACTGATAGGGGTGGACTTGAGCAGTGGTTGAGGGATCTCCCATCTCATCGTACATTTTCAAGCAGTCGGGGTGAATCCAGTCAAGGTCTTTTGGTATGCCTCTGGCTGCCATCTTTGCCGAGACCTTTGGAGGGTTCTTCTCCAGACTAACACTGTTCTTTTCTCGGTCGGCGGATCCATCCATCTCGTTGTCTTTTCCCTTTACGGAATCCTTCGCACTAAGCTGACGGCCTTTGCAGTCTACCGAGCCACAATGAACCTGTCTGTAGCCCCAACGCTCATCACCGCCATATTGTTCGGCTAGTTGCTTATGCAACTTATATGAGAGTGGTACGATAGACGAAGGGTAGGCCCATAGTGCAAGAAGTCCTCCAGCTTTGCCACTTGCGCCTCCAGCGATTTTTGTCGCCTCCAGAAGAACAACCTTGTGTTTCTCTGGATTGTATGAAGGATGATGCGTCAAAAAATAGGCAGAAGTGGCACCAATAATACCACCGCCAATGATTACGATGTTCTTCTGCTCGTCTGCTGCCATGATGGATTGTCGATGGAAGTGGGCGATATTGTGCGAAAAGTGGCCAGTTCTACCTCGAAGGTTAGATGACAGGGTTGTTCTAAGAGAAGCCAGAGTGGCGATAAAGAAACTTGACTGATTTGCACAATCCCAACAGAGAAGGTGGACGAAAACTCGCGAATCACGTTGCTATCGCCTCAAAAAGTGTGACGTCAAGCGGGTCAAAAGTTGGCCAGGGTCACACTCCCGCAACCAGCTGTCTTGGTCGCATCACGTTTGATAAGAGATATATTCGTGTGTTTCTATACCATCTATGAACGGTCTGGTGTTGCCCAGACGAATTTCTAGGCGTCATGTGCGGTCTTACGTAGCCAGGCCTTGGCCTTGCCCCAAGCCCCTGTTGCCATCCTAGCCTTCTGATAATCCTCCTCTTGGACATTGTGCTTTCCTACAATATTTAAGAACACTTGATCGAGAGTTGCCTGCGAGACAGCATAAAACTCCATCTCTAATTCTTCTTTGCTCGCTTCTAGCTTCTCAAACAGCGAACTGATACCATTGCGGTCTGTTGGTGTGACTGTCGCTTTGGCACCTTTCTTGCCGTCGACAGAACTGCTTGTGTCGTCTTCAATCGATGCTGCCCGGTTTGGCACCTCAAAACGAATTTGTCCATGGAAAGATCGATCTTCAATGCTGGCAAGAGGGAAGTTGATCCTGATCCAATTCTTGATCTCGGCCAGTTTGGCCTCAGGGGTATGAGGAGCATCTTTGTGGACGAGATGCACGTAGTAAGCATCACCGTGTTTGCGACGTAGGTAGTCGCTGGTGCCTATAGCAAGCATGCGTCTGGCCATGATGCCAACACGATCACCCAATGCATCGGCTTCTTCGAGACTGTGCGTTGTCAAGACTAAGCTGCGCCCAGCGCTTACTGCGGATAGAGTGCGCCACATGATTCGCTTTGCACCAGCATCCATACCAGAACTTCCTTCGTCGACAAGAAGTACCGAAGGGTTACCAATCAGCGCGATACCGAGGGACAGTTTACGCTTATTACCGCCGGAGAGTTTGGATGCCATACGATTCCTGAAGGCACTAAGACCAACAGCATTCATGACCTAAGAAAGTTAGTAGGCTGCTCGAGTGATTGACAATGTACTGCAGCGACTGCCAAATTGCAGAAACCACTATCGATTTTCACATACCTGTTCCACATTGTGCTCGACATCAGCAACGCCACGAGCTCTGGCATAGAAGTAGAGGTGTTCTGACGCAGTGAGAGCATCCGTGGCGTCAAATTGCGGGCATACACCTTGATGCAATCGAGCAGCAGCACGATGCCTAACGATAGACTCGTTCTCGAGGAAGACATCTCCAGCGCTTGGATGGACATCTCCGCGAATCAGGCCAATACTGGTCGATTTGCCAGCGCCATTAGGTCCAAGTAATGCGAAGATCTCACCTCGTGGTACACCGAAGGCCACACGGTCGACAGCAAGGTTGTCTCCGTAAGATTTGCTGATGTTGCATACACGCAACTCGTCCTCGCAGTCATCGACGCGCATCGCCTCGCGATAGACGTCCTCGTCAGCATATTCGCTCTCTTCAGCATCGTGAGACCGAGTCTTCAAGGTAAAGTTAGCATGCCGGAGTTTTGGAGGGAAATTTGGGTGACATTGTATACGTACCTTTCTGCTGAGGAAAGCAGGTCTATATCCACTATCATAGTAGACCAAGAACCCGAGAAGGAGAAGAGACTGGACTAACAGGTAGAGAATAGGCCCTCCGTAGACGGTGATATCGCCTGCATATGAGGCGCGCTCGTTTCCGTGGCAAAGAAGCGAGAATTCGTTGAACGTAAGCAAAAGCGAACGCAACAGGTTGCCCGAAGGAGTAATTAGAGCGAGCGTGAAATGTATAATGGTCGTCCAGGAATCAATCTTTTCAGTTGGGGCGTAGGTGATGGTTGCCATGTAAGCGATGAAGTAGATCAGGAAGAAGCAACACTGCATGCCCGCAGCGAAAGCGAACGATGCCAGCTGACTGGTAACGAACAGAGAGATTACATAGCTGCATAGTAGAGCTGCCAGGCCGTACAAGAAGAAGACAACAAATAGCGTTCCGGGAGCATAAAGAGCACTATCACAAATATGTTAGCATAATTTCTTCCGATTTGCTAGGAAGCAGAATGTGATGCAAGAGGTAGCAGCTACCCATGGAATAGCTACTGTAAAGTCGTATACATACCTGGAAACACCGACAAAGATGACTATCGTAACGATGCTGACAATCATCACAAACATAAAGTCGAAAATAGTGTATGCGAGCCAGAGCGGGAAGGCTCTAATACCATTTGAGTAGTGCAGAGCTCGTACTTTGGCAACGCGCTCGCTTGTTGGGTACAGGGCAAAAAAGCCAGGGTAAGCACTCATCGCCAAACCGAAGTAGAGGATAAATTGGAGTGTTTTTCCAGCTGATGGGGCCCAGGGTACCTGAAAGGCTTGGTAACTTGTGATGATAGGCGATCCAAGTAAGCTACTATCCAGAACGTTCTGAGTCAAGATTGCGTAGTCAAGTTCATAATTGCCCCTCCATGCAAACAAAGGAGTGCCGTCTTGAGCGTCAAAGTAACCTCCAGGGTAAACGCGACTGTAGTTGGATCGTACGTATTCATTAAACGCGTCCACACTTGCGACAGGGGCAATAGCATTCTCGAGCCCGGGATACAAGGTGCCGAGAAGTGTGGTGGGAACCCGGGAGGCTGGGCCAGCTGGGAAGTCAAGAACGTGGTTGAGTGTTGCGAAGGAGACTATCTCCTCGTTTGAATTTGCTGCTTCAGGCGAACAGCTTAGAGCACTGAAGCCCTTCAGGAAGAGAGTCACAAGCCCACCAGCGATGACCGGGATCAGGACAGCTGCCATGTAAGGCAAGTAGTTACGACGCAATATGGTGAGACGTTTCCGGAACAGTACCCATGTTTGTGCACCGAGCGAGATTCTCCTACCCTTGGCCAACTCGAGGCCTTTTTCCGATTGGATAGAAGACACATTTGTCAATGGTGTGGCGTCGTCGTGGAGCGTGTGATCATTGTTGAACTCTGCCGATAGTTTTAGGAACACGTCTTCGATACTAGGTCCACTGACACGGTAGTCTGTAACGCCAAGTTGTTCCAAGCGAGTGACAAAGACAGCGGCAGCGCTGGAATCAGGCAAGTTGTACACAACATGGTCAGCGTGGTTACGACGAGGTATTGAAGACCAGTCCTGAGGCTCTTTGAACTGATACTCGCTGTAAATCTTGACGCGGTATCCACCACCAAGTTCATGCTTCAAGGCGACAGCTGTGCCACTTGCAGCCAACGTGCCTTTCGACAGAATAGTAATGTGATCCGAGAGCAGGTCTCCCTCATCCAGGAAGTGGGTGGTGAAGAGCATGGCTCTATGCCCTCTTTCAGCCAACAGAATATCCCAAACCTTTCTACGTGAAAGAGGATCAATCCCCGAACTCACTTCATCGACCAAGCAAAGGTTGCTACCTCCTGTCAGCATCATCGCAAGCTGCAGCTTTCTCTTCTGTCCGCCTGACAAAGTCTCAGAGCGAGCAGAAATTTTGTGAGCGAGATCACATTTCGTGAGGAGTTCCTGATGATCTGAGCTATTTCCCTTTTGTCCTTCTGCCTTGAGTTGATTGAAGTAATAGACATGCTCTTCGCAAGTGAGTTTGTCCCAGAGCACGTTCTTCTGTGGACAAATGCCGACACCTCCTGAGCCGTTGATATCAATAGTTCCACTTGTAGGTGATTGAAGACCAGCGATAAGGTCCATCATCGTACTTTTGCCTGCACCATTCGCTCCTAGGAGAACATGGATCTCGCCAGCGCGGATAGTGAAGCTAACATCATTGACAGCATGCACAGTCTCTCTTTGTTTCTTGCTGAACCTTGACCAGATTTTCGTATAAAACCAGCCAGGACTGTACTGCTTTTTGATGTTAGTGATACGAGCAGTCTCGTTTTCTGCGCTGTGGTGCATGTTTCTGGCTTTCGAAGCGGTACCATATAGAGCTCTTTCTATGAACGCTCCAACCACGGGGTAGACCAGAATTTGTATGGCACATAGCACAAAGAAAACAGTTCCCGAAACTCTCCAGGGTGCTTCAGGAGGTGCTTGCGAAAGAACAGCAGCCAGGTTGTGGCGTTGCCAATATGCCATGTAGATGATGAACAGTGTGAAGTTCATCGGTGGGAATAACAAGGACAAGACGACAATCGCACCAGTTGACTTGGGCGTCTGGACCTGCACAACAATGGCCAGAACTATGCTCACTATAGTGACAGTGATGCCAGAAAGCTGAGCCTTTCGGAATAAACTGGCGAAAGCGATGGACCAAGAGCTCAAAGCAAGTCCCGCGATGATGAAGTAACCTATCAGGATTCCACTTTCGGAGGAAGGATAATTGAGCCTGGTAACAATTGCACCAGATATAACCCAGCCTGGCAGGTAAAGTATGTCAAAGGCAAGATGACTGGAGAGTAAACGAGCGACTTGTGGTTGCCATCTGCGCTGGTTCGGCATCATCGCTTCGATCAGCTGAGACATTCCGATTTCGCGCTCTGTAGCCATCTGGCCTAATAACCGTTAATGCTAAACTCCTAAAGACAGTCCTCCAGGTGCAACAATTGAGGCACGTATAGCTATAGAAATGCACAATAGTCTTGAGAAACAGAGAACGTCCACTGAGGGATGAGCTTTTTTCGACTCTCTGTGGACACAGCTCTGGTCTCAAAAGTGACTATGCCTTCTATAGTCTACTCGTCGCTCGATACCGTTGTGGGAGAAAGATGGAAGTTTACTGACCTGTCAATTGGTAGCATATACCAACAAAGCCGATAAAGTAGGCTAGACCAAGAATGTCTATCAGAGTGCCCATGTATAGCCGTGTAATGTTCCTCTCCCGTTCTTCAGGGGTCGAATCAGTGTAAGGATATTGCTGAGGAAGAGGAATTGATGAGCCTTGCGAAGAGGCAATGAGTGCGTCCACCGCATGTTGTAGAGGTAGAGCATATATCTGTGCATCGTTGTCTTCAGTATTCACGAAGATCCTTTCACCAAGAGATCCATCAGTCCGAATCGTGTAGTTCCAGACACCACCATTACTAGGCGATCCATGGAATTCCACTGCAGCAAAGCAGCCAGAGACTCCGCGTACAGAGCTTTTGCACGTCTGCAACAGCTCAACTTCGTTAGACAGCGTGACGGGCGTTTTGCCACTTGCTCTAACAGTGTTCGACAATTGGTTAATTATGTTTGTGACCTCGGAAGCTTGGCCATTTGCAACGAAAGCCACAGTACTGCGTCCAGTTGTACCTGCTCGAAGGGCTTCCTCAAATGTCCGGAGGGTAGCTGGAGATCCCACACCAAAGTCCGAAGGCGGTACGAAGAAGTTTTTACAATATGAAATGATAAAGAAGAAGATAATCGGTGCCAGAAATGCTCGGACAGTAGTCGTGAACCAATGCCGTCCTAAGACTATTAGAAGATTCTTCTTCGTCAGAGTCCATGTTTGAGCGAAGAACCCCATGATGGAGTGTTTGTTCTCCTTGTAAGATGTTCTTAGGCGATGTGTATAGTGGCAAACGAGTGCCTCACTCAGGATTGAAGTATTAAATAGACATGCGTCGTGAAGATAACATCAAAAATCGAAAAATACAAAAATGTATGAAGTAGGTAGATACAAGAACGAGAGGTCATGGGAAACGTACTCATAATAACATTGCACAACTATTGCCCTCTGGGAGGCGATCTCCAAGGTGTCGACGATGTTTGAATGTCATTTTCGGGCAATCGCTAAACTGCATCAAGTATAGCCTCCTCGGCATTTGGCCGCCGAGCGGCTTGTCGCGTATGTCGTTTCTCCTCACGTCCATTTCATTTCGGCTTGAGAAACATCATCTTAATAGACCTTTGAAGACAACCGGTGCTGGAAGGATACAAGCTCTTTCTCGAGGAGGTACGAGTATTTTGATCCTGCCGAAGCAAATCTCCTTCTCGAAGCTGCATCCTTCAAGCCCAAACGATTACTAGATCTGCCAAGCCGTCATGACCGCTCGGCATACGTACGAGCCGCTAAAGTGGAAGCCACGAACGCTTGTGAAAACAGTAATTGGCGCCACGCCATATCGTGATGTATATACAGGACAAGAAGCAGAGTAAAGGAATCTTCATTCTTGTGTATTTCCCAGGATCCAATGGCAGCCTCCATCTGTATCGCCGATGGATCAAATATTCATGAAACCATCGAACAGACTCTGACCTTTCTTATTAGAGAAGATAAGCCGCGTCTTCTAACTTCAAGAGCCTCAACCTTAAGACACGCAATCAAAAGTTGGCTTTTTGGTACAAGCGATTTCGTATTCTCCTGGCTAGTATACAATCCTGAAGCATCTCTACTCCTCAGACACGATCTGATTATCCAGTGATCAGAGGGAACTTGCCCTTTCCATCAGTCGACTCGTACGCCCACGTCATGTTAACGAACTCGTCCCTAGGCGTAATTGTGACATTGAATGGCTCAGCAAGAGATGGTAAAGAAGCAGCAAGGGCGTCCTTCCAAAATTTAGGCACAACCCACTTTCCACCAACCGGAGTGATGTCGTAGCGCAACATCATCATAGCGGCCATACCCAAAATCTCGCCGCTTGCGAAATGACGGCCGGGACACAGGCTTGGGCTTGCACCGAATGACATGAAACTGGTTGGTCTTTGTTTCAGATGTTCCTTCTTGAAGCGTGTAGGGTCGAAAGTTCTGGAGTCCTCGCCCCAGATACCTGGTTCGTAGTTCATGCTCATCCCAGGCATCACAAGGACACGGCCTTTCTTCAACAAATATTTGTCGCTTAGCACTATATCATCCATCACAAAGCGAGTGGGCGAAACGGTCGAGCGGGTGCGGAGAATTTCCTGGAAGGTGGCCAAAAGATTTGGACAATTGTCTCTCATGGCAGCAAGGTCGATAATCATCTCTCCGGACTCATTCTTCTTGAGAGCATGCTCACGCACCTCATCGCGAAGTTGGGCTAATAGGGCAGGGCGTGAGTACACGTCGTAAAGCATCCAGAAAGACGAGGGTGTTGTATTCGACACCACGCCGAGCACAGTTGCGGTCTCCATGCGAGAAATATCCTCAGTGCTGGCGCCATTCTCGTGCTGAACGTTCCAACGTGCTTGGGCCAGTTCCGAGGCTACTTTCTGACCACCCTCGTTGTAGTACTTCACGAAAGCAGCCACGACCTTTTCTCGTCCAAGATACGCTTTGCGTGCGATGATCGAAGGAAAGATGTTGACTACCAAGAGGCGCAGGTTCATTTCGAAGTCCCAGAAAGCTTCTTCGATCTTGGGATCTCTGATCGGGTTCTTCTCGCCCCAAACGGCATCAGTACTTGCGATGGTGATAGCATGTCTAGCCCACGCGTAGAGATCGAAGCTCTTGCCGTTCAGAGTATCAAGCTCGTTCACCGACTTGACAAGGTTGTTGACCATGTTTCGATTTGCCACATCGAGGCCTGCACCGAGAAGAGCAGGGTGCATAGCTTTGATGATCTACACCGTCAATGTGGTTAGTACACAGCTCTGATTGCGATAGAATATCCTCGTGTGCTAAGGATAGTCACATTGCAGTTGCTGACAAGTACAATACTCCTGAGCAGAACTTTAACCACATAAACACTATGAGGTGCTGTTTTCTCAATGTAGTTCTCTCCTGAGAAGTATTGTGCATTTTACCGCTGCAAACAGCACTTGTTGAGCATACTCGGGAAAATGTCAGCGTACCTTTCGATTCAGATCACCACCCCCATTCTCTTTGGCTGTGAGCAACTTCAGGCCTTTGCGCGAAACACTTGCCATACGTTCCGCTGCGGAATCAATGAAAGGGTCAAATGTGATGACCCTTGCATTTCTCTGGACTTGAGCAACTGCACTGGACTTGTTTACCAAGTAGACCTTAGTAACGAGGAAATTGATCGTCACAATGGCCTCGTCAGATCCCTCACTAGATTGTCGTCAATTGAATCCTTCTGTAAGACCATAAGTCGTCTCGCCAACGTACCAAGCTCCTTTTCCAAAGTATCCAAGGCCATCGCGAGCGAATCCAATGATGTGTCCGATAAGTGGAATCCTTGCAGGGTGGTCAGGGGGCTCTTGGACGCCTTTCTTAGGTCGCCGCTGCTCTACGACGAGGTAGCTAATGAAGGCAATGGCCAAGCCGATGATGAGATGCTTCAATTCCATCCTGGAGGCTGGCGATAGAAGCACCAGGAACGAAGCAATGCCAGAGGTTGCAATCTAAGACTGGTTGTTGAAGAGAACGACATTTTCTCCTGAACGACATACTTTCGCTACTTGTGTCGTCAACATGTTTTGTTATAAGTTAACTTTTAGTAAGTTTGGGATACTAGCGTTCCAACGGAATCCACGGCTTCCGCGGGGCTCCTCCCCCGTCTCCGTTGATGTTGCATATCACTGTTCTCAACAGTCAACCACATTACATATCGTCTTGTCAAACTGCAGATGATATACCCAATAGATGTTTGTAACATTTGCAACCCTGATAACCCTGTCTTAGGTCTCTCGAGGTGCTTGGAAAGTCGTACGACCTTGAGGTATGCACCCCAGATAGCTATCTGTTCTCAACGCTACACAGTCTCGAGCATAGAACCATGGGCAATAGACAACATTGCAATGTCGTACGATCTATCTGATGTACAGGCCTGACGATATGCTGCTACAATGCTCATAGTTGGAGACATAAAAGGAGATAACCTGCTGCGAGAAGTAGTCGACTTCAGCATCTCACTCCTTATCAATCTCTACTCTTACCATTAACGATGACCACCACAGCTATTCCTACCAGCGAGCAGGAACTCACAAAGCTAATGCATGGCAAATCCGCGACCGAACGCAATGCTTTCCTTTCCATGCTACGCAAAGATGGCCAGGCCCATCGTCTTGTCACAGACGAATACGTCAAACGCTGGACTGAGGACAGTGATGAAGCACGAAAGACCAGACAAGACTCTTACATGTCCTTGGTGAACAAGTAAATCAAAGACATAACTTACACTACATAATTCTGACGCCATGCAGCTACTACGATCTGGCAACTGATCTATACTGCGAAGGCTGGGGTGAATCGTTCCATCTCTGTCGATTTGCTCCCAGAGAATCGTTGATTCAGGCACTGGCTCGTCATGAGCATTACCTCGCTCATATGATTGGCATCAAAGACAACTATACAGTACTCGATGTGGGTTGTGGTATTGGTGGTCCAGCAAGAGAAATTGCTACATTCGCTGGTTGCAAAGTAGTCGGAGTCAACAACAACGGCTACCAAATTGAGAGAGCAACTGGGCTAACGGCTAAGAGAGGTCTCTCGGAGAAGGTGTCTTTTGTTCAGAATAACTTCATGGTAAGTGTCAACAAACTCAATCATAGAGCATTAACTTACATGAAGACTAGCACTTGAGCTTCGCAGACAACACGTTCGACGCTGTCTATGCAATCGAGGCTACTTGCCACGCTCCAGACCTTGAAGGCGTCTACTCGCAGATGTACCGTGTCGCTAAACCAGGAGCAGTTGTCGGTATCTACGAGTGGGTAATGACAGACCGCTACAATGAGAGTGATCCAACCCACCGTGCGATCCGCCACGGTATTGAACGCGGAAACGGAATCTCCAACATGGTCACCAGGAAGGAGGCAATGCAGGCCTTTGCGAAGGCAGGTTTTGCACTGCTACACGATGAGGATCTAGCAGAACGCAAGGACGCCAGACCCTGGTATGCCCCGTTGAGTGGCGACATCAACTATGCCACTGGAGTTTGGGACGTACTCGGTGCAATGCGCATGACCAAGGCTGGTAGATTCGCGATGGAGACGCTGCTTTCCACACTCGAGAAGGTCTGGATTGCACCTTCTGGCACAGCGGAGACTGCCAGAGAGCTATCTGCTGCTGCTGATGCTCTAGTCGCTGGTGGAAAGGAAGGCCTGTTTACTCCGATGTATCTCATGGTTGGAAGAAAGCCTATGTAGTAGGTAGCAATGCTGTGGCTGGCTAGTGGTTGGATCAATACTTTTGATCACACATAACATGAAGCAACTCTGAACAACATCCAAACATATGCTCGAACAATGCGGCAAGACATTTTTTCAAAGACTTACTTCAATCTCTCGTCTTTTCGCAAGGACAACCACAATCGTATCCTCGTGCAGTGATCGTAATGTAGAGCTGTTACCATAATCGGCCGTAAGCACCGGTGAGTCCTCGGTGCCGGACATTGCTGGAAGTTTCGCAAAGTGTTACTACATAATTGTATCGAACAATCCCATTTACAGACTGATTGACTTTGATAGAAAAGTTGATAACTTGCAGGCTGGCGCACGTTGCTTATGCGGCGCAAGCCATAAGCCTTAATCAGCCTGATTTATGGTTATCAGCCTTATTTGCTTGCCCTTTTTTTCATGGCTTGCATCAATGCAAAGAAGTATATATTCAAGCGGCTACTGTCGGCTTAAGAAAGCTACTTCTCGCGAAAATGAGAACTCTAAATGCTTCGAAAGTTAAGAGTGATAAACAGAGCTGCAGAAAGAGGAAAGAGCGGAAAATATTGTCGTCTCTATGTGTGGTTCTATGCTGTCTGGGGGTCATCTCTGTACATCTCGTCGTCATGCTTGTTATGCTAGTATGCTAATCCATGTGTTTGATTATTGTGTGGCCCATTGTAGCCTGTGGTCAACTCTTCCACTACTGCCTTCGTCCTCTTCGACTTTTCCTCCAGACTGTGAAGCAGGAGGCAATGCGGCTATACCCCTTGGCACCTGCGAATCCAAGATATCTCCTGCTTTTGCAACAAGAGGCCTGAGGTACCTTGACTCTTTGCCTCTCATCATGGACAGCTTATTAAGCATTAGGTGCAAGTACTGTCTGCCTTGCACAAAGGTATCAGATGTATCGCCGGAAGACACATGCAAGACATCAGCAAGGCAGCCAGCGATATCCGAAAGCTTCTGTTCCATGCCGATGCCATGCGAGTCCAGGACAAGAGGATTTGCTCTCTCGGTGATATTGACCGTACGACGGGCGAGTTCGATGGGGTAGTCGAGGCGTCCAGTGCCAGTTTGTCCTTTATCGCAAACCAAGCCATTGCTTACGCCCATTTGCCAAGCTAATACGTGTAACCATTCCCTCGATACGCTAATGTCTATCCTGGCAGTCTCTGTAATATCGGACAGTGAAAGGGCGACTGTGTCGAGCGATCGTTGTGTTTCTGCTAGCCAAGGTTCTGAGCACAGGGCTTTCCGGCGGGCACTGCCTTTCCAGATGCTGACAAAATTGTCGTCGATGGCGGAAAATAGGTGGGCGAGGTTTATGAAACCGTGGAGGAGGCGAGGATCTTCGGATTCGAAGGCTAGAGGGAGCTCGATAGTAGGATGTAATCGGCAGTTCTTACGGCGTTGTATTGAGTATGCTCTGCGATAGTTGGCGTTAGTAATGGAAAAGAGAGGCATTGTCGAGGGATGAAGCACCTTTCAGTTATGAAGAGCAACCAGTAAATCCGTCTCCTCCATTGCGCTTCCAGGGGTTCGAGTTTGAGCATGGAGTTCTCGTCGTCCATGTCCAGATTCTCAATGAACGATATCGATTCTTGCAGGTAGTGCCATGCCTTTTCGCTGCTTTCTTTATTGCCGTAGTAAGCAAAGATAAAGAAGCTAGTCATGACGGTGACAGTACTCGCGTTGCCAACGTAGTCAACCTCTCGACGAACTCTAAGGCATTCTTCAATGAACATGTCAGCTGCTGACATTGGTCGACCAGGCAAAGGCTCCATGTCAGGAACTGGTATTGCCGCATCGAGCTGTACAATGGTCGCAGCGCAAATGGCGCAGAGAAAGGCATATGTTTCTGGTGGCATGTAATTGGTGGAACTGTACATGTATGGATCCAGATAGACCTGCTCATCAATCACAGGCATGATGAAGTAGAGATGCTCGAAGAACAGCTGCACATATGGCAAGAAGCGTTGATTCGGTATCCGTGGGATTGCGGGCTGCGGCTCCAAGGAAGGCGCATAGTATTGTTGGGGTCGAGATGGTTGTGCTGGCCAGAGGTGGCTCATATTTTGGTTGATGGGCAATTGAGATGACATGGCATAGGTCTGCATTTCTGGAGGTCCATAGTAACCATAACCCGAGGTGATAGGCTCTCCAGGTGAACTTGTAGGATTCGCGTTGTCGGTAGTGCTATGCGGCAATGCATTCGGCGACGAAGATGAGCTTCCATACCATTGGTTCACACCATCCTGCAGTACGACCGGACTCAAGGGGTTGTCAGGGGCAAGCGTCAGAGATTGTTGATCGATTTTTCTCAAGGCATGCAACACTCTGGCGCTTCTCAGCCCTTTCGGACCCTTCTTCTTGGGTGCTTGAAGGTAGGCACAACGGATAGTGGCCTTCCGACAAGGGCCACAGGGACTCTCTCCATCGCAACGTACTTTACGCTTCCTGCAGCAATCGCATGCTCGCTTGAGTGATTTCTGAGTGCTTCCAGAGGCAGATTCTCCCGAGTCATTTTCAGCTGTTGTGGCCATGCACATGATCGACTCGGGAGATGGCGTGGTAGGACGGAGATCCGAGGGCCGAATGAGTCGAGAAGCAAAAAAATGCTATCTTGCTGGCGACTTTGATCTGACAGGTCTCCAAAAACAGAGTGTAATCATGAGGGATCTGCAATAGACAACAAGTCCCGAGCGCGGTAGCACCGGGATGTTTTTGTAGGAATGGTGCAACACAAGGATGTGAGATCTCGGACAAGGGCCTCGAGGGATGGCATGCAGTTGAAATGCGGGGAAGGAGTTTTCAATGGCTGGCCAAGCCGCCGAGGGCAGGCCGAATCTACCTGCAAGCCTGCCGCAGATCGGGAACCCCAGTCTCTCGAACTGGGCCCCAACCAGGCAACCCCAACCCGGAGGAGAGTTGGGTTGTCGGCACGACATCCGTGTGCCGTGATCGAGTCCGTGCCGTATGTATCGAGCACCACAGAGCCATCTCTTCTGGTAGAGAGTCGTTGAGATGAGTACGTTGGAGTGAGTTTCGATGTGTAAGGGGCGTCCTTTGATCGGTCCGGGAACTTGAAAAGTAGTGGTTGAGCAGTCGTCATATAAAAGTCTTTGTTCTTTTTTTCTCACAAACAGCATGTGATCGCGTGCATTGTCAAGGACTGTGCTTTGCGATGAGAGCGGACGAGAGCGGACATTCAACGCTCTGCAATAATTAAAAGCCACAAGTGTCGCCTATAGTGACTGGATATGGCAGAAGATCTATGGGGTAGTGTCATCTGCGAAGTCGACGTACAACCTTCGGGTATGCTAGAGACCGTCAAAGTGTAGCTATAGAAATGCACAGTAGTTTTGGAAAGAGTATGACCTCCGAAGAGAGCTCCAAGAAAGGCTATCTCCATGACAAGAGTCACATCAAGAACACGACTGTGCATTTCGATAGCCGGCAATCGCTCACACCTCAGAATCAGAAAAAAATCAGTTGTGAGGTCTGACAGTCTTTCACACACGAGTAGGAGAGAGGAAATCCCTAAACACAGCTCGAAATGACTCAAGTCTGATGGTTTTGCTGGAGGTTGGGGTCTTCATGCTTGTCAATGTCGACGGCAGCGCTGCTAGCAACAAAGTCTTCGAGCTCTTCGCTCACAGTCTTGAGCTTCTCCTTGACAGTAGCAGTACCTTCAAGACCGACAATGTGCCGAGCAGGTGGGTTGTCGTGACCGCCAATTGCAGCAACAGCATGAACCGTCTCGGCCACCAGGGATTCCTTCATCCCTTTGGTCAGAGGAGCATAAATGGTGTTGATGGTGTCAGACTGAAGCTGATCGCCAGTGGTCGGCTCATCTGAGCCTTCGAGACGGTCAAGCATGCCTGCCAGAATATCGCGGAACAAGGGAGCAGGGTTTTGGTCGGCAGCATAGGCAGGCATGGGAGGAGCAGCGGTTATACGGTTGGTCAAGACAGCAATTTCCATGTTGGGTTGTATAATGGTCATTTTGATGTTGAAGGGGGCAACCTCGTAGGCAAGACTGTCACAGTAGCCTTCGATGGCCCATTGACTGGCGCAATAGATGGACATGCCTGGAGTACCCATGTGGCCCGAGAGGTTGGAAAGCATGACAATATGGCCGTTCCTCTTTGTGCGGAAGGTGGGCAGGATAGACTTGATCACATTGACGGGACCAAAGAAGTTTGTCTCAAACTGGTCGCGGATGAGAGAGTGGGTGCGAGTCGTCTGTGACAGTTCTTCGACGGTGCCAATCAGAGTCTCTGAGGTACAGCAGAACAGGATGTCGATGCGACCAAAGCTGTGGACGGCCTCTGCGATGGCGCTTTGGCACTGGCCCATGATGCGTACGTCCAGACCGACAACCCTCAGCCGACCCGACCATGTCTCCTGCTCTTTGACCTCGTCGAGAAAGTCGCGAAAGTGTGTTGACTGTTCGGCATTCTTTTCAAACTCTAGCGCAGGCACGCCGGCGACAATGTAATCTCCATGGTCGAGGAGGTGTCGCGCCAACGAGATGCCGACAGGGGAATTGGCGCTGGTCAGGAACCACACACGCGGCGAGTTGTGAGTTGGGAACTTTGGCTGTCGAGGCGGTTTAGGATCCACCCCTGCACTTGCGCTCATCGCTCCATCGACCGACGATCGTGTATCGACAATTGAGGAGGGAGCACGACAACAATTGAAGCTTGGGAAGCCCAGCCAGGGTGCCTGCATCTCGACCATGGTCTTGGCGGCGTCGATCAACCCTGACATGCTAAAGCCAAATTGATAGAGTTCTATCCTGCTGTACTTGAAGGACGGCACTACGGGATACAATCAATCGTAATTGCCTGGTATATATCATTCCTCAGGCACACAAGTACCGTTTCTCCTGCTACACCCATCAGGACATTCTCCGTCTCTAAACTGCCATCCAAACCACTGATCCATTTCTTCCGCAAGCACGTCTTCAACAACTTGCGTCTCGCTTGACAACCTCCAAGCCCTGTCAAAAACTTCTTGACTGCCAATCTCAATCTGTGGCCATCCCAGCTCGATCAATCGTTGAATGCTAGTGCCATATACTACTTCTTTCAATCCAGCCCAGGCAATGGCACTGGCACACATGGGACATGGCTAGGATAGAATCAGCTTTACATCCAACATATGATATCTGCAGAAGAACATACCTCAGCAGTAGTATACAACGAAAAGCTCTTCCAAGCCTCCCGTGCCTCCTGAGCAGAAAGCTTATACTTTTCCTCCGGATCCGTAAGAATCCTGCTGCAATTTCCAAATGCTGCCATTTCTCCATGTAATGTAGGGTTGCCAGATTGATGGTTATCATTCACTCCAGTACATATCAACTCTCCAAGCTCTGAAGAATTGGAAACGGAGAGTGTGTGGTTGACCACAGCGGTTCCATATGGTGCAAATGGACAAGCAGAAATGGCTAGGTTGGCTGAACTCGCTACTCGCATCCAGTGAGCTCGTGTGGATGAGGGCAGGGCATTTGAGCTTGTGTTTGCTGTTCCCGAGTCTTGTAGAGGCAGTTGTTTGAAGAGCAGAGAGTGGTGAGATGCATGTTGTCGTGCAAGCACTGCACCGATCAGACTAAACAGTATTGATCGAAAATACATTTTGTACTGCTGTCGTGGACTGAAGATATCCCTCTTGTTAAGGTAGAGCTTCAGGTAGTACATGCCGACGTCATACATACGATGCGTTTCATGATCGTTTCGAGAGCTCAGCTTATGAAAACCAACAAAATGTTGCAGAGGACTGCTACTTATTGCTGTCTTACTTGTCTGTCGTAAGGACATGCCGAGAGATCACATGTGTATAGAGAAGGTGGACAAATAGAATGAACAAAAAAAGAAATAAGGGCAAGACATGAGCTACTTCTAAACTACAATCTGCATGCAAATGCCCTGCCAGTTCTGCTTTCTTGACACATATCATGCCCAAAACCCTTTGCTGGTTGCTGTTTTCGTTTCACTGTGCTACAAACGTGACCATCCGAAGATGGAAGCACAAGTGCCGATACACGTCGACCCAAGCGCGCCGAAGAAGTTGAAGAGTGCGCTGTTGAGCAAAATCAGCGGCTGTTTCGAGAGATTTATCTTTCCATCTTTTACACACCTTAGAAGCACTTGCGGTGGACGATCGAGGGACCGCTCTCGTCGTACTCTTGCTTTGAGATCCACATCTGCTGGAAGGTGGAGAGGGAGGCGAGAATGGAACCACCGATCCAGACGGAGTACTTGCGCTCTGGGGGAGCGATGATCTTGACCTTCATGGATGAAGGAGCAAGGGCGGTGATTTCCTTCTGCATACGGTCGGAGATACCGGGGTACATGGTGGTACCACCAGACTAGGAATTTGTTAGCATTTGCTGCTGTTGATTTGATTGCTGCTAAAAACTCACCATGACAATGTTGCCGTAAAGGTCCTTTCTGACATCGACATCGCACTTCATGATGGAGTTGAAAGTGGTGACGTGGATACCGCCAGATTCGAGACCGAGAACAGAGGGCTGGAAGAGAGCCTCGGGGGCACGGAAACGCTCGTTACCGATGGTGATGACCTGACCGTCGGGAAGCTCGTAGGACTTCTCGAGGGAAGAGCTCTGGCTGGCGGTCTGGATCTCCTGCTCGAAGTCGAGGGCGACGTAGCAGAGCTTCTCCTTGATGTCACGAACGATTTCACGCTCGGCAGTGGTGGAGAAAGTGTAACCACGCTCGGCAAGAATCTTCATGAGGTAGTCAGTCAAGTCACGACCAGCCATGTCGACACGCGAGATGGCGTGGGGAAGGGCGAAACCTTCGTAGATGGGGACAACGTGAGTGACACCGTCACCGGAGTCGAGGACGATACCGGTGGTACGACCGGAAGCGTACAGCGACAGAACGGCCTGGATGGAGACGTAGAAGGCGGGGGCGTTGAAGGTCTCGAAGACGATCTGGGTCATCTTCTCACGGTTGGACTTGGGGTTGATGGGGGCCTCAGTGAGCAGGACGGGGTGCTCCTCGGGAGCAACACGGAGCTCGTTGTAGAAGGTGTGGTGCCAAATCTTCTCCATGTCGTCCCAGTTGGTAACGACACCGTGCTCAATGGGGTATCTGAGAGTGAGGATACCACGCTTGGACTGTGCCTCATCACCGACGTATGAATCCTTCTGGCCCATACCAATCATGATACTGCGTCATTGTCAATTCGAGCTCGAAAACAGCTTAGAAAAGGGTTGCGTACCCATGGTGGCGAGGTCTACCGACAATTGAGGCTACAGCGCATTAGATGGTGTGCCAGAGAAGGGTTTTGGAAGCTCTGAGGGTGACTTACGGAAAACGGCTCTGGGTGCGTCGTCACCGGCGAAACCGGCCTTGCACATACCCGAACTGTAGGCAGTGTGTTAGCTGCGGCGGTTCTTGAGCTTCGAGTGTGCGCGCCATTGAGCTGAGAGCAGCTGTGAGATCGCGTCGACAGCGGGCCAATGGCGCATGACGTGATCTCACAGGCAGCGACGGCGGAAGACGCGGACGGCGATGATTCTTACCCATTGTCGATGACGAGAGCTGCGACCTCCTCTGTAGACGCGAAAAGTGGTCAGTGAATGGTCAATGGAGGCGAGATGGGTACGGTGGCGATGGAGACCGGGAGGTGTTGGGTGGGTGAGGGGTGCGCTCGCAGCACGCTGGAGCACAAGAGAGAGACTCACCTTCCATTGCGGCGGTGTTGTTAGTGGATGTGGATTAGAAAGTGTTGTAGAAGGTAGGCTGCAGCGAGGATTTGAGCTGCTTTGGATGGGACACGCGCGGTGGGGTTAATGGAGGTGATGAAGGGGGAAAGTTGGAACACTTGTCGTCCACTCGGGCGGTGTGTGAGGTCCCAATTCCTTGGCCTGTGCAGGATGCTAGCCAACTATACCCGATTGGTCCGCTGGGCTGGCAAGTCTAAGCCTCCGGTTATCAACAGCCAAAGCCCCGTTGCGTGTGCAGCTCGATCTGGTTTTTGTTCACCTGATAAGACGTCCAAGGATGGATACTTGTGTAGAAGAATTTGTACATGAAGCTCTGCTTACTCTCGCCACTGTCCTATATACTTTTCGCTGAATGCAGCTGCCTTACTGCGTCGTGCAGGACGCGTAACACGCCCACGACTGAGCTCATCAGCATCCGACTTGACTACATCATGCCAAGTGCGTTGCTGCACAGCGGCTAGACGTTGCGCCTTCGCCCAACTCACTTGCCTTCAATCCTCATATCTTTCGTGTCTTCACGCGTCGAACCAGATGACCCAGCCTGAATCATTGAACGGCTGTCCCAGCAGCAATCATCTCGCCAGCCCTTTGGAGCCATCTCGGCGCTTGAAAGATTGTTGAATGCAGAGTGGGGTTCTGCCACTTTCCCAGGACCCCTTTCAATACGACGCTCCGGTTTTCATTTGCGTTCATAAGCACAATTGAGTCTGCACAAGAAATGCTCGAATCCTGTCTAGTGCCACGCTGGAGCTCTATCAGACGCCTCCCTGTCATCGACATCGACCTTCCACTCTGGTAGGGAAAAAGAAAGCAAATCGCTTCCCCACGACCAAGAGCTTCGCGGAGCCTCAGCCCGGTCCGGCAACGTTGAAGCGCCGATGATTGCTGGGTTGGAGTCGCGAAACTGCCAACGGCTCCCAGCAATACATACCACGGCTAGAATACCGACGCATGGCCGAATTAACCAGCCATCGATTAAGCTTGTCACGTCTTGATTGCATGTTGCTCTTAGATGGTGGCAGAATCGGGTGAGCATTTGCAAGGTAGGTTGCGTAGAAAACGTACTCTTGGTACGCCACGGCGGCATCCAAGTTCACTGTCCAGTTATGGGTGGCTATCTCGATGCAGAGAGAAGCTATGTCACATAACTCTTTCTTGAAATGGTCAATGTCGAGATCCTCATAGACCTGACGTCAATTCGAGTGAGCCTGCGTGTAGCCGTACTTTCCATGGAAGGGATTCTTGCCAATCACCCAGACGTTGGTTTGGAGCAGAGCTCCGTTGGCACGCCTCTATGAAGCAGATCTGATGCCATGCCGACCAGATCGTGATACAGCGACTCTTGCTGAAAGTGTCATTTCAAGAAGCTAGTAAAATCCGATTGAAGTTCGTTTCAGTCATGGTCTATTCGTCGACCTCCTCTATTTTTGTCTCGTCGCATCAGATACATGTTACCGAGTTTGGGAGAGAATGTGTTGAGGTCTCGTTTCCAGCGTCTTAGCACACTAAGCAAGAGCTATGTTTGGTGCAGAATGCTGAACAACACTACGGCTTGACGGTCCAATAGAATAGCCAGTTCATCGATCAAAACATATGCTCCGAGTTCACAGCTACAGACCGAAGTATGAGAGCCTGCAGCGGTCGTGACCATGGGATACATCAAAGAAACGCGGATGACCCTGGCTGAGAGAGATGATAAAAAGAAAAGAAAATAAGAAAAAAAGGAAAATGAATCGAAGCGTCTCGAAGCACCCACCACCTTCGTGGAGCGCCTCGACCCTCGAAAGCAAAACTGCTGCGTCACCACAAAAATAATTCCTGCCCGCACAGCACAAAACATTCATACACACCACCACCTTCTTACAGTCGCAACATCGTCTTGTTCATATTCCGAGAATACACTTCCGAAGCGCAACTCTACACCAATTGAAAACCCAAGACACTTATACAACCAACCAACCAATCACCCACAATGAACGACCCAGGTCTCAACACCCTCCTAAAATGGTCCATCGAGAACTCTGCCGTCTCAGATGGTGCCAACCCCGACCAACCACGCACACAACTCAACCCCGAGCTCCTCGCACAATTAATGGGCGGCCCCTCTGATGCCGACCGCATGATTTCGGCCATGCAAGCCATCCACGACCCCGAAGTCGACCACGAGAACAAAGGAATCGCCTGGGACAACTTTGAGCAACTAGTCGAAAACCTTGACAATGCAAACAACATGGAGCAATTAGGGTTGTGGATGCCGCTTGTGCAGAAGCTGGAGAGCGAGGAAAAGCAGGATAGAGAGATGGCTTGTTGGTGTTTGGGCACCGCGGTACAGAACAACATCAAGTCTCAGGAGCGCGTAAGTTTTATACCTTCCTTCTACTGGCTTGGAGCAAGATGCTGACATTTAATACACAGGCGCTAGCTGTCGGTGCAATCCCCAAGGTTGCAAAGCTCTGCTCAGATCCAGATGCGGGCGTGCGCAAGAAGGCTATCCGTGTCATCAGCTCCGAGGTCAGAAACTACCAACCTGCCCTGGACGAGGCAGTCAAGTACCTGCCTGCGGAGATCGTTGGCGAGGGCAAGTTCGATGCCGATGACATGGCAAATGTCGATGTGCTTGTCAATGGTCTGAGAGAAAGAAGTGCCAAGATGGCTTAAATGCATCAGAAGAGTTGGGGCATAGGTATAATTTGCATGATATCCCGAGGCGTTTCTGGATGGGCTGGACTGAGCAAAAGTCCAATAAAGAGTTATGGATATACGAGTAGAAGCCAAGAGGCTGTCTTCATATGAACGATCTTCCTTTACCGCATGATATTATCCCTCTCCCTTTGTAGCTTGCGGCCTTCTATTTATTTGACCGTATGCTCAGAGCTCGTGTTCGAAAGTCGACCTCGGCGGACCTGCTTCGAAGGCGTCTCTTGCTCCTGTGACTCTGTTTCTTTGCAGTGCAAATGGTGCGGTGCTTCAGATGTCCAATCTGCTCTGATCGTGCAACATCGCGAACTCTAAATCCTCAACCGGCCCTGAGCGTCTTTGCCGAGTGCTGAAAAGACGGTATGACTGTGTTGTGATGGTGGATTGTTCCCAATTCCTTGTCCTCCTTCACAGACACTCCAAACAAGCACCAATCAACTCATCAAAAGCCTCTCTTCCCTGATCAGCCTTCTCCAATCCCAATCCCACCACTAGCATCCTCTGTTCCTCAGGGTTCCTCATCAACAACGCCGTAGCAAGCGTTGTAGCCAATGTCTGCCCCAGTACCTCAAACTCTCCTCTTGTGCCGCCCAGCACGGTGGTCGCTGTCAAATGCGCAAATGGTAGTAGACTTGCGTCAACATCGGTTTCGGAGGATGGGTTCAAGAAGCCGTTGTCTAGAGGACGGCCTCCAGCGAGAGGAACATGGAGCCAGTGATTCAGACGGCCGGATTGAGAGATTGTGAGGACAAGCTTGTCAGCGAAGTTTAGGGCGGTGATCTGGGTGGGTACGCCGGCGATGGTGCTGCTGTTTGACTTGCTGGGTGCTGGGAAGCTTGAGAAGGTGAGGTTCGGTGGTTGTGAAATTGCAGAGGGCTGCGATTGTGTCTGCATGTTGTTTGAGAGTCAGGAAGAGATGATGGTGCTGTTCGTCTTGGGCGCAACGAAAGACAAGCACAAGTTCGCATTCACAAGCAACGCTAGACCCCGCGTCTCCAACGAGCCGACCCGCTTAGATGCATGAGCTTAAATCGGAAAAGTTGCAATCGCCAGCAAAGTCCGACATTTTATAGCCAAGTCCATCTTTTCTCTCTCTTCACACACCTCTCGGCAGGTTTAGTCGCAACCATGCCGCCCAAGTTTGTGCCTCGCGATCGCAAAAAGGGCAGAATTGCGAAAGCCAAAGCAAAGAACTCGCACTCCCACGACGAACCCCAAGATGCAAACGCCGCCGAAATCGTCCCTCCCACGCCTTCGGAGAAGGAAGCTCGTCGCGCTGCACTGCAAGCCGAGTTGCGTGCGCAGAACAGCACTTCAGTTATTTCTGGCAAGAAAAAGAAGAGATTGGACAAATACATCGATACCAAGCTGAAGAAAGAGGAGAATTTGGCCCTGATCAAGAAACTCGCCGCGCAAAAGGTCGACACAAGTTTATTGCTAAGCTCAAAGAAGCTGGGAAGAGGTGGAGAGTCTGCCAGAGAGAGGTTAGAAAGGGCGCTGAGAGAGAAGGAGCAAGGAATCAACGTTGAAGCCAACGATGCTGTCCTGTTTGAGCAAAGAAAGAGGCCGGCACTCGAGTTGGAGAGCGAATCTGAGGACGAGCAGACAGCGACACCACAAGCAAACACTTCGAAACCTACTTCTACGAAAGCTTCAGCATCTACACCTGCACCCGCAACCGCACCAGCGTCTGCGCCAGCGCCAGGCAAGGGTGGGCTCTTCGCTGCTGGTCAGGGTTTGTTCGGCAGTGGCCTTAAGAGACCGCTCGAGACAGACGAGGAGGGAAAGCCAATCATCAAGAGCAGAAAACGCACAAAGGTCATCAAGTCTGCCCCTGTAGTCGCTCAGGAGCCTGAATGGGAAGGCTTCTCTGGAGACGAGGACGGCGAGGATGACGATGATGGAAGTCAGGATTCGGAAGAAGAGATCGAAGATGGGGATGAAGACCCAGAAGAAGACGACGATGAAGAGGAAGGCTCCGACGAGGACGATGACGATGAAGAAGACTCAGACGAAGACTCGGAAGAAGAGTCGGACTCTGACGATGATATGGAAGATGAAGAGGACGTCAAGGAAGCACAAAAGGCCCGCTCATCTGCCTTCAAGATGTGGGCCACCGAACAACGAAATCAGGCCATAGGTTTCGTCCCCTCAACCAACCTTGAAACCGTAAATTCGACGACCGTCAAACAACCAATAAACTTCGTTCCTCGCGCTCCTTCACCAGAAATCCTCCCTCCCGAACTCGCAGTAACCGCCACTACAGAGTCAGACAACCGCCCTGCCGTCAGTCTAGTCATTCCTCGTACTCCCGAGATTCAAGAGGCGAGGTTGAAACTGCCGGTTGTGCAAGAAGAGCAGAAAATCATGGAAGCTATCCACAACAACAACGTTCTTGTTGTCTGGGGTGCTACTGGTTCCGGTAAAACGACACAGGTCCCTCAAATGATGTTCGAAAGCGGTTACGGCAGCAAGATCGGACAGGCAGACGGAGATGGCAAGGCCAAGGGCATGATTGGTGTTACTCAGCCTCGTCGTGTCGCTGCTGTCAGTGTGTCTGAGCGTGTCGGCACTGAGTTGTGTGACATGAAGAACCGCGTTGGTTATCAGATTCGTTTCGACACAACCGTTTCAAACGACACTGCCATCAAATTCATGACCGATGGTATTCTGCTGAGAGAGATCGCCAACGACTTCATCTTGTCCAGATACTCTGCCATTGTCATTGATGAAGCTCACGAACGCTCCGTCAACACCGACATCTTGATCGGTATGATGAGCAGAATCGTGGATCTTCGTGCTCAGATGGCAAAGGAGGAGCCTGAAAAATACTACCCTCTGAAGCTCGTCATCATGAGTGCCACTCTCCGCATCACTGATTTCACCGAAAACACTCGCCTCTTCAGAAATGGTCCTCCCCCGATCGTCAAGGCAGAAGGCAGACAATTCCCAGTCACCGATCACTTTGCACGCAGAACAACACACGACTACGTTGATGACATGTTCCACAAGGTCAGCAGAGGTCACAAGAAGCTTCCACCTGGTGGTATGCTTTGTTTCCTTACTGGTCAGCAAGAGATCATCCAGCTCGCCAAGAAGTTGCGCCAGGCTTTCCCTGCCGATACTGGCAGCCAAGTCAAGCAACCTAGAGTTCATGTATCTGCTGCAGATGCTCCACTTGAGATTGATGATATGGATGCGGAGGCTCAACCTGCACCGAGAAGGGACAATGACGACGATGACGATGATGACTCGGACATCGACATCAAGGGTTTGGATGATGAAGAAGATGACAAGGAGTTCGTGATCGAAGGGGAGGAGCAACCCGTGGAAGCGCTCAGGGTCCACGTGCTACCTCTGTACTCGCAACTTCCTACTAAGCAACAACTCAAGGTCTTTGAAGAACCGCTGGCAGGTTCGAGATTGATCGTTCTTGCCACCAACGTCGCCGAAACATCTCTCACCATTCCTGGAATTCGCTACGTTTTTGATTGCGGTCGCTCAAAGGAAAAGAATTATGAAGCTTCGACTGGTGTTCAGACCTTCGAGATTGACTTTATCAGCAAGGCCAGCGCTGCACAAAGAGCTGGTCGTGCTGGTCGTACGGGACCAGGTCACTGTTACCGTCTCTACTCATCCGCCGTCTATGAGCGCGACTTTGAAGAGTACGCTATCCCTGAGATCTTGAGATCGCCCATCGAAGGCGTTGTACTGTCGCTCAAGAACATGGACATCCAGACGGTAGTCAACTTCCCCTTCCCAACACCACCAGACCGCAAGGCACTAGCCAAGGCCGAGAAGCTTCTGACTTACCTTGGTGCCATCGACGCGCATGGCAAGATCACAGAGACTGGAAAAGAGTTGGCTGCATACCCCTTGTCACCAAGATTCGCGAGAATGCTGTTGTTAGGCAGACGCTATAACCTTTCCGCTCACACAATTGCTCTTGTGGCTTCGCTTGCTGTTCCCGAGCTCTTCATTCCTCAGACTCAATACAACCTCGAGAACGCTCCTGACGAAGAAGAGTCAGAAGACGAGAACGACACAGCCAGAGAACGCTATGCCAAACGTCAGATCCGCACAGAAGCAGACAACATTGCTGCTTCAGCAGCAGAACTCAAGCGAAAGGCATATGGAAAAGCCCACGCCACACTTTCACGTTGGGATGATCGCAGTGATGCATTGAAGCTGTTGACAGCAATGGCCGCGTACAGTGCTTCTTCATCTCCTGCATCCTTCTGTGCCGACTACTTCCTTCGCGAAAAAGCCATGAAGGAAGCCGCACAACTGAAACAACAATTGACGGCTATCGTACGCAGTCACTCTCGCACAGGCACCGAGGACCCAACACTCTCGCAGAAGGCCATTCCACCACCTACGGACAAGCAACGTGCTATCCTCAAACAATTCGTTGCAGCAGGCTTCATCGACCAAGTTGCCGTACGTGCCGATATCATCGGTGTAGCAACGTCCCGCAACCCCCGCCGTGCAATCGAAGTGCCCTACCGAACACTCTTCACCTCCAGCAGTGGAGACATCGTAGGCCAAGACCCCGAAGCTCGCGCCGCAGCGAAGCTCTCTTACGTGCATCCTTCCTCTGTACTGGCAAGATTGACTGTCGCCGAGATGCCTGATTATATCATTTACTCACATCTCTCGCGTCAAGCACCCACGCCTCCTTATGATACCGTACCTAAGACCAGACTTCACCCTCTGACAACCGTGACGGCAAAACAATTGGCAAATCTTGCAGAAGGAACACCGTTATTGGAAGTCGGCAAACCTGTTGGCAAGATTGAGCAATTGCCCAGAGGTGCTGATGGCAGAGAGAGAAGAGAAGTATGGGTCGGGCTGAGTTTGAGAGGAGAAAAGGAAGGTACACCTTGGCCTGTAGGCGCAAGAAAGGTCGTGCAAAAACGCATCGGTGGTGCTTGGGAAATTGAAAAGGTTGTTGGTTAATGTCACTTGCATCAGATAGAATTGGTAAAAGTCAGATTTACTGTATATATCATTGACTGTTCTGGCTCTTCGTTTCATTGAGCATACCATAAAAACATGTCTTTGTTTCTGACTGTTCTTTCTTCTCTAGAAAAAAAAAATGGACTAACGCATCTACAAATGCTGGTGGCAGCTACGTTGCTTGATCACAAACCCACGACTAATTTGCTTATCACTGGCGATGTCGTTGCTTTAAGAGAGCCCAGATATACAAAGAGCTCTGGTGACTTTGAGAGACATGGTCTTATTGAGTATTACTAATCTATCTACTTCATCTCACGCCTCCCAAATCCTCTCAACCCACCTCTTGACAGCACCCTTCCAAAGCGCAGGCCCAGGAATACTATAACTCTTCAACACAGGCCAATAGATACTAATCGCAATACTTTTACTAGTAGCAGTGTAAAGCTTGGTAGCCTTGACACCAGCAGGCTTAGCAGTTCCCTTTCCAGAGATTTGGAAATTGATACAGTTGGGGTAGTTTTGGGCTCCGTTGGCTTTGTCGGCACTGTGCAGCGCGATGATTTCGTGGCGGAGGACGTAGGAGCCTTGAGCCAAAGTAGGAGGAATGGTGATGGTCCAGGAGTTGTTGTTTGCAATTAGGGTGTCGGTTGCCCATGTGCTGTGGTTGGATTAGTGCTCTTCTCTTGAATCTGGTGGAGAAGATGCTTACCCAGGTGCAGGATTACCATTGATCAGACCTGCTTGATCAATCTTGAACCAGTCAAGAGTAGTAGGATTGACAACACTGCAATCTCCAGGGCACTTGGCAAGATAAGTGAGCACCGGTCCTTTGTGGCTGGAAGGCCAATCACTCCAAAGCAGCTTTACTTTGTCTCCAGCATTGACAGGAATACGTGTGTTTGTAGACTTGGCACTCTTGTGGCAGGCAATGTCGGCAGTGTTGTATTCAGAAGGAGAGATGTACCCAAGATCTTGGTTCAGGGAAGACCAGCCGGCGGTTTTGGCATGAGGGACATTTGGGTTGACGCGCCACCATGGTTGGGCTCCGGGATACCACTTGTTGCTGGTGACGATGCCTTGGACGAAACCATGAGCAGTGACGGTAGTGGTGAAAGTAATGAAGGTCAAAAGACCGGAAAGAATGGCCAAAGTCGAATACATGATGTTTCCGTCCTTGTACAATAATCCGTCTTTTGGTTGATGTTATTAGTAAGTAGTGTTCGACTCCAGAGCCGAGACACCAGAGAGTGACTGAGATTCAAGGAAACCACAACGAGAAAGAAAGTATGAGCACCGTAGACGATAGAATGAAAGGAGGTTTGGAAAGAAGAAAAGTTGAAAGTTCTTTTACAAGCTGCCGTCCACCTACATATACCTTGCCATGTCCCGCGTCCAAGTTCACTTACCGCAAGGCACAACGAGTAAAACGTACGCCCATGCCGCATATTTCAACGTTTATCGAAAGCGACCAGCACAGGTACTTTCTGCTCGAAGATTTTAGGTTGGAAAACAGCTAAAGGAGAAGTCGCAGCGCCGTTAGGGAGGTTGCCAATGTCATGCGAAGACCTAGACCTCGCGTGCCTGCCACGAGATTCCAATAGCGTGCTTTTGGCATCGAATCAATGTTTCAAGTAGAATAGAAGTTCATCTTGGAGATCTGTTCAGGACCTCGACGTTAGGCAAACGTTTGAATTTTAGCTGTTGGTTGCTGCTGTTTCCTTGCCCGTCGCGAGGCGTTGAAGTTCGAACAGTGGGAAGGAAAAGGCCACCGACGCACGGCAAGAGCAGCCGAGCTCGTCTAAGACTGCCTCAACTTGGGCACTTCTTCCACCACACCAACATTAGAAAAGCATGACAAGCTAGAAGTATATAGACATCGAATATATGCATGTATATGTTTATGTATGTCTCGGAAAGAGAGTCGAACCAAAGTCCTTTGAATGCGATTGCAAACCAAAACACACCTTCTGCAAGAACAGCAAGCTCGATGCGTTCTCCTTAAATAGTCTGAACAAGCAGACATCAGTCGATCATATCCTGGCACTTCCTATCCGATGTGAGGGAAGTAGAGCGAAAGTTTGGCGTAACCAAGACGGATTCTGGCAAGTACGCAGAGCTGAGAAAACTCTCGATCACCAAGTAGACTCGGGCAGAAACGTAGAGTGCTATGAAGGAGAGCAGACCAAGGAGTGTCAATATCGCCGCAACCGAAGTGAGGAATTTGGACAGCTGGAAATGATGGCCCCAGATGGATAGTGTGAAATCATGTTTATAGGCGAAGTTTCCACAGATGTTTCCACAGAGTAGAAGAAACATGATCAGAAATGGGAAGATAGCCAGACTGGCGGTTGTAACGCCCGAGGTTTCCCAGAGTAACCCTTAGATTGGAGCATAGAATGGTGCGCTCCAAGCTAGCAAGTGCAGTCCACCATAAACAAAAGCCGCTGCTGACATAACTAACCACTCTGGAATCCGTTCGATTACCCATTCAGAGAATAAACCGTCAACAGGATCGGCCAAATCACCAAGGGCGAGAGAATGCAAATATGATTTGAGCGACTCTTCCGGATTAAGTCTGAAAGCCCAATCATGAAAGGTCCCAAGTGTCCAGATTCTCGACTTTGGGAATCTAGCCATATAAAGACTGATCGTTCTAGATGGTAGGAAACCTCTAGCATTGATTTCGGCAAATTCTCCAGCTGTACAGAATCTTCGTGATAACGAAGGTATAGTTTATTGGCGAACACCATCGCGCCTGCCAACTTATCCTCACGTGCTGCTTGTAACGAGCTGAGTCAAAGCAGGCCCTGCCACGTGCGAGCTCATTCGAGCCTCCTCGTGTGCTGAGTATGTAACGCATAGCTATAAAAATGCACAATACTATCAAAAGAAAGAACAGTGTCCACTGAGAGGTGACAACTGATAGGCGCTCTCACGCCTCTGCGTCCGTGAACGATTGTGCCTTTCAATAGTGAGCCGAATTGCAAAGAAACGCACTCGGAACTGCGCCTTCTTCTGGTTACTTGAACACTCGACTAAAAGGTATAGACGCCAGAGTCCACAAGATCATAGCACCAAAACAAGACCCAACACCAATAAGCACGAAGAAGTAGTTGTGGCTCGTGATATAACCTATACTCCCAGCATCAATCCAAAACACGATGCTTGAGATGACTGCGACACCGATTTGCATCCAGACGATAATGGTAGCAAACAGAGTCGAAGTGTAAAATGGTATCTGGTGTTCCAGCGTTTCCACAGAACGTTGAGAAGGTCTGAGAACCTCGAGGGCGGCGAACATTGCGGAAAAGGTTGGTCGTGGCTCGTCTAAGGTATTTCGATGCGGTAACATGGAGCCAAGCTCGTGAGACTCCTCTTCGTCCTCGCTGTTGAGTGAGGCGTGATCGGCGGTCTTCTTATGCTTGCGCCCTCTGTAGTTCTCAAGGATAGCACCCAGCGGTTGGATGAGCAGTACAAGAGGAACAATCTGACCAAAGGACCACTCATTCTCCTTGTTGTTCCACCAAGCATTTTGTTGACGTGGAATGACGATCTGGATGGTACCGTAGACCAGGCCAACATACGACAGCCACAGGGATGCCGCAAAAGACGCGGCAAACTCGAAGACTGCCAAGGAGATTACGTAGACTGTCATCGTTGCATAATACAACCATGACAAAGAGTTTCGCTTTCGTCGTCGTGAAGCCTTGAGGGCTTCGGCATGTAAGATACGCTCCAGCAAGTATTCAGTAGGCCCTCTGACTCGACGATGGAATATGTTTCGGGAGCCTTTGAACAATGCACCAATCTTCCAGATGTACGACGTTATGAGAATCAGATAGGCCAAAGGCGCGTCAGGATTGACACCTTCACCCCAAGTCTTGAAGAAGAAGCATCTGGCTGGTATCGCCCAGCTGGTTCTCACATCATGTGTCTCTTGATCCGGACCCCACCAGAGTGCCCAAAGATTGGATGCGGTAGGTACCAAGGCCACAAGCAACAATACCAGCAGTACTAGCATACCGACAATACGCCAACTTAGCACTGCAGGCCGCTTGCGAAAATAATCTCCTAGCATTGTGAGAGCCGAAAGATGGACCGAGCTTGACATCCAAGCCAGCATAATGACTGTTTGAAAGTGGTATACCGAAATGTGGCCATGCAATCCGATGAAACCAGCAATACAGATGGCGATACCAGTGACTATTTGTTGGTCGCTAAGCAGGAGGACGCACTGTTGGAGTGCCTTATGCCATGAAGGACTTGTGCGTCGCTGTGACGGAAGCCGATGGACGTAAAAATCCACAGGCCGTAAGAGGCTTTTATCGATCGAGCCCAGTAGATATGACACCAGTACAATCGCGAATGTGATGTAGGCACTGAGAAGAAACGCCAGTATCGCACCTATGCCTGAGATCTCGCTGTCGGCTTCTGGAATTGCACCTTCCTCCATCCAGTAACCGCATGTCTCCGTATTGATCGTCGTGTTCGTCACGTTGCCCGACATTGTGTTCGTGATCCTGGTGCTGGCATGGCCAATTCAACACACATGGTGAGGGGTCAGAGTCGTTGGAGGTCAGACGGTTGAAGGTTTTTCTTCGGTCGAGCAACAACGGGCTATATTTATCTGAAAACGAAACTCTTTTATGCTCTAGACCGGCGGTGACCCTTATCTGCATCGAGCGCGTCGCAACATTGTAGGGCTTGTTTCTGCTTTGCAAGACGTGCTTGGTTCATATGACTATCGAAATAGCCGCATCTGCCCAAGCACGGCGTCCGCGGCTCGCGAGAAAGTTTGTCGCACAAAACCAACGACCTAATCACAGTATCTGTCAGAGGATGCTACATTATAATACTTCACACATATGAACTCAGAGCTCTGTGGCACCAACATATAACTTCAAAGGTAGGAAAGAATAACAGCTGCGTTCCGTGCAGTATCGTAAGTCATCGGCGTACTCATACTATGCATCCAAAAGAAGAGATTTCCCAAAATGCTTTCCTACCCAACATCATAATTTTTGTCCTTGTCCTTTCCTTCATGCAAAAATATCGTTATCGTCGCTATTTGCTGTTCCTTCTAACCTTCTCCAGCAACTCTTCCATCTTGAACGGCTTCGCAATAACATCATTCATACCAGCATCCGTCATTTCACTTTGTTGTTCTTCTCTAACATTAGCCGTCACACCAATGATGTTGACCGCTGGTAAATTGTTGTCGCCTTCAAACTTCCTGATCTCTCGTGAAGCAGTCTTGCCGTCCATGACGGGCATCTCCTGGTCCATGAGTACGCAGTCAAATGGAGGCTTGTGTTCGGATGACCGAGACGTGATCATGTCTAGGGCTTCTTTGCCATTATCTGCGGTCGTAACGTTGAAGCCTTTGGATTCGATCTTCTTTTTCAGAAGTTTCTGATTGATTAGATTGTCCTAGCAAGTTGTGTCAATAAAATGAGTAAGTAATTGTAGTTGTAGCACTCACCTCAACGAAAAGTATAGTAGGTCTTGAATCACTGTGCTGGTTCGAAATTTGCTCTACAGATTGGCCAGAATCATTGTCGGCCTGTTTTGCAGCACTTTTGGCGTTTTCGGATTCTCCTTGCTTGCCTTGCTTGTTGCTTTCAGGCTGAGCAAATTTCACTTGCTCGAAAGATGGATCTGGCTGTTGTGAGCTTCGTCCTGCATTGGCCGGTCTCTTCTTTTGCCGCTGTGACTCGTCATCTTGAGCTCTAGAATGTGATGTTTCCACTTGATCGCATGCAGACTCGCAATTATTGTGTTTCTCGCTCATTCGATCTGCCATGTCGGCTGTGTGTTGCCATCGATCCTTTGAAGGGGTTTCGCTGTTTGGTCCAGTGTTTTCCTTGGCGACATTTTTAAGATCGCTCGAAACCTTGTCTTCGTCGTAATGCGTTGTCTTCACGTGTCCGGACTGTTTGAGTTTGTCCGAAAGCTCTCCCGGCTCCAGCTTATCGGCATCTTCAGGCTCGCTGCCTCGTCTGACTCTGAAGAAGAAGCCAAACGTTGACCCTTCACCCTCGACTGAGCTGACTCCGATCTCTCCTCCATGCAGCTGGCACATTTTGCGGGCAATATTGAGACCGAGGCCAGATCCACCATACATCTGTCCTGTTTTTGGCGTAGCCTGCTGGAAACGCTCGAACAATTTTGTCTGGTTCTCTTTGCTGATACCAATGCCGGTGTCTTTGACCGCGACCATAATATACAATGGCTCTCCATCGCCCCACTCAGGATTGCCGGTTGCATCTGTTTTGAGACTAAGATCATCAGTTTTGAAGAAGACGACGTTAGGCGGATATGACGTTGGCCTCTCCATCGAAGCAGCGACTTCGATATCAATCTTCTTCTTGCGCTCCGACTTGGTCGTAAATTTGATGGCGTTTGTCATAAGGTTGACAATCACTTGACTAATTCTCACGAGATCTGCCATGACCCAATCAACGTTACAACTGTCATACTCAGGTCTGACGGTATAGCTGAAGTCGACATCTCGCTTGCGCAGTTCTGGCTGGAAGATCTTGAGGGTATCTGCCATCTGTACCTTTGGTTTTGTAGCCCTGTGAGAGTTAGTGATTGCTTCTAATTTCGAATAGAAGGCACCTACCTAGGAGCAAGTGAAAGCATCGAAGCGTCAAGTTTTGAGAAACTGAGAACGTCATCGACAAGTGTTTTCTGCGAAATGAATAAGCGTAAGGTGTTAGAACATCGCAAAGACAGGACTAACCTGATGGTCTACGCAAAGCTGGATTGTGTGGACAGAATCGACAATCTCGTCCACAGCGATGTTGTCAGATACTGCTTCGCCATCCTGCACTGCATCCAATATATTTTCGGCACAGTGCAGCACAGCAGAAAGCGGATTTCTGATCTCGTGGGAGATCATATCGATAAAGCGTTCTTGTTGCTGTTTCCTTTCGCGAGCTTCTTTTGCAACTCTAGTCTGGGCGAGCTCGGCATTCTTCATATCAGACACATCAATCAGAGCACAAATATATCCACCGAATTGTCGGAGATCGAATTGCTGAAGGTTGTTCTTTCCGAGTGGGCGCATGAGGAAGAGTCTCCACTGATTCTCACCAAAAGCCCTGAACTCTGTTTCCAGATCCGTCTGAGAGTCGAAGGCCTTGTGATACTCAGCCATGACCCTATCGTAATCATCTGGATGGATGGTTTCGGGCCACATCTTGAAAGACTGATCAGGACCGCGATGAGCCGTTAGATCGTGGAACTGGTGATTGACGAATAATGGATCTGCCTTGTGGTTCAAAATAGCAAGGCCAGTGGGTAGCATCTCTGCAAACTTTTGGAAAAAGGGTTGGCGGTCCAGCGCGGTCTCCTCGTGGTTTACGTAGTCGTTCATCTCGTGGTCAGATGATTCTTTGTCGCTTTCGTCCTTCTCAGACGTCTCTTCCTTGGGAGCTTTGGTATTGGTATGGGTTTTACTAAATACTTGTACCATAACGCCAGCGACCTTTGTGTTATCGTGTATGGGACTGCAGATTACGGGGGATTTTTCTGTAGAGGTGGCATGTTTTCTGGATAACTCGGTGGCGGCGATGGGTCTCGGTATGCGTCCTTGAAAGTAGTCGTGAAGAGTGTCTGTCGTGTGCTTGCTGAAGGCGTCGTTCGGGGGTCTGCCCTGCTTCAAGGCGCTGTGCGATGTTGCTTCCCAGGCTTCATTGTATATCATAGCAAGGTCCTCGCCCCAAAAGATGGCGGCTGGGTGTTGGAGGGTGAAGATGAAGGGCGCAAGCGACTGCAGAGTCTCTGGCCATTGCTTCGCCGAGCCAAGGTCGCTGTCATCCCTGCGAGGATCAGTTATGGAAAGGACAGAGCGCGTGACGTCGTCGAGTTGATGCTTACCACACCTCGTCCATGAGAAGGAGCTTGTCGAGGGCCTTAGCAGCATCCTTCTTCTCTGTCGCATTTCCGGATTGTTTCTGTTTCATGCTTGCAGCGACAGGTGTATTGGCCGAGTGCAAAGACAGAACAGGCCAAAGAAACAATGTCTTCAAACTCGGCACGCGAAGAAGCTTCAACCTGCGTCTGTCGATCAACTGCCATGACATCGCTGGCTTATGACGTCGCCAGGGTTCGGAGCACCTTCCGGAGGCGCCAATTCGCCAGTCCCTGACACGACTCAAAGACCTTCTACCAACATCAAGGCGACCTCCGACAACCACAACTTGGCCTGCATCATCTGATTACCAACGCAGAAGATTCTAGCCTGATGCACTCCGATGCCTTGTCAGATGTGTCGACGCCATTGCTGTACGGGCAGATAGTCCACACTCGAGGAATATGGAAAGCTTAGGGGTAAGGACAGGGTGACTTTTTTTGACGGCGCGGACAAAACCCATCGGGCTATTTTCCAGCAGCTGCGTCGACCACATGGCTTCTGTTTTGGCTTCATCCCTGCATGTGAAACGACCTCGTCACGAGATACATGCGCTGCACAGCGCCTACCGCAACAGGCACATGCAAAAAGCTTACCACATTCCGCCTCGGTCGACAACATCGCAGACCCCGCCCCCACTTATCCATGTGGTCGACGCCTTGCCTATCTTCACCCTCCCTCCTGCTGTCCACCGGTCAAGTGCCACGAATCCTCTACATGCAACAGACAAACGTACAGTACCACACCAGCTTCCGGCCGTTACAATGTAACACTTCATTGCATCCCGGCATTTGTAACACACCGCTCACCATGCAGCTTTCGGCCGGTGTGAAATACTCACTGCCTTCGTGAGATGGCTCTGTCTCGTCCAACAGGCGATCGCACTGCCCTGACCTGGTATTAGGATATAGACTAACTATAGCACCAACTTAGTCGCTTGTCCAACAAGCTTATAGGCCGACGCACTGTTTCATCGTCTTACTAAGTTGCTCCTCTAGCTCAAGGCTAACCTCACATACTTAGGAAGCCACCATGCAGGACAAAATATCCAACTTCTCGGACTTCCATTCAAATAGCCCGTGGGCAAGATGGGCCACGATAGACTTCGCATGTGATTGACCTCAGCCTACCACGTCTTGTTGTCTTTTACCCGGCGTGCATAACAGGGCCAACGGTTTGAGTCGTGAATCATGGTGGCATAATCTAACGTTTAGTCAGGTATGACATTTGGCCCACCCCAGGTACAGGAACAACACCATCAGATTCCCATTGGCGTTTCAGAAGACTTCGGAGAATAAGCATACTGCAACTTTACTGGATATGCTCGAGCCGAAGTCATCAAAAGGGTCACTCTTACTGGTATATCTCCGAATCAACAAAGCCAAGCTCCCTGCATTCCAGCATGATAATGCAATCTCCAACGGTCATGCGCTCCTCCAAAGAGACGATCTTGGTGACGAAACACTTTGGTCTTTGAATGTGAGGTGTGGACGCTCAAGAAACACATACCGTTGATGGTAAGGATTGTCATGAAAGCGGCCGCGCATTCGCAGATCCGATCAGGCTCGAGTTGGCGCATCTTGTGTTGCATCCTGAGGCGCAGGTATGATGACGCTGTCAGTAATGGATTGCCCTTCGGCAGTATGAGATAAATATCCTGCTGTTGGCCGCTTCTTGGATGACATGCTGAGGCTCATGGTCCAGAAAGCCAAAATCTGTTTCAAAATGTATTCACAACTATTCTTCTCATTGTCATTGATCTGTACTATTGCACAAGCTCTCTCACCAGCAGAATGGCGAGCTCAGTCTATCTACCAAGTCATGACTGACAGGTTTGCTCGCACTGATGGCTCTACCACGGCATCTTGTGATCTTAGTGATTATTGTGGGGGCACGTGGGAAGGTCTCATCAAACACTTAGACTATATACAAGACATGGGCTTCACGGCTGTTGGTATAGGCTCACTCAACATCAGCTAGTACTGACGTACGAACAGGTGTGGATCTCACCAGTGGTAAAGAACCTCAATGCTTCCACGGCAGACGGGTCGAGCTACCATGGATACTGGGCCCAAGACATGTACGCTGTCAATACCAATTTTGGCTCTGCTGCAGACCTGGTCAAACTATCAAGTGCTTTACATAATAGAGGAATGGTAAGATGACCATGATGACATGCTTGAAAGACCTTGACTAACCACTTACCAGTACTTGATGGTTGATGTTGTGACAAATCACATGGGATATGCAGGTTGTGGTGACTGTGTAGACTATTCAGTCTTCGATCCCTTCGACAAAGAGTCCTACTATCATCCTTTCTGCTTGATTGACTACAATAATCAAACCAGCATGGAGCTTGTGAGTAGAGTCATGAACTAGCTAGGAAAGTAAGCTAATGCGAGTTTAGTGCTGGGAGGGCGATAACACTGTGTCGTTGCCTGACCTTCGCGTAGAGGACTCGAACGTCCAAGACATGTTTGCAACATGGATCAAACAATTGGTCAAGAACTATACAAGTAACCAATCATCCCTCTTTCCCATCAAGAGATAGCAAAATTAACACAATCCAGTCGACGGCCTACGCATCGACAGCGCCGCAGAAGTTAGCAAAGCCTCTCTAGCAAATTTCGAATCAGCAGCAAACATTTACGCCGTCGGAGAAGTCTTCAACAACAACGCCGAATACGTCTGCGCATACCAAGACTCCCTGTCCGGCGTGATGAACTACCCCATGTACTACAACATAACCTCTGCCTTTGCATCTACCTCCGGTGATATCGGAGCCTTGGAACAAGGCGTCAACACCATGAAATCCACCTGCAAAGATGTAACTCTCCTAGGTTCTTTTCTCGAAAACCACGATAACCCACGCTTTCCCTCTTTGACTTCTGACATGTCGTTGGCGAAAAACGCGATCGGGTTTGCAATGTTGGCAGATGGTATTCCCATTGTTTATCAAGGCCAAGAACAGCATTTCGATGGTGGTGATACACCGCAACAAAGAGAACAACTCTGGAAATCTGGATATGATACTGGTGCCACACTGTACAAACACATCACCAGATTAAACGCTATTCGCAAAGTGGCCATCAAGAATGACGATGGGTATCTAACATACAATGCTTATCCAGTATGGACAGATGACCATACCATTGTGATGAGAAAGGGAAACAACGATACTCAAGTCATTGGGGTGTTCAATAATCTTGGAGCCGAGGGGAATGCGAACTTTACGCTTCTGGCAACGAGTTCAGGGTTTGATGCTGGTATGGATGTTACGAATGTGTTGACTTGCGATAAGTTTACCACTGATGGCAAAGGTGATTTGAATGTCAAGATTAAGGAAGGAAAACCTTTGGTTTTGTATTCGACTAAGCAGCTTGATGGAAGTGGCATTTGTTGATGTCTTTTCTTGTTGCTTCGATGAAGAGTTGGAAGGGGGATCGGTTCTGGCTTCCTGGAGTAGATACACTCGGTTCAAAGTTCGGCTTTTTACTTCGTTCGTCTACTAGTCACAAGTGCCCTTTGCAGATTGCAAAATCATTTTTGAATTGTTCGTCATGGGTATCATATTCTATAATGCTTCATCAATGGTATCAAAGCTCAGGCTCAAGTGGCCGGAGTAGCAGGACTGGCAGGCGTACTAGGATTTGTAGCCAGCCCTTTACTTCTCCTCTTCTTGATCTTGTCCCTGACCTTTTTCTTCGTCTTTTCCTCTTCGTCTTTTTTCGCTGCTGCCGATGCGAACGGTGTAGCCTGAGCAGCCAATCTTGCTTCTTCCAACTTCTTTGCCAACTCTGCTTCTTTGATTTTGGCAGCTTCGGCGGCTTCGGCTTTTGCGCGGACGTGGTGTTTTGTGGCTGAGAAGGTAAAGTTGCCAGGTTCGCCGCGAAGAGGATTTTCGTCCATGTATTCATCGCCGTAGTGGAGCATCATTTGTAATGAATCTTGAAGGGCTCGCTGTGCGCGAGGGTCTGCACCTTTTGTCGATTTTAGTTCGTTTGAGGTGGTGGATTGTGCTGCCGGGTCTAGAGCAGCCGCGGATGGAAGTTCGGCTGGTGTAGGAGCTGTGCTTGCTTCTCGACTAGTGGAAGAGAGGGCTTGTGACGCGACAAGCGACTTGGCAGTAGCGGGTGGGAAGTAGGTATAACCAGTTGCAGGGGTGTAAAGTGGTAGCGGAGCAGCGGTTTGAGTGAATTTTGTGAGCGAAGTCATGGCCGAGAGGAGGTGGTTGCCGACAATGTCATAGACAGAAGGCGCTTGGTACATATTTTCACCGACCAGGTAGTAGGTGGCCAGGACAGTAATCTCATCGGGTTGTGTAGGTCTCTTGCGGCGGTCCTGCTTGCGAATGACCCAGATGCCTGTATCTGGGCCCAATGATGGATCGGGATTTGGTTGTGGTTCGCCAACGATGAGGTACTCGACGCCATTCATTTGCTTCAAGCGTGTCTCGAAGGCTTGTCGGTTGCGGCACATGTCCCATATCGGAGGGTGGATCTCGGCTTGCTTCCATAGGAGGCCATTCTTGGTGGTAGGATCGAAGAAGGGCGTTTCACGGAGAATGGGGTGAACTGGTGAAGGTGTCAGTCTTTGTCGAAGATGCGAGGGACTGAGTGCATACTGCTGTTCTCGTGGATTCCTTCCCAGTAGGCGATGACATCAGGCCGACGGAACTGCACCTCGTCCAGCGGCGTGCCGTTCCATGTGTTCGCCATTGTCGAATGCGCAGGTCGCACTGCTATAAAGGATCGAAGGAAGCTCTCACTCAGCTGGTGCAAAACATTGGAGCGTCACTGTCGCCAAGCTGTCGCGACAGAGACGGACGAGACGTGCGGCCTGACTCGTAGGGCTGAAATAGCCTTCACCGGGAAAGCCTTGCCCGATCCGGCTTTAGTTTCTCCAGCTTTTCTTTCTAGAACCCATCGATTCATCATATCTGTTGCCATCTCCCTGTACAATTTCACCTGCACAACTCCCACCTGGCTCGTATGTTCTTGACGGTCTGCATCGAGAGACTGACCCTCTTTCCCGACATCCCTTTCACTTGATTCTTGGACCTGTCGACGACTTGTTCTAATGCACCGCCCCCATCTACTTTTTCTGGATGCCTATGACTCCTTTAGCAACAATATCATCAACTTACTTCAACAAGACCTCAATGCCACCGTCCAAGTAATCAAAATTGACGACAAGAGATTCGTCACCAGTGATGAGGCATGCTTCCATGCTTTCCTCGGTCGTTTTGATGCTGTAGTCGCTGGTCCTGGTCCCGGTGATCCGAGGAACTCTCACGACTTGGGTCTCATCGGCAAATTATGGCATCTACCAGAGGATGTTTGTGTACCCGTGCTGGGCATATGTCTTGGATTTCAGAGTCTCGCCCTGGCCTTTGGAGGTACAGCCGGAAGGCTTCATCAACCCCGACATGGTCTGGTTACCGAGGTTACTCATCAGGGACAATCTCTCTTCAAGGGTATTGATGTTCTCATGGCCACTCAGTATCACTCGCTCCACGCAAAGCTTGGCCATACTGTAGACAAGGCATCTACGGATTTGTGGAAGGCTACTTCGAACTGCCCTGACATACTACCGCTTGCTTGGGATCTATCAGACGATCAGAATGGCCCCATCCTCATGGGCATCAGACATCTGACTAAGCCCTTCTATGGAGTACAATATCATCCAGAGTCAATTTGCACGAGCTCTGCTGGTGCGCAAATCATTCACAATTGGTGGTCCGAGGCATTGGCTTGGACTATCGGCCGCGCAGCCAGAGTTCAAAATGTCGACACTCTAAGTCCAACGATCGATGTGGATTCACATGACACGAACAGCGAAAGCGGCGACGACTCGGCAAGCACATCATCGTCTTTGTTCGATGCTGTCAACCCCACGCTCAGGGATACTACGGCTACGACTCCAGCTCTGACCAGGAATTCATCAAGAATGGGACGGCCGACTTCCTCGCTGTCCGTCAGCTGGAAATGTGTCGACACATTCTGCGACGCTATTGATGTGGCTTTGTTGCTACAAAAGATGCAAGACATCGACCAGCAAGCCATCATGCTAGAGTCTGGCAGCAAGAACGGAAAACCTGTACGACCCAAGACGGGCCGCTTTAGCATAATTGGCTGTGCCAAGGATTCTCGGTCAATTCGCTACTCTACTGGAAATCACACAATCACCAGCGACCTCTCAGGCACAAGAGCTTCATACACAGGATCTATGACAGACGTCTGGTCGAACATTGAGTCTTTCATGGCTGCCAACAAGGCGACTGATGGCAGTGCTGACGTGCCTTTCTGGGGAGGACTTGTAGGGTTTGTGTCTTACGAAGCTGGTCTGGAGACAATCGATGTTGCTCAACCTACAAACAATGATCGTCCTGATGTTTGGTTTGTCTTCGTGTCACACAGCATCGTGGTTGATCACGTCGAGAAGAAAGTTTACATTCAAAGCTTGGAAAAGACCGATGATCATTGGTTCGAGAAAGTTGAGGGAGCCTTGAAGCAGCTCATCGACAAGCCCGGATCTCAGTTACAAATACTCAAGTCAGAATCAGGGTTACCATCTGTTGCCGCTCCAGCGCAAGAAGAGTATGTGCGAAGGGTTAAGACTTGTCAGAATCATATTCGCGCTGGCGATTCTTACGAACTCTGTTTGACCGACCAAAGCATCATCTCATACGGTGAAAATGCCCCACCAAGGTCTTTTGAGCTCTACCAACGACTCCGAGCCTTCAACCCGGCACCCTTTGGTGCTTACCTACGACTACAAGAAGAAAACGAACAAAAGAAGAACGGTGTCACCATCTTGTCTTCCAGTCCAGAGCGATTTTTGTCTTGGTCAAGAGCTGGAAAGTGTCAGTTCAGACCTATCAAAGGCACTGTGGAGAAGAAGAATGGCCTTACGAGGAAAGAAGCGGAAGCCTTGTTGAATGTAGACAAGGAAAGAGCTGAGAATCTCATGATTGTCGACTTGATACGACACGACTTGCATGGTGTTGTGGGCTCTGGAAATGTCAAAGTCGAGAAGTTGATGGCTGTCGAAGAATACCAAACCGTCTTCCAGCTCGTGTCAGTCATTGAAGGACAACTGCAGGAAGGATCAAGACATACTGGCATTGATGTGCTAGCGGCTTCTCTTCCTCCAGGATCCATGACCGGCGCACCCAAGAAACGATCGTGTGAGTTGTTGACAGAAATAGAAGGAAAGCCTCGAGGCATTTACAGTGGTGTACTTGGATACTTTGATGTAGGCGGTGGTGGAGATTTTTCAGTTGTCATTCGAACTGCTTTTCGATGGGATGATGAAGGCGTATGGCGTGTTGGCGCTGGCGGAGCGGTCACTGTGTTGTCTTCGCCACAGGCTGAGTTTGAAGAGATGGATCTGAAGAGGCAAAGTTGCTTGCCACTTTTCGGACATCGTCGGGACCCTGTGAAATAATTGATTGTTAGCGTCTGGATTTCGCCGGAAACAATTCTGACCAGGAAACATTCCTGCATATTTGCAGCTCGCTCAGCACTGAGAGACAAGCCTGAGATGCTCTGCTGCAAATGTTGGGTCAGGCGCATACTTACCTTTATCTCTGCATCTTCCCTAGCAGTGAGATACACCATCACGCACCAATTTACATCGGTGCTAGGTCTCTGATCGAGTGTCGACTTACGGCTCTGCTCGAGTACATCCATAGCTTCGAGATATGGGGTCTCCAGTTCATCAACCCTGGACTCCTGTCGCCGAACCCGTCTTCGTTCTCGGGCAACGATCTTCCCCCAAAGGATGACTCTACCCTGTACTCGGTCAAGTATGGCCTCGTGCCATGCGACAGCAACATAATCGCCACTTTTCTTCGCTTCATCGAAACGGGCACGACAATCTTCAGCGACATGCTTCCATTCCTCCAACTCGGTGTTTGCCTTTGCCAGTCTAGCTTTGTGATGCTCTTCAAGCTCTGCGACGGCGTACAGATGCTGGTAGATCTTCTCCAGTTGTTCGAAGTTGTCTCCAGGCATGAGGTCTATCAGAGTCTGCTGGACCTCGGGAACATCAGGCTTTGAACGACGCCATAGCATGAGTGCCGGGTTCCAGGTCAGAAAAGGCTTGTTGGTATGCGCAAATTCATGAGTAGCGTAGATGGATACTTTAGGGGGCTCCTCGGGACGAGGCATATCGAGATGGGTCCCCGTATTCAGTTTGTGGGTGACGCTTCTCTTCCAGGCCTCAGCGAAGTGATCTCTGGATGCAGACATGGTGACGAATGTGGTTGTGGAGAGGCAGGAGGAGAGATGAGAACCAACGAAATCGGATCTTATGTAACGAAGAAGCGTCAATGTTTGTTGTTATCTCAATGCAGAATGGAAAAGCAATGTCGTCGTCTCAACGAAAGACACACAAACGATGTCACCATTCTGCAACGATACAAGCAGATTCCGTCGATGTCCGTTGCTGTCCAAATGCACAATACTTTCTAACAATGATCGCTCTCCACAGAGGGACTGTTTTTTGTTTATTGAAGGTGTCTCTGTGAACAAACTTCCGGTTCGAAAAGTATTGAGCATTTTGATAGCTATTAAGTGGCACTCTTTATCGTATGGAGAGGTCTGTCATTGTCTCATCTTCAAGCACCTGAACAGCTATACACACGACAACAAAGGCCTTTTTCCAGCAGCAAACTCGTAACCTCCAGCAATGACGGTCTTGACAACGACATCTCGCTTTAGAAGAAATCCCACTGGACTCTCCACGTCCTGGTAAAACATCTTGCATTTTTACAAGCTACAATGGGAGGTGAGCCATCATGGGAGTGCCGACGAGCAATGTCTCGACGTATCTAGGCAAATTTCAGGGGTGATTCAGCTCGTTCTTGCAGCTTCCTTGTTGAAGAGATTGTATTACTTGATACCACCAGTTGCTTAACTACTCCAACACTACAATTCGGCAGCGGCGCCGAAGGCTTTGGGGTCCAAGATGACGTTTCCCCTTCTTGAAACTTTCTCTCTTATTCTCAACGACTGAGCAGTGACTGCTCCAGAGAGAAACTTCTGGCATTGCCTGATTTCCATTGCTCTTATTCAGTACATCCTATAAGACAGCACAATCTATTTCCGCGCCGAAACGTCACCTCCATTCGATTTCTTATCAATAAACCCATTTCGCTAGCAAGACACTCTTACACGCCTCTTAAGAACATCAATTGTAGGTGTGACGAGTTACACGTTTAGCTATTACTGGTCCATTCAACTTTCCACAATTAGGTATCGTAATCTATGGCCAGTGGCTCCGTGCCCACCATTTTCATCATTTCATTCTCTGGAAGACCCAAATTTGCTTGCATGCCTGATTATGATGCGCATTTCCGCATGCATTCAAATCTGATTCGCTTGCCCAAGATCTGAACTCTACTTTGTCTGGAACCCAGCAGCAGAATCAGCAGAGTCACGTTGCAAGCTACTCGACGTATAGGCAAGGCTTTAATGCCAGATCCGTAACCTGATAAACAAACAAGCTGACTCTCAGATGTTCCAACGCACTCTGCGCGCGGTCCAAGGGATTCATCATCCTTTGCTTCTTGCTCGCCAAGACATCATCTCCTGGTCGTTCTTCATCGCTGTCTGATGGCCATGCCCTGTACCAACTAAGCTCAGGATGGTCTACAACGGGCCTGCTGGGATACGGACTCGACATGGGACTTTTATAACCAAACCACTGAATCGGGCCCTCAGCTCTGCTCAGGTCTCTCCAACCTCTGACAATGCAGGGTTCATGTCCCCCAAACTCTTCTTTGCGTAGTTCGATCGACTCTTTGAATGCGCTCATGCGAGGGTCGCCGAGGATTCTGACGTGGAATGGAGGTTGTTCGGCCTGGCGTGTAATCTGGAGTTTTGCAATCTCGCTGGTGATGTACCAACTGACATAAGTACGCCAGCTCAGGTTCCATGTCCAGCGAACATAGCGTCGGTGATTCCAGAGTCCACGTACTCTGGGCACGTTGAAAGTGATGGCGAGTCCGGCCAAAATGCCAGCGGCGGTTCCAAAAGTCTTTGTTCGGGATTGAGCAGCGATCAATCGACCTTTGTACTCGAGCAATACATTGCGTTCTATGTCCGACAACTCCCGTCCAATGGCCTTGCTTGCGTCTGGATCTAGACGTTTCAGAGTGTCGAGCTCGCGTTCGGTGTAGTCGCGCTTTCGAAAGAAGTCATTGACTGGTCTGCGAACTTTGCCTTGATCTATCAAGGCTTCGAGATTTGGTATGTTTGTCGGGAGCATATTGTCGTAGATGTTAGGTCTAAAGATGGTGGGATGAATCTCTGGAAGAAAATTACCCTCTTCCGTCGATTTTGCTGAGATATTATCATGTGCGGCGCGTACGTGCATGCTGTGCCGCCATAATATAGATGAAGCTACCAGTTTCGTCATCATGCCCTCTTGTGTAACACAGAGGCCTCACGACCTTCAGCCTTAGGTCTTCGAGGATACAGGATACTGTCGCTTGCAACATTCTTGAGTGTCTCTCCACGATCAAGTAGCCATTGAATCTTGAACATTTGCAACCATATCGACTGCTTCGATCCGCGCATTGCTAGTGATTATGCTGACAGTCCAATCCATGGAACACACATCGTTGTGTCAAGTGCCATGCGCCAAGGAAGAATAAGAGTAATCACATCAGAGAAGCCATAGGATCAATCATGTCTTCTAAATCTGCAAGCACGACTTTGACAACAAAATTGAGTTCTGTGTTTAGAAAGAGCCTGTGACTTCTGACGATCTCATGACTGTGCTAGATGGTATATACGACGACCTTGAGCTTAGATGCACTGCTAACTGGAAGACAAGAGTAAGATCTAGAGGTTCGAATGCTCTATTATCGAACGCACATGCAGTGAACGACAATGCTTAGACCATCAGTAAGTGACCTTACAGGCACCCACAGTGAAGACTTTTTCACAGGCCTCATGCTTCACTTCACTGATTCCAACATATCCAATATGGCAAGTACAGCCTTTAAGACCTCACTTCCCTACTACAAAATAGCATTCTGACACCTTTTTAACCATCTAAACCCTAGACCACAACCACCTCATGGTTGTCGAAAGTCGAGGATATCCTAAAGCGCTTACGCTTGAGAGGCGCTATTAGCCGATATGGCGAGCAATGGAAGCAATTTTAGGTCGAGAGGTAGCCACCACCAACATACCGCGGCCCCTAGGTTACATTATAGGAGAACACCAGGTCATCGACGTATACGCTCTCGGGTATACTCGACTTCGCGCACCGGGTACCGAACCCGGGCTCCGCATATTTGCATTTTTCTGCATTTTCCCGAGGCTGGTTTATTTTTGCTCCTTTTTCTCTTCTTTTTGTTCGGCCACAAGATTTCAGGGGTAGATGCAGGGGTAAGATCTAAAAAGGAGTTCTCTTAAGACAGTAAGATGCCTTGAAGATGCAAGATTGAGATATGTATCGAGGCGTTGTCTGTTAATCTCAAGGCGAGAAGAATGTGTCGACGTTCTAATGGCATTGCAAGTCGATGTGTGAGTCGTCAGGAAGTCCAAGTTGCAGGGTTGAGAGATTGAGTTGAACCTTCGTCATCTGCAATCTTGAACTTGTCAAAGTAGAAGCACAAATTAAGAACGATGAATTGAATCCGCATGTGCTGCCTTCCGAGAGACGAGTCAACCAAATTTAGGTAGCATGATCAAGCAGCTGCAACACTTTGATGAACAACACTCCTTGTCTCATTTGATGCTCATATTCTTCAAGAAGTCACGAAGAATCGAGATACCCCGCAAGAATATCGATAGCGTGCGAAGTTTTGCATGAGCGATGACTTGACAGGAATGTCAAAGAAGCTAGGAAGCCACGTCTTCCACTGGTTTCCGTGTTTGCGGTAATGACTGAATGAACACTTTCGACAGTCACACACTCCTTAACCGTGCATTCACATCACGATACTCTTACGTGAATAAACAATAGAGACAGTGTCTTTCATGATTCTGTCTAGACTAATTCTTTGATATGAGGTGCAAACTCAAAATGTTTCTCGGACTTATCGAGTCCGCTGGTATCCCGACTACTCATGTGATAGCATGTCACAGAAACAACCAAAGTGGCCAAGCGATAACCATACAGTGAATGCGCAGAGATGACATCCGGAGAAGGGTGTAAGCATCGACTTGCGCACGCAAGATCAGATTAAGGATATATGGCTCTGCAAGAAACCATGTGGAGAGTATGGGTACCGGTTACTGCGAAGCTCTGAGACGAAATTTTGCATATGAAGCATGAGGTAGACTTGAGTAGGTCAAACGAGAATAGAATAGATCAAGGACAGCTGAGAAGGACACAGCAGAAGTGGACGATCATACGGATTCAAGAATCCACAAGCTATTGATGGGTAGAAAGAGAATGATTGGAAGTCGTCCAGCCACTGAGCATTCGCCATCCTCCCAACAAGAAGGATACTCCAGCAGTCACACAAACTCCTGAACCATTGTGGATATCTGCAATCACGGTCATGATGGCTGCGGGGGACGTCGAATCAAGTCGTGCTGCAAGGTGCTGCAGAAGTAGGACATCGGGTCTCGTGATAGTGCTTGCTGGGTTCTCCTCTCCGTACAACTGCCTAGCAACGCTCTTCTCGTTGTGCGCTGGCTTGGTCGTATAGAACAAGCAATAAGGAGGTATAACCTGGTTACAAATTCGTACAACTCACATGTCTCCCTATGCAGATGATTGGCGCAGTGCCATCGCGGCAAAGCAGGAAAAGCAAGCTGGTGGTGAGATGGCCAGGAGAGTGGTAAGATGTTTAGCATGTGAGTGACGTTCGGTCCTGTTGCCTCACATGGTCGACATAAAGTGCGCGCGCCAAACAGACTTTCTTTCATCATCAACCTAGACCACATTTCTTGTAAGTCGATCTGCTGCGCGTTTTCTCTCTTGTAATCCTTCACGGCTCAAGCGATTTTCAATTGCGCAAGGAGCTTAGGGGCGCCAACGACAGCCTGACTGACCGGGCATAAGCAGACAAAATCACCATGCCCACCAACAAGAAGACTGACGCTGCTGCTCCCACCACCAAGTGCTCTGCTCTTATGGGCACCCCGGCTGGCTCTATCGCCAGCATCTGGCTGGCTACAAAGGCCAAGTTCACCAAAGAACCCACCGCGGGCAACATCATCAAGAAGGCCAATGGCCAGATTCTCGTCGCTGAACCTTCGGGCTTCAGATTTATCTTCGAAGATGAGATGCTGCAGCAACTCATGCTGCTCAACGCTTGAGACAGCAGAGGCGCGTTCTTTCTACTTTTGGAACAACCGAACAAGGCTGACACATAACAAAAAGTAGGTACCGGGCGCATGGCGTATCCAAGAGAGCCATCGATAGCACATTGCTGCGGCCTGAGGGAATAGCGAGGAGGTATATCATACAATGCAGCATTTTGGAGTATACCACCAGGAACTAACGCATCCAGGAGATGTTCTTATGGGAAACGACGATTTCGTTGCCAGTATTCGACTTGTGTCATGTGCATGTGCTTTGACCCTGTGTATGTGTGACAGTCGACCAGCCGATCGAATGTGAAGTTGAGGTGGAAGATTCTATCGTCGACCTGAGCCCCTGAGGGCCATCAACCAACTGTGCCAAGTATATCAAAGTGTAGATCCAAGAAGCGCGCGCTGATACTCAATAGCAGTCCTAAGGAGCGAAAATATCCATGACAAGACGTAGTATACTGACAGGATATGAGCTATCCACTGAGAACTCTGGCATGATCCGCGTCTTTTCGGACATGACCGTCCTTACAGTCAACTCTTTGCATTTTGATAGACGATTTACACCATTTCGAGGCCTCGGAGAAGTCATACGTTCGACATGTCTCGTTGCATCAAGCTCTCTTTCTCGTAAGATTCGAAACACGAAACGACATACCTTGGGATCGACGTGGTGATCTCACAGCAGAATATGTGCGAGCGGGCCAACTTGGGTAGATCCTTAACAGACAACCTAAGATGGGCTGGACACAACCGTCACACAGAAACATAAGTCGATCACGCTGAAATGGGACCTGCGATGATGTTTGTTGATCGCAAGAGGCAGCTTTCTGGCCTGTTTTCGCAAGTGGGGTATATCAAAAAAGGTCGCCAGTAATACCAACGCCGTGCATGCATCCTTTTCGCTGGATCATCAAAGGCATCAACTCATCAGAAGGCACTGTCGGGGAGGTTTACCAGAAGCGCCAGATGATGAAGAACAGAATGATCGTACCGAGAGCGGCAAAGGGTCCATACTTTTGCTCAGTTAGTGGGGGCAAAGATACTCAACAACGTCGAGGCTAACATACCTGTTTCAGGAGCAACTCCCAGTTGATTCTCACTGCGGCACGCTTGTACTTTTTACTGGACTCCCTCAAGTCGGAACTCATCTGGCCCATCCTGTCCAAGCTGTCACCACGGTAGAGCAAATCCTCCAGGTTCTTTGACATAATCTGGGTCGTCTCTTTCAACTGAGCTTGCACCTTGTCGAGGTTGTTGGTAGCTCTCGGGTTCTCGTAGGACTTTTTCGTGCGTTGCATGAAGGTATCGAAGTCATTGAAGGCGTATGGGCGCAGTGCTGAAGAACGATATTCGGTGTCTCTGTGGGTGCTCAAGAACTCGGCTGAGACGTCGTCGAGATACATGGCGGCAAGCTCCTTGGGAAAAGAACGCTCGGTGATGGCGAAGAAGATGAGGTCTTCATGACGGTAGTAGCTATGGCATCCAAGTCAGACATGGAAGATCAATACATGGTCATGGACTGCATACTGGAGCTTGTATTCGCCCGACTCGATGGCAGCTCGTGGTTCGGAAGTGTTGTTCATCTTGCGGACGAGAGTTCGTTGTTGGTTCTTGAGATTCGAGATGGTGTCATCGTGCTGCATGCTATGAGTTTCTGTTCTTCGCTGTGGCTCTGGTTGTACGCACTGGAGAGTTCTCGATGGATGCTGCGAGCATCAATCCGTCCAAACGGACGATTTGTGTTGAGTAGATGGGCATTCTGGAGATTCTTCTTCCGAGTCAGCTTGTCTGATACGGTGCACAAGCTATCGCGTATCTCCGGTTTGTAGTCTGGATGCGCAGAATGGTGAAAGCAGAAAGTTGCGCCTGGCTGACAACTGTTGACTGCCAACTTGCAGAGGCAGTCACGCATCGATGGCGTCATACCAACTTTTGCTGGAGAAGGAAGGCAGACTCACATTGAGTATCGGGTTCACTAGAGTCACAAGGCCTAAATCACAAAGTTTCTCGCAATACACAGGATGGTAGTGTTACGGCTGAAAATGTTATGAGTTGGCTCAGGACAAAGATGCAGCTCGCCAGTTCAAACATGCTCTGGCCAGGGGGTCAACAAACTCCGATTTCCGAAGGCGGTGAACATCTGCCAGCAAGCACATGCATCTCCAAGCGAAATAGCTCTACGACTTTACCTACCTGCAATCTATACCATCCAACATTATGACCAGTACATTTATAGATATTTGGTGTCAAGCATCGGCATCGTCCCACGATACACTGCTATGGTTCAGGAAAGCCACAGGTGGGTATGACGAGCTGCCAGGAATTCAATAGCTCTGCTCTGGAAGCCATACAATCTACCCTGGTTCCCATGATGTATCCAGATTGGTTTGCAGTAGTCTGAGGCCTTGGAGATACATAATCATCTTTGAACAAGCCAAGATGCCACATCACTACGATGCCATCTCTTTCTACTGCTTACCAAGTCTCGCCTCATCATGAACTGAACTCCGTACGCACATTCAGGCTATCGACATATACTGTTATCAATCAGAAAAGTAGCAATAAGATCAATCGAATCGTATGTTCTCAGCCTCGCAGAGCAGTCATATCGAAAGGTAAGCAGTCATTACTGAATGGGCGCACGGACCATCGTCTTCCTTCTTAATACCATCAATAAATGCTTCCACACTCTTTCCCCTATCCAACAACCAATACTCTACGACAACAACATCAAATCACCATTCACTTCACGCGTTATCATCGAAGTTCACACACCACTTTCGAAGTAATTAATATATCACGTCAAGAGGCTTGTGCTGCATCTCCACGATCAAATCACTTCGATCGATCGCTTCCTCTCTACAAACTTCAAAAAGAGCAAAATCGCTCCAAAGTCTCGTTTCTGTCTCATCTCATACATAAATTCACTCGAAGTCATGTCAGACCGTCTCATCAGCCAAGCGAACTCAAGGCTCACCAAAGTCAATCTTGTGGTAAGTAGACCATCCATCGTTTCTAGCCATTTGAAAGCTTACTTGTTTTACAGAATCTGCTCACCAGAGAAGAGGCTTGGTCCTCGCTTGATTTGGACACAAGACGCGAGCTATATCGCATGCTGCCGGTCCCGCCGCACACTAGCGATTCTGAGCCTGATCCTGACGTACATCCGCTCAAGACAAGCTACGCCAAATACATCAAGCATTTCATCTACGAATGGGAACAAGACCTTGCTGCTGGTCGCAACACTGCAAAGTGGCAGAAACAGGCCAAGCAAGCAAGCGGAGAACGTATCTCAGGGGCATATGATGATTGGAAGGAGAAGGAGCGCGAGGAGCACTGGGGTCAGAAGTATGACCCAGAGCACTTCAAGAAGAACTAAGCAATGAGATTATATCATTGTGTAACGACGTAACGACACTAATGATCACGAAACGGAAGGGAATTACTTTGCATGCTTAGAATATATAAATTTGACTTGCTCCTCTACGATCATCAGACTCACTAGAACTTCTGTGGATATGCACCGGAAAATCATAGAAAGCACTTTGACCCGTAGGCGAATCTATGCTCTGAAAGATCAGTAGTACTGAACGAGTATTTTCATGGCCTTTTAGGAACAGTGGTGTTTGTGCATTTTTTATGCATGGATGTCTGTTGGCAACAGGATATGTCCGCAACGTCATGCGAACAACTCGAAATGCAATCAAGATCGACCTCCCAAGACTAAACATTTGCTCGTCCACCGTGAAAACGAGTCTCGTCTTGAGTTCTCGAGTCACCAATCTTTTTGCTATCAGAAATCCATACACCATTTCGTCAGCTTGGATGCAACAGTATTCTCAGAGCAATAATCCGAAATCATAAAAATTCTTCAGCATGGCACCAACAACATTGCAGCACCGTCGCACGCATAACTTGCTGTTGATCTCGAAACTGTTGTCACAGCGCGAGAACGTATCGCCTTTTACCTTAGTCGTGGATAATTTGGAACAATCAGGAAAGCCTGTACTCAGAGAATATATTCGACGGGCTGCAGTAAGTTTCTCTCGAAAGAATCAATATTTGGTTCTGGACTAATGTTTACGGCAGGTAGCAAAGACCGAAGTCATCTTTGTTTCATTTGAGACTCTAAAGAAACCGAAAGATGTTGGTGTCTTTGTCAAGGCGTGGGAAAGTGGCGTGCAGCAAGCTCAGAAGGAAGTCGGTGCATTGATTGCAAGGGCTACTCAAACACAACAGCGTGAGTATCATGTAAATGTGTCTGGAAGAAACAGATTTTGATGGTTACTCAACAGGCAAACTATTGATCATCGACAACCTGAACACATTGGCCTCGGATCCATCAACAGCGGCAAATCTTCCAGCACTTCTATCCTCATTTCTCTCGCCCACAGTATCACTGGTGGCCGTCTACCATGCTGATATTCCTATCCCACCAAGCATATCCTCAGCTGCACCTTACACGCCTCAACCACTAACGGTACTCAAATATCTGGCTACTACCATTCTCACCACACACGCACTAAACCACGTCCTTGCTGCAAAAGCGGCTCGCGAACGCAGCGTTGCTGAGCCTGTCTTTGGTCTAGCTGAAGAGGCCGAAGGCGTACTTCTCGGTCTCGGTGGTAACTCAACCTCTGGTCTGGTGCTCGAGATGGAGTACCGCCGTAAGTCCGGACGTGGTGTGCGAGAGTGGTACTTCCTACCCCACCCTACATTGCAGAAGCAAGAAGCAGTTGGAGTGAAAAACAGGTTCAGTGAGACGGTCATGTTATTGGAGGACCATGTGCTTTATCGCAGACCTGCGGAGGAGAAAGAGCAGACGGGAGATGACATGGACGTTACATTTGAGTTGGGTCTGACGGATAGGCAGAGGCAGGCTAGAGAGGGAGTTGTGTTGCCATACTTTGATGCACAGAAGGGCGGTGGCGAAGGTGGCAGGATTCTGTATGATATGGGTGAGGAAGATGACTTTGATGAGGAAGAAGACGAGATCTAGTACTCACACAAATCGAAATCTTGATAGAGTCATGAACTCATGATGCTCTTTTGCATCAAGTCAGAATGTGACCCTGTCCTCCGCTCTAGACTTTCAAAGCTCTTGTGACATCAAGCACGAATTCAGCCAGCAACCATCCAACTCAAACACTTTGCGCAACGATCACCATATCAACATCCCGGCAGTCGCAAATAATCACTTCGACCATCAAACACTTCTGCCGACAAATTGCGTCCCAAGACAACCTCCATCCACTCCACAAACACAATGGCGCCTCGCGACCAAAGTCCACGCTCAAGCGATCACCGCCGCCCATACTCAGATCGTCGCGATCACAATCAAAGAGACACACGCGACTCACGACCACGCCGCGACCGCAGCAACTCACGCGACCGCGCTCCTCACTCTTCGCGCGGCGGCGCCCGCAGCGGCAACACTTCCTACAGACACTCAGACCGCGACGCCAGACCAGCCCGCTCACGCTCACCCGAGCGCTTATCACATGCCGGCTACAACAGCTCTGCCCGCCAGCGATCTCCGCCTCGTGCCCCTCGTGGTGCGCCCAACGGCCGCGATTACCGCAAGCCGAACGGCAAGGCAGAAGAGGCTCCCGCGCCGATAGACCCTGATGAGGACGAGGAGACGGCGATGAAGAGACTGATGGGTTTCAGCGGTTTCAGAAGCACCAAAAACACAAAAGTGCCCGGCAATGACAAGCTGTATGGAGTGAGGAAGGATAAGAAGACCGAGTACAGACAGTACATGAACCGTGTTGGCGGATTCAACAGGCCACTCAGTCCTACGAGAATGTGAGCTTCTATCTAGGGAAGGGACTTGCGATTTCAGCGATGGCGTTATTAGGAAAGCATTTTGGATTGCATCGAAGAATGTCGAGGAAAGACTGGCCAGGGCCCATGGGCTTTACAGATGCTGATGACGAAGGAAGAAACAAGGATATCATTACCAAACAAACAACTTTCGTTCAAGGACAAAACAGCTAAGATCTGGGATACTCGCTCGCCGGTAGCAAGCTAGGTCCTCCTCTTGCAGTATGTGCAATTCCACTCAGAAACAAACAAGGACTATCATGAAACAAGGCCATCAAGAAAAGAAAAAGGCAAAGCTTCAAAGAAAACATGATAAAGATCAGGTCCAGCCCGAGCGCTCAGTGGTGGGCGCCAGCAGCGTGAGCAATGCTCCTCTTCAGTCGCAACGTAGGATCTTGCAATGCTGGTCGGATGAACGAGTAGATGCCGAAGCTGAGAGAAAACCCCATGACCATAACTATTGCGTCTAGTCAGCTATCGGTTTTTCCTTCATTATTTGGAGGCAGAGGGAAATCGTACATAATGGGTATGTCTCTACGGGTAGAGATTTGATCCAATACCTCACTCGCTGAGTGACGGTATGAGCGGCATGTTCTTCTCTAGCTGCTGCTTGGAGAAGTCTGGGTGTGGAATGGATGGATCGTGTCGCTGTTGCTCTGGCTGCTCGTGTAGCTTGGAAGAGTGTGCGTTGTGCGAGCATTGTGGTTGGTATGGTTGATGAAGGTGGTGACAGATGAGATCTTGTCTAGATGAAAAGCCAAAGATGGTATTCTGTATTCGATTGTGTTGTGATGATGATAGGAATTGTCTTGAAGAATTGTATGGCTACACTCACAGAGGAACGAACCTATATACTCCTTCCACAAACTACATATTGCTCATTCTCTAAACCAGCTTTCCCTATTCAGTATACAATATAGGGCACCCAAGACCACGAGGCTACAACAATCTGGTCATCACGCCGTCGTAGGATTCACCTTTGCCGTTCCATGCCGATGTCCTTGTGCCTATACTGCCCAGCGGCTCCGTACATATCACAGATAGGACGAACACCATTCGCATGACCCAACAAACCTGTCATGGAAGTTTTCGGGAAATGAACAGCCGCGCGGTAGAATCGCCGTCGCTTGTTAGGCTGGTGATGTGAGCTGAGGTGAGTGGTGTTGCAACAGCAGGAGATGTCACACCACAGGAGGCTTCCTCCGTCGCCGCGCCCGGCAGCTGCGCTCGGGAGGGACTTTCTTCGCTTGACCATGATTCCTGCAACCACTTGTTCACAACGAACTGTCTCCTTTCACAATGTCTTTTCGATGACACATTGCGCATCTGCAACCAGAAAGAATCGGAAAAGTGATTGTGTAGGCAAGTTCATGGGAAGAGTGGAAGTTGACACGAGAATTCAGGCAAGAACAACGACCGCTGCTCCGTCGCATACTGTTTTGGGAGAAAATGTCACAAACAATTCATTGCAAGATCTCAATACTGCTTTCCTACATGGCTCAGTGCCACCGATGTCCACGAATCCCGTCTTACATTGTCTTCGTCTTGATCAGATGCTGGTAGCGTGTCGTGGTCCACTTTCGGATCTTCTTTCCAAACATGATGAAGAAGAGCGCGAACATGGTGACAGCAAAGCTCAAGCAGCCGATGAACACGAAAGTGTTCTGGAGCCCCATGCCTTGAATCCATGACTGGATACCGAAGGATATCCCGAAGCCAATGATATTTCTGATCAAGATGATGGTAGTCACGACCTGCGTATCAATCTCTTTGTACGAGTCGAGGATATAACTCATGGTCACCGTACCGCCAACACTGAGACCAAACCCAACGAGGCCCATACCCACGACAGGAGCGATCCAATGCAGACCGTGCGCAGCAGTCGCACCATAAATGATCAAGCCTCCTGGCATGATGAATGCGCTGGGGATGAATGCCCAAAGACGATATTCTGGCTCCCTCCAACCCCGATTGCGGTTGCTGAGGTACACTGTGAGACGATCGTTCAAAGGTCCCGAGAAATAGGCGCCGACTAGAGATCCGATCAGTGGTGCGAACCAGACCAGTCCTATGGCACTGTTGGAAAAGAGATATGGAGGTGGCGCGAAGATCAGGGCGACAGTTGTGCCCATGACCGCTAACCAGCTGACGCAAGTACCATAGTTGATACCACACTGACAAAGGTTAGTGATATTGTCGCAAACACTGACGAAGAACTTACCCAGACGACTGCTGGCAAGCCAAGACACTTGAGTGGCAGCCACCACTCAGTGAATACGGCAGCCCAGGTAGTGGGGTATGTTTTCCACAGACTGTACTGAATCCTGAACCCTTCTGCATCGAAAACTTCTCCAACAATAGCCTCGGGGTGTTGATGTGCGCTCTGGCTATCTGGCTCTTTGGACATGGACTGTTTTGTCAACTTTTTTTCAAGCCCGAGCATGTCAGCAGCGCTGACCAGAGCTTCGTCGTGCGAGTCCAAAGGCCGGATGAAGTGTGTTTCCTCAAAGGTGAAGAAGAATAGCACGAGCAACAAGCCAAGAACAATCACACCCCACCAGTACATCCATCGGACACTTTGACCGGTGACCATGTAGCCACCGCATACTGGACCCACGAAGCTTCCCAAGGCCAGACCGAAGACGTAGGCTCCGAGCTTGCCGCCACGTTCATGAGCGAAGTAGATGTCCGAGATCGAGATCGCTGGCAATGCCTCGAACGGTGCAGACCCGAGGCCTCGTAAGATATTGACTGCCCAGTACTCGCCGTAGTGCTTTGAGACAGCCATCCAGATCTCGGATACGAAGACCAAGACGAGTGTCCAGATGTATACCGATCGCCGACCAAACTCTGTATGGAAGTCAGAATTTCAACTCTCGCCCATAAAGGTACAGCCTAATCTTACTGTTTGACAATGGCACAAAGAAGACATTTCCCACACCAAGCAGCAACAGCATCACAGCTCCGGCGTAGTTCAGCTCGTTGATGCCAGTGTGGTAGATCTGCAACAGATTGAGGTAGACAACAGAGTCTCCATTTGTGATGGCTCCAAGAGCCGCGCTGTAGAACCTGGTCAGGTATTAGCCAACGTGTCGTGAAGTTAGTCTATCAGAGCCACGCCACTTACACTAGGAGAAATAGATGGTAGCCCTTTCGCCACTTGGACCAGCGAAGAGGATCTCGGGGATCGTTCGATGGAGTGGGCATCAAGATGATATCCTTCGAGGAGAAGCCATGCTGATGCGCACCTTGCACCAAATACACGGTGCCGGGGACGACATCATAGTCTGGGATATCTTGTCGAACAGACTCCATGGTAGAAGAGGAGGCCAACTCTGAAAAAGTATAGTGATAAGCGATAAGTAAGGAGTTCGAACGGACTGGTTCGTAACGACGATCCAGAGGCCTTTATGTACATCCCAGGTTGTGACTTTGTCGACTGATGTATGTATCAAGCCCAAATTCAACGGCACTTATCTCTGAGGATGACAGCTCCTGAACGGAGGTCCTTCGTTGCAGCTGATCGACTTGCATCCTGTTCAGATGTGGCAGTATCGTGAAGATGGACATGGTGGCTGTTCGCACTCGAGGTCGAGCCTGATATGCCTAATTGAGTAACACCGCATTGCGGGTCCATCTATGGAGGCCTGGTCCTCAGAAATATGCACGATATCTAAGTGAAGGTTCTCAATTGGCTCCTGCAGCCAATCTCGGTCGACACCTCTCCTTAGACACTACCGCCTTTTAGCGTACCCGCTATTCCACCTCCCCCGCATTTGACCACTCCGCGTGGCACAACTTGCCCTGATGAACCTTCGTTCCCGAAAGGTGATCAACGCGAGGTCGGAGACACTGTTATCAAGTAGGACCGCCATTTAGCTCCATACCAAGGGCCGCCATCTGATCTTAGAACGTGATAACCCCTCACCTCGAAAGATACGTGAACGTCCGGAGTCTCATAATGATCGATTGCCGATGCGGAGCAAAACCGCTGGCAACAGATAATGATTACAGTCGTGCTTCATCTGCTGCTGGTCTCAGTATAAGGCTAAGTCTCGCCTTCTGACTTTCTGCGGACATCTCTTTTCGTTGCTCTTCCTGTGTCGTATACCCAATTACTTTATACAATGGCCGGCGACAAGACATACATCGACATCTCTCGGGCCAAGTGTGAGCAGAGAGATCGACTCATCAGAAATGAGTGGAAGATCTCGAAAAAGCTAGCACTTGGAAACAACGTCCTCGAGGTGCCAAAGACCTGTGGCATTCTCACGGATCGAGAGATCACAATCACTGAGGACAATGACGCTGTTGATATCGTCGACAAGATACGCCAGCAAGAGTACACAGCAGAGGAAGTTACTGTAGCCTTCTGCAAGCGTGCTGCTGTGGCACAACAATTGGTATCTCTTCTTGAGCTTCATTAGTACCAGTAGCTGATCGTCATCAAGACCAACTGCCTTACAGAGATCTTCTTCGAAGAAGCGATTGAGAGAGCTCGCCAGCTCGACCAAGAGCGTGCTGCTGACCCGTCGGCACCATGGAAGCCTCTACATGGGCTCCCCATCTCCCTCAAAGACTCTTTCAAGATTCCAGGCTTCGACTCGACAATTGGCATGACATACTTCGCAAACAAGCCAGCCACAGAGTATTCCGCTCTACCCAAGCTACTGCTGGATCTTGGTGCTGTGCTGTACTGCAAGACCAATGTCCCGCAGACTATGATGACAGCAGACTCCGACAACAACGTCTTTGGTCGAACACTCAACCCTTCTAATCTGAAGTTGACTGCAGGCGGCTCTTCGGGAGGTGAGGGTGCCCTTGTCGCAATGCGGGGCAGTGTACTAGGAATCGGCACGGATATTGCAGGCAGTATTCGTATACCAAGCATCTGCAATGGTATCTATGGTGCGCGTCCGAGCTCCGGCATCGTGCCTTTCGATGGTCAGCAGTCACCAGAAGATCCGGGTATGGTTGGCATTGAGGTTGTGGCAGGTCCCATGGCAACATCGTCGAGGGCATGCTCTTTCTTCATGAAGACAATCATGAGCGCTCAAGCATGGCGTTATGACTCTTCGTGTTTGCACCTTCGCTGGCAGGGTCAACAACCCAGTCGCAAGCCACGCATTGGCCTTGTCCTTGACGATGGTGTTTACACACCTTTCCCACCCGTACGCCGAGCCATCAGAGAGGCAGCACAGAAGCTGCGAGACGCAGGTGTTGACATTGTAGAGCTGAGACTGCCTCATGTTGCTGATGCTGTTGGTATCACATACGGAATGTTCGCGCTGGACGGCTGCCAGGTAAGCAATGTGCTTTGCTTGTCAGATCTTTGTTTAATCTGTTGTTCCTGCAGTTTGTCCAGGATCTTATGAAGGAAGGAAAAGAGCCTCAAGTCGAGTCCGTGAAGAGAGTCAACCTTGCCGCCATTCCCAAGAGCAGTATGCAAGGCTACATGGACTTGACCGCAGGAAGACGTAAACTACAGGCTGTCTACCACAACTTCTGGCTCGACAATCAGCTAGATGCTATCATGCTACCTGGAGCACCCCAGACAGCAACGCGATTCGATGAGTGGGGTCCGATCAACTACACCATGCTCTGGAACTTCCTCGATTATCCTGCGACTATCATTCCCACAGGTCGGGTTCGCGAATCCGATGTCGCGGATGGCGAAGATTCGGCTCTGTATGGGGAGCAAGATCTGAGGAACTACAAGCTTTGTGAGCATCCATGTGTACTTGGTCTGGAGATCATTACTAACGGTCTTTCTCTAGATGATTCCCCTGAGACATACAAAGACGCACCGCTGTCTGTACAGATTGTAGGAATGAGGCAAGAGGATGAAGCATTGGCAGGGGTCGTTGGTCTTGTGGACAGCATTCTGAACCAGTCGTGAGGCATCGAGCCCATCCTGCATTTTCTTTTCTACGTTGGAGAGCTTCTGGAGGTAGTATGAGTCCATGTTCAAGGTGTGAGATGATAGGGTATAAACACTTTCTAGAAACAGGAGGGCTTCCATCTGACAACTGTTGTTCATTGCTAAAGACGAGTTCGAACGGACATTGATGGTGCAGTTCTACAGCTACAAAGACGTCAGACTCTTGCGCAAGGGAGACATGCTCGTGCTCGTTTACATGAAGTTCGTCAGCTCATAGGCGTCTATCAAGATCTTGCTGTCATTCATAGCGAGGACGCCGATACCGAAGACGCTGTTCAACCAGTCATACGGTCCCGAAGCCTCGAATTGCAAGCGCGTGAACCAGTCCACCTCATCTTGGGTCATGCGAGTACGGTTATCAGGGTCAATGTTCACACCAGGACCAGGCTTAAAGATGCCTTTCGAGACGATATAGATGTAGTGCCCGTCATCGGTCTTGAGAGTGTATCTCGCATCCAGACGCGTAAGCTAGACTGCAATGTCAGCAGGATCTCATTGTTTGCATCTCGTGTGACTTACACCTGTCTTTCCAATCACAAGACCCCAATCTGCTCCACTCATGTGCTCTATAATTCCCGAGATTTGAGGTCCCTTGACAGTGCCGCCGACAATGGGCATAACGACTCTGGCATTGCTTGTGCCAGACTGAGCTCCAACAAAATGATTATCTTTTGCCATTTCGCACTCGAGGCGATATATGAACTTCATGGACGGTGTTCGCATTGAAATCGAACTGTCTGAGTAGGCATCGCCAGGGGAAGATGTTTGTGCTTTTGGTGTGGACATAATGAATCCGATGCAGAATCGAGTGCAGTGATGCTATGTTTTCGTTGAAGAGGGCTCAAGTCTAATTTATATATCTGTCCAGAGCACGGGACTACTACCGCTTATACCTACCAGATGCGTAACCGAGGTGGTCGGGTAGTGGTTAGGAGCCTCATCGGTCAGGGTCCTTCCCACAGCAAGTAAATTCATCTTTGGGCAAGACCGCTTTTCAAGCGTCTTTTTCCCGTATCGCACGCCATTGCCTACATTCGCAAAAGCTAAACAATAAACATGCCGAGTTTGTATTTGCTCGGTTGATGAGTGGCCCCTACCTCAAACCTTATCATATGTTCGCCCCGCACTTGCCTTGTTTGATTGATAACAACGATACGGCCGAGAACATCAGCAATTTGCAACCTTCCATCTCAACATATCGCATCAATTAGTATGTTTACAAATTTCTCAAACACAAGTCAAGGCCTGATAGAATCAAATCCCCGGCCGAAAACCAATGGCTCCAACGTCAGTTGCCTACCATGTGAGTATTACCTTGGCCAGAGCATTATGGTATTGACGCACAGTTACAAGGCCGACGAAAGAAGAAAAAATGTGACTTAACAAAACCAATATGCGAGAGATGTCGAAACAGCTATGGTCAGGATCGGTGTCTGTGGTCAGACGGGCAGAAACGGCAACGAGTTCGAAGTCGAGAAGCAACATCAAGTCAAGAACCTGAGACCCGGCCTTCACCAATTTCACCAAGCAGCTCTAGAAGCAGTTCCCTGAGCCTGTCGAGGCTCGAAACGACAACAGGACCAACCAGTATTCCAGTCACTAGTTATCCAATGGATCTGGGATTCGAGAACTTCTGCTCTTGGAGTATACCAGAAGTGGTGACTCAGATATCTCCGTGCGATTAACGAGCATCTTCAATCAAAGCACCACTGACATGAAGCAGTGACTTGTCCCCTCAAGGATTCTTGAGCATATCCGCAGCCTTTCAGAATCAGGTCCTCTGTCTCGAAAGCGACTATAAGAATTCGATTGTCGTGAACAGCCTTCCTCTAGCTCTTGAGCATCCGACTCTCCTACACGCTTGGGTTGCGTGCAGCATCATAGCACTATCCCGCTCAATGCCCTATTGGCACGAGAAGGCCATCAGGCACTATGATAGTGCTGTCAGTGGACTAAGTCAAGCCCTGCAAGACGAACCACGGACGAACGACAAGTGGAAAAGAGAAACAGTTCTGTTGTTACACTTGTTCGAGGTGAGCCTGGTGAAGGCATTGACAAACACTCGCTAATCTTTGTTATAGGGCTTCCAGTCAAAAGACGAAGAGTCTGCACTCGGTAAGGCCCATCTGCGTGGAGCGCACGAGCTTTTCATCCCTGCCGTCAAAGAAAAGTCTCCTGTCAGCTACCACGAGATACTGGTACTGGAAGCTTATATCATGCACACGACCAACAACCATCTCTTCCAACCGGATTCACAACTACCTATTACACATATCACCCAGGCACTAGAAACATTTACATCGGCTTTGGAGCGGCTAAACATGCAATGCAATTGGCGAAGTAGTCCTTGGATCGGTTTCGGTGGCCCCGATCTAGCAGACATGGCCTACAGAGTTTCCTGGCTCACGCATAAGCCATGTCTGGACGACAACGATCATCGAGAAGTGGAGGATCTAATCGCACGCCTTTCATCGTGGACCGCGCCAGCATGCCAGGAAGATGCCACATCACCACACCTGGACTTACCACCGAAGCGTCTTGCTTTACTTGCCCGAGCTTATTGGTGCGCATGTTCATATCTCGCGGCGCATCTTGCACAAGAGCAAAGCTGTAGTCTACCCTTCGATGCCGACACTTTCGTGATCGAAACCCTGCAGCTTCTAGACCAGCTTGTTGAGTATGAACATACGATCAACAACCACTTATGGCCATTGGTTGTTATCGGCACAGCAGCAAGAGATCCAGCAGCTCAAGAGCATATCAGGTCGCTTCTGCCGCGATTTCAAGAAGGTCTAGGACCTGCGTCTCTAAGAAGAGCCGAGAGGTTTCTGACAACCGCTTGGAAGCCTTCGAGTATGCAAAGAAAACACCTAACGACCAAAGAACAGCAAAAACCAGCAACATCAATGAAATTCGGACTGAGCTGTCATTAAGACAATTCAGGTCATCAACCAGTCTAGTTTAGTCATACATCACCATCTCGTGTGCTGAAGTATGTCACGCGTGTAATTTAAGAATGGATTTAGATGGGAGTCACAGCCTTTAGCACACGAGGAGGTCAGATGTAAGACAAGTAACTGAAAGGAGTACAAGGACCAGGGGCATCTCGTTGAAAGAGAAAGCGTTTGAAAATCATCGTCACCGTATTCTCAAATATGTAAGCGGCGGGTAGGCTCTATAAATGCACAATACTTTCTGGCAAATACACATGGTTTTCCGATGAGAACTCAGCGACAACTCATCGGCTCTCTCTACAGACACTGCTCCTGCTTCCGAAAACCCAACTGTGCCTTTTTGTAGTATATGTCCTGCTCTTTGCTGTACGCAGAGTAAACGACGCAAGTTACGGACACGGGAAGGATGAACAAACAAGATGCTCTGATCAGCATGGTTGATTTGTTTCATCATTTTAGTAGTGACGGATTCTACCTACAACAATCATCGAGACCAGCAAATTGCCTTTCCCACAGCAGCTTCGTAAACGCCTTGACACCAGTATGCTAGCTCCCTATTCCTTCCTTCCAAAATCCAAAACCAACGCTTATGTACCATAAATTCCATCAGAAGAGCAACGATCAGCCTTGCGAATCTTGCGAAGGTCCATCCACACCAATATCTCCATTCTGGAACTTGTTCAAGTTCTTGAGTAAGAAACTGCGCTTGAAGTAAGTGTTGGGGTGCGTGATGGTGTCGAGTTCACTTTGAGGCCACAGCGAATTATCCTTGACCTTCTTGATCTCGTTTCTGTGCTGGTATTCGAAGACGCGGTTGCAAGCAATATGATAGCGAGTTTTCGTGACGTCCTCCTTGACACTTTTGAGGACTTCACGGTCTGACACTCCAGTGGCTTGGAGGAGGCCCATGAGATTGTCTGGACTGAACCAGCGGTATGGGCATCCGTGGCTTTGACCGCTGCTCGGGACATCGGTGATGAGTTTCTGGCAAGAGTAGGGAGTATATCCTCTACCACGTCTGTTGGAGTCACCGCCGACATCGCCGTAAGCGTGGCGGATGTTGTAGAGATATTCTTTCTTGAACTTGTCGTCGGTCATGAGCTTGAAACTCTTTCGCCAGAATACGATACATTCGTTCATGTCGAGACCGATGCCTTTGAGGAAGAGGGTGTATTGCAAGCGGGCGAAATGCTTCAAGTGGCTGTTCTTGCGCAGCTCGCGGTGAAGACTTTGCATGCAGAGAGGGAAATGAGAAGCTAGGGCATCGATCATATTGGCTGTGATGACGGTTGTGTCGGAGATGGAGGAAGCGTCGGCGTTGTATTGTGAGTCGGGGGAGGCGAAAGACTTGGACAGATGGGTGAGGATAGGAGAGAGGCGATTGTCTTCGTCCATGCGTGGTAGGGCACGAGCAGCCAATTCGAGGCCAGCCTCAAGCTGTCTGCTGAACTCTCCAACAACCATGCTCGTCTGCTCGCGCATGTGAACAAAAGCCTTGCCCATCTTGAGGAGTACCTTGCGCTGTTCTACGAGCTCAGGCACGTTCTCCCAATCGACCTTGAACCATGATTCCTCCTCGTTCTTGTAGACGCCAGTAGCACTCTTGAGCTCGTCAAGCAAGCGAGCCTTCTCGTCATCGGACACAGTCTCCCAGCTCATGTTGAGGCTTTGAATGAATTCTCTGCGTTCTCGTGCATCGTTCTGGTTGAGTCGGAGGCGGAAGAGTTGAGTTTCGAGTCTGGCGAAACGCTTACGAAGTTCTTCTGTTGCCGAGAAGGCAAGGCGGAGAGTCCAGTGTGAGTAGTGATCACGCTTGCGCTGGAGTTCGTGCTCAGTCGATCTCGAAGAGTTCTGGTCCAGTCGTAGGTATTTGTCCAGGATGGGCTTCATATATGTCGAGGTTTCTTCAGCGGTGCGGTTGCGGAATTGGCATGATTCGAGTTCGGCAAGGACTGTGAAGGGTGTCAGTAAACAGGAGGTCGGCAACGGAGGATGATATTACCCTTCAGTCTGGCGATGCCCCATTCTTCAAACTGCTCAAGGGCAATGTCGCCAGTGGGAGGGAGGTTGTAGAAGTTCATGGCGTGCTCGTAACTCTGTTCCTGCCATTGTGATTTTGCGAATTGCCTCTTGCGAGGATCGAGCACTGCTCGTCGCTTATTGTCAAGCCGCGCAATGGGTCTTGCTGCCAACATCTTGGTTGTTTATAGTGTACGTCTGGTTGTGGTCACCAAAAAGATGGTCTCTACCGATCAGACGCGACTGTTCGGGGAACCGCGACGCGTTGTGCCAAGAACTCAATCATTCAATCAAGTTCGGGAAGGCGCGTCATGCTTTGCTTGCATTAACTTACATAATTTAATGCTCGACCTCTATACATTCTACTCTATATCCTTCTAACCCAGCAAGTCACCAAGCTTGTTGACATATGCTGATGGCACCACAGGAGCGTCTTCGGCCAAGAACTCTTCCTTCTTGCTGACACCGGTCAAGACGGCCAGTGTACCTCCAAGCTTGCCCTCGATGCCGAATTGGATGTCTGTGTTCAGGCGGTCTCCAATCATGCAGACACGGCTGCGATCGAATTGGAACTTGCCCTCTACTGCATCCATCATGGCCTGACTAGGTTTGCCCAAAGCCAAAGGCTCCTTGCCCCACGCCTTGACAAGAGGGGCACCTACCGAGCCAGCACCGGGGAAGAGAGTGTGTGAGTTGGGCAGAGTCGAGTCGGTGTTGGTTGCCAGGAAGACAGCTCCTCTGCGGAGGTAGTGGTATGCCATACTCAGCTTCAGGTAGTTGACGTTGAAGTCAAGACCAGCCAACACAACGCCGACATCAGGGTCGAGAGCACTTCCGTTGGCAATGTTGGTGAAGTCTTCAGGCTTCATCTCGCGGCGAAGGTTGGGATCGGTACCTCCGCAGTAAGGCACGTTCTCGGATGCCAACTCGGCCTCAATGCCCGACTCTCCAAGCACAAAGACCTTGTTCTTGGGTGCCTCGAGCTTGAGAATGCGAGCAATGTAGATGGCGGCACTGTAAGCAGAGCCAAAGACTTCCTCCTGTTCATGTCGTCAGCCCTGCTCGGCCGCCAATTGATCCTGTCGACGTACCACTTTGCAAGGAATGCCCATGCTATCAAATTTCTTCTTGTAGTCTGCACGCGACTTTGTGCTGTTATTGGTCACGAAGACCAGTTGCTTTCCTTTGCTTCTGAGCATCTCGATCGTCTCCTTGGTGCCTTCGAACAGATGATCGCCCGACCACAGCACGCCTATCCTTCTCGTTTCGTCAGTCTCGGGTTTTTGGATCCTCGTATGCGTTTGCAAGCTGCCATGTCGGATATATATGTGCTCGAAACTCGGGTTGATTGCGTACCATCACAGTCGAAGAGGAAGACCTGCGACTAGTCAATGTGTTGTTCATCTGTGGGCGAGCATCTGGACGTACATCGAACTTGTTGAGGAAGTCGTCAATCCCGGCCTTGTCGCCAGTCAGAAATTTGGGAGCCATGGTGGTTGTATACAGGAAGATAGAATTGTTGAAAGCGCATGCCCCTCCAACATCGTCATGGCCGGCGTCCGACCCCGCTCTCCGAACACGGCCTGCTTCTCGGCTGCTGCACGTCTCCTCCAACTTGTGCCTTCCATCTCAAGTTCTGTCCTCATTTGATACACAAAGTCATTAGCTGTTCTGCCAATGACTTTTGTCTTGATCATGTGCCTCGACAGCTCTCTGTCTTCTTCAGAGGGTGCATTTGACCGTCTTTCAGTCTCTCAATCAAGTTTCAGGGCATGCTTAGTACCATCAAACAAAAGATCTATCTTGCCATTCTAGTTACAAGCGTAGGTGTAATTGTGTCTCCCAATCACATCTTCAATACAAAGTCTTAAGCCTGTTTTAACAAGTTTCGAAGACCAAGCATTTACTGTCATCTCGCACTTGATCTAACCATTGGTACCACTTGATGCCTCCAAGAACTAGGACCAACAGGCTCTGCCGTCACTGTGCTAGCACTCCAACTTGTTACAAACCACTTAGAATCGTCACTTGAGACAGGCTTCAACAGCTCGTCACTTTGGTTATTGCCACAAATTTGACACTTCTTCTGCCTCCCTCCACCGCTACCATCTCTTCTTCACAGTCACCATCTCCATCAAACAAAAGCCCAGAATGGTTGTCATCAAGGCTATTGCACACAAGGACTCCGCACAACTGACTCCATGTCTTAACGACCAAAGACCTCACCCATCACGAACCTTTGTACCCGAGCTCATCGAAGGAGCTCAAGCAAAGCCGTGCACCGGCTGGATGAACCTCCGAAAGCCACCTCAAAGCGGCTGGTGGGCAGACAGACAATTTTGCCAATGCCCACCCTGCTATTTCTACAACCTGACTGATCAGATCAACAGTGGCGCTTTGCCTTTTGCCGTTGCTGTTCCGCTTGCGCAATTGATCAACGTGGGCTTGATCAGACTCAACTTCCGCCACGCCGAACACGCAAATGTGTTTACAGCCGAAGACAAAGACTATGCTTTGTCTCTGCATCGTGATATCTGCTATGGCATCAATTCAGGCCAACTTCCTCTCCAGCTCCTGGAGATGCTGTTGACTGCATCCCGCAAGGCTGTGCTCAAGCCACTGAACCAAGAGGATCCAGAGTACCACCACAAAGAGTTTGAGTTATATCTCAAACGTGCCATCCAACGATGCAATGAAGATCAGAGCAACGGCAAGGGTTGTCTGGATGATGAAGAGCAAACCCAAGAAGGTGCTCATGCAGAAGAAGAACACGATCCCGGAGTCTGGCCGTCAGAGGCTGTTGAAAGCGCGAGCGACAAAGACGATGACTCGGACAAAGAGACGCAAGCTTTCTATCATTCCTTAAACTCCATAGATGAATTGCTGACTTGGCTGCAGCGCTTTCTTGTGGACCGCTCCTGCCAATCAATCGACTCACTCGTAAAGCAGCGAGCATGCATCATTTTAGGAGATCATATATTGATCCATGACTGCACACAACCGAGGGTTGCTTCCTCAGGATATATCTGCGAAGAAGACAAGCCAGATCCCAGATGAAGGAACAAAGTTTGAGGCATCAGGAAGGAAACTTTTGAAGCACAATAGCATAAGACCATATTGGAGAGAATCAACAATGAAGCAAACGAATTTCGAACACGATAGCTACACGTGTGTTGACATCTTGATGGATCAAAGGTTGTGGTATGCATCGGATCGGATAGTATCGAAGCACGGTAAGAAGGTAGACGCTCAGATGGCTGTCAAGTGCGAAGCAAAGAGTCAGGAGGGCAGGCACGTTCATGAGGTAGGAGCATGCAACAACAATGGGCACAAATAGTCGCGTGAATCCGACAAGCAAGCGACCGCCGTCCTTCAAGGTCGGCAAGAATCACTACCGTATTAAGATGAAGCAAACGAAAGCCTCGTAACTTGGGTATCTATTGCTTGCCAGTACACTGATCTGTAGAAATTGCGAGACAGCAACAATACGGAAATGATGACTGTTTAGGTTACGGTTATACTCTGGTCTTGCCGCACTCGATATCGATGAAGATAGAGATCGCCCATGTTCTGATTGACCTTCGGCACTGGTTTGCTTTGTCGAGAAGGTCTCGAACCCTCGCCTTCTTATAAACTGTGGCTGACTTCTGGTATCGTATACTGAGACATGAAATTTGCTGAGGTTTCTGAACAGCTACTAGATATGTCAGCCCAATTTGTTTATCTCACACTTTTAATCGCGAATTTATCGAGGCCTAGTGTTGGAAAGTGAAAAGAGGTAGCAACCGAGATGTGAGCCAAGGTCACACAAATTGTGGCTGTCTTGTCGCTCGTCAGTCGAAACACAAGAGACTAGAGTATACCGGTCAATATCTGTTACGCTGGACGATGGTATGTCTCCAACTTGATCTTAGATGACAGGTTTCAGATAGAGGTAGGGAGATCAAACAGCAATATACAGTCCAGCTTTCCACATTCTAGACCTTCGCGTCGAATCTCAATTAGCATGTCAGTGCAATCCTTTCGAAGATAGTCCTCATGGTCGTGATGGAGACGGAAGCATCTCATGATCATGTCAAGCTAACCAGAGCGACCCTGTTCTGATCTGCTTGCACTCCTCTGCTCGCTTCTCGTCGCACGCATCGACCCTCCAACATCATTCTGTTGACCAAGACAGCCGACAAGATTCCTTCTCATCAGTAACTCGGCCGAGTGCAAGGTACGCGTATCTTTTGTCTCTCTTGATCTCCACACCCCCATCACGACAATAACGTCACCCCAAAGCAATCCACATTTCTATAAATAAGGTTGATGTGGACAGTGGGACTTTTTTTTGTCTTTCGGATTTGAGCGAGAAGCCAGGTTGCAAGCGTGAAAGCGAGAGCACTTTTTAACCGGATCGGCCAGGCACCGAAAGCCAAAAGCAAAAGCAACAAGATCGTGCCTGCCACACTTCTTGACAGTCAGCAACAGTGACGTTCGTCATCTTTTTGTTGTCTTTTCTCTTTTTGTTTTTCGTCGGAGGACACCTGAAAGGTCGGTCCGGGACAAGGCCGACACAGCCGAAACAGAAACAAGCCGCCTTGATGCCTGTCTTCGATGATCGCATGTTCTTGTAAATGACGATGAACCACAACCACGCAGGATCGCATCGTGTTCACGATTGTGATGAGCAGCGAACGACAGGGAAAGGCTTGTTCGTTGAGAGGATCTGCCGTGGTAAGGTACACATGCTAGATACATGCAATGCACGACAATGCAGTGTGCACAAGTACTTTTTTTCTTACTACCCATGCAAAGCCGTTTGAGTGACATACTTTTTGCTTCCTTCGAGGCTTCGAGGCTTTGGAATACCGCGTCGTGCTACTGCAGGTCAAAGTTTTTCATTCTGCCTTGTTGAGCATCTGTTTCTGCAATGCCGTGGAAAAGCGAAAAAAGATGGCACGCGATGTCGGACAGTCGTAGAGGATGTATTTGAGCATGACAGATCGGGGTTGACAATGACAACCATGTGGATATCTACCCAGATCTTGGTGGAGAACATATTGATTTTCTTTTTACTCTTTTTTCCATGGTAGAGACAAGGACCCACCATGTCTGAGATAGACGTTTACGCGTAAGGAAGGGCTTGGAGACTCGAGAATTTGGCAAGGAGACTCAATAGAGAATCAGCTTCGCGCGAGAAACAAAACATTCACATTTTGCAAGGCACAATTGAGCGAACAGTGGTGGTTGAATGGTCATTAACTGGAGGTCTAATGGGTCATTAAAATTACAACTTTTATATGATCCTCTTGAATATCAACAAGAAATTCTCAACAGATGGAAGAGGTAGAAAGGAAAGTAAGAAGCTTCTTAGTAGCCGAGAATGTACTTGATCCAGCCAGCGGCATCGTCAGAGTAAAGGTCGAAGTAGTTCAAGTGCTTGTTGACATCGAAAGGACCAGGGCCGCCAGCAGCGCAGACGGGGTCGGCGTGATCGCAGTAAGATCTCATGATGCTAGCGAACTTGTTCATGCGGTTGAGAGAGTCGGTGGTACGAGGGTCGGAGGAGCCAACATCGGAGCCGTTCAGGACATTGTAGGGCTGGTTGGCAACGTGTCTGGTGTCACCGAAGATGGTGATGGCCTTGAGCTGGTTGCCGGGGCTGGTAGAGGGGTCAAGACCGGGGTTGGGGCCGCCGCATCTGTCAGAGCCACCAAGGATGTCTCCAGCAACGTTGGCACCCTGAGAGTAACCGGACAGGACAAGCTTGGAGGCAGGGCACTTCTTGGCGTAAGCGGTCATCTGGTTGATGCCGTTGGTGTCGCCCTCCTTGACAGCGGTGCAGTAGTCACTGCCATTGGCGTTGTAGAACTGAATATCCTCATAGTCGCAGGAGTTGAGACCGTAGCAAATAGCACCAGCGAGCTTGCCCTGACGACCGGGATAAGGCTCGTTCCAGCCCTTGGAGAGGAAGATGTGGACGTCTCTGCATGAAGGGTCGGTGTTGGTGACTCTGGGTGCAGGGGCAGCCTTGGTAGGCTCTGCAGGCGACGAAGCGGCAGAAGAAGCCGGTGCGGCAGTGGGAGCATTAGCCTGCCAACTAAAGCCCTGGCCGTTGTAGCTCGCGGTTATCCACTCGCCGCCGTTGTTGTTGGATGCGGCCGAGGGTGCGGGCATGACAGCGGGAGGTGTAGACTGTGCGGGAACGTTCCAGTTGTTCTCCCAGCTTACGACCTTACCGTCGATTGTCGCTGTTACCCAATCGGCACGCTTCTCAAGAGGAGCGGGAGCACCGGGAGCAGCGTAGACGGTGGTGGCAGCCAGGAAAGCCGAGAGCAGGGTCACTGTTCTGGGAGACATGGCGACTGAAGTTGTGTGTATATTTGTGTGGCTGGTCCCGTTTTCAAGTCGTTTATGACAGATCCAAGAAGATAGAGATGTTGGAACTGTTGTAGGTTGTTGAAAGTGTAATGGGTGGTGGGTGGGGGGTTGATATATAATCCCACGCCTCCAGCCTCCGAGCGCGCTCGTCCCTTGAGCGCGGACCTCTTACGACACCTACATCATGAACACTTAGATATGCTGCCAAGGGTTATACGAGATGGATCCAGGGTGATTTCCAGCCATGTCGGTCGGCGCGAGATGATCATGCGGTGCTGTTACGCGGGAAGTGTTTCTAAGCCAAGGCCATCATCCGCTAACGCCTGGCTAAATTAAGGCCGGACATCGTCATTTCCTTCGCCAGAAAGAAGCTTAACTCAACCTACACGACTCGCGCACGCGACCCGGCCACCATTGCCGATTATGTGCGCCACCGCTTGTAATCCTTCCCTGCTACTTGCTGCTGAATACGAAAAAACCCCATCCACCGCCCAGCACGATCACCTCACGTCCCAAATATAGAGTCCGCAAGCCTCCGCTCTGCTTGTCACTCTGCATGCTCTTGTTATGCAGCATGCGGCTGTGAACGGACGAGTATGTTACTCGGGTACAACAAGGAATCGCAGCCAGCACGAGTCAAGGTTCACCGTCCTCGGATCTGGATCTGACTGTCAACGCTTGCGAATGTACGATATGCCGCGATCATGAACTCTGATGATTTGCATCATAGATGAATGAGACATTCGCCACGGACAAGAATAGACTGGACTCTCTTGAATCTTCCAATGGCGAGAAGCATGTTGTGCTGGCCAAAAGGTTTCTGCGCTGCATGCATCCAGCATACCCAGCCACTCGCATAGAGAAGGAAGAAGCGACCCGAGTCAGTCACGTTCAAGTCACGCCGCTAAATGGGAAACACACGTTCATGGCGACACGAGCCAAGCACCGTGCAAGGGAAATGACTACAATCTAACAAAAACATCTTGTTGCAGATCAGTAACATGATAAACGTGGAGGTCCTGCAATCATAAAGTAATAAACACTGTCCCTGCCTGCCAAGACAAGTATTAATGCTATCAGCTATACGATTGCAGAAATTTTGCGAAAGCAATCAACGGCTATTCTGGATAGACTGTCATTTCAGTTCTGAGACCTTGGTGATTGATATAGTATGGAACAGACAGCTTTGGCCTATACACTTACTTCCTCATATACTTAAATGCTATACGATATTAGAAACAAGTCACAACTTATATGACAGGAATCTCGAATCTCACCTTCTCTCTGCGTGCCAAGCAAGTAACGCTACAAAGTATACAAATGCACGATGGTTTGCGAGATAGAGCGATGTCCGTGGAGAGGACCTTGTGTGAGGGTGCTCCATGGACTACACTTCTAAATCAATTCATATTGTGCATCTTGACAACCACATCACGATGGTCTTCGGCACATGGAGAGACACCAACACTATAAAGGGGACAGTCGTGCAATCAAAATATCACAAACATATGAAATTGGTGGACTGTAGAATGCACAGAGATTACCTAGCTAGGGTAGTAAATTGACAACAAACATAGTAGTGGTATAAATACAAACACACGTGTTGAACAGATTGAACAAAGGAAATTCGTCAAAGAAAGCGAAAGGAGACCAGCGCCGGGGCTCGAAAAATCGAAATCAAAAACAGAAAAGGAAGTTCCTCCAAAGATAATCAGTCAGTCAGATGCAAGCAGACCCCCCGATCCCTTGCTCCTTCCTTCAGAAATGGTTGGTGTAGTTTCCTCCTCTTCGCATGTTTTCTCTTCTTCGTCTTCCGGTCAGGCTCAAAATTAGATTACCGAACTTTGTTGTGTTTTCTTCTCTTACTTCTTGCCGAACAGACCGCCAACAATTGGCAAACTGCTAGCACCACCACCGCTCTTCTTCTTGTCCTTCTTGCCCAGGCCAAGAGAATCAGCAACGCTGCCGAGACCAAGACCACCGAGCAACTTGTCGATGCCGAGTCCACCGAGCAGACCATTGACGAGTCCACCCAATCCAAGTCCGTTGAGCAGCTGGCCAACCAGACCCAGGACACCAGTCAGCAAGAGACCGACGGCAGCAAGAATCTGGAAGAGAGGCTGTGTCATGAGACCCCAGAGAGGGTTCAGCTTCTTCTTGGCGTGAGGCATGTCGCTGATGCGCTTCTTTGCGTTGTCGATAGTGGTGACGACGGTCTCTGTCAACTCCTTGAGAGTGTCGGCCAGGCGGTACTCCTCGGGAGTGGCCTCCTTGGTGCCGGCACGACCCTTGGCTTGAGCGGCGATGTGACCGTCGGGGTCGAGGCCACGCAGAGAGCCGTTGCACTCTTGCAGGATACGACCACCCTCTTCGATAAGAGGCTTGACCTTGTTGACCAAATCTTCCTCGTCCAACTCTTCACGTGGGGTACGGTCGGCGGCTTCGATGTGCTGTAGTGAAAAATTAAGTCAGTCATGGTTCGAGTGAGGTAGCGGAATAGGTAAGCACTTACATCGGTGATCTGCTTGCAGATAGGCTGGACTCTCTCAAGAGTCTGCGTGCAGATGGTGCCCATCTTCTCAGCGATCTGTCGCTCCTCCTCTCTCTTGCGGCGCTCTTCCTTCTCTTCTTCGGTGAGTTCCTCCTCAGGAATCTCCTCGTCTTCAATAATGTTTCCGATGAGAGTGACCTCACCGACCTTGTTGCCATCATTGTCGACGACGTAGCCGTTGTCATCAACCTCGAGACCAACGCAGTGTCCGAGGTCACCAGCGGTAAGTCTGCCCATGACATCGCCGTTCTCGTCACGGACTTCGCCCTCCTTGTTGACGCGGCGACCGGACATGGGGTTGATCTTTCTCTCCTTCTCTTCAGGCTCCCATCTCTCGGCCTTGCCGATGAGGTTACCATTCTTGTCTTGGATTTCACCGTCCTCGTCGACCTTGTGAGCGACAAGCTTCTTGACATCGCCCTCAGTAATGCGGCCAACGATGCTACCGTCAGGAGTAACAACGTATCCCTCCTTGTTGACAGTGATGCTGTCGAAACCGGCGAAGGGTCCTTCAGCCTTGGTGTCGGCACCCTTGGCGAGCTCGGCCTTGCCAATGACATTTCCGGCATTGTCCCAGATTTGTCCCTGACCATCGACCTTCTTGCCGACCATGGTAGACGGGTCACCTTCGGAGACACGTCCAATGATAGTACCGGAAGAGTCGACGACGTTACCAGCCTTGTTAACAGTGCAGCCAGCGAGCGCAGAGAGATCTTCAGGGGTCTGCTCCTCCTCCTCCCAAGGCTCAGCGTGGCCCTTGGTGTTTCCATACTTGTCGCTGATGTCACCATCCTCATCAACAGAGAGGCCTACGAGACGCTTGACGTTACCTTCGGTGATGATACCGACGCGATTACCCTCAGCATCCTCGACGTAGCCCTCCTTGTTGACATGGAGGCCTTCGAGTCCGGCGAAGGGACCCTCAGGTCTGGCAACACGTTCGTTCTCAGGGAGAACTTCACAACGACCAACGACCTTGCCAGTATCGCCATGAATCTTGCCTTCTTCGTCGCAGCGGCGACCGGCGAGTTCCTTGACGTTACCTTCGACAAGCTTACCAAGAGGGATGCCGTCTTCGTTGACAACGAAACCTTGCTTGTTGAGCTTCTTGCCGTCGAGAATCGAGTTGTCGATGGGGGCAGCTTCCTCTTCTTCGTAAGGCTCAGCGTGGCCCTTTGCGTTGCCGTACTTGTCGTTGATGTCGCCATCCTCATCAACCTGGAGGCCAACAAGCTTCTTCACATCACCTTCGGTGACCTTTCCGACAACGTTGTCCTCGGAATCAACAACGAAACCTTCCTTGTTAACACGAAGACCCTCATGGCCAGCGAAGGGTCCCTCGGCCCTGGAGACACGCTCATTCTCAGGAAGAACTTCGCAGTGTCCAACGACCTTTCCAGTATCGTTGTGGATGTCGCCGTTCTCGTCGCAAAGACGACCAGCAAGCTCCTTGACGTTGCCCTCAAGGAGCTTACCAACAGGGATACCCTTCTCGTCAACAACAAAGCCTTGCTTGTTCAGCTTCTTGCCATTGAGCAGAGAGTTGTCGACAGGACCTTCCTCCTCCTCTTCCTCGAGAGGTTCGGCATGGCCCTTGACGTTGCCATATCTGTCCATGACGTCGCCATCCTCGTCGACAGCAAGACCGATCAGACGCTTGGCATTGCCCTCAACAATCTCACCAACGATGTTCTCATCCTCATCAGCGACCTTGCCGTCGGCAACAACGCGAAGACCTTGGAGACCAGCGAAGGGACCGTCAGGCTTGGACTCGCGCTCATCCTCGGGGATCATCTCGACGCGGCCAATGACCTTGCCTTGGTCGTTCCAGATCTGACCTTGGTCATCAAGCTTCTTGCCTGCGAGTTCCTTGGCCTTGCCCTCAACCAGACGAGCGACAGGTACACCCTCGTCACCAATGACAAAGCCAGCCTTGTTCACGGTCTTGCCAGCAAGGCTGGAAAGGTCGACGGGTTCTTCTTCGGGCTCGGGCTCCTGGTCAGCTTCCTCGTAGCGTTCGGCATGACCAACGACTGAACCCTTCTTGTCGAGAATATCACCGTCCTCGTCAACAGCACGACCAACAAGCTTCTTGGGGTCGCCCTCGACGAGTTGACCGACACGGTTGCCGTTCTCATCCTCAACCCAACCGTCCTTGACGACAATCAGGCCATCAAGACCAGCGAAAGGAGACTCCTCGTCTTCCTCAACAGGGACGGTCTTGGCACGACCAATAACATGGCCCTTGTCGTCCCAGAACTGACCTTGGTCGTCACACTTGACACCAGACTTGGAGAGCTTCTTGGCGTCACCTTCGGTAAGCTCACCAACGACAGTACCGTTGGAGTCGACAATCTTTCCGGACTTGTTGACCTGGAGACCCTCAAGGACAGAGAGAGGAGGCAAGTTGGACTCAGCGTCTTCAGCAGCATCCTCGGCGCCCTCCTCAGCGTTCTCAGCGCCCTCTTCAGCGTTCTCGGCGTCTTCGGCGGCGTCTTGAGCATCTTCAGCCTTGTCGGCAGCCTCCTCGGCTTCTTCGAGCTCTTCCTGAGGGATCTCTTGAGGCAGGGCCTTGACACGACCAATGGTATTGCCTTCGGCGTCGAGAACCTCGCCCTTGTCGTTGACCTTCTTGCCAGCACATTCGCTGAGGTCGCCAGAGGTAAGTTCGCCAATCTCCTCGCCATCTTCGTTGAGGATCTTGCCCTTCTTGTTGACCTTGAGGCCCTCGAGGATGTCGAGGTCAGGGATCTTGAACTGAGGACCTTGAGGCTCTTCCTCCTCATCGGCTTGCTCCTCGTCCTCACCCTGCTCCTCATCAGGAACGTTCTCGCCGAGCTCGGTTTGGAGCTCCTTGGTGGCGTTCTCAGCAGCCTCGCCAGGAACGACGGAGACCTTACCAATGACCTTGCCATTCTGGTCAAGAACTTCACCCTTGTCGTTGACCTTCTTGCCGGCACACTCCTTGGGGTCGCCCTCAGCGAGCTCACCAATCTCGTCACCTTCGTCGTCAAGGATCTTGCCCTTCTTGTTGACCTTTCTGCCATCAAGAATGCGGAGGTCGAGGGAAGGGAGACGACCACCAAGCTTTTCGGCAGCGCCTTCAGCGAGACCGACCTTGCCGAGGACGTTGTCGTCAGCGTCGACGACTTCGCCATCCTCGTTGATCTTGAGGTCTTCGGCCTTGAGTTCGCCAGACTCGAGCTTCTCCTTGAGAGACTCGTCGTCGATCTGGCCAAGAACCTCGCCTTGGTCATCAACGACCTCGCCGGCCTTGTTGAGTTCTCTGCCTTGAAGAGCCTCGATGCCAGGAAGCTCATCCTCAATGTCTTGAGCAGCATCCTTGACATCATCAGCGGCATCATCCACGTGGTCAGCGGCCTCGTCGACCTTGTCAGCGGCCTTGGCGGTATCTTCAGCGTTGTCTTGAGCGTCGTCAGCGGCATCCTGAGCATCATCGGCAGCCTGCTGGACTTGGTCGTAGATGTCCTCTGGTGCATCAGGGTGGATGTCGGCGTGGCCAATGACATTGCCATCCTCGTCAATGAATTCGCCGTACTCGTTCAGAGTAGCGTTCATGAGCTCTTGCGGGTCACCGTCGGTGACTTGACCAATAGTGTCACCCTCGTCGTTGAAGATGTTACCAGTAGGATCACAGGTGAGGCCCTTGAAGATGGCGAGGTTGGGCTTCTCAATGTCGTCGGTGTCGGGAAGGTCGCCCACAAACTTCTCGGCGCCCTCAGGAAGTTCACCCTTGCTCTTGAGGTCGGCCATCTGCTTCTTGACCTGCTCAGGAAGAAGCTCGACACGTCCGACAAGATCACCATCGTCATCAAGAATCTCGCCGTCATCGCCGATTGGGTAACCAGCAAGATCCTCAGCATCACCCTCAGCAAGCTTGCCAATGGGGTTGCCATCTTGATCAGAGACGATACCGTCCTCTGCAACCTCGAGGCCCTTTAGCACAGAGAGGTCGACAGGGAGATCGCTAATGTCGTTGATCTCGGGAAGCTCGCCATCGGCGGCGTCTTCAGCGGTGTCTTTGGTGTCCTCTGCGGTCTCGCCGACTTTGTCGGTGGCATCACCTGCGGCATCCTCTGCCTGCTCAGCGGTGTCCTCAGCAGTGTCCTTGACCTGCTCAGTGGCGTCTTCGGCAGTGTCCTTGGCCTGATCGGCGACGTCGCCAGCCTTCTCGGTGGCATCGCCTGCAGCTTCCTCCGCAGTGTCCTTGGCATCTTCTGCGGTGTCTTCAGCGGTGTCCTTGACGTCTTCAGCAACATCGCCAGCCTCGTCGGTAGCATCACCTGCAACCTTCTTGGCGTCGTCGGCAGTGTCTTGAGCGCTCTCAGCGGCATCCTCAGCAGTGTCTTCGGCAGTATCCTTGACATCTTCTGCGGTCTCTTGGGCGTCCTTGGGGACGTCCTGAGCAGCCTTCTTGGGGTCCTGAGCAGCCTTTCCAGCAAGACCAGAGGCCTTGCCAGCAAGACCCTTGGCGCCCTTGAGAAGGTTACCACCGGACTGCTTGCCAGTCTTTTGGGCGTCGTCAGCCACCTTGCCGGTGGTGTCTTGAACATCATCGTCATTGTCGTCAGCTTCGTCACCAGCCTTGACGGTCTTGTCGTCGTCGGCAGTGTCTTCGGTGTCGTCATCATCAGCGGTGTCTTCTGCACCGGCAGCAGTGTCGTTATCGTTAGAGTCGTCAATTGGTTGAGGAGCTTGCTCCTCGAGCTGGCCCTTGGCGTTGTCTCCAGCCTGGGAGACCTTGCTCAGAGGGCCCTCGTCGTCATCATCCTCGTCCTCATCATCACCAGCCTGGGTGGATGCGGCCTCGGTGTCGTCCTTCATCTCGACCTTGCTGGGCTCTTCGGCAGCGCCCTCGGCCTTGCTCTTAGCGTCTTCGGCGGTCTTGCCAGCCTTTTCCTGTGCACCTTGCGCGGCCTCACCGGCTTTTTGTTGCACGTCACCAGCTTCAGGCTTCTCAGGAAGCTGAGGAGTTTCTGGCTGCTTAGCACCCTCGGGGGCGGATGCTTTTCTTGCGCCGGAAGCTGCCTGCTGTCCGAGTTTAGGGGGCTGGCTGGTTTGACTCTGGGGCTTTCTTCCCAACTTGGTAGGAGTCTTGGGGGCGCCACCAGTGGCCTTGCCTGCTGCCGGAGAAGGAGCCATGTTCTTCAGAGTTCTTGTTGTCTTTGGAGTGGGGGAATTAGATTTAGAGCTCGCTGTGGGAGAAGCTCTGTTCGGTGTTGGAGGAAAGGAGTAGTAGGCGTAGGAGGAAGAAGATGTATTGTTGGTCATACAACAATGTGATTAAGTTATTGGGGGGATTGGGGGGAGAAAATTGATAGAGAAATTGAGACGAGGGAAGGGAGCTTGAAAACATATAAGCTACCTACCTCGAGCACGGAGCAGGCCAGCATTCTCATTAGCTGGCAAGGTACTGTACAGGAAGCTTGTGACGTATGGAGATGCCAGGTAGGTAGCGCCTCACGGTGGCATTACAGGTTTTGCGGCTGGTGAGATGTCGGTTGGGCCTGCTCTGGAGCTGCGTTTCAACGTCACAGCCACGAAACCATGGAGCTGACGGCTGAAGAACCGTGGCTGCACGGTAGCTGTATCGACGATGCGGAGAAGACGGGGCGGTCCATTAGTGGCTTTAGGCGAGGATCGAGGACTTTCCAGGGAGCTTTTGCAGCTCGGGACGTCAAAGGATGCCGTCTCCATCGGCTCAATACAGGCTTTTGTGTGACACGAGGCGCCGATACGGAGAAACACTTCAAGACGGCATCAGTACCGCAACCGCGACCTGTCAACAGTCTCAGACGTAAGGGCAGCAAGTGTAAGCGTGGATGTTGGAATGATTGGCGCGCGTCCTCGACGGGTGACGTCTGATACGCATATACATCCCTGCACCCCTGCAAGTACGGCAGCAATCACGCCCCGATCAGGGTCTCGGACAGGAGCTATGATGCATGAGTGCTGGAGAGAGCTCGAGAAAGTTCCTTGAGTAACATGACCAGGTACGAACCATCATGCCGTTTTGTTGGCACTTGATGGAAGTTTTTGCAGTGATTAATGTGCAATTCGAAACTTCAGATATCGTCTTGTAGAGTTTCGGTAAAGACCCCGACAGGTGGGCGAGACCGTTGCGACGCTGAACATCGGTTTGTCTCAGAGTGCTCCTCTCGCGCAATTCACGAAGAATGACATCAGAAGCTTTTCGATCTCCGTCAGGTTGGCAACCTTCAGCTCCACACGGGTTAATATGAATAGGGCTTTTGACGAGGTAGGAGCATCGAGAACAGGAACCAAGTGAGAGAAATCGTAATGCCTTCATATATGCAATAGCATTAACGGGAGGACCTGCAGTAGTATACAAGGTTGTCAGACAAACACACGGCTGTTGGGTTCATGCTGCACGGATGCATCTTGTCAGAAGTATGCAAAGCTCAAGGAGGAGCTGAAGTCTTAAAATTTTGACTTCCGTCTCTTGCGAAATGAGTTGCGGGTTTGGCGGGTGGACTTGCAAGCGCTTAGCGATGAGGAAAGTCTGCCCTCAAACCGGGAAGTGCTGCGCCTCACGGCAGCCACACGCAGCATCATGGCCCGCTGATCTCACACGTTGCACGCGAGATCAGATCGCCCGCGACTCGCGACCTCCATCGCATGGTCGCTCGTATGACCCTGTAGAATTTTTGGACTTTTTTCTCGAGTCCCTCTTGTGAAACATTGTTGGAGAGAGCTGTGTAAGCTTGCTCGGAATGCAATAGATGAATCATCCTTCGCGGACGATCACAGCGAAATCATGTCAGTGTGCCGCTGCGACTCAGATATGTTGGCAGTGGAGACTCCGCAAACTTGGTTGAGTTTACTGGTCGAGGCATAAGAAAGCAAAGCTGTGTCGTGCAAAAGGATTTGAAAAGGAATCGTACAGTTCATTCAAGTCATGAGGTCTAAACTAACCAACCACTTTTACTTCCTTAGCAACAGCGTTGCACAACTCGACCGTGACACCCGCGCCTGTGAGCACGTCTATCCACAAGCGTTGCGTGTCGCTCAAACGATCATTTTCACTTTTGACTTCAGCGAACATGACCTCTCCTCCGCCCGTGTCGGGATTCTCTTTCCAGAGAAAGAGGTCGGGCACACCACCTCCTCTTTGTCCATATTCTTGTGCCATGACTTTGCACACGGTACTTAGAGCTGCAGGAGGGAAACAATTGGCGATGGAAAGAAGATCTTCCAGCTCATAAGACCAACTCAATCCCACGACACACGTTTCTCTCTCGTGATGGTCGTCCCACACTCGCTGAATCAGTTTGCGTGCCTCTCCATTATTGATCTCGTTCAGGCGCTGATTGATCTCCGATATGCGCGAGGGGTAGAATGCATCGGTGTGCAAGTCTAGAGGACATGTCTGGTAAGGCGTCTGGAACACATCCGGAATGTAGACGAAGAGCACATCAAAGAAGAGGTAAGCGAACAACGTCCGTACGATGCCACCCTCTGCATGGTATCCTCTGTAGCCAAGCGAGCGGTATTGCGAAAGACACATTGCTTCCACTGAGCATTCACCTTCATTTTCATTCTCTCCGGGGTCGATCCAGATGGTCTTGCCTCCCCTTCTCGTCTCGTTGGGTTGTTCAGGTCGCTGTATCCTGGTGCCATAGAAAACACGTTCAACAGGTTTCGCTAGCCGAACGTGGCTGAAGTCATGTTGCCCTCGCATTGGCACGCGAAGTGCTTTCTCCAGCTTCATGACTCGTTTCTGAAGGTCATGATGATACATTAGATGCACTAGACGGTCTTGAAGACCTGCCTCACAGGTTCGAAGAGAAACACGTTTCCAGTGTTTCTTTTGAGCTTCTTCGCCACGGCCTTGGGCTGGCATCAAAGCATGCATGTAATGCTCTTCTAGCAGAGCTTTTCGCTGATACCAGTCACCTCGTCTGGAAGTGTGGAAAAGTTTCTGCCCGAGTAACTCTTGTAGAGTCTCATATTCACGCTTGTGGTCCTTGAATTTACCCATGACATACGCACCTTTGTGTATGATGCGCGTATAGACCCATGCAGGAGAAAGCCGTCGCAAGTAAGCACCCTCGCCAGTCATATAGATGCTGTCTTCTTTTCGTTGTTCCTCTTGCAGCAATTCTCTCCATCGCGGAAGGATCTGATCACAGAGGTCGAGGATCGTGTCCAAGCTCTCCTTACTTGGTGTGCCGTTAAACTCAAGGACACTGTCGAGATAGAACTGTATTCTCAATGAGGCTTCGAACTCCAGCAACATGGGCCTGGACGCAAATATGTTGGACGAGCGGCACACAAGATATTCCGGGAAATTGAGACGTGAAATCTTGGCAAGTATGATGGTTGTCAAAGACTTCTCCGTCCACATGGTGGAACGATAGAAGACGAGATGAACACGTTCGAACAGTCTCCGTGCAGGATCTGAAAGTCGGATGCAAGGACCTGTCTCTGCCATGATCTTCTCGAGAAAGTGAGAGTCTCGGTTCTGCAGAGGAGTGCCTTCTCGACTATCATCACCATCATCATCTGCCACAGAAATAGTGGACTCTTCCGTGTCAGACCGCTTGAGCAAAGACCAGCCTAACCCGGCTTGTTTCCCACTTGCCTTCCTCAAAGCTTTCAGCAACTCTCTTTTGGTCTTGCCTTGAACCTTGGCATCTTTAGCTAGGGATTTCAACTCGTCCAAAAGAAGGAGTGATGAAGCTTCCTCTAAGGTAGTAATGTGTTCTTCTGACCTGTCGGCAAAGGTGAAGGAATGTCCCAGGCGAGCATCGTCGGGCTGGTCGAAATCTTGAGGCACAGGAAGGGATTCTGCGGTAGGAGGTGGAAGGTCACAGGAAATCTGCAATGTCTCGACAGCTTTAGAAAGGTCGGAAATATCACTGTGATAGCCAAGACGATTGACACGATGCCAGGCAGATGTCTTGCGTAGGAATAGACGGACATAGAGGTATTGAGCCTCGTAACTCAGTTCACGCCAAGTATCAAAGACTTTCTTTTCGGCGTCATCAAATAGATGACTCTCGTCGTCGAGCACAGTATCAAGGGCTAGATTGAAGGCGTCGACGTAAATTGAGCGTTGTCCGGGAATCCATTTGGGCTGATCTGCTGTAGATTCAGCGTACTCGGCAGCACGAGTGGCTTCGTAGGCCTTGATGGCGTCTTTGTCGGTATCAATGCGAGGGAGAGCGGTTTCGAGATCGGTGGCTTTGTGCTGGTCGATGTCGGGCGGGGCGAGTTCGATGTCCTCAGGCGAGTCCGTGTCGGGGGCATGTTCCTGCTTGATACGTTTGGCAGGCCGCTTCACATCGTCGGCGGCAGTCGGTCTGCGATTGACCATGGCATTGTGCTTCGACAAGCCGCTGTCCCGCAGCATGGTTGTCTGCTAGGAGGCGAACGATGACATTGATGTTCAGGTACCGCCAGGCGCCTTGTTTCTGATAAGATAAGATCATGTCCCGAGGCTCGGCCCGAAAGTTGACAGTGACGTAGCACCTTCCCCATCCAACACGGAAATGCGTCCCCCAGGACCCAGGTGTACCTTCCTCCAAACATGCAGCTGAGCCGAAGGTGCATCATTGTCTCGTGACAGCAAGACTCGCCAATTCCCTCCATGTCATGGCCGATCCGTCAAAGGACACCGACGGCCCTGATCCCTGGGACCCTGCAGCATGGGATCCCTCGACAATCCCAGACTTCGCCAATGATTTCATAGCAGAGGACGATGTCCAAGAGTTCGCCAAAGCCCTCGCCGCTCCAGACCTTACCTCGCCCTCCGAAGACGATCTCCTGAACCCTTCGAGTCAACCTCCCCAGTTCTTCACCGCCCTCAATGACTGGGCCCCTGTCCGACAAAAGGTCAAAGGCCAAAAACAACAGAAAGAGAACAAGAAGAAGCGCCCTCCTCGTCGAGGCAAGGACGAAACAAGAGAAGGATGGACGTACAACTTGCTCAAATGGCCTCTACTCTTTGTCGTCTTGGGCTGGATAACGGCTTTGGGCATCTCATACATGTTCACCCGCCTGTACATCTACCTCTATGAACACTTCGTCACTTGGCGTGGAAAGCGTGAGCAATTGCGTGCCAGTTTGCGCCACAAATCAAATTATGAGGACTGGATCAAGGCTGCCAAGGAGCTCGATGGCTATCTGGGTAGTGACAAGTGGAAGACTGCAGACGAGTACGCTTATTACGACAGCAAGACCATTCGTCGCGTCAAACACCGTCTGCAGTCCTTGAAAGCAAAGGTCAGAGAAGAAGCAAATGACGCTCCCTCCATGTCTCCTATGTCTCCTGGTTCGCGTGCTGTCGACGAGCTGAGAGGCCTTGTGGAAGCTTGTGTCAAGAACAACTTTGCTGGCTTCGAAAACCCTCGCCTCTATTCAGAAACATACTTTGGAACCAAGAATCTTGTGCAGGACTTCGTAGACGAAGCCTCGGATTGTATCAAGCTCTTGTTGGACTCCAACCAACTCGGACTGGAAGACAAACGTGCCATGGTTAAGCACCTGAGCACCAATTTCGGGCGCACTGCCCTTTGTCTGTCTGGCGGTGCGACCTTCGCATATTATCATTTCGGAATTGCAAAAGCTCTCTTGGATGCTGACCTCTTACCACCAATCATCACCGGCACTTCAGGAGGTGCTCTCGTTGCTGCTTTGCTCGGCACTCGTACAAATGAAGAGCTCAAGTCGACGCTGGTTCCTGCTTTAGCTGCCCGAATCACCGCTTGCAGGGAGCCCTTCTCAGTATGGTCTCGGCGCTGGTACAAAACTGGTGCTCGCTTTGACTCTGTCGACTGGGCCAGACGATGTTCTTGGTTCTGCCATGGCTCTCTCACTTTCCTAGAGGCCTTCCAAAGGACAGGTCGCATACTGAACGTATCTTGTGTACCTTCGGATCCACATTCGCCAACCATTCTTGCGAACTACTTGACAGCCCCTGATTGTGTCGTCTGGTCTGCTGTCCTTGCGTCAGCTGCCGTTCCTGGTGTTCTCAATCCAGTGGTACTCATGAGGAAGAAGCGAGATGGTACTCTAGAGCCCTACGCTTTTGGTCACAAGTGGAAGGATGGGTCACTGCGTACTGACATTCCGCTTAAGGCCCTCAACTTGCATTTCAATGTCAACTTCAGCATTGTTTCGCAGGTAAATCCTCACATCAACCTCTTCTTCTTTTCCTCGCGCGGTAGTGTTGGTAGACCAGTGACACATCGACGCGGTCGAGGCTGGAGAGGAGGCTTCCTTGGCTCTGCTCTCGAGCAGTATCTCAAGTTGGACTTGACAAAGTGGCTCAAGGTTCTAAGGCATTTGGAGCTACTTCCTCGGCCGATGGGTCAAGACTGGAGTGAAGTGTGGCTCCAGCGTTTCTCTGGAACCATCACTATCTGGCCAAGATCCAAGCCCTCGGATTTCTGGCACATCTTAGCTGATCCATCGAAAGAACGTCTGGCAGGAATGATTCAAAATGGCCAGCAAGCCGCCTTTCCAAAACTCAAGTTCATCTCTAATCGCATGAAGATTGAGAAGATTGTGGAAGACGCACGTCAAAGCATGAGACCTAATCCCAACGCTTTGCCTACCCCATCAATTGAGAAGAGCCAAATGCGCAGTATGCTGAGTAACGACGATCTTGAATCCATTCTCGATCAAGCAGGTTCAGATAGTGACGAGCTCAAGCCTAGTCCAATGCTGTCTTCAAGAGCGGACAGATCACAAAGCGCCGAGAACTCCAGGAGGCTGTCTCCAATGGGACCACGTTCCGAGGAGCGTAGAGCACCTTCTCCATCATTTGCTAGACGCTTTAGTGGCTGGTTTGCCAACATGTCGCCGCGCTCTTCGAGCGACGCAGTGCGCCCGAATATGAGACAGCTACAGTTGCAGCGCGAAGAATCACAGGACTTTGCCAGAAGAGGTAGCGTCATTGATGAGCTGACGCGTCAAGCCAGTGTGTTCTTCGCTGAGCCAGAGTCAGAGAGCGAGAAGGAGGACGAAAGAGAAGATGTCGCTCCATATGGCGAGAACCAGAGAGATTGGCGAGACTTTGGCGAAGGTGATACCACGGCGAGCGAGGATGAAGCTGATGCGTTTGTCAATGGAAGTCGGAAGGCCAAAACTAGTTAGTCGTGCAGATGTGATCATAGGCACCATAATAAAAATGAAGCAAAAGTAACCAAGTTTCTCGCTCTCAACGACTCCCTGAATCGAACACTCGACCTCTTTGTCCAGTACCTTTATATTCGAGCAGGATGCAACTCGTTGCTGTGATCGGCTGAATGGCGTAACGGCTTACACTCATGCCTTGTAACATTAGCAATAAAACACCTTTCACGTGTCTTCGCTGTGTAGTCTTGAATTGCTCAATGCAGCCTGATGTCCGGGGTTTCCCGTGGGAGCTCAGCTCTAGTTTTTTGCTATTTTGTTTTGCTTAATTCATTCACACAAGAGGTGCGAACATGTTTGTTATCTTCCAATAGTATACCAAGTTTTCTTTGTAGAACCAAGATTATGGACATGATATCTTACATGATTCCCTGATCCCAATCTTCAGGCAACAAGCTTTCTCGCAACATATCCATCGCAACAGCTCTTCCGGCGTCTCCTTTTTGACCCAGTGCAGCGATGATCTGCTGTTCGATGTTGCCATGAAGTTTGCCTTCGAGCATGGCGGCAATCAACCCTCTCACTTCCACCTTCGAAGCTGCTTCAAGATCGCCCTCGGCACGGAAAAGATTCATAGCACCGCGGTAATATGTTTGTGCATTCTTGATCAAAGTGGGAGCGCTCTTTTGGATAGCAGCCGAGAGACCAGCAGCAGGTGTAGTGGCGAGGTTGAAGCGCAACAACTCGACGTCACCGCGCGATTCGTAGACACGAGCTTTACGTGCCTTAGCTTCTGCATCGTTGATTTTGACTGCAGCTGCATAGAGGTCTTGAGCTTTGGACAGGGTGGACCAGCATGTTGTTGCTGCACTCGATGGGCTGAAGTTTTGAGCTGTGGTTGTCAATTCGACAAGGCTGTCGGCGTAGGTGCACATGACTGCTACGTTTGTGGTTGTGTCGAGGGGTTCGAAGGCTTGTTGCAAGCGGCTGAGACTGTCATTTGCGGTTGCAGTGCCGAGTTTGAGGTCCGCTACTGTAAGGGCTGCGTGGAATTCCGCACGTTCGAGAGCAACCTCGGGTTCCTCTTGGGCGCGCTCTGCGGCCTCGATTTGGGAAAGGTACTGAGGGATCTTGTCCTCAACTAGAGTGATGCCCATCTTTGCTAGAGGGGACACGTTGGAGGGGTCCTCGAGTGTGATAAGCAGAGTCAAGGCAGTGAGACTGGAACGTGCCGTGTCCAGCAAATCAGAAGGTGTGATGTATGCTTGCACAGAGACATATTCACCCTCCTCCTCGCCCTCAGAATCTGCATCTTCGGCTGCTCGAGAAGATGAAGCTACAGGCGCAGCTGGTGGGGCTTGTTGCTCGACTGGAACGCCACCTTCTGCCTCCATCGAGTTTGCATTCTGCTCTTCGACGAGCATCTCCTGACGAGTGAAACATGCTGACAGCAGTTCGAGTGCTTCACGAAGAAGAGCTACCGAGTCGGCTTGTGCACTGAAAATGCCTGCTTCTGTTACATACTCTGAAATGGTGATCATGACTTGAGCAGTGTTGAAGAGAACATCGGCTGACTCTGCATTGAGCTGTAGGGCATAACGATGTGAGGTCAAGGCTTGGTGCAAGAAGTCGAGTAGTGGAATTGGGAGCTTGGCTACCAGAGTTGGCTGTTGTGATAGTTCAAACTCGAGGCGAGCTCTGTAGAAATCCAGATTAGTCAAAATGATACCCCGAGTTCTTTCAGAGTAAAGCTTTCGTACTTGTTGTAAGCCAAATCAGCATCTTTCGGATGTCTTTGCAAGCCATTGTTGTAGATCTCAATAGCTCTGACAAAGGCACGACATGATTTAGCTGGATCGCCAGCTCTCCATTTGCCCCCGGTTTCTTCTTCTGCGTCGGCAGCTTCCTGAAAATCGTCTGCAGTCACCAAGATCTGAGACAGTCAATACAATTTTCCTAATATAGGCTATGGAAGAGTTTTGAAGATGCACCTTTTGTTTTTTCTGTTGTTTGGGAAGTTTTGGTTTCTTGAGAAACTCCTTGGGTTTGACCATGGTGAGTGCGATTCGTGATGTTTGTGTTAGCTGATGCTTCTGATTGGACTTTTCCCAGATTCAGCTGCTGCGATCTCTGACGGTAAGACAAGACCTGCGTCTGAGGTGGTTGGAGTGGTGGCTGGATTGCTCAAAAATGTGCATGGCTATGGTCGAATTGTGCACCGGGCGCAGCGGGCCGAGCAGCGCGGGGACAAGACAAGCGAGTTGCTCGGTCAACGCTCCTGCCAATCACTACTAACCATGTCATCTTTGAACCTGCAAGAGGCAGCTGCGGCACGATGCAGCAGGAGCTGCCCAACTTCCCTGTTCTGCTCCTGCTTCTTCTGTTCGTCTTCTTTGCTCTGTAATTACGTCCACACATACAAACTCTGAACCTCGAACCACTGTCTACACATCCTCCATACCGCAACTTGTGCTTGAAGTCTATCCACGTGCTTATCGATATCACAATCGATTGTGGCTGAAAACGACTATCACGCCTTTATGATTTGACGAAAGATTTTGAACGAGACGTAACGCCCGCTTCCCAAGGCACAAACTCAGCATCCCTCGCATCGACATCGACCATCATTCAGTATTGATCAAGCAAACAACACCTCCAAAGCACCATAGTGCGCTTGCACAGCGTCGACGACATGTCGGCCAACGGCAACAGCGCGCCAGGTAGCAGTGTCTACGACTCTAGCACCATGTATGTTGGAGATGGGACATGGCTCGCTTCTAAGAACACTTTCCTTTTGCCCAACCTCCAGGGTCTCAATTTTGCGACAATGCAGCTGAACAGTGAGATTGCCCACACTTGACTAGCCTTGGTACATACCTGACTCTTTGTGACTTGTAGGCATGTCCAGTCGCTTCGCCAACCTACCAGAGTATCGACGCCTCATCATTGGCCACGGTGTTGTTGCTGCCCTCGTCTTTCTCCTCATAGTGCCCTCGGCCATCTTCATCGCTCGCTTCTACTACAGAAATCCCCGACTTGCTCTCAGACTCCATATCTATCTCCAGATCCTGACTGTTGCCTTGATCACTGTTGTGTTGATCCTCGGCTGGTTTGCCGTGGGACCTGAGCGAAGCTTGTCCAATCCCCACCACGGCATAGGCGTCGCTCTGTACACTCTTGTTCTGGTGCAGTTCTTTGGTGGTGCCTTAATCCATCGAATCGAGAAGGGCAAGTCACGATGGAAGATTCCTCTCAAGCTGATGGTAAGTGGTCCAAACACGATTGTTGCACACGAAACTGACAAGACCTGCAGCTCCACCAATGGCTTGGTAGAGCAATTGCCTTGCTCGGTCTTGCACAGATCCCTCTGGGTATGACCCTGTATGGATCTCCCAAGTACTTGTTCATCCTCTACGCTTTGGCTGTATTCGCTCTTCTTGTCTTGTACTTCATTCTCTGTTACATTTATCAACCGATTGCCGACTATGACGACTATTCAAGTTACATTTCAGGTCCAACAAGGACCGAAATCACTGATGATCGCAGAACCGGACGCACTCGGCGCACTGTCAGTACTGGTAGCAACACCAGTCATCATGGTTTGAGAAACACGGCTTTCTTTGGCGCAGGTCTGGCAGGGTTGGCAGCGCTTCGTCGACGTTCGCAAAGCAGAAAGGCTCAGAGAGCTGAAAGAGCCAAGGTCCCTTCCCATAGGTCATACCCTTCAGAGTCCTATGTCGAAGAGGAAAAAGTGATCGAAAGCCGTCGCAAGAACAACACTTGGAGAGACAGATTGCTCGGTGCTGGCGCTGGACTTGGTGCATATCAGGGATTCAAGAGGGTCTTCTCGCGCAGATCGCCGCAAGACGAAGAGAGCTACGCTGGTTCTTCATACGCTCCCACAGTCGGTGGAAGCCAGGCCCTCAATCGAGCCGACGTGATAAGAGTCCAAGATGGTGAAGCACCATTGTCGCCTGAACCTCAGCGGGTCGTCAGATCAGATCGAGCCAGCACGGTCCCGGTTAATGCCCCCCTCGAACAGCCTCTTCGCTCGCGCACAAGTCGAGATTCCTTCTCGTCATACGACAGCCGGAGCTCGTTCGAAGATGAACAACCATCCCAGCCACTGAAGTCACCCGAGTCTGGTATTGTCGCTGGTATCGGTGCGTTAGGATTGCTCGGATACCTCAGAGAGAGGCGCAGGCAGAATCAAATCAGGAAGGATAACGTCAGAGTCGTGGACATGCGCCAGCAAGAACGGCAGAATGCTGAGCGTATCAACCGTGCAAACAGTCGACGCTACACGGATCGACCTGGGTACAGAAGACCGAGCATTGCTGACACCGAAGCTGCACATGATCTCGGATTCGCGGGGAGCAGCCCCGAGCTATCAAGACATCACTTACCTACTGGCAACATGCCCCCATTGCCGGCTTCTGCAGCAACTTTGCCAGCCAGTAACCAGTACAGCCCAACTCGTTTACCGAACAATGACGGAGCTGCACCTTTATCACCGCCAATGATGAGTCCTGCATATCCGACTCAACCTGGCCCTGTGCCGATGCCCGAAGGAGCTGTCGTTCCGGACGCTTCTCGTCTTGCAAGGTCAGATAACGCATCCAGGACCCATCTCCCAGCAGAGGCTATAGCGGCAGGTCTTGCAGCTGATGACATGGTACATTCACCCACGAAGTACAAATCTCGTGAAAGACTCGAACACCCTCACGGCCACACATCGCAAATTAAAGCGACTAGCAGTCCAGCAAGCGTTGCCTCCCCACCAGTCAGTGTCAAGGTAAAGATGCACAATGATGGACGCCATGTCACACTCCGTCGTTTGAATGAAGATGAAGCTGCAGCGGAGCGAGAGGCACGAAGACGGGAGAGACGCCAGAGAAGGAGGCGAGCCGAGAGTTTGAGCTCTGGTGTAGAGGATGAGAGTATCAGGTACAGGCGTGCTCAAGGTGCTGTATCATCTCCGAACAACGCAGCCAGACCACCAGCTTCATCACATCCGGATGAGCTGAATCTTCCACCTATGCAGGGTCCTCCTCCGGTGCCGGTTCACAGCACAGGCATGAGTCCTGTCAACATGGCCGCCAGTGGCATCACCAGCGGCATTGGTAGTCCCGGCACCTATGATACAGGTACCGGAACGGATCTCAGTGCCTTCGACACCAACAGGAAAAGACGAAGAGCAGAACGAGCTGCTCAACGAAGCGCCAACCAGGGTGCCCGTGTTGAGTTCTCTTAATTGCAACGGGGTTCTAGTTGCAGCCATAGATCAATGGATCTTCATGACGACTTTCACAATGCATTTGCAGCACGGCGTTTCATGTCTTAGTGGTTTGAGGGGCTTGATAGAGGCTTAGCGATGTATCAATGAGCAATCCTGTATTTACACGTACATGCAGCAAATCTCGAGCTTGTATACTGCAAGATGCAGTATGTAATATGGAGAAGCTCTTCCGATAAGTGGAACGATGGCTGACCCAGTAAGTTGAGCGTCTTCAAGGCCTGCTAGCGAGTCGCCATACACCACTACAAATCACATGATTGAAGTGTCATGCGGAAAAGGTGTGCCCATCCTCCAATGGAGCTGGCACTCGAATTTGCATGAGATGTGGCTTCGTAAGGAAGTCGTAATTGGTGTTCGCCGCTGCAGAGTTCTCGCGTGGGCGGCTTCCGGCTGTGAATACCCATCGTGCAACATCAACATCACAACCCAATTTTCGCTTGTACAAGCTAGGTGTCTTGTGTGTTTTCATACAGCAAGTTCTTGAACCAGCAAGAGGCATGATTCAGGCCACTGGCGCGACAGGTGCATATGAGCCTGCGGGAAATATGCACACAGCCACGGTTTTGAGCTGGCGAAAAAGTGTGTCGCGCGGCCACTCCGGGCGCGGTCAAAGAGTGGTGATGTGATTCTTGCGATCGAATAGTTACCGAATGACAGCTTCCGTGTTGTAATCTGGAACCCTTATTTGGAGATTGGGGCACAGAGAGACTGGCGAGTAAGAGTAATTGCTATATTGAGGCTGCATACAGTTTAAGCGGCTAGCGGATCCAGTGTCAAGAGAAACGAGCGCTTGCGGCGTGCGGCATTTCACGTTGCAGCAGAAGACAGGCAGCTTATCGCCAGTCATCTGTGACTGTAGAAAAATGATATAGACAGCTGCTCGCCGCCTCTATATGACATAGTACTTTTAGAATACCATCAACGTTTCCCAGCCCAAGGGAATATCGAAGAAACGTCGGACAGATCTGCGGCTAGCACACCGTTGCGAGCCCGCGGTTGAGACACGCGAGCGAAGCCACTGCCGGCCTGCGCCATCCCCACTTTAGCTTTGAGCATCTCGCCTGCTCAGAAGCCCTTTTTCCTTGATCGAACTTGTCCAGTCCGCCTCGTACACGTTGCAAACCTGACCAAAGCTGACATTGCCACTGCTAAAACCGATCAAGACCGCGTCATATCTTCAGTCCTTCTTCTCTGTATCTCTTTTGGATTTCTCGGTCTTGCCGGCGTGGCTGTGCTCGGCATACAAGTTTCCTCTTGGGGTTCACGAAACGTGCTTGCATATACCCTACACGTCGTGCTTCTTCTATTTTCGTTCTTTGTGGAGTCAAAAACTCAAAATCCATCTTTGAATGTGTTTTTTAGCCCCCGATCTTTGGTACATGTTCACCAACATCTGTCGACGATAATTCTAGTACCTACTATGAAGAATCCAAAAAAATCTATCCCATCCGCAACTCTGGCCCCATCTCTGGTATAGGGTACTCTCAATACTTCCATAGACGGGACCTTACGAGGCACAAGATAGCATGGCGACCGAACCACTACCGTCGAACCCTATCCCGGGCTCGGGAATCCAACGTCAAACAAGAAGTCTTAGGAGATCAACAACTCGTTTACCGGTCACAATTCGATCTCCCAAAGAGTGTACTGTTGTCGAACCAACACGACCTCATGCCACAAATCGGAGCCTTCGCCACGTTCCCAAAAGCGAGGCATCTTTGAGTCGTACAGTCACAAACTCTCGCCTACCGTCCAGAAACGTTCTGCCAAGCGTTGTACAGGCACAACCTCCATCGGCCACTCCATCCGTCCGGAGTAGCTCCAGCGAAGCACAGTCTCTAGGCCGCCGATCCGTACGTCCTCCTGCTTTAAACACAAAGACACCATCTTTAGTATCAGGCTCGACTATATCAGTGCCAGATAGCCCCCGATCAGCATTACGTAGGAAGCCTTCTACGATCGATCAATATGCCCTACGCGTCAAGACTGACCCCGAGAGCATGCAAGAACATCGAAACTTGATCAAGACTGTGTACAGTGTGCAGCATGACGATGACCCCTTTCCAGAAGCCATCTTTGGCATGACGCTTCCTTCTACTTCTGGACAAACATCTCTGAAGATCGCCAATCGGATACCGAACTCAGGAACCAGCATCTCCTACTTAAGGACAGACACGAAAGTCTCACGTCCCATGGTCGACATACAGGCACCTTTCTCAGATGCTTCGAGCAGGAATACCGACTCGCCATTTAGCCATCAATCAACACCAACTTCGGCATCCTCACATTCTTCTCTGGCAATATCTGCTTTAGGATCTGCTCGTCACAGAGATAGCTTGGACCTAGCTCGTGCCGCTGCGAAAACACACTTGAGGAAGGACAAGTCTCACAATGCCAGTACCACCTCATCATCACGACAAGAAATCAAGAGGCCTAGTGTGTCTGGCTCTAGAGAACAGATCAAAGACACACAAGAGTCCATCGGACAACGACCGTCATTCTCAAATCCTTTTTCTGCTAAGGTCACACCGGTCCAAGGCAAGAAAGACTCAGCTCTGACAAAGTCGACAAGCAGAAGCAAATCTCACGGAGCACTTGTTGATGATATTCCGCCAGAGTTCGCGCATCTGAACGTCGATCCACCGCTTGATTACTCGATCGGTAGGCTGGTACCTCCTCGACGACCAAGTAGAGACGGCATTGATAGTCTTGGTCTCCCCTTCGACATACCTGTGGTACAGAGCAACCTTTCGCACATTGCGAGAATATCATCTCGAGGGTCAAACGAAGCTGGAGTAGAATCACCACCACTGAGCCCAAAACGAACATTTGGATTCACCTATCGAACTTCTTCTCGTCAGAGCAACAAATCCCAAACGCACACAATATCACCTAGGACGCCTGTTGAACGCTCTGACATGGATTCACCGCTGAGTCGCAACGACTCGCCAATGATCGTGCCGAGCCCCAATACCTTGAGATCCCCTAGGACAGGCATACTGTCCAATGTTCACACCAAGTCATCAACTCCGCCGATCGCGTCTGAGAAGCCAAAGAAAGGACCCGCAGCGGGTACTGGTCATGAGGGTTATGGCAAGTTCGGCTTCAGAGGAAGAGGGAGCAGTATATTTGGCAGGACAAGCCGTTCTTCTAGCAAAGACAGCTCGACCAGTCACTCAGGATTCTCGTTCTTGAGTAGAAAGAAGAGTATGACCGACGAGAGTGAGGACAACTTGGATCAATTCTTGCAAGAAAGACGAGAGCCCATAATCCTTCGAGGAAATGGAAGACCGGGATCAAATTCAGATGAACGAGAGATAGCCAACAGTGCTAAATCTGATCACGTCGATGAAGTCAAACACCACACAGACTCATCAGTTTCAGAAAGAGTCACACCAACAGCCGGCGCTACAAAGCCTGCACTTTCTGAGCTTGGTGGTGAGGGTAAAGAAGGTCATTGGCTGACTTCTCCCACATCAAGGAAAAGCCCGACATTGATGCAACGATTCAAGTCCAAAATCACAAGTCAATCCCCAGACAACGCCTCTGAACATCAGCAAACACATAGTCCGCTACACTTCGACTCCATTGATCAGACCACAGACCTCGATCTCACAGATATAGAGAAGCTTCTCAGTGGCGACACCCATTCTTCACAAACTTCAAAAAGTTCTGAAGGCGATTCGAAAACTGCGAATCCGCTTGTGTCCTACGATCGAAGACACGAAGGTCTTTTGCCGAGCCCGATGGAAATATCATCCACGAAGAGAGAATCATTAGGATCTCCTGTTCTGCTCCAAGCAAAAACGGTAACTCAAGTCAGAGCCCCTCAGCTTGTAGAGATATCCAACACAGCAGGCCCATCATCTCGAGATGACTCGAAAGTCAGACTTCGATCTGTTGGCAGGATTCCAAAAGTTGTGCGAGTCGGTCAGAATCCACGAACTCAACTTTCTCACCAAGACTCTTCGAACCATAATCCGGACAAGAGCCAAGCTGCTGATTCAGTCGCCGACGAATCACGAGAGTTCATTGCGTTTCCTTCAAGGAAAGATTCGGAGCTGTCTTCCACCAGCAGCTCTGGGTTTGGAAGCCCATGCATCACAAGATCATCATTCATCGGGGAAGACGAAGTCTGGAATGAATATGATAACTTGTTGGATGAGGTTTTGCCCCCTAGGGTGAGGGCATCAACTACGTCCTCTGTCGGTGCACCCTTCCAGTATGGCGACATGGTCGACCACAAAGCCACAATTCGCAAGGAGGAGACACCGAAAAGTATTTCGCATCCTGAGGCTAGTAGAAGGGTGTCGAATCTCGACACAAGCCGTCCAAGCACCACTTTCTCGATATCTGATTACCTTGTTGACCAAGACGATGCTGTTTTGGTGGCTCCCACGCCCCCTCGCGAAGCCAGAAGTCCTCAAATCGCACCTGCTCTTCCTGATCGACGCAGTCTGCGAAAACCAGTCTCCAACCAAGAGGCAAGGCCGATCGACAATTTTGTGTCTGCGGAGTTGAGATTTGCAGCACTCATGACGAGTAAATGGCTCTCTTTCGGGCGACTTCTGTTCAGCCCCGCTCATGAGGAAGCGACGACCGGCGACCACACTCGGATCCTCATCGTCGACGGACTCGGGAAAGAGTGGTCTTATAATTGCGCTCTGACCTACCCAAAGTGCCAATTCTACAACCTTGGCCCGGAACCAAATTCATCATCGTGGGAAACGCTGTCCAACCACCATCATGTCAAGCACCCATCAATCTCATCACCATTCCCATTCCCTAACAACTACTTTTCGGCTGTGGTCTTTCGCTTCCCTATCGCCGCCGCAGATGATGCCTACCAGGCATGTTTTAACGAGATCAAACGCACATTGCGTCCATCTGGATACCTCGAGATGTCTGTCTTAGACCTGGACCTTGTCAACATGGGTCACATCGCTCGAAAGACCATCCGCGATCTGAAGATACGCATCCATGAACAAGACAGTCAGGTCAGTCTCTGGTCCAAGGTGACGCATTCCTTACACTTCTCGGCAAGCGCGAATTCGAGAACTTGCGCAAATGTGTCGTTGGCATTCCCGTAGCTGGGCGCATACGAAGGAGTTACGACAGCGGTAGCTCAAGCTCCGGTAGCCAACAAAAAAGAACTTCAGAACAGCCCGAGCCTGAATACCTTCGATTCACCGAATGGATGCAGAGCAGCGGCAACAAAAACAACGAAGAAGACGAACGACATGAAAGACGCAACGACGAAGATATCACAAAAACCGTGGCAAAGATAGGACGCTGGTGGTACTCTTCTTGCTACCCGGACCCTGGCCGGTCGAACACAATTGAGCTTTGGGATACACCAGGTTTGTTGAGAGAGTGCGAGCGTCAGAGGACTAGCTTCAGGCTGCTCTTTTGCTACGCACAGAAGCCAGTCTGTGTTAAAAGGCGCACAGCAAGTGTTTGAGTCAATGAACTCGAAACAAGAACGAATTAAATGAGATGAACAACGAAGACATGGGACAGGAAATTCTTTGCATAGGACATACATACGACACATATCTAATGACAAGAGCTTAGATGAATTCTCTAATGGGGCTCTCTCTGTGGAAGCCACATTCTTTATAAAGATATCATGCATTTCTATAGCTACATTGTGACTACTCTTTGCACACGGGGAGGATGAATGCACTTTCAAGATTAGCATATTCTAGGAATGACATAACTCATCATCTTGCTCGATGCTCCAGACTGTACGCCCACTGTCTGAGTATGCCATCCAGAGTCTTAACACACTTCTCCCAAGTCTCAACGTTACGACCTTGAGTTTTCCACTGCTCCATTTTTGACAACTCAGCCAGGTCGCTCTCAATGTGCGATGTCGTACCGTTGATAGGTGTAATACCAAGTCCCTGAACAAGAGAGTAAAGCGCCACTTCTGCGCTGACACCAACTTGCTTGACAACCACCTTGACAAGCTGGCTATCAAGTAACTCAGGGTTACCCGTCAGTGTCCAGAAACTCTGATACACGATGCTATTGTCGGAGCAAAATTCTCTGAGCGCGATATCCCATCCAGTCGCAGCATAAAATCTGTTCTGGACCACAGTTGGCTTTACAGTGCTGTTGCTCCAGATGTGCTGCAAGATTGGCAGTGAAGTGTTGGAGATACCCAGAGAGTGTACTTTTGTGGGTACGAATGCGGACATTGCATCCCATGCCTCCATCGTCTGCTTTATCGTTGGAAGCGGGCTGTGCAAGACCAGACAATCGATGTAGCTTTCCTCTGCGTTCTCGTTGTGTCGTAGATTATGCAGTGAAGAGGCGACAGAAGCTTTGACCTGTTCTGAAATACTGGTTGATGGGTCGTAGGGCAAGTTGTTGGGGTCCTGGCCGTTGAATGATGTGTACTTGGTTTGTAGATATAGATCTTGACGGGTGAGTTTGCTTGTTGATAAAAATGAATTAACACCGTTGCCGACAAGATGCTCTTGGTAGTGCTTTGGCTGGGCAGCTGTGTCGATGGCGAGGAAGCCTGCTTGAAGGGCTTGTTGCACTAGACTGGCCGTTCGTTCCTTCTTCCAGGCTGTGCCGTAAAGCATTTTTAGTGTGATATTTTTAGGTTTCGACATGGTTCTTCCTGGTTCAACAATGTTGTTTGGAGGGTTTTTAGGAGATGAACGATCATTCGGATGTTGACGTTGATTGACCTCAGGCAGGCGCTGTCGAGGGTGCCACCCTGCTTTACTGGTCGAGCTTGCCATTTTCATGCATCACAGGTGTCGATCTCGAGATGCAGCGTGTATATCAAACAGTGTTTCAACTGCTATGCATCTACATAAGCTTCTTGGCTCGAGGCTTGTGGCTCTTGAGTCTTGACCCTAAGTCAACTATCCCTCAACGTGAATGATTGCGTTGCAAGCTTTGTGTCTATGCTCCCCTGATGAACATCTCTCGAATTTCGCAAGAACTCATCAGGCGATTAATTCCAACGTGGCCAGACCTCATTGCGAGAGTCGGCGGACGGTTCGATATGAACACAACAAGATAAGGGTGGTGAGCAGGACGTGAGATGTTCATGCACGGAAACCCAGCCAAGCGCCTCAGCAAGCCTATTGATTGGATGGCATGCACGAACAACAAGCGCAAGACGTGCCACGCTCGCAATGACGGGCGGCTACACAGCTTACCTCGTTCGCCGCTCATGGTGATATGAACGTGAGGACAAACGTAGATCATGTGTGTATGTTGTACCGCAGTAAACTTGTACAAATCATGTCTCCTCCCGCGCTCTGGGAGGTCAGCATCTCTTCCTACTCCCCTCCTTTCCTTCGGCGCTAGACCACGACGCAGTGCCAGCTTTGATACTCGGCAGGCATTTGTCGTCAAGTCTACCAAGCAATCAAGCACCATTTCTTCATCTTACAAAACCACACTTCATAATGTTGCTTATCGCGCGAAAATGGAGGTCTCGAAAGACCATGCTCTATCTTTTCGCTGCGGAATTTCCCTTTACTGTGGCCGCTCTTGCTCTCTTCGCCATTGCACAACCAAACACCTACCGCACACGGCTCTGGGCAGATGGATACAGCAATGGCTTCAACAGTTCGCCGACTGAGATTCTTTACTCATACGCGAACCATAGGCCGATCAGTCCTCCTCTCGTCTGGAGTCAATTGTGAGTTCGATTGATTCTGTTGTTCCACATTATCATGATCTAACTGCGGACCAGTATCACCGACTACAATGTCGTGATCTCAGTGCTCTCGATGTTCATAATGCTCGTCAAGCCCGTTCTTTTCTTCATGCGTGCTCTTATCCCGATACTCTCTGCCCTGGTCCACATCTTACAGGTCGTCTTGTATGCGTATAGTGCTTATGGCCAAGCTGCACCCGATATGACCGACAAGGGCCATCCGCAAAGAGGCGCGCCATGGTACATTACCAAAAGTTGTAGTGTCGCATCGGACAAGAAAAACATTGGTTACTGTAAGCAAGCGAAAGCTAGCTTTGCTGTGACGCTGTGCCTCTTGTGAGTGTTCCTCATACATGTCAATGTGTCGCAAGAACTGATCGTAGCCGCTAGAATATTGTTTGCCATCACGCTAGCGATCTCACTCCACTCCTGTGTGCCTACCAAAGCAGAGAAGCTTGCTCGAGCAGCCGACGTTGAAGAGACTGAGATACCAGAATACTCACCAGAAACGGCCCGACTGGATGAGCAAGAATGGGAGAAAATGCGGTCGCAGGCAGAATGGGACTACTCACGGGCGCCAGGCACATCGCATGCGTTGAACCCTATGACACCAAGAACAGTGGCATTCCAGACACTTGAGGGATGCAGCTCGACGACGTTCTCGAGTACGCTACCATTCAGAGAGCGGTACGGAGGACCCGATGGACGATAACGTCCCTAATACTTAGCAATTTGTTGATGAAGGTTGAACCCAAGGCAATCTATTCTTGGCCAGGTTTTCACACCGGCTGACATGTCAAGTTGTCGTGTATCCGTAATGAGTCAACTTTGGTAGTTGATGACGTTCAAGCAGGGGTGGAGTTGCGTTGCGTTGATGATGCTTTACAGTTCGTCATCTGTCTCTTCATCATCGTCCACTGCCGGTGGTGGTTTGGAAGAGGGATTAGTAGCAGAAGATTGAGGAAGTGTTTTCGAAGACGACTTTGAAGAAGCTTGGGAAGCAGATGTCAGGTCGTTTCTCTTGGAGAAAGGCAACTGCCTTCTAGGTGGTAGCTCTATCTCAGGAGACTTCTGGGGAGCGGGTTTTGTTCCGTTCGGTGTAAATGTTTCCAGTGCCTTTCCTTTAGCCCCGACAGAGCTTTGAGAACGTGCTTGGGAAAGTGACGGCTGTGACGGCATGGGAGCTGGAGCAAAGCCACCATCACTATCGTCATCTTCTGTATCAAGGTCGGATTTGTCAGATTTCAGGGGTTCATCAAGGTCCTGACGCATGTCATTTTCTTCGTCCATGCGGTTCCCCAGACCCGTCCCCTCAGAACCATCGTCATCTGTTTCGGATTCCTGGATGTTGGCATCAGCCTTACGCTTGCTCGAACGAGAGAGATCAGGTTTGCGGCTAGACGTTCCGGATCTGACTTGCTGGACGTGATCTGCGGTTGTAGGGTCGACGTTGGAATGTGCCAAAAGGCGCTGCTGATCTCGGATCTTGAGCTTCTTGGTGTTTAACAAGGCAGCGAATTTTCTGAGCATCTCATCTTGGTGAGACTTCTTTGCCTTGACCAAGTCATCTAACTGTGCGGTCAAGTCATCTATTGTCTTTTGATGCTCTGCCACGGTAGATTGAAAAGTTGCTAGCTGGTGAGCCAGTCCATCAGCTCGGGATACAGCAAAGCCCGTCCAGTCGTATAGTTGAATGTCTTCATCTTCATCCTTGTCAAGCGTTATTACGCCGAGTCGTTGCTACGGATATCAGTACATATGATGGACAGAGGAGGCTGTAGCGGGCACGTACAGTAATGCCACTAATCTTGTTGCGTATAGTTATGGTAAGTTGAGAGGAAGAGACATTGGCCACAGCTTCTACCCCGGCCAAGGTAGGATCATTTGGAATAGATTGGAACAAGACAGCAGATAGGATAGATTGCCAATGGTCCAGCTGGATCTGCGAGCCAGAAGCCTGCAATTTCTGGATCTGGTTCTGACGTACAGAGGCAACAAAAGGGGACTGGCCGTCAGTAGCAACGAGTTTCAGGTCGAGAGGATCAGAGCCAGATGGTTCGACATTGACGAGGACGAAGTCATTGGCGACGTCAGTCCGCGGCAGTCGTAAGACTTTTGGGTCTGGCAATGATGACATGACGGCAGAGTAAGATTTGATGGCTGAAGTAGGGAAGTGTACAGTAGTAAGCGGATGCCGGGCGGGGACGTTTGTTTAGAGGCGGCGGGATGCAAACAACGACAGCAACGTCGACCTTGCCGCTTTTAACCGTTTGCTGGCGAGCGTTTCGGGAAGCAAACGCGTGCGAGCGAGACGTTTCAGGCAACAGCCGCAGCGACGTGAAGCAGCTTCTCTCGTGGTAGAGGAGGCCTTATGCCGGTGTCAAGTCGCGTGAAATTGATTGATTGTTTACTGAGATTGTGACGTGCGCTTGAATCGCTAGTCTGGCGGAGCTGTCGGGAAGGTAGACCCTTCTTGGCAAGCAGGGCGAGAAAGAGCAAAAAAAGGTGGTGCTTGGGTGCTTGGGTGCTTGGGTGCTTGGGCGGTTGTGCTTTCGGGTGAGGGCAGCTCGGGCGCTCCTGCCCTGGCCTGCATATCTCGACAGCCGTTGCACAGCTTTCCAGCCATCCCGCGTCGTCTGTCTCTTCGCATTCTGCACGCTCGCTGCGTCTTCAATGCAACCCCGTTCCTGCCACTACCTTCATTACTGTCGCCCCCAGCGCCTCGATTGTCTCTCGCTCTCCCATCTCGATCCCCTCGACCCTCCGCCCTCGCCGCCAGCGCCATCGCCCTCGCTCGCTTGCCGATTGACCGCCTGCCATGGCCGCGGCCGACATTGAGAGCTGGGACGACGATGTCGACTTCCAGGGCGATCTCTTCACCAACTCCGTCTCGACCGTCCAAACCCATTTTTCCTCGCGCCTTTCGCTGCGCTCCGAATCCGCTGCCGCCGACGATGACTGGCATGTCATGCTGGCGCCCAACGACGACTCTTCGGCCAACAACGCAATCCAGTCTGCCCGCCTTCACGCAGGCATCCCTATCCCCAACAATGTTCCCCCTTCAGCTCTGATGAGCGGTAAGATCCAGCGTCTGGGAAACGCTCCTTCTCGACGAACACTACCTCCCCGTCAAGACGACGACTGGGCCGATGATCTGGATATCGCCAACGACGCTCCGCTCTCGCTTAAACTGCCCAAGCCTTCCCACCAGGACCACGACGAAGAACACGACGACTTCGATGACTTCACCGAGGGCAGCCTGGGCATACGCTTCGCTGGCACTCGTCGCGATCAGCGCAACAGAAGTTTTTCCGGCTCTCAACTGGGCTCCGCAATGAGCCCTAGTCTCGGCAGCGTCATGACCGAGAGCGAGGACGACATCGGTGGTCTTGAGCTGCCCGAAGGACCTCTCGACTTGGGCAAGATGCTCAAGAAGCGTCAGCAACAGGTTGAGACCCCTTCTACCTCGCGACCCCAGGACGAGGACGACTTTGAGAGTGGCCTTGATATTGGTTCGGGCAATGTCTTCGACCCCAGCAAGCTCACTCTTCATCGCAATATCCAGCAAAGACAGACCAAGTCTTACACCTCGTCGACTCGTGCTCCTACCACGACGCTTACCTTCTCCGAAAAACCTTCTGCCACACGCATCCCTCGGCCTGTCCCTTCGTCTAAGCCAGCCTCTCGCCTCGAACCCGTCTTTGAGCCTGGAGCAACCCTCGTCACGCGCCAGCGTCCTCAGCCCTCTACCTCGGGCTCAAATCTCTTGCGCAACAAGCGTTCTATGCCCGTCCTGCGCGGCCCCCAGCAAAGCGTCAAGCCCGTACCATTCTTACCAGCCGGTTCTTCGGCCCAGTCGCACCACGCTTATGCCAAGCCCCCTTCGCGCACTTCTGCATACCACCTCCGTCGTGAGGCCGAACCTCAACGCAGTCAATCGCCTCCCCCTAGATCCTACTCACGCCTTTCTTCCGGCTATGTACCTGATACGCCCTCGCGCTCTGGTCGTCGCGCAGATCTTGCTCCCGCGGCCCTTGCAAGAGAAGCTGCCTCCAAGCGCACTGTAACGAAGCCTTCTCGCAGACGCAACTTTGGAGATGGAACTGAACTCGATCTCTTCGATGACCTACCCACCTCGTCGACCAAGGAATCCAAGTATCTCAAGCAGCCCTCTGCTAGGGGCGCACCCAAGTCTGTTCGCAACATTCCGAGCAGGATCGATGTTGCCGGATCTACGAAGATCCCCTTACCAGAGCGCATGCAGACTCCCGCTCCGGTGACACCACGCAGCCCCCTACCCATGAAGGGTTTCCAGGACCAGTCCAACACCCCGCGTTATCTTCGCGATACTGCAGCAAGCCGTATTGCACGCGAATCACGCCTCAGGGCTGCAGGAACCGGCCGTCCCAAGAGTGAGGGTCCGCTTATGCCTGTCAGCACCAATTGGAAAGCTCAAATCGCTGCCCGCAGTCCCCATACCAGCCCCAGTGCTTCCAGGATCAAGGCCAAGCGTCCTCAACTCATCGCCCCTAGCACTGCCAATGCCGGCAAGCCAATTGTTGAGAAGGGCATGACCTTCAACCCTCAGACTCTTCGATGGGAGGGTAACGAGAACAGTCTGGCTCCTTTCGAGCTTGGCCCACTCTTGCCAACTCCTACTCCGACCTCCCATGATGCACAACAGACTTCTTACATGACTGCACGTCCCCTGCCGCCCTCGCCTCCAAGACCTGCTCTCATCACCCCTCTCGCGTCCGATTATTCCAACCAAAACATTAAGGTTGTTGGTGGCATGGTCTTCGATCCTCGTCGCATGTGTTGGCTCAAGCTGCGTGCCGGAGATTCCAGGAACAATAGCCCTAGTGTCACCGAGGACGAAGAGGACCCATTTGCTGCCATAGAAGACCTCAAAGACGGCCCCACCTCCGCTCCCGATGGCGTACAAACTGCCGGTGGCGACGAGTGGCTGGTTGGTGAAGAGTTCGACTTGGGTCCCGAATTCATCCGTCGTCAACGCGACGAGGAGCACGTCTGGCGCCGCAGATGCGAATCCTGGTTCCCTGCGGATGGTGGCTGCCGTCAATCGAACGACTCCTGGCGTTGGGCAATTCGCGACATTGCCGGCCAAATGCTTTAACAAGGCATTCACCGCCGCGCTGTAATTACGCATTTCATTTTTAACGACCTTCCTCGTCTGAGGAAAACACTACGATATGATTGATGAGAAAGAAAAAAGCGAATCTTTACGAATCTCATTTTCGTGTCATCGGTTCGGAACAGGAGAACAGCGTTTGTTTTCATTGCTTTCTTTCTGTCTGCTTTGCCTGGAGTTTCCTGGGAAAAGAAACCATGCTGATGATGACTGATGCAACGAACTTTTACGACATGGACATTTGCTTGTTTTTGCTGTTTTATTCACTTCTTTTCTATTCTTCTCGAGGTCCGACAGATGGACCTATAAAACTTTTTGGATACCAATAGATACTTGTTGTAATATGGCTTTTGAGAAAGAAATACCCCAATCAGAAACCTCAATACCTCCCCGTGTGCTAAAGTATGTGATACGTGTGCTGTAAAAATGCACGATACTAACAAGAATTAGAACAGTGTCCACTGAGAAGCGACTAATAATGGACTCTCTGTGGACATGCCCATGTTCGCAAAAAACACTGTGCCTTTTTATAGCGTAATGCTGCTCTCTGCGTGTAGTTGGAGAACGATGGATTTGATTAGGGCAAAAACTTTGGCATACGGGAAGGCAGTACTATGTGTCTACAAGGGAGTTCTGAGCCTGCGCCTATTCAGCGCTTTGTTCCACCAGATAGAAAAGGTGTTGCAATAATGTTCAGTGTGCTCAAGACATGGTCATCAAGTGATATGAGTGTCTATCATTGAGTGAGAAGGCTTATTGGACGACTCTGTCAGTCTTCACAAGCATGTGCTATTTGACACTGCTCTGCATGGCCAGAACATCAAGGGCTGGTAGTGCCTCATGATAGCAAATCCGGGCTGCAGAAGATTGCGGGAAACATCAAGAACATAAGAGACCGGGAAAATGAGCAAGTTAGATGTACAATTCTGCTAGCAAGGTATTTACTCTTTCTCTTGTCTTCTAGCAAGGTAGCTACTCTCCGTCTTTTCTTCTAGCAAAAAAAAAAAAAAACAGCTCTCCTACTCAGTCTCCGGTTCTATGGTGTGGCTGGACCCTCGGCCACAACCTTGATGACATTGTCCAGCCAGATGGTCTGATGGATGTCTTGAACAGCCAACTGCCATTCGCCCTCGCTGGATACAATGGTCAGACCAGACGAAGTGAGGACTTTGATGGTGAAGTGCTCGAGGATGCTGGCTGCAATATCTGGCGGAGGGTGGACGATCTGCAGGGCGCTACACCAGTTGCTCAACAGTGTGTCAAGTAGCCACTGCCAACTGAACTCCTCTTCCATGACGAAGGATATGCGGTCTCGCACAAGTTGGCCGGACTCAGGGGCGAGGAGGTAGATGTGGTAAGCCGGGGTAGAATCCAGACGCGAGTCGTATGGTTCTGCGTGGCCATCGTGAGCAGGGTTGGAGACACCGTCCTGATCCTGAGCCGACTGATGGATCTGAGGATCAGTGGGGTCTTGCGAGTTCTTGTCCTGCTTGCCGCCTTTGCGTGTCTCAATAGCGTACTGTCTCTGGCGCTCGTTGGTAACCATGCGACGCAGGAGCGGAGTGCAAAGAGCAATAATACGATCCCTGTCGCGCGGCCAGACGTAGCGTCGTGGCTGAGGTGGAGCATTGGCTTCTCCATCGTTCGGTGGAGGTGCGTTCTCTCCAAAGTACTTCTCTCCCCAACCCTCAGCCTCGAGAAACTCGCGCACACACTGATACATCCTAGCCTTGACCATTTCGTTGTCACCTCTTCCTCTATTGCCTACACAGGCCTGTCGATCAGGATAGTCCGAGTTGAGCATGTACTGTTTCGCAGCGGCCTGCAGGTACAGAAAGTTCTCCGGAGAAAGTTCGAGTGATGTGAAGAGTTTGGACATGGGAGGACGAGTGTACTTCTTGGAAGAATCTGAGGCGGGTCGAAACAGAGCGGCCGCAGAGTGGACGCCAGCAGCTCGAGCATCGAGGTGTGGAGAGTGGTGGCGGTTGTCTTCGGAATGTCTTTGGCGCTTGGAGGATTCAGTTGCAGAAGCGGGATCGTCGTTGTCGAGAGAGCTAGAGCGCTTGCGCTTTGAAGTTGACAGTCTGGCAGAGGGGTCGCGCAGCAGAGAAGCTAGATCTTGGTCTGACTGTGCAAATTGAAGTTGTTGATTGCGCTGGCGGATCTGTTCTTGGGCGGCAGCACTGGTAGCAGCCTCAACGAGACCTTGAAGCTGGGCGTGATCTTCGACATCCTGGTCCGCGGCTAGCTGCTGAGCATGATGATATTCCGAGTTGGGTTCCGGGTACATAGATGGCTGAGGGACTGAGGCCGTGTAGTCCAGTATGCCTTGGGCAAGGCGCATCTCGTCCGAGACTGGTTGATCATGCGCCTGGACAGGTTGATAGTATGGGCCGTTCGAGGGCATGTTGATTCGTCTCGAGAATGACCGTCTCAGAGATGAGGCAGATTTTGAAGACTCCTAGTGAAGGTCAGCGTCACCTTGGCTATGTCGAGATTCGTGGCGAGCGTCGTCATCATGTTGGCGTTACAGAACAGTGAAGCGGTGCAGGAAGTGAAGATGAGACTCGCGGCCGAGGGGTGGACTCACTGTACTTCGTAGTTTGGTCGGCGACCAGTCAAGTTTGTCTTCTGCGCAAACACGTCAAACAGCCACTGAACGACCTCAGGCTCCATCTGCTGCCCTCCAGAGCTCGACGATCACGTGTCTGAGCAAAAGTCTTGGCACAGTCAAGTTACGCGCCCAGACGAGGAAGGCGCAAACAGCAGAGTGAGCTAGACGCAGGCAGGCGCGACCACTCCATCCCTTTCCTCACACGCTTTGCGACTTCCATCGCATCATCCCTTCCTTGTTTTCTTCCATTGACCTTATCCATTCCACTTCTCCTTCTGCAACTTGACTCCACTAATCGCAAAAATGGAATACGAGAACCGCGACTACGACGGTATCTACTTCTGACTCGCTCCATCCCATTGCATCACTCGACTAACTCGCTCTAGACGAGCCTCAATACCCTCGTGAGCGCTCGCGCTCCCCTCGTCCCGACCGTGATGGCGACAGCAGACTCCGTAGCGCTTCCCCCGCCGCTGCCCGTGATGACCGGTACGTCACCAAACACTCCAACCAGCCATCCATACATGTCATTGACAACCAACCCAGCTCCGCCCCAGTCCGTGAAGATGAGGAAGAGGCTGCCAACCCTGGCTCCAACCTTTTCGTTACCGGTATCCACCCTCGTCTGACCGAGGAGGAGGTTCGCCGTCTCTTCGAGAAGTACGGTGATGTCGACACTTGCAGCATCATGCGCGACCCTCACACCCGTGAGTCGCGTGGATTTGGTTTCGTCAACATGGCCACTGGCGAGCAGGCCGATGCTGCCAAGTCTGGTCTCCAGGGCGAGGTCTACGAGGGCCGTACTCTGAGCATTGAGAAGGCCCGTCGCTCCAGACCCAGAACCCCTACCCCCGGCAAGTACTTTGGCCCTCCCAAGAGAAGTACGCAAATGACCCTCGACCACACATGATTTCCAACTGACTTGCCTTTAGCTGACGATCGCCGTCCCCCTGGTCGCTTTGGTGGTGACCGCTACAACGACCGCCGCGGCTTCGGCAGACGTGATGACTACGGTGGCAGATCTGGTGGACGCTACGGCGGTGGCGATCGCTACGGCGATGACCGCTATGGTGGTGGCCGTGACTACGATCGCTACGAGGACCGCGGCTACAGCCGTCGCGACCGTGATGACTACGGCGGTGGCTCTCGTGGATACGGCGGACGTGAAGACCGCTACGCTGGACGCGGTGGTGCTTCTGGAGGTGACGATGACAGACGCGGCGGATATGGCTACGACCGTGGCAGTGCCCGCGCTGATGCTCCTTCTAGCTATGCTGACCCTGCCGCTCCCGCTGCCGACGCTGCTGCTTCTGGTGGCCGTCGTGCTTATGGCGAGGAGCGCGGTGCTGACAGGTACGACCGTCGCTGAAGCGCTACTAATGACCAGGGGGAATTCAAAAAGCACTCTTTGACATGACGGCCCAACGGTTTTATCTTGCCCAACCATCATCATGTACTCTTCACCTTTCTCGTCATCTTTGCCGCTCTTCCACGCTATTCACGGTTCGTTCGGGGCGCATCAGCAGATTAATTTCACGGGTCTTTTCGGCATCAGCTCGTCGTGCGTCAAACAAAGAATCAGAAATCTTGAGACGTGCTTCTGCAACTATTTTGGCGACACGACCCAGAGACACTCGCGCGTTATACAGCTTTACGATTCTCGAGCATCTTTTCCGGTGGATTTCCTAGTTCGCAGTCCGCCTTTTTTTCCAATACAGTTACACATCCCGTGGTGCGGTTCCATCAAATTGCTTCAACTAATTGAGCAATTCAACATTGTAACGTGCGACACTTCATAACTACTGTCAGCTCGCGGCGTTTTCCATCGCCACGTCGCTCGACCTTGGCTCTTGAGTCTTAAAATCGCCAAATCGATTCTTCTGTGAACACCATGCTGAGCGCCTTCCTTGTTCGCCTGATCTTCTTAACAAGGAACGCACGACAACCAGCCAGAATCGCTGCCACGACTCTCGGGATCAGGTGGGTTGACGCTAAAGTGAGAGCTGACTGCTGACAGGTCTTGGTTCTTTTCATCGTGAGACGCTGCTGGCTGCTATTGCCGAGTCGACGTCGAAGTCTCACAGGTGAGCTCTGCATGCCTTTGTCATCTCAGCTGCTCGACAACAGATGATGATGCTCGATGCAAAGCACAAGTCTGTTGTACTAGAGTGGGAGGCAACATTCCTTGTAATTTCGGAGTGGGCAATGAGACACGACGAAGACAGGCATGAACACCTGCAAGCTTTACGGTAAGCTTTAGAAGCAGTAGAATCAAGTAGTCAAAAGTTCTTCGTTCAATGACATTAGTGGTGTTTGTTCGTTATCATGCTATGCTATGCTGCGCTGTTGTTCAGAACCGAAAGAAAGTGTCGTCAAATGTTGCTTGAATCAGCTCGATGATGGATTGGAATCGTGCTCGGCTGCCCTTTGCACATTCTTCTGCTTTTTCGCCCTCTCTTCGGCAGCTCTAGCCATGGCTTCGCGTCGAGTAAGAGGCTCAGCGGAGTTTTGACTGGTCGAAGTTGTTGCACCAAGAATGTATGAACCTCCCTCCCAACCGCCAGCGTCACAGTGATCATCATCGTCAACGTAGTCATCGCCAGGGTTGTAGAACTCCTCTTGCCCAAGTGAATGACCACCTCTTGACCAATCATTCTTCTCAACTTCCTTCTCAATCTGGTTCCAAAGAGCATGGAACTCTGCATTGTGTGGGCCGACCACGTTGTGTGCAAGCTCATGGCACAAGGTCTTTCTGATAACCTTGTAGTCTCTGTATCCGTCGTATGCATCCGTCCTCAGACGCAACTCGATAACTTCTCCTCGGTTTCTGTTCAGACCCAGCGTCCGTGATTCATGCGTTGTGTGCTCGGCAGGATCCATCTCGGTCAGCAAACCAACACTGAACTTGTGTTTGCGCATTGCAGCTTTGATGCCAGGGTCATCGCGCAAACGCTCCAGGAACCGCAACGACTTTTCTGGATGGTGCAGGTGTGGTAGCGGTCGAAGTGTGGCGAACGTGTATGTTGCTTCTTCGGTCACAGTCTTCCAGTCGCGATAGCGGTTTGCTTGGACTTTGCGACCGGCATTGAGGGCGGCTCGGCGGGCTTGTTGCTTTTGCTTCAAGGATGCGATTGCAGTCTCGACATCGGTGACTTCTTGGGCAGTGCTGCCCAGCAGTGTGATCTTTGCCTTCTGGGGTAGGGAGTCAAGGCGCAGAGTCGGGTCTTTGAAAGGCGGACGAAGGAGACCAGGTTTCGGCGAGATCAGGAACTTTTGATTCGAAGGAGGGATTTGTAGGTCTTCGGCAACGAGAGCGGAGAGGTCGTTGATAGTGGCGTCTGTGGAGAGGGTGAGGGCTATAAGTTGACCGTGATATTGCACGCTTAGGGTGAGGCTGTCTTGTTCTTGTTCTGGTGACAGCTCAGGCGAGGGGATACGCTCGACTGCTTCTGTCATGATTCACGATGGACACAAGGGACGAAGACCAGACTGCGTGAGGAATGTTGGTTCGTAGTTTGATATCAACTGGCTCGTGACAAAGACGTCGTCGCCTTCGAGTGTTTCGCGCGGCTTCGATGCTGATTAATCGCGTCATCGAGCGCGACCCTGAGAACGCACCGCCACAAGCGTGTGGCTGGGTCGCAACGCTTGCATGTGAAAGAAAGCATCCCTTGCCGATCTGACCATATTATACTTCCGAAGTGTTACCAGAGCTCCCAGGGTATCTCATCTTTTCCCAGCCGTGAAATAACGCCGCCGTCCTGAACAAATCCTCCCATCAATCGTGACACGCATCATCGTCGTACCATTTCATCAGATGCAAAAGCTTTTCAGGCGCCCATCGTGTTGGGTCCCGCCTTGGTGGGACGACCTCTTCCGAGCACGGCCATGACGGCCAAGGCTGTTGTAACGGCAAACAAGACCCCTGCATAACACTGTCAACAAAGCGCCTTTGAAACTTGCAAAGGGGTCAGACTCACACTCAAAAGCAGCAAAGACAGTTGCGGCCTTAGCAGAACTGCAAGCTTTTCCAGCACAGGTGATGAGGTCGCTCAGGTAGACTGCAGCAGCGATGAATCCGGCGAACCAGAAGAGCATTGTCAAGCTCTCGACACCGCAGATGATCCATGGGTGAGCGAAGCGTTCGAGCTTCCATGATGTGAGGCTGAGGTAGATCAAGGCGAGGAGCGTCCAGACAGAACTAAACACGAGGAAGTTGATCGAAGATGGTGAGCCATTGTGGAAAGCGCTTGTGACTGCGCAAGTGTCAGCAGAACGATACAATAGCTGCTTGGGAAAGAAGCGCGCTCACCATAGGCACTTGTTGCAAGGACGATGATTGCGATGATGACTTGCGCAATGCGAATTGGAAAAACGAAGTTCATGTTGATGAGTTGTAGATGGAAATGTTAGAGGCGCAATCGAGGACGAATATAATGAATGAGGTGAGATGTTTGTTTGCGCAGCAAGCGAGAAACTGGGAAAGAGACAAAGAGGTTGTTCGAAGAATTATATAGTCAGGGTAGGAACTACGCGCCACGCCACCAAGGAATGTGCAAGGAGACAAGAACTTTCAAAACAGGCTTGAGACGCCCAGTGACGATGGGCATGACTGTGGAGTTCACCGGCGCGACTCCTATCCAGACAAATGGTCTTATGACATGGTTTCAAGGATTGGTTGGCAAAGGACGCGTGAAACAGCACAGCAGTTGAAGAGGCACCACAATTAGCAATCGACGTGCCGATCCGCGAGACGTGAAAGCAGGCTCGAAGAAAGCTTAATTCATAAGGAGAGGCACTTCTCCTTTTGCTTCCCCCGTTGCTGGCCTAGATCCCATGTCTGGGATGCACATGTCAAGGAGCATAAAGATTCACAAGGACGATGAGTCGTTCGCTTGACACTTTTGCGGGTCGGCTCGGTCAAGCGAGCAAAAGAGACTTTGAACAAGAAAAAACACCTTGGTGTGGAGAGATGAACCTTGGAAGGCTCCTCTGCCTGCCTGACTGTCTGCCTGCCGACCTGCATTCGCCTCGTATTGCCAGCAAGCACACCCCTCACGACAAGCCGGTCGCAAGGAACTGCCCACTAAGACATCTGTCTGTTATTCAGGTCTCTGCCTATGCCCATATTGTTCATGGCGGGCGAGGAGCTGTCATAATATCAACGCAAACGGAACCCGAGAAAATCCGGGGTGGTGCCCCTCAGATGCGTTGCCAATAATCCGTTTCTGCCCGCACTCGGTGGTAATCCTTCGCTCATACATGACTGACCTTGCGCCCGGGAGAACACTACACTTACTTCCTGCTACTGTAAGTCTCGCTGCACAAGAGACGTTGTCGTCGACGCAGGACACAACGGGCGCGCAGTCGTGCCTGTCTACATCGCCTACAGTATCTACCTTGCCGACACCCCAGATTTCATAGCCGCAGGTCGGGAAACAATCACACCCTCGCAAAACTCCACTAGCCCTCGCGCAAACCAAGCCAAAGAGCAGACATGACCTGAGGGTCTGAACATGCCAGCCATGAGCAGTAACCGTCCCTTCTTCTCCAATTTCTGGGCCACTTTCCGTGCCCACTCCGCCGCACTGCCCAAGTCAAATCCGTCCATATCGACGACTTCCTCGGCCGCTGCAGCAGTCGGTACTTCACACTCTCAAACCGTCTGGTCTTCGACTTCGACGACAAATCCTTCCCAATCTTCTTCTAATGCCGCTTCGGCGCCTCGTGCTATCAATTCCAAGTCGGCTAATTCCAACCAACCCACCACCACTCCTGTGCAGCCAACACCACTGCATCCAGCTTTATCTCCTCTCCAGCACAATGTTTCGCCGCTCACCCATGGTCCGAGGTCCCCTCCTTCGCCCGGCTTGGGCGTGAACTCGGCCGGCATGCCAGTATATGGCCCTCCAAACCGTCCACCACCCAGCTATCCCACAGCCTCAGAGGCTCGACGAAACCGCAGAGGCTCTGACAGCAGCTCCGAAGGTGGCATGGGGTATAGAGATGTTCTTGGAGCCGAGAAGTGGTACATTGGCGGCAGGACTGCTGCAGGCGAAGAGAGATTCTACAAGCTCAGCATGGTACGCCGTGACACGAGTGCTGATCGCCTCAGCGCTGACAGGCTGAGCCTCTGATGCATACCTTTTACCCAAACCCATTTCCTTCACATTCAGCGTTCGTTTGCCTTGGTTTTTCGTTCCTTGGAGTTTTGGCATGGGATTTTGGCGTTCAAGGACGGCCTCTCACCACAGGCAAATCAGATCAGGTGTGCAGCTCTGCTTTTTCCAGCCTGTACAGTATCACTGTCGTTCGAGCTGCCAGGGGCATACCAGGCATGTACACATGACGAATGATCTCGATCTTTTTCTTCGTGTCTGAGTGGACGAGACTCTGCACCAGCACATAAAGCATTTAATAGACACGACCTCATGACATTTACATGCTCAAATTTAAAGTCAGATATGCCGAAGCCGATGCTTCACAATATCTATATAGAAAATGTTCGATACACCCCCTTGCTAGCCTTGGTATTCCGATTCTTTTTGTGACTCCTTTAACGCCTTTACATGCAGTCGTCTGATCCGTATCCTGCACACAAATCTAGGCAGTGATCTCCATAGCGTCGGGGTTGCCGTTCATGCCGCCCAACTCAACACCACCTTCGTCACCGATGAATCTCTTTTCGAATTCGGAAACAAACTTCATGCTGCGATTGGGGTCGTAGAACAGTTCGAAACTCCTCTGGACATCGGCGACTTCGATCTCCCTTGCCTTGCGCTTTTGTGCCAGTAGATGTGAAGTAGTGATGAGGTTGCTGGCATATCTCAGACCAGTCTCTTGGCCGATCTTGGTAAGAAGAGCAAGAGCATCGGCTGACACATCCACCTCTTCTTCTTGTGCGCGAATGCTCAGGATTTCTCTGATCTCGTCGGGTGAATATGCTTGGGTGCTGATGATGACAAGACGGTCCAGGAAGTCCAAAGGCAGACCATGAGGGCTTACGTGGCTGGTACCGCGGATGCGTGTTTGACCACGGTTGCTGGCCATGATGACGATGGGTGCCAATTCATCCTCAAGAGCACGGTTTATGAAAGAGAAGCACTCTGCATCGAGCATGTGTACTTCGTCGATGAACAAGACACCAGGGACAATCTCGGCCTTGCCCTCTTCTCTCCACTCGGCAACCTTTGTGTTGATTTGCTCACGAACCTCGGATCTGATCTCACCAGTATCACCACTGAACAGAGCCAAGAAGCCCTGGGTTCGCGAGTTGATGACATCAATCTCGTGGAGGGACACGGTGTGAACGACTTCACGACGCACCTGAAGCTCGCCGTCAGGACATTGCACAAATTTGGTATCGGGGCCCATGGCGTCGTAGTCGCGCGAGCGTGTGTAGGAGCGTCCAAGCTTAGTGATGCGACCAGAAGCCTTGTCGATAGAGATGATGTCGCCAGCCTGGACCTTTTCCTTGGTCATGCTGTCGATCATCTTGGTGCCCATGTCGTACAGAGTCTCCATGTCGGTTGTCTTGATGGTGAGCTTTCCCTGCTTGTTGCCGCCTGTGACACTGCGATCGATTTGGATCTCGACAACCTCTCCCTCAATGACTTCCGACTCTTCTTTGATACGAACTCCTATGCTCTTGCGGAAAGCCTGCTCCAAGGCCTCGGTCTTGCTCATCTCTAGCGAGAAGATCTCGCTACTAGCCAGCATGGTAAATGGCACGTCCTCGCCCAATCCCTTACTCATACCAATGGCGATGGCTGTCTTGCCGGTGGATGGCGGACCAGCAATGAGGACAGCTCTGCCTGCAATCTTGCCCTCACGAGCCATTTGGAGAATGACGGCAGCTGCCTTGCGAGCCTTCTGTTGACCGACCAAGCCCTCAGCAGCGGGCTTTGGTGCCAGAGTGTCTGGCTGTACACCCAGGCCACGAACATGGGAATGGGCGGCGATGAGGTTGAGGCCGCGCACCTCTTTCGATTCGGCGATGGTCGAGATTTGCGCCGCCATTGCAACTGTGTCTGTGGGTTTGTGTCGCAAGAAGAAGTGAGAGCGGCGATTGGGATACGAGATGGAGATATAGACGAGACAAAGCGATTGCTAGTGAGTGGATGATTGATGATGGGTCGTGAGTGAGAAGAGATGCGACGACAGCTCTTGCTGCAACGCTCGGCTTCGCGACTTTCGCATCTCGAACTGCGGATCAAGCCGACGTGTTTACAGTACCATGCATGCGTCTATTTACGCGCCACACTACCTTGCTACTTTGCTGCCTGTTGCGTCCGAGGAAACAGCACTTCGGCGATTGCGCTTTCACTCTGCGCAGACGGTAAGTAAATAAGTGAAATTTCACTATCCACCTCACATAGTCCAATCCACGGGCAATACTTCTTGGTCCTTGAGCCACCGCCTACCGCTTCACTCAAGCCCAATCTTTGCGAGACGGTTACCTACCTTATCCCAAACCATCAACTGTTCATGACTATACTGCACACACATACACATTGCTCTTCCCGAGTTCTTCGCCGTATCGTTCAACGTCGACCATCTGTCGTGCAACGCCGGCCTCGTACAAATTCTCCGCGTCGAACGAACAATTCCGCTTTGGTGCCTCCCGCCTGTCATTCAATGCTTAAGCTGCAATATTTTATCTTGGTCACTTGACAAACAGTGTGAAGTGAGCTCTAACATCGCCAAAGGCTTGAACGCAGAGTAAGCTCCTTCTCACTTCTTGCGCTCGACTATCTCTTCATCATCCTCGGTCACTTCTGCACCGACGCCAACAAATCCAGTCACATGCTGTGGTAAACATTCACTCAAGTGCATGACTCGCCATCACAACATACTCGAAAGCCCTCCCTAGCCCAAGCTGACTTACTGGTCGAACTAGCTCGACAGTCCCAGCATGGTTGGAGAAAACTTGAAGCGGCCCTACCCTGGGCATTCTCCCGACCCAAGTTTTCTGTCCAGGAAACTTGGTCGCTTCGACCATGGCTCCGGGTATAATACCAGTCCCAACCAGGCATCTAACCCAACCTCTAGACGCCCATCAATGTCGAAAGCCAATTCACCACAGATGGGATACGGTACTCCTCCACAACGGTCACCTGTCAGGAACGGAAACACTGCTTTCCGTCATGATGTTGAAGGAATTCCCAAGGCGCTTGAGAATTTTGTAGTGACCATCTCTCAGCACTACCAGACCGACCAGCATCTCAAAAATGTTCAAGCGGATTATGAGGACATGCTTCCAAAATACAAAGACTTCCCAAGCATTGGAACACAAAAAACCAACCGACTGAATCTGGCACGAGGTGACTTCAAAAGAACACAAGCCAGCACAATGGAGGCTACAAGTGTCTTGCTGGAAGCACTCAAGGGATATTTTCCTGGGCAGGTAGATCCACTCGCTCATCAAGACTGCGTGTCTCGCTCGGAACTCAATGCAATCAAAGACCAATCTCGTACGGAATCGCATGAACTAGAGCAACTTCGCGTAGAAAACCGCGAGTTGAGAAGAAGGTTGGACAGATTAGAGGACTATTTCAGCCGCGAAGTCAATTCTGCCAAAAACTCCGAGGACCGCATCTACAAACTTGAAGACATTAGCCGCACGACGACAACCGCTGTCGAATTGGCAACCAAAAACTACAAGTCACTCTCTGAGCAAACGTCGAAAGACAGATCAAGTTACAGGGAGCGTCTCTCGACGTTGGAGGTTGAGATGGACAAGAACAAGACCAGGCACAAGGAAATCGACCAGACCATTAGTGGCGTACAATCTTTGCTTGACAGCCACATTGACAGGAGCAAAATGACGCACCAGGAACAAGCTCGGAATATCGATCTTTGCAGATCTAGAGTCGACAAAATGCAGCAGAAGCTCGACGCCGGGATTGAACCTAGACTCAGAGACAACGCAGAGATATTGACTGCGACCCGTAAAGATATGAAAGAGCTCAAAGAACATCCAGCCCTATCCAAACCGTCGGTACTGGCTCCTACATCAATTTCAATTGACCCTGTAGTAGTCGAATCTAGACTCAAAGCAGTTGAGCAACAGGTGCAAGTCTCGAGTGCAGGAGCTAATGCAAAGGATACACTCTTTGCCGATGAGATTGACAAGCTAATAACAAGGCTGGACAATCTGCAAGTCGAATTGAACAAAATACAAGACAACGCCGGAGTAGAAGTCCCTACACAACAAGGCCTGTCTGAAGAAGAGCTGAGGAACTTCACTGCATGGAAGGACTTGAATTCAAAGGTTGAGGGCCTTGCGTCGAACGTGAAGGATCTAAGTACAAACACCACACGACTCGACGAGCTCACTCTAAGCACCAAGAGCAGGTCAGAATTCGCGGTAAACGAGGTCAGGCAAATAACTCTACAGGTTGAAAATCACATCGACGTTCTGCAGAGGCATGAAACGCGCTTGAATTCCGTCACAACAGATGAAGTTTGCAAGATGATGGAATCTCAATGGCGCGCAATGTATGGCGTGCCTACGGAGCTAAGAGGGCTGGTACAGCGGCAGCAAAATCTTGAGTCTTTGACTATGAGAAGCTGCGACGATTTGAACAAGAAGTTTGCAGAGATGAACACGAAATACGAAGGAATGGCGATGGAGTTCAAAAATCGTAAGTTGTATCTCGCTTGCATTCGATGTGATATTAACACTCACTGCTTAGTAGTCAAGAGGACCGTGGGCTGAGTCTTGATGCAAAAGACATACAGAGAGGCGTTTGGGGTGCATAGCACGGAGTTTGGGCAATTCAATATACCCACACGGAGCAAGTCAGCTTGGGATGTACTTGTATATCAAAGCTCACGTGATGTAATCTAGATAGGTTTGACTCCGCTAAAGGATCAGCTGACTCAAAACCCAATCATGTGATCGAAAATGTGAGAGTATTCTGCAAAGTGATGATGAAAGGAATGTGAAAGAGTGAAGCTGATGAAAGCGTGGTTTGGCCGCAACCATCGGGAGTGGCTGTTCTTGGCGTTGTTCACTCGTTGCGAAAGTCGTCTTTTGCAGCGGCGGTACCGCATAGTCTCCGCAGGATAGAGACTGTCAACCATATACTCTCAGAACGATACTCAAGACTATCCGCCATGGTTCTCAAGATCCGTCTCGCGCGCTTTGGCAAGCGCCATGCGCCCTTCTACAACATTGTCGTCGCCCACGCCCGGTACGCCTATACCCTCCATGCGCGAGCCCAATATCCACTTTCTCGAGTCGCTTCATCTACCTGCCTTGACTTGCCATACCACACTGCTCTGAGAAGAGATACAAGGAAATAAATGGGATCACAAATTCTAACAGTAAACTCGACACACAGAACCGCACGCGGCAGCAAACCTCTCGAAGTTCTCGGCACATACGACCCCATTCCGAAAACGCCTACCGACGGCAACGAGACGGCGAAGAAGTTCAAGGACATCAAGCTCGACATTCACCGCGCAAAGTACTGGTTGGGTGTCGGTGCTCAACCGAGCGAGCCTGCTTGGAGGTTGCTTAGCATGGTGAGTCTTTTCGCCAGCAGAGAAACAGATAGAGGACACGGAAGAGATGGATGAAGAAGGCTCAGATTGAATTCAGAGGAAGCACGACAGGGTTCAGGAAGAGTGTCTACTAACAAGAGTTGCACCACAGATTGGTCTCATGGAACCGAAGTACAGACCAGGACAAGAACTCAAGAAGGAGGGTACTGTTGCATGAACATCGCGATTCGTGTTCTGCATCCACCGTGTACGATTGGGAAGAAAGAAGGATATCCATTGGGATTGCATGGCAAAAGGCGTTCAGGTTTTGGCTGGAGAATCGATATGGAGCGATATTGCTTCTACTTAGCACGAATGCTCAACGAGCAGACCAGACTGCTCTACGGCTGTCGGCGAATTGTACAACATCATTCAAAACATATTTAAAAACAGTATGAGATGGCACGCAAGTTGGCACGATGTTCTTTGAAATTGATAACTCACGAAGGCCAGATGCCATTCATGCTTGATTCGTGTGTTCTGATAGACATTCCCTCATCTGAAGAAGAGCATTTTCTCTTGCTCGTGACCCATGAACCATAATAACTCCTTGAATCGTATCCCAGTGGCTGCATCAGAGGCAAGCTCACATATCCCCGCGCCGATCGAGTGAAAAAGCAAAAGTAGTAGCAATCAAAGTAGTTCGTGAAGAGAAAAGAACCAAAGGCCGTGACCAGGTCCAGGTTGCAAGGCAGCGTTTAACCACCGAAACCGTAGAGGGTTCTGCCCTGGCGCTTGAGGGCATAGACAACGTCGAGAGAGGTGACGGTCTTGCGCTTGGCGTGCTCGGTGTAGGTGACAGCGTCACGGATAACACCCTCGAGGAAGGTCTTGAGGACACCACGGGTCTCTTCGTAGATCACTGAAGGAAAAGTAAGCAACTTGTTTCGAAGACGATGAGAGTGCGTGGAGCTTACTGGCAGAGATACGCTTGACACCACCACGACGAGCGAGACGGCGGATAGCGGGCTTGGTGATACCCTGAATGTTGTCGCGCAAGATCTTGCGGTGACGCTTGGCACCACCCTTTCCAAGACCCTTGCCACCCTTTCCACCTGCGATAGCATGTTAGTAAAGGTTGAAGTGATGTTGTGGTGGTGATGTGGAGTGGCGCGGACGGAGGTCGACGCGACGACGCGTTGACGCAGTCAGAAGAGACGGACGGCAGCGACGGCGGCGGCAGCAGTGATGGGAAATGAACAGAGGATATGATTTACTTACGTCCAGACATATTGGTGTTGGTTGGTTAGAAGAAGATTTGCTGGTAGAATAGACGATGTCTGATGGACAAAGTTGATGTGCTTGTACGGAGGAGGAAGCGTCGCGATGTAGAGGGGGGAAAGATGGAGGGACTGGCTAGTTACTTAAATACCTCGGAAGTAGGCGCTGCGCTTTCCTAGATCACAGAAAGCACGGCAGATTTGTTCCGCTTAACGACGCTTGGAAACAAACGTCAGATCTTACGACCTGGGCTGTTCACTTTTTGCAGGGAGGAGAAACTGGAATGCCAAGCCCAACACACTCCAACAACACGAACAACGAAATGCAGAACGTGCTCGTCTTTTCTCTCCCAGCAGAAATGCTTGATATACTATTTCTCTGAAAATTGGACTCAAAGCAACCAGTAATGGTGTCCACACCACGCGTAGTTGGCACAGAGAATTCAGTGTCACTATGAGTGTTGAAGCGTTGAAGCAGGAGACAAAGAATGTGAGTAGAGTACGATAACAATCTAACACTGTCCGAACGCCTTAGTATCATAATTCGTGCCTCTGATCCCCTCGTTTCTACTGAGGTGATCAGCGTCTATCGCCAGACAGCAGATCCCGGAAGTGGTTAACCACAAGCATCACACTGTCTCCCATGGTCGGCCTGGCATCAATATCTCGCTTCTTGCACTTCCTGAGTTCATCATTCACGCCATGATAAGAATGGTGCGATCGGCACGAATGGGCTGATTTAGTCGAATGGTATGAGTGGTGTGAGTTTGTCGAGCGCGTCGACTTGTGGGATCGTGCAGAACGAAAGCTTGAGTCACTGTGCCTTTGGTCCAGAGCAGGTCGGAGCTGTTGACCCTGATCGTATCCAGACGTTGATAGTCCATACGATATCGCTTCTGGATATCTGGGTCGAGAGTCTTGAGTTGGCACTTGAACTAGTCGTTCGTTATATCCTGACTGGTGATACTGTGGTTCTTGGTCTGGGTATGTTTGTACGAGTGGTGCTGGATGTTGATGACCAAGCATTTGCTGCTGGCTGCCGTTTACCGGCATGACATGGTGGGTACGTGACTCCTGCATGGCATAGTGAGGCACGTTTGGCGTTGTATCTTTTGGATGTTGGACAAAAGTAGTCATGATAGAAGTGTAGGTGTAAGTCGTCGAGATCGGCTGTATCTCGATGTCCTTTGAAGATATTGATGAGGCCACAATGATGATTCTGGCGCTGATAGATGCTTAGGAGGGCTTTATTAGGCAAGAGAAGTTTTTCGGGCCCTCGAAGTTCGGTCAAATTGCATCTCTTATATCAAAGTAGAAGGTATGTATGCCAAGCACCGGGCATCAGCAAGTAACCACATGACATGACAATCATATCCTTTTCTGCAAGCTGCGGACGGCGCTTCGCCATCAACTGGGGCCGCTTGGCGACAACAGTGTACCTTTGTCAAAATACGGGACAGGACGAGTGGCTGTGAAGTCAGGAATATGTTACACCTGTAGTCCTCAGGCAAGCGACAAAGACTCAACAGTGTACTCAACCATAGGAGCTTCAACCGAAACGATGGATGCCCAACTTGCTGAATGATCAAGACCTATCAACAATCAAGTCGCACCAAAGTGCCAGAGCCGTGATGCTCTCAAGAACGAGTGGATGAGCAGGGCTTAGCGATCTTCAAATGCATGTGGAGTTTCTGACCGCAGTCGTCCCTGCCGTTTTTGTACCAGAGTATCGTGTGGTGAAGGATACCGGACGCCTATCTGTCCTTGCTGCATGCGTGCACGAAGCCGCTCTCTGCTGGACGTCCTTTGATTCGCATCTTTTTCTTTGTCATTTGTCGAAACCCTTTTTCGTCGCACAGCCATCACGCGCCGATAGAACATGAATACCCCTGCTAAAGGCATGGCTAGAATGATCTCGATCGATGCCCGGACCGTCAAGGATGCGCGTTTGTGTTGACAAAGAACGATACTCAAAGCGCAGTAAGACAGTCACGGTACAACAATGCCTTGATTGATTGCATTGTACATACCGTCTGCAGCGCATATCCTAAATCGACTGTTTACCATGAGAATCGAGTCCTCTACACTGCTGTCATTGGAGTTGCACAATCCAATGACAACACGAGCACAGAAGATATCCACAACACTGCGGACACAGTCACTTCGGATCTCCAAGACAGCGTTCATCACGCACTTGCCGAGCGCGTTAGTTCCATAGGGCTGCTACTTCCATGTGCGCATATGTCGCAAAGCATACTACTGTCACGTCTGCACGCAACTCTCTCGGCAACCACTGAATCATTGTTCAAATCACCAAGCGCGGACGGATCATGGCTTTCGATTCGTCTCTTGGATGTGCCTCAAACAGACTTTCCACAAGGAACCCGAATGCTCTGCCTATGTATGTCATTCTGCTTGCTCTGCGTCCTGGTTCGAATTGGGATGCTGGCGCGTTCGACAGCGTGTCAGTCACTTGAATGGGAACGGTCCAGCAAGAGAACTCCCGGGGTTGCGGCCCTGCAAGCCTTACGAACTTTATGCACATAATCAAGACCGAGCGCGCTGAGAAAGAGGTCAAAAGACATTCCATGCGCTTTGCTCATATGCATATCAACCTGTAGGCTGCTGCTGGACCGAATTCCATTCGTATGCCACAAGCTGGTCGTTATCATGGGAAACCCAACGTATTATACATCTACCTACATCATCGACTGGGTATCTAATTGCGTGGTTGATAATTGGGTTGCGCGTGATTTCCTCTAAATGCCACTCAACGGGTATCAAAGGCATCGTCGAGGTGGATTTGGAAGAAGACCCTTTTCGTTGGAGCATCCAAATATCCTTCTGCAGAACCAACGACTACTCAAGTACGCCATTCAATCTTTCACGCTTAGTGCATCTAACACAAGCTTAAAGAAGGCTCGAGTTTCTCTTTGTGGTGAAACATTTTGAATCTGCAGTTTGTCCAATCCGTACTTCTTCAGCAGCTCCTGGACTTTCTTCCCAAGCGTTTTGACGAGCGAGAGTCTGTCTCTCACACTACAGCTAGAGGCGCTCTAGTACTCGCCCCATTTCGTTCACCGACCTGAAAATTTACTAGCCTCCCTCTCGGGCATCCGATCCCTAGGGCCTTCAGCTCTGCTCAGCGCTGTGTATCCAGAGATCTCTTCCAGTATTTCGCAGGTGCTCTTGAGTGTACGGTGATGAATGAATACTCTCTAGTGATCGTGGCGGAGAGGTATAGCAGCGGTAGTAGCCTCGCCAACACCAGTGAGACGACGAAAGTTGGGGATCAAGCATTCCGTAGCTCACAGTACCCTCTACACATGTCAACCAAGCCTCGAGACAACGATTCGTCTTGGTGGTATCTGCTGTGCACAAATTCAGCTCAACAATCCACCCCTATTCTTGAGGAAGCATCTCACCATTGCATCTCGGTTCGATGCGCCTAAGATCTGGCTATATCGCTCCTTACTCAGCCGGTAAGTGTTTTTGAACACTAAAGACACAAAAAAACGCCATGACCCTATGTGTATGATTCAAAGCGACCTTCGAGTAAGCAAACAGGTTGAGTCGGCTCCTTCGTCAATCTCAGTGCTCGTGTACCACCCTTGCTCTATAAGCGTTCTTTCAGTACTCATCCACTTTTCTACCTTGTCTGGATGGGCATGCTTGAAGTCCAGGTCTGCTAAACGAATATCTGCTGTGTCTTCAAATGCATCTAGTGAGCCTTTGATAAACAATACACAGTCGCGTAGGGTCATTGCTTTTGAGTATTCGTCCGATGCTCCCTCGCTGCTTGTTGTTAGAGTTGTCAGGTATTTGTGCGATGAATTTACTTACGCGCTTGAGCTTAATAGACCGTACTTATCGAGTCGTGCCTGGTGCTCGCGCAGAGTCTCCAGGACTTGATAACCCTTTTCAGACAGAAATTTGACGACTGTCTCCACTGCAATTTGGTCAATGATGGGTAAAGAATATGATGACGTGCAGGAGAGAAGGCATATACGATAGTGATATCGTACTACTCGTTGCCAGAAACATACCAGTATCATTAGACAAATTATCAGCCTGTGCTTCGATGATGCTTTTGAAAGCCCTTTGTCTTTCTTGAATGTCGTCGTCAACCAAACTGAGAGGACAGAATCCACCCGATTTCGGCATCATGGCGCCTTGAGCCGCTGCCTGATCTCTTTGCAGCCTCAGAGCACAAGTTCTGCATCTTCTCGAGCTATCAGGGGCATCGGGTGATTGTAGTAACCACTTAGGCTTGATTTCGAAAAGATACTCGCCATGACGAGCAGTCATGTCAGTCATTAGCAAGCCATACTTGTCCATCGCTAACCGATCGCCGTGTCGCAACCTCTTTCGAAAATTCGCATTCTCGTGCTCTTCGAGCTCTTGGTTGAGCTTTCTCGTAAGTGCTTCATCCAAAGCAATCAAGGTTTGTTCTACAAGGTTCTCTGGTCGAAACAATGGAACAAACTCTTCTTGAAAAGTCGCAAATTGGAACTTTGTGGATTGAATAAAGGACTTGTCTTTCCTCAATCGCAAAAGCTTATGGTGGAAGCCATGGGGGAGCACATTGTTGGCGATTTCTTTGAAGGTGTAAACAATATTCGCGTTGCCCTCAGCGAGATACTCAAGTCTGGCGGGATCCTGATTTTCCACTTGACTTGTCAAACTAATGTGTCCGCGTGCCGAGTCCGAGTAATATACGGTGGTCATGCTGTATTTTGAAATTATGTTGTCTGCTTTCGATATCTTCAATGTGATGTTGTGGGAGAAAAACGTCCAAAACCCGCTTTGGCCGGCTTTCTCATCCTCTGTGCAGCAGGTAAATCATGAACAATCTACCTAGTAAGAGGCAGAAGAATGTATTGGATGATACAAATCTACTTATCTTCAGACGAAACTGAAAAGGTTCGCCAAATGTTGGTCGGCTATCTTCGCCGATCTTCCTTCCTTGGACGTGGACCATCTGACGCTTCACTTCAATTGTCAAAGCTTAGCCGAACTTCATCCTCCAACCTACAACACTTGCATCCCATGAATAGCTTCCTACGTTCAGAAGCTAAATTCACTAAGATACTGTCATACAGAAGCGTCAGAACATTGGCAATGGCAAGTTTACATCCTACAAGACGCTTTGCACCTCTAAGCAAAGGCAAAGGTCATGACGCCATTGACGGTGACATGGTGCTGAAGGGCATTGTCTTCGATGTTGATGGAACACTTTGCGAACCGCAAAACTATATGTTCACCGAGATGAGGAGCAAGCTTGGGATTACCAAGGGCGAGGATATTCTGGATCACGTATACAGTCTATCAGAAACGAAGCAGAAGGAAGCCCACAAGATCATCGAAGATGTTGAGTATGTGGCTGATTCTTCACTTTCACGAGTCATATGCTAACTATTAGATGTCAAGGCGAGAAGCTATGGCGAAGCAAATTCCACAAGCCGGATTGGTCACCTTGATGGAGCATTTGGACACCAATGATATCAAGAAGGGGATCTGCACGAGAAACTTCAATACCCCAGTCGAGCATCTGTTGAGCAATCACCTGCCAGGTCATATCAACGCATTTGCGCCAATCGTCACAAGGGACTTCCGCCCTCCCAAGCCATCGCCTGCTGGCATCTTGCATATTGCAAAGCAATGGGGGATCATAGGGGAGTCGGACGTGTCAGACGAGGGTCGACCCACGGCGAAGCGACCACTTCCCTTGATCATGGTTGGCGATTCGATTGACGACATCATCGCTGGCCACGACGCCGGAGCAGCTACTGTGTTACTCAGGAGTGAAGGCAAAGAAGACCTCGAAAAGGATCCTAGAACTGACTTGGTCATTAGCCGGTACGTGGCCTGGATGTCATCTACAATTTTATTCCACTAACCTAACCCTATTCACCAGATTAGACGAACTGATTGATATCTTGGAGAAGGGCTTTCAGAGCAGGCCTCGGTGAGGTCTATATAGTTTTCATGAATGTGCTCACAAGTTGAAGACACCGCAAATACACAAATCCCCATGTCGATCGAAATGGCCACTAGGACCTTATGTACACATAAGTAGACGAAATAAGCTATACAGAGATATTTGAGATAACTTCAATCAGCTCATACTCTCATTAGATCCTGTACATCTATCAAGATGATAACTATTTGAGGACACGCGCGCCACCATCGACAGAGGTCGCAACGAAAAAATAAACAAAAAAAAATCGCTGATTCCTGCCATGCTTGGGTATCTGAAGAACAAGACAAATCCGACAAAAAAAATACTCCAATGGATCCATCTCCTGTATATGCCAGAAATCCAGATTCGTTTCGGTCGTGATATTGATCAAAGTGAATTCGTATTAGCCGAGATAGCACACTCATAGGGTGTTTTCCGGTTGCAGTGTTGAGCGCATGGCCATTCTGCGCGATTGTAGAGTTGACGTTTGAATAGGAGCGACTAAAATTTGATTAGTAGATGTTCAGATTGTTTCACAATTGATTAGTCTGTACTCACGTTTGAATGATGGCTTGCGGTCTGACTTGGGACGAGTCGGCGTGGCAGTTTGGTCGAATGTGATGGTGGACTTCTGAAACTCGGCCGAAGCGACCGTGATCGAGCTTGAGAGAAATGACTTCAGGCTGGCGATTGTTTTTGTGCTTTGCTTGATGGTGCTCTTGTGCTCTGATTGATCGGAGGAATATTCGTAGTCGTCGTCGTCGTCTTCGTCATCGGAGGAAATCTCTCGCTCTTCGATAGTGACATTGGGAGGCAATGCGATTTCTTCATACGCCGGGAGCTCATCGTCTAAGAAGATTGAATGTAATGAGGATGTTGTAGACATTCTTCTGAGTATTGACGAAAAGTAGTGGTAGTGAAGAGAGGTAGTAGTCGGATCACGAAAGGTCGTGGGGCAGAACAGAATTTGTATGTTTGCTCGTGGGAACAGGATAGCTGCGGGAAATGATGACCGCAGCAGAAGCAGATGATTAGGTCGATATATGTACCCGTTAAAATGTACTGCACACACCCTGGGACGGAAATGCGGAGAGTCAAACCTAGCACACCCACCCTAACTTGGTTTCTCGGTCAAACAGTGCAGATCTCAGGCCGATGCACGTCACGGGCGGCGTAGGTAGTCGTAAGCCCAGGACAACAAGGGCCTTAAGACACTCACTCAGCCACCGCTCCGCCTAGCGGTCTTTGCGAAACATGAGAATCAGGCAGAACTTTTACGAAACACGAGGGTCGGGCAGAAATTATAGATTCAGTCAAGCTAGTGCGAGTCCAAAACAGCAGACAAGAATGATTTTCTAGACAAGAACATGACGAGCAGTGACCCGAACTCGGCCAGGTCCCTGGTAGTGAGATGGCGGGGGAACTGCTTGATGCCCATTATCCAGCCCTATGAACGGTGACAACCGCAACAACCTTCGCACGGCAAGTCGGATACAGTTTGTTGAAAATGTCGCGGCGCCAGAGTCGGCCAGACATCCGACAACGTCTTCCTTTAATGGTGACGCGTTTACGGCATAACAGTACACCGTTGCAGACCCCGAGTTGACTACAAGAGCAGAGGAGAGTTTGACTCTTCCTGTTCCCCGGCTTATCTGAGTCTCTCCACGAAGAGCTGACGAATGATGATTCGAAATGATCGGCTTACAGAGTTCAGCCACGCAGCATCATAGTCAACAGTCTTTCAATAATTCAGGCCCTTCAGACGACGACGACATCTTGAGGCACTTGCGGAGCTAAGTGAGGTATCAGATACGCTCGAGAGTTTGTAAGGCTAGGGTCGGAAATAATCAAGTTGTCGAACTCAAGCATAAACCCTTACTGGTAATTTAGCTCGAGGAAGAAAGCAGTCAAGGGTGCAAGGGTCCTTTGACGTGACGTGTATTGTATTAAGGAGCCTCTTGGATCGTAGTCTGCTCTATCGGTAAATGAATGAAGGCCTTGATCACCGTGCGATTTGACAGCTTCTGGAAAGGTTGACTGAAACAAAGGCGAAGCGCTGATGAGCCCAGCAGCTTGGTCGATGGACTGGGTAGCTGTATTAAATTGTGCAAGCTCACGTGCAAGCGGTACAGACTTGTGAAACCACTAAACGCCAAAGCACGCCAGCGCGTCTTCGGACTCTCCATCAACAGCAAAATGGATCTTCATACCCCTGCCGTGGAAAGGGAGCCTCCTTCACTGCCTGCCTCGCCGTCGCCCAAGCGTATCAAGCACATTGAGCCCGCAGCGAACCTCTCAGTTGCGTGTGAGTGGTATAGCTCCGAAGCTTGGTTGATGCTCTAGTGCTAATCAGTCGACAGCCATTTTGAATGACCCAGCAGCTACTCCTACTCCAGAATCACCTCCCCACAAGCATCAGAACCCCGACATGTCTGCCTCCGCTACTCATCTTCCCCCAATGAACCTCGAGCCTCCTCCGCCAGCGCTCCAGATCAAGCTTCTTTCAGCAACCGCTCGCGCTCCCACCCGTGGCAGTGCGTTCGCCGCCGGCTATGATCTCTATGCATCAAAGAGCACCACTGTGCCTGCTAGAGGAAAGGTGCTTGCCGACACCGACATCTCAATTGCTGTACCAGCCGACACCTGTATGTTTCGACCATCTGCAACTTGTCTTTCAGCTTTTCTAACATTACACAAAGATGGCAGGGTAGCCCCTCGCTCTGGACTTGCTGCGAAGCACTCAATCGATGTCGGTGCTGGTGTCATTGACGCTGATTACCGCGGTCCTCTCAAGGTCTTGCTCTTCAACCTGGGCGAGACCGACTTTGCCATCAACGAAGGAGACAGAATTGCACAGCTGATCATTGAGAGAGTAAGTCATGTCGTTTCGCTATTTGTTGAAACCGCTAACACTAGCCAGATCTATACCCCCGAGGTTCTCGTAGTCGATCAGCTTCCGGAAAGTGTACGTGGCGCTGGAGGCTTTGGCTCGACTGGCGGCTTTGCCAACATCATCCCTCCTGTCAATCCTCCTGCTGATGGAGGCGCACCGATTAACGGCAACTAGATGAACTGCTGATCTAATGGCGAATCATGGGAAAATGGCGTAAAAAGGAAAAGGGAATAATGCAAGAGTCATGATATTCGAAACGATTGAGGGTATGTGATGCAAGATCATGATGCAGAAAAAAAGCACAAGTCAAATCTTTATACTCAAGTTTGGTGCACAGCACCTTGTCCAATCTCATGACCAGTGCCCATGTTGACTACTCCAAGTTCATCGGGCTCGATTGGGAGGTTAGCGTCTAGCTCGACGTTGACAGCATGCGCCTTGAAAGCCTCGATGTCTGGAGGATAGACCAAGTCTTTCCAATTCCTGACAACTCTGACCTCGGCTGCCTTTGTCAATCGTAGATGCTTTTCGCGTTCGTTGTCTTTGTCCGCCTCTTCACCAATGCCAGTGTTGAATTCTTGAGCACGTGTCATTTTTTCCAATTCTTCCTGCCGTGAGTCCATGGTCTTCTTGAGCACCAAGTGCATGCTTGCAAGCACTTTTTCGGCAGCTTTTGCCAAAGGCAGTTCCGTTGCTGCAACATCGTCTGGCGACTGCCAATGTGCCGTGGTCAAAAGGTCGGCAGCAAGACATGCTTCCCGTAACCTTGCCACTATCAAGGCGGCAAACATATCGCCAGTACCAGAGAAGAAGACGGGGAAAGCAGGCACTTTTAGGCGGAACAACCGAGGGTTGAAGTCGGAATCGGCAGTGGATCCTACGATTGAAAGCTCGGGCTCGTCTCCTTGCTCAGTGTCGTGAGGAAGTCGGACGGATGTGATTATGATGTGCGGTACGCGATGCGAGCGGTGGAGTACACGAATAGCCTCAGCAAGAGACTTGAAGTCTGTGATGGTGACTCCCGAGAGCAGTCTAGAGCACGTTAGTAATCCATTAGAGCCCAATATTGCTTACAGCAAAGACATACTCTGCTTCAAACTGGTTGGGCAGAATGAGATCGGCATCTCTCAGCAGGCTCTTGTACGCCGGCACTACTTCTTCGCTGACGTAGATCTTGCCTTCGTCGCCCATGACAGGGTCGAGCACTGTGTACTTCAGCTTCTGTCCTTCTCCATTGTGTTTCTCTTGCACGTACCCCAGAAGAAGGCACCGGGCTTTGTCGTCGATGCAAACCTGGTCTCGCGTGCTATCTTGCCAACCTGTTGCACGACTCCAGCACTGGGACAGTAGCCAGACAAGAGCACATCAAAGTCGTTGAGGTGCGACTGCTTCAGACCCTCGTACAGCTCGGTGACTTCTTCGGCAGGAGTCTTGCGTCCTTTGAACTGCTTGTATCCCGTGTGGTTGCCTGGTTATGGGTCAGACGTGCTTGTTCTGCGGTCGTATAGTGGAATGTAGCGGAAGCATACTGAATTGTACCGTGTTTATGGCCGACACCTCGCAGCCGAGGGCTTGCATGACAAACGTGGCCATGGTATTGCCTACATAGCTATTGCCATGTCAGACGTCTGGTCGCTTGCATCGTTGTCGAAAGGCTTACCCGTATGCTACCTTTGCTTGCCGTCAGTCGTCATGTATGGTTAACCCCCAGGGTGCCTATCTCGAGCTCTTACATGGCTGGCGACTGCCAGAACGTGTGTCTCTGGAACTTCGGCCATGACTTTTGTAAGCAGACGAATGAGTTGCCTCTTGTCTAATTATCTAGCTTCCATGTTGGCATCGCACAAAAACAGATACGAGATTGGGCCCGGGAGATAGGCGATAACGCCGGCTGACGTCGGCGGGGCTCGGCCAGGGTCATCAAAATTTACTTGGTCAATCATTTGGACAGTGCGGCTTGGTATTATCATCTTGTTCGATTTGGTATAACAACATTTATCCATCTCCGAGTCTCGGTACATGCTCTTTGGCAGCGCCGTCCTTCTCCTCAAGCAAGTCGCTAGAACGCCGTAAACACCTTTTCATGCCATGATCATGCTTTGTAATCCCTTGCAGTCCACGTTTACTCCTCGTCACCAATCTGTTATGTGTCAGCTTGTGGTTTCTTTCGAAATCAGCAGGTCGGCTTACCTTGGGGGCGAGGTAGAATCTCAGGTAGCTGTTGTTTGCAAGCGAGTACTCAACCATGAGCGGCACATCAGTCGAAAGGCACAACTTGACTCTGCTTGAAAGACCGCTAGCCTTGCAGAAGTTGACAAGGTACTTGAGTGAGAAGGTGAGAGAGACGGGCTCTGACAGCTGGATGTCGACGTTCAGGTCCTCCTTCTCGACGTTGGTGTGCTGGCGAAGGGTGACGGATCCCGAGCCAATGTCGCCAGTGCAGCCGAACTTGACTCCCTCTTTTGTGCATTCGATGTTGACTAGTCAAACTATGTCAGTAGTGTTCAGTCAGGGCACAATAATTCTAGAAACTCACCGGACTCTGAGAGGGCAGACAGATCTCTGCAGATGCGCTGGAGCTCAGCCGAGGGAAGAGTAATGGAAGCGGCGTAGTCGGTGTCAGGAATACCAAGGTGCTCCTGGTCAATGTCCATCAACTTAATGTCGTACTCGCTGATTCTGTCGCTCTCGGAGCTCTCGAAGACCAGGTTGACGACATCAGGCGAGTCCTCGGCCTTGAGGGTCAGGATATCCTTGTCCTGGGCAGCGCGAAGGACCTTTTGCAGGGAAACAAGGTTGATTCCGAGGGCGATGTTGCGATCACATCTGAAGGGGGAGAAGGAGTCGGCCTTGAGCAACATGGAAACGAGGGCGACATGTGAGTTGTCCATGGCCTGGAGGCCGACACCGGAGTCGTTGCATTCGAAGTTGCAGTCCTGGACAAGGTCCTTGATGGCTTCGACGACCTTCTTGAGAAGGTTGGCCTGTTCGAGACGTGCCTCAAGCACTGCGCAGACGTGAGTTTGTGGTCGTCATGATGCGTGACTGCGGGGTCTTACTGTTGATGTGTGATGGATTGAAAGAAGTTTAGAGTAAAGTGTGGATGGGATTGACAGACGATTGATCTGCTCAAGTATATCGAAATGTGATTGTTTGCGAGAGAGAGAGAGAAGTCAGGGAAGAACAAGAAGCTACGGGACGCGACTTTAGAGCATACGCGTGTGAGACGCGATCCAATCAATTTCGCGTCATAATGAGTGGCTCAGCACTTTCGATCCTACTATTCACGAACACTATTAAATGCATAACAGTAACAGAAGACAAGATGGTACCCACAAGAGGTAACATTTTGTCGACGCTCCGTGGACATGTTTCTGCTTTTCAAGATAAGTATGCCTTTTCATAGTCTATATTCTGCTCTTAGCTGTAGTCCGAGTACTGTGAAGTTACAGACTTCAGTGTACGGAGAGGATGAACGGCACAACACTTTCGGTCCTGCAATTCACAAAGACTATGACAGTCACAAGAAGCTAGGAAAGTAGTTTATTCGACCCAACGTCGTGGTTAGAACATATCTAACTGCATCCGAATCACATGGGATAGCTAGAGTCCTGTTTACAGATCGCTCCATCCACATAAGGCGAGGTACAAAGACGTGCTCGTTCTCATCGATCTCTACATTTTCTTCCATTCTTGTCAATCGAGCTGCAGCTTGAGCTCGCGCTTGCTTGCAAATTCTTCTAGCAACACGAATTTCCCGACGATTCTGTTCCTGCCAGCAGCCTCAATTTTCGAGAATTTGAACGTCCACTGCATTATCTTGGAAGCGTGTGAAATTGCGTTGACTTGACTTGAAGCTGTCACAAGACATGCTGTATGGCCTGACCCAGGATTCGATCCTCACTGAAATGAGGGCATTGAAGAGAAACAGACGGAGCTTTGTTGTAAAACTTGGTCCTTGACTGGTGTAGTACACATGATTGCGTAACTCTGGCGATTGGGATGTCCTCAGTGGGATACGAGTTGTTGTGCGTGACCGTGAAACGGAAATAGCAGAAGGATGGCTGACGGAACGGAGGCGAATCATGCGCGAACGAGGCCGTAGAAGAGGGTCCAAGTGAGAACAAAGCTCATGAGACCTCCAAACAGGTCGCCGATCCAAAGGTCAGCGATGGGCGAGTGGAAGTATGATTTCGGCTGGATGTTGGCGCGAAGGGAGAAGATGAGCAGGGAGACGACGAGGGAGCCCAGAGCGTAGAAGAGAAAGCCGGGGAATGACTCAAGACCAAGAGTTCCAGCAGCAACACCAAAGAGAGAGGCAGTCAGAGAGCGGATGTTGGAAACTGTCTGGTACGAGTTAGTTGGAGGAGGTCAGAGGTTGTTGGGTGGAAGAGGGATTACCCTGGCATTGTGCATCATGCTCTCCTGCACGACAGGATTGATGGCCAGCTCGCGTTCGTCCAGCATGTTGAGTCTGTGTGTGTGTGTGGGTATGTGATGTGGAGAGCTAGATTGATGGATGTTGACAGGGTTAGAGAGTCGCAATCAGGTGTATGAGATGTGCATGGGCAGAGCTCCAGCCTGGACTTCTCCGCACACACGGAACGTTGCTTCCCAGTGCCAACCTCTGACATCAGCAGTGAAAGGGTCCTTCCGAGGTTCGCACAAGACCAATTATCACGCAGTTTCTAGGAGGCCTGAACCATGAGACAGGTCATGCCGTGGTATCGCATGGCACGCCTTTCACATGTCACGAGTATTGATTGCATGACTGCGGGTCGTGTGCCAGTCGGAACAAGACAGAGCAGAACAACGGCTGGACTCGGAATGGTTCGAACCACAGTTGGCTCAAGCGAGGAAGGAGCAGCGTTCGGCAAAATCTTGAAACCGGTGCCGTTGGTCATCCTTTTCATCATCATCACTTGACAATCCAAACTGCCAGTAAACAACCTGCATTGTTGTGCAATATCTGCTCTGTGCTCTCTGCTCTTTGCGACATACAATCTCGTCTCACCATCCGCCTGCACGACGTATTCGCATCTTGATTATAGCATCTTGCATCCCTGCCCTTCGATGCGCCGGCACGCGACCACGACGACCCTCTAGTCCTGCGCCCGACAAGCAACAACCACCATGGCCTTCAACTTCAACTGGTCTCCGCTCATCGGCGACACGTCGCGCGCCCGCGACATGCTCACCACCGCCCTGAACAAATCTCCAAAGCCTCCCATCATCGTTGACGACATCATCGTCAACGAGCTGAACCTGGGCTCCGTCCCGCCCGAGCTCGAAATCCTCGAAATTGGCGACCTGGCTGAAGACCGCTTCCGCGGCATCTTCAAAATGTCCTACGCTGGCGATGCCTACCTCACTCTCAAGACCCGTGTCCAGGCAAATCCTCTCAATACCTCGCTGTCCACAAAACCCGCCTTTGCTTCTCCTCAGCCCTTGGCCGCTGCTTCTGGTCTCACCATCCCCATTCAAATCACCCTCTCAGACATCCGTCTGTCAGGCTTTGTCATTCTCGTCTTCTCACGCCAAAAGGGCATTACTCTCGTCTTCCGCAACGACCCTCTCGAATCTCTCAAGGTCTCGTCCACTTTCGACTCCATCCCCTTTGTCCGCAACTACCTACAGAAAGAGATCGAAGCTCAACTGCGTGTCTTGTTCATGGACGACCTTCCCGCCATCATCCACCGTCTCTCGTTGCGAGCTTTCGTTCCAGAGTACCGACAAGCCCAAGACGATGAAGCCAAGGAGCCTGTGCAGGCTTCGGAACGTCCTATCGACCCTCTAGCAAGCCCTCCACAGGACCCTGTCGACTCGTGGGCAGACGGCTTCGATCCCTCTCCCTTCTCTCTGGATTCGTCTTCTGAGACATATGCATCCTTCTCGCAAAAGAATCTGCTCCGCCTTGCTGCCTTGAGCGAGTCACAGCAAACTCTTTCCCTCTTTACCCCTGCCATTCGCGATACTGTTTTCCGTGCTTGGGCCAGCTCCAAGGAATCTCAAGACTCATCTGCAGTCGCAACGCCATTAGCTCGTCCAAACCCCTTGTCGCGGATACATTCGTCAATTGGAACACCCAAATCATGGTCATCGGCGTCGTCCGATGTATCGGATGCTCCAACACACTCCAGTAGGCCTTCTCTTGCCAGCCAATCCACATCGTCAACCGTCTACTCCATGGGTACTAGCAGATCAAGAGCTCATGCTGCTAAAAAGAGAAAGAACAGGGTTGTCAACTTGCGCAAGGCCGTCCCCGAGGAGAACACCAACGATGCTGACAGTGTTACGACCAACGTCAGCGAAGAGGTCTCTGCTCCTACTATCACACTCACGGAGCCTCCTCAAACTCCTCGTCGCACTCCAAAAGCCGAGCCAGAGGTTGCGCAGAAGACACCTGCATCCCATGTTCGATTTTCTGCCTCGCAGGAGCAGTCGAGGCCCATCTCTGGAACCCAAACTCCAACCCCAACAACATCCAAACCCCAACGTCCCGCCTTATCTGCTGTTCAGACTCAACCTGGACCCAAAGACAAGAAGGCGGAATCCGCAAATCGTTCTTCATCCGCATCGCGTCTGCGCTTCAACTCCGAGGGCTCTACTGGCGGCATCCTAGAGCAAGCTTGGATGATGAAGATGGCTGCCGAAGTGACTCGACGCGTCCAAGAAGAAAAGGCCACCAATGGCGGCTTTTGGCACCAATCCGAGGAGCCGGAACACCCACCCCCGGCTTATGCTGCATGATCATATTATGTTTCCAAATTCTGAAGGTTTTCAGAGATTGACTGTATTTTTATTTTGACGAAGCGTGGAGTTCTGAGGGTATTGGTTTATGGTCATGGCATGTGGTTTTGCGATATCGGTTGGTTCACACGATCCACAGCCAGTGTGTACAAAAGCTTTCGTTTGGAGATTTTTTGATAGCGATTCCTACGACATTTTACTTCAAACACTCAAGAACTCAACTCTTTAGTAATCCGATGTGCCGAGTGTGTAAAGTTTTAGGCCTACTCATCCTTGTCCAAAATGGCTTTCACAGCAGCAACCTTGTCCTCGGACGTCTGCTTCTTGTCTGTTCTTGATCCGACTCTAATATCGCTCTGGATCCTCACAACACCGTTCTCGTGTAGCATGGAATGAGCCTGGCCAATCACACGCATAACGTCATCCCAAGAACCCTCTGAGTGATGCAGTGTTAGATTCCGAACGAGTGCATATGTCGAGAGTAAGAATTGTTCGACTTGCCGACTGTTGTTCCAGCTGAGTGCATGTGATACACGAGTCCACTCTTTTTAAGCAGACGCTGCACCTGGGAGACCTCCTGGGACACGGAAGCGGTCGGTGTACCTAGCGGTATCAAGCAGAAATCTATGACTGCTTAGTTTGCTCCTCTCCATGTTTGGCATTTTCAATCACCAACCTGCGATACATGCTGGAGGGGTAGCCAGGTCTAGAAGCTGATTGTCTGCCATATTTTGGGACTGTTGTTGATGTTGTGTGACTGGCGGATGTTGGAGGTTTGACGATGGTACGACAATGTGGAGAGAGTAGGAGATGCCATCGACAACCCGACTTTACCGTTCATCGTCTCTCTCTCAACGTCAATGATTGATTGTTATATTGCCGAATGAAAACAGAGGTGAATATCGATGTGATATGGGGGCTCAGGATTCAGTAACACTGTTCGTTCACATGGGCTGGAAAACTTTTGTCGTTTCATGTGTCTTCTGGATATACCAACAGCGAACAATGGACCTTGGTTGATGATCCACCTGAGCATACAACCACAATTCTCGTCAATTACTTGACTCTCTTATGCCTATCAGAGCTCAAGAGCAGACTCGGTGTGCCTGATAATGATCAGCATAGTGTTTCCAACATCACAATACGAATCCAGTGTTCGAGAAGCAAGTCGAGCTCGGACAGCTTCCTGGCTGTGTCTACCTAGCTAAGGTATCATTCAAAGCTGAATACTCATCAGTATCTCGAGGCTACGACACTATAGTGGGTAATGAACCTTTCTTATGTGTGAGAATGCTCTCCAAGATCACCTCGTGCGGGCGAACGACCACAAAGCCACACTGATGTATTCTCCTCTTGAGGCTTCCAGTGGAAGACCAAAGAAGAGGGTCTCACAGCGTGCGTTCAAGTGTGAGTATGGCGTGCAAATGTTAATATCCAGATGCGAGGTTTTCAACATCCTCATCCAGAGGTCACCCGAAGCTGACGAAGGAATCGCTTCTTTTCATCGGTGTGTAACAACAACTCCACCGTTTGCCTCGATATGCTTCTCTCTTAATCTCATCCTCAAACCTCCAGATGCTGAGAACAGATCAGACGAGACCTTATTCGAGAATGCAGCTCTTCAATTCCTGGACAAGAAGAACGTCTACTTTGTCCAAAGTTAGATAACAGATATCGCCATGTCTTTGAAGTGACATGGTCCAGTCCATTTGCTTGCAGAACACGATCATCCTTGTCAAGAGCATGGTCGCTTCATCCTTCCGGTCGTTGCTGATCAGGAATCCGCTGTTGTCTCCTCTTCCCTGGTCGGAGTCTCCAACAACTGCCTGCTATAACAGCTCGAGAATAATGACATGCGACTTTTGCCTTCATTTGACAGCCTCTTCATTGGTACAATGCAGAGACAATATCCTATCGTCCTTGCAACTAATACAAAATGTTCATCAATAACATATCTCAACCACTTTGGGTCCAACCAAGGATCCAACTGCGAGTGGCATCATGACCATGCACCATAGATTTTCGACAGGCCAGATGAATCCTGGCCTTGACCTTCCAGAGACGACTTTCGAAATATCTGTTTTCGAGAACGATCTTATGGTTGACACAATCGAGCGTTCGTTCACGGGATCTGCGAGAACAGCGACGTGCTGACCTGTTTCGGTTAGCGCTAGTTCACATGTCACGGGACGTGTCGGCCCAGATTATAGCATCGTCCTAACTGCGATTCTTTCCAAGGTGTTCTGAACAATGTGCTTGGATCTCTCTCGGGTAGTCTGGTCTTTGACAAATAGTGTCAGGAAGATTTGCGACAAGGACCTGAACCATGATGCAGATACTCATCCTCCTGTCTCAAAAGACCTGGTGGACAACGACTGCAACCTGATGACTCAAACCCATGATTCGTTGTTAACCCTTCCCATCTGTGTGCGAGGCATTCACGAAAGCAGCTACTTGTCAGACATTCAGGTAAGATAGATGAACACTAGGATGGGATCAAGACGTTTGTTCTGTTGATTTCGTATGTATTCTAGACTGACTAGGACTACCACATGAGGATCATAAAGCATAGCAGACTTGGGATGCAGAGGTCGTGCAATTCGGAGTGCTTTTGTACTCGATTGAAGGAGCAACAAACACTGCAAGCAAAGAATAGGCGGGCATCCAGCTGGGACGCGCTGCTTGGCTGATGAATGCCATGTTCCAAATGAGCTTCCCTCGCACGTGGGTGATGGTTGGTGGTTCAACCCCAAAAGGTTGGATATGAGAAAGTGACGTGGAATATCGACTACACGCCGGGCATTGCGCGTTCGTGTAGGCCAGGCCAAGAAGATATGTGAGAGGCTGGGAGGATGTAAAGAAGGTGAGTTGCTCAAGAGAACTTCCATCTGTTACCGCAGACGGTACACTCGCAGAAAGTTGTCATAGGTTCATCGGCGGATCTGGTCTGGGCCTGACTATAACTGACCTTCTTCTGGCCACACTTGCCGCAGGTCAAACTGGCACTGATGCTCCTCTCGGCTTGCGCAACCATAGCCTTGTCCATGTTTTCCTTCTGCAGTCTCTCGTCCTCGGCACGCTGCTTGTCGCTCTTCAACTCTTCGTGGGTCATGCGAACGAAGCGCTCGGGCTTGATGAAACCGGATAGAACCTGACTACGGAGCTTTGGATTGCCCTTGTTTTTGAGATTTTGGTAGAGTGATCGTATGCGCTGGCGGTACTCGGGACTGCCCTCGGGTTGATAGGCGTTGTAGGCGGCAAGCTCGACGGAACGAGCAACGGTCAAAATGTCCTGTGAAGCTGTGAGAGCATGAGGTTAGTCGCAGGATATGGGCAGTCGTTGGGCGGCAGTTAATACCATCAGGCGACATGAAAGCCAAGCCATCGTACATCAACTTGATGCAGGCATCGCGAGTCTGGTTTCCAGTGACAGCGCAATCGATTTTGTCCGACACACTGTTGCGCTTCTCGGGATCGCCATGAGGTTCCGATTTTGATTTTGCAGCAGCAGCGGGCGCGGGAGAGGACTTTGCAGGAGCAGGCGAGTTTGTGCCACTGGAGGCGGCGGTGGCAGGAGTTCTCTTGACGTCTGTCTTCCACTTGTTGACCAGAGTAGCGGCGGTGCGGGCTACTTGGGCATCGCTGTTCTGGCGCAGCTTGTTGACGTGGACACCAATCTTGGTCTGGCGCAGCAGCTTTTCCGTCGCCGTCCATCCCTTGAGGCCGTCCAGAAGGGCCAGCAGAGTCGCCGGAGGGTCGCCGCCTGACGCAGCCTTGGCCAGTTGTTTACCACGCTCTTCAATGTCTTTTGCATCCATGGTCGCCATTGTGTGATTACGCAACGGTTCGCTACGCTCTGTCGATGGTCGTATTGTAGTCGCAGATCGCTCGAGCTTCGAGTGCACGTGGTCCAGACTGTCAAGGTCCAGCTGAAGGTTGGTGTATGGAATGCTGGAAGCAGGCGACAAATATCAAAGTGACTTTGTCGCAGCTTCGAGGCTGCACGCGAATCCGACAAGCAAACCGAGGCGCGTTGGCGGGGCACTTTGTACCTCACAAAGCCATTCACTTATTGTTGCACACTGACCACTGACTTCACTACTCAGCTTCTGGCTTGGTTGTTAATCAAGTGCCGTCATTCTGCTAATGCCTGTGATGACAAATGGCCAGCCCCACCTGCTGCCTCCATGAACAACCCATCTCGCTGTCGTTGCTGTTTCTTCTGATCCACTAACAATCCCTCTCGCTCTGCAACCATGTTAGCCATCATCGGAGCTTCTGGTAAACTTGGCGGTGCTACTTTGAAAGCCCTCCTCACCCACAATCTGCTCCCAAAGGACCAGATAGTATGCTGTACCTCATCCAAACCTGACAGCGATACCTGGACTTCACTGGAAAAGCAGGGTGTGCAAGTCCGTCATGCCTCGTTTGACGACAAGGCTTCCCTCGAGAAGGCCCTCTCCGGATGCGACAAGTTCTTCCTCGTCTCTACCCCCAAGATTGAGATGGATTACAATGACGCTCCCCATGGTGAGGGTCGCGAGAAGCATCACTTTACTGCCATTGATGCTGCCCAAGCTGCAGGCGTGAAGCACATCTACTACAGCTCTCTGGCTTTTCAGAATCCTTCCAAGTCTTGCGTCATGCAAGCTCATATCCGCACCGAGGCCTATCTTGCAAAGCTGCAAAACATTGACTACACTGTCTTGCGTGAAGGTCTTTATAATGAGAGCTGGCCACTATATGCGAGCTACTACGACCTCAAGGACGATCAGCGATCTGAAGTACCTATTGCTGGTGATTCTCCTATCAGCTGGACTGCTATTCCGGATCTTGGCCTTGCTAGTGCTCTGGTCATTGTTGCGCCATCATCCGATTACGCTGCCAAAACCTTTTACCTTTCAGCTACTCAAGGCGCAAGAACCATCAGCCAAGTCCTCGAAAAAGTCGCGGCAGTCAGATCTAAGAAAGTCTCAACAAAGATCGTCTCGCGGGAAGAGCTCGAGAGTTATTATGTTCAAGATATCAAGCTTTCAGAGCCTGCCGCTAAGTGGTGGGCCGCCAGCTACGACGCTTTGAGAGATCAAGAATGTCTGATCAATGATCCGACTTTGGAGAAGCTGTTGGCCACCAAAGGGCAAAAGCCCAAGCCTGTTGAGCAAACGATAGAGGAGATGCTTCGCGCTTGATTTTGAGAAGATCAAGTACTAGCTCAATAGGCCAAATCCGCATCCTTGTCCTTCTCCTCGATCCAGTCGTACACCAAGCGAATGTGATGCTCCTCCTTGCCCTTTCTGACGACTATACGCCTTGTGTGTCGTTTCTGGCCGTCCACTATTTCGAAACCCCAGACCTGTTCTGCTTCCCAGTTCGGTTTCTTGCCTACACTATCAACAAAGACCTGAACAACCTCGTTCTCACTCTGGGCAAGGAACTGTTCGTCCCAGCCTTGCTTGAGGTAGTCGGTCTCTATCTCATCCAGCTTGACATAGCGTGAGCGTCCGTTGACTTTTCCAAATACCCTGTCGTCTTTTTCCCGCCATTGGTAGTCTATTATGCGTTCCTCGAGGTTGCGAATGTTTCCAGTCGTAATCTGTTCGTTGTCTATATGCATGAGGCCGTTTTCGTCGACGAACTGTCATGTCGTCAGGCGCTTCCCATATCGAGAGATTCTCATTCATTATACCTGCTTGACGAGGAGCGTAACGTTCGAGAATTTGACAGCTTGACGAACTATCCAGCCTATGCCTTGCTAGATTGGGAATCATAAGACACCGAGCATGCAATGTACCTCGCATGGAACATTACCATCTGTAAGGTTGCATCGGTCGAATCTGACAGACTCTTATTCTGAAGGACTTTAGTCTACGCCCGTTGTGATGTTTGTCCGGTATATGCATGTCATTGTGACCACAAACATTACTCACAAGGTTGTATGTCCCCGAGAGGTTCCGTAGGTTCACAGAATCAGGCACAGCCATTTTCGAATGATCGGATTATAAGGCGATTGTTAAGATTCCAGAAAGCGTATTAGGATATCTAGCGGTGAGCGCTTGTCATTAAAGGTAGAAGATGCGGAGTGGTACGGACATAGGAGCTTGGCACGTCCGAGCGCGCATTTTCTCAAAGATATATTCATGCGTAAGCAAGCACCACTATAGCAAGCCCCTTTAGCTCAGTTGGTAGAGCGCGGCACTAGTACGACTAGATCATGCCGAGGTCGCCGGTTCGACTCCGTCAGGGGGCAGTGATATTTTGCTTTTGTTCGTGGTTGTTCTTCGTGGTTGTTCTGTTCAACCCAGCGGTGGTGCGGCCATTTCTTTTTTGTGTAAGTGAAGTCTGCATAAGTGCTTGGGCACAACTTTGTGCGCCCAGGGTAGCTCCAGAAGCTCGGCCTCTCTCCATCCCGCAACGCCGTTCGCGACAGCATCATTCCAATCAACTGAGTGTCGCAACATCTTGGACATCTTTTTGCTCACACACAACAGATACAGAGCGCTCGCACAACCATGAGACTCCTCCCAACATTATCAGCGCTTGTCGGCACCTGCGCAGCGACGTCGCTTCACCTCAGCATCTCACCCTCATCCTCGCTCCTAGACCTTAGCGAACTGCCCTCGTCTACCCACGCAACTCTCTACGGACCCTCTGGCAAAAGAGCTACTGCACCACTCCGCGTCGATAATTCATTCGTCTTCAACAACCTAGAAGAGGGAGAATGGCTCTTGGATGTGCACTCTAGAGATCATGTCTTTCCTAGCTTGAGGGTTGATGTCGTGGATTCTGTTTCGATACTACCGATCAAGCAAGAGGGCGATGGTGAAGCTGCACCAGTAGCCGCGGCACCGGAGACAGTGGTTGTATACCTCACGCATCCTTCAAATAAATGGTCGCATCTGGGTGCCAAGATTGCTGCGTCCACTGCTCCTCTGTCATCAACGGACGAAGTCAAGCTCTCTGTCTCGGCACTGGGAAAGAGGTCGTTCTATGAACAAAGACAAGGATTTGATTTGTTGTCGTTCTTCAAGAACCCAATGATTCTTATGGGTGTCTTGTCCATGGGTTTGGTGTTCGGAATGCCCTACTTGATGGAAAACAGTAAGTTCAAACTCAACCTCTTCTCGACCGAGCTCGCTGTGAAGCCATGGCTTATTCTGACTTTCCAAAACCAGTGGACGAAGAGACAAAGGCCGAGTTCGCAGAAATGCAAAAGCAGGGTCCCCTGGGTCTGGGAGGTGCAGGAGGACAAGGTCAGAACACGGCACAGCAAATCCAAAACTTCGATCTTGCGGGTTGGATGGCAGGAAAAAAGTAAGCCATACATGCTCGTCTCTTGTCAAGTTTGATCGGAGCATAAGAGAGCTGCTTGTACAGATAGATAATGCCAGATTATGGTTCAAAAGACATGTGACCGTCTGGCCCATCTCGACTTTCGATGCCCATATCAAGTCTGTTTGTATCTCAATTCATGTTCAAAACACTGCTTACTTGGCCTGCACATTTTTGTTGAGCAAAAAACGAGAAGGGTGAAAAGTAGTTTATTTGATACACATCATGTCAGGACGTCAATTGTAATGGTCTCTCGGTCATGCTTCTGCTTCTTCTTCTTCTTCTGCTTGATGCCACACTCGCTTCTACTCCGTTAGGATTATGAGTCAACCTCCATGGATTCTCCAGCACCCTCTTGTTGTGCTGGAGCATCGGCAGCAGCAGCAGCATCATCATTTCTGTTCTCAAACGTCGTGTCCAACCACTGGGCAATCTGCTGACCCTCGTACATGGTGAAGTTCTCGTCCAGTCCGCTGACACCCAACGAAGTGTTGTCGACAGTGAGCTCCTTGTCCTGGGGGAGAGATTCATTCAAGGCGCGCAGAGCATGCTTGATCAGCTCTTCACGGCTGCTACCCTCGAAGTGATCAAGGTTGCGCTCGAGATAGGTTCTTGCCATTTGTGATCTGGCACCGATTCCACAAGCGACCATCTCCTGGGTGATGCCTGATGGTTGGAACTCGAAAAGGTGGGGACCCTTTGCATCAACACCGGCTACCAACAAACCAACACCGTAGGGACGACGACCGTATTGCTGAGTGTTTGTCTGGGCGCGGTCGGCAACGCGAGAGGTGATTTCTGAGAGCAGGATGGGACGACCGTAGGTCAGGCGCGACGAGAGGGATTGCTGTTTCATGAAGTTGCTGAGTACGCGGGCGTCGGAGGCGAGACCGGCGAGGGCGAGGCCGTAGTGTGAGTCGACGGGAATGATCTTCTTTTGGTAGGATGAGAGTTCTTCGGCGTTTCTCTGTTGGCGGTTGTGTCAGTGGTGGGCGCGGCGCAAATGGGAGCAATCTGAGGCGGACCTTGACTGCGGCGAGGACGGCATGGGTCTTGCTGACGATGCCAACGACAACAGAACCTTGCTTGACAGCTTCTTGGGCATATTCAACCTGGAAGATACGGCCCTGCGGCGAGCTGGAGAGAGACGAGTTTAGCGGTGGTTGATGGATGGCAGATCAGGTTGGCACATACAAGGTGACGGAGTCGTTGTCGTAGTTATTGCGGAACATGGCTGCGGTGTGATGTGATCAAGGTGGCGAGTGTGAGAAAGAGAGAGAGAGAGAGCGCGCAGATGCAGAGAGGGGTTCGGGAAGCGAGAGATGGCTATGCAGTACAAATGAGACAAGGCGAGTGAATTAGGTTATGTCTTGTTGCTGCACCTGCTGCTGCTGCTGCTGCTGCTGCCGATGATGGAATGAGATGGCGCCTACAAGGGCCAAAGCTCCCCAGACTTTTGCTTGGCGACTCATCACCGCGTCGCGCCGCCAGACCACCAGAACCTCCGGCCCGCGACTGCCATCGAACGCCGACTGCGACTGCGACTGCGACTGCGATAGGACAACACCGCTAGAGGCTGACAAGATACTTGACTCCACACTTGGCCTCTTTCCTCCTGTAGTCCCAACATGGCAGGCCTCAAGACCATCATCGCTCTTTCCTTTGTACGTTCTCCCCCACCTTCCCCTCGCTGACGACCATCACCTTGATGCACACGAGCTGACACGCCCGACAAGGTCCTCGCCATTGGTTTCTTGCTCGTCATCCTCTCGTCGGCATTATGGCACAACTACCTGCCTCTGCTAGTCGTTGCAACCTACGTTATCGCTCCCCTCCCCAACTGGATCTGCTCACGCGCCCAATCTTCCGATGACTTCATGGACGGAGGCAGCAATGCTGTCGTCGAGCTTGGTCGCTTCATCACCGGCTTCCTGGTCGTCATGGGTGTTGGTACGTCTTTCTCAACCAAGATCCGACCCCTGCTTCAGACATGCTTATACGAGTCCGCCAGCTCTTCCTATCGTCCTCGCCCACACCGGCCACATCAACATTCCTGCTGCCGCCATGTCGATAGCAGGTGGTCTTCTCATTTACTCGACCATTATCAGCTTCTCGCTGTCCTTCCGCGAAGATGAAGACTTCTAGTTTGTCAGAAACATTACCTATATCTAGCTTTTATATCAACTACCTCCTCTACCCATCCGTGGGCCATGCATTCTTCTCCATCATTTATTGTCATGTATCAAATGTCCCTTGTGGCTATAATACCATGAGCGATCAAAAGTCTTCTCGGAATACAAAACAAAATCGCTATGTCATGCAGCAATATTTCCTTTTTGATGTAGCAATTCCCTCGTTCAAAGAGCACACCACGCTCTGCTGACTTCATTAGTTCCTCACAAGCAACCCTGATTTCATGATATCGTCAAGCCACCATTGTATTGGCCGTGCCACTCCTTTTAGCTTCTCACCTCAAACTTCTCTTGTATACTTTCAGGCACCATCTGCATCCATCTCTTTGCTTCAACTTTGGCTTCATTTCCCTCTGCATGCTTGCCGCTGAAGTCAAGTGTGTTGCCCAGTAGCTCGCTAGCAACAGCCTGCCACATTGGCACCTGTACTCTGTCCGCAAGCCTTTTTCCTGAACCCGCTGACAACTCCGCCTTATCTCCCATGATGTTCACGAAAAAGTTCGATGTCATTAGATTGATTGCCACACAGAGCAAAAGAACATTCCCCTGCTTCTTGGCAAGGTTGGCTGATAGCGACAGGTAGTGTTTCATCTTGAGGACTGGCAAGTTGTCCGTCGACGATGCTCTGACCATGTACATTGCAGATTTGTAATCGCTGTTCGGGTGGGCTTCGCAAAGTGGTTCTGCAAGGTCCATGAGATGCTTGACGTGGTCTTGAAACTCCAGACGAGGTCTTAGAATCAAGATCATGTTGAGTGTGGCGAGGATGCGAAGGTCTTGGTTGGTCGCTGTTTTCTGCCCAGCTTGTATTGTCAAAGCTGGGCTTTTGTAGCATTCCAGTGCGCCTTCCAAATCTCCTGTTGCCTGCTTAACCATGCCTGTCAGATATATCGCTGACGCTTGGACAAAGTCTTGTTCGTCAACACCTTCGGCCTTCACCACCTCGTTCAGCTGTGATAGAACTTCCTGAGCTCCTTGCCAGTCAGCACGCTCGCATTTGAGCGAAGCGAGCAACTGCAAGCACAATCTATGATAGAACATGCGTCGATCCAGGTGAGCCGACGAACATTGAAGTGACTGGACCTTGCGCTCGTTCTCGGGATTGTAATCGGCTGCACAGAATTATTTAACACGTTTCACACAAGTATTCAAGGCAAATTTGACACTTACTTTGTGTGAGTTTGTCGCCCTCGATCAGATACCTCTCAGACTTGTGATCAACAGCGTTCCTACTAGAGCTGGCCAGGCTGCTGAAGATGTATCCTAGAGCAAACAATTCACTCCTGCGCAACCACTGGAAAACGATGGCACGTTTTCCATCTGCCGTCCTCTCCATGATACCACATGTATCGAGAGACACATCGTCAGGTGCCGAATCTGCAGTCGGTACACAAAAACTCCCATCTGGAGAGGTGTTTCTCTTGCCACCGTCTAGCGCTTTTTGCATGACATTCATCTTGTCAAATAGCTGTTCCGGCTTGCCGCTGATCAGATCACTACACAGATCCAGGCAGTCCAACAAGGTCGCAACTTGAGAGATATCAGTAACTTCACGATTCAATTGGTGAGTACGTGCTGCAGCTAGTGATCTCTGGAAATTATCCGCTGAGTCGGCTTGGCCACTTCTCAGGTGAACTAGCGCTTCAAGGGCTGAGCACGTAGTGAGTATGGGATATTGTCTCTGCTTCTCCGCCTGTTGAGAGATCCGACGGAGATGCTGCAAAGCTGCTGACAAATCCGGACGCGACAGCTGGAGGGAGAATGATACACGCAGAAACCGAAAAACGTACACCCAGGAATAATGTGCATATGTCTCGGTAAAGTCAATCATTTGGTCGACCATCTTGAAAGCAGACCGAGGATGCGTGCGGAATAGGGACCGAGCTTGAACATGCTTCATGCTGTACTTCAAATCAACAAGACGGTTTCGTTCGCACAATGCGATGCCTTTGGTAAGCAAATCTTGTAATTCTCCGTCGTTTTCAGTCTCTTCAAGAAGAAGATTGGCGTAGCGTAGCTGCAGCCGCGCCTCAGCCTTTGGATCCGAGAACTTCCAGTTGTTCAGTACTGACTCCATGCAGCCGAGACCAGCGGATATGAGACTGTAGTATTGATCGACATCCGCTTCCTGGGGAGCACGCGCCAAATAGGAAGACATTCCGTGAGCTTTGCTGATATACTGGTCAGCTAAGCCTAGGAGCACTGGTTGCAAGTCTATAGACGATTCTCGAGGCAGGGGAGCAGGTGTTCGTGATGGCACTGGGGTTGGTGGTTTTTGCGACGGAGGTCGCCTCGTTTCAATGACTACCTGTGGGGTACGCATCTGCGCTGTCGGACGTTGCTCCGATGCTGGTTTGGTTTGGGGATTAGATGATGGCTGGTGTCGCGACTGTGGCTGAGGTGGAGACATGGCATGCTTGTGCATTTGAATAGTTTCTCTAGGTTGAGGCTGACTAGGCGTCCTACCAAGCGATTGTAATGGCGATGCGATAGGTTGAGGGTGAGACTGTGATGACATTCTAGCATGGGTTTCCTGAGGTTTCGGTTGTGACTGTTGTTGTGGTCTCGAGGGAGTGCTTGAGATATATGGCGCTCTTAAAGAAGCTTCGGTGGTAGCGGTATGGCTTGGATTTGATTGGGGACGCGATCGCTGCTGACTTGAAGGCGCTTGTTGAATTGGTTCTCCTTGCGGTTGGCGCATTCCCGAGCGAGAGTAGCCTGGAGCACCATCCATTTGATACGCCTGAACGGCTTGTGGATGCATGTATTGTTGCGGTTGAGGCTGTTGGGCTTGATATTGTTGGTTTACCAAAAGTTGAGACAATGACTGAGGATTCGGGGCATGGCTCTGGTAGGGAAGTGGCTGCGGCTGATATTGTGCATGAGACATGGAATAATGCGGTTGTTGCATTGCCTGTCCCATGGCTGCCATTCCAGGAGAAGCCATGTAAGTCTGCGGTTGTGGCCGGCCTGATTGTCCATTCAGGGGGTATAGTGGTTGCATGGCATAGCCTTGTCCTGCGAGCGAAGATGTGGACATGACATTCATGGGATGTTGGTATGCAGTTCCGGCAGGCGACGATTGATAGCCGTACATAGCCTGTTGCTGCTGCGGAGGCACTCCATAACCCCTCCGGCCATCAAAACCACTGTTGTTATGATTCGTGTTGTCCATGCCCGCTATTTCTCGACAATGCCTCTCCAATTCCGAACAATCACATGAAGACTGTCAAAAAAAGCCAATTAAGCAACGCGCTGTCTGGACAAAGTACGCGTGGTGAGAAAATCAGTCTTGGCAGCCGAGGCAACCATCTCCCATGGTCTGTAGACACAAACTGGAATAACTCATGCACGGTTTCCTGACTCTCTCCCCTCTGTGGATCCCAAGACTGCCAAAAGAGCCCTATACACTTGGCTGTGAATTCACATGCTTCGCGAAAATTCCTCGATCTAGTCCAAGTAGCCGAGATTGATCGGGAGTGCCGGGCCCGCCAGACTTCACGAAGGACGGCGCGGTATGACGCTGATCCGTGAGCGTTCTATCGATCGTTGAACTGTGTACAATATAAATACATCCAACGTTCCCTAGAACAGGAATTGCTTCTTGCTTGTCAATACTCATTGCCAGCTATATCAGGACTCTTGCAACCCAAGACGCACTTGGTCGACTCCAAGCTTGTCAAATCAGGGTTCAACAATCCCAACTCCTTGGACGTAGGGAAAAAATCATGGATCTTTCATGGCTGCTCGGCCACGCCCGTGTCTCATTCCATCACTCCAAGAACACTATCTCTCTGACCTCTAAATCTGGAAAAACAGCTCTTTCTGACATATGCAAAACATCGACGCCACCATGCAAGTTGAATCCTCTACTTTTCAATGGTCATCTCCATACTGCGTGGACAGCTGTAAAGGCTGCTGGACCCCCTATCATGTACAAGCGTCAGATTTTCGAATCCGATGATCCAAGATTTGCGGGCACATTTGCCGTGGATTTTGTGACCCACCATCGAGCAGAGACAGAAGATTCCAGCCTCCCTCCTCGCACGACCTACTTTACTGAGGATGAATTCGCGAGCATTGGCAGTGATGATACCAAACCTATGTTGATCACCCTACATGGATTGAGTGGGGGGTCGCATGAAATCTATCTCAGACATGTGTTGGAGCCTTTGGTGGATCAGAGCGAGCAAGGCGATTGGGAGGCCATTGTCATCAACAGCCGTGGCTGTGCTATGAGCAAGATTACCACTGGTATCTTGTACAACGCGAGAGCCACCTGGGATCTGCGACAGACGGTCAAGTGGTGCAGAAAGATGTACCCGAATCGCCCTCTGTACGCCATTGGATACTCCCTGGGTGCCAATATTCTCACAAATGTATGTAGAATATGTCAATATTTTGATATCAACATGTCCTTTCTGACTTTTCGGCTTTGTAGTATCTTGGTGAAGAAGGCGATGCGTGCGAGTTGAAAGCGGCAGTAGTCTGCTCCAACCCCTGGAAACTCGAAGTGGCCAGTCTTGCCCTGCAGCGCACTTGGCTTGGACTCAATGTCTATTCCAAGACGATGGGAACCAGCATGAAGAAGCTTTTCGCACAGTGAGTTGTTCACGAGCCAGAAGAATGATATGGAGCTGATTCGATATAGACACGCAGATCAAGTGATTAAGAATGGTAATATTGACCCGGACAGGGTTGCAAGTATCAAATATTTGCATGAATTCGACAGGGAGATTCAGTGCCCGACTTGGGGATATCCGACAGAATATGCGTATTATCGCGACGCATCTTCGGCAGACTCTGTTGTTGCCATTCGCACTCCCACCTTCGCCATCCATGCTGAGGACGATCCAGTAAGCTGCTAACTTGTTGATGATTGATACATTTCATGGCTGATCATTCCCAGATTGCTGTAGATGAGGCTGTTCCGTATCAGGAAATCAAGCAAAATCCGTATGTGGTCATGTGCTCGACTTCGACTGGAGGCCACTTGAGTTGGTTCGAGATTGGTGGAACTCGATGGTTCTCCAAGCCGGTATGTTTTTTGGCATTCGTCACTTGAATTTGCTGATGTGCTGACACTGTGACAGGCAGTGAACTTCCTTCAGAAGATGGCGCGCGAGTATAATAGCGGTGGAACGGACGGCCCGACAGGCACATTGTCAGAGATGACGAAAAAGGCCACATCAAGTAGCGGGTTCAAGAGTCCATTCGTTTTTGAACCGATGCGCAGGAAAATGTACCTTCCGGAGTAGAAGGTGTTTATAGATGGATAGAGGTGGGTATCATGCGCGGAATTAAACAAAAGGCAGGCAGGCAGGCAAGCGAGCAATCAAGGTCAACCGAAAGAGACTCTCTTCTTCTTGGGCTTGTCGGCGGCAGGCTCAACGTCGACATTGGCATCGGATGACTTGGCACCCTTCTTGTTCTTCTTTCTGCGGAGTTCATCCTTGACCCCCTCCTGTGTTTGTGTGAGCGGAGTGATTTGAAGAATTGAATGTGTGTGAAGTTCTTACCAGCTTCTCCTTGCGGCCAGCCTCTCTCTTCTCAGCTTCAGCCTTTCTGGCCTCACGAATCTCCTCCATCTGACGAGCACGGATCATCTTGCTCTCGATGTTACCTTCCTTCTCGGCCTGAACCATGGCGAGGATGGTCATCAAGGATTCCTTGTCATCGACGAAGGTCTTTCCCTTCTTGACACCATTGGGCTTCTGGATGCCAGCAGGGCGGATGCCGTTGAGAGTGGGAATGTTGAGCTCCTTTTCTGTGTAGACGCGCTTCTTCTTCTTCGCAGGGCCGTGGGAGGTGGACTTTGACTTTTGCTCGACGGGCTTCGGCTTGGGACCAGTGGGCTTCTTTGGTTTGGGACGATCGGCGGACTTGGATGCGGACTTGGCGCCCTTGGATGGGCCAGCCTTTGTAGATTTTGTCGGAGCCATTGCGTGTGGAAGATGTGTCGTGTGGTGCTGATCAAGTTTACTGCGAGTTTCGAGAATTTCCAAACCAAGTTTGGGCAGAACAAAAGATTGCCAAGATATTGGGGAGCGGGCGGTGAGCGGCGAGCGGCGAGCGGCGAGGACTTGGGCCCGAGTGACCGAGTGCCAGGCAAGCACCGACCTCTTCCGCTGGTGGGTTACGTCCAAGGTGCGTGCGTGCCTCTTGCGACGGCACCACTCGCACAGCTGCTTAACCACCTCACGCCGTCGCTCTCTGTCTGTATCTACCTATCGTCATGGCCAGCGAACGTGTATTCCGTCTGCCCTTCCGCAAGCCGCAATGGCTGAACAGCGCCACTACTCGTACCGCCGGCGTCTACTTTGCTGGAGCCTTGGTACGCCGACCTAGAGTAGACACTACTGCTCGAGCCACAGCTGACATGGTCGCTACAGTTCGCTATCGCCCTCTTCGTCTTTCTTGATGCCGCCATCTATTCTAAATCAGCCCTCAATGGCTCCGACGTACATGTGACCTTTGTCGACTGGATCCCCGTCATCTTCAGTGTCCTCGGCATGCTCATCGTCAACTCGATTGACAAATCCCGTCTCTCTGAGGATAGCTACAGTGGTGGTGATGGTGCCGCCTGGAAGGCTCGTGTTGTCTTGTTCATGGGTTTCGCTGCAATCGCTGGTGGTCTCGCTGGTGGTGTCACCGTCATGGTCTTGAAGTACATTGTTCCAGAATACACCTTCCCTACCCTCTGGTTCGGTGTTGCCAACGTCATCGCCAACATTCTGGTATCTCTCAGGTATGCCATTTTTCCCTCTTGTTCGGAATTTTTACTAAGTATGCCTCTAGCTCTGTTGTCCTTTGGGTTTCGCAGAACATGGAAGATGACTACACCTACAACTTGCAGCTATAGTAGGCTGTATGTATATAGATAGCTCTTTCATCACTTGGGTATTTTTGGATACCACCGTTCCCCTTGCTCTTTACATGATCCCACAAAGTTCTCCGTGAAGCCTAATTGCGTCTTTTTGGGCATTATCATTGTTATACAGGTCATTCGTCACATTCGGACTGAGTTCACATGCTCCTGCGACTAACGTGTCTATCCCTGAATAAGAGCACCAAATGCGCAGCGTTGCGCAATGTCTGTCGTGTCAGATCATCTGTTGCACGCAACTATGCCTATGCTAGCTGTATCCGATGGATGCAGCATACTAAGTGTGGGGCAGGCGAGCATCTAGAGCATAGAACTAATGCCAGACCATGAGATCTTTTGGCTCAGGGGCTCTCGATTGACATTCCGAGCAACCTCATAATGTCAATTCATGGCTTAATGCCGGGCACTCAGTAGTGTAGACATGAATCTTATCAAAGACAGGGTCACTATGCTTACAAGAGACATGACGCCAAAGGCGGTGAGGAGCCGCATGCATCAATCAATTCCGCGTTTGGCAATCCATCAACATTGCAACCAACACCATCAAACCGAACATTCGCATTATCGCATCCGCCTCTATCTATAACAAGGACCCAAACACACAGATCAAAATTCATCGATCACGAGCAATCGACTTGGTCGCGACGCTGCGGTCACCGAGGGCGCAACACGCGCTTCAGACCAGATATCTGTCTTTCACATCCTTATTCGACATCTTTAATCGCAACATGCCCGCCAAATTCTACGTCGTCAAGGCCGGACGAAAGCCTGGCATCTACCACAGTTGGGATGAGTGTTTGATACAGGTCAGAGGTTTTAAGGGCGCTGCCTGTGGGTAGTCACTAGTGCGACGAGCTGAACAAGACTGACTCCATCCAGTCAAGTCATTCCCCTTGCTCGACGAGGCCAAAGCGTGGCTAAATGGCGCCGACACCACTAGTTCCACTCCATCGACAACTTCCAACAAACCGACCAAGTTCTACGGAGTGCACAAAGGCCACAAGCCAGGCGTCTACACTTCATGGGCAGATGCGCAAAACACAATAACAGACTTCAAGGGTGCTGTCTACAAATCATTCAAAACTCGTGAAGAGGCACAAAGTTTCTTCAAGAACGGTCCTCAGCCAAAGAGAGCATCAGAGGAGCTCTCACAAACAAGTCCCCCAACAAAGAAGCAGAAGAAGGAAATAGAAGAGCATGAGGACCTGGTTGAACACAGTGCTGGAGAAGGTCCCTTGCCCGCGGGTGCTGAAGATGGCTTTGATCCACGCATCACACTGAACCCTTTGACTGGCAAGGTCGAGTACAAAGAACCCACGACCAAGTGGCAGGCTGTCAACCTGCAAGACAGCAAACCAGTCATCATTTACACAGACGGCAGTTCCCTTGGTAACGGAGCTCATGGAGCTGTTGCAGGAGTTGGAGTCTACTTTGGTCCCAAGGACAAGCGGTATGACATGCACCTCTAGCATTATAGGCGTCCACCACTGACACAGTCTGCAGGAATCTGTCTGAGCCTCTATCTGGTACTCGTCAAACTAACCAACGCGCCGAACTCACCGCCATACAACGTGCTCTCGAGATTGCCCCGCGTAATCGCCCTGTCACCATTTACACTGACAGCAACTACTCGATCAAATGTGTGACCGAGTGGTTCGTCAAATGGCGAGCTAATGGCTGGCTCAATGCATCCAAGAAGCCTGTCGAGAACAAGGATCTGATTGAGAAGATTCTGACTTTGATCGAACAGCGTAAGAACATGTCTCAAGAAATCAGCAGCATCAACAAGGTCGAGTTTGTATGGGTCAAGGGACATGCCACCAACGAGGGCAATATTGCTGCTGATGAGCTTGCTGTTGCTGGCGCGCGTGAGGCTAGGGAGATGATCGCCAACCCTGATTTTGAAGAGCCGTAGACCCTTCTTCGCCTATTGGGGTTTACTGCTTTGCACTGTGGAGTTTGATCTGCATGGATGAGGAGAAGGGAGGGATTCACGACATTATGACTTGGCAATGAGGAAGTCTCACAACGGCAGTATGATTGGCATCTACAGTTCGATGCTTGAGAACGGATTCGACAGACAGCTTTTCACGGGACTCAAATAAGGAACAGCAAGGCAAAAGTCTTCATGTTCTTCATCACAAAATTCAAAGATTCAGTCTGCAATGTAGAGCGGGTGTTGACACTACCAAGAGAAAGTGGGGGCGGGCAAGTGGGATATTGACACGTGCCCAGGCGTCTTGGGTTGCAGCTCCGTCAATGACGTTTCGGCCTTGTTTCATGTTTCGACTCTCGGTCCTTGTTTTGTTCGCCGAAGGAGTCGCTGTTGACGAATGTCGACCCATGCGCGCAGCGCACGTCGAATGAGAATCCGAGGAGGCCCTCGTTTCGTCGCCGTGACTCGCCAGTCGATCAATTTGCTCGTGATCACGGCTCCTCGCGCTCTGCTGAGGGGAACAGCTACCGCCAAAGGAGTCGCGACTGCTGCACAAGTGACGCATGGGTCTGCTCAACCACCTGACACGATCGAGTCAATCACCATCTCGTCGCAATTAGGGTTTGGCAGAGCGAGCCTATCACCTTAAGTCCGTACAAGGTAATCATATAAAGCCCTGTACTGCCATGAATTAAACAGAGCCTTCCGTCCGCTTTTCAGCTTGTGCATAACACTCACTACACCGCTTTCTCCCATTTACTATAGCAATGCCTTCGACTCTCGTCGTCCACCACCTGCGTGTCAGTCAATCTGAATGCATCGTCTGGCTCTGCGAAGAGCTTGGAATTGACTACAAGCTCGTATGCCACGACCGCGACCAGCAGACACTCCTAGCCCCCGATGTGTACAAGGAACTTAGCCCATTGCGGACAGCACCTGTGATTGAGGATGTTGATACTTACACACCGAACCACGATCACATCCGCCTAGCAGAGTCTCAGGCATGCATCGAATGGATTTGCAGAAAACACGGTCAAGGACGTTTGTTGAACAAACCTTGGGATCCCAACTGGAAGGAATGGTTGTTCTGGTAAGGAAGTCACCGTGATTATGCTGCTGCTTGGAAGACTAGATTGTGCTAATCGTGCTTCCAGGTGGCACTTCACGCACGGCTCGTTCCAACCCACATGTCAAATGCTGCTGCTCGCTGCATCGCTTCCAGAGGACCATCCTGGCCTCAAGGTGGCTAATTCAAGGATCAGTCACTATCTTGACTTGATCGAGCAGCGCCTAAGCAAGTCGAGATTCCTCGTTGGCGATGAACTTACAGCCGCCGATATCCAGATGGTCTTCCCACTCACCACTCAGAGGGCCTTTGTACCTATCGACCTTGGCGTATACCCCAGCATTCTAAGGTACCTGAAAGAGATTGGGGAAAGACCTGCATATCAAAAGGTCTTCGAGAAAGCCGAGACAACACTGAAACCGATGCTCGATGCCAACCCTCCGTCTCCCTACAAGTTTTGACGGAACTGATACTGTGATAACCGATACCAATTTCTTTCTACTCTTGGAGATCATATAGGCTTGGACAAAGGATAACCATCACTTGGCGTTTGGATAGGATTCCGGTATAGACACTAGATATGGCCTAGCTAAGGCTTCCCTTATGCACGTGGTTTCCCCTGTTGATTAACCTACTTCTCTGGCCTCCTTTTCAAAGCGTGTTACAAGACAATGCCCTATGCACGGGTCTGCGGGCCCTCACCATGGCAATTCCGCATCTTTTGACGTTACGGCCATAAACTGGTCTCACGCGAGTCGTGTTATGTTCATAATCGGATGCTGTGGTTCTCAGAACGCTAGCCATAGGCCGAGCTTTACACTGAATCGGGCTTTTCGTCGCGCGGAACGCCAACTTTCTTCGCCGTTGTTACTGTACACAACGCCCGATAGGCAGGCCTTAAGGCCTACCAAGCCTACCAACTATGCGGCGATACCGTGCTCTTTCGGATACATTCTTGCATAAGCGCGACCCTAGAAGGATAGAAGAAGTCTATTGAACACGTCTCGAACCTTGTCTCGAAAGCTCGCCCTAAGCTCTGCAATCTGTTTCGGCAGTTCATACAGCAAAATCTTCCACACCGTACACCATTCCGTTGGTGTTCTAATCTGGTCTTCTAGTCTGCAGTCTCCACAGTCTAATTGAGTTCTATCGACCAGAAGAGTGACAAAAACCTCGCAAACATTAAGCCGTGAATTTTCCGAGTAGTCTTCACGGAGTCAGAGCGGCTCATTCCTTTCTGAGTCGTGAACAGACGAGTCCCTCTCATCAACGCCTAGTTAAGTGCCGACGGTTATACTACCTGTTATGCCGTTGAGATGTCTGAGCTGCCCTAACCAGAGAGCCATGTAGAAACTCTTCAAGTACTGTACCAAGAAAATTCATATAAGTATGGAGGTTGTAGAGTCTCCCACAAGGCTCATTCTTGCTATTGGTTTGCCATACCTCGTTGACCTATGCTTTCTTCTTCTGTGGCCCAAAGACTCTACATTCCTTTGTGTTTTCTAACCATCACACACTCACTCAATCGCTTGACGGCATGGCTCCCGCTGGTTGCTTTCTCGGCATCTTCTGCGGCACAAGTGCAAGCACAAGCACGGCCATAACACTTTCTTCGACATCAGTTTCGACGATCATTCCTTCATCGACCAGCTCACCCATTTTGTCTTCTTCGATCTTAACGTCGACGTCAACTGCTGTTGTCTCATCTACTGCTCCCTTAGCAGCGAGTTCTACGCTCAAATCATCACAAGCCGGCGTTTACTCGAACTGCTATTACAATATCGACGGGGTAGGAGAGTTCAATACCAGATGGGTTGCAGACTGGACCACTGGTGTCACGCAAGATTTGACTGGCATCGTATCCTCCTCTTATACCGTTGGAACTGCTAGCTCCTCCCCTACCACAAGTACCAGCAAAGTCAAGAGAGGTCTTGGTAGTCTCTTTTCTCTCTTCTCCAACTCTCTATCATTCAGGATTCTCCCCTCCTCAATGACTCAGTCAGTGGTAACGACGGCCAGTAGTGCTGTGGGTGCGGTCGGATCGCTTGCTTCTGAAGCTGGTGCAGCTGTTGCATCGCTTGAAGCGGCGATGAGCTCCAGTACACAGCTCTATACCTCCTACAATGATATCTTGTACGGCAGCGTCAGAGCTGTTATTCTGTTGAGTAATGCTACCGGCTTTACCTCGTTCAGAAGCGATACCATGGAGATCGACCTCAAGTGGCTGGATTATCACTCTACCTACGATACTTCCGTGGTGTCTGATGCGTCAACGCAATGGCACGAGTATCGTGTTGACTGGCTCCCTGGAAATACCAATTACTACATCGACGGCAATCTTGTCGATAGCACAGCTAGTGAGGCAAGCCCTGGTCTATGGCTCTGGAATGCTTGGTCAGACGGAAATGATGATTCTATCTTCCAAATACGTAGTATTGATGCTTACTTCAATCGAACATCAGTAAACACAGACATTGCAGATGGAACCGCAATTTGCAAGGAAGTCAGCATCGTTACGGGAGCCACGTCTGCTGTCAGCGCTGCCACTAGTGCGCTTGGAGGCATAGCAGGAGCAGCTACTGCTGTCCTAGGCGGTATTGCAAGCTCAGCCTCGAGCTCGTCGATCATCACAACACCCACTCCTACTACTCTGGCTACCTCGACCACGGCTCCTTCGCTCTCTGCTCAGGCTACTGTCTCTTTCACAACCATCAGTTCAGCTTGGACGGGCAAGGCCACTTCCACAACAACTCAGCTCAATGGCCTGTCTGCAACTGTCATTGTCCTCACCCCAGGCGCGGTGCAGACGACTGCTTCGTCTACATCCGGTTCGGACGGCTACGTCTACATGACTTCGACTACAGACTTGAGCACCTTCACCGCAGTCCAAACCAAAACCTTCTTCCCAACGATTGGTACAACGGCCACAGTCCAGATCATCTATCCCACTCCTGTCACCACATGTGGCAATACCGGAATTGCTTATGCCGGCTATACGAATTCGTTCGCCGGTGGCCAAAACACCTACGGCTACCCCAAATTCAATCCTACCGTCTACAAATCTGCCAAACCCACGCAAACTGGCGTAACAAACTACATTGCTGAAGTCAATAGTGGAAGTAGCAACGTTGCTTACTATGGCCAAAAGACCTCCACTCAAAACTGGGTCATCGATCATACCTTCTACGTATTCGCTCGCCAGGACGGCTACTACAGTTTCAACATACCATACACGGATGATATCCAGATGGTGTGGTATGGTGATAAAGCGGTATCGGGGTGGACCAGAGACAATGCCGACATCATCCAATTCTGGAGTAGCCAGATTGCCACGCAGACACCTCAGACAATTGCTGTCTACCTTACCACTGGAAGTTACCTCCCATTGAGAATCCTCTTTGCAAACGGAGGAGGTGCCGGAGAGCTAGATTTTAACATCTATGCTCCGGACGGCTCTACAGTGTTGGCGTCCAACAGGGGATTGGGTACAGGGAGCTCGTCGATCGATATTGTGCAGTTTCCCTGTGATAGCACATTGGGTAGGAAGTTCCCTGCTTGGGGCTCGGAGACTTGATTTCGATGAATGGATAGAACACCGTGATGTGTCTTCTCCCTTACTTAGATATGAAATCGACTTAGTTCTCCTGATCTCACAAAATTTTCTCCAACACAGGTCCCATACCAAGATCACTGTTCGTACGAATATCAGCCATGGTGTACATACCATCCATTAGCTCAGTAGAAGGAAGAACCAACTAGTGTCTCTCTGCTCACACTGGACAGCCCCGAGATTCTCAGAAAGCTCTCTTAGCATGCATACCATTCGACTCAACGTCGAAAAGCCACACACCGACAGACACATTATAGTAAGCATTAGGAGAGACTGCTCTGACTACTCAACGGATATCCAAGCCCTGCAACCCCTACGTGAAGCACAAGATTACAGGAGCTTTCACAGGGAAGACAACATGTCCCACATCAATCAACAGTGCATTGTCGTCACTCAGATAGGACAAAACAGGTGTCCGAGATTATACAAAACCATGGAATAGACTGTTGAAGAGCGTTATTGGCCTGCTTTAGCAGGCCGACCTAGCTTGCACCCAACAAACAGGTCGGTTAGCTCAGTTGGTTAGAGCGTGGTGCTAATGTCTGGTGATGCACGGCGCGTCAGGGTCGTGCTATTCGTTCGATATTTCCAGAAAGGTGAAATTTGCCTGGAAGGGAAAAAAAAAAACAGATGTTAAGCTGCAAGAGGCTGCGAACATGGCAAAAGAAGAGGATGGTCAGTACGGGGGTCGAACCCGCGACCTTGGCGTGCCGTGTATCATCAGATATTAGCACCACGCTCTAACCAACTGAGCTAACCGACCTGTTTGTTGGGTGCTCGTTCAGTTAGATCGGTATATACATCAGCCATGGTTGACTCAGAAGTGGTGAGAGTGGGTCCAGCAACAATCCTACGACACGATAGCTCGATCTAGCCGCCCACTGTGCCGGGTCGCTCTTACTTGCTCATCGTATGAGGGGAACACGAGACAATCTCTTCATTTGATCCATCCTCTCGTGCTTTTCTCATGGACTTGCTGTGATGGCGCCACGGTCAACCGGCTGTGCCAACTGTCGGAAACGTAAGATCAAATGCGACGAAGGCCGCCCAGGATGCAAAAAGTGCCAGATCCACAATACGCCATGCCCGGGATATCGAGGTATCAAACCTGACGGACTAGAATGGCGCGACGAGACGCAGGCCGTATCGAGGCGTGTAGAGAAGGCATGGAAAACTGGTTCCGACAGCAGTAGTCCTGAAACCAGTAGCGATTCCGACAGCAGTGCTCCGCCTACCAAAAGTGTCGAGGAGTTGACTTTGTTTGAGAAGCCTGCGGTGACCGGATATACCGTCATACCACAGGCTATCTTCAGTGCTGCAACCAACCGCTCGCAGATGTTTGATGTCAGTATGAGACTGTACCGACCTACGACCCTGGACGAACAGCCACTGCGCGCTCATATCTCCGACTTTTCATGTATACAACGGACCATCACCTCCAAATCTTCACCGGCATTGCTTGCAGCCATCGATACAATCAGTTTGTTGCAACTTGGTGTATCTTACCAAGACCAGGCATTCTTCGAACACGCTCGCCGAAGATACGGACAGGCATTGACAGCATTGGTGGTTGCACTCAATAAGCCAAACGTGCTTGGTAATAATGATGTTCTGGGTGCCATGAAGATACTCGAGTTCTGTGAGGTATGCCTCTTCAAACCACAACGATAACCTTCTTACTGACGCACACGATTAGCTATTCCGACCTGTAGCACAGCAAGGAAGCTGGATCAGCCACGTAAATGGAGTCGAAAACTTCTTAGTGCAACGGGGACCAGTCCCGCTCGTAACAGAACTTGACAATATGCTATACTTCCATGCCAGACATTCTTCTGTAGGTACTCTTCTACATGGAAATATGGCAGTTGCTGATGAACTAAAGATTCTTCAAGGTGTTCTAAAACGCAAGGCTATCATTTTTGCAGAACCGAAATGGATGGCAGTCACTAAAAACACACCTTACACGGATTCATCGCCTCGTCTGTTCGATATTCTGATTCACATACCAGGCCTTTTTGAACGTGCTGATAATCTAATCGCGAGTGGTGAGCCCACCTATCTGAGTGGAGTGGTGTCTGACCTGGTCACTGCCATTGAGCAACTCCATGACTGGGAAGCCGGATATCATGCTGAACTGAAGGATCCGGCCTTCACGAACGTGGACATATCGAGGTTCAAAAGATTCACACGACTATGTCATAACAAGACGTTTCCACTAGCTCTCGATTTTCCCGATTTTCTTACGGGATACTTGCAGTCGATATATTGGCTCTATCTTTTCACCATTGAGCGCACGCTTCAGGACGTCCTGATGAAATACCCTGGTAGCAAGTGCACCTTCTCGCTCGATGAAGTGAACAAGCGAGTTCTGCAGACCGCCATCAATATGTGTCAGATGATGCCATACTTCTGCGAGCCGGATGCTGCATCGATGGGTCGCTTTGCCACCTTCATGCCTCTGGTGTTTGCTCTCAGATATTTTGAAGCCCGCGGAATGAAGACACAACAGGATTGGTGTCAGGATGTCACCGATGCCATGTTCAACGATGGCATTAACCCACCATGGAAGTTGGACCTGGCCAAAGGATTGAAGCCAGGTGAGAAGAAACAGATTGTATAGTCAAATTATCGTCAGAAACACGCAAAAATGTGCATTGGATGTGCACATTGAGTAGTGTCTACTTAAGACCTTGACATTCAATTGGATTGTGGGTAGAATAATGTATCAGATGTTGAATGTGTCGGGTCAAGAGAAACAGAGTCTGTGATCATTATTATCATTACATACGAAATACAAAACACATCCTCCTCAAGACGCCCGGTTGAAAAGGGATACTTGACTAGGAAAGCCTTCGGGTGTTGAAACCCGATCGTTCGTATCTCTGGACCTCCTTACCATGTAGAAGGACCAAAGGTGGCACCTTCAGGCAGGACTTTCGATATAGCTGTTCCCAGACTGTCCATTGTGTTGTACACAGCGACATTACCCCACCAATTGGGTGCGTCGGTGTTGGTCAAACTGATTGTCAAAACAATCAAGATGGTCGAGATGGCGAGACCGGAGTCAAGGGCCGCTGATGTGATGTAATTGAAGCGCATCCACCAGCCTCTGTATCTGTTGCGAATCCACTTGTTGAAGATAAAACCAACGATGCCCCATGACAAGTAGTTCAGGGGTGTGGCAGGAGGAATTTGTCCAGTGCCACCGAAGATCAAAGGAGCGCTGAGGAAGCGAATGGGTGATTTTGGCCACTGCTTGGCTGCAAAGAAGAAGATGACGGGAGCAGCGGCACCAGCCAGCCAGAACCATTGGAGGTTCTTGTAAGTGGCATCACCACTGAACATGCGTGCAGGACCAATAACTCCCCAGATCACGCTTGCGTTGTAGAAGACTCTTCCTCCAGGACAAGTGAAGTGATTGACCTGGTGAAGAGCGCATAGGTCCTTGATACCACCACCGAAAGCCCATTCGAAAACTGCAAGCTGCACGATACACGACCATATCGTCGCGATCAACTGGCCCATGAACATTGTCTTTGGAGGAACCTTGAGATAGTGACCTGAAAGAGTATTATCAGCATTATGGCCACAACATGGTATCCGTGAGTATTACCGAGCTTCATGTCTTGAGTAAAGGCAAGACCTTGTGTCATGGTGATGTAGCCGTAAGTCTTGAACAACATCATGGCATTAGGCCTGCCGGGTTGCATGTATCCGATCAGGAACTCGGTGAAAACGTTAAGGCCAAGCTGAACATTGGTGATTGCTTGAATGAATCCAATGGGTAAGAACCAACTGTTGCATATATTGTTAGCATGATTGCTACAAGCACGAAGTAAGATAAGACACAGATTTGACTTACACGAAACTGATGATGAATGCAAGAATCAAAGCCCACCAGCTCATCTCCGTGGGATAAGCATAGATAGTGGCAAAGGAAAGACCAATGCAGATCACCAGTAAGGTTATGTACCACCAAGCAGGCACTTTTGGGTACTTGAAAAGAAGTTAGGCCCTGAGGATAAGTGTTTTCGTATATTGGTACGGAGCTTACCTTATCCATCATCTCTTGATGTACATCACGCATGTCATCACGCGAACGTCGCCATCTATCAAGAATGAACTTTCCATGGAAAAGAATGGTATGAACAACGACGGCGGAGATCGCAGCGAACGAAAGACCATAGCAAAGGGCGAAGGTAGTTGACAAGAAAAGAGGAGAATACTCCTCGTACTTTTTAAGATCCAACGTGATCTGCGGCGTTAATATTTTAGAAACGTTGTAAACGTTACCAGCATTATCGTAAGAGCTGGAAGTACTGAATGGTAAGTAGTCGGCGTACCAAGTTCCAGTGAAGTGGATCCCTGCCGCAGTAATCCAATAGAAAACTACAAGACCGATCAGGGTATTACCGATGGCATGCCATGGAGGAATCAGAGGACTAAAGACATATCCGGTGATCTGAGTCCAATCAAAAGTAATGGGGAGAAGGGCCATACCACTGAAGCCTCCAAAGACCTTGTTGACATTGACGTTGTTAGGCGCGATCCAGGTAGGGAATGCGAAGACGCTCAGGAACTGAGCGATGTAGCCAGGGAACCAGTAGTAGAGGAATGAGCCCAGGAAAACATAGAAGAACCAACGATATCTGGAGATAGACCAACCGTTGGTCCTTGCAGGGTCTGTCTTAGAATTGTCGTGAAGGGTGTACATGAAGGCGCAATTGACCAGATCCTGAGGCCAGATCATAGGAGCTGGCTCGACCAGCCAGCGAGAGAAAAGACCGGCAAGACCAAAGCCAACACACTGTGTGCTCAAAGCAACAAGTACACCAAATCCCCATCCCCAATTGAATTTGTAGAAACCACGCTGGGCCTGGAGGATATCGGTGAAATAACCCACACCTGTTCCAAATGAGGCATTGGCCATGATGACGATCATAGCGTGCTCTTTGAAGTTGAAAGGCCCGGGGTTGAGATTCCACTTGACACCAAAAGTCGTGTGTTCTCGGTTTGGCATGACTTTGTCCCAAGCCAGGCCAACAGGGTAGACGATAAGTTGTGCAACATAGGAGGTGATTGTAATCGAGGGCGAACGTAAAGAGAAAAGCATGTTCAGACCGGAGCCGATGGTAGTCATCAAAAGTGAGATGACCCACATACGGATGGTGTTACAAGGGCTTCTCAATGATTAGCTGAAGTGGTAAGGACAATAGAGGTTAATCGAACTCACAGATCGACATCGTAGTTCCTGACAGCAGCTCTAACTTCTGGGTATGGACTGTTCTCCAAAAGTTCGTTTACAAGATGGGTTTCGCCATCCTTGTCGTGATGCTCGACAGCCTCATCAACTGCATGAAGGTCATCACTTTCAAGGTTGGGATCCCAAAGTGCATCCGCATTATGTTTGAAAACTTGTGGAAACAATCAGCATCGCGCCCTTAAAATGCACAAGAGGTACCAACCTTTCAATCGTCTTGCAGCCTCTGCCTCTGATAGTTCGTGTGCTGATGAAACACCAATAGTCTTCTCGTCCTTTTCGCCCTTGGGGCTCGAAGAACCGGAGCTCTGGATCTCATCGATAGCGATACCTTCGCTAATCTCAGGCGAGCCAAGTCCTAGTTTCGTGAGGAAGCCAGGCATGTTGGCAAGAAGCAGGGGGAACAGTAGACTATCAGAAAAGTATGATAATTCAGCACAGTGTCCTAGACTCAGATCATACTTATATACGTCTGGCAGAATACTGACGGGCCATGCCTCCCTGAAGATAACTAAAGAAGGCCACAACCTCAATTGGAAGGTCAATGAGACAATCTATAAATTTGCTAGGAGAATTGACTTGTGATTGGCTTTTCTGGCTGTACTGATAAGCCAAGCGACGTGAAAAGAAGCATTGAGAGCTGCAACAGAAGAAGTGTGTGGACGCCGTAATAGCTTGACGTATATGGCTGGTGCCATTTGTGCAGCATGTCGCATCCGTGGGTTACTTGTGAGAACTTGCCGACTGCCGATGTACTCTATCTCAGTGCACTCCAGAGTAGGACAACAGCGCACATTGATAGCGGGTCTGATTGTGATTCGCTACAGTGGTCATCTCCACTGACCGATACGAAAGATCTGCTGAACCAGAACGGTCGACGGAGCGTGGTATTTCGCAGCCGGAATCCAACATGACCCACACATGCGCGCCCTCAGATAATCGTCCTGAGAGAATATAGTACGTCTGGGGCGAGCAGTCGCATTTGGCGGAGGATCAGCTTCGACTGTTCGCTCTCGAGCCCTGGAAGCACGTAATCGCGTGGGAGGTGGCCATTCCTGCGTTAGTTGATTGAAGGCGAGGTCTCGTCTTGCTACATCCAGAATTGACGACCTTTAGAGATAGGCTAGATAGCCTCTGATGAACCCTTCTGCGGGAGTAATTCAAACGGAGTCGCCAAGTCATAGTACGGGTTCCCGGCTCAATTCGCCTCCAACTACAAGTGATACGCAGGCTCGCCAAGAGATAGAAATGACAAGGGAGTCTTTCTAAGTCTTGTTCCAGGGCAGCGCATGTCTTGTGCGCGTAGCCAAGTGCAACTATGCTTCTAGGTGATGTCTTAGCCTCGATACCGGGATTCAGGCGGTGTGTGGGTTTGAAGAGTTCTATTTAGGTGATGAGGCATCTTTACATGTACCCGCCTCAGATTCAGAGTATCTGTGTGTGGGAAGATTGGGCAGATTGTCCAGGGTCCAAGCGCTTGATGGTATCTATCCTCTGCGGGGCTGCCGTAAAAGAGGTTGTGCAAAGCTGACCCAAGCCAATCATCACTGATCAGATGAGTGTTGCGAACGGCTCGTGGATAAAGCCAACATATCCGGGCTTTCTGTCGCTGATGGAGCGGCAGAATCATCCAGTTCCTCGGCCAGAAGCGCATATGCAGACGACTAGGTCTTGTAAACTGTGACCCCGACAAATCAGCATACCACCTATGTTGGTTATGCGGCACATCACTCCTTGAACTCTGCCAAATGAGTTCGCCTGGATTGATCAGCATGCATAGGGGCGTGTTTAATGCTTTGAGATTTTCTTGCCTTGGGACGAGTTGGAGATCACTGGATCACTCTGGACTAACATTGACAGTCAACCACGCATATTCATACACTCTACTAACCACAAACTTCGCAGTTATTTCGGAGCTGCTGGTCATACAGACCTTTCCAAACACAACGTAACACATCGGTCAAAAGGTAACGTGAAACCGCAAGGGCAACTGTGTATGATATAGCTGCTCAAGGCTTGGCGTCTGCCTACCACGCAAAGGTCTGGTAGGCCACTCATGTTCCTAGACGTACCGGTCGTCATGCAAGTACAAAGTCTCGTTAAAACAGAGAAGTCCTCGAAGTGATGAGAGAGCCATATCTTGCACCATTAACATGTAAAGAGCTCCGTGCACAAATTCGACAACGATCCAAACATACAGTCGTAAGAGAAGATTGCTACATGAAATATCGCCGTGTACAAAATCAGTATGGGCTAACAGAGGTTTAGCTTTGTCACTGACTCAACACATACATAGCATACCTCAAAGCATCATTCAGACATCCTTCCAAGACAGGAGTTGAATGATTAGGTATGGCAATAGTGTCAGATAAGCAGCTCATTATTAGTGACTCGGTCAGCGGCAAAAGCTCGCAATGGTATGATGGCGAGAAGGACCAAGTATGTATCATGTTGAGCCATGAAGTGATGTGTTTCGTAAGAGAAGCTACACACAACGGCATCCGAAAGTCAAATCGATGGTTACCATCTCGATTGCTTCATTCAAGGTCGATGTGTTCGTAATTTCACAAGCTACATTCGATATGAGCGGCCATCGAGCACGATTAGTGACGAACGGCTGGGGAAAGGATTGGTGCCCTCTTGACAAGTCGCAATCTGTGTGGGAAATGAAAATCAGGGCGATTGACATTATTGCAATTTGCGAGGATTGCGAATCGATCACCATCAGCAAGCCAGTCCCTCTTAAGCGTCTCAATCTTGGTTTCAAGATTGTTCTTGTTTGGGAATTGGTCCATACTAACAATGAGTGATACACGCCTTAGGTGGTTGTACTACTACTTTTTTGTGACACACCAGGAAGCCACGGAGATGAGGCGTGCCTTCAATATTGAGTCTTCTGACAGACCGTTCTTTCACTCCACGTTGTGAGTATGTCTGTAAGTGATAAGTAGTTTCGATATTTACTTTGCAATAATGAGTGTTTTATCGCACGTTTCTTGTAGAGGGTGTGAGTGGATCGACAATAATGTCTCCACAATATACAAGCAGTCAAACGATGCTGAAACGATTACGGCCTGTCGTCGATCAGACCAACATTCAAGTTGAGCCGCACGACTGTCGGAAAGCCGGATAATGCTGCGGGAGAGGCGACCAGGATGGTCAAGATTGCCGCAAGCGACGTACAAAGGAACTATGTGTGCGCAACAAGCGCCGGGCGCTGCCCAGGTACTGTACACAGAGTGTGGACAAATTGAATGAGCAGGTGTCATCTACGCTGTGTGAATCGGTGGACCCGAATGACAGGAGACGCGCGGGAACCACGATATTAACTACATCAATTTGTGTTGCTGTTGGTGGAAGGATGAATGTTGAGTCAGATGCAGTTGTCTGCCTATCACCTGCTGAATGTAGACTCTTGGCGCAAGCGAGTAGGATGCGCTACTCAGAGACGTCGAGACAGTTGCTTTCGAACGAACAAATTTGCAGGGAAGTGGTCAACTTCTGACATCGCACCTCGGCACAGAGAATACACGCCAGGAAAGCTGTGCATGTGATCGAGTGGTTAATGTAGATGCAATTAAGGCCTAGAGCCGCGACCCAACCCATGTAAAATCATGGATACAGACCCGCCGATAAAATGCTTGGTGGGATATGCAGAGGAGGCATATGGCTGCCAGTGAGACGCGCGGCGTCGCAGGCGTGTCTAGACGATGGGTGCTGCAGGTGATGAAAACCGGTTTGGTCGCGTCGATGTAAGTACAACACAGCGAAGAACGTTTGAAGAACGTTTGGGAGGTTGGGGTGCGAATCATGTCCAAGACAAGTCATGCCGACGAGGAGAACAAAACCTGAATAAGCACCTCTTGAACAGAGCCGGCGGCCCGATTTTCAACGAGATGCTGCGATAATCTGCAAAGCAAACACAAAATCGACCTCGTATGAACGACCTTGTGCTAACTGGAAAGCGAAAGATGATAGGCAAAATGGGTGCCTGAGCAATAAAACCACAGCATCGTGACGTTTCGACAAATACGTTCCAATCATCAGGGTGCAGGCCGCCCTAATTGCATCGTTGTTATCTTGTGATGATAATAGCGTGGGAGCCGCATATCGAACGAACTACAGCACTATTTTGGTGAAGATGAAGAGTTGGTCATATAGAACCAATCCTCTGGTCAAGTCCACAGGGCCCCAAACGCACATCACTGACCAAGGAGAAAAAAGGAGAGTCAACAGAACAGAGTTAGCTCAGATCCAGACTTCCGGGCGCACAACGCTGGGATCTCCCGCTAGCCGGATTGTTTCACTTCACCTTGCAGGGGGCGTGCGCCTGCAGCAGCGCATGTTGCAAGATTGCCATTGGTTGAGACACGCATTGCAAGATGTTGCGCGGTCGTGAGACGGTGAGCGGCGGTCATCGAATGGTGAAGCGGTACGTGTTTGAAGACGAGAGTTGTGGATTTTCAAGTCATCGAGGGATGTATGTCCTTTTGCTCGATGGCAGACGTTCCGCGGACAAGAGTGAAACGGGCGCCAAGCTCTCGAGGCAATGCCATGATGATGCTCTTTTTGGTTCACAGGGGTTCCCTTTAGGGTAAGGGATATGGGGAACAGCTGGGTTTGGGGGGAAGCTAAGTCTGCTTTTGTCACAGGTTAAAGCACTGGTTGTCACAGGTTAAATCGTACAGAGGCCGTCTCGCTTGCCCTCTTTCTTCAACGTAGATTTAGCAGACGTCGTCCGCCGTGCCCCTCGCGCGTGGCTGTCAACCCTTTTGAATTGACCCAGACTGACCGATTTTTCCCGGCGTCTTTTTGTCTCTTGTTGCAACTGCCTAGGTATCCATCGTTGCGCCCACCTCATTCCCGCCGGGCTTGCTTCTCGTTCCCCCAAAGCTCGACTCGCTCTTCCCAGCAATTGTGCCAATACTCGTATCCTAGCCGCCTGTCCGATAACCAGCGCTTGCAAGGGAAACGCTGACTGCCGATCGCCGCATCTCTTCCGTCAATAGTGTGTGCCCTCGAGTCCACTGGTCGTGATCCTCTTCTGACCCTGCAGCTGCCCGTCAATTGACATTATTATCAACATCATCGTCGTCGCCGCTTCCTCTGCTCGGCACCATGACGACCATTGTTGCCGCTCCTGCTGCTCACGCTGTTCCCCGAGACCAAGGTCTTTCCAGCCTTGCCCATCTCGCTGCCTCTGCTCCACCAATGGCGACCAGAACCACTCCTCCAGGTACTAACGCGCCTGCTTCAACCGAGCACTCTCCCAGATCTGCTCCTAGGCACAGTGTTGAGGACAACGTCTCTCCCAAAAGGTATGCCTGCTCCTCTCTGACTCTGACCCTGAATCTGTGTGCTCATCTATATCGACAGTGCTCGCGCTGCTGGATTGCGATCCGTTACAAAGATCAAGAAGGAGCCACCAACGTCGCCCAACCCCTCAGCAAAACCTCGACCGAGACGACTCGACCTGTCGGTTCACGGAGCGACTGGTCGTGGCCCCCAGACTGCCCGGCCGGCACCTTTGACAGCCAGAGACTCGGCAGGGCTCGCTATTCACGACCTCGGAGTTGCATGCCTGTCGCCAGGCTTCCAGACCCAAGACCCAACCATGCGCTCGCAGCTCCAACGCAGTCTAGACGTGAGGGAGCAACAACGCCAGATTATAGAAGCGCGCCAGAAGGGCGTGAAGCCTCCAGTTGATGCTACTGGCGCGGGCCCTGGTGCCGAATCAGCACAATTTGGCGTGCCTCAAAGGACACCCTCAACATCGCGTAGAAAGGGTCCTCCACCCGGCTTGTCAATTACCGCTCCCTCGGCTGCCACCTTTTCAAACGAGCGTGTCATCCAGTCCGCTCCATTGCACCATTCTTTCACAGGCTTGCGCCCACATGCTCACCAGCCTAGTGGTCTTAGCCAGACGAGCCATATTCACCATGTTCCTGCCACACAGACAGCCAACCGTCTCCCTCCAATCTCGGACGTTTTCGCTCACGATAGCCTTCAAGCTCCTCCTTCAGCTCGCCCGCCAACCGCCATGTTCGCGACTGGTCACTCCCCCAGCATCGGTCCTCCCCCTCTTCAGAGTCCGGGTATGATGCAGCAGCAACAGCAGCATCAGCAGCAACAACAACAGCAGCCGCACCGGGAGCAACACCAGCACAGCCAGGGACCGCTCACAGGACGCGGTAGAGAGTTCAAGAGCGCAGAAGAAGCCGTACAAGAAATGTCTCGTGGGCGTGAAGATCTGCTGCCTAAAATCGTCCACTATGGTGGCGCACAACCTCCCACGCCTCCGTCGCCCATGCCTTCGAGTCAGCAAGCTCAACATCCCGGTCACCCGCAACCGTATCCTCCACCCCAACAGCGCCAATCGCCTCACGCCTCGGGAGCCGCAAGGGTAGACGCCCTTAGGTCAGAGCACAGCCAATCTCAGATGGCTGGCAGAAGACGCCCTCGCGACGAATATGAGCGCGAACACGGCAGTCCGCTGGGACAACAAGAAGCCAAACGAGCCACATATCATCCTGATGCCAGCGCCGATTGGCGTTCGGGCATGAGCAATCAAGAAAAGAGAGATGAATTCCTACGCTTGTGCTCGCGCGCGTGGGACCTGTTCCATTCATGATTACGATTGTGGGTGACGACTACGTGGGCAAAGGCATTTCAAAGTTTCTATTTGCATATCATCGACATTTGTGCACGCCATTTATATCATCATTTTTGACGGCTGGATCATTTATTTCTAACATGCACGGAATTTTCATGGGTAGAGGAGTTGAAGGCGGAAAAGATGGAAGTATACATGTCTTTCCTTTCGTACTGTGATTAGGGAAAGGTTTCTGGAGTGGCTTTGGTTCGCGGTTTTCTGTTGCGTCTGTCTTGCAATGGTCCGATTTCATGACGACCTCGATTTTGATGTTTTGTCTGTTCCCTCACTATATCCTCTTCGCTTCTTTCTTACATTTCAAACTGGTGGAATGTCCTTTTTACATCTTTTGTTCTTTCACGAGCCGAAGCCAGACGGCCAGATGCATCAACATCCTTACCGTCTAATACTAATGCTCCATCTTTATCAACCAACATTCTCTTCGTCATCTTCGACGATCTCTCGACCTCCTTGGTTTTGGTGGCACAAGGTGAAGAATGTCTATAAATGGAAGATCCAGCCCCCAAAGTGTTACGGAATATGCCAAATATGGGTCAATCGTCATGGATTTCAACGCAACCCGAGACCATGTTTCGGCGTGCATGCAAGATATGTCACAAATGCACGTCAGCAATTCTGGTAATGTGGAAACGCCATGGCATGTAGCATACGGCCTGAAGAGAGAGCTGGTGCTTAAATCTCCTTGAGGCTTGTTCCAGGCTTGTTCCATTTGGTTTCCAGGATCGCCTGGGACCCATAAGGATCAAGCACTACCCCTGCAGTCTGCACGACTTCTATTGCTTTAGAGTAAGGACGTGCTTCCCCAGGTGGTTGGGGGAGACGATGACATGGCCTGAGGGGGCCGGAAATGGCAGTGAATGGGCTTTCCTGTCAGAGTACCGGGAATTAGCACAAGACTGGGCAGGTGTCCTTCTCAAGGCTTTTGGTGCGACTCTGCGGCGTCTGGAGCGGGGGTTCGTAGGCTGTCTGTGTTGGCTTCTTCGATGTCGCATGTCTCATGGTCGGCATCCGCATGGTGCTGGTCATGATTGGTTTCGGCGTCTTCGATTTCGACCTCGCTACCATGGTCGAGCTTGCGATACTTTCTCCTGGCCTTTTTGTTCTTGCTTGCCTTTTTCTTCTTTTCTCTCTCAGCTTTCAGAGCAGCGCGACTCTGATGTCCGACGAGCAAAAGCTCGACCCTCTCGGCCAGTATGCGGCGTGCAATCTTGCGATTCTGAGTCCTCGAGCGGGTCTCCTGGCATTTTATGACGAGGCCAGTGGGCAGGTGTTTCAGCTGTACTGCCGAAGAAGTTTTGTTGATCTTTTGGCCACCGGGACCGGTGCCTTTGAGGAAAGCTTCGGTGATGTCGGTCTCGAGGATGGTGGGTCGTGGTGGAAGTGGCTTTTGAGAAAGCGTAGTTGTGGTTGTGGTGAAGAAGGCACGTGGTGTAGATGGGCGAGTGAATCGTACAGGCCTCGTTGAGCCGAACAGGCGACGTAGCAGTAGCATTGGACTCTGAAGAGTGATGGCTTCTGCTAGAAGTGGCTACTCTAAATTTGAGGAAAGAACGACCAACAGACGGACGTCATGGCAAGCGCGAATGAGCGGCGGTGGGCTGGGCGGGGCCGGGGCTCGGATGTCGAGTCCCGGACCGGCGCTTCTCCTGAAGTCAAAGGGTCCAAACCAAACAACTGCATCTTTCATCTCGGTACTTTTGCTCACCCTGCACTTTTTGCGCCCTTTTTTGCCCTTGTCGTCTTCCGTCCTCGTCGTTGGTCAGTCGCGACTTCTTGCCTCTACTCCGACACCAATTGCGCCCAAGTCTGCCGCCTGTGTTCCCGGCAGCCCTGCGAATCATCGAATAAACACAGCGTACTCGACCACGATTGCATGTTCGCTTCCACGTTCACCGACTCTCAATTCATTCAACAAGCACCATCATGTTGTCCGCACCCATCAGTCTCCCCACTGTCTTTGTTGGCGCCGCTGTCATCTTCCTCTTCGCCCTCGCTCTATACCCTTCCTCACTGTTGCGCTGGTTCCAACGCAAGCGCTATCAATATGAAGTCACTTTCTCGCTCTACATGTTGACCCCTACTGAGAAGTTCATCTTCAGTGAGTTCAGCTTCTGCTCTGTGCCGACGACAGACCATTGTTAATCGGATCCCAATTCTAGACTCCATCCTCTTCCTCTTCCTCGCCATGGTCTCGATCGCCGTTGCACTGTATCTGCCCCGTCATGTCAGCATCATTGCCCATTGCGCTTATTACTACGTCTCGGGCGATCTGCTGAAGAATGGCACGACAACTGGCGTCTTGGGCACCACGGCCGATATCTTGACACCGACTACTGTTGCCGAAGCTGTTGGTAGTGCTTAAACGCCATCACGCCTTATATCTGCGCCAGCTGCGTCTCCCCAAGCTTTTTGGGCTTTCTTCGAATACGGCTTTTTAATTAACGACACTACTAGACGGGTGCTTTGAAAAAAACACGCGAGTCCGTCCTTAGGTTTACATTCTGGCAAGGATAACGGAGTCTAACGATCACATCCTGTCTTGTCCACCTTATATACACGCTCGTCCTCTCGTAATACATGAATAGAAGGAAAACTCGGACTGGACAATCGTGCACGGCGTGAAGAGAACATGATAGCGTTACAAGCCCGATGCAGAAAGGGGCTGAGCTCAACGTGCGCATGTCAGTCTACTTGATGTTTTGGACATAGATATACAAGTAGTTGTGGCTGGCTTCTTTCAATAATTTGGTGGTCTGAAATCTTGGACTCCTGGCTGGGAGAGAACTGCGATATCAAGACCTCTTCCGAGCCTGTCTTTCGATGAGACTGTAGGTTTTGAGAAATACCGTCGTCTATGATGACTATTTAGATGGCCATCAAGTCCAAGTCGAATTGATTTCTTGTTGGTTTTCCAATCTCATATGCCAAAATAGACAGGTCTTGGTAATGAACCAGTAGACGCCATCTTTTGAGGCTATCTTCAACATGCTCGGTTCCCTGCACAGGCCCCACGGCGATGCCATGAATTCCGGCTTTGGGTCGATGCCCAGCTTCTTCCTGGCTCGGCAGAGGTAGAATGTGATCTACCCGATATCCATAAATGCGTTTTTCTATTCGTGCTTTGTCGAGCGATGCTTGGTTGATTTCAACCTTTTCATAGTCGAGCATGCGAGTAACGGTCTGTGTAAGAGACAAAATCGCAACGCGACCCTTTTGTGTCGCAATGACCACAACTCCTAGACTCGGGATTTGTGCATACATGTTGATGCGGCCGAATTTGCCGGATCCGGTCTCGAAGGGAACAGGTACTTGTTGCTGGAATACACGTCTTGTAGATGGCATAGGCAAGTGGTCCCAGGCCTTGCCGCTCGGTGCTGGTTGGTAGAGGTAGATGTCCTTGAACGAGAGCTGTAGTATAGGACATGGAAGATCGCCACACATACTGTCACCACGTCTGAATCGAGCTGCGGGCCTACAAAACAGGATAAGCAACCAATTGCCAAAGGTTGAAGGCAGACTTACTTTGGTTTTTCGATCTGACAGATGGTTCCATCTCGCCTGGTGAAAGCAACATGGGTGTCCTCAGCAGAATCGTAGCCGTTCTCGTAACTGTCGTCGCTATCCCACGGGTCGTCCATCTCATCGCTCTCCTCTGTTTCTTGTCCTTGCTCTTCTTGCCCTTCCTCTGCTTCTTCTTGCTCCTCTTCCTCACTATTTCTGTCGGCATCCGCGTTGGTCCGTCCGACGGAATGTCTACTCGAGAACGCATGGTTCCTATGTCGCGGTAGCTCTAGAGGATGGGCAAAATTGCCGTTCCTCACTTCGACTGGACGTCCCACATCTTTAAAAGGACGACGGACGTGATGGATACAGTCCACCGTCTTTCCTAGATCCCAAATAGCATTGTCTTTTTCATTCTCTAGATCCAAACCAGCGTGATTGGCAAGGACACCCAACGCTTCCTCGATCGTGGTCGTAGTCCGGAAAGCAAGTGGATCGAGGAACAACAGACCCCAGACTCCATTGCGATCGTCGAACCTATCTCTGGGTACCTGAAAAATAGGAGGGCTGAGAGCGGTGTTGACGAGTTGGTTCAACTGTAGGCTGTGTACATCCCACGCGGCGACTTGTCCAAGAAGATCCGCTGTCAAAAGCCATCTACCAGCAGGATCGTGTCCAGTATTGCAAAAGCAGATATCCGGCAAGTTGTGTGTTCCCCCCGAATGAGCCAATATACGCACATCATTTCGACGTCTATCATTCGGTGGGATCACTCCGCTCATGCCGTAATAATAGACCTCGTCTTCGTCAGGAACTTCATCGTCGTCATCTGGAGCACCATCGGTAAGAGCAAAGGTGAAGACTGTGGTGGCATGTGTGTTGGCGCTCACAGCAATCATGCGGGCCGTACTGTGTATAGCCAATCCCCAAGCACTTAATCCCACACTTCTGTGAAAGAATGGCTTGATGTCGGTAGACAAGACGTCGAGAGTGCTATCATAATAGGCTCGCTTCTCGATAGCGCTATATATGTGCCGCGTGTAGTACGCTTCAACGTCGCCATCATCTCGAACAACAGCAACCACTTCCTCGCTACCTAGTGGCTGCACCAGTAGTTTGTTGATGGCGCGAGTGCCGTAACCTGCGTAGTGTCCGTAAAGTCTTTGCTCTTCGGGAGTTTTTGACTTTGGGTCTGTGTGTATTATCAGGAGTGGTTCCTGCTCAATCCTCTGAGATGGAAATTGTGGCTCATAGACATAGATGTTGTCAACATAGGCAACAAAATAGAGGTTGTAGACATGAGAAAGACCGGTCTGGTCGATTCATGAGCGATAAGTCTTGTCGCATCCTGGTCATATTACGCACCGCGTTGCATGGGACCTTGAATGATCCCGATGATAGCTCGGAGCATGCTGGCACTTTGTCATCACGCCTCCTGTTGTGCGGGAACCGATCTTTGAAGAATTGCGCCCCTGTGACAGCGAGGCTGACCTCTTTGAAAGGTCTACCTTGCGACATGTTGGTCAATTAAGTGACATGGCGCGCCATGAACCAAAGAAATGAAGATCGATTTAAGCGCCGAGCTGGCGAATGAATTCGGAGCAGGTGATATGGCTTTGGCGGCAGTGTGCCGGTGAGCGAATGGAAAGCCTGAGTACTGATTGAGCAGGTCGTCTTCGGATGTCTCGCTCGCAATTAGACCACAGTGACAGGTCGTCTGGCCTGCTCTGCTGATGACAGTCGTCGGGTCGATGGATGCTCGAGATTTCGTTAATCGCTGTTGCTGACACAGCCGTATAGTGTTGGCAACGCCAAAAGGCCGTCCTACTTGCGCCCAACGCGGCAAAGCATCATCCTTCCCATCCAGCTTCATAGGACTATGTTTCCCACAGCCAATAGTTCGCCTCTCGGACTGCCAGCGCCAGGCTCAAGCCACAAAGCTCCGACCCCCTGCAAGACATCAATATCGCTGCTTGCAGACTCTCACCCAGACCGGCTGATTCGTTGCACATAATCAGGCACCTTCAACGTTTCAACCCACTGTGCATGTAGCGGCTGTGGCCGCACTTGGATAGACCCGTCCTCTCGCAGCAACGTAAGTGATTTAAGGGATCGACCATATCGTACAACATGAATTGTACTAGCCGTACTGTAGCTCTCTCACCGGCCTTGAACTCCGCCAACCATTGGTGCATCCGTTGCTTTGTCGGAGTCGGACCCGGCCTACCATGTGCATATGTCGTGTCGAATGTTATAGACGCGTCTGACCACAAATATTTCCAGAGGCGCAGAGCTCGTCATCGTACATGCATCACGATTACTCCTGGTGCCATGGCTTGCTTGTCTGGCCATCGGCATAACGGATCGACTCTGGCAGCATAGCGTCCGATTTCGTTCCCATTTTGTGACATGTTGAAAAATACACTCGCTAACTTACATGTACTTTTGGCCCCATGCGTCTAACGAGTGGGATCAGACCATTCCTTCCGAGCAGCTAGAGCATTAGGTATATTTCTACGTGGAGTAATTCTCTAACTTAACTTGACATAGACATGATCGTAATCCTGCGTTTCATTTGCGAGGCCCGGGATCTCTGCTCCTGCTTGCTCCCTGGCCTGCAGCGAAGCATGGTCGACCGACCATCATCTCATCTCAGCCACACTTGCCAGATGTCACCTACCAAAGCCAACAAGCGAGCGATGTAGGCTGTCTGTTCACAGTGCATTCGACGCATGAATCGTTGCCCGAGCAGAGTTTCCCAGCCGGCCTAGCAATACTACGAGCCGTTATGCTACTAGGCGAGCATGTAGATGATGTCGAGACTTTGCCCAAATTCTAGCTTATAAGTAAGTCCTTCGAAACCTCCTCTTGTCATCCTCTCTGTGCTCTTCGCGATATCATTGTACTTCTCAAAATCGAAACTCTATCTCGTCTTGATGAGATAACGTTGGATACTCTCCAAGCCTCAATGACCCTGACTTGTCATCATCAAAGTACCGATTTCAGTCGCAACCATGACTGACATCAAACCAACATCGACGTGTACAACTGTCGAGATCCATCCTTCGAGCGTCCGCTTCATGCAATCTTCTTCATCCAGCCTGCATACACTCAACACCCTTCCTACAGATCGATTCATCGTTCTGTTCACACCAGCAATACCTTCGACTGATAGTCAAGAAGATCCTTTCGAATGCTTTGGCCGTTCTCTCAGCAAGTGGCACTCTCGAATTCGACATGTGCCATTTGTTGCAAAAGTCGGTCTAACAGACCTTCATGTTGCGTGGATACGAAAAGCGGGAGCTGTTGTCGTTGTCAATTGCGACCCAGCACTATTGATTGACACCAAAACGAACAACAACATGCCTTGTCAAGCCAAGTTCGCCACCCAAGCAGAGAACATACTGCACAATGTTCGTGGCGGGTCGCAAGTGCCGCTATCCGGTGTCTACATCAGCCCTTGCTCTGCATCGCCAACAAACACTAGTGGGTACGACAATGTGGTCGTGTGCTCTTCATACTCGGAGGCAATCATGGAGAAAGCCGCGTCCATGTTGATGTCCCAATAGATGCTCGAGACCCGAAGACATGGTTAAGACGTGCTTAGGAGCTGCAACTTCGCCTTCGCAAGCTCATCACAGATCTATGATTGGTGGGGTGAAGATGAAGTGCCCGTATTGAGGTTGCGACACCACGTAATGATTAACTACAGGGACTTTTGTGTCGTATTGGGGATAGTGGTCAACGGCTCAGCATGCCATTGTTTGTGAGTTGGCAGAATACCATGGTCTATTCGCAGTACATCGCCTAATCCTACCTGCGCATTGATCTGCGTTAGCTTATGAACGAACACTCATTACTTTGGTAAACGTAACAGAATATCTCCCCTCCGTGAAGTTTCCTTTTTATGGAATCGTCGTCGCGAACTTTTCCCTGCTGTATGTATGTGTGTTGGCTCGCAGTACTCTAGCTGCAGGAATGGGTAATTCTAGACTCACCTATGCCATTCTCTCATGCGAACCCCTCTTTGGTCTCGACGAATCTCATGCTGTTCCAGAGATCGATGATAAGCAAAGAAGCATGCAGACATGCGCATATGCGGGTCTGTCGAAGTGCATGCAGGCCAACGAAAGCAACATGCATATCAAATTGGCAAGCACAGACGAGCGAAGAGAAGCAGACACCTACGGCGCCCACTCCGACGCCGAGGAGAAGATATAGCAGAGATCAACATCAACGCCTCTTTATTTCTTCGTTTCGAGGAATTAAATCGCGCGCAAGCTTGGTATCCGTGAATTTCATCTGTTCATATGCGATTGACTGCGAGTCATGGCATGCACGGCAGACCCGCTCGTTACGTTCCAGCGAGTCCAGCCAAGGAGAAAGGCGAAGACGGATTCTGGGAGGTTCGTTCGTCGAGCGGTTGCGAAGGCCTGCCTTGCAGAGAGGAAAACATGTTGGATTGTGAGTAATCGACTTTGATGAAGGATCATCACTCACCTTCTACAACAGGTTGCAACACATTCGAAGACTAGACCGCATCTCCGAACGGCGCTAATCATTGCGCTTGACAGGCTGACTATAATTGTCCGTCAGTATAGTAATCACACTGTCATGGTTCCCGGCATCTCATCTCAGGTGATTGTATGGGCGGCACCACCTATGATACTCTGCATGCGTGGTACTTGGTTCGACAAATGTTTTCGGGCGCAATCCTGGGTTCATTCAAGTTACTTTACGTTTTGGCTTGGTGTACCGGGATGCTGTATATTTCGTGGCGCTCTATGTGTAGCTTCTAAACCGCCTCAATATCTATTCATGACGTCGCAATTCCAGACCCTCTCGGGCCTAGACATCATTTAGCACGCCGTAACCATTCAGTCGGTATTTGGGCACGCTGCATGACGTCGGAGCCCCGTCTTCACGGGGGCGCGAAGATGAGCGGTATGTTGTACGATGCGAGGACAAGAGTTGTGCTGAATGAGCTTGCTGAAACAGTGCCTCCTAGGGTTGGTTAGGTGGCCTTGCAGTAGAGGAGAATGCTAGTGGCCGGAGACTCATTTCTGGTCCCAGTTCAGCTTCATCCTCCCCTCAGTGTTCTGGTAGTTCTTCAGCTCTTGCACACATTGCTCGCCAGTCTTGGCCTCAATCATGATGCTGGAGTTGTTGTTGGCGATAAAGCCGCTCTTGACGGCATTGCGGACCCATTGCAGCAGGCCATCGTAATAACCCTCGACGTTGAAGATGACAACACCGCGCGCGTGGATGCCCAGCTGGTTCCAAGTTGTGACCTCCATAAGCTCTTCCATGGTACCGTAACCACCGCTCAAAGCGACGAAGCCGCCACCGTCGCCGCCGTCGATAACCTCACGGGCCATGGCTTGCTTGCGCGTGTGCATGTCTGCGACTACAGTGGTTCGACCAAAGGTTGACTCGTCGATGACAGAGTCCAGGGGAGCGCCTTCCTTGTAGTCGCGTTCGTATTTGACGAGAGCTTCGGGGATGATACCGTGGACAGCGTCGGGACCAGCCAACGAGACAAGGGTCTTTGCGACTTCGCCCATGATGCCGACGGTGCCGCCGCCGTAGACCAGCTTCATGTTGTTTTGGTGGAGAGCGTTTGCCAGTTCGCGGGCGGCAGCGAGGTGAGCGGGGGAATTGCCTCCAGAGGCACCACAGCTGTACAGAGAGAGTCAGGAATGGGCGCGAGGGGGTCCTTAGGAGACACTACCTACAAGACGCAGACAACTGGCTTGTTTGAAGTGGCGGACGAGGGGGTTACTGCCTGCCCTGCCTTGGGTTCCATCTTGGCGTTGATGGCCATGTTGCTGCTTATGAGGGAGTGCGGGTGCGCGTGTAGGTGAGTGATGTATGAGAGACGAAGAAAGAGAAGAGAGTCAAGAAGGAGAGAGTGGACGACAAGTTGATGTTGAGGCTAGGACTCCCTCAGGACAGTATTGGACATTAGCACATGTTTACGATCATTGGCGCATGGTCATTCGGCCCCAGCTTTTCAACGGTCAAAGCATCAGTGATTGAGATAAGGTACCGTGGCCATGCTCTCCAGCGCTCGAGAGAATTACGATCCTTTGATGGGGTGGAGACTGACGGACGAGCGTGATACTCTGGGATATACAATACAAACATGATTCGAGAGATGAGAGGGCAATGTGCAAGAGACTCGGCCAAGGCAGCAAATGGGCCATTCGGGTCATGACGACTGTGACGCACAGGACAATCCTTCTCCGGATCTGCGGAGTCGCCCGCCGCAGGAACGACCGACATGTTTGATTCTTGCGCTTTCTCGATTTGGCCTGACCACATCCATCACACTGTAGCGCATCTCAACCATGGCTCAGAGTTGGGACTACATTGCCAAAATCGTCTCGCTCGGCGATTCCGGTTGTGGAAAGTCCAGTGTACGTCGTCGTCCATTGTCTTATCCCCATGGCCAGCACTAACTCGGGCTCGCCCGTTGCAGCTCACCATAAGACTGTGCGAAGGACGCTTCTCTCCTCACCACGATGTGACCATCGGAGTCGAGTTTGGCAGCCGTATTGTACCTGTCGGTCCGCCCGCTTCCTTGGCCCTCAATGTGAATAACCCCTCCGCCGATGCCACTCCTGCCGAAACACCATCCAACCAAGACTCGCAAATCCAGAAGCACATGAAACTATCACTATGGGACACTGCTGGTCAAGAGACATACAAATCAATCACGCGATCCTACTTCAGAGGTGCTAGCGGTGCTTTGTTGGTATTTGACATCACTCGCCGCGCAACCTTCGACTCCGTCACGGCATGGTTGAATGATCTTCGCCAGATAGCAGAGGAGAATATCATCGTAGTCCTCGTTGGTAACAAGAGCGATCTCGCTCCTGCATCGACCGTTTCCGAAGGTAGCGCTTCCGAGAACAAGCGTCAAGTCACGCAGGAAGAGGCCGAGGCATGGTGCAAAGAGAACAAGGTCATGCAATATGTCGAGACCTCGGCAAAAAGTGGCGAGAACGTCGAGAGAGCATTCCGTGAGGTTGCTGAGAGGATATACCAAAACATTGAAGCCGGCAAATACGACTTGAATGACAGGCGATCCGGCGTCAAAGGTCCCGGTGCATCTTCTGGTGCCAACACTGCGAGAACCATTAATTTGGGTATGAACGATGCTGCTTCCGTACAAAAACGTGCCAAGCAGGGCGCATGTTGCTGATACTCTTGTACTTTTGGCGTTTGAGGGCTCAATACCACTAAGCATAGCGGGCGTTAAAGGCATGGATGGCCAAAAAGGTCTCTGGATATTCTTTGACATACAACTTCACTTCTGTTCAATGACTCGCACGCATCTAACAAGGAGCACAACCATTTACAGATCAGACACGTGTCCAGAGAGTGCCAACTCAATGGCGCCTCTCCATGGACCTGCTCCTTTTCTAAATGTTATTATGCCTTTTTGTATGCAAGAAGTTTTTCGTCTTCTCACTCTGATCCATCGAGCAGGAGGCTGCGGAGACGTAGCAGATCCATATGACCTACAGTCTTCTGCACCAACTTACTGCATGAACAACGTTTTTGGCATAGGTATGCGAAGTGATGACAAAAAGGAACCAACGTAGAGCGCTCTAGCAGCGTGACAAGCCGCTGCAACTGATGGCTGACAGGACAAAAAGAAGCTCTCCATCAGGGAATCGAACCCTGGTCTCCCGCGCTTGACGAGATTTTACTCTTGACAAGCGGAAATCATGACCACTAGACCAATGAAGATAAACCAGCTTAGCTGGAATTGGTGTTTTGGATGTGCAAGACAGAATCATACACGGTACATATTGCTGCCGCTGTGCTTGTATTGATGGCCTTGAAAGAGCCGACGAGGATCGATGGAGCCAGGTATCTGGATTGAAGCAAAATGGCAGAGCAGGGCAGTATGGCACCAGATTGTCAGAGGCGACGGCGCCGCAGATGTAGTTGATGGAAAAGTAAAGGGAAAGTGGAGGAATAGCACGATGGCTGATGAAGCTTGATTGACGCACGACGGCAGTCGGTAAGGTAGTGGTGGTCGGAAGGTGACGGCCCCCGGAGAGACTTGGCGTGTTACGTCGTGGGGGAAGGAGCGAGGCAGCATCGCATGCGCCAAACAACCTGGACACGCACATCAGACAGACGTAGCAATCATGGAAGAAGATTCGCCCTGGGGTGGTAAGTGAGAGCCTAGTCAATCTGCTCGAAACTTGCTGAGTCAAGTACTGCAGACGTTCCGTCACGATCGCATTCCAACAGCAACCTGGCCGCCCAAGCTACTCAAGACGAGCCAACCACGTCGACGTCCAAGCCGACACCATCGACGACAGAAACAGACACTCCCGCCGCCTCGGACAACACTCGATCCAAAGTCAAGAGTCCGCCGTCCAAGACACGTCCGTCGCGCCGCTTCGGTACACAATCCACCACTCTCGAGGCCCTCGACGACTCGCTAGGCCCGCTGGGTCCTCTCGGCGATGTACCTGCTGAGACTGCTCCCATTGAAGAACGTCCTGCGCCGCCACAGAAGGAGCAGAATGCCCGCAATGCTCCGCCGACTGCTCTGATGGAGAGTACTACCCTCGACGACGACGGCACTTCGACCGTTTCAGGACGTGCTCCTCCCCCTGTTCAACCTGCTCCTACCGCCGATGCTCCTAAACGCCAGACACAGCCCAGCGTGAGCATTGAGCAAGCTGCCAAACCTTCCTTCGACATCAGCGTTGGCGACCCACACAAGGTCGGAGACTTGACCAGCTCGCATACAGTCTACCAGGTCCGCACAAAGACAACCAGCAAGGCTTACAGAACCCCCGAGTTTACCGTCTCACGCCGCTACCGTGATTTCTTATGGCTGTACAATCAACTGCACAACAACAACCCTGGAGTCGTGGTACCACCACCGCCAGAGAAGCAGGCCATGAATCGCTTCGACCAGAACTTTGTCGAGAGCCGCCGCGCCGCCCTTGAACGCATGCTCAACAAGTCAGCCGCTCATCCCGTCCTGCAGCATGATGGTGATCTCAAGTTGTTCCTTGAGAGCGAAGCCTTCAACGTCGACATCAAGCACAAGGAGCGCAAGGACGTCGGCTTGCCCGAGACAAAGTCGGGCGGCGGCATGCTGGGCGCCATTGGCCTGTCGGTCGGGTCCAGCACTAAGTTTGTCGAACACGACGACGTAAGTGCCGCATATTCTTCTTATATCGATGCCCTTCCTCCATCTCCCGCCCTCCCCGAACCCGTCGTCCCTAATTACCACACTTACACGATAATGTCGCAGTGGTTCCATGACCGTAAGATCTATCTTGATGCTCTTGAGACTCAGCTCAAGGCCCTTCTCAAATCTACCGACACTGTAGTCGCTCAGCGCAAATCGTTAGCCGAGAGTTGCCAGGACTTTTCTGCTTCACTGCACCAGCTTGCCTCTGTCGAGCTGTCGCCGGAGCTCTCTGCTCCGTTGGACGCCCTGTCTGACATACAGATGCGTATTCGTGACCTCAACGATCGTCAGGCCCAGCAGGATGTTTTGACTCTTGGTATTGTTATTGACGAATACATTCGCCTGATTGGCAGTATCAAAACGGCTTTCCAACAACGCCAGAAGGCCTACCACAACTGGCACACAGCCGAGGCTGCTCTGCAAAAGCTAAAGAACACACACGACAAGCTATTGCGAGCTGGTCGCACCCAGCAAGATCGCCTTTCTCAGATGCAAGCAGATGTTGCAGATGCCGAGCGACGTGTCCACCAAGCACGTTTGCTGTTCGAGGACATGGGTCGTTTGATGCGCAGCGAATTGGATCGCTTCGAGCGCGAGAAGGTTGACGACTTTAAGAGTGGTGTCGAGACCTTCCTTGAGTCTGCAATCGAGGCGCAAAAGGAACTCATTGAGCTCTGGGAAACATACCTGCTACAATTAGACGCCGATGACGACGAGTCGGCACCATACTTTGCCGCCGGCGTCAACGCCAGCGAGCGCAACACAGACCAGGAATCTTCGCAGAGAGATGCGACGGATGGTGGAGATGCACCTGCAGCTGGAGCTACCAGCGAGACGAGCAATACTGAGGAACAGCCCTCTGACCTTGCACCACCAGCCGCAGAAGTCGAGAGCGAAGCATAGACATGTTCAGGATATCATGTAGCAAAAGAGATATGTACTATGCATTCAGCCCCTCATTTCCGATGTTCGTCGTTTCCGAGCTATGCTTTCAACGAGTGATTTCGCGAAGACGTCCATGTAATACACTCGAAGATTGTGAGATGCTCATTTATTATCGGTGTGCGGGACACCCTGACACTATCAACCTACCTCTTCTCAGAGGCATGACAGGGTCGAAGACGTGTACTGCGGGTGTGGTTACTGTGGCAGAAGCTCTAATTGGGTCATTAAATGTATATCTAATCAGTTTGGTGTGTCTGAAGTCATTGCATGGTCGTTGTCGTTGAATCTCCCTTCGGCTTCGTAAGAGGTCATCGAGAAGCATGAGTATCTTCCGTGTCTTAAAAGCCAAACGACATCGGGTTACAAAGAGGCCATCCGAAGAGTCACCACGCAGAGAATAGCGAGATGTTCAGATTCAAACAGGAAAAAGATCGTACACCAGTGCCACGATAATAAAAAGACTTGGGAGTATGAGACAAGATGATATTTGGAAGATACCGTCCCTGGCCGTACCTAACGAGACCGCCGATAATATATGACCGTAAAACTCCTGTTAGACTGTGTGATAAAAGTCTCATGCTGCTAGAAACAGACTCGCAGAAAGCACTCCGCTCTTGCCATAGATGAAGAAAAAACGCCGATGCTCTGCAGAACCCCTTTCCGCGCCTGCCAGCCCCTGCATGAGATGAATCGTCCTGTTGTTGCCCATGTATGTTCCTGCCCCTTTCCCCTTCGTCCCGAGTTCGTTCAGATCGTTAATGTAGGTAGACGGTCAAAGAAAGAAGAAAAAAGAAAAAGAAAAAGAAAGGAAATCCGAGCCTCGTCAGACAGAGCACAAAACCTCATCGAATAACGTTCCATTCCTTGACGAGGCTTCCCTTGCCCGTGACGCTGTTTTCGTTCCTGCTGGCCTTGCCAACGCCACCGAACGCATCCCAGAAACGAAGTGTTTCGTCTCCAGCTCCAGTAACGATCACACTTCCATCAGGACTCATGCTGAGATAGAGTACACGATATGTGTGGCCTGTCAGACTGACCACTTGCGACATGGATGGGTACTTCCAAATGTTGATGGCGTGCTGAGAGAAACCATGGGTCGAGACGAGCTCTGATGTCAAAGTCGAGAAGAGAAGGTTACAGACCTGCGAGCCGGTGTCATGAGTACGCAGGAGATGAGGATTCTGAGGTGTCGAGGCCATTGGGTCGGGTGAGGCGTGGTGCGGCAATGCTGACAAGGTAGAGGATGTGAGGTCCAGATGTGCATGTGTCGAGTTTGCGCTTGTCAAAGCGGCGTTTGCAGAATGCTGAGCTGCAGAGACTGTATTCCAGAACTTGATGCAGCGATCGGCCGTACCTCCTCCACTAGCGAGCAAGCCACGTTGATGTGGGGACCATGCGATAGCCTTTACTGCAGCCTTGTGGCCTCCTTCTTGCTCGCCCCAGCGGTGCAACCAGCGGTCGCCTAGACCATCCCAGATGAAGATCTTGTTGTCGTTACCACCAGATGCCAGCTGATTCGTATCACTGTTCCAGCGCAGGCCGCACACTTCTTGCTTGTGACCCACGAGCTTTGTAAGGTATTGTTGAGGAGAGCGCACATCGCGATGAAGAATGGTACGATCGCGACTGCCTGTAGAAAGGATGTGAGCATTCCACGCAAGCGAAGAAACACGAGCCGAGTGGCCTATCATGGTTCTCAACCTCCGTTGCGTGACTGTATCGAAGATGAGGACATGTCCCCTGCCTGTGCCGACCGCGAGATGCGAGCCCTAAACATGTTAGCATCAGATAGATATACACGACAGTATCCCAGCAATACATACTCTTTGTATCCAACCGACACTGGTAACGGTATCGGCTGTCAACTTGCACAGCTGTTCGACCTTTCCAGATTCGCTATTCCATAGGTATACACTGTCGCCCAAACCGACGGCGAGGACACCGCTTGAGCCCCAGTCGACAAGATTGAGATAGAAATCATCGGCCAGTTCAGGGGCATCGAGGACTTTGTAAGGAACCTTACTGACAGCTCTGGGCGTTTTGCGCGGCGAGAGTAGCATAGACTGTGACGAATACTTGACGGGTGACAAACTGTATATGTCGGATCGGGCATTGATATTAGGCCCTCGCTCGGTACGCGAATGTGAGCGTGGGGTCAACGAAGGCGTAGGATGTGTAGATTTGTACGAGAAAAGGTTCTTGTGCGGCGTTGAGGGAGTAAGGTTGAAGTTGGCGGGAGGGGTCAGCGACCTGTCGTGCTGCGGGATGGACTGAGGTATCTCGTCGTTGAACATCTCTGAGCGAAGGATGGATGAATATGTTCGATTGGCTTCGTCGGTCTTCTGGACGTGGAGCTCATTGGCAGGCGGCTTCTTGATAGCTCGATGCGGCGTGGCAGGAGAGCCTTGGTCGTGTAGCAAATTGTAACTGGCGTGGAGGTCCTGGCCGGCTCTGTTGGGTATGAAGCGGTCTGTGTAAACGCGCTGCCTCTTGCGTTTGGGGCTTTCTCCCGGAGTGTGTTCCCTGTTCCGACTGGCTTCTTCAAACTGTTGGAGTGCTTTACTCAAGGCATCTGGGTCAACAGCCTCGGATGTCTTGCGCGAATTGGTTGATGTTGCATTCTTTTGGTTGGCGGTATTGTCGTTATCATTGTTGGCTCTTGCACGAGTATGCGTCACTGTTGGAGGAGTCTTGGTACCAGGAGGTGATGGAAGCTTGGGCGTGTGTACATGGTCGGAATCAGACTTTGCGCCAAACTTGGCCTCCAAACGAGCGGAGCGCATTGTTGTCGTGATGGTGAGAGATTGTCGTGGTGGTGGAGGCGGCGCCTCGGACGGAGATGGCGGAGGAAGCCCACTGGCGACACTAGATGGGCAGGCAAGGCGAGTTCAGCGATGGTCGGTGTAGCGATGGTGGCGACGATGCAATGCGACAGAGGGGTATGGATAGTGCGTCAAGCGACTAGTGATGGCGATATGTGTTTGGATTGACAGTTAGAGAGCGTTGGTCAAGGCCAGGGTGCTCTCCACTTGCAGCTTGTCAGCCTCCCAGTCGCTTCCTGGAGTCCGTGCGTCTGTATTGTTGTACAGGCACAATCGCGGGTTGGACGCGGATTGACCACAGGCTGAACGCAGCGTGAGCGCAGTCAAGTGAAGTATAGACAACTAGATGTCGAGTATTGCCCTCGATTGACTCGAGCCCACAATGTCTTGTGAGAGTCGATAACTTCCGCTCTAGAAAAAGTGAAGGAATGAAAGGCTCTACCGACTCTTAGCACCGTGGTTGCCAGGTGAATCGCCAAGGGTCTCGCACGCTTTCCCCAGTCCCCTTCCTCCGCGCAATCAAGCTGCATGCTGAGGCTTGAGCTTTCATTCACAATGTTTGGGAATAACTTATTGAATTCACCATCAGTCAATCTATTCAACATCTTTACAATTCTCCAATTCCATCATACTTTCCAACATCCATTCATCGTACTCATCATCGCTCAATCAACAAAAATCTTGCTTTCCAGCTCGCCGTAATGCTCAAAGAAGCTCTCAAATAGGTTGATCGAATACTCGACATCATAAGCTCCACCAGTCTCGCGGATGCTGTGCATCGAGAGTTGTGCGTTTCCAAGATCAAGGGTTCGGACACCAGTGTTGGCTGAAAGCATGGGACCAATTGTGCTTCCACACGGCATATCGTTGCGGACAACAAACATCTGCAGCGGCACTCCCTGGCCACTGCTGCGAACATCGCCGCTGCTCTTCTTTGCCCTCTTTGCAAGCTCCTGCAGAAGAACGATGCCAGGAGAGTTGGTTGCATAACGAACGTTGGCATTGATTTTGATAACCGTACCCTTGTTCATCTGTGGCTTGTGTTCACTCTCGTACTTGGCGCTGTAATTCGGGTTGACACTGTGAGCCATGTCTGCACTGATAAGGAAACTGCTCGACAGGGATTGCTCGAAAGCGGTGCTCATGTCGGCATCCTTGTGAGTCGGGTGATCGGTTCGATCGTACGAGCTGTCGCTCTCCGTTTCTTGCGAAGAGGGAAGTACGGACAGACGACGTAGTACTGACGGCAGGATGTTAGAGTCGGCGCCTTGAGCAGAGGTACTGCCAATCTCTTCGTGATCGAAGCATGCAATGAGGCGGATTGTGCTCTCGTCAGTAAGAGGTTTGCCTTCAGACGACGTAGAGTTGATCAAGCCCTGTACAGCACAATAGGTCATCATGAGGTTGTCCAAGCGAGCAGAAAAAATGAGCTCGTTGTTGAGACCTCCCAGGCATGACTTTTGCGTATCATATAGGACGATTTCGAAGTCAAGAATGTCTTCTGGCTTGACACCAGCTTCTTGAGCAAGGATCTCAACAACATATGGATGATGGCGTTCAGTCGCGTTCTTCAAAGGGTTGAAGTCGGCGCTGCCTGACTCCTGGTCTCCCGCCTTCTGGGCATCCTCGGATGGTTTGCCTTGCCTGTTTAGCTCGGCTTCGACCAAGCCCGCAATGGGGAAAAGTTGGTTTTCCTTGTTGAATTCGAAGGGAACCGAACCGCCGAAGTGTACAGCCAGGTTGGGAATACGACAGATTGGTCGGTCGACCTTGACCAGCTTTTGCTCCATTCCGCCGTCGGCGCGCTTGCACATGACACGACCAGCAAAACTAAGGTCACGGTCAAACCAGGTTGCCCAGTGGCCACCTCCATACGCCTCTACACCAATCTGGATGAAGCCTTCGGACTGACGTTTCGACACCGGCTTGAGTCGAAGACAACACGAGTCGGTGTGGGCACCGACCATAGCGATGGGGTTGCCAGGCTTCCATTTGTTGCCGATAGCGAAGGCGATGATGGTAGACGAATTGCGGGTCAGGTAGTACTTTCCGCCGGGAACGAGGGAGTGGGCCCAGGCGTCACGTTCCTTGATCTTGGTATAGCCAGCTGCCTCCAGTCTTTGTGAAGCAGTATACACGGCATGGAACGCTATTTGATGGTGTCAGTCTTTTCTATATGGCTTGCCATGCGGATTGGCGTACGGGTCGGAGAGGCGTTGACAAACTCGATGAAGTCCTCAGCCGGCTTGAGCGATGCTTTGTTGGCCATGGTTGTTATGCTTCTGTTGTAGTACTTGTTTGGACGGATAGCGAGAGGATATTTGATGTTCGGATGCGTGACAACTACAAAGAGTCGGCGTTTTGCAAAGGACATGGATAGGAGTCTTTGATTGCGATGATTCTGTGAGCTCCTTCCTCGAATGGAAGCTCGAAGCTTGGACCCGTCGAGAAACCCCAGATTCAGGGTCCATTTCAACAAGGTGATGAATGACTTAGAACCTACGTAGTACAAAACGAGCCAAAAATTGCAAGTGCCATGAAAACGCCCCCTCAGACGCCCGTGGTATATCCAGGATGACTTTTTGACAGATTGCCAGAAATCCAAACTCCTTATTCGATGCTCCGCCTCATTAATATTACATGACAAGACACTCCTTTTCTTTGCTCCCGCCGAGTTCTTTCGTTTTGGCCTTGCCCTTAGCCATGGGTATCCCTGAATCACCAGAAGCTGCCGCTCGGATAATATCAAGTCGTTGTTTGGCAGTCTCGTTGCCCTTGTCGGCAGCTCTAACGTACCACACGTTGGCTTCCAAGGGGTCACGACGACAACCAATACCCATCTCTGTGAAGTAACCCACGGCATACTCGGCCTTTGCAAGTCCTGCATATATCAGCATTGGTTCTCCAAGTATTCCAAGAACAAAACACTTACCCAATTCGGCAGCTTGCTTTGCCCATTCGTAAGCCTCAACCTCATCCTTTTCGAGTACGGGCTCGGCTCCAACCATATACCAGGCACATAACGCCATCATAGCTTCAGGCAATCCCTTTGAAGCTGCGCCATTGTAGAAGTGAACGCTCAACGCAGCATCCTTGGGACATCCGAACGTCCCGTTCTCGTACGCTTGTCCCATACGGTAGTTTGCTTCTGGATGACCCAACTCTGCTGATTTGGTCATCAGCTGGGCGGCGTATGCTTCATCCTTGAAAATATCCTCGCCGAAACCTGTAATGTGCAAAAGTCCAAGCTCGTAGGGACCGCTGTTGTATTGATAGTCGGCAGAGTCCGTAGCACGTTTAAGCCATTTGACACCCTCCCGATATCTGTTTACGAGCCCCATATCGCCAGTGAGACAAGCCTTGCCGAGTCTTATTGCTGCTCCTGGATGACCTTTTGACGCAGCAGCACGGAAGAACTGCACAGCCTTGGGGTAGTTTCTAGCGCAGCCCCATCCAAATTCGTAGCACAATGCGGCACGATATCCTGATTCTGCATGGCCATGCTTACTCGCCGCGACAAAAAGTGGCAGAGCCTTGTCATAATCTGGCTTGTCCTTGTTGAACAGCCCAGAGAAATAACCGTCGGCAAGATAATATTGCGCAAAAGGATAGGCGCGATCTGAGAGACGTTGGAGGATTCCGCGGGCTTCCTTGATCAACTCTGCAGCCGATTCCATGTCCTCAGCATTATCTCTGGCTGCATTGATCATGAAGATGGCAAATTCATACTGAATGCTGGGATCGTTAGTCTTCTTGACGTTTGCACGGTACATGTCGAGGGTTTTCTTGTTGTCAAGCAATGAAGCGTTGTTTCCAATGGCGGATTGAAGACTGGTGTTGTTCATAGTTGGAGCTGGCGCTACTTGCTGCGAATAGGGCACTTCGTTCAGCAAGTCGATATATGACATAGGTCTGGTGTCAGGCGAACGTCGGTTACCAGCATGATTCCGAGCATATACTCTAGGCGAGCCGCTTACAGACAGGCTGTCATCCGCAGATAGAGGCGAATATGTGCTTGCCCTAAGATCAGCGCCCAATGAGTTTTGCGAGACAGCACGGGGTCCTGCCGTCCTCGGTGGTTTGAGAGCTCCATTGCTCGAAGAAGAACCAACACTGTTCATAGTTGCTTGGGAGATGCGATTAGGATTATTCTTCTTGACAGGCGACTCATCCGGGGCCTGGTGGTGGTATTGTAGCATAGGCAGTGGTTCTGGTTCTGCTAGTTCAGCACCAGCACTAGCACTTGGAAGGTCGCTCAGCGAAAGTTGTCCTATAGAGTCGAGATGCTTGATAGAATTGAGATGTCTGATGGATGATTGCTGGGAAGCAGATCTGGAGTGAGAGAACGAGGAATGGTCGGCTTGATCAGATGAAGATCTGGACATGCCTGGTCGTGGCGAGCCTGAGGTGTCTGGACTCGAAGGTGCTTCTTGCATACGTATGGTTGGTCGTGCCATGCTACTCTTTCTGGGTGAGAATGAAGCCCGTCTCTGATCTTGCGCGCCATCGAAGTTCCCTCGCGAGGTCGGTGTGTGATTTCTTTGTACCTCTGCCATGATTGCGAAATAATGTGTGTATATATGCGCCTTGACACGCAATGCTTTTTTGTTGATTGTCTAAGCTCAAGCGAACCCACAGCTATGCTATGAATAATGAAGGAAGCACGAACAGTTGACAGCCGTGGGGTGTACTCGAATGAACAGGACTGGTGGCGTGAATATGGATATTCGTAATGATGGTAAATTTTTGGTCTATGCAGGTGTAAGCAGCAGCGATCTCGGAGGGGAGTAGATTGCACAGTTCTGTACCGGATTAAGAGTTATACAAATGGAACGAAGACAAGCTAGCTCTCGCTAGTAGAATGAAATGGGATGGATGGATGGATGGATGGATGTAAGAAATGGAAGCAGAGTCGAAACAGTGGAGGGGCTGACCGCGCGGTTGTAATCCAGGTCCGCGCTCCTTCCTCTCCGCTGCGCGTGCGCAAGCCCAGGTACGTCAATTGGGTATCGGCGACGCCGTTGTCGAGACAAAAAAGAGTGCACCCCTTTCTGTCAATGCATAAGCCAGTTCTGAATACAAATAAGTACACCGTACTGCTCCCACTTCCCACGTGTTTGCTCAAGATAGAAGATTTTCATCTCGTGCGCCAGCAGAGCCTCCACCAAGGGTCCAAGGGAAGCAAAGTTGAAAAAGCCATCCTTCCACATGCAGATGCCCCGAACCTTAACTCTGCAGAATTCCATTCTTAGAACTCGATGAGGACTGGGCCACGATGCAGCATTGTGTCTGTTGACCACATGCACACCTGCTTCTCTGCACCATAGCCACCTCGTAGTATACTGCACATAATACCTACCTTCAATACACGAGCGCCAACGGGAGAACGATCAGCCGTCTTCGGTCTCTCAAATCACCGCCATTCCGAATATTAACGCGAGGGATTGTCACCGTGCAGTTTCGACTCGTGTTGAAGCAGATCTCGTACCACATGATCAACCACAACCAAGCCAAGCACCTGACGATGTTCACTGGACCAAGGCTATTTAAGGAACACAAACAGGCGGAGGCAAATACGAGCTCGGCAATTTGTTGTTGTTGTCGTCAGGTATCCAACGGTCGCTGCTCCGACTACCATAAACTATGTCGATATGTGAGAGCAAAAAGCGAATAGAATATTGTCCAAAGACCAACGCCTGATCGGATTGAAGACGATGCAAGTGCGTGCTGCACAAAGCGCTCGGGATCTCTCCATTGACGCGGGGATGGGTGTGGCTTTGGGCAGATGAGACAAGTGGAAACAGGGGGAGACAAGCCTTCTTGCGTTAGCCTCTTTCCATGCATGGTCGAATCAACATGACCCATGGTGGTTCTTCTAGGTTCGCGCAGGTGTGAATTACGGCGCGAAGAGTCCTTGATACGTTCGTCTGGGATCAGACAAAAATTAGAGACGAGGCAGATGTTATTTGGGGATTCTTAAAAGGCAGAAACGGCTAGATCGACGACATGCAGGTCCGAAGGGGGCCACGCAGGCTGAAAAAGTATCGTCGACTCTAGCGTCAAAGGGGCCGGCTTCCGTGCCATCCATCCCATGACAACACAACCAAACTTCCGATGTTGCTGCATCCTGAGGCTTGACTTTTTTGCCTCTTACGATTCAGAGTCCTCCTCGGATTCCTGCCACACCTCCCTGTCTTTGTCTTGTTCTGTCCGGTAGAAAGCAGGCACTCGTTTCCAAAACACACGGAATTTTGTTCATCCAAACACTCGCTACGCCGCCACAACCTTCCCTCGTTCTTCTCCCTGAACACGCCCAAAAGCCCTACACGCTCTGCCACTGAGCAGTGGCACGACTTAATCACTCCCACGCATCTTGTTCTTGACGACCGACATCATGTCATCTAATTACCCTACATCGCCTAGACGCCGGGACTCGCGGTCGAGAGCGCACCGCGAATCAGACTCGCATCGGCGACGACCCTCTGATCTTGAGTCGCCTCGACCAATGCACCACCGCCGAACTAGCAGCCATTCCAAGCCCGAGCCGGAGCCGTATGTCTCTCGGATCGCATCCCCTGTTCCCCGAATCACATCGCCTTCGGACTACGAGCCCATGATGGGTGCTTCCGACCTGGGCCGTAAGAAGAGTCTGATTCGCCCCGAACGTACCAAGGTTGACAGAGACCACCCGCAATACCACTACCGCAAGCACGCTCAAAACATGGCAGTTATGCCCTCGACTACTGGTCACGATCCCATGTTGGAAGAAGCTGAGGCTGAGGCTGCAACTCTCAGTTCCGATGATATTGAGCTGAAGCAACTCAGTCAGAAAGGTCGTCCTGCAGATGTGCCCGTGCAGAGAAGCGAGAGCCGCAAATTGCAACGCAAGGCCACTGTCGAGGCTGCCGAGGAAAGGAAAAAGAGACAAAAGCAAGCTGGTGCTACTCCACCCACACTCTGGAGCACTTACTGCCATCTTATCACCTTCTGGTGTCCCAACCCTGTGCTCAAATGTTTCGGCATGCCTGAAAAGGCTCAGCAACAGGCCTGGAGGGAAAAGATGGGCCTGATCAGTATCATTCTTATGATTGCTGCCTTCGTTGGCTTCATCACCTTCGGGTTCACCGCAACAGTTTGTCCCGCTGGCTCATCATCACGCTTCCGTGTCAACAAGGTCGATTCCGGCTATATGATCTTTCATGGCAAAGCTTATGACTTGACAAGATCAAAGCATCCACAAGCTCGAGGCATACAGGCAGGTCAAAATGTACTTTGGGATCTCTCTATGCCATATGGAGGCAAGGACGGTAGCTTCATGTTTCAGAATGTCAACGGAGCTTGCAAGGGCCTCATCACTGCTGCTCAGGGCTCCGACGTCAAGACTGACAGTGATGGCAATCTGGCATGGTATTTCCCGTGCAACGCTTTCAACCAAGACGGATCGAGCGAACCAAACTTGACCATTCCCTACTATCTTGGCTACGCCTGCCATACTTCAAAGCTTGCCCGTACAAACTTCTACGACCTCAAGTCTGGAGGCGATGTTTACTTTACTTGGGACGACATCAAGAACTCAAGCCGCAACCTCATGGTGTATGGTGGCGATGTTCTTGATCTCAATCTCCTCCGATGGTTCAACACCTCTCAAGTTTCGTATCCCTCAAGATTCGACGAGATCCGTGAGAATGCTAACGTCAGAGGCACTGACATGAGTCTTGCATGGTCCTCGGGTCAAGACAAGAAGATTGCAAAGTGTTTCCAGGACATCATCAAAGTTGGTTCGATTGACACTGAAACCGTTGGCTGCATCGCCTCCAAGATCGTTCTTTACGTTGCACTTGTCTTCATTCTATCAATCGTCGTCGCCAAGTTCGTTCTTGCTCTCGCCTTCCAGTGGTTTCTTTGCCGCAGATACGCCGCCGACAAAACTGCTTTCAGTGGCGATGAGAAGAAGAGAAATCAGCAGATTGAGGAATGGGCGGACGACATCTACCGTCCAGCTCCTAAGATTGCTGATTCTGTCGCGAATAGCAGTGAGCGTGCCAACAAGAGAGGTAGTTTCCTTCCCACCACTTCCAGATTTACCAGTCCTTACGCCATTGAACGATCCATGGCGCGTTCACGCCCGGCATACACTACAATGGCAAGCCAGAGCTCAACTGCGCGCCTGATCCCTGGCGCGAGCGTGTACGGTCAACCCAATCGCAGCGAGAACACTTTACAAGAGAGCCGCGCAAGCCTCATGGTTCCTAATAGCAGCGAGAAGAGATATTCTAGCGTCGTGGAGTCTGACGGACCTGGTCCTCACGGGTTTATTCACGAAGCTGTTGTGCCTCAACCTCCTCCTGAGTGGCAGCCGTTCGGATTTCCCCTTGCACACGCTATCTGCTTGGTCACTGCTTATTCCGAAGGACCCGAAGGCATGCGCACTACTCTTGATTCTGTCGCCACAACCGAATACCCTAACAGCCACAAGCTGATCCTCGTGATTTGCGATGGTATCATCAAGGGCCATGGAGAGACCATGACAACCCCTGAGGTCGCTCTGAGCATGATGAAGGAGCACACCATCCTTCCTGATGAAGTCAAGCCTTACTCTTATGTTGCCGTGGCAAGTGGATCTAAACGACACAACATGGCCAAGATTTATTCTGGATTCTACGACTATGGCGAGGACTCCGTCATCCCGATTGAAAAGCAGGAACGCGTGCCCATGGTGATTATCGTCAAGTGTGGCACTCCAGAGGAAGCAACTCAAGCAAAGCCCGGTAACCGTGGTAAACGTGACAGTCAAATCATCCTCATGTCATTCTTGCAAAAGGTCATGTTTGACGAGCGTATGACTGAACTTGAATACGAATTTTTCAACGGTATCTGGAAGATCACTGGCATTTCCCCCGACTTCTATGAGATTGTTCTCATGGTTGACGCTGATACCAAAGTCTTCCCTGACAGTCTGACCCATATGATTAGCGCTATGGTGAAGGATCCCGAAATCATGGGTCTGTGTGGTGAAACCAAGATCGCCAACAAGAGAGCCAGTTGGGTGTCAATGATTCAAGTTTTCGAGTAAGTTGAACAATCAACTACGGCTTCAAGCCTTACTGACGAGTAACCCAGATATTTCATCTCACATCATCAGTCCAAATCCTTCGAGTCCGTTTTTGGTGGTGTCACCTGTCTTCCCGGATGTTTCTGCATGTACAGAATCAAGGCACCAAAGGGCGATCAAAACTACTGGGTGCCAATTTTGGCCAACCCCGACATTGTCGAGCATTATTCCGAAAATGTCGTCGACACCTTGCACAAGAAAAACTTGCTCCTTCTTGGTGAAGATCGTTATCTCTCAACTTTGATGCTGCGAACCTTCCCCAAGCGAAAGCAGGTCTTTGTTCCACAAGCTGTGTGCAAGACCACTGTCCCTGATGAGTTCAAGGTCCTTCTCTCTCAAAGAAGAAGATGGATCAACAGTACGGTCCACAACCTTATGGAGCTGGTCCTGGTCCGTGATCTTTGCGGCACTTTCTGCTTCAGTATGCAGTTCGTTGTCTTTGTCGAACTGGTTGGTACACTTGTCCTTCCAGCTGCCATTGCTTTCACTTTCTACGTTAGTAAGTATAATTATATGCCTTCCTTAACGGACCCGAATTAACCAAAGCGCAGTCGCTGTTGCCATCAAGGCTGCCGTTGAACATACGACGATTCCGGTCATGTCATTGGTGCTTTTAGCGCTGATTCTCGGTCTTCCTGGCGTTCTCATCATTTTGACAGCCCATCGCATCTCCTACGTTGCGTGGATGCTCATCTACCTCCTCTCCCTTCCAGTGTGGAACTTCATCCTTCCAACCTATGCTTATTGGAAGTTCGACGACTTCTCTTGGGGTGACACTCGCAAGACGGCTGGCGAGCAGACCAAGGGAGGTCATGACGATGCTGAGGGCGAATTTGACAGCAGTAAGATTACCATGAAGAGATGGGCTGATTTTGAGCATGAGCGACGCATGAAGACGGGTGGTACCAACTACAATTCGTCTGCACAGGGATCGTACCCTTATGAGTCTGGCTACGAATATTGAATTAGAAAAAGCGGTCAATCTCTGTCTGGATAAAATGGGCTAGCTTGTCTGATCTCGGCCTTCGCTTCTTGACGAAGGAGGAATAAGGAATGACAGTCGAGCCGGACTGCATGAATTGCATGATGAATATTAGCTCTTGGCGCCGGAACATGTTAACAATCAAGGAGTATCCAAATTTTTGAGCTATTTAATGAATACATGCGGTATCACGGCACATTTTGTTTGTGATTGGCTTGCTTCGGCTGGGGGGCGCAGGTGACAGACAAGATTCATGCAATGCTTGACGGAAAAGGGAAGATTCGGGATATACATCTTCAAGGCGCAGCCGATGGTTGCACTGCAGCAGACGATGAGACGACGTGACAACCACGCGAACGAGGCCTTGGCCTCCTGTCATATTCATCCTTAAGCCGTTGCACGAGGACTCGCTCGCTTCCGGAGCTGTCACTTTTACAGTTAGCGACGGCCCGCAGTGCGCCTGTCTTTGTTGCGCCAGACTCCAGAGTGCTTCCACTTTTTGATAACCAATCCGTCCTTGTTTTCGAGATTGAGTGCCCTCGTGGGATTGCGGCGACTGCGGGTCGTAGACCAGCCTGTCGCCACATATTCCTTTCCCCGTTTGATCACATCGCCAGCATTGCGCGACGTAGTCTATTTATCCTCTGCGACACGCAAGAGCGCAGTCACCGGCAGCTTTCTTGTCATCACCCGCCGTCACATCAAAACAAGAACGAAGTCACTGGCTAAGTCTTCTCACTGCCGAGCTTGGCGCCCGTAATTGCTGTCTGAAATACCGATTGGCCTCTTGAATCAATGGCGGAATCTTACCCTCGCGACCAACCTTCTTCGCACTCGCTGCGACACGGCTTGACAGCACAGGGTCTTCGTTTTGACAGCAGAATGATTCGGTCAAGACGGGGATCTGCTTTATCGTCTCTCAGCCAGACAGCACATCCTTGTGATGACTCTGCTAGCCACCTGCCCGGCCACCTCGAAGACCCTAATCAAGGCGGAGTTCCCTTGACGTGGTCCAACAGCGACTACTCTCTGGACCATGGCCGTTATAACCGCCAGTACATGCCATCGCATGAGCTGGCAGAGTCTTCATGGAATATCTCTGGAGGCGGCGTTGGTCTCGCAACTCAGGCCGACTTCTTTGAGAGCCGCCCGGACCAACAGTTCAGAGCCTACGACAGATCACTAGGACACTTTGTCAGCAATGAATTCCAGATAACACGGTACCAACACACAACCAATACCCCTCGAGCGCCGTATATTTCAGCGCCAGATGAATTATCAGGACATTTAGCTGTTGATATACACCCGACGCGCTCCTCGACACCATCAAACGTCTTTCCATCTTCGCCTACAGAGACCTCGAATATTCATCGGGATGTAGCACCTACCAACCCTTCAATCCAGTCTGTCCATGAGCTACACCACGACGCTTCTGCTTGGGTCGATTATGATGTTGCCGACTTCCTCAATCACTGGGACATCCAATATCACATGGGCGAGGCTGGACTTATGCATGTGGACGACGAGCGTAAAAGACATTGGCGACCCCTCAACAAAGTGCCCTTTAAGAACTACGATCTACAGGGCCTGAACTGGGCAGCATTCAACACGAGCAGGAGCCAGGCTCGACTGGCGCGAAAAATGCTCTATCCTCTTCATTATTCTTGGACCCCACCAGCCACCTATGACCAACACTCGGTGTGTCGACAACAACGCATGTATGCCTCGAGGGATTTCCATCCCCACCACAGGGCCAGCCACTCGCACGGTCAATTGCGAAATGTGCTCGCGGCGCGAAGTAGAAACGATGTCTTCTATGCATCCAAGAGCAGAGTCATGCACACTTCACTGAGCTGTCCCGCGTATACCGATGTCGTTCTGAATTTCAGCGGTGCATCGACGAATCCAAACCAAGCTGGAGACACTCATGTCACCACCATTGCCGTTTCACCTGCCACAGACTTTGATGGATATTGTTCGGACGCTGTACTAGTCACTGGTGGACTGGAGGGTGAGTATTCTCTACTCAACCTCAATTCGACACTAGGCGATCGTCCCATTGAAGGCTTTGTGACCGTCGCCGAGCAGAAGGAAACCACCCACGTCCATGTTCTCACCCACCGCCGCACGGGTGCTCTGGGCGCTGCCTTTTGCTCTAACGACAGCAAAGTCCGGATACTCGATGTGGGTACTAACTCCTGGTCCGCCGAGTTCGCATACGAGCACCAAATCAACTGTGCTGCAACATCACCAGACGGTCGACTCAGAATGATCGTTGGTGATACCTGCGAATCACTCATCACTGATGCCGAAAGGGGAAATGTGCTGTTTAGCATGCGACAGCATACAGGCTACGGATTTGCATGTGCTTGGGCTGCTGATGGCTGGCATGTGGCAACGGGCAGTGAGGACGGCAAGGTGGTTGTATACGATGCTCGGAGATGGGACATGCCATTGGCAGCTCTTGCATGCGAGATGAGCTGTGCTAGATCGCTGCATTTCACCACTTCGCATCGTGGAGGTGCATCGTTGGTCGTGGCCGAGTCTGATGACATTGTCAGTGTGTATGATGCGATGGATTGGCATGAGAAGCAGACGATCGACTTCTTTGGTTCGGTGGTCGGAGCAGCATCAGTCGAAGATGGACAAGAGTTGATCGTTGCCAATGGTGACCAGACGGTCGGCGGGTTGATGGTGTTCGAGAGGAGGCCCTACATACCCGATGAGCTGGATGATTTTGACCATTCCACAGGAGTCCATTATCCGAGTGGGCAAGGACTGAATTTTGACGATTTGATGTTGTAAGGTATAAGGCACGGGAAATGATAGTCACGAAGAAATGTATTACGCAGAACGATCTATGCAGGAATGAGAGAGTGTCTATGCACACAACCTCGATCTCTATCTCTTCTCCATGCTCCTTCTTCCTTCCTCTTTCTTGCCAAACCCTCCGAAACTGCTAACATCGCGACGGAAGAACTTGCCAATATTCTTGAGATTTTCGTTGATACTAGCATGGGCGCTTTCAGCGTTCAAACCTAGAGCACCCATCGGTGGCGGGCTGGTAGCTCTGCTGGCGTTTGTGGCCGATGCTGTACCACCAAGAGCTGGCGAACCGAACCGGTCAACGCCATCACGAGCCGCGTTCATGAGAGCAGAACCAAATGTTGAAGGATCGAAACGGGTAGTCGTTCCCGCTAAAGCTGGTGCGGAGTGCGAGGCGGCGCTGTCCTTCAGAGCAGCGATACCTGGCACGGTAGCACCTGCCGCTTGCAGTGAAATGTTGGCGATCAAGGGATTGGACGGCTGCAGCGCTTCATTTGCTGGCGATGCCTTATGTGCATTGAACAGTTCTGTCAAATGAGCTTGGTCTTGTTTACGCGTGATGCCTTTGAGCTCGAGTATCTTGCGGAAGTTTGGCTCGGAGCGATCTTGCATGTGTATCAAATATGCCTGGACCAGTCCTTCGGGCGGCGATGCACGCACTTGTAGCGTTTTCAACAAGGGATCCAGCTTGGCCATGCTTTGGTTGACTCGTTTGACGAAATTGGGGTTTGGTGTGGTACCTGCTTCGGCATTCACTGTAGACAGCTCGGTGAACGCCTTTTTCAAGACGTAAGAGTCGAGCAACATCTGCTCGGCACCCGTCTCCGATATGGGTCGACAGACCACCAAGTTAGTTAGGATAGAATTAGCAAGAGCATCGACCAAGTTATCACAGAATGCCCGAGCGTAGTGTTGCTTTTGCAAGTAATTGAGCACCTCGGAAGTTTTCTCCTTGACGCGCTGCACCAATGGAGCGACATACGGACTTTGGTCACCGACGTTGTCCATTTTACTCCACGGAACATTGCGCATCTCTCTCCAGGGCGCGTCGCAGTCGAGTTCCACTCTCCTCACCAAGGCTTTGACAGAGGCTGACGCAATGCCCATGAAAGAGTCGGCTTGAGACTGCAAATCGACCTGAGCGCGCAAGTCAGAGTCCACACGCGACTTTATGCGTTCCTCAAGTTGGTTGGTAGTCTGATAGCAGTAATCTGCAGTATTCAGAACAGTGACTATGTCTTCGACGGATGTTGAACGTTCAGATAACGCATGGAACAAGACTTGCTGACAGTAGACGTCCAGATATTTGGCAAATGTTTTTGACAAATCCAGGAGTCGGGAACCGGTTGACAATTTTGCACATTGTGCAAATGTAATGCGGTAAGAGTGGAAGAGCTCAGTGGAAGAGGGCATGACAGTATGGGCATGGAATTCGTCTTCCTCATTCCGGATAGGTTGCTGGCGGTATTTTGGAATAAGCAGAGCTAGCTGTTTGTCTTGAGACTCAACCCATATACTGAGATATGGTTCGAAAGCCTCGGAGATGGCTTGGCTGAAAGCGCGAGGCTTGTCGTCAAGTGTATCCAGCGAAGAACGTGACTCGGTAGAAGAGAAACGACGCTCGAGAGAATGCTCGAAGTCCAATGTCTCTTGCAAGCATGAGAGCAGTAGGTTGACATCTGGTGGCTGGCCGTCTGCACGGCGCATGGATCGTTGTAAGATCTGTTTGTAATCCTCACGAGTAGTTTCGCAAAAGGCATTTGCCAGCATCTCATCAACACGCCAGGACGGAGGGAACAAGGAAGCATGGTCGGAGTCATGTGTTTTGAGCATACGGTTGAACCACGAATAACGGCGGGATATGTTATCGAGCGAGGCAGCCTCATCTGACGAACGAAAGACTTGACGATACTCACGCAACATGGTGTTACAGTACCAAGTAGTCAGACGAGCACGGGCATGGTCACCAAGAGCATCCATGACATGACAGGCATCGGCCAGCATGTTGCGACTGGAAGGCACGGATTCTCTAGCAAAGGCGAGTTCGAAATCTTCGCAGATCTGGTCCAGCAGCTGACGTTGCAGGTCAGCAACATTCTGGCTGAGCTGAGCAATCTGATTTATGCTGCGGTATGTCTTGAAGTGGGCCATGAGCTGGACGACAGCAGAGACCAGGTGAGCACAGTCACGGTACTGACGGGTCGAAGCAAGCAGGCGCAGTTGCTCGTATGCCGTCGTCAACATCTGCAAACGCTTGAGAGCAGTCATGGACAGTGTCAGGTTCCTCTTAGTCTGGTCGAGGCGCTTGATGTCGGCCGTCATGTCGGTGATGGCTCTCTCGGTGTCCAAGGCTCTTGCGCGGACTCGGTCGATGCGGCCAAAGACGTCGCCCAGCTCTTCCTTTGCTTGCGTGATGCGTCTCACACTGTCGGCATCGCTCTCTGCTTGTCGCGCAACCATGCGACGCATGTGCTGGTCGAGGTCATTCTGTTGTTTATGTAGCTGCTGAGACACAGCAGCAGCTTGATCCAGTGTCGATGGATGGCCAAAGAGGGCGTTCAGATGCGTGATCGGATCATACTCGACTGTGCAATCTAGTCAGTTCTTCTCATGGCAGTCAGCAGCGATCGAAACGTACTGGCGTCCATGTCGATGGATTGCTCTTGGTACAGTTAGCGGCTCGCAGCCCCATCCCCATGGTCGGCCACGTCTTGCCCGAGCCCGCCGGTGTCGCGCTTGCAACTACCGAGTGCTCGTACCTATACCACCAGCTGTCTTGTTTCTCCTCTGATCCTGTTCTGACACTTTCTACTTTGAACGTTCCTTCACCATGGCCTCTCCTGCTCTTCGTAATGTTGCCTCGCAATGCCGCAAGGTAAGCTTTTCATCCAGCAACAATCAATTCAAATACACTCCATATAGCCCTTATCTCTGTCGTAATCACGGCAATAATATATTTGACCATGCTGACATTGCGTTAAAGATCATGTGCATTGGTCGTAACTACATGGTATGCATCTTCCAAACATTGACTCTGCTAATCCACATTTCGCCGAGTCAGTATGGTAGCCCCGCTGACTGACCAAAGGACCACATCACCGAGTTGGGCAACAAGAAACCCGCGAACCCTTTCTTCTTCCTGAAGCCCCCGTCATCCATCCTTCTCAAGGGTGATGGTCCTGTTTTGCGTCCTAGAGGTGTCAATGTTCACTATGAGGTCGAGCTAGGTCTTGTCATGGGCCGCAAGGTCAGAGATCTCGACCCCAACGACACCCAAGCTGCTTTGGACTCCATTGAAAGTTACCTTCTCACCATTGACATGACCGGCCGCAATGTTCAGGAGGAAGCAAAGAAGAAGGGCCTTCCTTGGAGCATCGCAAAGGGCTTCGACACCTTCCTCCCAATCGCCGGTCCTATTGCCAAGTCCAAGATCCCTGATCCTCACAACATCGAGTTGTTTTTGAGCGTCAATGGCGAGATGAAGCAGAACGACAACACCAACCTCATGCTCTTCCAGATCCCCAGACAACTGGCAGACATCAGCAAGGTCATGACTCTTGAGAAGGGCGACATCATCTTGACTGGTACCCCCAAGGGTGTGGGCTCCGTCCAGACAGGCGATGTCATCAGAGCTGGTATGCGTGTTGATGGCAAGGAAATCGAGGAAGCTAGCATTGAGGTCGAGGTCAAGGATCGTGAGGGTCCTTACGAGTTCAGCGAGACTTGAAAAGCTAGACTATTGTACATGTTCCCTCCCCTCATAGTCCCACGGAAGCCAAATCATCGTGCATTGACAATCACTCCTCGCTCACTATCTTGCTGTTCACCACTCCAGATCCGAAGGAGTAGGCTTGAACGGGATAGTTATGTCTCCAGGACGTCTTTTCGGCAGAACAAAACTTGGGCGTCTCTGCAGGGATGGCTCTCGTTCAGATGGCATCTTCTCCTTGGTCGCTCCTTCTCTGACTTGCTCCACTACAGACGTAACTGTAGTATCGTTACCGGCGTCTGCTGCTTGGTCCTTATCTTCATGGTTGACATGCTGGTCGACGAGGTTGTTTGTATCTTTGACGGGGTTGTTCATTGCTTTAGCCAACGCATCGATCCTGAGGTTAAGCTTTTGCACGTCCAGCTCTGGGACCTTGGTTTGGCATTGTTCAAGCACGTCGAGCCTCTGTTCAAGGGTCTGCCACTGGTTGACAGCTGCAGAAGCCTCTGGTTGACTGTCGTTGGCTCCACGAAGCGCATCAAGAGACTTTTCGAGTTCGTCGAGCCGCTTCAGTATCTCCTTCTCCCGCTCAAAATCTTCCCTTCTGCGCTCAGTGGCCGTGACTTGCTTCGTCTCGAGCTCCAAAAGAAGCTGCTGGATTTGTTCTCTTTGCTTTTGGTCGGCAGATGATTGACTCTTGATCTTGTCCAGATCGACTTGTTGTCTTTTGACTTGCTCGAGAAGATGGCGGCTTTCTCTCTGCATCTGATGATACCAAAGTAGCTCGCGAGGCGCTTCGGAGACAGGGAGCATGTTGTGTGTGAGATTGGGAGGGATTATGAAAAAACTTGTATGGGTGGGTGTGTGCAATTGGAAGGTTTGTAAGTGTGGACACTTGAGAAATGGCAATTGCAATTGTTATATTTGCAAGACAGAAAGGAAAGAGAGGTCGTAACTCTCTATCGTCCATAATAAGAGAGATCCGCAGGTGTGGTGGGTGTGGACGCACCTTCCTTGCAAACGTCCTTAACGAGGCAGACGCGACAGCAAGCTCAATCACATGCAAACAAAGGCTAGGTAGCGTTCAGTTGAAAAGGATAACATTCTTTTGGAAAAAAGAGACAAGAAACTCGCCCCAACCTAGCATCTAGAATAGGGCATGTATTCGCATTTTGAAAAACTTCAACCATAAAGACAAACGCCCAAATGCATGAGAAGTGGGATCCGTCCCAGCCATGGTATCACATTCTAGGTAAGACCAGCCGTAGATCCCTCGTTAAACATTGACCTGCTGCAGACATGCACTGCTGCAGTTCCTTTCTTGTTTTTGACTTGAAATTCGTTTAGATAAGGTCTACGCGTCGTGTTAGCCTGTCACTTTCTCAAGTAGGGTCGGTCATATTCAACATACCAGCAACGTTCATGGGCATCTCCTCGATCTGAGTGCTGTAGAACTGCTCAATCTCTCTCATCATGCGCACATCATCAGCGGTAACGAAGTTGATGGCAACACCCTTACGACCGAAACGACCACCACGACCGATACGGTGGATGTAGTTCTCGCGGTTGGCGGGAAGGTCGTAGTTGATGACCAGCGAAACCTGTTGGACATCGATACCACGGGCCAAAAGGTCAGTGGCGATCAGGACACGAGAAGAACCGGAACGGAACTCCTTCATGATAACATCACGCTGGGCCTGGTCCATGTCACCGTGCATGGCAGAGACGGTGAAGTCACGGGCAGTCAGCTTGTCGGTGAGCCAGTCGACCTTTCTGCGGGTGTTGCAGAAGATAACGGCCTGGGTAATAGTGACGGTCTCGTACAAGTCGGAAAGGGTGTCGAGCTTCCACTCCTCCTTCTCGACGGCGATGTAGAACTGCTTGATACCTTCGAGGGTAAGCTCGTCCTTCTTGACGAGGATACGGACGGGGTCGCGCATGAACTTGGTGGTGACCTCGAGGACGTCCTGGGGCATGGTGGCAGAGAGGAGGACAACCTGGGTAGACTGGGGAAGAAGCTGGAAGATGTCGTAGATCTGCTCGGTGAAACCGCGAGACAGCATCTCATCGGCCTCGTCGAGGACGAACATCTTCATGGAGTCGGTCTTGAGGACGCGACGCTGGATCATGTCGTGGACACGGCCGGGGGTACCGACAACGACCTGAGGGCCGTCCTGGAGGGCCTTCATGTCATCGCGAACGCTGGTACCACCGATACAGGCGTGGCACTCGACGTTCATGAAGTCACCAATGGCGACAACAACCTTCTGGATCTGCTGGGCAAGCTCGCGAGTGGGGGCGAGGATCAGAGCCTGGCAAGCCTTGACGTTGGGGTCGAGCTTCTGGAGGACCGAGATGGAGAAAGTGGCGGTCTTGCCAGTACCGGACTGGGCCTGGGCAATGACATCGTGACCTGGAGGACAAAGAGTGAGTTGGGCGAAGGAGCAAACGGGATGCTCGGACAAAGCTTACCCTTGATGACGGGCATGATGGCGCGCTGCTGGATAGCAGAGGGGCGCTCGAAACCGTAGGCGTAGACACCACGGAGGAGCTCAGCCTTGAGGTTCATGGCATCGAAGGAGTCGGTGGTCTCATCGTAGTTGGACTCGATCTGTCCTGCAGCGCGAAATCTAGTCAGCGCAGGTCATTCCAGAGAGGGCAAAAAAAGTCGTGGCAGATTCTGTCGGCGCAGGGATTCGGATGTGCAAGGCGAGGGTGTGCGCGACGGCGAACAAGATAGACGTACCCTCGGGGACCTCTTCAAGACCGGAAGCCATGATTGCGGTTTGGGGTTGTTTGTGGGTGGACGGTGGATAGAAGCTGGATCGGAGGGCGAAAGGGCGCCGCTAAGTATTTCAAGGGGGACTAGAAACCAAAACTCTCGAGAAGGAGAGCGTGCAAGGATATCTAGTTTGTTGGGAGTGATGAAAATGGCTGGAGGAAAAGAGGGGCGCGCACGAATATAATGAACACCAGATTTTTTCGTCGTGCTGCCGGTGCACGGACCTCGCCTGCCTCTCGCCTGCAACATCATCCGTTGTGCTCACTGGAGACAGTCATTTTTTTCTTGTGAGTGTCTGCCTCTGGCCACTGGCAGCCCGCGGATTCCTCAACTCTCACTCGAAGGATTTGGTCAGGTTTTCCGTACTTTGAAATCATTGGATCCGGCGTCATCATCTTTCAATTATGACTCCTCCGGCCGCGCTGGTAGACCAGGATTCTGAACATAGACCGCTTAAAAAGCAGAGGCTCGATCCCGAAGCCGACAAGACAGCCAATCCCGACCAGTCTGCTACCATCTGGCGCCATCCTCTAGGGATTCGTCCTTCTGGAAATGCCTTTACCGCTACTACTAATCTGAAAGCTGCAATTGGAACATTTGCTCTGCTGCCTGATGAACTTCTGACTCAGTTTCTGGAATACCTTGATGCACAAGACTTGCTCCGATTGGGCGCCACTTGCCGTGCTCTACATGCCTTTACTAGATCAGAGGAGCTTTGGAAAGCTCTCTTTATAGAGTATGTTGATACGTATATAGTCTTTGCTACACGTTCATCTAACGGCCACTCAAGATCGCAACCCGAGAACTTCAACTGGCGTGGTACATGGAGATCGACCGTCTTGTCTCAACCACGTTCCCAAGAACCTGATGTCGATTGTAGCAACCTCTTTTCTGATGCCCTTCATCGACCATATTTCTGTGCTCACGTGCCCTTGGAGCCCTTTGTATCCAACATCCCTACCCGCAATCAAATCCACCGTTTGACCTCGTTGACCTTTGATGAGTTCACCGAATCCTTCACCAACAAGCCCTTCATCATATCTGAGCCCACCAAGCGCTGGCCTGTGTTTGGATCCTGGTCTGCTAAATCGTTGCTCAAACAGTACTCCAAGGTCAAGTTCAGAGCAGAAGCAGTGGATTGGCCCTTCGACGTCTATGTTGACTACATGAAGGACAACCACGACGAGAGCCCTCTGTATCTCTTCGACCGCTCTTTTGCAGAAAAGATGAACATCCAAGTAGCTGACAGCTCTGCTGCTCACTTGTACGATGGCACTTCTTCTGATTCGCCGGGCACAGAAGATGATCGAAAAGTAGCATACTGGGCACCTTCCTTTTTCGGTCCTGATCTCTTCAGCGTCCTTGGTGCTCAACGACCCGATCATCGCTGGTTGATTATCGGTCCGTCTCGCAGTGGCTCAACTTTCCACAAAGACCCTAATGCGACTTGCGCATGGAACGCGGTCTTGACTGGTCGCAAGTACTGGATCATGTTCCCTTCGTCCTCGTCCCTTCCACCACCACCCGGTGTCTTTGTGTCGGCCGATCAAAGCGAGGTGACATCCCCACTAAGTATTGCCGAATGGTTACTTGGATTCCACGCCGAGGCTCGCCGCACGGAAGGCTGTATCGAAGGTATCTGCGAGGCCGGTGAACTACTGTACGTACCTGCTGGCTGGTACCACCTGGTCGTCAATCTCGAAGACTCGATTGCGTTGACTCAAAATTTCGTACCGCGTCAAAGACTTGCATCGGTGTTGCACTTCCTCAGAGACAAGCCTGATCAAGTCAGTGGGTTTGCTAAAGATGTGGAAGACCCATACCGACTCTTCCTCGCAAAGCTCAGAGAACAGGAGCCAGAAGCTCTGGAAGAGGCACTGCCCAGATTAGAGAAAATGAGCAAGGGTCCGAAAGGCAAGTGGGCAGAGCTCACGAAGACGACTGAAGATGTCGGCAATGAAGGTGGCTTCTCTTTCGGCTTTGGGGGAGACGACGATGAAGAGGTGCCGTAGTATTCTCAGCTGGAAGATACCGAACATCCGCCCATATAGCGATTGCCTCAATCAGCTGCCCGTCTTGAACACAATCTTAGAGATACACAGTTTGGCACAAAAAAGACTCACAAGACGCATTTCTTCACGACACTTGAGCAATCGTGCGAGGTCTCTAGCAGCATCGTGGATGTACAAACAGTAGATACGAAAGATGAGACTAAACGTAGTGACGAGTTTCATATTCAGGATGTTCTAGTCAATACATAATATCGTTGTGGCCGAGCCGAACTCGCCTCTAGTATTGCTCATCAGGACAGTCGAATGCTAGATGGCCATCTTTTTCACAAAGCGCACACCATTTGTCAGCGTCGATCGCTGCTGTGGGTGCGTCGTGAGTTTCCTTGCTCTGCTCTGCACCATTGTTGCTGTTGTTACTCAAGGTCTTTCTCAATGATAGCGGCGCAGGCGCCTCGAGCTTGTCGTTATACTTGTCTTTGGTAGGTGCAGACACATTCAGGTGCCGCATATGGTTAGACAGTTCATCTTCTAATTCATTATGCTCCGTCTCACGATCAGGGCCGTCGTGCACTCCGTTGCCATTGGCGCCTTCAACGTTCGGGCAGGTCAAGATGTCATGTCCAGGTGTGTCGCATACTTCGCACCGCGTTCTCTGTTCGTCCTTTCTTGGCGATCTGTAACGTGTAGGAGATCTGGTGGCTTCAGGCGACTTCGACAACTGTTGACGCGACATTCCCTCTGCAGCTGCTTCGGTGTTCATGATGCTGTCCCTCTCTTGCTCCGCTGCTCGCCTTAATTGCTCGACTGCGCGCTCCAATTCCTCTTCTCTGAATGCCTTTCGATCGATCAGTCCCTGGAGCTCCGATTTCTCACGCTCGAGTTGTTGCACAGTCGCTTGGGTCCTCTTCAGCTCCTCAGGATCAGCAAAACGTCCAGATGCTGGGCTCTGCCGTGCCATAGGACTTGCATCCGGTCCAGAACTGAGAGAGTGTATGATGGCTTTGAGACCTCTGATCTCATCATCCTTCAATTCGACATCCTTGTCTCTAGAAGTTTGACCTTCTGCCTCTTTGGCTCCTTGTAGTGCTTTGGCAGCCTTTTCTCTCTCACGTCTTAGCTCACTACGTCCTCTTTCGACTTCTCCCCTCAAAAACTCAACCTCTCCTCGAGCTTCTGCTTCACCACGACGAGCATCTTCCAGACCTTCCTCGAGCTCGGCAACAAGCTCTTCCAGGCCCTTAAGCTGGCGAGCAACATTTTCGACGTCTTCACGGCTGTGGCCGAGCTCGCGCAATTCTTGTATTTCAGCAAGTAGATCGGCGATCTTTGCCTCGTAGACCCGTTCGGTTTCGGCTGATGCAAGCTCCAAGGTATCTATCGTACTGCGGAAATCGGCACGGTGAGCATCGAATTCGTCGATGAGAGACTGAATCTTGTCGTCTCTGTCGTGTACAGCTTGACGCAACTCGAATATGTCAGAGCTGCCTTCGGCATCACGGTCGTTACCATCGGCAGGTATCAGCTCTTGAATTTCTTTCAGGCTAGCCTCCATTTCGGCAAGTGATCCAGCCTGTTCTTGCAGTTGTCTGTCTTTCTCTTCCAATTGAGCCAACAGTTTCTGAACCTCGCCTTCTTGGTCCACAACGATCTGTCGTGACGGAGAGCGTCTAGCAATCGAGGCGGCAGAGCTAGTGGATGGACGTTGAGTGTCTGTGCGAGTTCCTGCACGAGAGCCAGTGCGTGAATATGGGCGCGAAGGGGCGGCTGAGCGGCTAGCTGCACGAGGAGTCGTAGTCAATGGCGGTGCTGGGCTCGAGGTGAAGCGTGGAGGAACAGCAGATCTCTGGCTCATGGAAAAGTTGCGAGCCGGAGTGGGAGCCAGGTTGGGTTGTTTGCGGAAGGGAGATTCTGGGCGAGGCAGCGATGGCCGGCGGGACTTGAGTTTCGAGAGAGGACTGGGAGGACGGGCACCAGGGCCCATGGACTGAGAAAACTTGGGCATAGCAGCTGTGGGAGGCGTGTACGAGTCCAGGCGGTAGTGTGAAGGTGTAGTAGGGGTGCCAGGATGTGCTGGACGAGGGCGCGCGGGCGATTGGCGCTTCTCTGCACGATGAACGGGCAAGAAGATGCCTGCACCAGGAATATCGGTATCGAAGTAGCGAATGCCATCGACGTCGCCATCGTTCTTTCCTCTGGCAGCAAATTCACTAGCCAGTTCAACACCGATGAATTTTCCCTGCTTGCCCCTGACAGGGCCGACGAACTTGACAGTGCCATACATGTCGCCCGGCACATTAACCAGATCGCCCAAGATGACGGGAGAGTCGGCCATTGTTGCTGTGGATGCAGGTGATCGAGGAGTGTTTCCAGTCAAGGCGTTCAAGGAAGCTTCGCGATGTGCTTGGGCTTTTGAGGAGTGCATTGGCGAGTTGGACGGCCGCACTCGCTGCCGTGGTGTTGACATGCTTTCAGAGACCAAGCGGGACAAGACGAGAGAATATAAACAATTCCCTTACCGCCGCAAACCCAGTTGCAAGACAAGATGCAAGACAAAAACAAAGACACGTCAGGCCGTCATCAGTGCTCAATTACCCATGCAACTACATGGCACTTGCGACCCGGAGCTGCCCAATCACCTCATCTCATCATTCTCATCTTATTATTACTTACAAAAGGGGCCAGCAAGCCTGACTGAGCATTGCACTTGTGCAGCCTCCAGGACCTGACATTCTACATGCACGAAAAGAAATCGGTGCTGTGCTCTTTTCGTTCTCAATGTTTACAACTAAACAGACAACCGTATTCTGACATGGCTCGGCATGATGAGGGCATAAATCGTGACTTGGAATCAATCGTACCGAGGTTGCTCGGTCCCATTCCATACCCCACGCTCCAAAGGCTCTCTCTTCTGGGGATATTTCACATTGATCTAGCTACCACTTTATCTACTCAACTTTCTTATTGCGCTAGAAACTAGTGTCTCTCGTGTCTTTCATTCTATCCCATCAAGCCTTGCAATGGCGGGCCCAATTCGGCAACCTATAGACATCAAGTCGCTCGAAAGGTACCTGGAGAGACAGGTCCCGGAAATCAAGACACCACTTGATGTCAAGCAGGTAAACCATCATGTCTGACTCGACACCTGTTCATGCTGTTAAGCCCAGTGCATAGTTTGGTTATGGTCAATCTAATCCCACCTATCTCTTGACGTCCTCGGACAAGCAGAAATACGTCTTACGCAAGAAGCCTCCTGGCAAGTTGCTATCAAAAACCGCACATAAAGTCGAACGAGAGTATAGAATTCTGCATGCTCTCGAGAAAACAGATGTCCCTGTTCCCAAGACTTTTTGCTTGTGCGAGGACGATGCTGTTATCGGCACAGCTTTCTACATCATGGAGTTCCTGGACGGCAGGATCATCGAAGATCCATCTCTGCCGGATGTCAGTCCCGAGCATAGGAACGAGATGTGGCGGGCTGCAATAACAACCCTGGCCAAGTTCCATCGCGTAGCTCCAGCTTCAGTAAACCTCGCATCTTACGGAAAGGCAAATGGCTTCTATGATCGTCAACTTGCGACATTCAATACAATCCAGGATGCCCAAGCCAAGGCTGTTGACGTGGAATCGAAGGAGCCTGTGGGAAAGATCCAACATTTCGACGAGATGGTTGCTTTCTTTGGCAACAAAGGCAGCCAACCTCAAGATCGCAGCACCTTCGTCCATGGTGACTACAAGATTGACAATGTGGTCTTCCACAAAACAGAGCCAAGGGTTATAGGAATCTTGGAGTAAGTTGATTTAGACTCAGTTTCCACCAGCGACTAACGAGTGCAGCTGGGAGATGTCAACAATAGGCCATCCTCTGTCCGACTTGAGCAATCTGCTCTCTCCATTTACTCTCGCAGATTCTCCCATTGCCCGATCAATCGGAAGAGGAAGTGAAATATTCCTCCCTGGCAACACGCCTGGCCTCCCGACAAAGCAACAGTGTATTGAATGGTACAGAGAAGTAGCCGGGTGGGACCCGCGCCCCGACGTGACATGGGGTGAAGCATTTGGAGTTTATCGGAACTGTATCATCATGCAAGGCATTGCAGCGAGATATGCCCTGCGCCAGGCAAGTAGTGCTCGGGCACAGCAGTACGCAGCACAAATGGGGCCCTTTGCCACAGTCGGTTGGGAGCTGGTTCAGCAATGTCAGAAGGAACGAAGCAAGCAGGGCAGCAAGGCTAAGCTGTAACATAGATAATGAGTCTGTATGTCATTGCTGCAGTTCCGCTTTACTTGAAGCCGATTGACGAAAATCTGTCCAACGTCAGCAGTAGTGCGTGGCACAATCAGGCGACGCATACGAAAAGGCCGGATCAGCCAGTTGCTCAGAAGATGACTGCGGGTATTCTTGAAGCATGCCTATGCACCGCAAAAATTGACCAGAGCAAGATACTCTAGTTGTCACGAACGTCTCACGTGTACTCAAATTTCAGGCTGCGGAACATAACGGAGAAACAGTATTTTGATTCAGTGAATCAAGGCGTCGCTGGTCGGTACGCTCTTGAGGAAGGCCATGATAATTCCTTGATACGGATGTGACGCGCCTTCTCGGACAAAGACAAGGACTCGATGTGATGGTCCAGTCATTTCGAGCAATTTTGATGTCGACTAGGGCGACGGAAGGTTGCGACGTGATGGCGGAGGGTTGTGGGAGGGCTCGAATCACTGTCGTGGCTTGCAAATGGGTATGCGCAAAGGGATGTGCTCATCGTCGGTCGTGTTCGTCCATGCGTTCCAGCGCTTCCAACATAACAACCGAATTTCCGCGGATTACCTAGAGAGGGTCAATAAGGTGTGACAAGGTCCAGAGATGGAGTGATGGGCGTACGACTTGGCCGATTCTGACCTTCTCGCCGCCAGCTTTCTCCTCGACAGCATCATCCAAGACGATGTTCAAGAAGACCTGAGACTCATCAGTATCAGAAGCGCAATATAAGCGAGCGACAAGAGACGCACATCGTAACCGCGAAGGACACCAATGACCTTGCGACTGCCGTTGAGCTGTACAAACAGGCGGCGGTCGAGGTACTGCAGAGTGATTAGCTCGGGCGCAGAACGAGGAGTGCAAAGCTGAGTACCTTCTTCAACTCTGGCTGTGCTTGAGGCATGATTGCGCTTGAGGTCGACGATCGCAAATGATGCGGATGTTGAAGACGTCTGGACAAGGAAAGTCGCGAGCCTGAGAGGCTTGTGCACCCTCAGTTGCTTGTTCACTTCACTTGCGACTGGGGACGAGAAGCCCCCACGCGTCATTCCCGAAAATCAGACTGCGACAATCCTCTACTGCCAACACGACCACTCTTTCTCTCCTTCCTCACATATTCACATACACTATGAAGAAGTCATTTGCCGCTCGTCGCGTTCCACGGAAGATTGGCTCCGATGAGCACGATGCCCCATCGGACCTCTCAAGCAACAATGGTTAGTCTGAATTCCCTTGAATCGCTTGCCAGCTCTAACAAAGCTCGTCGTGCCAGTTGGTTGACGCCCTTCCTCGCAGACTCTACCACCACCCCCGCCTCCTCCATCGTCAAGCGACCCGTCGCAAAGCATAGAAAATCCTCGACACTGCGTCCTTCGTTCGCTTCCGAAGATGAGAACGACGACTCTTCTACTCTTGTCACTCCGAAACGCTCAGATCTCTCCCGCCTGGCTATCCAACGAAATGCTGAAAGGCGCTCAGATGTTGCCTTTCGCCCAAGTCTTGATTCAACACTAGACCGTCCAACCTACAACAGAGACTACCTAGACGAGCTGAAACAGAGCACTCCAGCCACACCCAAAGACATTGCATCCACATCAACCACAGACACCGAAGATGCTGCTTTCACCTTCAAGGCTGCCATCGACGTCAAGTCAAAATTTGGCTCCGACCTCTCGAGATACCAACCTCCCACAGCTATACCCTCCGCCGCTGAGATTCAGGAAAAGAAAGCACGTCGCGCACGATTAGCCAAGGAGAACGACTTCCTATCGCTAGAAGATGATGGTGATGACGAGGAAGACGACGAAGCAGTCACGCGGGATGATCAGGGTCGCTTGATTCTAAAGCCCAAGGAAAAGTACCCGGAGACCCGTCTGGTGCACGACGATGAGGACATGCTCGAAGGGTTCGATGACTTCACAACTGATGGCAAGATCGCGTTTGGGCGTAAAGCACAGAGAGAGGAGGACCAAAAGCGCAGAGCCGAGATGGCCTCCATGATTGCTGACGCCGAGGGTCAAAGTGCAAATGACGATAACGAAGATGACGAGAGCGAGGCCGAACGAAATGCCGCTTTTGAGGTTGCGCAAACACGCCACGGTACCTATGCTGCACGCGAACAGGAAGCCAACTCGGCGCGACCCCAAACACCGCCAAGGGTTGTACCCCTACCAACAATGGACAGCGTGGTTGAAAGACTTCGCAAGCGATTGGAGGAAATGCAAGTGGTTCGCGCCAACAAAGCAAACGAGATGCAAAGCCTAGTAAGCGAGAAGTCAAGAATCAGCGAAGAAGAAGGGAGGGTCCAGGCAGCTCTGAGAGAGACTGGTGAAAAATATCAGAAGTTGAGAGAGGATATGGGTTTGCAGGGCAAGGATGATGATAAACAGATGACCACAGGCAATCAAGTGGAACAGAAGCCCACAACGTACAGCGACGAAGACAGTGAGGACAGCGACGAGGACGCGGAGCGCGGAAGATCAGGCCTTGGGTCGGGTCTAGGCAGTGGGATGCGTCGAGACATGTCAGATTGGGGCGTGTAGTGGTGCCGTAGCTGCTCGCTGTTCGCGACAAGTTGAAGACGATGGAATTAATGAGTTGAGATGTCCATCCGTCGTGATGACTCCTCCATAACGCCTAGCGCCTCGCTGTATAACTCCTCGATAGAACAAAAAAATTGACGTGATTGCAGCTTATGAGTTGGCGTCGATTTCAGCCCAGACAGATTCGATCTTCGCTCGCTTCTCCTTGGCCACCTCGCGGTTCAGACGAGTGCGTTCGAGGCGTTCGGCACGTAGGCACATGTTGACTTGGTGCTTTGCCTTGGTACACATGCCCATTGACTTCCAGAGAAACCCGCGCGCATGGCATTCTTCGAGGGCGTTCATGACCTCCTCGCAGTCTAGCCGTGGTTAGAGATGGCGAGACCAGGTAATAGACGTAGTCAGGCGACATACTCTTGTTGTCTTTAGTATGCAGATGCGGATGCATGATCGCCAACTGCGCTTCCTTGTCTTTGGGTGACAGATCTATGTGCTTTCCTCGTGATGGTTGATCACAATTCTTGGTTCCCTGTAGATGATTGTCGGCAGACTGGAGGCAAAGCATCAGTGAACAGCACTAGCGTGTCTTGGCTTTCCCGAACGCCGCTCTATCAAACAGATGCCTGTGTTGTGTTTCGATCAGCATCACCTTCTTGAACATCACAACTTTCAAAATGTCGCAACAAGTTTCTGCAAAGAAGCAACAGGGTATGTGTTGAGTAATAGTAATCCGTATTGCTGCTTTGCTGATTTGACAAATCAGAGCTGCAGGCGCAATATTCCAGTTACAAGGAAACTCTTCAAGCCATCGCACAAAAGATTGGTGATGTTGAGACTGAAGCTGAAGAACACAAGTAAGTGCTGCAATTTCCTATCATTGTAGTGTTCGATACTTCAGGGACGATCTCAAAATTGGACAGATATATAAACCGTTGACAGCATGACCGATACGACTGACACCGAAATAGACTTGTGTTGGAGACACTCGAACCACTTCCAGGTAATCGCAAGTGTTTTCGAATGATCAACGGTGTACTTGTGGAGCGAACTGTACAGGATGTCTTGCCGCAACTCAAGACCAACGCGGACGGCCTCAAAAAGGTGCTTGAAGACCTGCTGAAACAATACACCACGAAGCAAGAGGAACTCGAAAAGTGGAAGGTTTGTGAACATGCACGTACAGTTGAGCTATCCTCCGGTCGCTAATACATCTGCAGCGCCAAAACAAGATCCAGGTTGTCACACAATGAGGCTATTGTTACATGTGCCTTTCTGGCTATACAAATGGCAAGCGATGTTTGTCTTGTCACTCAGCCCAGTCCTCACCGAAACAGCAAGCGATCTTGACAGCAAGATCGATCGGGTCAACTGGAGCATTGTTGTGTCAGACTACAGGCGTCAAGAGTTGGCACGAGGTTCGATTCTGCAGACTCTGCTCCACAGCAGTAAGACGTAGCGATCCTAGGGCGAACATTGCAGAACCAGGTACCATGAAGTTACTACTTGCTGGCTTGATGCCGGTACTTGGTAGCATGAGGCAGAGAGCAGCTTTGTCGATTAAGATGCTGTATTGTCGGTCGATCCAAGCGTTCTGGACCTGTCTCGCATAAACACTGGCAGTTGAGATGTTTGCGAGTTTAGAGAGAGCCGTTTCGCCAAACATAGAAATAGTCATCTTAAGTGGACATACATTAACAATCAGTACCTTCCCTTGTCAGGTTCGATTGTAGAGTGAAACTGTAAATTGAGGCTTGCAATCAAGGCTAAGTATTTTATGGTAGAGGTACGATGTATACGAGACGAAGATGGGGCCGGCAAACCGCAACATGAGGTTCATATGCTGCATGTTGTATGGCTGGTAAAGACCCATAGCCTGAGCGTGCCAAGGCCTGCTTCTCCAGTTCCCCACGACGGTCACGGTCACAGAACGCGCGAACCAGGTTCCTCTTCTGTGCCGTATCACTCGAGACACTTGTTGCCATCTAAACTAGGCATTGAATTTACGCGCCAAACATCAAGCGCCGTCATCAACTTTGGTATTTTCACCTTATTGCTCGATTCACTCTGTCGTCCAAGTTCAAGTTCAAAGTTAAGGCGCTACCTCGCGATCCTGTGTGCATCCAGCCGACATCTACAGCTACAGGCTTTCCTCGGTTCATTGGGCTCCAAGACTATCCGTCGGCTCCTTTCAACATCTACGTCTACGTGACACCCGAGCAATAATCGCAGCCGCTTCCCTTGTAGTGGTGAGTTAACCCATCAGGTCCCGCGACTGTCGCCCACAGTCTCAGACGGACTAAGCACACCCAGGATGGGACCCCTCGCGACGGGACCTTGCCACTAATGCTCTTTCAGATTCTTCTGTATTGGAACTTGACTGGTCACGGTTTTCTTAGAAGCCAGCTTGTGATTTGTTACACTGGTGTTGTTCAGTGCCTTGCATCAAACCCCTGACTTCCGGCCGTCGTAGCACAACGCAAAGCATAGCGTCTTTGGGCTGCAGACACTTCAGGTCCAACAGACCGTGACGTATCGCGACAGCGAATCAATCTGCCAGCGCATCAAACGTCAGTGTCAATAGGTGTGGGGCCTTTTCTGCAAGTCGCCGAATACAATATGTCACAAAGCCCACGAACAACGGATGTCGAGGGACAGCAGGTGTCGAATCCAGTGGCATTGCAAGCAGACGCAAACCAGCCGTCACCTGACGAGCATGAGCAGCAAGAAATGAGCAGAGGCCCTGATGATCCCGGTGATCATGGTATGGGTGTTTACGACTTCGAGGTCAAGGAGCAAGATCGCTGGTTACCTATCGCAAATGGTATGTTCTTTCGGTTCTTCTTTCACCCCATGGTCGGACAGAGTGCGACCGACAAGGGAGCTTGCTGAGTCTGTACCACCTTTGCATCACCACCTGCGTATGGACCAATGCCATCGATGGCCCTGCCCTTCACCTCCCCCATATACAGCCCAATCGCGCGTTTCGACATCTTGACCGTCGAATCAGAGCTGCTTCTGCCAGCCCAGATCTGCAGCTTCGACTTTTGACAGCGCGCGGACTGCCGAACAGTCATGTCTTCTGCATCCCGAGTATCATCTCGATCACAGCCACTGCGTCCCCGGAACACTAAGAACGATGTTGCGTCCGATGCTAACATACGCAATTTTGCACCAGTCGCCCGAATCATGAAAGGTGCACTTCCAGACAATGCCAAAATCGCAAAAGAAGCCAAGGAATGCATGCAAGAATGCGTCAGCGAGTTCATCTCCTTCATTACTAGTGAAGGTACGTCTACTGCTACTGAAGTACTTCTTTGCAAGTTTTCGACCACGAGCTGACTATTCGTAGCGTCGGAGAAATGTCAGCAAGAGAAACGCAAGACTGTCAACGGTGAAGACATTCTGTTCGCCATGACCTCCCTGGGCTTCGAAAATTATGCCGAAGCACTCAAGATCTATCTTGCCAGATACCGCGAGGTGAAAATACTTGCGTCCAATGAAGCTGATGTATGCCGACTGACGATTGCAGACACTCGTTGCTCGAGGTGAACACCAAAGACCAATGACTAGTGGAGGCACCACGCTTGGTCCCGCCGGCGGAGCCCAAGAAACGTCGCCTTTCGAAGGAAGCAACAACGGCGGTACTGTTCTGGGCAATGCAATGGAGCCAACTGAGGGTTCTGGCAATGACTACGCTTATGGTGTTGGTCAAGGTGCAACAGGAGAGTACTAGGAAACGACCTCCCTTGCGACCACTGATACCATTTGGGGAAGCGTCGACGACCCATACTCTACCGACACAGAAGAGTTCCCTTCTTAGACCAAGATCTTTTACGGCTACTGGCAATGGCGTCCAGGAATCTGGTATTTACTTTCATGACCTCGTTTGGTCACTGGTCCACCCGAGGGCAAGAGGCTCGCCATAAGGGCTATTGGTGTTCTAAGTGGGCATAATGATGATTTCTCATGCATAGCCGTCAGCTTGATTGGAGTGCACAATGCATCACTCGACTAGATCGGATAACCAGTTACATATTCACTGTCTCTATCCTTTGAAGCGGTCTATGCGTCCTGACACTATCAGTAGGGATGAGTTACACGCGATGACCATGAATCCATCAGCCTAACACAACCTTGTGGGGATTTGACCCCAGATCATCAGCTGACGTCCAACGGGGCTAGCCTAATCAGTCCAGATTGCAAAAGGATGTTGCAAGCGAGAAGCAACGAGAAGTAGTCACCGCACGAGATGAATGCAGAGTGCTCTCATCTGTTGGACAGGGCCTACATACTACATGTCTCATTTTGAACATATCGTCGTCATTGCACTAATTGTCGAGCTTGCTATCACACGCAGTTCCTTCCTCGACTTCAGAAGATGCAATGTATTGCGATATATATTTTATATATCAGAGTTGCAGATTGATCCAGACTTGAAGGATCAGTACAAAGAGGTATAGGACATTGTATGAAAAGGTGTGTTGAAAAGTTACCCAGGAGCCTTCCAAAGATCGATGAATGACCGAGAGCAGAGATGATATTTTTCCATTTAGTTCTCTAGACACAATTTAGATCGATCTATAGTCGAGAGGCATCGAGTCTAACATACAGATTCGACTCTCGCTGGTAGAGATGAGATCGCTGTTGGGCTATGATGGGAAGCATTAGTGCAAAAGAAGTGGTATCAGACGGGTATGGTCACATAAAGAGAAAGTCAACGATTGCATCTGGAGCTAGGAAACAAAGTGCTTGTGCTAGCTAGCAGAAGTTGTTCTAGGCAGACATAACACAAGAAAGACCACCAATCGCAGGTCAAAAAGTGATACATGAAAGGGCATAGTCATCCAGAACAAGATGAAGGGGAGAATAGGTTTAATCAATGTTTGATCAATCGCTGACTTAGGATTCACCTCTACACGTGTGGAAAATTGACCAACCTTCTGATCTGTGGCTAACGCCCAGTAAGGTGGACGGCATGGATAGGTCTGGTCTAGGCGTGGTTGGTTTGGTATGCAGTGGAGGGTGTTGCATTCCAAACTGGCTGGTATAACTTGTGTAGGTGGAGAGACGCATTCAAAACTGTTGCAGCACCATTACCATTGCTAGTTTGCGATCTGCCATGTGTGCCAGTCTAGGCTAGTGCTCTTGCAGAACAACAGGTCGTAGAGCCGAGCCCCAGACAGCGAGGCGACTATTCGACTGCAAGCGATCGTACACGCCTAAGCTGCGCGTGTGATGTTCTTTCTTCGAACATTTACATGGGAAACACTGGTACTTTGGGGCAGGACAAACAGAGCGAAGGCAACAGTTTCTCAGTGACGAGTACTGTGATTTGAAAAATGGCTCGCTGTAGTAATAAGATGAAATAAATGATCAGGTAAAGAAATGCAACACCAATGCTCATCCGCCAATGCAGATCCAGAACTCCCATGCTGAATTGTGAAATCGTGAATTTTTCTGATCGTTAAAGAGCCACAAAAAAGCCAGAAGAAGTTTAGTCTAGCATGACCGGCAGAGAATCGAAAACAACTTGGTTGTCCTCGTAATGAACAATGAAGCCGCCCTGAAGGGCACGACGCAGTGATTGTAGGCGATGAAGCTTCCACCATTTGTCGATGCTCATGGAGTTTTTGCCAATATGGACCACCATACGAGAGCCATATGCTTTGTTCGTATACTGGTCGATAGCGTTGCTGTAGCGAGGACCTCTTGTCGGGTGCTCGACGGTATTGAGAATGTCGGCAAAGCTAGAGTGCAATTCCTTTTTGTCCTTTCTTGATATGCGTTTGCCATGTGCTTGAGCAAGAGCGCTGAGTGTATGCTTAAGTTGATGCTCCTGACGCCAGACAGTATAGCGCTTAACCATGCCCTTAGCAGTCGGATCTGCCTCTTCGTCATCTTCGTCGCCTTGATGTTCTGGCTCTTCATCTTCTTCTAATTCCGACCAGCTCTTTTCGAAAAGAAGAGCGATATTCTCACCGGCAGCAATAACGACACTTGCATCGCTAGACTCGAGTTGTTCATTGAAGGCTTCCATTGGCTCTTCGCTCGTGTCTTCCATGCCCTCAAATTGTGTAGCAAGGAAGCCCCATTCCTGCAAGGCAGCAGCTACGACGTTCCCATCGTCACCTGCTTCGACAGAGTGACCATCGGACTCGATAATCTCGAGGTAGAAATCCATGATTTCTTGTGTTTCATCCAGACCAACTCCGCCATAGAACGTAGCGATGCCGAGTGTGTGAATCGCGGCGACCATGACCGAGGATGACTCGGAGGAGGAGATTATGCCCTTCAGAGGACGGATCATGGCGTCGTAGATCGAGTCGGATGGCTCAGTAATGATCAGCAGACTCAGAGCTTTAAGAGCCAGAGCGGTTTCATTGTCTGATTGGCCACCTTTGGCACACTTGAGAAGAGCTGGGACGAGCTCACTGAGTTTAGGACGGACATGGCGTTGGGCGTAATGAGCCATGAGGAGGTGTGAAAGGACCGAGAGGCTCTCTTCACGGCCTTGAACACTACTCCTTTTGCGTTCGATAAGATGCTCCATACGCTCGTTCAGCTGCGCGACCCAGGCATCTTCAGGCGCATCGATATCTTCGGGTCGGAGTTCGTCGAAGGAGTTGACACTGCGATGGTCATCAGAGACTGTGTCATGCAAGTCAGGTCAAGGCGAGGCATACCTGAACTGAGTTGTCGAATCACTGTAGTCGGCCTCATCGTCTGAGGCCTGGCGGCTGGCGACTCGCGAGCCAGCCCTCGAGGCATTAGGCGAATTTTGCTTTGAGCTGGCGGCAGAGCCCATGGCTTGCTTGGCCTTTGCCTTTTTGGAAACGGTCTTGCCGCTCTCAAGGAGCACTTGCTTGCGCAGATCGTGCATACTGAGTGTCTTGTGTGCGGCAGGAAGTGTGCAGGTGGCGGTATGTAGAAGAGGGGTCGATGGGTGTACCGTGGGTGGGCTAGTAACGCGGGTTACTGTATGGGAGTCGAAACGTGGCGAATATAGAGAAATTGGTGAGGCAGCTTCGCTTCCATTAGATGCTACAGGACACAAAATTGGAGAGCAGGGAACAAGGTGGAGCGTGACTGTTCAAAGAAAGACTTTTCCCGCAAGCGCCTGCCCGCCGTGCAGCTACCAGCCCGTAACGCCCAAAAGACTTGAAATCAATCTTCACCCCGACGTCATAGGTCAGCCTCAGCGCTCGGACCATTCACATGTCATTTTTATTCGAGTCAAGCAAGACCCCTTTGATAATCTCAGACGAGCTCCATGACTTCTCGAACGCTATGTACACATTATTACTTATTCGCAAGGCTAGGTATCTCGTCGCCTCCTTCGCTCGTCCTTCAAGATCCTGGAGGAGGGCGGGGTCCGATGATCTGACGACGGCCTCCAAAACCAATTCCACTTCCCGAGCTCGAACCTCGGTTCTGGCTGTCTCCTCCCATGTATCCGTATTGATGGATATCCCAGCTCTGTCCTGCACCGCTGCCTTGGCTCAGGTCTTTGGCTACTTCCTTAGTCGCTTGCTGGTTTGCTTCCCACTCTCGCTGTCTCTCTCTTTCGCGTTCCATCTCGCGTTCCAAGAGGGATTTAGACGCCCATCCACCAGCCTTGGTCTTTTGCTGTGACGCGATCCGACGGTCTCTGTCGCTTTGCTCCTCGTATGTTGAAGTGTAGCCCATCTCACGTGGCTGGTGAGCAACAGGTTTTGACGACACGGGCGCAGGATTCTCAGCAAGGTAACGATCTGTGCGTGTTGTGGCTGGTGAGGCAGGACGATATGCCGAAGGATCTGGCAGGGGACGTGGCCCTGCTGGAGATGCTGTACGTTCAGGTAACACTGGCGTCTGCCTTGTTGCTGGGGTAGGAAGAGGTCTCGATGAACCCAGAGGCATATCAGGTGCAGGCACCTTCCTGTTTAAGACTTCATCCTCTATTGGTGCCCAAGACACGTCGCTGTCCTTTGGTGAGGGTGCCCTGGGGATCGATCCGATTTCCTGTTCGGATCTCGCTGTAGAAGGTCTTGAGTTGATGCTGTTCTGACGCACACGCTCCTCGCGCTCTCGTTGATACTGACGCTCACGTTCCCTTGCCTCTTCAAGCTGTTTCTCGAGTTCACGAACTCTCATCCTCTCGGGCGTATCTTCATGTGCGCTGGGTCTACGAGCCCCTTGGTCGGCTTGACTCAAATATTGCCCTTTCAGATGGGAACCAGCATCATCCACTTCCTGCTCTCTCTGACGAGCTTCTTCTTCCATCTTCCATCTGCGCTCCTGCTCTTCCCACTCTCGTTTCTGCTCCAGGATTCGTTGTCTTTCTTTTTCTCTTGTGCGGCGAGTTTCTTCCTCCCATCTTTGTTCTTCGGCAATTCGATCACGTTCTTCCTCGGCCTCCCGTTCGGTTTTCCTCTTGTATTCGGCTTCTTCAGCCTCTTGTCTGAGGCGTTCCTCTTCCGCTTCTCTCTCGCGCCGTCTTCTTTCCAGAGCAGATTCACCTTGACCAGGGACGTGAGGTGCAGCAGTGGTGATTTGTCTTCTTCCACCAAACATGACGCCTTGATTGCCTTGACTGGCACCGCCCATGTAGCCGTACTGAGCAATGTTCCATGCAGGCGCTGTATTTCCTCGATCATCTGCTTTGGTCCAGCTACTAACTGTGCCCCGAGATGATTTGAGACCATTGTCAATTGCGCGTGAGCCAGGAGAACTTCCACTAAGAGCAGGACTTATAGGTCTGGCGGAAGGGACGGCGAACGAAGGTTTGGCAGAGAGTGGGCTCGGAGGGACTGGCCGGGCACTCCTAGGAGTGGGACCGGTAGCAGCAGGACTTAGGGTCGCACTCCTTTGAGGACCAATGGTGTTGGGGAAGTTGGCTGGATTGACAGCATGTGCGACACGACTAAAGGCGCTGATACATTGGAGTACTTGAGCGGGGTCTTTGGACTCGAACAAGTCGACGGTGAGGAAGCGGTCGTGGGCAGGCATGTTCAGCGGAGGGGATTCACATGCTCGCAAGAAGTGCGATATGTTTTCCATTTGGACGAAGGGCATGGCGGACTTTTTGAACTTGAGGCCTGGAGCAGGCAGCGCTAGGTTAGCGAGTCTGCACAAGACGACGCCATCCTTGAGCACATCCTGCAGAAGATCACCTGGCGGTAGTGTTTCGCCGAGTGTTTGTTCGATCCACGAGCGAATTTCGTTAGCGGCTTGTGGAGTGTATTTCGACATGCGCAGGTTGCGCATGTCCTGGTCCAACGACGACACAGAAGCCATGTTGAGGGCGAAGAGCGATGTGGTTTGCTGATGGAGGGGTGAAAGGAGGGACCACGACTTTGATGACTGATTAATGTTTGGGCGCGGAGGGATTGCATTGCATTGCGTCGCGTCTGTGCATGCGCCTCGGCCGCGTTTCATCAAAGAACGTCATCAAAATCGTGCTGCTGCACTCACGTTTACTTTGAACATGCTCTGTTGCCTCTGCAACTTGACTTGATCATCCAAAAGACATCATGTCAAAACAGCCGGGGGCCATCAAGCAAGCCTGGTACAAGTGGAAGAGTCTGCGTCTTCCATGGCGACGAAAGTGGCTTGTCGGTATGTTCAAGAAATTATCAAACCACCGCCTTGACATAGCTGACCACATATAATTGCAGGCGCTGATCTTTCGGGCAACACCTTTTGGGAGTTCAAGGACGCTATCAATGCTGGTCGAATGCGAAGAATCGTCCAATACAGCAGTCAGGGACATTATGCTGATGTCAAAATTTCACGTACGCTACCTGATTGATTCCATAATGTCAATGTTCTCGTTCTGATTCTGAGTTTCTATAGCACAATGGCACCAGTGGTTACGCCAGGTTCGCCCAGAAGCTCCTACGCTCCAGGAACAACAGTACGAGGTATCTCGGCAAGCACAGATGCGTCAACTGGCTGCCGCTGCAGACGAGCGATGGGCTGCACAAGAATCTTTCTTGGATGCACCATCGAAGCAACAACCTGCACCAGCTATAGGTGTGAAGGATCCGGCAGGATACATGCATCAGAATCAGACTGAGCCTACTGAGAACGAAGGTGTCAGAAGTGCGGTAGGTGATGCAAGTGAGGTTGATGCTTCATCCGAGGGCAGAACCAAGGACGACGGCAGATTCAAAGGCAGAGCCAGAGACAAGGAGGCAAACCCGTGGAAGCAAGCACCGAAGGGAAATCCAGGAGATGACTGGCAGCCACAGAGTTGGACTCCTGGTGTGAGTCGTAGATAGATGGGATTCATCTCGCTACATTGTACTATTACTGTATTGACCTGTATTTTCTCTATTTGTCGAGAATTTCCAGAAGGTTGTCTCAAAGCAGTAGCGGAAACCAAAATAGCAACGGAAACAGCCCCATCTCTGCCAAGGAGCCACGGAGGTCGACGGAAGACATAGGGCAACGTAACCACCGCGAGGAAGGCGAGAGAGGACTGTGGAAGTATGAGAACAGAGATGGTCTATAGATATCACAGGAATGCTGTAGATTCGTGCAAAGAAATAGTTGCAAGAGAGTGGTGCTGACGAAGTGGGGGTTGGTGATTTTCCGGGCGTTCAGAGTGACCCAATTTCTCGAATTGCACCGCCACGACTTAGGCTACGGGCTGAGTGCTGGCTTGCTTTCTGGACCCTTTACTTACATGCATCTCGTGCTATCAATTTCGCCCGACCGTCAACTTCTCTGTTCTATTGTCTTAGACGCTTGTCGCTGCTCGCACACTTTCTGCGCTTCCTTTGTCTCCTTCTTCATCCGTATCCCTTTTCCTGGTGCAGCACTGCACCCTCGATCGCCACGATTTCACACCCCTCAGCACCAGCAAACACCGCCAAGCTGTCTTCTACACTCCTTCAACCTTCCTCCGGCCTTAGCTTTGCCGGAGACACAAATCGCCCGCCGAATCAGAGGAGGCACACAGACAAAGCAGCTTCCAGTATGGACACCAAGGCGGCACGGAGGAGACGGTCTAGCAGTCTGATGTACACCGAGCCCCCTGAGTCGCTGGAGCACATCAGTGACCAGGCCGCCCTGCCCAACCTCAACTCAGAATGGGTCAATGCCAAAGGTTTGCAGCTCTGCCCTTCCTTTGCGCATTACCAGAACCCCATGCTGACACGTTTCCACAGGTGCCTGGGCCATCCACTTTGTTCTCATCGCGCTCCTCAAAATCATCTTCGACATCGTCCCCAATATCTCCCAAGAAACATCATGGACCCTCACCAACATCTCGTACATGGCTGGCTCATTCCTCATGTTCCACTGGGTGCGAGGTGTGCCCTTCGAATTCAATGCCGGTGCTTACGACAACCTCAACATGTGGGAGCAGATCGATAGCGGCGACCAATATACTCCCGCCAAAAAGTTCCTGCTCAGTGTTCCCATTATTCTTTTCCTTGTCAGCACTCACTACACGCATTACGACATCACCTATTTCATGATCAACTTCATGGCAACCCTCGCTGTTGTCGTACCAAAGCTTCCTGCTGTAAGTCTGCCTGGCAAGCATTCGAGCATTCCTCTCTGATCATTCCTACAGCTTCACCGCATGCGCATCGCTCTTTTCAACCCTGACGTGGAGGACCGATGATCGATATCTTCTGAAATATTCTTTTCTTTTTCTCAAGTCGTCGCCAAATCCGGGCCCGTATTCCTTGACTCAAGATACCAAATAATGCTGCTTTATTTGCCAAAAGAATCAAACAAACAAACAAATCATTGGCACTCCCAACTATTCTCCCATCGCGATACGCCATCATTGAAGCATCTTGTCCTCACTCATGGCCCTTAGACAGTCTATACAGAGACTAATCATGTTATATCCAAACGCCGATCGCTCCTCGAGCTTACGTCGTCCCCTGTCGGTCGTATCTGACTTGATCAGCATCTCTGATACTTCGTTATATGCTGGGTATCTTTACAAGATGTAGATCCATCTGAAAATGAATGGCACTAAAGAAGACGAGCAATTCCGGGAGAAGAACTACATGGGACAGCACAACTAGTCTGTGGATGAGGCAGTCTCGACGTGAGTGAACTACAAAATGTCACAAGTGCAAGAACCAGACACATGAAGACATGAAAGAAGGGACAAATAGCTGAAAGTTATATCAGCAGGCCGCCCATTGTTCAAAGGGTAGAGGACAGCATGCTATAACAACAAGACGGGCGTCGAATTAGAATTGAATTAACGGATTCTAGAAGACCAGGCAGAGCCGAAGCTGTAGAGACCATAGGCAGCAAGAAGACTCAGGCCAATAGGAAGGGGCTTTCCAGACTTGATGGCTCTGGGAATACTACTTCCGGCAAGAACAACACTGGCCAGCAGAGCCAGCTCAACACCGTAGGGCTGGCGGTTGGAGATTCTGTAACCACCAAGTGCGTAGAGAGAGCCGACAGTGACACCAGCAGCGATGGAGGGAACAGAGCCAGTCCTGATGTAGCCCATTGTGCCACCACCGGCGGTCAAAGAGGCAAGAATGTAGGCGACAGTGCTGGGTGGCATTAGAGAAAGAATACGGATAGCCGTGGCCTTCTGTTGGATCTCTTGTTATCCTAGGTGTATGAAAGGTCAAGAACCAGGGAGGCCACGGCTATGTAGTTTCTGATATAGGCTTACTCGAGGCTCTGTTTAGGCGTTAGCTTTGCTGGCACTTAGATGAACCATGGCGTCAATAATCAGATACCATTTTGTTTTAGTGGTTCGGTGTTGTTGTGTTGAGTGTGAGGTAGTGTCTGAGGTGGGTATGCAACGACGGGTAGGATGTTGGTAGAGTAGGCGGGGGTGAACAGATGGAGGTGCTGGTGTCAGTGACGCGGCATCGTCCGTGCGGACATCTCGTCGGTCGGCCACCTAGCTTCAGCAAGCTGGCTCTATTCACGGTACTCTATTCCCTTCGATTGATACGAAAGAGCATACAGCCCTTAACATTTGTCAGCTGCTCTGTCTTTCACTCTATCGTGTAAAGCCAATCTTTCACTCCGACCAGAACATCGCTAGTTCCGTACTCTACACACGACACAATCCCCAGCTCAACACCTTGATCATGGCACCCAAGAAGAACGCCGCTGCTCCTGCTCCCTCGATAGTCCCTCCTTCGACTGCCAAACCTTCTCACGGACAGACCTCTGCTTCCTCTCAGCCGACTAAGCCTATTGCTGCTTCCACAAAGCCCACATCTACCAAGTCTACCGTCCGCAACTCGACAGATGCTCAAGAGATCGCTTTGGCCGTATGGGACCGCTATGTCCAGGACACTCCCCAACGCGTCAAGCTGATTGACGTCTTCATGACCTTCCTCATCTTCGTCGGCGTTCTCCAATTCCTCTACTGTGTCATTGGTGGAAACTACGTACGCTGAATCCTCCTTGTCGCATTCTCCATCCTCGACTAACCCGTCCATATAGCCCTTCAATGCTTTCCTCTCCGGCTTCGCTGCTACCGTCGGCCAGTTTGTCCTTACTGCCAGCTTGAGAATCCAGACCAACCCTCAGAACAAGGCCGACTTTGGCTCCATATCACACGAAAGGTATCAATCAACACACAACACTTTCACATCTGGCAATTGTCTAATATGAAACACAGAGCTTTTGCGGACTATGTCTTCGGCAGTCTGATTCTGCATTTCTTCTGCGTCAACTTCATCAACTGAGGCCATTCAAAAAGTTTCATTTTGCATCTTTTGTCTATTCTCCCTTTGAACGCCATGCATCTCACAATCCGAGATGCCAGAGCTTCCCGCGTATATCCAGAATCAAAAAAGCGTCTATTGGCTGTTCAGCTTAAATTCCTCTCTAATGGCGTCTCCAAGACGCTTGATGGCCTCGTCAATCTTTTCGAATGGTGCAGCTGCGTATGTTGATCTGAAGAACATGGTGTCGTGCTTGGCCTGGCTGTCGGCATAGAACCATGAGCCCTTCATGACCAAAGCGCCGTGGTCAACGATGGTCTGGAAGATCTTCTCTTCGAGTTCCGCAACCGACTTGTTCTTGTGGTCAGGGTGTTTCTCATACTCGATTTGGAGCCAGTGCTGCCATGTTGTTAGCTCCAGTTGAACATCATATCATGATCAAATCACTTACGAACATGCCAGCCATTGGCGGCTTCCAGCTCATGACCTCCTTGGGCAGATACTTCTCACATGCTCCAAGCATAACATCTCTTCTCTGTGTGTATTCCATTCTGATGTGAACCAGCCAGTCCAAGAAGCCCGCATGGCCCCAGTGCTCGTCGAGCAACTTGAACAGGACCAGCTGACTGATACCGCTGGGTGCTTGAGTGCTCACATCAATGTGCTTCATGAACCTGTCAACGATCTGCTGCGATGCTGTGATCCAACCAACTCGCGATCCAGGTGCAACGACCTTGGAAAACGAGTCCATGCGCATAACACGACCGTCAGTGTCCATTGACAAGAATGAAGGCACCAGCGACTTCAGAAACTCGGCGTGAGTCTTTGGTGGCGGCACTCCTGGCGAGTCAGGTCCTGTGTATGGTTGCATCTGCAGGAAGTAGTATGGCTCGTCCTCCAGAATGTAGAGGTCATGCTTCTGGGCGACCTTGTACACTTCCCTGCGTCTTTGTTCGCTCTGAGTGGCTCCTGTAGGGTTCTGACCCGTGGGCACGGTGTAAAGCAAGAAAGGCTTTCTAGCACCACGTGCTGCCTCGTCCCAGTTGCTCAAGATGTCGTCGAGAGATTCTGGGAGGAGACCCTCGTTGTCTAGACCAACGCCGACCATACGCACACCCATGGGTGCGGCTGTCTCAACAGCTGTCGCAAAAGTGTAGTCCTCGGTCAAGACAACATCGCCACGCTCTGAGAACATTCTTAGGGCAACGTCCAAAGCCGAGGTAGATCCAATGGTCATATTACAGTACCAATCTTGGTAAGGAGGGTTGTGTACAATCTCTGTGTGCTCGATAAGGTAACGCAACAGCTGGGCGGATCCAGAGCCCTGGCCATAGTTGAAGGCGGTAGTGATGTCGAACAGGGATTTGTCGTTGGCCAGGTCAGCCTTTCCAGCCGTCAGGACGGCGCCTTGTTCGCGTGTTTCTTGCTCAGACCAGTGGCCGATTTGGGGCACCTTGATGGACAGTTCGTCAAAGGGAAAGTATTCGGACGAGGGCAGGCCACCACCCAGCGAGATGATACCAGGCTTCTTTAGGTACTTGGCGGCGGCCTTGAGTGAGTTGCCTTTACGTGACGAGGATTCAATGTTCAAGCGGTCTATCCCAGATCAGCTATGGTCAAGATGACTAGGTAGATTGGCACTCACGATCCCATCTCTTGGCCTTAGGCTTGTGAAGGTGCTGCTTCTCGCCCTTGAATTGTTCAACATTGGCCACTGCAGCGACTCCAGCAATCAGTTTTCCAGTAGCTGCACGTCTGGACGAAACACTGTCGAGAGTGAGCGGGTTTGGAATAGTAACGGCAGTAGTGTCGTCAATTGCCTGGACATCGACGTCGATAGCGCTCGGAGGAGACATCTTGGGTGTGACCGTCCAGTCAATCTGAGGATTTCGAGTGCACAAGACAAAATATATGATATGAACAACAGAACCAGGACGAGACGGTACGTATCTACTTGACTCACGGTTGCGCCTTGCGCCCAGCGCCCTTGTACTGACAACGAACTTTCTCGACTCTAACCCTAGCGTCACCTCCGGCATCGCAGCATTTCGATACGTTGTGATACGACTTCGGCATCTACCCGAGTGGTCTGGGGTATGTTTGCGCATCAACATATGGGGTTTAAATTTTGGCTGCAATTCATACGATAAGTTCTAAACACTGTGATTTGGGAACGCGATCACTCGACTTGCTTCACTCGCTCAATTGAACATGGCTGGACCAAACTTGACTGTGAATTCGACCTTTATTAACGAACGCCTAGGGCCTTCTAAACATGCTTCCCTTGAAAACAGGTCGTCATATTCGTGATCATAAATGTCCGTCAGTCAAATATCGGTTTCCTGCCGGTGTTCAGCTGGGTATTGATCCGTTCGAGCCTGTCGCGGATAACGCGACTCTCTCATGCTTGCTCTGACATTCGTAGTCCATATGAAGCAGGTTTTGTTCTTGGATGAAAACAATTGACTGGCTTCAAAATCAGAGAGCTGTAGCTCTGGGAAGTCATGATATGTTTCGTCTGAAGCTTGAATGCCAGAGTTGTTCTCATGTAGCCAACATATCCATCACTTCTGGGCTGGTGAAATCAATAACCGTAAAGAGGTAGCTTGCTGAGCGTGCGCAAATATGTAAAAGCTGTCCATCAGGTGCGTGCATCATTTCATGCCAATCCAAACCTCTTGTTGAACTCATCAAAGAGTTTAGGGGTAATTTCGTTACTGCTGTTACCATCGACTCTCCACAGAACACCGAGCTTGTCGTAGTGTTCGAGCAGAGGCTGACTTGTTTCTTCGAACTTGTTCAAACGAGCCATCCATGTCTCTGGTTTGTCGTCGTCTCTTTGAATCAGTGGCTCGCCCGTGATATCATCTTTACCCTCAACCTTGGGGGCGTTGAAAGTAGTGTTGTATACCCGACCAGATGCAGCGTGGATCCAACGATTACAAATGCGATCAAGGATGACGGACGTGGGAGTGTTGAGCTGGACAACGAGATTGATGGGAATCAACTTGTCAAGTTGGATGGCTTGGTCAACGGTGCGAGGAAAGCCGTCGAGGATGAAAGAGGCGTTTGGCTGATCGCTAAACTCGTATTGGCGCTGGTGTGCGGTTGTTGGAGTTATGTAATCGTCTTGAGGAGATGTGACGGCATTGAAAGAGGAGGCCACAGAGTTCATGATCAGAGGCTTTTGTGTGGTAGAAGGAGTCAGCCACCCCCGGGTGGTCAGTTCGTTTGTGATCAGGCGCAAGATGGTCGAGTCGGGAACAAGGGCGCCCGCTTTCATGAGGGATTCGGCTTGGATGCCTGTGATGGACAAATTAGCAACGATCATGTTGTGCAGGAGATACGAGGGCGTAGTACCGAGCGGAGTCCGTCTGCGAACATTGTCTCTCAAGAGATCTCCAGAGCTGATCGAGGCTAATTGGGGAAATCGCTGGAGCATACGCTCGGACTGAGTACCCTTGCCCACGCCGGGAGCACCGACTAATATGATGCGAGCAGCCTTGCGGAGTTGCATGTTGAAGTAGTTGAAGGAGGAGAGGGCGTATGAAAGTGAGGGGTGACCTCGGCCAGATAAGACGCTGCTAGACGACGTGTACGACCTTGAGTGCGATGTCGAGATGTGACCAAGACCGAGAGAGCGACTAGTTGGCGACGTCGTTGAGTATGTACCCGACTGAAAGCAGTAAAGAGAAAGACAATTGGTCTGGCTAAGGTGAGAGGAGGAGTGGACGACACGAGTCAACAATTGTTCGCGCGGACAGTTTGGAAAGGTCCGGCGTCGGCTTGCGGGGAGCTTCGAAGCCAGACCTCCAGGCTCCGAGGCATTACTCGATACGGCGCTCGCTGCAAACTAAGCAAATTGCCAAGACGGAAATGGTTGTTGTAAAGTCCGAATATTCGCCCATTTCATCTTCCTGAATTGCTTCATCCTTGCTCATCTATCGTCTACTCCGAGTATCGCCATCTGAAGTTTCGCATTCTCCCAAGGCGCCCGCCCGCCATGTCATTCAATCGCACAGCCTCGCAAATGGCTCCTTTGCTGCTCAGGAACAGCACAAGGACTGCCCTGTCCCGTTCTTTGCGCCTCCCTAAGCAATTACCTGCTGTCGCCATCTTGATTCCGAATCGCTCCGTATCTGGCGAGACATCTACATCAAACAATCAATCCAACTACCCTCCTCCAGGCTTCAATGCCGACCAGGCCAAGAAGCCTCTGACTTCGCAACAAGACAAGTCCAAGCAATCCTCCTCTTCCTCGCCAGATGTCAACATTCCTATCCACAAGCCTACCGAGCATGCACCCACCAAGGCTTCCGAGGAACAAGCTCTCAAAGAGCTTGCCTCTGAGAAAGCTGCTGCCGACAAGGCAGAGGAGAAGAAAGTTGAGAAGAAGAAGGAGGAAGACAAGAAGCTTACTCTTCGTCAGAAGATCATGAAGGAGGTTCATCATTACTGGGACGGCACTAAGCTGCTGGCTGCCGAAGTCAAGATTAGTTCTAAGCTGGCCTTGAAGATGGCTGCAGGTTACGAGCTTACTCGTAGAGAACACAGACAGGTGAGTTCACAAGACACAAGCTGCCACCCTTTGTCTAACCTTCTGTCTAGTTGCACCGTACTGTCCAGGATCTTGGTCGCCTTGTCCCCTTCTCCATGTTCGTCATCGTGCCCTTCGCAGAGTTGTTACTTCCAGTTGCTCTGAAGCTTTTCCCCAACATGCTTCCTAGCACATACGAGGGTCAAAAGTCAAGAGAAGCAAAGGCCAGCAATCTGCGTGGTACCCGCAAGGAAGTTAGCAGCTTCCTACGCCAGACTCTACAGGAGACTGGTCTGCCGGTCAGCGCCGCGAACGCACAGAAGGAAGAGTTTACCGAATTCTTCCGCAAGGTAATCGCTACTCTATCCCCTTCGTACCAGAGCACATACTGACGCAGTCCAGATCCGCACTACCGGCGAGTCCCCGACAAAAGCTGATGTTATCCGTGTCTGCAAGATTTTCAAGGACGACTTGACTCTTGACAACCTCTCACGCCCGCAACTTGTTGGTATCTGTCGCTACATGTCTCTTTCCACTTTCGGTACCGATGCCATGCTTCGTTACCAAGTTAGACACCGTATGCGCCAGATCAAGCGTGACGATAGGGCCATCTCTTTCGAGGGTGTCGAGTCTTTGTCTGTTCCCGAGCTTCAGACTGCGTGTGCCTCGCGTGGCCTACGCACTCATGGTGTCTCCCCCGCCAGACTGCGCGACGACCTGAACCTGTGGCTCGAGTTGCGTCTCAAGTATGGAGTTCCAAGCACTCTTCTTGTTCTTTCCAATGCTTTCATGTACACTCAGGGCAAGGATGTAGAGTTTGACTCGCAGATCGACGCTCTGCAGGCCGTTTTATCCAGCATTCCTGAGGAGCTGTTCCACGAGATTGAGTTGGAGGTGCACACTGCAGAGGGAGCTGCCACTAACAAGCAGCGTCTGGAGGTTCTTCGTGAGCAGCAAGAGTTGATTGAGGACGAGAACGAACAGAGCGAGAAGCAAAGTGAAGGCGGCAAGTCTGCTCGTGTCAGCGATATGGACAACATTGATGAGAAGGAGGACGAAACCCGACAAGAAGATGCGCTTAGACGCGAACACGAAGCCGAAGTGCAGGCTCAAGCAGGTGTTCCCACCTCATCTGTTGGTAGTCAACAGGCATCGGAGACAAAGGCCGAGGAGAAGAAGGCTTGATGGTATCATGTACAGCATTTGAGGTTTGTGGTTGGTTACGGCGGGTTGGCATGCACTTCCAAAAGGCGTTTTGTTTCGGGTAGGCCAGAAAGGGGCTGATCATTATTTGTATTCACTCTTCTCAATAGACAATTAAGGAGATGCGCTTGCATCAGTACGAGTTCTCTTTATGATTTGTCGTGGAGTGTGTGTTCCAAGATAGGAAGTTGCAGACGACGGAGTCTGAGAGCCGACATAGGCGGTCGCCTTCCCCGTCAGCATCATAGGGTCCAGTGTGTATTCAACAGATGCAGACTGACATGACCTGCGACGAGTTGGCCGGGCTCGACATTGCTTGGGCTTCAGTCTCGGCAGCAGCATGTACTTCAGGGGAGGCATGCGCCTGCTGACCAAAAGGCTACAAATACAATCGACCATCAAATCGCATGCTCTCTATCGCTTCTCGTCATCGCGCAGCCCGCAGAAGAACGAGGAACCTCGAGGCGGCACCACCACGCCTGTACCGGATGAAGCCTCAATTGTGGTTTCAAAGTCGGCATACTACTTCGAGGCTGGCTATGGCCTCTTCGCCAAACGACCATCACGACCTTTCCCGCCACCCTTCCTATCACCTCCCTCAGGCTCCTTCTCAGATCCGCTGAGTACTCATGACCGAAGCCGCGACCGCCGTCCCTCAGTGAACGGTGTTATGATCCGCGGTATCACCAACGGTGATGATGCTGTCCTGGTCAGCGACAACTTCATAGCTGCAAACGATGGTGTAGGAGCATGGGCTAGTCGCGAAAGAGGACACGCTGCGTAAGATTTGTGCATGCATCTATTATTCATCCTTCTATATCGCTGACGCGCTATGGCAGCTTGTGGTCGCGCCTCATACTCCACTTCTGGGCCCTCGAGGCCGAGAAAGACGCATACGGTGATGACTCGGAGCCGGATCCCGTCACATATCTCTCAAAAGCCTACCAACGCACCATAGATGCGACCAGTAAACCAAACGAATGGTTTGGCACCACTACTGCTTGTGGCGCCTTTTTGCACACTGGTGCCGACAACCCGCCCCATCCTATACTCTATGTAACCCAACTTGGTGATTCTCAGATACTGGTCATACGACCAGAAAAACGCGAGATCATATACAAAACTGCCGAGCAATGGCACTGGTTCGACTGTCCACGACAGCTTGGTACCAACAGTCCTGACATACCCGATAAGAACGCCGTCATGGACAAGGTCACAATCGCAGAAGACGACATCATTCTGGCCATGTCTGATGGCGTCGTGGACAATCTCTGGGAACACGAAGTTGTCGACAATGTCCTGAAAAGTATGGAGAAATGGCGATCCGGCAGTGTCCCTCAAGTGATGCGTTCAGATGACCAGAGTACCTACGCCGGGGGTATGCAGTTTGTTGCCCAGGAGCTTGTCAAGGCAGCTCGCACCATTGCCCAAGATCCTTTCGCAGAGAGTCCGTACATGGAACGTGCGATCGAAGAAGGTCTCTCAATAGAGGGCGGGAAACTCGACGACATCAGTGTTGTCGCAGCTGTGTGCAAAAAGCGGATGGGCAGATGAGGATTCTAAATACGAGTCGCACCCTAAACTGCTAATCGCAATCCTACTTGCGCCAATCTATCAGGCAAACACACGAAACGGCATCGAGGCTCAGCCAACCTCCTCGAGCAGCACGAATCATGCTTGCGGTATGCTACCAGGTCTTCCGGCACTGGTTCTAGGAACCGGAATGAGGTTCGAGCATGAAAATCCTCTAGCAAAGCTCTTTCTGCACAATCAGATCCTACCCATCGTCACAGCAGAGAAGCACTTCGCGCTGATTCTCAGAGCCATCAAGGTGCAATACGGCCACCCTTTACTTGGATGTCGATCTTTTGGATTGTTCGAAGGGCTGGGAATGTGTCTCAAATGAGACAGGTGGATATGTTGGATCAATAGACGGGTCTTCTTTTGACAAACTCTTCGAGATCTTGTTTGGTAGCAACACCAAGGACAAATTTGCGACCCGCATCTGTCACGACAGCGAACTCCTGTGCAGGCATCTGGCCGTCTTCCGTCACACCTGCATAGAAAGCCTCAAGCTCTTCCAAAGGAGTGTCCATAGTAATGACATGGTATTTGGTGCCCCTTCTTTTGAACTTTGTCATTGCCTTGTCCACTGTGTCGGTGTCACGGACCGCGCCTGACTTGAGCAGATGCTTCAGATGGGGCATAGACAGGTAGCCCACAAGCGCCCGCGTCTCGGGTTCAACGACTGTCAAATGAGTGTATTCTCTTTCGTAGGCGGCCATGAGAGCGCTTGAGATAATCGAGGACGGTGATGTTGACAGAGCCGGGGGTGGGTCAAGGTCTTCGACAGTTGCCTATATAGTGGATGTTAGCATATAACAGTACATGCACAAAGACTTTGCGCAACGCACTCCTCGATACTTGTCAGCCCAATTTGCCAGAAGCTCCTTATATGATTGTGTCTCGGCCATTTTGATTACTGCCACTCCAGATGTGTTTGCCGTAAGAAGCTGCTTGCTACCTGTAGAGAAGTTGCACGCTGGAACTTTCGTGCTTGCCAAGCGACCTTGTAACACTGGCAACCCTGGCTAATCAAGATATATCGTCTTCTTGACGCCCTTTCTACCGAAGAGGTCAATGTCTTCTTGTGAAGTCCTCCTCTGGTACGCGTAAAAGTCTCGACACTCTACTAAGGCATTTTCCCGTGATTTCAGACTTGTTCTCCAAATGATTCGTAAATACCGTCACTAATCAGCTCCAAATCCTTATCAGTACGGAGATTCACCATGATGTCCTCAGCGATCAGTACCGAACCTTGAACCTTGCACACTGCCACCAACATCACTCTTTTCCAAATCAAGATGATGTATCAAGCCGTCCGATATCGTGACCAACTGTCGTTTGTTTCTTGCTTGTCGGTGGATTGTGAAATAAAGCCATCACGGTAGAGGATTGCGATGAATCTTGGCATTCGTTTCCAGTCCCTCACGTCATCGCTTTCACATGGACAAAGGTCAACAAATAGTCGCGCATTCCTCTTAGATATCGATATTCTCATTCCAGACTTAAGATATTGAATTTGCCTTTCTCACACAGCAAAGATATTCTGTAAAACTTTCATAACCCACAAGAACAGCATGGCAGACGGAATTCACTCTACTGGCCGTGGAGGTATACTGGTTAACGCACCTCATTCGAGTGTCGACATGGCTAACACATGTGAGCAGGCGCTGGCAACATCGGCCGTGATGATACACTGTGAGCAAAGACCGACAGGCCACTTTGAATCTAGCTAAACGATCACAGCTACACTGACGGCAGCATCGTGCGCGAAGGCTTCGTCGGCGAGTCCTCAAAGCCCGAGTACTCCTCCGGGCGTGGAGGCATGTAAACTCCAGACCAGAACACAGCAGATAAGAGACTAACTGCGACTAAAGGTGCCGGTAACATTGTCGATTCACCCAGAGTCGGACCTGTTGACGGCAAGAGCTCTGGTTCCGAGGACGTGATCCCCGAGCCTGCTATGCGCAACTCTGCAGGCTACGACAACTTCCACACTGGTGTAAGTTTGTCTAGATCACCATTGCTATCGACTTTGGCTAATTGCAAAAACCAGCGCGGAGGTGAAGGAAACGTCTACAAGGAGAAGTATGGAGGTCACAGCGGCCCAACCCAGGAAAAGGACAAGGAGCAGCACCACGAAAAGGAAAGCTTGGGCGACAAGGTCAAGCACCTCTTCGGCAAGAAGGACTAAACTGCCCGTTCAGCGTGGTATGGAGATTGATTGCACAGCGGCGAACAGGCATGAAATAATTAGAGATACCCCATGTCCAGGTCGTGCAATAGCAACCAGAACGATCTCCCATCAGCCAGCACATGCTGTCCGATCAAGTTGTCATTGAGATAGGATGGATTAGTACTTCGTACTACGATCAGATAACTAAGACGAACTTTTTCTCTCACGCTCAAAGCCATCAAGGACACTCTTAGCCACAGCGATTGCTGTGTCCGGCAGACCTAGTACTGTCAGCATTTTTAAGGACATGGCGAAGGTCTCTCGGACTCACCAGCAAGCTTCGCAACTTTGAGCGCATGCGAGCTCCTATTTACACCTTCTCGTAACTTATGAACATAGACCCATGAGCCATCCTTTCCTTCTGCAACATCTGTGCAGTAACAAGCCAGATGTCGAAAGTCCTTGGTCATATCGACCAGAGAATGGAAGTGAGTCGCAAACAATGTGCGGCATTGGTTTGTGTTATGCAGGTGATGCAAACAGGCATATCCTACAGCGACACCGTCTTCGGGCGTTGTTCCTCGGCCCACTTCATCCATGATGATCTTGTTCACGTGTCAGTGGCTACAATCACCGAAACCGGTATTCACTCACAAAGGATTGTGGAGTGGCTTGATTGAGAATATCGGCCACCTCGAGCATCTCCACCATAAAAGTCGACTGATGGTTGTACAAGCTGTCCGCAGAGCCCACCTGAAGGATTGTCAGCATCATTCCCCATATCACGCATGTTCCCTTGGCCGGCTCACTCTGCTAAAGATCTTGTCTACCAGCCCTATTTCTGCATAATCTGCTGGAACAAAGCAACCAGTTTGGGCTAAGATGGTAATCAAGGCGTTCTGTCTGAGATAGGTACTCTTTCCTGCCATGTTAGGCCTGCGCAGAAGGTCAGTATGGTGATCAACAGGCTCAGGTGGTTGGCGTACCCTGTGATCAAGAGAATACTCTGTTCACCGCCAACAATACAGTCGTTGGCGGTAAAGAGGCGACCTTGCTCCTGCAGACCTATGTCTACCATTGGATGACGACCGCCAACTATTTTATGTGTATTGCTAGGTGCAAATCAGTAAATTGAGGTGCAATGCAGCAGACCAGTCTTACCCGGAGTGTAGCACCGGCCTCACTAGGTTCCTCTCTCTTGCCATGACCGCAGACGAGCACCCAACATCTAGCTCATCAAGGACATTAGCGTTACGCCGAAGCCTAACTAGGTTCTCAATCACCTGGCCCCTGATCAGCTGAATGAAAACATTAGGTTTCTCTCGAGGCTTACACGCTTGCGAAGATCGTTGAGTACCCTCTGCTCTTCTGTGCGAATACGAAGCTTTGCATCTTCCAAACGTGATCCTAAGTGTGACCAGTCCGGAAGGTAAAAGGTTCTGGTATTCTTGGTCGAACTGATGTTTCTTGCGTCCTGGATCTCTGCTCGAACGTCTTTGCCTTTGACATGACAGAAATGTCCCAGCTGTGGCGTCCACTTGAGCGTCAATGTATTACCTAATTGGGTCAGTCTTTATATGGCACTTTTCAGATCTTGGGTCATACCAATATCTGCTCGCAAACGTTCATAGAGCTGAACCTTTTCTTGCATGATGTCGTCGAGATTTTGATGCCCTTGTTTCAAAGTTGTACTAGCACTGATCATTGTCAGAGAAGGGACATGACCATAAGAGATCAGTATCATTAACTCACCTCCTGCGCATGATCCAGAATTCTCCAGCGTTGAGCTCTGCGACTACCGCGGCCTTTTTAAGGCTGGCTTTACCGTTTTTTGTCGGTTTCGCCTGAGGCTCCTCTGCCTCGACAATCTGTTCTGCAAGTTCGGCAACACCCACCGCTTCTGCCTCTTCGGCCAAGTGCTGTTGAGACAAGCCCTCTTCATCAATCGCCTCTATGATACGAGTTGCGAGTTTTGATGGACCGTCCAAGTCGAGACGATCTACCAATGCTTTCAATGACATTGAAGATGAAAGAGAGTGGATATTATCCATTTGTCGGGGCAGATGTGTGTTCATCAAGTTCACGATCTGGTTGATGATTTGTATTGTTTTAGCAAGAGCCAAAAGATCGTCGGCATCTCCTTTGCCAATGGAGAACCTCTGCAACAGGCGCAGAACATCTGCAGTTCTTCGCAGGGCAGACATGGTATCTTCGCGCAACTGATCATGCTCGAGCAGCTCTTTAACCAAATCCAAACGGCCGTTAATCTCTGGAAGTGACATGGATGGTGATACTATCGGGTGGAACATAATCAGTACTGGCAGAAGACACGGAAATGAAATACCTTGTACCTAGCCTTTGACTTAACAATCTGGCACCGCTCTTAGTCGTTGTTCTCCGAACCGCATGCAGAAGACTGCCCTGGAAGAGTCCGTCTCGTAGGGTAGATCGGATCTCCAAAGCTTTCAAGGTCTGTTTGTCGATGCTCATATAATCGCTCTGGTTGCGGCGGATAGGATTTCTCAACGAAACGTTCAATTCGAGCAACCTGCCTTTGACATAATCTAATAGCAATGAGCCCGCTAGTACCTCTTGCGCGGAGAAAGAACGCAATTCTTGTTTGGAAACAGGCTTTTCTAACATAGGAGCCCAATGATCAATGGAGACAAAATTTGGGTCAGGGTTGTGATATGTCACAGCATGACCTCCGTCACCCAAAAGCCGATCTAGCAGAGTTCGGTCAACTCGTTCAAAGCTAGAATCTAAGACAATCTCACGGGCTCCTATGCGAGCAATGACGGAGCCAAGTGTGGCTAGTTCTGTGCATTGAGTGAAGAAATCACCACTTGAGAGGTCCACCCATGTAAGACCCACATGTGCATCTTGTGGTGCAGAGACAATGTCTGTTGTGTCAAGATTGGCATGTATGCTCAGCAAAAAGTTGTTCTCGAAAGGGTCGACAAAGGTTTCATCAATCAAAGTGCCCGCAGTAACGATACGAGAAACCTTCCGATTATAGAGGAGACCGCCATTTTTGACTTGGTCAGCAGGAGAATTTCGAACCTCTTCGCTGATAGCAACATGTTTGTTCAAGCCCTGGACAAGCGCCTTCAGAAAGCGATCCAATTGAGTGTACTGGAAGCCCGCCATGGCTACCGGACCAAGAGCGGTTTTCCTTTGAGCTGCTTTGAGGTTGAGGAGAGGGCCATATTGCTCGGCTTGCTCGCCATAGAGCTCGTAGAAATTGCCTATACGAGTAAGAACAACACAGTCGCTGAATCTGGTGACATGGTTCAGATGTTGTTGTATGACACGAGGATAGGCCGGAGTTTGATCGTCCGGGTGTTCATCGACCGCAGGTAGCGGAGCGGGAGTGAGAAGGCCTTGTGGTAGTTCTCGAAATTTGATAGTGCTCTTGGTTTTGGCTCCACGAATAGCAAAGTAAGGAACGTTCGACCTTGGTGTCGCAAGAGAACATGCCAGGCGAGTCAGAGGCAGACGAGCCCGGCAGAACATTCTCGTGGTCGACGGTCAAATCATGTATAGTGTATATTCAATTGAGTCGAGAAAAAAGAAAGTCGTTGATGATGTCGGTGCAAAGATCGAGGCGTGGTGTGATGCGGGGTCCAAGTCCGACTGTCTGAGCAGATGGTCCATCGACTCTTGACTCTGTCTCGACACCAAGACACACAAGCGAAACGTCGACATGGCTCAATTCCCGCCTATGAAAAACGATCTTCTCCTGCGCGCTGCGCGTGGTGAGAAGGTCGAGCGTCCGCCCATGTGGGTCATGCGCCAGGCCGGTCGCTACCTGCCCGAGTACCACGAGGCCAAGGGCTCCCACGACTTCTTCGAGTGCTGTCGCTCGCCCGAGATTGCCTCGACCCTGACTCTGCAACCCATCGATCGTTACGCCGGCCTTATCGATGGCTCCATCATCTTCTCCGACATCCTCGTCATCCCTCAGGCCATGGGTATGGAGGTCATCATGGTCGACAAGAAGGGCCCTCACTTCCCTGACCCGCTCATGTCCCCGCACGACAAACAGTACCAGGAGATCATGGAAAGACATGTCGATGTGAAGGAGTCCCTGGACTACGTCTACAAGGCCATCACCCTGACTAGACAGAAGCTTGATGGCCGTGTGCCTCTGTACGGCTTCTGTGGCGCTCCTTGGACTCTGCTCAGTTATATGGTCGAGGGAGGTGGTTCCAAGATGTTCAAGCAAGTCAAGACCTGGATCTTCAAGTACCCTGAAGAGAGCAAGAAGTTGCTGCAAAAGATCGCCGAGCTTTGTGTTGAATACCTCGCCCAACAAGTCGTTGCCGGTGCTCAGGTACATTTCACCCATTCATCTAACTTTGTTCTTGTGCTGATCTCTTCTCGCAGATTGTTCAGGTCTTCGATTCATGGGCTGGCGAATTGTCCCCGACCTCTTTCAAGGAGTTCTCTCTGCCCTACTTGACCTACATTGCAGACCACCTGCCAAACCGCCTTAGAGAGCTCAACCAAGAAGTCGTCCCCATGACCGTCTTCGCCAAAGGTGCATGGTATGCTCTCGACGACCTCTGCGATACTGCCTACAATGTCATCGGTTTGGACTGGCTGCATTCACCCAAGGAAGCTTACGCTATCGCTCAAAAGAAGGGCAAGGTTCTCCAAGGCAACGCCGACCCTGGTGTCCTCTACGGCGGCAAAGAAGCCATCACTGCAGTTGTCAAGGAGATGGTCGAGGGCTTTGGTGGTGGCAAGCAAGGATGGATCGCCAATCTTGGTCATGGTATGTGCAATGATATTTGTTCCAAATTTACATGCTAATCTTTCCAGGAATTACACCATTCGTCAACCCTGATGACCTCAAATTCTTCTTTGAGGAAATCCACAGACTTTCAGGTAGATGAAGATTCGGCCATTCCAATTGTTTACCGTTGCGAATGATGCTCTAGGAGTCCAAGATACAACCAAAACTTCTGCCTTAGAGGCCGCCGAGCAAAAGATGCACGACAGGAATATGTTGACAAGTGACTGGTGACTCAAGACTTTAAGGCTTTGAAGCCTACTGCTCACCGATGTCCTCGTTCCTGCATCATCAAGTGTCAGCATTGGGATGGGTCATGGCCGGTTGAGACACTCACCACTCCTCGGGGTGCTCCTTGATAAACTTCTTCATCAAATCTTCACATTCGGCGGAATTGACGTTGACAACCTCGATACCTCTCTGCTTGAGGTAATCTTCGCCACCAACAAAAGTCTTGTTCTCGCCGAGCACAACACGCTTCACCTTGTACAGGATACAAGCTCCAGTACACATGTCACAGGGTGAAAGAGTAGTGTACATAGTAGCGCCTTGGTAGGCAGAAGCTGGGAGCCTACCAGCATTCTCAAGAGCACCAATTTCTGCCTAGTATCCCTCAGCATCATGTAATGCCTCACGTGAATGTTGAGCACTTACGTGAATGGTCGGAGAGCCCTTTTGCATTCTCAAGTTGTGTCCACGTCCCTAAGTAAACGTCAATCAAGTAGCTTTGAGGTAACATCATGTGAACCGACCAAGATCTTGCCATCTGCCTACAGAGAAGGTACAATCAGCACAGTCTTGGATATGTAGAGAGCAAGTGCAGTTTGAGCATTCAACCTCGTGCTTGAGTGGCCATAGCGCCATCTAACAAGAAGCCAGACTGCGAGGATAACTCTTGGGATGCATCTTCAATTCAACGTACAGATACGAGACAAGCACCAATGGGCACACCACCCTCAGAGGCGCCCTTTCTAGCTTCTTCGAGAGCAGCCTGGAAACCGATGTCGCTCTCCATGTTGATAATGTGTACGATGATTCAAAAAGTTGTTATAGATAGCAGTGGAAAGAGCAGAACCCCAGACGGAACAGAATTTTGGTTTGACTAGTACACGGCTCATAAGCCGCCCCTCGAAGCCGATCATAGGGACTGCAGCCAATTCTTCGGTCTGAGGAAAGGTCATTATTTTGATTGAATTGCATTGAAATGATCAAGATATGTTACTAGTCCAAGTACTAGACATTGCAAGCTTAAAGTAATCTGCAGCCATACAATACAGAGCGGCCGAGCGTCTGAGGCAGGAGGTGAACAGCAAAAGCAACTCGTGTTTGTTTCTTCACTGCGTGCTGTGCTGCTACATCATATGATAAAGAATGTTTGCTTTGTTATCGCTATTTGGAGCCAAGTGAGTGAGTGAGAGCCTATGAGCAGCAGTGAGAGGGTTGAGACGGCTTGGCACCCTGGCCGGCGTTCGGGAGAAAATCATCGAAGGCTCTAGAAAGGCTATCGGAGTCAAATCAATCGCCTTCTCAAAGCGTTCTTGTTCTCTTCAGAGCCTGCGCTTACCACTCTTCAACTATAGTCCTTGGCTTTTTATCTGTTGATTTGATACCCCTTTAGTTTTTTCCTACTTTCGCTTCTGTCCTCGCACCCTTTAGACCCCCACAGCGCCCTCATTCAACCAGCAACATGGTCAAGGACACGAAATTCTACGACACCCTGGGCGTCGCTCCTGACGCTTCCGAGGCTCAACTCAAGTCGGCATACCGCAAGGGCGCTCTCAAATTCCACCCTGGTATGTGACCTTTTTGTTTGTTCAGAGTTCACTTATCTGACCTGCTCTTCAGACAAGAACCCCTCGCCAGAGGCCGCCGAAAAGTTTAAGGAGCTGTCACACGCATACGAAATTTTGGCCGACTCAGAAAAGCGCCAACTGTACGATCAATATGGTGAAGATGGACTGGAACAAGGCGGTATGGGCGGTGGCATGAACGCTGAGGATCTGTTCTCGCAGTTCTTCGGCGGCGGTGGTGGTGGCTTCGGTGGCATGTTCGGCGGTGGCATGGGTCGTGAGACCGGTCCTAAGAAGGCTCGCACCATTCACCACGTTCACAAGGTCTCGCTCGAGGACATGTACAAGGGCAAGATCTCCAAGCTCGCCCTGCAAAAGTCTGTCTTGTGTCCCAAGTGTGATGGTCGTGGTGGCAAGGAGGGTGCCGTCAAGACTTGCACAGGCTGCAATGGTCAGGGTATGAAGATGATGATGCGTCAGATGGGTCCCATGATCCAGCGCTTCCAGACTGTCTGCCCCGACTGCAACGGAGAGGGCGAGATTGTCCGCGAGAAGGACCGCTGCAAGCAGTGCCACGGAAAGAAGACCACAGTTGAGCGCAAGGTGCTGCACGTCCACGTCGACAAGGGTGTCCAGAGCGGTACCAAGATCGACTTCCGCGGCGAGGGTGACCAAATGCCTGGCGTTGAACCTGGTGATGTTCAGTTCGAGATTGAGCAGAAGCCTCACCCTCGCTTCCAGCGCAAGGGTGACGACCTCTTCTACCAAGCCGAGATTGATCTGTTGACTGCTCTTGCTGGTGGCGCCATCTACATTGAGCACCTCGACGACAGATGGCTTACTGTTGAGATCAAGCCCGGCGAGGTTATTTCTCCCGGTATGTTGTCATTATTACGATTTGCTCAGCAATATACTAACATTATGAATAGGTGAGATCAAGGTCATCAGAGGTCAGGGTATGCCCTCTTACAGACACCACGACTTCGGCAACCTTTACATCCAGTTCGACGTCAAGTTCCCCGAGGTCTTGACCAGCGCCGACGGACAACCCATGACCGATGAACAGAAGGCTGCTCTCGAGAGTGTCCTGCCTCCTCGCTCGCCTCAGAACGTTCCTCCTCCGGATGCCATGACTGAAGACTTCTCGCTCGACAAGGTTGACTCGAACCGCGAGGGTGCACGCGCACAACGTGCTGCCATGGGCGATGATGAAGACGATGAGATGCACGGCGCAGGTGGCGAGAGAGTCCAGTGTGCTTCTCAGTAAACGACGATTATGACATGAAACAAGGAAAGCCCAGGCAGCGTTGTTTAAACAAGCAGCTCTTGGGTAACTCCTCTCTTGCGATTTTTCTTTCCTCTATTGCTTGTGGGTAGCGTTTGCGGCATTCTATAGAACTGGACGAGGTTTCTCGTCTTCAAAGTCCACGATTTCGTTTTTTCTGTATGCTGCGACGGGCTCTTTTTCCATTCAAAAAGGAGGCGTTGGGCGCTGAGGAAGCGGAAGATGACTCAGGCTGGATTGTAGTTGATCAAAGCACGAGATCGATAATTTATTGCTTCCTCCACTTGTCTTCTTGTCTTCATCGTGATTGTTCCAATACCCATCATCTGCTCCTAGGAATCATGGCAACTAGTACTGAAATATTCGAGGTGTCCAATGATTCCAAACAGGACCTGATTCGATGGATGGCTCCGTATATGCCAACATGTATCGCCCTATATCGACGCATACAACTTGGACAATTCAAACCAGACTCTCATTTGTTCAGTTCCGTCAACTTTGCCAGTTCCGCTCATGAAAGGAATACCAACGATCCATGGATTGTCGCATTCGTCGACCGTACATGCAGGCCGGAGACTGAGGTCTGGATAGCTGCCAGTTGGGAACACGACACGCCAACGGACGACTTATGGCTTCCGCAAGCAGACAGCCTCGTGAAGGCAATGATCGAGAGAATCAGCAAGGTCAAATCGTCTCCTCAAGAAGCTGGCACTGTCGCCATTCCGGGAAACCCTCCAGGACTTCCTTCAACATTCAAGGGTAGTGCGAGTGTCGACAGAGATCATTATCTACAGCACTTGCAGAATGAGCAAATCGCCTTGTTTGGATCTATACATAGCGCCACACGCAAGATTCTTAATAGGCTGGGCTTGGTCGACCCAAGTTCTGCTGCAGTGTCAAACTTGCCATATAGGAAGTACATCTTTGACCTGAGAGACAAGTAGGTTGCCTTGAAGCTCTAGATTGATGAACAACTATGCTCACAGGGACACAGTGTGATCTCTCGAAGTTTGCCTGCTGGCTTTGTGTATGGCAAGGTTGACCCCAAGGACTACCCACTGGTCAAATCACGAACGCAGATTCCTCGACAGGACAGGACCTTGGTCAAGCTACCCAGTGCTGCGATATATCCTACAGACACTTCATCCACCACACCGCAGCCCATTGCATGGGCTTTCCTCGGTTTGGACGCTTCACTTACGACCTTGCATGTCGAGCCTGAATACAGAGGTCTGGGGCTGGCCAAGAGCCTCAGCCTCAAATTGTTCTCAGAGGACATGAAATTATACTGGCAACACAATCCAACTACTGGAGAGGATAATCACGTCAAAGAGAGGTGTGGTCATGCAGATGTGGCAACAGATAACACCGCAAGTCAGAGGGTGTGTGAAAGTTTGGGGGGAACTTGGGATTTTGAAGTTTTTTGGATGAGAATTGTTTTGGCATAGACTGATGCATAGGTAGAAAACTGTTCACGTCACGTCTCGTATCTGTAATTCCAGTCAGCAATGTCCGCCAAGTTATTTTGGTAGAGAAGAGTGAGAGAGTGTGCGTCATGAAAAAATTAGAGTGTTGTTGTTGCGTTTTGATCTTCATTAAAAATCTCGGGGTTAAAAATGTATAATCATCCGCGGAGGTGCATGGGGAAAGATGGTACTAACCTTTCAACATAGAATGTCGACGGTGAATGATTCTCACTAGCAGTAGGCAGATACCAAAAGTTTGGGGGACGGGATGAAATTTCTGTTTCTAGAAAATCTATGGCAAGCGACACGCTTAGTCGAACAGACCGAAGCCCATGTCGTCGTCCTCCTCGGACTCTGTGATGAATATGTTAGCATCTCGTGATCTAGATGTGACTGAATGCGAATGTTCTTACCCTCCTTCTCCTCCTCCTTAGCGGCAGCAGGGGCGTCACCAGCAGCGGGAGCAGCGCCGGCGGCGGGGGCGGCAGCGGCGTAAGCGTCAGGGTTGGCGATGCGGTCCTTGAGCTCGTGGATGGCGTCCCACTCGTAGTCGATCTCGATGGCGACCGAGATGGCGTTCTTGTAGGAGTTGACCAGCGAGTGCATGACCGAAGGAAGGGTGGGGTAGTTGACAGCCAGGGAAATGGTGGCAATGGTGGTGATGGCGCTGGTGAAGGCCTTGAGGAGCTGGCTCTCCTCAATGTCGAGGACGCTGGCATCGAAGGTCTGGCCCTGGTCGTAGATCTGAGCAATACCCATACCGTAGGTGAAGGGAGAGATGTTCAGCATGTTGAGCAGGGTGGCCTCGGAGGCACCGACCTTGGAGCCGGCCTCGACGAGCTTGAGATCGGTGGTAATTTCAATGGTACCACGGGCGATCTTGGTGGGGACACCGAGAGCCTGGAAGAAAGAGGTCTTTCCGGGCTCCATACCAGTGTTACCAGCGGGGACGAAAACATCGGCGGGGGCAACGGCACCGGCACGGGCAGGGGCGGCGACACGGTTGGAGAGAATCTTCTCACGGGTGTCCTTAAGGTCGGAGTTGGTGAAGATGAAACCAACGTTGCCTGTGGGCGCAGAGTGTCAGTCGCGCGCATCTCTTGTGTATGCGCAATTGCGCCAGTCGCATGCAGACTCACCCTTGACGTGAGGAAGGAGACGCTCGTACTCGGGGGCCTCGCTGATGAAGCCCTTGAGGGCACGGCGGACCATGGTGTTCTTGCCCATCAGGACAACCGAGTCACCACGGAGAGCGTGTCTGATCTCGTGCATCTGCTGGGACGAGACATTGTCGACGGTGACGATGAAGATGGACTTGTAAGTCTCAAGAAGAGACTTCAGCTTGTCGAAGTAAGCGGCCTTGGTTGCTGACTTGCCCCCCATTTCTGCTATCTTGCGATGAGTTAGGGATGTTTCAGGCGAAGTCTGGAAAATGTCCCGTAGTTGGTTGTTGTAGAGGTTCAAAGTCTCTTCGAATTTCTGACCACACGGCGGACTGAATTTGCTGTTGTGGGTGTCGGTCTTGGCATCGCCAACTCCCGAGCTTACCGATTAGGAAGCATCGACCATAGCTTTTTCTGGCGCCGGCAAGCTGGCTGGCTGCTCTGCATGCTCTGATTAGTGAATCTTGATCACCTTCTCTTTCACTTTCTTTGACTGGTCACCCGTCAGAGCCATGCAACACCCCTACCAAATTACAGCTTTGTGCGGTTCCCAGGCCTTTGCGCCCGAGGGTCTTCTATTGGCTGCTTGTGGTGCTAAAATCATTTCTGTAAAACTTTCAGATGGCTCAATTGTTTCTCAATGGCCGGAGCAAAAGGTCGATAGTTCTGTAAGTACCCTGATATGGGCACCGCCCACAGTGGCATGGCTGATTGGAGACCCTAGTCAGCCTCGGCCTTCTGAACGCATGCTGAACCAAGTCTCAGGTAGAAGCCACTTCAGATGGTCCTCCAGGCAAGAAGCGCAAACTTGAACCGGAAAGCACAACTTCTCCAAATGTCATCAAACTAGCACTGTCTGCTGATAGCAATCATGTCGTTGCTGTGACTGATGACAAGTCTGTCAGAGTCTTCGAGGTGACTGAGGCTGGTAAGCTGAATCAATTGAGCGAAAGGTAGGGTTTATGATTTCCGTTGTCTCTAAGATACCAAAATTGACTTTCAAAAAGAACCATGCCCAAGCGTCCTTGTGCTGTCCTAGTAACCCCAGACAACAAAACCATCTTGTGTGGTGACAAGTTTGGAGATGTGTACTCCCTACCTCTGTTTCCATCTGCCAGCGTCGACCAGGTCGAAGATAGCTCAAATGCAGAGATCAAGGAGGAAGCCGGTCCTAAGAAATACGTCCCTGCAGCCTCTACTCTGACCGTACATTCTGGCCGCAACCGTAGGGCACTGGAGAATCAAATGAAGCAGAAGGATCTGCAAGCCAAAGCCAAAGAGGGGCCCAAATTCGAGTGTCAACTCCTCCTTGGACATGTTTCGATGTTGACCGACGTTCAATTTGCGACTGAGGAAGTCGATGGCAAGACCCGTGGCTACATCATCACTGCCGACAGAGACGAACATATCCGAATCTCTCGTGGAGCTCCTCAAGCACACATCATTGAGCGCTTCTGTCTTGGACACAAAGACTTTATCAGCAAGATCTGCTTGTTGCAAGGTACCGATCTGCTAATCAGTGGTGGTGGAGACGACTGGTTGGGAGTGTGGGACTGGCGTGCTGGTAACCTCACAGAAAAGCGTGACATGAGATCTGCACTCGCTGCTCTCTTCTCTTCTCAAAGCTCAAATACTTCTTTCGGATCCGAAAGCTCGATTGCGGTGTCTGGACTCTGGACTGTACCTTCTGGCACGGACAACAAGGAATCTGCAATCCTGGTTGCTTGTGAGAAGCTGCCATGTCTCTTGATATCAACACAAGGCTCAGCCTCCCGCATGGTTGGCGTGCCTTTACCAGGAGTGCCCTTGGACGTCGCTGTAATTGGAAGTACTGTCATTGTCTCTATGCATGTCACCGAGGTACGTCAATCTTCCAGCAGTCTTCCAAGTCGACAGTCTAACCAATCGAAGGCATCGACCCCACGCCTCCAAGCTTACAAGGTGTGCAACAACGAATCTGGAATGACTTTAGAGCTCGATCAGAACTTCGGTGTGAAGCTGACTGCTGCCAACAATCTCATGCTCCCTGCTCCAGAGCGGAAGCAGCTTGAGAGTTTGCTGTATGGAATCGAGAACTTGAGAAAAAGAGGCGCTCCAGATGAAGGACAGGACGCTGCATCGGAACAAGCAATTGATGGCGCCACTAACGAGATGCCAGAAGACACTCCCTTGGAGGAGTAGACGATGTGTAAATAGATTAAAAGCGAACTGATGTTACTGTAATATCAGATAAGATTCATGGTGGCATCGATCTTCAGGAGTAGCATCCGGCGCGGCCGCGTTATGGCACGGGGGTTGATACGCTTCGGCAGACAAAGCCAAGCCGTGCCGAAGATTCGAAGCTGAAAGAAAAGGCTTCGGCGATTACATTTATTACGAGTGCCCAAAAACGCTTTCGAAGCAACATAATATCATATCTACGGAACCACCCGTACCCGGATGGTCTGATTAAGAGCATTGCTAAGCAACTTTGCCCGTTTATATACAATCGAACCTCTTCAGAAAGCAATCACAAATCACCGTCAAAGTGTTCGCCTCGACTCTCCGCCGTGTAGGCATAACTCCTTTCCGCGCCTCTCTCGCTCTACCTTTCGCATCTCTCCCCTTTGTAGCTCGCGAAGCCAGCGCACTCTCCCCCCCTCCAGCCCGCAACATGCACTCCAAGGTCGTCATTATCGGCTCAGGCCCCGCCGGCCACACCGCCGCCATCTATGCCGCTCGTGCGGACTTGCAGCCTGTCTTGTACGAGGGTTTCCTCGCTCTGGGAATCGCAGCTGGTGGTCAGTTGACTACCACTGATGAGGTTGAGAACTTCCCTGGTTTCATGAACATCCAGGGTGCCACCTTGATGGTGAGTAACAGACAATCTCTGCTCGTCGTGAACAGCCTTCTGAACAGTGCTTAGGATAACATGCGCGCACAATCCGAGGCTTGCGGTACTCAGATCGTTACCCAGACTGTTGGAAAGGTCGACTTCTCCCAAAGACCCTTTAAATTCTGGCTTCACCCCCTCGGCGACGACGAGAACCTTGAGGAAGAGACACACACAGCTGACAGCATCATCATTGCAACTGGTGCTAAGGCAAGAAGATTGGATCTGCCCGGAGAGGAGCAATACTGGGGTAACGGTGTCAGTGCATGCGCTGTTTGCGACGGTTCGCTCCCTATCTTCAGACAAAAGCCTTTGGTCGTCATTGGTGGTGGTGACTCGGCAGTGGAGGAGGCCATCTACCTTACCAAGAAGGCTTCCAAGGTCACCGTGCTCGTTCGCAAGGACCAGCTCCGTGCTAGCAAGGCCAACGCTCGTAGACTGAGCACCAACCCCAAGGTCGAGATCAAGTACAACACTGTTGCCACCAAGATCACTGGTGAGGACAAGCCCCGCGGTCTCATGACTGGTCTTACCATCAAGGACGTCAAGACTGGAAAGGAAGAGAACATTGAGGCCAACGGTCTTTTCTACGCTGTCGGCCACGAGCCGGCTACTTCCCTCTTCAAGGGCCAATTGAACATGGACGAGGACGGTTACCTGATCACCGAGCCCGGAACCACCCACACCAACGTCGAGGGTGTCTTTGCTGCAGGAGATGTTCAGGACAAGAAGTACCGTCAAGCCATTACCAGTGCAGGTGTGTATTGTGATTAAATCAAGCCACTGGCCTTTGCTAACGATTAAATTAGGCTCTGGCTGTATCGCTGCTCTCGAGGCCGAGAAGTTCCTTGCCGAGAACGAGGCTGATGTCGAGAAGTCGGTCGAGGACCAGGAGGTCAAGAAGGGCCAGACTGACAGCGATGTCCCTGAATACAAGCAAAATCCTCTGCTCTAAGCTAAACGCAAGAGTTATGATGTGATATTTGTAAAGATATAGATTTGAGCTTTTTGAAAACCTAGTACGTTTTGTATAGAACTAGACTTGGGAGCTCATTATTAAACTCCATGACTTCTGGTTATTCGCATACTCTGGCGAGTGGGTATAAAGCAATTGAAAAAGCAAAAAAAGAAAAAAAAGCAATAACGCAAAGACAGACAATCTTGATCCCTTCAAAGTGACGCAAAAACGCAGATACGAGCGAGAGGACTCGTCGTCGTACACAGTAAGAATCTCGGAACCAAGAAAACTACAGTGTCTGAGGGAACAATGGCGTGTTGAAGGACCTCAACGATCGAGCATAGAAAGGGCCGCACGAAACGCCTCGACAACTTGCACATCTGCATTTCAACTTGTTAGAAGGGCTCTTGAAAAGTGATTTTTTGTCCGGATCTTACAGTGTTTTCTGCGTTCTTCGAGCTCTTCTTCCTTTCTCATAACAAAACTGCTTTGTGTTCTCAGACTAAAGGTGAGCGATTAGATGAAAGTCATATTGCGCTTGTAGCTAAACATACCGTTGATGGCTTCTTTTCTGTTCATGACCCGAGATAGTTTCTGCCCAAACACCAAAGAATTGTGACAGAGAAGCAAACTCTTGAAGATGAGCGTCTTCTTCTTCCTTGCATTGCGCCATAGCATTGAAGTATTCGGTCTCTAGCTTTTGCCAGTCGAATGGATCCATTTCCTCCTGTGGATCAGTGGCTTCCTCTTCATCGTGTTGATCTGATGAGGGACTGTTCTGATCGTGTGAAGTAGTGTCGCCGGATTCCATGGTATTATAGGTGATTTGCTATTCAGAGAGATGCGTATTCTTGGAGCATATATCAAGGTGTATGGAACTCCGGCGATAGGCAAGCGCGAGCGACGCGACGCGTGACGTGCTCGAAATGGCCGGGTAGTCAAACCCCTATCCAGCACAAAGGTCGACTTCTGTCTCGATTTACAGTCGAGAGAACAGTTATCAGAGCTTAGGTATCTCTTGCGAGCCGAAGCTCTGGGTAACACTCCAATCTTGTGAAGCTGCGTAATCACGGCAACGACATCTAAGTGCTTTGCTGGATCATCGGAAGGGGGGCTTCATTAACCGGCTGTGGAGCGTGACTGCCATCCACGAACGACTGCAACACTTTTACCTGCACTTGTGACTTGAATTATTCGTGCCGTGCAAGCGAGCACGCTTCAGGGTGTTTCATGTCTGCGTGAAGTTACAAAGTGTTGATACCAAAAGTCTTCTGAGACTCTCACGGCTTTCTGCCGAGAAAACCTTAGAACACCAACCGATGCAGGAGCGGTAGTCATCCAGACATCGGTCAAACGATGGAATGTACTGTGTGCTCTACAGTCTTCCCTTCTCGTGGGCAACCAACATGCATCTCGTGCGCTCGAGCGCTGGTATATCAGGCACGGCTGGACAGATTGGCAGATCTGCTCAATATCGAGACCCTTCGCAAACAGGTCAACTCTATCATCTCACCGTTATCACATCACTCCTTGTCTCCATCGTCCTCGGACCTGGAGGTAGTAGACCTTACAGAGGGCTCCAAGAAGCATGCTCATGCCCAGATTTTGCAAGAAAGCCAGGCTACACGATTGCGCTGCACCGTCATCAATGAGCAGGTCAACCTTCTCAAGCAGCAAATAGAACAAGCTCGTAGAGAAAACGCCTCACGCCAGCTTGGTATCAAACAGAGACATGCTGAGATAGTCCGCGAGAGAGCTGAGATGACCAGCCGCGTCCCTCAGTTACTCGAACCACTGCATGCAACTATCCGCCGAAGTCAGCGAAGACTCGACAAGGTACAAGCACGCACCCTCGAGGGTAGAACCAAATTATGTCAAGAAACTGCAAGGCTGGCAGGACTACAGCAAAAACGACGTCGCTTGCCAGACGGCACCATCATGTACGACCATGCCATTGGTGGCATCCCCGTCACAGACCTGCGCCATCTCAATTCTGCGCAACCTCAACTCATTAACGCCTCACTCGCCAATATATGCCGCCTCTTAATCACATGTTGTCATTATCTTTCTGTCCGCCTTCCAGCTGAGATCACTCCTCCTCATGCAAGCTATCCTCATCCCACTATCTTCTCCCTGCAATCTTCCTACCAGGGCTTTGAACTTCCCTTCCCAGGCTCCTCGTCGACTCCGTCATCATCGCGTACCCTGGATCAACGTCCCTTACCCAAACCACGACTCCTCCATCTGGATCGTCCGTTAGTCGCTCTTTACAAGGAGGATCCTGCTAGATACAACCTTTTCATTGAAGGCATCTCGTTGCTAGCTTGGAACGTCGCTTGGCTCTGCACTTCCCAGGGCCTCAATCTCTCCAGTGCATATCAGGCAGTTTGTCCCATAGGACTGAATCTCTTCACACTATTCCGTGAACATACCAATAGAAGCTCGGCTCCGCAGACAACCAATGCGGAACATCTCACGCGCACGAATCAGCCATTCGGTCAGTTCTCCCATGCTAGCCCGCGTCAAGCCCCTGCTTCGATCGAAGCTCTCGATGCGATGCGTAATTGGCGAGCTGCTTCTTTTGCTCGGTTCCTCGACAAGATCAAGCAAATTCTTCTACAAGACATGTCGGGTGCCGAATGGGAGGTCATCTCCGGAGATGACTTTGAACAAGAGGAGGCGGTGCTTGTAGGAGGCTCCAGAAGCTCCCGCGTAGCTACCTCGGGCGGTCTGTCTTCCGCAAGGCGGGTCCCTGAGTCTGAGGATGCTGGAGAGGATGGCAACAAAGGGTATCTGAAGTTGAAAAGCCGTACAGGAGAGGGCGGACGATCATAGAGTCGGCACTGAGACTGGTCACATAGAATATTGTTACTCAACCATATAATCTTGACTCTTGATCAAATTACCATCAACTTAAAGCAATTATCTGGCTTAGTCTAGTTTTGATCCGCCTGCGACATGTCATGTTGAGGAGGCTTTCAGTACTGTCAATCCTGAATTTTGTTCGATTAAATGGAAAACAGCAACTTTCTTCGATTATCGTAGCTATGCCAAAACGTGGTTCATTCCATCGTGTTTCGTCGTCGCATTTACATGAACTTGCTCATAAGCCCCATGAGGCCGCTGGCACTGCTGCCACCACCACCTCCCTGGCTCTTCATGTACATCTTAAGGGCCATCTGGGCAGCCGACGAGATCGCGTCCTGCTTTGAGGCTGATTGGTGCACGTTGCCTTGAGAGCTTTGCTGGTCTGGATGCTAGTTAGCAACATGTCTTGTAAGTCATGGATTGAGTACATACCGAAGAGCTTGGCAGCTTGAGACATGGCAAGACCGATGAAGTCGTTCTGGCTCTGAGGACCATTGCCAGAGGAGCTACCTCCCTGGTTGAACATCTTGAGAGCCTGCATGGCGGCAGCCGAGCCCATGCTGCCAGAACTGGCTGGGTGAGGCTGACCAGCTCCACCGTAGAACTGCTGGTGCTGTCTCATAGCATCGTCTTCATCGACATCCCCTTGTTGTGCCTTGTGGCCAGAAAGCATGCCAAGGGCATTGCTGAACATGTTCGAGTCTCCAGAATCACCAGCATGCTGGGCTGCAGTGTGGGCTGCGGACGAGTAGTCGTCAGAGCCGCCAGGGACGTTGCCATAGGAGGTACCGCTGGAGTGTCCATGGCCACCGTTGCCGCCACCGTAGCCTCCATTGCCACCGCCGTAGCGTCCCTCGTTGTCATTGCCTCCACCGTAGCGTCCTTCATTGTTGTTGCCGCCACCATAACGTCTGTCGTAGTCGTTGCGGCCACCGTAGCCTCCGTCATTGTCGCGGCCGTTGAAGCGGTCGCCCTCGTTGTAGCCAGAGCCATATCTGCTTTCGGGGTTGTCTGAGCTCACCCTGTCGCCAGGGCCTCCATAACCTTCCTGTCCTCTGCCATAACCACCAGGGCCGGAGACCGAGCTAAGTTGTACAATCAGCCGTAATCCAATGGCACGAGAAGGTGAAAGATTGTTACCCATAACCAGATTGTGCGTGGTTTCTGATTTCATCGCGGCGGTCGTCGTAGCCAGATTCATCGTCACGGCGGTGGTGGCGACCGTGTTCGGGGTTGCCTCCTTGACCGTAGCCGCCGCTCTGACCGCCGTATCCTTGGTTACCGAAGTCGCCCTGGGAGTTGCCATACTCCTGACGGCCGCCGCGTCCATAATCTCCTCTGTTGTCGCCGCCGTAATCGTCGCGGCCACCGTAGTTGCCCTCGTTACGGCGAGAGTAGTCGCCGTCACCACCACCGCCGTAGCGTTCGTTTTCGTATGACATGATTGGAATACTGCATTGAAAGTGGTCAGCTCGATTTCATTTCTCGTCTGGGTTCCAGGCGAATACGTACCTTGTGAAAGTGCTAAAGTGTGATTTTCTGCGAGTTTTGTTAGATGATTGGGTGTGTGGTCGAGAAGAGAAGGAGCCTGGAGTGCTTGAGAACCTGCGAGCTCATAGGTACTATGATGTCAAAGAGCGGGGCAGCTTCCAACTTGTCAACACTATGCTAGAAGAGTAACCCTGTCTCTCACTGCATTTCACTCCGAACTCACCATATCTCCATCTTCACAGTGAAATAGTTGCTCATGATAATTTATATAGCTTAGTAAACTACCTGATCAGATTCTCTATCGCGTTAAAACCTTAGCTGTTCGCCAAAGTCCATTTATTTTAGCATCGGCATTCGATGATATAAAGAGTCCGAAATTTTTACTCGTACACCACAACATCCAACCACATACACTCATTTATTGATACCAGAGACGTCAAACATACAAAATTCTACAACGCCCACCACCTGGTCACTCTCACAATCAAACATTAACCCAAGCACACATATTCAACTCATACGATGGCTGCATCATCATCGCCCAATCCTGTAGTTTTCTTCGACATCACCCTAGGCGGCGAGCCCTTGGGTAGAATCAAGATGGAGCTCTTCCAGGATGTTGTGCCAAAGACTGCCGAAAACTTCCGTCAATACTGTACAGGCGAGACCAAGAACCATCTGGGACACCCCCAAGGCTACAAGGGATGCAAATTCCACCGTGTGGTAAGGATCGGATCAATGAATATGTTCTGGGCATACACAAGAGGCTAATGCGATGGCAAGATTCCGAATTTCATGATCCAAGGAGGCGACTTCCTCAATGGCGATGGCACTGGCTCGGCTTCGATTTACGGTACCAAAGCCTTTGCTGACGAGAACTTCAACCTGCGACACGATGTTGCTGGCTTGCTGTCCATGGCGGTGAGTCTTCTGCCAACAATGCTATCTCTACGTGAAAAACTAACGTGAGCCTCTACTAGAACTCTGGTCCAAACACAAACGGCTGCCAGTTCTTTATCACCACTGTGCCGCTACCTCATCTCAACGGCAAGCATGTGGTCTTTGGAAAGGTCGTTGATGGCATGGATGTTGTTCGAAAGATCGAGAACGTCAGAACTAACGTGACAGACAAACCCATCCAGGATGTTGCCATTGCTCAGTGCGGAGAGATGTAGATTGAATACCTGCCGCAGATCTAGGAACATAGTGGGCACAAGGTCACAATTACTTTCAAGAAAGGGAGTCGCGGTTGAGACCAAAGATGCGAATGGCTTTGAAAATGCAATCATAAAATTTCAAGAAAGATGACAACTCCCAACCAAGGCGCCTGAAGCCCCCATAACGTTGTCGCTCGCCCGTATCACGCTGAAGATGAACACCATTTCCTAGACCCAACCCGTCGCTGTTATACCGGAAAGACCCAGGAGTACCCCGCTGCCAAAAAGACCAAACCCGATAGGTTATATCACCTTTGCGTAAAATCATCTCGAAGTTCCAGCTTCAAGATCACCTGGTGTAGTAGTTGTGTTGTTCCCACGTCGAAGAGGATTCGAGAATCGCGGCAGTCTGCTGAGCCATCCACCTTGAGCTTCTTGTCGATCGGCTGTGCTTGGATCGCCTTGCACGATCTCTGGGACGCCGTGTTGTTCTGTATGAGGTTCGCCAACCAGAAACCTTGGACCGCCTAGCATCATGCGCCTTCTGCCCGTGTTCCCTGATCTACGACCACCAATCCAAGCAGCGGCAGGGCTGGAGGGTAAACGCATACCGCGCTCCCTACGACCAGTCTCGTCAGCGTCGTCTGCAGCACGAGGCTTTGGAACATAGTAGTCGGCCTTGCATAGAGGGCAGCATGCACGACGGGAAGTGAGCCAAGGATCAAGACATGCCGCGTGGAAGGCGTGGCCACAAGTGAGACCGCGAACATCATCGTCATCTTCGAGGTTATCCAGACAGATAGCGCAAGTATCACCAGGGGGCGCAACCATCTCAGGTGGCGCAGCAGTCCGAATTGGATCGTCTTCGTCGTCAGACTCGTGATCGTTCTCATGCATGGACGATGCGACGGTCTCTGCCTTTTCCAGTGGGACCTTGTCGTAAGAAGTAGCAGCGGCAGTCGATGAGGCAGCGGCAGCGGTATTGACATGATGTTGCTGAGCCATTTCAAGAGTAGTACGAGGAGACTGAGGTGACTCGTGCTGGTCTGGCGGATTGGAGTGTCGAATGCTTGGAGCGCGACTTGGAGCAGCACTCACACCGCCGGCGGCAGGCAGCCCATCGGCCTCGCGTGAAGCCCTCCATAACTTGTACTTGGTGAGAGGGAAGCGCTCGTTTACGTCGTCCATGGTCATGAGTTTCTTCTCCCTTCGGCGTCTGTGGGGGCGAGGCATGGCCATAAGGTCAATGGGATTACCATCCTCACCGAGTGCGCGCTGACGGTTACGCTGGTTGTAGCGGAAGCAGTACTTCACGCCGACAATAATCCTGGAGTCAGAAGGTTAGAAAGGGAGGCGAAACAGACAAGAGACGAGGAAGCATGGGTACCATAAATTGGTGAAGACAACACCAAAGCCCAGAGCAACGAAGAACAGAAGAGGTGAGCTAGTTGGGCCGCTACCGCCACCAGAAGAGCCGGTGCTGGTCGCTGATGCAGAGATGGAGGAGGAGGCGGCGCTCGGCGCAATCGACGTCGTGGCAGACATTTGAATCTTGTCGCTAAACCGGCATACCACTGCCTGCTGACGAACCTGACCAGGTAGTGAGCGTTGTTAGGGAGCAGGAGGACGCGTGGCGCAGTTGTGTTGACAAAGGCGAGAGATAAGAGGCAGGGATGTCCAAGGGACCGTACTCGTAGACGGCGGTCGAGTGCGGTGCTAACGGCTCGACTCGGGAACGACTGCCGCTTGTTCCAGAGCGATGAATGACGACCAAAACAAGACTTGGACGCAGAAATCTGCTTGTGAGACGACGAGTTGGCGCGCCTAAGTTAGTGTGTGTGCGAAAAGAGCAATGACTTATTCTTGCTGTCGACATGCGACCAGGGAGACTAGCGGCGGCTGTCCGAGGGTCGCTTTGACTCCTCATCTCCAGACTTGTCGATCATTCACTTCCATGTCGCCATCATGCATCCTCCGAGCCTAATGCCCTTCGTTCTAGCCAACCAATTCTTAGCCTTACTATACAATCAGGTTTCTCCTTTACTTTTAACTGTATCCCACCAAATGTTTTCTATAAAGTGTGGACTAGTCAAATCGTCTGCTGGCTTGACGTCTTGACATACGTACTTTGTACGCGTTTTATATTCTGAGACATGTTTAACACATTGTTTCTCCCATGCTTTTATATGCTAAGCCCATGCACCGACCAGCGCCATTAACAAAGCTCCAGCGACCACAGAACCACAAGCCTGAAGTCGCTTTCGTCCTTTAAGGACCACATAGCTTTCGTCGCTCAAAAAGTCCTCTGCTAACAACTCAACCAATCCAGCAAACAACAGTAACCCGCTACTGATTGCATTCATGATGCCTACCATGAGTAAACCCGTCTGACTGTATGGATCGTAAAGATTATGTACAAGAAGTCCAATAGCCTGTCCTAACGGTGTGGTCGTTCCATAGGCTAGCGCCATCAGCCAGGGCCGCGGTGACCGCTTTGGAAATATTGTGATTGCAGCAATGCGAGAACCCAGAGCCAGCCCTTCAAAGGTCTGGTGGAATGAGATGGCTACAAGCAAGACGATGAACGATGTGCCTGTTGCCACCGACACCGCCATGCCTATGAAGACACTATGGAAGAGAATCCCGGCTTCCAGCAGTAAACATTGCAGCAGCATCTTTTGTTGATGCTGTTGCTCGGAAGGCGAACCAGTTCGTTCCAGACTCGGCTCGATAGCATGTCCATGGCCGTGGCCATGACCATTCATGTGAGGATCCAGCTCATCAAGATCAAGATCCGAGTTGCTGCCTGTATCATCTAGACTGGTACGACCCTTTTGAGCCAGCGGTTCTGTGTCGGTGTAACTCCCATTTTCTTGCAATGCCATGTTATCAGTGTTATCCTCATCAGCTCCTATTTGTCCCTGACTAAATGGTCGATAACTGTCACTCCTTCTGTGTAGTGGTCTCGAAAGACCCTCGCGATTGCTGCTTCTCAAGGGGACCATGTCTTCATGTTGTTCGCCAGGAGATAGATATTCGCTCGAGTGAGAATGACCAGCTCCTTTGCTAGCGAAGAACATTTCTACGCCCACGACTACCATGACAGAAACCATAGCGATGAAGCCAGCCATGGCGGGATATCCATGATTCCAGAATGGTGGGAGGCACGGATCCGTGAGGGAATTGAAAGCGGTGGGCAGGAGATGGACGAAGGCGGTCGCGATCAAGACACCGGTGCCAAAGTGCCGGGACAGGAATAGGAATTGGCGAGGTACGGGCATCCGAGGAAGCCGTCGAACAAGAATTGGGAACGAGCATGCTGTGTATGGTCAGAGAGGAGAAGCACTGAGCAGCGGGAGCGAGACTGACCTAGTGTACTGAGCACAAGAATCAGAACCAGCGCGAAGACATGCAGAGGCATGTTGTAGTCGTTGGTGGTACCAGTGGTGCCACAAGTAGGCCGGTCATGGTCGACTGCTTGTCGACGTAGCAGTTCAGCTCGCAGCGCAGAAGTCGGAATATCGCTCCATGAGGCCGCGTTGTCTTGTCGCATGTCGACAGATGCACACGTCTAGACGATCAGGTCGTCGACATTGGATGGAGGTCAGCACTCCCCCTTATTTCTGCACTCACACACGTTGTAGATTCGTCTCAATCACTCCGCACACACCGTTGCAATGTACACGAAGCTCCCGGTTCGCCCCGCAGCCACTTCTGCGGATCTACGAACCTTCCGTGCGCCTGGTTCTGCTGCTTCGACATGACATCTTGGCACCTGCTGACTATGCATTTATCTACACAAATATCTGTTATCTACACCGTGCATCTTACAAGCTTCTCACTTCTCGATCTCCTCTTGTTCGGCCGTACTGCCCACTCTCTTTAGCTCGGATCCAATGACGCTGCTGTCTGCTGCCTTGCCAGCATCCTTTGACGATCTAGACTCAATCTCACGACAGCGTCTAGCCAAATCGTGCACATGCTCGTCTTCGCTACCTTCTCCGAGCTCCATAAGAGCTTGATCAAGCCCGTAGAGATAGTCTTTGTTTTCTCCACTAGGCCCTCTGCTCTTGACAATGTGTTCTGCCAGCGTTTCAAGGTCCTGTGGACCCATAAATTGCGGATTGTCTGGAAGTCCTACATAGACCAAACAGTCAATTGGTGCTGGCAGATTGTGTGAAGCCGCAAACTCCTTTGCAACGTGGAATGGAGTGTACTGGATACTGTATCCGTTGATTTCTCGGATATCGAGATATTCCCTCACTTCTGCTACGTGCGGCCCCGGTATCTAGATTCAAAGTAAGTCGTGGTTAGCATTGATCTCGTAGTATTTCAGTTGGTCCATCGAGACGCTGTTCTGAGCCAATATCATTTTGACTCTTGCTCGGGGATGCACTTAAGCGAGGCGGCCTCGTTGCGAAGACCACTCGTGGCATTGTTTACTCAATTGACGTACCCTATACGCGGCGCCCCATGTCTGTAAAGGAGCATCTGAATGCTGATCGGTAAGAGTATTCCAATGCGATCTGTCAATCAGGGTGACAACCCGGCCGGGAGCCTCAGGAGTTCCACGATGATCTTCACTATTGTCCTCTGTTACTGAGAATCCTCAACTGAAGCCAATCTGCTCACCTTGCCTGCCAAAATCGCCGCACGTATCCTTCAACGTAGCCGGGTACTCTCAGGTCTGGTACTGGTCAAAAGATATATCGTAAAGAGGCTATTGAGGTGCTTACCGAAATGTGGCGGCGGTTTCCAAATCAAACTGCCATAGCCAAAAAGCCACATATCTTCCGTCGCCTCAGAAGTCATAGCCATGCGATTCTCAGAGATGTACTACCAAAATACAATCAATGTAGTGTCACAGATGGATGGAAGTCTGGGGAGACGGATCGCCTTCATCCGGATGAGCAAACACAAACAAACATCGGGTCATGACAGACGGAGCCAACACTTGTAAAGCACCTTCATGGACGGAATGAAACACGAGCAAGCATTCTTTTTTGCAAAAGCATAGGATAATCCTTGTTCTTGTGGTGGTACCATTACCAATGAAATACTCTCACTAAAGTTTCCCGAATGACTCTCGCCCGAACGCCTCTTGACTTTGACCTATGCATACCTGACCCATGCCCCAACTCCCGCTTCAACGCAGCAAATCATATTGTGTAGAACATTATTCGCGACCGTAGGTAATCTTCAATCTCTTGGCCGGCTTGTCGTCATCGTCGTCCTTGTCAGCTGCCTTCTTCTTTTTGCTGTTGGCCTTCGAGACCGTACTGCTAGGGGTGGCATGGTTGCTGTCTCTCGAGGCTAGTTGAGGAGGTACCGACGAGGCTGGTGTGGGCGCATGGGAAGGAGTGTTGGTGGCTGAAGTGGGCATGTCCGAGTCTTGAGCCTGCAAGTAACGTGTCAGCGGTCCGACCCATAACGAGGAATTGTAGACAAGGTTAAGCGTACTCTGATCCAGGACATGGAGCTCCGTGAAAAGACACGGTCTTCGTCACGAACTCTGACTCTGGCCTTGCGATCGTCGGCAGACTTCTTGTCTCCTCCTACGACGACACCCTTGACCCATCCATCGAACCCGCGCACAATATTGCCAGCACCGTTGGTGTCCTCGAGGTAGCTGCTCTCCATCTTGTATATATTGTCTTCAAGAGCCTGCAGTTGTTCGTCGAGTTGTCGCTTCTTAATCAATGTGTTTTTGAGTGTGTTTCGCAGACTTTCGTAGTAAGGACGACCTGGTTGGTCTGTGTTGGTTGCGCTCGCCGGCGCATTATCAGCCATCCTGACGCGCGAAAGAAGAGATCCGCAAGATGGCGCAGTTGAGTGTAGGATGGATGAATGCTTCGCGAAATTCTATCTAGGTAGTTATTCGTGTTCGCGTTTAGCACTTGTCCCCCGCGACGCAGCTGATGATGTTCTCCGCACTTCCTCTCCAACACGAATGCAACATGATGGCTACATCCGAACATGAGAAGACAGTTTATTCAACCCCTCCGCCTGCCCTGCGCATAGCGATGATCTTGGTCTTGAGCAATTTCTCTCTCAACTCACTGGCGGTGGGCCTCTTACCGCTATGCTTTGCGAGGGCTGCCGAAGGGCTTTCCAACCTATGATAGGTCTGTTATCATTAGCATCTAGTGATGTCCAAACATGCAGAGCCTCTACAGAAGGCAAGCTGAAGCTCCGATAAATATATAGTATACCAACTACTACTACTCTCGTTTTCGCTTTGACTTTGTGAGTGATAGTATTGGCGTAAGAGAAAGATGTGCTCGAACAAAGTGTCTTGAGACATTAAGAATCGATACCCACCTCCTCTGCTGCACCAGCGCTACTCTCTTCCACTTTGTCGGAGTTCTTCTTAGTCGTGAACTCATGCATCCCAGATATGTGTCGCTTGCTCTCACGTGCTTTGCTTGAAGAAGCTGAACGCCTCCCAGCGTCACGCGAGCGGCTTCGAGAACGTTGTCTACTGCGGCTGCGATGTGATCCGCGTGTATTGGTGGAGTGACGGTCCTTGACAGCATTAGCACGCTTTGTCTGCCTATCTTCGGAAAGTGAACGGGAACGTCTGCGGCGTGGCGGAGATACGCTATCCTTGCCATTCCGGTCGTTGTGGCTCAATCGAGTTCTAGAAGGTGTGCGTGACCGATAGCGTCTGGCCCTAGGAGATGAGCTGGAATCTCTTCTGCGCTTTGGAGGTGGTGAGCGCCTTCGTGAATAGGGCGATGAATCACGGTACCGGCGCTCTCCTCGTGGAGGTTCAGCGGGCCGTTTGGAGTACCGATGCTCTGCAGAACGACTGCGGCTGCGCTCACTTGAGGTGTTACGCCGTGCAGTTCTTCGCGGGCGGGGTGGAGATGTACGACGAGGCGATGCCGAGCCAGGACTACCGTACGTGATAGAGGGGGAGCGCTGGCGTCTCCCACCTCTTCGCCCACTGCTCTCTCCCGTGGGCACGTAAGAGTCTGTTTCTCTGGGCAAAGGCCTGTTGCGATGGAGATCGCTCGAACCGTAAGACGGTCTAGCTGGTGGTGATTGCGACCTGGAAAAGTCCCTAGGGGGTCGACTGTCGAATTCGCGGCCTCCACCACGGCCTCGTCCTCTCCCACCTCGATCCCTGCGATCACGATCTCGGTTGCGAATGCTCTCTAGCTCTCTCTCGCGAGTCCTTTCGTCTTCTCTGCGCTGTCGAGCTGCTTCAATGGCTCTTTCCTGCTCTACCTGCTGAAGTGTTAACGATCCACATTATAGTGTTGGAGCATGAAGATATACTTTTTCTTGAAGGAGTTCCAACTTCTTTGCCTCGACAAGCTGCTGCGGAATTCCTGTATCGCTCTTCTGTGCGCTCAAACAAAGATTCCAGAGTTCCTTACAGAAGAGAGCCGCGTCTTTCTCGAGAAATCCGGTGAGCTGGATTTGCAGTGATTTGACGTCAGGCTAGAGAAATTTAGACCATTATTTGATCATATGAACATGAATCAACTCACGTTTTTGGAGCCCTCTAGAAGATCAAAGAGAAGATTGATAACAACATCATCTTCATATCCTAGAATTCTTGACAGCTCGCTAGCAGCCCAGCTTCGACACAATCAGTATGTGACACAGATTTGACAGGCTTGTAGTCAAACCATTTGCGATAACTTGGGCATGACTTACTTCTTGATGACCGGGATGTTAATCTTGGTCGTGTCGACTTTCTGATTGAACTCGGGCGGAAACTTCGTGGTACGCAGTAGTTTTTGGTCCACGTTCGTGGTGATACGATTCATGATCCTGTGGCCAGTCTTGAAATCTGGCTTGGTTCGGTGAAATTGGTCTGTGGATTTGGCAATGGACTCCACAGAAAACAGCAATTGATTTGGATGATGGTGGCAGCCGCAAGCCGCGACAGTTTGTTTGATGGGCGCACGGACCATTCTTGCTTCCGCCTTACTCAAAAGCCTCTGAGGGCATCATGTTCACTACATACACATCGCAGTGCTACATCAAACATCACGCCAAAATATTCACTGGCGAAAAAGGCCGTGGATGATGCTTCCATATGCTTTTATCAAGTCATCTGTGCGTAGCTTGCATTTTGACGGCTACTTAAAGGTTTTATGTGTTCAACCTTGAGGTCAATCAGGTTTGACCCTCTGCTATTTCTTTCTAGATCATTTATGTTGTGCGCAAGAGATTGAAGAGTAGTAAATTCCGACAGCAATCATCAAGCTACCTCAAGGAGAGCCTGCAGTATTCTAGTAGCAAGAAAACCAGTCGCACAGCTCTTTGTAACAAGTCCAAGGCATGGGCAAGAACAAAAGCCTCGTCATGCTTCGCTACTTCCTTCCGCAGAAGAAGCGTTCTGACAATGCGCAAAAGCGATTTGGATCTCAGGCGCGGAAAGAGCTGGTTGGCGGTAGCTGCTAACCCTCTCTCGACCAGTTCGCTCTCTACTGCATTCTCATTCTCTTCTTCACAACCACACTTCATCATCAATCCGATTTATTTCATACACCCACATATTACTCTTCTTCATTCAGCTTCTCGTTTGTTGTTGTCTGTTGTCAAGGCGTTATTGGCATCTTCATCGTTGCAATGGATAACCCTCCTGAACCCATGCCTAAGGTCTCGATCGATCCTCTTCCTCCAGCAGAGTCACCATCGCCATCTTCACCCCCATCTCCACCCCCTTCTTCACCTCCTCCAGAGCGTAAGAACCTTGTACAGTATCCACTGCTTCGCCTTTCTGACGCTTTGAACAGACATCGTCGTCACCAGTCATGAAGGCTCCGTTGTGGCTGTTCCAGCAGCAGAACCAACACTTGAGAAGGCTGTGACACCACCAGCTGCCGACCCCAAACCCCCATCGCCACCTCCAGCACCTCCAGTTGTTGTTGCAGTTTCAGAGACTATCCCACCACCAGTCTCTTCTGTCGTCTCACCAGCCCCGGTCATCATCCAACAAGTGGAGCCCATCTCTGCTCAGGCTCCAGCACCGGCACCTGTCTCACCCAGCACAGTCGTTGTCGAAAAGGTCAAGGAAGCACCACCTGCTCCATCACCAACTGCACCTGCACCTGCAGTAGTCGTCGTGGAGTCACCAGCACCTTCATCACCTATCGTCACGGCCACTGCATCCACTGCTCCTGTTGTACCGTTGATTGTGAAAACCTCGACTGCCGAAGCTACCATTGGGAGAAGCGACACAGCTGCTCATGAGCCACAGAAGAAGTCCGACAAAGTCCCCATTCTCATCGCAACCAGATCAGCTCCTGAACTACAACAAGGTTCACACGAAGTACAAGCCAGACCATCTGTATTGAGCTTCCGTTCGGCACCTCCTGACACTTTCGTCAGACGCGACACGCATGTTGTAGTCATCGATCCTTCTGTGAACGAGCACCCGAAGAGACACTGGAGAGACAGGGTCAGAAGGTTTTGGGTCTCCAAACTTGGTGGTCGATTCTTTTTGCGTTTGCTGTTGGGCGAACAAGGAAGCAACGTTGCAACTGCTGTGGTTTCAAGATATTGATATACAGCCTCGATACTCGTCCCTAATCCTAATTGATACAATTGCCTAAGCCTGAACAGAACTGCCGTGACTGCATGCATATGATCCTACGTCTCTAAACCTTTTCAATCGACCTCAGGTTACGTGCTCGGATAGTGGAAGATACGAAGCGGCAAGAACGCTTGATCTCAGGTACCTGAACTGGATATCATCATGCTTGTTTGTTCGCGATTTGTATTGTCGAGAGGGACAACATATTATACGGCTCTCAAAGCCATATCGACCTGCTGACGAGCTTGCAGTAAAGCATGGTCGAGACCCTCGCGATGAGCCAGCTTGACGTTAGCATGGAGGTCAAGCAAATCCTGTGCGCGCGCCAGATCAACATCTGAGTCGATTGTATTGTGCGCTTTCTGTAGTTGCTGGGTCGATAGAGCTGTAACATCGCTAGGCGGGCGAGCCATGACGAGATCCATAGCAGCCGTCGGGTCCTTGCTCAAGGTCAGTCGCTTTCAGTGCCAGCTGCATCCTTTCTATACAACATACGCCCGCACGAAGAGAAGTTAGGTCGGAAAGGATGTCGGCAATTTTGAGCATGATTCTGGTATTGATTGTGCCCGATTATGTGTAGATGGTCAAGAAGTTTAGATCGTGCGAGGTTTACGACAAGGGCGTGTGCAGGGTTCATCAAGGTATGAAGATGTCATTATGGTGGAGTCAAATTTAGAAAAGCTTTAAGCATGTGATCTCGTCTATCACAGTACTATAGACGTTATGGATCTAGGAATAGATAATCTGATAGTGAACATCGTTTTAACGTGCTCATCCAATCTTTACAGTCGCGTTATTGCGCAGCCTCCGTGCCGTGTTGTTTGTTTTCTATACACAACACCTCTCAGTTGGAGACGGGCAAGAGCATGCTATGCCAATTTTGCAGACTTATGCCCAAAGGCATGATGCCCAGTCTCACATGTCGACCTCGGCGTGCCGCATATAAGCAGGCAGATCCATGGGAGCCGATCTTTCGTCTGCTTCTGAAACATAGTCTCTGGCGGGCGTTGCGGCCGCGAGCTCTGCTTATTCTTCAGGCGAGCAAAAGGGCCAGTGATTTGAAAAGCGTGTACTTCCAAGGCTCCGATCAGCCTCCTCTGCCTCTCCAGCCACCTCTTCCTCTGCCCCTACGTTTTCCCCAACCACGTCCTCCGCCACTTTCACCTCGCTCGAATCTTTCGCGTCGCTTCTCTTCCTCGGCAAAGAACTCCTCTTCGCGCTCTTCTTGCTCTCTGCGGAGCTCTTCTTCGGGTTTAATACGACGAGGCTCTGGTTTCTTCAGATCCTTGGCGTCAATCCATTTTGGGTGAGCTCCATGTTCGCAAGAGACGACATTGTCCCTGTCGGGAGGACCAGATCGACCATTTGGACAGAAGCCAGCGAGGTAGAAAGGGCAGATGGTGGTGTGTTTGATGTGTCGCAGGCTGCAATATGGACCAAGAGGACAGAAGCCTCGAGCGAAGTGAGGACAGGGAGCAATGCGCAACGGTGAGGTGGGAGCGATGTGGAGATAGGTGCCTTGTCAAGAATTAGCAAAGCGGCATGTGAGTTGGGGTAGAGACAGACGCACATTCATCACCCTGGGGACAGAGTCCGAAGCGACTGAATTCCTTGCATTCTCTTTCACCACGCAAGTCGAAGGTATGTGCGAACTCGCACTGGTCGCCTTTCTTACACAGTCCGCGTTGGTAATGTTTGCAAATGAGGTGGCCAATTCCAGATCGCTCGTTCGGAGGAGTGTAGTGACGGTCAGGACAGGCAGGACCCAGAGGACAGTGGCCGTTCTTGTAAGCGGCGCATGTTGGACGGTTGTGCTTATTAGGGAAACCGAAAGGTGGGAAAGCAGTCTTGAGATAGGGCAGGAAGGATAGCTCGGGGGCCGGGGCGCTGGCCGGGTTGAGAATGCGATCAGCGATGGCAGCGGCCATGTTGGGCGAGTATGTCTGGAGCAGAGATGGCTTGCTTGCACATGAAAGATGGGCGGTGACGCTGACGGAAGCTTTGGCGGGTAAAATGGGAATAACAATGAATGGTGGTTCGACGAATGATCGACGTCAAAGTGTGGAGGCAGCGCGGAAGCTTGGAACAATCGACACCGTAACCTGCTGCACCTGCGACGCAACTCAACTTGTCCGTCCATCTCCCGAAGCTCGCTCGCTCTAGTCTCCGTCCTCGACTTCAGCTTCGCCTGCGCCTGTCTTCACTTCCCCTTCATCACACCATCCCGATGCACCAGGCATAACACGACCATGGTGTCGGACACGGTCTACGAGATATGCCTGCCCGTACTGCAGGACCCCGCCCTACCTGACGATGAGAAGGCCGATCGCGTCGAGGAAGTCCTTCGCCAAGAGGCTCGTCTAACAGGCAAGGCTCTCGAGGATGCCGTCCTGGGTGTCCTATGGCGCCACCGCGACACAGTCCAAGGCTCTACCTCTCCACCGCCCTTACGCGCCTCTGTGATCCGCCGTCCATCGCCCGCTCCGTGGCAGCCCCGTTCTGTTTCTGCCACAAACTCGCCCAGATCTCAGAGCGCTACCATCCACGCCCCTCCCGGCTTTGGTTCTAATCCTCAATTTACACGCGCAAAGTCGTCGACTGCCTCACCCTTCTCCTCGCCGCGTCCCTCACCACGCCTGGCTTTTGCGACTCCTCAAATCCCCCACAGTCCTAGTCTGAGTGCCTACCAGTTCAGTGAACCTACTTCCTCAACCGAGCAATATGGTGATTATGGAAGCGACAACGTCGACTGGATAGTCAACGACGATGCCAGTAGTAATGCTTCCTTCGGCGACTCGGCCTTTGGTTCATATCCGTCAGATTGGGTCCCGCCCTCCATGGTAGAAATGTCAACCTATGACATGCTGCGTTCCGTCTTGCGTGATGAGAAGTCTGATGAAGAGCTTGAGCACGTCCTCCAGCTTAATGGCTATGACTTTAGCCAGACCATCATGGCCTTGGCCGACCCGCAAGCCTTGAGCACTACCGAGTCTCAGAACCGCACATACCTCGTAGGAAAGTCCATGAGTCCAACATCTCGACCGCTTACCCCTTCTGGCCAGTCGAAGAGCGGCATCGTGTGCAAGTACTGGCTCTCTTCGGGCCACTGTGCCAGAGCTGATTGCCGGTTCAGCCACGATCTAAGTAACCATCTGTGCAAGTATGTTTAATGTGCTCCTGTGTATGCTGCTTGATCAATCCTTTAACAAATAATTCTAGGTACTGGCTAGCCGGAACTTGCCTCGCTGGCGAGTCTTGCATTTTCTCTCACGACCCCTCTGCTCTTATGACTAGGTTGACCATGGATGATCACGCTACACCACCTTCTCAGTCCGTTCAGCCAAACTTCCAGCTGCAAGACTACGATTCGTTCCCTGCCCTGCAGCCCACCAATTCCAACCCGTATGACCAATCTTATGACCCTTCTATGCTTAATTCTCCTCAATCACAGCCACCCACTGTGTCCACCCTGAACCCCTTTGCCATGTTTGTACCCTCAAGCAATGTAAGCGTTCAGTCTTCGTCGCGGCCCAACAGCCGTCACCAGTCTCGTACTGCAACTCCATCAACCTTAGCCGTTAACGACGACGAGGCTTTTCCTACCTTGGGTTCCGCTGCAGCCTCACGATCCTCTCGACGCCACGGAAAGAGAGGCCACAGTAACATTGCTAACAAGGAGAGTCCCGTACCTACCCCCTCATCCTTGGCTGATGTCGTTCGCATGACGCCGTCACCTTCACCTCAAATTCAGTCTCGAAGAGGACTGAGACCTGGCAAATCGACTGGATCACGTGAGAACAGCGCAGCTGCCATGGCAATAGCAGCGCCTGAACACATCCCCTGGTTGGAGACTGGAGACTCCGCAAACAAAGCGTACCTCAAGGCTAGAGCTGAAGCCTTCCGCCATGGTGGATTAAGGAACAAATTTTTGCAGTCGGCAGCAACAGCATGGAACAGAAACGACGCTCGTGGTGCTAAAGCTCTCAGTCTCAGAGGTCATAATGAGAATCTGGCAATGAAGGAGGCCCACCGTGAGGCTGCTCGATGTTTGTACGAGGAACGCAACAAGGGCAATGGGATTGGCGAGCTCTATGTCGATCTGCACGGTGAGTATCAAGCAGCGCTGTGGTGTTTGGAGTTGTATTAGTACTGATCGCGTTGACAGGTCTACATCCTGAGGAAGCAGTTCAATACTTGACATCGTGCCTGCTTGACCACAGCTCGTCTAGCAAACCGGTCTACGCCATCTGCGGTACCGGTCACCACTCGAAGAACGGCAAAGACAAGGTCGGCAAGGCTGTCCGTCAGTTCTTGAATGAGTGGCGTTATGCATTCCGCGAGTTCAGTGTACCTGGCGATCGCAATAACGTTGGCGGTATCCTTGGTATCGATCCCAGCAGCTACGATAAGGATGCTGCAAAGAAAATGCAAGAAGCAGGGCCTATATCCGAGGCCGACAGTGGAGTCGGGTTTCTGAGTAGTAGTGCCGAAGACACGAAAGTCCGTATCCTGAAAAGAGAGGAACAATAATAGCTAGTATAAGTCCTCCCGCACGAAATGAATTGATGAATTATGCTCTCCTAATATCTCTTCCCCCATGCCATGGTTATTTTATGCTGTCAAAATGCACAGTTGCGTTCCAAACCTAAGCTTGGCCATTGAGATCAGCTTGATAGGGCATTTTCTCTGGGAACCACACTCTTCACAAAAGTATTGTGCATTTCTCCAGCTCTACTGTGACAGTCTTTGGTACACGAAGGTGTTCTAAGGTTCGTTGACTCCCACAGATCGTCTTCAGGTACACGCGAGCATATGTGAATTGTCTCACTCCCAAATCTGCTACCGAGCAACATGTAAGCTATAAAAAGGCATAGTCATATTCGTAGGTATGAGTCTGTCCAGAGAGTGGACCGATAGCAGATTTTGGAAAATCGACGATAGATATTTCGAATCCGACAGGAGATATTTCGAATCCGACAGGAGACATTTCGAACCGGATAGTAGGCATCTAAAACATGACAGATATCTTGAACACGGCAGATACTCTGAACACGACAAATATTCTGATTTCAGAGTACAGTAGATACTTGAAACCCGATAGTAAGTATCCTAAACACGACAACAGATACTTCGAGCCCGACAGTAAAGATTTGAAACACAATAGTCAGTATTCCAACCCGACGCTAGATACGCTGAACCCGACAGTAAACATTCTAAACCCGATAGCAAAAATCATTATAGATATAATAGTAGACATTGTGAATCTGACAATACACGTTTTGAATCAGACAGAAGACGCTTTTAATCCGATAGCAGACAGTTTGGATACGACAAGAGATATTCTGGACACGTCAGATACAAGTGTTCCAAACCGGACGATAAGTACTCTCGATCTGACAGTAAACATGCTAAACTAAACACGACAGTAAATATCCTGAGTAGGACAGGAGACGTTTTGAACCCGACCGAAGATGGCAGTAGACAATTTGAACCCGACGATAGGTAATTTGATCCGACAGTAGATGTGTTTAGACTATCAGATAGTCTAAACATGACAGTAGACAGTTCGAACACGACATTCCAAAAACCAGAGAATTGGACGTCTTAAAATCAATGCTCTCTCTAATGGCAGCCTTGTTTCGTATAAGTTTCTACATGTTTATAGATAGCTTTCAGCTAGTTATTGCAGCTAGGATAGCACCTATCTTACACTGCTCTCTCTGGTGATTTCTCTGTTTTGTATGAGTTTCTGCATTTTTATAGATACTTTTAAGTCTACCATTGAACTTGGGATAGCGTCCAATTGATGGTGTGGTTCTAAGCCCCATCCCCATAGCGAGGAGCCCAGTTGTTTCCAAGATTGCTCTCTGTGGATAAATCTTCCGATCTGAATACAACTGTGCATTTTGATAGCTACATAGGAGGAAGCAGCCAACAGGGAGGATGTAGCCTCCTAGGGAAAGAGACAATCACCACTCGAGCTATAAAAATGCACAGTATATTCTGCAACCAGTGCATCGTCCCCTGAGAGTCCTTTGATCCTATAATGCCTCTCTGAACGTAACAATGCTCTGTCAGATTTAGAACATCTAGCTAGTATCTAGTCCAGAATATTCGCTATCGTGTTTGGATCGTCTACTATTTGGTTCAGAATATCTGTTGCATCTAAAGTCTCTACTGTCGTTTTCAGAATGTCTACTGTCAAATTCAAAGTATGTACCATCGTGTTCAGATCATCTACTGTCGGCTTCGAATTTTAGACCACTGTCGGCTCGTATTCTGAGCCTACTTGGTTACATTGGCGGTGACAAAGTTGAAGTTGTTGCCAAAGTTGCCCTTCTGGGTGGTGAAATCGCTCTTGGTACTGAGAGTCTTGACTCTTCCCAAAAGCTTCTCCACGAGCCTGTAAGCCGCCGAAGGTGCGTATTGCGGTATCATGTGGCCACTAAGCTGTACAGTAGCAAAGGTAAGACCACGCTCGGTGTGGTATTTGCCCATGGCACCAGCTCCGGCAAGATCACCTTGGCTGAGCTCAGAATGGTAAGGAACAAAGAAGTCAGTCCAAGCCTGTGGACCCTGACTGAAGCCTTGTGCGCCATTGTAAGTCATGTTCTGAATGGCCATGAGTGTTCCGTTGTAGGAGATGATGTAGTCGAGCATGCCCTGGCCAATGATGACATTGTTGGTGTGCTCGATGACTTTGGGAAGCACACTCAACGAACTGTATTCGCTGGTATCTGTGTCGAGGACTCCAGAACTGCACTCCTCCCATTCTTGCATAGGGGCGTTGATGGCCTTTTGAACATCTGAGCGGTTGAAGTAAATCTGAGCACCTTCGGGCAAGTAGTCAAAGCTTCCGGGAAAACCGAGTACATCCCAGAGCACAGGGCAGGTGGTAGCGACCTGATAGATGTCGAAGCAAGGGTTGACAAGACTGGCGGCAGCGAAGATGTCGTTCCAGAGCTCACAGCCAGGCATGCTGTAGTCTACATTGGGAGGGGAAGGAAGCAGACCCTTGGGAGGGAAAGTAAGAGCCTCCTCCATGAAAGAAGTGTAACCACACTTCTCAGAGCGGTTGTGAATGTCGTCCATGAATGTTTGGTTCAGGTTAAACAGACCTCCCCAGTAGTCAACGAAGGGAACGGATGGAATGTCCTGCAACACAACATCGTACGAGATCGAAGGATCGTAGATCATGATGCCATGAACATCATAGAGAGCTGAGTCGTTCTTCTGGATGAAGTTGTTGGCAATGTCTAGCAAAATCAGCACAAGTCCTTATAGTTTATCACAATTGAACTTACAAGGAACGTAGAAACCAGCATAACTTTCACCAGTAACGTAGACTTTCTTGTGCCGCAGACCGAAAGTCTCGACAAAGTTCTTCCAGAAGCCAGCAAATTGCTCTGCGACCTCCTCCTCGTTGGTTGCAGAAGGCGTGCTACCCTTTGAGCTGAAACCAGTACCAGCGGGTTGTTCGACCCAGATAGTATTGGTCAGATTGTTCCAGTTGTAGTTGTTCTTGACTGGAGCGTATGTACCTAGAATTTAAGACTACAGTCAGCATAATTCTCTGCCGTGCACCATCCGATAGCTGGCTTTCTTTCCTCCCTATCTTCCACCCCTCTTTTCCCTCTTCCTCTTCTCCTTTTGACTCACCGTACTGCCAAAGGAAAGGCCCGTTCTCCTGTAGCAGGCCTTCCAGACTGCTGCAGCCAGGACCACCATTAAGCCAGATGAGAATCTCATCGCTTGCATGAGCGTTGTCCGAGGGGAAGAACCAGAAGTAAAGCTCGCTAGCATTCTGCTGCGATGAAATGGGCATCAGACCAGCATAACTTTCGCCTGTTTCAACTTATTAGACCTGTGGCAATCACACTCGAAGCGGTTTGCTTACCAATATCGAAATCAACATCGGGGATGTTGGTGCCATTGACAGCGTACTCTGCGTTGCGTTAGCATAACTATAGCCACACAGGTTTCGTCGCAACCGGATATCTTTGTGTGAAGCCTCGATACACACTAGACCTCCTCTCCACATGCCAATGTAGGTAGCACGTATGGTTGTAAAAATGCATAATAAATTCCAGAAGAAAGGCAGTTTCCACTGAGAGACGAGTAGTCATTGGCTCTCCTTGATTGAACCTTGGCTTCCAGGAAAGGATCGTGCCTTTTGACAGTGTACTTTTTGGCCTACACAGCGGCGGGAGGAAGGGAGGATGGGATCACAGGCTTCAGCACACGAGGAGGCTGGAATGTGGTTACATACTTGTTGTGTTTTGGTTCTGAGGAATGATATGGTGCTTTTTCTTTGTCGCAGCTCTCTTGTCCAGACCTACAGCAGGCAAACCAGCAGGCTCACGGCGCATACGCTCAGGTAGCTTCTTGTTGACATGCTGGGGACTGCGGCCGGCAATGGCACTGCTGGCCAAGAGCAGTGTAGAGACCACAGAGATCTTCATTGTTGTGTCGAGAAACCTTGCAAGAAGTGTTATCAAAGCTAAGTGGGCAAGGCCTCAGATTTATACTCAAGGGAAGCAATCCTACGGATACGAGCTGCTGAGCCGGATATCCTGAGATCGGCAGCTCCATACAAAAAATCGCTCGAGAGAAACATTATGATCACATTGCAGAACAGATCATGCTGTGTTCCTTGCATGATAGGATCCCCAGCTACACTAAACGCCTTCTGTATGTTCCTCTGCTGACTGCACCTTCTGGACTTGCAGTTAAGGGTATGCCAGATGCCAGGCCTTCCACAAGTATCTCAGACCGTCTCTGACTATCAAACCACGTAGAATCATCGTTGGAATCGCATGATATTGCTGTACCCATACCCGACTTTCCCAAGGCTGTCCCTAACACCAAACCAAAACGAACGCTAAGGCTGTTGTTGCTATCACCAAACAACATGTCAGAGGAGCGCATTTCAGCCACGGTTCAGCGTATTCAACACTTCGTTGCTCTGACAGGCGGCCTCGACATCGCTATCATCCTGTCCCTCTCTGTATCCAAACCTTTTTCATCCGCGAAAGACCTTTTGAACGCTGCCGAAATTGACGGCATGGACGGGGTACAGAGTTACGCGCGCCTCCAAGCAGAGCTGATGACCAGACCAGAGCTGATATGGGTACCAATCCTACCTTTGGCAAACCTGGGTGGTATCGTCGAGCTCATCAAGACACACGCACAATCGATCAGCCGTCCTAAGCCAAAGCCTTCGTCTGCATTACGTCCTGTGGACATGTTAACACACTGCACTACCGACCCGCCTTTGTCTTCTCTTGCTGTCAACCTTGCCACTGATACTTTCTCTTGCTTGAGAAATCTGGCTCAGGCTGCGACGACTCACAACGCAAGCTCATCTTCCCGCGACTATGGAGACGTTGTCTCATCAGATGATTCTTTACACAGTCTTCCGGGTTCGTTCAACGTGCTAGAGGGGCAAGTGGACCCCGAGATCGTAGCAAACATGGTTGACTTCTGGGTTATGGAATGGGCTATTGAGTAGTAACGGCGTCAGCTGGATAAGATGAGCAGGAGAGTGTGAAGGCAATGCTTATTTGCTTTGATGACTAATGCTTTATCATCTACGGTCAATAGCTTTCGTTATCCATGTCTCGCTTTTGGGTTCCATAATCACCTGAACTGATCCTTCATCTCGTTGATAACGGCCTTGATTCTGTTTTCCTTGCCCAAGGCACTCTTCTCAATGCTCTGCAGAAGACTACCCATGTCCTTCGCTTGAGCAACTTCCTTCCTGAACTCGTTGCCCAGCGACGTCAAGGTGCCGACCGCGACAAGAGCTCTGTACACAGCCTCACTGTCACCATCCGGCTTGATTATGTTCAAAGCCGCGTTGACAATGGCTGCTGCCCGCTGCTCCCTAGTCTTCGACTCCGATGAAGGGGCACTAGAGGTCAACAGCACTGCATAGTTGATGTACAGAGTCGCGATTGCCGTAGCCAGATTTTTGTTAGAAGTACTGGAGAACGACTGAGTAGACGAGACGATGTCCTCAAAGCAGCCGTCAGCGACTAGTCTACCTTCTTCAGTCATGAAGAGGTTTGCAAGAACGCGAACAGCCAGCATAGTGTTGTTGGGCTTGTCGGTATTTGCTTCAAAGACACCACTCTTAGCGAGGGTGTCTACAATAGTGCCCTCTCCGCCACTTGTGTGCATCACAAAAGTTGGCGCTATAGCAGACAATCTGAGAAGATCAATGCCGGGTAGGCGGTTCGCGGATGGCCACTGGGTCGCAATTTTAAGCACCACAGTGAGTTGATCTGCTTGAGGTTTAGGGTCCTTGGGGTTGGTCTGCAGTTGTTTGACCAGGTTGTCCAAGGCTTTCAGCTCATCTGGTGAGAGCGCAAGATCGGCTGACATGGTATCGTTCAGTTCACCGACCTTCTTGCGAATGGCAGATAAGTTAGCTGTAGTGATCGAAAGGTATTGAGTCTGGGGCAAGGATCGTGGGCGTGTGTCTCCAGATGGTTCGGGAGCACCAGCCTCGCCTGGTCGATAGCGATTCTCGCTGCCCCAAGGATCGGCTCCAGGTGTCTGAGTCTGCTGTTGCGAAGACGAGCCTAGTGTTGCTCCTTGAGTATTAGTGGTAATGAAGTTGGCGACTTGGTCCAGGTAGGTCATGGGCAGCTCATTGTTGGCAATGAACTTGCTTGCCACGTCGTACGGGTTCTGGCCAATGTTGTATGGCAGTTTCAACGGAGGGGCGCCATCCGTGATGTCGACGTCAAAAACGTAATCGTAGTCTTTTCCCTCGTGCGTCACCTTGCGACCGCTGCTTGCAGCTGCATCGACCACAGTTCCAACCTTGGTGAATCTGTCAGCATATTGCAATTGTGGTTTGTTCAGGAGATTGTTACATTTATCCATTGTTGGGCTGCAGATGACCAGGTGTGAGCGGTTACACTGCCATCCTCTTCCCTGATCATCTGAACTTGACCTTCCTTAGTACCCGACTTTTGCTGCAGGAATTCTGCAAAAGAAGTCAGTCACATTTTTGCTTGGGGATCAAGAATCTTCTACAAACACACCTGGACCAGGAAGTTGTTCCTTGTTGATCTGCTGCCCTTCGCCTGCAGTCTGCTGAGGTATTGAAGACGAGCTGACACTCTCATCGAATGCGCGCAGAACCTGTAAGATCCGGTTAGAACGAGCTTGTCGAGATATTCGAACGACTGACCTCAGCATTTGCGTGGCGGTTAGGGTCTTTGCTGAAGACTCGAATGACCTTGTCACTGGCGCCAGTAACGATGTCATCGGTCTCAGGGCATACAGAGACAGCCCAAACCGAGATTGCAGGATGTGTGATGGTTTGAATGCACTCGGTGCCCTTCCATACTCTCACAGTTCTATCTTCACCAGAGCTAACCAGATCACCGTTACGGAGGACGGCGAGGGCGTAGATGAATGAAGTGTGTCCGTGAAGTTGTGCGACTTCGACACCGTCGAGAGTCCAGAGTCTGATGACTTGGTCGTTTCCTGCAGAGGCAAAGGCTGCACCAGAAGGGTGGCCAGCTGGTAACTTGCAGAGTGCGCGAACAACATCAGGCAGACCAGGGATCGTTTGAAGAAGCTTTCCGCCAAGAGAGAAGATGCGAATGGCCTTGTCTGCGCAACCTGTGATAACAGTCTTGTCGTCGTAGACCATGACTGCCCAGACGGCGGCATCGTGTCCCTTTAGCTCAGCGGTGCACTCGCCCTTGGAGATGCTCCAAACTCTTGCTTGTGTATCCCATCCACCACTGACCAGAGTATCGCCATCGGAAGAAGCGTCGAGAGCGCAGACATTGTTGGCGTGGCCAATGAGCAAACGTTCGGGGTCTGTGTCTGGGTTTTGGAAGGGACGACGGACATCGATAATAGTATCCTTTCCAGCAGAGATCAAAAGGCCTTCAGAGTGTGCGGGAGAGGGGGCGGCAAAAGTCAGCGAGTTTACGAACGAGGTAGCCTGGACAGCAATCGTGTCGTCGTATGTGGGTGGTTTGGGCGAAGTGAGGAGCCATTGTCGGACGGTGCCGTCACGCGAGGCCGAGAAGATACAGGAAGCCGAAGGAGACACGACGGCGCGGACCTGAGGGGGGTTTGACGGTCAGCGCTTGAGATCTTTGGTCTCGCCGTGACACTCACTTACGTCGTCTTCGTGGCCCTTCAGAGATGCCGACAGCTTGAACGTGTCGGCCATGATGAGGGAAGTGCGGTGTAAGTTGTGTTCGCCAGACTTTTGCTATAGCTGGAAATAACTGTATCAGTTGAGATGGTGTTTATGCGGAAGTGTACCGATGGTTGTAGATGAGTGCCTTCTCCGAAGTTGTTGTTTGCGCCTCAGTCCACAGTGTTCATGATCGTCACAATGGTTGCTACCGACGTCATTCAAGAATCACCACATTTCCATCATCAATCCCATGTCTTTCACCTACCTATCTTTTTCACCCCATACCTCATGAAGATGCGATTTTGTGCGACAATGGCAATTCTGCATCACTGAGGCACATGCTGGACTGACCTTCGCTACATCCAAGACGATAGCGCTTATCATGGCTGATCACCGAGCTTGGCCTACTGCTACACAATGTCCGATAGGCGGTCTGCTAGATTCTCTTTCCAACCACGCTAACCCGACAATGTCTGTGTCTTGATTGACAGTCATCTCTGGCACTTTGTTATGCTGGTGTTGGCGGTGAGATGCATCGGCCGTTCGTCTCTCCCGTCCACCGACCCGGAAAACATGCCCGGTACACAACAGGAAGACATTACTCAAGACCAACATGCCGACATCTGTGACCCAGCAAGCTGGAACCAGACGGTCAAATGTCTTGTGTTGTGATTAATTACAGACTCTGTCATCCCTTAAACCTCCGATCTAAGTAATATGCCTTCCGGAGATTGCTGAGGAGAGATTCTTCGGACTTTTGGGCACCAGCGTCCAAAACGCTTCTGGTGTGTATCATCTGAACGCCTTCATTCCTGGAGAAGCTTGGGCAAGCGCATGTACGATGCACCAGTATCGCCCCTATATCATCAGCCTCACGAGGCAATTTGCAACAGGCGGCCTTGACAACCTGCAAAACATCACCACCTGGAAGATGCCAGAGTAATGCCTTGAGTCTGTAAGTTCAGGAGACCAATGGCGAAGAAAAGGTTAAAGTTACACGTGCTGCTCTTGCAGAGCATGCCCCTCGCATACTTGTGTAATAGCTTGTATCTACACTTGCTTGAGCAATATCTGATGTGAAACAAAGCTATACAACACACTGACATCTACCGCAATGGCATCTCGCGCAGCAAATATCCTTGCAAGAAATAGTGAGTTGGGAGACGCTTCTCAAACGTAATGTTTGGAGGCAAGTTCATAACCGGAGGCTTCTCCGGATACACTCTCGACCTACAACCACAAACGGTCAAAGCCTCCGTATCACACTGGTAAATCACTATTTCGACTAGTCGGTTCTGGCTGCAGGCTCGATGCGCTCTATAGATTTGATTCGTGAGTCTGTGCAACCAGCGTATCTTGAGGCTGAGATGCGCTGACCCAGACAATCCATACCCAGGTTCGTCGTCAATGCACGACTGGCATGGCTATGTTTCAAACGCACAACCAGAATGTCAACGAGTGGCCGATAGACCACGCCTTCAGTCTTGGGACGCAGATTCGAACCATGACTCTGGCGCCATGCCTCGAGTCGTCCGCCTGCAGAAGCCCTGCCGCGGTTGGCACGCGACTTGTCGAGACCCTGCAGCCAGGCTTTGGCCTCCTCGACCACTCTTGCATGGTCCCTAAGATCATCCTTTCCACATGGCAACGGGCTCTAACTCTTTTGCTCTTCTGAGTTTTTCTTCCGGCAGCAGAAAGTATCTCTACGCTTGCAAAGATTGAAGTAAGAAGAAGGTTAGAACATTTCCTTGTTCTTGGTCAAGAAATTGGACCATCATCGCCGATGCTCGTAAGTATCTTTGCCTGTTCGTAGCAAGCCACTGGAGCTTGTGCCAGACGTTCGATGGGCACTGAGCGAGCGCAAGCCAGAATTTAGTCGCTTTTGCTTCAGCCTATCAAGTAGAGAGCGGCTTGATTCAGACCAGCGCCGCCCATGCACCAAAGAGAAAAAAAAACACAGTGTCGGTCGGTCCACGCACACATGCGAGATGCCGAAGCATGAAAGGACACGCCGAAAGTCACTTCCGTGTGTGGCCCCCTGAGGTTGTGATCTAGATTTTGCGCAATGCTGATCGCCAACATTATTAAGGCGAGCAAGCACCCCTCGAACATCTTGGTTTTAGTCCTCAATCAAGTATTCTTCTTCTACAGACTTTCATCCCAAGCCGAAATCGTCGTATCTGACTGCCACGCGCTGCCACAAGTACATACTAGCTAGCGCCCTGAACTTTGGTCACTGTGGGGAAAGGCGGCCGAGTGATCATTGGCGTTCGCGATCGCAGATTGCTGCAATCACACACACAAAACCCTTTTGACGTAGGTCGGTAATGAACACTTCCACCATGACCGACACGGCGACTCGGCGGAGCACCTCGGTACGCGTCAGTGCCTAGGGCGACCGATCGTTTTTGTCAGGGTCACGCGTGGAATTAACAAGTACTGGGTAGTCTTGGGTCTGAGCTTACTTATGTCACAGCTTCCCTCGAACAACATCACTCTACTATTTATCCAAGCAGCACCTCTTCCCACCATTCCTGTGTCATTTTCTGCGATCAATCAATCTTGCTCAACTCGTTCTGGACACGAAAGATCTTCATTCCCCTGAGAAAATTCTCCATTGTCAAATAACCTTAAAGACCTCACTGCGCCATCGGCTCTCCACTTCACACCCCGAAGAGCGTCTGCTGTCCGTCATGGAATCCCCAAGGAAGGAATTGATGTCTGCCCTCTCCACGTGAGTCCTGCCTGCGGTTATTCCTGTTCTCGACTCGGTCGCTGATCAAGACTAGGCTCCACTTGGGTGGTAAATATTCTGATCTGACTATCAAATGCAATTCTCGAGAATATGCCGTTCATCGAGCCATTCTTTGTTCCCGGTCTGGATTCTTTGATGGAGCTTGTAGCAACCAGTTTCGTGAAGCTCAGACTGGCTTGATCGATTTGAGCGAGGAAGATGAAGAAGCTGTCGAGCACATGATCCACTGTAAGTCCCTGAACGTCCGGATGCATCGGTATGGTCCGCATTACTGGCAGTCATCCCCCTCGACGCCACGATCTGCAGGCTGCTGCCGCGTCGGTTCTCCTTTTTCTTACACAGCCTGACGGGCGTTTTAGACTTCTACCACCTGGACTACCTTGTTTCCGAGGACGAAGAGGAGCCAGCTTCTCCTGTCTTTCGTCACCGTGCGCAAGAAGCCCTTCGGCAAAGACCCCAAAAGCTTGACCTGTCTCACATTGTGGACCCTCTTTTCGCTCAGGCAGCTGCTTGCGCCCCACCCACACCAATCACGCCAACAGAAGCTGTTGATCCTCTTTCGCACTCGAGACATGACTCGAGTCTTGACCACTCGCCGCGTGCAACGAGCCCGAAAGGCAAGACCGGACTTCGTGGCTCAGGGGTCGGCAGCGCTTTGAACTCTGGGTCTGAATGCGAATCTGACGAGGATGAGGATTGCGAGTACGAGACAGACGAATCGAATCTTCTTACGCATACCCGCATCTACGCATTAGCGGAAAAGTACGACATCCCTGCTCTGAAGGCTCTTGCAAAAAGCAAATTCGAAATGGCAATGGCTTGCTACTACGACTCGCCAGAGTTTGCCGATGCCATCGAGGAAGTTTACTGCTCGACCATCGACAGTGATCGCGGTCTCCGGGACGTTGTTCTTCAAGCTTTCAGGAGTCACCCTCAGCTTGCCAGTACTCAGGATGTTTTCAATGTCATCAAGCGTACCCCAACTTTAGCTTTTGAGCTTTGGAAGACGGAGAGAGGAATTCCGGTTTGAAGCGGCTTGTATCCGGCAAGTGAGGTTGGTCAGAGGTTGCACAAACCCAACATACCGTCTTGCTAGAGAAACAAATCTTGCATACTGCACAGCGCTCACTTCGCATCAAACTGAGATGTCGTGCCACCGAGTGTAATAGCACCACGGCACGTTGGCCATGTCAGAAGCTTTCTTCGCGAGTATTGGCATCTAGGAGCTTGCAACACATCATTGCGGCGCAGCAGCTACGCGTCCGATGGTACGCAGGAAGCGAGTGGTTGAAGGAAGGGAGGATCGAAGTCTTGGCTAGGAAAAAAGTTTCTGGGCATGTGATAGGAAAAAGGCGCTTAAGATACATGATACCCATGGGAAATCTGTTTTGAATTTAGGGATGCTCGCGATCCATGAGCAGGTGTGCGATCTGAAACGTGGAACTGCTTTTAGGCATCATAAGCTACTGTACGATGAGCACCAATTGGAACACCTTATCTACTCTCCCCGTGTCTCAAGGTCTGTAACCCCTCGATACATCCATCGTCCTCTAACTAAGCAGAGAGCAGAGTATACGCTATCAAAAGGCACAGTGTTGTTGAAACCATAGGCATGTCCGCAGAGAGTCCACGACTACGCGCTTCTCAATGGATGTCATTCTGGTTTCTGTTAGTGTTGTGCATTTTTACAGCACGCGTTACATACTTTAGCACACGGGGAGGTCATGCAGTTCAGAACATCCCTCGCAGCCGAAAAATAAAGCTACTCGAGGGCATTGAAAAACAGCAAGGATTGCAGTACAGACCACGGCGAAAGTACGTGTGCAATGGAGTTGTTCATTTGGCAGTTTGCACCTCAACCAATGCTAGAGGGAGACCCTGCTTTGAGGCTGATGCAGCTCACGCAGTGCAACTATGTGCAAGGAACGGCATATCCAACGCTGACTGCTTCTCAAGTGCATATCTTGACAAGTCGCTCAGCGCATGTTGAGACCTCACTCTTCTGTTGCCTTTATCTCGCAACTCAAAACCGTACGTGGTAAAGGATGCGGGGTTTGGAGGAATGGAGGGGTACTGCGTATCAAGACCACGTGTGTCCACATCCCTGTCACACATCTTTCTTTCTTTCTACGCTGAAAGGCAGACTAGCTTTCTTCTGTGGGAGGGGCGGAACCAGGCGCCGTTGGCAGATCACTAAACACCCAAGGTGCATCACAATTTGGTCACACCAGAGATGCATGCTGACATCTTCATGGGAATTAGTCGTCAGCCCTGTGTAGAAAAAAAAGTCTCGAGGGACCTTCTCGCCTCCGAGGAGCTGGTTCTTCAACTGGCGTGCATAACATGGCTTGCGCCGCCCGCACTCGCGCATTTCTCCTTTTTGGATGTTCTTTTGCTTGTTGTCCAAGAAGAGCGAGGAACGTGCAGGCTAGCGAGCAAAGTCAAACCGTCTTCTGGCTGAGCAGTCGGTGGCTCCGAGAAGGACATTAAACGGACACCAGAAGCTTTCTGCATCCACTTGAACTCTGTCCAAGCCTTGTCACTTGGCAATGCAGGAGCTGAACACGAAATCTGAAACGCAACATAGAGGCATAATCCATGCATGTCTTGGGTGATTGTGATAATATCGTCGCAGTTATCTATCGAGGCTCTTTCCGGCACTTCGATGCTCCAATCACTCCTGCACCCCTGAATGCAAGCGCGACAATAATGAACCCGGTCGCTGCGAAGCCTACGTTGAGCCATTGAGCTGCGTGCAGCCCATGCAGATAGGCATGGTCTCCCACGTTCGCTTCCATGTCAACGACACGCGTCTTCTCCTGGCTGCTTTGCACGGCGACTTGAATCGCAGTACCGATGGCCAAACCAATGGCTCGCCCAATCTGACCCAGAGCATTTACGAGCCCACCACCCAGGGCTTGATCCTCCGGAGGGAGATTGTGAGCTACGAGAAGAAGTAGCGAAGGAAACAAGGTATCTGCACCAAACACGGCCAAACACATGGCTGGAAAGCCATAAGCCCAGTACGTCTCTGTCGGCGGGATTGGGACCGCCATAAGCCTGCCCTAGTCAGCATGCGATGAAGAAAATTAAGCATAAACCTGCGCTCTTACATGTTTGCCAATCCTACGCATACCATACCCCACATGAGTATAAAATGTATAGGTACTCTGCTTAGGAGCTGTGAGGTCACAAGGACTGTGAGTATACCGACAACACCGGTTGGAATGAAGCGAAGGGTAGTCTGGATGGCATCGAGTCCGAGATACTCTTGATAGAAATACGTCGAGAAGATGAGGTAATTGTTGAAGGCTGAGAAGAATACGGCCATGGCTAACATGGCGGCAGAAACTTTAAGGCGCTTGAACAGAGTGACTTTCATCAGAGGTCGTCGTTCAGTTCGTTTCTCCAGATATAGTTGCCAGACGACGAAAGTGACAATGAACAGAATCGATAATACAATCAAAACCGGGATATAGGCCTTGCTCCATCCCACAACATTGCCTTCGGCCAAGGCAAAGAGTAAGACAAGAACACCGACTGTTACTAGAAAGGCTCCGATCCAGTCAACGGACTTCTTCACTTCGGAGTCTTGTCGGGGAGGCGCTTTCGGAACAATGAAGTAGCCGGCCACTGTCACCAGAAATGCCATGATGGAAAGAATCCAGAAAATCCATCTCCAACTGGCATATTGTGCAACAAGACCGCCCAGCAGATTGCCCATCACGGAGCCCATGGGAGCACCAGCAGAGTATAGAGAAAAAGCGTAGTTGCGAGCCTTCCCAGGAGGAAATGTAGCAGACAAGATGCCAATCGCAGAGGGGACGTTGCCAGCTCCACCCACACCTTGTAGTCCTCGGAGAAGGTCAAAGGCGATCTCGTTTGTTGCGAATGGATTTACCAATGTGAGTATGGCAACCCAGAGCGATCCTAGGATGAAGATAGGTCTCTTGCCGTAGACATCGGCGAGCTTACCCCAAAGTAATAGGAAGCAGCCAAAGGATAGAGAATAAGCTGAGACGATCCATTGTTGTCTGGCTGCCGGTATGTCAAGTGCTTTACCTAGCAGGTAAGGGCGCAATCAGCAGTTGTCTTTTGTGAAGAATGGTATGCCAGCCCAGTGACAACGAGGATCAGTATCTGTCTCAAGACATTTCAAGTAGCTCACTCACTTACCGATGCTCGGGAGGACAATGACTACGGCCTGGACCGTTAATGTGCTATCGAAATGTTAGCCCTCGGGCATTGTTCTAATGGTAATTCACTTATACACATACTTCAAGAATGCTGCGCCAGTAAGTGTAGCCACCAGGGCAATAGTACGAGCTCTCGACAGCGCGGGTTGCAACGAGCCTTCGCCTTGAGACTGAACTGGTTGTTCCTCTTGTTCTATGACCTCTACTTCTTCGCCAAGTTTAGCTGCCTCTTTCGACTGCTGCTCGGCCGAAAGCGGAGAACAGACATGTCTAATCTCCTTCTCTGCCATGACGGACTGATGAAAAATTAAAGATGCAGATGAGACGAAGATGCTGAATCAACACATTCTAAGAAACACGAAAAGTTGACAGCAGAAGCTGTGCGCGCGTGGAACCTCACAGTTGCTGACGAGGTGGCAGGGGATGATTGGACTGCCGTCAATTCATGTCGTTCGGATCTGAGCGACGGTAGTTCCAACGTTTGGCGCAACTTGGAAGAAAAAGTTCGGGGTCGCCGATACAGTACAATTCTTGCGCAATCTACAGAGCCTCATGAGCTGATCAGCCCTCGAGTCGGGTTGCCTTCACTATTTTTCTACAAGTGAGGGGAGTATATATGTGAATATACGAGTACGATAGAGTTGTTGGAGGTTGGAGAACTCCTGTCAAAAGCTTCACTTGTGGACTCTCCCTCATTTTCGGCCATCCCCGTGTGCTAAAGACGGTCACGACGTAGCTATTGAGATGCACAATACTCTCGTAAAACATGTGGTGTTCGCGGAGAGAACTGAACTAAAGACTCTCTCAATGGCTAGCATTATATACAGATTGCCACTGTGCACTTTGATAGCTACACCGGGACTGTCTTTAGCACACGGGGAGGGCATGTCCACTCGGTCGGTCAGTCGGACTTGAAGTACCTATCTCCGTGTCTAGATTTCAGAATGATGTCAGGAGCTATATAAATCAACTGCCGTGGTTTACGGTCAAGTCTTCAATTTCAGACTCGCCTCTCGATCAATCATCCTCACGAACACAACACAATGCCCTTCAACTACAACAAAGTCCTCGTCCTCGGTGCCACATCTGGTATTGGTTGGGCTCTCGCAAGCAAGCTGGTCGAGAACGGCACTTCAGTGATTGTCACTGGCCGCAGACAGGAGAAGCTTGACGAGTTCGTTTCTCAACATGGCAAAGACAAGGCCGAGGCAGTCCAGTTTGATATCACACAGCTGGACAAGATTCCCAAGTTCGTAAAGGACATTATGGAGTCTCACCCAGACATCGACAGCATCTTCCTCAACTCTGGTATTCAGAGAGGATTCGACTTCTCCAAGCCTGAGAGCATTGATCTCAGCTCGCTTTCAGAAGAGATGAACACCAACTACATCTCATACATCCATTTGGTCACCGCTTTCACTCCGTATCTGCAGAAGCAGAGCAAGCAGACTTCATTCATCTTTACCACATCTGGATTAGCTTTGGTAAGCACCGAGTCATTTGAACCCGCTCTCTCTTGGTCGTCATGTTCCATAATCCAAGGGCTGGACTACAATGACGGCATTTCGCATCGTAGTGTTCGTTTCGATTGGAAGACGGTCGAGAGAGGGGCAAGAAAAGTCGCACAAGGCAGTATGCTGACCCATTGACAGGTGCCTATGATCAGATGTCCCAACTACTGTGCTTCTAAGGCTGCTCTGCACCATTTCATTCTGGTGCTTCGTGAACAGCTCAAGAACGGACCTGGAAACATTCAGGTTATTGAGATCTTCCCTCCTGCAGTGCAGACCGAGCTGCACGACGAGAAGCACCAGCCGGACATCAAGAACGGCAGTCAGATCGGAATGCCGTTGAAGGACTTCACCGAGGCCACATGGGCTGGACTCGAGGCTGGCAAGGATCAGATTCCCGTGGGTATGTCGGAGGGCTCGTTCAACGGATGGGAGCAAGAGAGACAGAAGGCATTCCACGGTATGAATGCTCACATCGCCAAGATGATGGCACAGCATTCGCACTAAAGACGGCGCGAATGAATGTTAGATACATAGACGGAGAATAAAGAAGATGCGAACACGACGTGACGTTGCAGGAGGCTTGGCCAGGCCGGATTGCCATGTGAAACATACGCAACGACACGAGTGCACTGCCCGGCCTCGGTCTTGGACTTAACTTCCTGAGCACCTGAACCCTAGAGCCCCTCTCCCTCTCTTTCTCCAGTCAACACATTTCAATCATGGCACCAATCGAGGAAATGCAGATTGCCCAGCTCAACCGCTCTATCCGGACGATCAAAGCGGTGCGGAGACAGCGCAAAGCGCAAAGCTGCGAACCAACGGCCGGCTGACGCCTGAACAGGAACTCGAATACTTGTGCGACGCATCTGTCATTACACCGCAGCAGCTGTCGTCGCTGTTGTCACAAATCCCCGCCCAGACTGCTCTGCATGCGCCCTTGTCCGTCGGCGCCGTCCCTGGCGCCGTGCCCGCCAACAATGCCGTCCCCACAGCGCCCATGGCCAACCTGAACATCAACAGAGACGAGAAGAAGCAAGGAAACAACTTCTACCAGCCCTCGCCAGCAGCCACTCCTGCTCCCCCACCAGCATATGCTGCTCCTCCGCCATCCATGCCTCCGCTTGCTCAAGCAACTGCTCTGTATGCGTACAATGGCACCGATCCTGGCGACCTTGAACTTCAGCCCAACGACCATATCAATGTTACAGAGTACATGAACGCCGAGTGGTGGAAGGGCCGTTCGTCGCGCACTGGTCAGGAGGGTATCTTCCCTCGCTCGTACGTCCGTGTCATTGAGAACGCTATGCCGCAACCTGGACCTACAAACTACGGTAACATGCCTCTTGAGGTCAGTGGCCAGGGTGATGGTAGTGGCAAGGTTCCTAGCAAGGGTGAGGAGATGGGCAAGAAGTTCGGCAAGAAGGTAATGTTCATCTGTGCACGTAATCGGTTCTTTATACTAATTACCTTCTAGCTTGGAAACGCAGCCATCTTCGGTGCTGGTGCTACTATTGGTGGTAACATTGTCAACTCCATCTTCTAGTTCCTCTGACTATTGCATAAAGTTCCAAGGAACGTCTATCTCTTTCATGTTTGGCGTTGGGGTTTTGATTCTCCTGGGTCTTGCGACTGATCACTTAGACAGAGCCAATCTTGCATATGCAAATATCGCATATCATTTACAAACAGATGCTGGTCTTGTCTTCCTCTCCTCTTGATAGATCCATGTTCTAGGCTTCGTAAATCAAAGTGAACTGAAAGTGCGGGTGATAGAGCTTTTATACAGAGTTGGGTATCTTGAGAGGTGTGATTGTATGTACAGATGCGAGGCTGACAGTGGCCAGTCGCTCATTGACTTTGCTCCGCCAGCGAAGTGTTCTCTGCTTTTCCTTCTTTTTCCAGATTTTCCTTTGCTTCAGACGTTTCGTTTTTTCGTGTTGGTTGCGCCTCGGTTTCTGGGCTTGCAATAGTAGTGTCGGTCGTCTCGTTGCCATTTTCGCCGTCTTCTGTGGATAAAGGCAGTGTTTCGTATTTCGATTTGAGCCGAGCGACTTCTGACTTGAGCTCAACGATTTGACGCGAGTGCTCTTCTAGCGCATCCAATCGGTCTTCGACGCCCTCTCTTCGAGTGCTTTCTTTTCTTCTCGAGCGCCATTGGTCCCACACAAGTAGGCCGACGGCCACACCAAAGATGAAAGATTCTGAGAGGAAGTTGGCGCCTAATTCGATAGCTCTTGTTTCGGAAAGCGGCCGGATTCTGGGTTTTGGAGCTTCACTCCTCTTTTCTTTGAGATCTGCTGCAGCCGCATCATCTGCTTTTTGCTGGGCTTCGGTCTTGACGGTGGGTATCTCGGATTGTCTCTTTTTGGCAGCGGCCTCTGCTGCTTCTCGAGCATGCATGCGTTCCTGAGCGGCGGCGTCGTGCAGGATACCCAATCGCATGCGCATATCTACACGGTGAAGGCCCTGAGCAAAGCCCACACAGTATCTACGAAAGGTTTCATGTTCTCTGGCCGACTGCTTGATGCGGTTCTGCCTAGAAGTCAGATTTGTGCCTGGTTTGGGGAAGAGTAAGGATTGCATACACCTATAGGTTTGGCAACAGTGCGGATCACCAGAGAGGCGAGCTTGAAGGTCAACGACATTGAGCGGCTGCAACCAGCAGAACTCTCGAGACGCAAGTTGCACAGTCAACAACATGACGCAGCAGGGTTTCGAGGTCGGGGATCGGCATGTCGGCGTCGGGCGGGCGTCTTGGGCCGGTTGGTGGTCGGTTGCTGTGCGGGAAGGCGTGTAAACAAAATAACACAGCAAGCGAGAGCTTGACGCTTCTCTTGCTCCAAGTCACGACCAGCCATCTACCAGCATCATACTCGCAGCAGATACTAACCATGTCTGTTCACGCGGAGCCTCCGCCATCTATCGTATCGGAACCGCATGGCATCAATTATGCTACCTCCAACCAACTGGGCAAGGGCGGCTTCGCCATTTGCTTCAAAGCTGAACGTCTCGAACGCGACCAACCCACCGGCCATGTTGTTGCTCTGAAGATTGTCAAGTCTAGGATGGAGCCCGCCAAGCTAGCGCAAAAGGTGCGCTCATATCCATTCTCCTGCTTCGTCACGTCTTGTCTTGTTCTGACCCGTCTTTGTCGTCCAGTTCATCACCGAATTGCAAATTCATTCCAAACTCTCCCATCCTAATATTGTAGGCTTCCATCGCGCATTCTCTTTTGGCGAGAGTACCTACGTCGTCCTAGAACTCTGCTCCAGCGGCTCGCTCGCAGACATGCTGAAGCGTCGCAAAAACATCACTATGCCCGAGATCCGTCGCTTCATCATCCAAGTCTCTGGCGCCGTCAAATACCTGCATGCGCGCAACATTGTCCACCGCGATCTCAAAACCGGAAACTTGTTTCTTGACGAGAAGATGAACATCAAGGTCGGTGACTTTGGCCTCGCCGCATTGCTTGTCAGTGGAAAAGACATGGACGCAAAGCGACGAACTACCATGTGCGGCACACCTAATTACCTAGCCCCAGAAATTCTGGAGAAGGGCAAGGGTCACAGCGAAAAGGTCGACCTATGGGCTATTGGTATCATCGCGTAAGCTCGCTCGGTTCCATTTCGCGTCCTTGTGGCTGACCTGAATAGATATACTCTTGCCGTCGGAAAGGCTCCATTCCATGCATCATCCAAGGAAGAAATCTACAAGAAACTGAAAGCAGGCGATTATTCATGGCCGGAACTGTCTTCGATCACAAACGAAATTTCCGCAGACCTACGAGACTTGGTCTCGTCTCTACTGGTCTCAGAGGAGCTGCGCCCTTCTCCGGATCAAATTGTTTCACATCCTTTCTTCAAGATCGCCTTTGTTCCCAGACAAATGAGCCGGGCTCAAGTCAGCAAAGTTCCCACATGGCCCAACGTGCAACCGCCGAGTCCAGAGGTGCTCCAAAGAGGCTACAGTGAATCCTGGTGGTATGTCTGCAAGGAGTCTGGAGTTGGTGAGTATGCACCAGGCAAATGCTTCCAGCTCAATGCAGGAAAGAAAATACGCAGCATTGTGAGAGACATCGAAAGGGAGGTTGCCGCAGGTCGCCAGCCCGTGATACCTATTCCATCAGACACAGTTTATATGTCGCCGAACAGCAACAGCATCGACGCATTCCTTCCCATGAACGCATTGCCAGAAATTGCTGAGGAGCGCGAGCCCGACACAAGACAGCTCAAGGAGATATGCCATAATGAGGTTCAGCCAACATCCAGAGAGAACAGCGCAGACGAGACTAAGAAGAAGAAGGATGCCGAGCTGATGCCTCCTCCCCCTCGTGTTAGACGAGCAGGGCCGATACGAAGGACGCGCGCAGTCACGGATGACAAGGAAGAAAATGCTCCCGAGTCCACTCGCCAATCTTCTCGACTGAACACGCTCAGCCAAACTAACACTTTGAGTCAAACCGCCTTCAGCGGCACGAATTTCCTCCCATCATCTTCACAGCCTCAGAGCGGAGAGATCATCCCAGTCTCAAAGCGAAGCGTAGATGCTAGTCTGGCACGACGACCACGAAAGAATATTTCCGATCGGGATATTCCTGCCCTCGCAGATGCCATCCGCGACGATCTCGAGATTGCGCCGTCTAGGACATTAGCCACTCGCAGCTCACGATCAAGGTCGAAACAACCGAGCCAAGAAGTGGTCGAGATATTTGACGAGCAGGAGAACCTTGGAAGACCGGTCCTCCCACCACCTCCAGCCATGACTGCAAAACTCCCGGTTCCAAGGAGAAAGGCTCTTGAGACAACTTCAGCTTTCCCAGGATCAGATCCGACAGCAGTGTTGGAGCGACTGAATGCATTCAGAGACAATCTAGCCTCGGCTTTGGAGAAGAAGCATTTGGCGCCTTCCCGACGAGTACCGCAACAACCGTCGAAACCGCTTCCGTTTGTGAGTCGATGGGTAGATTATAGCAAGAAGCATGGTGTAGGATACGTTCTGGACGATGGTACAGTGGGATGTGTCATCAACGGCTCTGCAGCCAGCGGAACACCCGTGACCCATGTGGCAGTCAAGAATGGAGAACGTTGGCTCGCACGTATAGGAAAGCGCTTTGAGCATCTGGAACATGTTCCGTTCAGAATGTTCGAAGACCATGGAGCTGCTGGACTGGAAAAGCTTGATCTCACGACCAGAGATGAGAAAATGAGGGAAAGGTTACGAATGCTCCGCGTTCTATGGGTCAAGTTTGGAAGATACATGAGCCAAACGCTCAACGCAACTGAGACGACAGATTGCGCGGACGATGAAATGGATGTGGACTCGGACTTGCTCTTTGTTCGGTTTTACCAAAGATCAGGCAATGTCGGTATCTGGGGATTCTCGGACGGCTGTGTCCAGGTACGTTCCAATCGTGATGTCGATGCTACAATGGCAATATACTTACAAAAGAACAGCTCCATTTCCCCGATCATACCAAATTCGTTATCTCCGCTGATGGTTTGCATACTTCTGCGACACTCGTGCCAGTCGAGGGCGTGCGCGCAATTGAAGAGAAGCATGATTTGCCAACCAAGCTGCTCAGAGATCGCCAGACTTTGGTGCATTCAATTCATGCTTTGTTGTACGGCTCGCAGCCCGGAGCGCGTGGGCGGAAGCTGTTCGCCGACATGGTTCAAGCCAACATGGTCGAAGAAAAATTGTATTTGCTGCTTCAAATACTAGATCAGTGGATATCAGGAGGTGGTCTTGGTTGCACGGGCGTTGGAGAGGAACGCCTGCAGTGGCAGGGTTCTTGGGTCAACGAGCACGCGCGCAAGATTGACTGGGTGACGGTGGGCAGGCTTGGGGGTGACGAGGTCAGATCATAACGATTGAGGCCTTTTGCATTTTGTCTTTCGATTCTTTGAAGCCACTTTTTGGTGTTGGGTAGCGAGGCGTTTTGGAGAGGTTGGGTTTTAGCAGGAGCGTCTTGCTCGGAGTACGTTTCGGTTTCTCGTTTGGACACACCTAGGATCGCTGTCATGATTTTTTTGTCTAGCACTAAATGCATCAGAGAGGCGAATGACTATCTTCAAAGATTTGGATTACGAAGCTCTCAGAATCCAGGTGCCTAAACATGCGAAGACCTCTTGTGAGGTATGTGGTGTATGGATGGCTTAGCAAGAAGACATTGCGCGTACGTTGCGAAGTGCACAAGAAACGCCATATGTCTCTGTTCCAAACGTACACTCGGTTTCCTTCCTCACCGTACTCCGACTATCGCAAAGAGCAAAGCATACGCTGTAAAAAGACACAATTGCTTACTGTGTAGGGGCGCGTCTACGAAGAGCCCACAATCCGTGGCTTCTCAGCGAAGATTATCATGTTTCTTGATAATATTGTGCATTTCTATAACTCGCTCTACCAATTGGACCCTGCATGAGAACAGTTCACTGTTCGGTATCGACTCGTCGTTGCAGACGTTCCATGACGTGGCTGGTGCTGCGCTCGGTCCGTGGGGCCCGGTGCTCGTGGGATATGGGGCAAGTTTGATCTCGCATGCACCCAATCTTAGCCAGATTACACCCAATTCTTGAAGACCTACGCATCTTCTTCTGTCTGTTCTTCTACTATTCTTTGCTTGGATACTTCGACAGTCCAACACCTGTAGAGCTCTGCGCTACACCCACGAGCGCCTCGACTGTCCTCACAATTAGATCAGGCCCACCATGGTGAGCCTCCACTACCAGTGCAGCCGTGTCGCGCCAATTGTCTAATTTCTTGCTTACAGGCCGTCACCAAACGAGCTGGAAGAAAGAAGGATGCTGCCGCCGCGCAACCCGGAGCTACCGGCGGCAAGCCTCAGGTCAAGAAGGCTGCCTTCGAGTCGACCAAGAAGAAAGAAGTTGGAGTCTCGGATCTCACCCTTATCAGCAAGATTTCCAACGAGGCCATTAACGACAATTTGAAAAAGCGATTCGAGAATGGCGAGATCTATGTATGCGCGCCGCGAACTCGCACGTGTACGCAGAAGTAAATGCTGACTGTGGTCTTGCGCAGACGTATATCGGCCATGTGCTGGTGTCGGTGAATCCCTTCAGAGACTGTAAGTCGCGTTGCATACCACCTGAGTTTCTATCGCGCTGACTCGTCTCTAGTGGGCATCTATACCGAGAAGGTGCTTGACAGCTACAAGGGAAAGAACAGATTAGAAGTATGTCTCTCAACCACGACTTTCACACAGCATTGACTCTGTATAGGTTCCTCCTCACGTCTTCGCTATCGCCGAATCCTCATACTATAACATGAACGCCTACAAAGAAAATCAATGTATCATCATTTCAGGAGAGTCAGGAGCCGGAAAGACTGAGGCGGCCAAGCGTATCATGCAATACATTGCGAACGTGTCCGGTGGCAGCAACTCGTCAATTCAAGAGGTGAAGGACATGGTACTGGCCACAAATCCTCTGCTCGAATCCTTCGGAAACGCCAAAACACTGCGCAACAACAACTCCTCGAGATTTGGAAAGTACCTGGAGATTCAATTCAACGGGCAGGGTGAGCCCGTTGGTGCCAACATCACCAACTACCTACTGGAAAAATCAAGAGTTGTGGGACAAATTATGAACGAGAGAAACTTCCACATCTTCTACCAGTTCACAAAGGCATGTTCGGAGAACTACAGGCAGACTTTCGGCATTCAGCAACCTCAATCTTATGTCTACACCAGCGCATCGAAGTGCTACGATGTACAAGGAATCGACGATCACGCCGAGTTCCAGGACACATTGAACGCCATGAAGGTCATTGGTTTGTCGCAAGCCGAGCAGGATGATATCTTCCGCATGCTTGCCACGATCCTTTGGCTCGGAAACTGCACATTCGCGGAAGACGACCAAGGGAATGCCGCGATCGCAGATCAGTCTGTGGTTGACTTTGTCGCCTACCTTTTGGAGGTGGACTCTGCTCACGTTAACAAAGCCTTGACTATCAGAGTCATGGAGACTAGCCGTGGTGGTCGCAGAGGATCGGTTTACGACGTTCCACTCAACCCAGCGCAAGCGACCGCTGTTAGAGATGCCTTGGCAAAGGCCATTTACTACAACCTCTTTGACTGGATTGTACTCAGAGTCAACCAGTCCCTGCGTGCTAAGGGAGCAATCGCCCAGTCGGTTGGTATCCTTGATATTTACGGATTTGAAATTTTCGAGCGCAACAGTTTCGAGCAGCTTTGCATTAACTACGTCAACGAGAAGCTACAGCAAATCTTCATTCAGCTGACGCTCAAGGCTGAGCAAGAAGAATATGAGAGAGAACAAATCACCTGGACGCCAATCAAATACTTCGACAACAAGGTTGTGTGTGAGCTGATTGAGGAGAAGAGACCTCCTGGCGTCTTTGCAGCACTCAACGATGCTTGTGCGACAGCCCATGCTGATCCTGCAGCTGCCGATGGCACTTTTGTACAGAGACTGAATGCCCTTTCTTCAAATCCTAACTTCCAGCCAAGACAAGGTCAATTTGTCATCAAGCATTATGCTGGTGATGTCGCATATGCTGTTGAGGGAATGACGGACAAGAACAAGGACCAGCTGTTGAAGGACATTCTTAACCTCTGTGGACAGAGTTCGAACAGATTTGTCCACACTCTCTTCCCTGAACAGGTCGACCAGGACAACAAGCGCCGCCCACCTACTGCTGGTGATCGAATCAAGGCTTCCGCTAACGATTTGGTTGCTACACTGATGAAAGCATCGCCCTCCTACATTCGTACAATCAAGCCGAACGAGAACAAGTCACCTACCGAGTACAACGTTGGAAATGTCATGCATCAGATCAAATACCTAGGTCTCCAGGAGAACGTCCGTATTCGCCGTGCTGGTTTTGCATACAGACAGACATTCGACAAATTCGTGGAGCGTTTCTACCTCCTCTCACCGAAAACAAGTTATGCTGGAGACTACACCTGGACTGGCGATGCCAAGTCTGGTGTCAAGCAGATTCTCAAAGACAGCAGTATCCCTGTCGAGGAATATCAAATGGGTGTCACAAAGGCCTTTATCAAGACTCCAGAAACTCTCTTCGCGCTTGAGACTATGCGTGATAGGTACTGGCACAACATGGCGATCAGAATCCAGCGAGCCTGGCGCAATTATCTCCGCTACAGGATAGAGTGTGCAACGCGCATTCAACGCTTCTGGAGGCGCAAGACAGGTGGTATGGAATTCATCCAGCTGCGTGACGAGGGTCACAAAGTACTTGGCGGCCGCAAGGAGCGCAGACGCTACTCACTGATCGGTTACAGAAGATTCATGGGAGATTACCTGGGCATTGGAAACAACGGTGGCAGTGGCGAGATGATCAGAAAGTCGATCAATCTGCCCACCTCTGATCAGGTGTTATTCTCTTGCCGTTGCGAGGTTCTCGTCTCCAAACTTGGACGTTCTAGCAAGCCAGAGCCACGCTTCCTTATTCTGACTAACAGGAGTGTTTACCTCGTGAAGCAAGCTATCGTCAACAAGCAACTGCAAATCATGGCCGAGCGTACAATCGCCATTGGCGCTATCAAGTTCATTAGCGCCTCCACGCTAAAGGATGATTGGTTTGCAATTGGTGCTGGATCTCCTCAAGAGCCCGACCCATTGGTGAACTGCATTTTCAAGACTGAGTTCTTCACTATGCTGAAGCAGGCTTCGCGTGGCACAGTCGATATCCGTATTGCTGAGGCAATCAGCTACAACAAGAAACCTGGCAAGCTTGCAACCGTCAAGGTTGTCAAGGACCAGACTGTCGCTCGCGATGATTTGTACAAGAGTGGTACTGTTCACACTGGACCCGGTGAATCCCCTAACTCTGTATCGAAACCAACACCAAAGGCCAAGTCCGTACCTGGAAAGCCGATCACCAGTGGCAAGCTCCTCAGACCTGGAGGCCCTGGTGGCCAGCCATCGAAATTGGCTGCTCGTCCAGCACCTCAATCTCGACCTGTTCCACAAGCTCGACCTCTACCAAGTGGAAACCAAGGGCTACCAGCAGGTCTACCTACGGCTACAGTCTCAACTCCTGCAGCAGCCGCAGCCGCTGCACAGGCTGCCATGCATCAGAAACCAGTTCCCGCACCTGTCGCTGCACTCAATGGTACCGGACATGCGCGCACCCCTTCATCGGGATCGGCACGCGTTCCTCCGCCCCCTCCACCTCCTGCTGCGGCACCAAAAGAACCACAGTTCAGAGCGATGTACGACTTTGCAGGACAGACAAGCGGTGAGCTGAGTCTCACTAAGGACGAGGTCATTCTAGTGACTCAAAAGGAAAACAATGGTATGTTCTACATGATCTAGAATCGCGAGGAAAGTTACTAATAGATTTCAGGTTGGTGGCTCGCGAAACGATTGGACGGCTCAGCATCAGGATGGGCACCGTCGGCATATCTGGAAGAGGTTGTGGCCAAACCAGCCCCTCCGCCTCCACCGCCAGTGCAGGCGCGCGCAACGCCTCCGGCACCACCCAAGGCTAATGGCGCCGTAGCTGGTAAGAAGATGCCACCTCCGCCGCCAGCCAAGCGACCGGCAGGACGCAAACCTGCACCTCCTGCTCCTGGAGGCAGCGGAAGTGGCACAGATAGTGGTACATCAACACCAACAGCAGGATTAGCAGGAGGGTTGGCAGAAGCATTGAGAGCACGGTCAAAGGCAATGAGACAGGACGACGAGGATTGGTAGATATACAGATTCAAGTGGTTTCGATAGTCGTAAATTGTTACAAGAAAGATACATTTCTATTTATACAGACCCCAAAATGCGCAGTTCACTTTCTAGAGCCGGCGGCGGGCTTGCGCGCAGCGGCCTCTGAAGGCAAGAGGCTACCGATCTTTCTGAGAAGCTTGGTCGAGTCCTTGTCGAGATATGTAGAGTTGCGCGAAATGGTGCGGGCGATCTCGTTCAAGACCTTGTTCTTGTGTGGTGCGGCCTTGAGGTTAGGGTATGCGCCACGGACAAACTTGTCGAACATGACAGTCTGGCTGTTGGAAGAGAGGGCAGAGAACTTGAAATCCTCCTTCTTGACAGTTGCAAGAACCGCTGCCTTCTCCTCCTCGTTCTTGAATGACACAAGTTCACCCTTGATCATGCGCTTAGCAATGTCGGGGGCGTAGCGGAACTCGTCTTGCTGAGCTTCGGCGACAATCTTGATGCGATCCTCAATAACACCGGCAAAGTTTCCAGCAGCGATAGTAGCACCTCCCTGGCCGAGCTTGAGGTATTCGTCACGCGAAACGGGTTCGGGCTCAAAAGGCACGGCTGTAACTTCTTGCTTGTCGAATTGCTCGAGGATTGTGAGTTCGTTGGCAGTGGATTCACCCATTGGATCGGGACCCAGTTCGTCGTTGCCTTCGAGCTGCTCGTCTTCTTCTTGTGCCTGCTCTTCCTGAACCACCTCTTGCTGTCCTCTTCCTCGCTTGGTGTCTCTCGAGACTGCTTCGCCGCCTTCGTTGGGGTCCAGTACAGCGCCAGAAGATGTGTGTTCGGATCTTGACTCGTCGGCAGCTCCACCGGCACGCACTGGGCGACCAGGGCTTTGGGCGAAAGCACTCTCGCGGCCTGCGGAGTCGTTGGCTCCCATAGGACCGCTTCCTCCAACAGCCTCTGCATCGACATCCTTGGAACGAGTGGTAGGGTAGACACTGTTGTTGCCGCCCGAGACAGTAGCAGCGGTACTGCCGCGGTTCAGCATGCGGACTTCCTCAGAAACCTGGGCGGCGCGTTGTTGCCGTGAGCGACCAGTAGCGGGTTGGTTGTGCGGTGTGGAAGTGTGTTCGGGAGCCGGGTTTGTCGCTGCACAGGGTCAATCATGGCTGTAGTAGCAGCAGAGACAGGCATTCAAGCATACGCATAGTGTTGGAGCCTTTTTCCTGGCCTCTTTGGCGGTCGGCCCATCTCTTGTCGCTGAGGTAGCGCGCCGACTGCACACGAAGGCTGACAGGGCATTGCGGTCTCACCGCTGAGACGGCTGTCAGCGGCTGTCTTTTGAACATGGTGGTGGTTGTGACTGGACGAATACAGAAATTCACGGTCATGTCGCTGTCTGCATGCGCCTATCCCAAATCTTGGAGATATGGTCTGTGCGCATCTGTATGTATTGCGGCAGTATCGAGACCTCCGAAACATCAACATTGCCTTTTGCTCAACTGTCCCCAATTCATCTTTATTTGTTGATCGCCATCTGTCGAGACTGAACACTAGATTTTGTTCGATCAATCAAGTTGCTCGAACTGACTCTAGCATCTCCTTGAAAAGAATCAAAACAACGCTCTCTATCAACACCATCATCATGCTCCGCAGACAACCTACCAAAATTACTCTGGTTCAGGACGATATTGCTGCTTATGATGCCAATAAACTCAAAAAGGATCAAGAGAAGAACCAGCAGCAGCGCGCAGACATCAATCCCTATGGCGATCCGCGTTTCGACCCAGCCGGAGGTCCACGAAAGGATACGAGGACCAAGGAACAGAGACTTGGTCTGTCGTCTAGAAACTAGCCATTGAAATTACAGTCTGCATCAGATCAGGTCGAGGAATTCTGGCTCGGCCAGAATGGCTTCGTTGTCGTTTCCTTGCGTGATGGACCACGCGCGGCAGGAATCTTCATTCCTCTACATGCACCAGCGTCGTAAACACACCTCGCATGCTCATCCCTCTTACAATGTCATCTGGAGGATGCTGAATCTGTTCTATTCTTCTACCCTCCGAAGACAGACTATCTCAATCATTGACAGAGAGATAATGGCGCGATTGCGGTTGCTCCCTCTACTGGCCTGTGTTACTCTTTTGTTGTGTTCGCTCTCGTCGACATTTGTAAGTAATCGTAGATTATTCAAGACTTCTTTTCTAATCAACGCGTCTAGGTTCAAGCTCAATCGGACGATTCAGCTCCACTACATACTACAAATCATGTGAAACGCTACGGCTCAGGGGCTCCCTACTGGTTCTCTGAGATCACCAGGCAAGGAAAAGTTGCATATGGCACAAACTCTTCATACGTCGTCTGGAGAAATGTAATGGATTATGGAGCCAAAGGTCCGTTCTGGTACTTCAATTGAAGACTCTCTTCATCTGACAGACTTCAGGCGACGGCGTTACTGATGACACTGATGCTATCAACAATGCAACATATGACGGCAACAGATGTGCCTATCCATGTGAATCACAGACTACCACTCCGGCTATTGTTTACTTCCCTCCCGGTACATATGCTGTTAGCAGACCACTCGTTATGCTGTATTACACCCAGTTCATCGGAGATGCCAACAATCTGCCGGTGATTCTGGGCCTTCCGAATTTCTATGGTATCGCTCTACTCGATTCCGATCCTTATCTAGCTTATGGACAGAGTTGGTGGGCCAACCAGGTATGACAACTTGGTATTTGTGCGAAACATGAATGCTAATGAATTGTGCCATAGAATAACATGTGGCGCCAAGTTCGCAATTTTGTGCTCGACATTCGCCAGATCCCTTCTGGCTCGGCCCATTGCTTGCATTGGCAAGTTGCTCAGGGAGCATCTCTACAGAACATTGTTTTCGAGATGACCGAAGGTGGTGATGACAATCAGCAAATGGTTAGTCTGCATACTATCAATTGCAATCTATATGACTTATCATCTCCAGGGTGTTTTCATGGACAACGGATCAGCCTTATATCTAGAAGACCTCATTTTCAATGGTGGATCTATCGGTTTCTTCTCTGGCAACCAGCAATTTACTTGTCGAAATCTGACCTTCAACAACTGTCAAACTGCCATCTACCAGAATTGGAATTGGATGTTTTCCTACAAAGATATCGTCATCAACAATGCCCAAGTCGGTATAGATATGACACAAGGCGGAGAAGAAATCACCACTGGTTCCATGGTTCTGCAAGATGCGACAATGAACAATGTTGCGATTGGTGTTATTACCACCTTCTCTTCCAACTCGACGCCCACCTCTGCCGGCACCTTCATTATGGACAACGTAAATTTTGTCGACACCCCAGTTGCAGTCCAGCTCTCTCCTAGCAATGCCACTCTTCTCGAAGGAAATCAGCTAGTCGGAGCCTGGGGCCAAGGCAGGGTTTACAGTGCGTACGAATCTTCCTACGAAGAGAACAATCTCACTTGTTACGGTCCTGCAGCCACCTATTCTCGCGTGCAACAAGTCATGGACCCTGCCCCCAAAGCTTCATCTCTCTTGAATGCTGACGGATCCGTCTTCACACGTTCAAGACCTCAGTATGAAGGTGTTCCTGTCGAAAACTTTATATCCATCAAGACTTATGGATGTGCTGGTGATGGTGTTACTGATGATACTGCATGCGTGCAGAGCTTCCTGAACTCGATTCAGCCCGATCAAATCGCCTACATCGATTACGGCGCTTATGTCATCAGAGACACCATCAACTTCCCTATTCCGATCAAGGTTCAAGGCGAGCTGTGGCCTTACTTTATGGTGGATGGTTCTTCGTCCACATTTAGCGATCAGAACAATCCTCAGCCCGCATTTCGTGTCGGTGAACCTGGTCAAGTTGGTGACATTGAACTGGTCGAGCTTATTTTCCAGACAATTGGTCCCGCCCCTGGCGCAATCATGGTTGAATGGAACCTCGCACAATCATCACCAGGCTCTGCTGGTAAGTTTTGCTCTTCATCCAGTATTAGAACCTCACTAAACAATCTATTGCAGCTATGTTCGATGTTCATTGGCGTATTGGAGGTACCAATGGCACCCAATTGCAATCGACCAATTGTCCTAAGACACCAAACACCCTAACTACTCCCAACCCTGATTGTTTTGGTTCTTTCCTGCTCCTCCATATCACAAGAACCGCATCTTTGTTCATGAGCAACAACTGGGGCTGGGTCAGTGATCACGAGATGGATCTGTCAGGTGAGATATAAGAATGATAATTTTTCATTTGAACACATGCTGATTAGATTTACAGACCACAACCAAATCAACATTTACAACGGTCGTGGAGTCTTGGTCGAAAGTCAAGGTCCTGTGTGGATGATTGGCACATCCTTCGAGCATAGCATGCTTTACAACTACCAGTTTGCTTCTGCAAGCGAGATCTATGCCAGTGCTATTCAGTCGGAGACTGCGTAAGTTTGAATGCCTTCTGCATTTCTATTCGTACTAATAGACACGAAGCTACATGCAAAATAATCCCAATGCCATCGCACCATACCCACCACAATCCGACTGGAACGATCCAGACTTCTCTACCTGCTTCACCTCGAACTGTCCCAAAACTTGGGGCTTGCGCATCTTCAACAGCACCTATATTTTCGTATACGGTACTGGACTTTACTCATTCTTCAACAACTACGATTCCGGATGCTTGGCGACCACCAATTGTCAGCAAAATATGGTGAGTGTTGAAGAAAGTCAAGGTGTTTATCTGTATGCCCTCAATACCGTAGGTGCTCAGAATCTGGTTCAAGTCGATCAGGTGGAGTTGGTGCCTGCAATTGCGAATGACAACAGCTTTGCAGATACGGTGGCGATATTCGAGTATCCTTGATCGAAATGTACGGGAAGGAAGTTTGTTCATTAGTCTGTTCGTGCGTCGATGCCTTCCCTCGAATTCTTTTGGTTTGAGGTATACTTGACAGAAAATGAATTGCAGTATCATTATTCATTCGAACTCGGCCTTCTCGCGTGCTAGAGACAGTCACAATCTGGCATCTGACCCCATCTCTGTTCCGATTACAAGTATTCCTGCAAGCTATCGAAAACACTCAGTTGGCCTTCAACTGGGTCCTTTCTGTGAAGCCCAAGGGTCGGACTTGTGGTTCGGTGAAGGCGGGGATCGGCGCGACTCCGTTGATCTCATCGCGTAATTAGTCAACTCACGATACTGTCTGCATCACCCTCTCCACGTGTCAATGCGAATAGAGACCAAGAACTCGGGAATGCTGTTGCAATTTGCAAGTATCTAGGCCTTGCTCTGCGTGTAAGCTGTGGAATGTAGTCGTCGACCTTTGTGGGAGGAATGTCACCTAGCCATGACAACAACATGTTGGTCTCGCGCGTGGGTAGACTTTCGAAGGTAGCGAGACAAGTCTTTCTTCCCTTTCCACTGTCTGAAGCTACGTGAAGACGTATGGCGAAAATGCCGAATATGGCATCAGAACTCGGTATTGGCGTTCTGCCCTTTCTTTCTCTGATTTTGCCTGCTATGTCTCAGAGTATCCCTGGTGCAAGCCTCTTCACTGGCGGTGGCATACCTGGCTCAGGGGCATACGAATTGGTTGATGACTACCAACCTAGCGTGTTCTTCAGCAAGTTCAACTTCTACAACGTACGTTGCAGGGACGACAATAGTAGATTTTGGTACTAAGATCATACAGTCATACGATCCGACATACGGCCATGTGCAGTGAGTCCGGTTTATTCTGTTTCTTAGAGAAGCTTTACTAAGATTCCCAGATACGTGAACGAATCGGTTGCTGTCACGAACGGGTATGCAACTACGAACGAGGACAGCGTTACGATCAGTGTAGATACAACGAATATGTGGCCGAATGGCGGGCCAGGACGACCATCCGTCAGGCTCATCAGTGATAACACATACACTCACGGACTCTTCATCTTGGATCTGACCCACATGCCATATGGATGTGGAACCTGGCCTGCATTCTGGCTCCTCGGCCCAAATTGGCCAGCCAATGGCGAAATAGGTGGGTGGCATTGCATTGCTGTTCTACCAATTCACTAAGCGAGTCTAGACATCATCGAAGGTGTACACACTAGTGAGCAGAACACCGTGTCTATGCACACGAGCGCCAATTGTACCATTGCTGGTTCTGGACAGACCGGTCTCTTCACCAATGCCAACTGTGATGAAGCTGCAAATAGCAACTCTGGATGTGGAAGCATGGCAAATGATACAGCAACTCCCAATAACTACGGCCAAGGACTTAGCGACAATGAAGGTGGTGTTTACATTACCGAGTGGACTTCGGCGTATGTCCGTGTCTGGTTCTTCCCTCGTGATGGTATTCCTTCGAGTGTCACTGATGGCTCTCCTGATGTTTCTGAGTTTGGTCTGCCCATGGCGAACTTCCAAGGTTCCTGCGATATCGACTCTCATTTTGCTAACCACAGTATCATCATCAATACTGATTTCTGTGGTGCATGGGCTGGATTTGCTTATTCGAACTTCCCGAACTGTCCATTGACAGCTGGCGCAAATGGCTACGACTCGTGTGTCGATTTTGTAGGCAACAACCCACAAAACTTCACACAGGCATACTGGGAAATCAACTCGATTAGGGTCTACCAGTTGCCTGTCAATGTGACCTCATCTACGGTTCCGACCAGCACTGCACCATTGACTTCGTCTTCGCCAATTAGTGTCAGTGGCAGTATCATCAATCCCGGAATGGGCCAGTCCACATCGTCATTGCCTCTTTCGGTACCATACACTGGTCCACTGTCTTCTGTATCTTCCACTATCTCGTCCACAGCTACCGCGTTAGCCAGTCCACTCATTTGTTTCCCTTACGACGGCAAGAATTATACAGATTACAATGGTTTCACGTACGCCATCAGCTGCGGATACGATCTGACTGGTCAAAGCCTGAATGGCGCTGGTCAAACCGTTGACAGCTTCGAAGCTTGCATCGAGCTGTGTGACAGTACAGCTGGATGTGGTGCAGTTTCTCACGTTGGTGGCAATGGAGCGGGCACTTGCACTTTGAAAACTGGCGAAGGCCAACTCGAATACGATGGTCATACTTTCGTTGCTGTGTCAGTGTTGGTTATCTCGAGTGCCTCTTCGACGTCATTGGCAGTGACTGCAACAATTCCTCTCTCCTCTACCCCTCCGAAGACTGCCACGCTTCAACCAACTGCACAGGCATCGACTTGCCCTGAAGTCAACAACTCCGTGTACGTGGACGAGAATGTGGTCTCGTACAATGTATATTGCTCCACAGACACGGACGTGGAAACCTACAACAACACCGTTATTCAAGGAGGTGGCTTCGTGGCTTGCTTTACTATCTGCGATGTCACGCCGGATTGTGTTGGTTTCAGCTTTGAAGGCACATCAGCAGGTACTTGCCATTTCAAGAACCAATTTGGCAGCACCTCTTCAGCTGCATCCGACTCCGTTGTCGCTTTCCTTTCACAGGGTCCAAATTCATCTTCGAGTGCCTCAACTGCTCCTTCTACAGTTTCCTCCGCAACAAGTTCCGGTGTCTTGCTTAGTTTGTCTGCGTACGAAAAAACCTCTGTCTCAGCGAGCAGTAGCTCATCTTCGATGAGCTTGGGTGTTCCTGCTACAACATCGAATGCTGCCCTCCCGTCATCCTCAGCATCTCCGACCTTGTTCCTCTCTTCGTCGGTCACATCGAGCTTGCCATTGACAACTTCTTCAGCCAGTCCTCCAATCGTCTACTATGTCGCTCCACCGTGCCCTTCATCTGTAGACAACATCTGCAACACCGACACACCGACGACCTGCTCTAATGCTCGTGGTGCAAATTTCGACGTCGGTTGTGGAAGCTCATACACAGGAACCACGATTGATGAGAACAGCAGAGTACGTGTCATCAAGCGTGTGGCTGAGCCATCATACACAGATTGTCTCGATCTATGTGATGATACTACTGGCTGTGTTGGCGTCAACTACAAAGGGACCGAGTGTACCCTGTTTAGTAACATCACGGGTACTGTTCCAGATCCTGGCAATGTCGCCGCTACGCTCTTGCCTCCTGTGCCAGTCACATCAACCAGCGCTGCTACATCGTCACCAACGGTATCTACACTGCCAACATCCAGCTCTATCTCATCGTCAAGTGCCTCGATTACTTCCTCTTCGTCAATTGTATCATCAGTTGTGTCGTCTGCTATATCGATCCCCACTGCTGGTCCGACGTGCCCGGGAGCTGCTGGTCAAACTTACGCAGACTCGAATGGGGCCAACTACACCGTCGCTTGTGATATGAACGTCCAAGGAGGTGACCTCTCGAGTGCATACCGCGCTGATTCTCTCCTGGGTTGCTTGCCTAGCTGCGATGTTACGACAGGCTGCATAGGTGTAGTTTACGACACATTGTCTTCTTCCTGTCAGATGAAGTCTACCTTCACCGGTGCCCAGGTCCCCGGTGCAAATTTTGTCATTGCTGTACGTGTGGGTGCAACAGATCCTGGAATCTCATCGTCATCGAGCTTGACAAGCTCTTCTTCGGCTTCAGGAGCCAGTCTTTCGAGTGTCGGCACTAGCAGTAGTGCAACTATCACCATAACCACATGTGAGTACTTGTGTCACCTAACCTTCTTCTTTTACTAATTGCCTTTCAGCTTATCCTGCAAGCGCGACAGTCACTGTTGTTAGTACATTTGTCACAACTGGAATACCTCCTAGTGGTAGTTTTGCTTCCGGCAGTGAGAGTACAGGCTCGGGCTCCTTATGCTTCACCTGCTTCTTGACCCCCACTGTAGTGACTGGAGGTGGCACAAATGTGGCTGCCAACACTGGCGGCGTATGCTCTGCCCAGACCTCTAGTTCTGTTGGGACAACAACTATATTCACCACCGAGACGGTCACGGCTTGCCCAACCCCAGGCATGTGTCCGCCCGAAGGCTTTGGTTGGGGCGGCACACTGTTTGGCTCCAACTTCAGCAGCATGGCTTCTCAAAGCTCTTTTGCATCTATGGGTGGAGGCATGAACCCTGCTGTCAGCGGTGGATCTGGGGGAACTCCCACCTCGACAATCCTCGTTACTGGTTCTGCAGTGAGTGGTGGATCGTCAGCAACCCCAGTCTGTCCTGGCTCAGATGGTACTCTCTTCACTGACAGCTTGGGTCAAGTTTACGAGATTAGTTGCGGACGAGCCATTACTGACCAAACGCTCTCAACCTCCAATACGAGTTCTCTGGCGTCTTGCATTGATGCTTGCGACATGTACAACTTCCAGACCTTCAACTCTCCCAGCTCATGTTTGGGTGTCTCGTTCTATGCAGATCTCACCGCAGGCAATTGCGAGTTGAAGACGGGCACTACGAACGTTACTTCACCTGATGTTGATTCTGCTCGCCTTCTCTCCAGATCGGTCGGCGCAGGTAATAGCACGATTGGCAATGGAGGTACTGGAGGCAATGGCGACTATGGAGCTGGATCTGTTGTCGGTACTGTCACTGCAACTGCCCCTGGCACTGGCGGTGTGACGACCGTTTTAGCCGGGGGCGTGACAACCGTCATTGGTGGTGGCGGTGGCTCTGGAAATGGTAATGGAGTAGGCACTGGTCCAGGAACGGGAGCTGGTACAGGTCCAGGCACAGGTCCAGGCACAGGTCCAGGCACAGGTCCAGGCACAGGTCCAGGCACAGGTCCAGGTACAGGTCCAGGCACAGGACCGGGTACGGGCCCTGGTACGGGTCCAGGCACAGGACCGGGTACGGGCCCTGGTACGGGTCCAGGCACAGGACCGGGTACGGGCCCTGGTTCGACGGTTTATGCTGTCTCGACTGCAGTATCAACCATTGTCTCTAACGGACAAACAATACTCTCGACGTATGGAGTCAGCACAGCGGTCAGCGTTGTATACCAGCCGGCAACTACGCAGACAGTGACCACGACCACAGTTTCCATATCGATATCTATTTCCGACCGTACCGTCGTCTCGACTGCACCAGGAGCCACAGTATCGGTGTCTGGAGGAGGCGGCCAGGTGGTCACGATCACGGCCGGTGGTGGAAACTACATTACTGTCACACAGGTGGTAACGAGCTACGCCACCCCTTCGAGTGTCAGTACGTCGTTCACTTGCAGAACATATGCCACAAACTACCTCAATGGTATGCATGGTCGTATGCTGTTGAGGAAGAGAAGTGTGTTCGATAGTTACGGAATGGGTCAATCTGATCCCCTGGCGCCAATGCCGGGAGCTGCACCACGAATTTGATGTAGGAACACCTTAGTACCTAGGCAGTTCTCTTGTAGTAGTCTTGTCCAATGCGAATGTTCAAGTTTTGGTTGATCTACTTAGGCTTCCCAACAAGGAATTGTGTTATTCCAAGGGCTCACACGATGAACTGTTTCAGGCTCTCGAGAGGGGTGTCTATACAGTAGTATTGGTTACTCATAAGTCCTATATCAATGTCAGGATTGTGCCATCGGTATCAAAAGTCCGTTCATCCGGAGTGTATAAGCACTTCTATAGCAGACGTGTGTGAAACTACCACCACTTCTCGCATAAAACTTTGCGCTTGTCCATACCATCTCTTGTGCTCAAATATCCGACAAACTGGTCTGTCATGGCAGGGGGACCGCAGACATAAGCCACCGTCGCCTGCCTAACACTGCGGTCCCCGCCAATCGCAGCTTCCAAATCGTCCTTCTCGATCCTTCCCAACCTGACATGTTGGGGCAGGCCCGTCGCAGCATCGATCTCCTTCTGCGATGTCCCTGTGAGGAACAGGTCTAGCTGAACACTGCCATCTCCTTGTTTCTTGATTAAATCCATCAATCTTGTCAAGAACAGGATACGTGATTCTTTGATCGGTCCTTCCTCAACCTTGCTTCCGTAGACAAATCTCACCTTCTTTGGTCGATTGGAAAGACTCATTAGATATGCAAAGATCGAGATCAAAGGATTGATACCCACGCCCCCTGCCACCAAGACGACTTGTTCAATGCCAGTAACATCTAAACCCGGCGGCGGCCATACGAAGCTCCCACCTGTGCGAACAATAATCTGTTCATTCAAGATCTCAGACTCGGGTTTCCAGAGCCATTGAGCAGGTGGGTTGGTGGATTTTTGGATTGCTAGCTCGAAGTAGGCTGGTCGTTGAGAGGTAGGTTTGCCTTGGTCTGAAGGCGTGGAAGTTATGGTGAAGCCACCCGCTTTGGGCAGAGATGGGATGAAGACGTCTAGCCATTGACCTGGCAGGAACTTTACTTTGGTAGATGTAATTAGCAAATGATCTCATTGGTAGATGAATAGATATGAAGATTATTTGTACCTTTAGTGAGTGATCGGGCTTCATGGCACTCAACCGAATCAAACGAATAGTGTTGTTGACGGCATCGATGCGAGATACTGTCACAGGCTCTAGACGTGCTTCTCGTGGTTCTTGGGCTGTACGTTCTTCATGGCTGAGGGAAGAGCGAACGGTTGCCATAGTGCGGATGAGAAGAGGGTAAGGGCGAAGAGAGGAGCAAGGTACACGAGATACTAGATGTTTATGGAACATAGCAATTACTATTGACAACTTGACCAATGTATCTTATGTGAATGAAGATGGAAGTCGCTGCCGGCTAATGTGCCCATATCGGGCATGACGTTGCGTCTGTTCGGCAGGAGCACCCCGCCCACAGTCGGTGTCTGGTGATGCCGTCGGACATCACGAATGCAAGTACAGATAACACGTATTTGTGAATTAATACGTCTAGAAGAACATACATTTCAAGATGACTGCTCCAATGGCTACGATAGGCGTCATCTCGATTGGTGAGATGGGACTAGGAATCGCCAAGCTGCTGAAAGCAAGTGGTTATCGCGTAGTCACTAATGCCACTGGTCGAAGGTATGCTATACACATTTTCCCAGAGGAGATAAGAATAGTATCTAACGCATATTTCTAGTCAAGATACACACGACCGAGCCAAATCAGCATCCATAGACCTAGTTTCTTCGGATGAGGAACTAGCAGCGACGTCAGACTACATTATGTCTATCGTGCCACCAAGAGATGCAATAGCGACGGCGGAACGCGTAGTAAAAGTCAGCAACACAAAGAGAGACAAGCCTTTGTATTATCTCGATATGAATGCGGTCTCGCCAAAGCTGGTCAGGAGCATCAACGAGCTCTTTGGCGCTGCTGGTCAAAACGTTCGTTTCATTGATGGAGCCGTGATTGGCAGTGCACCAAGCCTCAAAGACGACCAAGCAGACTCGTCCAAGCCCGAAGCATGGAAGAGACCCGGTATTCCCATGTCTGGACCGTACCGATTGACAGACGCAGAACCAAATGGTGCACATCTTGCCAATACACTTGGGGCCCGACACATTTCAGAGGAAATAGGCGCGGCATCAGGACTGAAGATGAGCTTCGCATCTCTGTTTAAAGGACTCACCGGGTTGGCCATCCAATCTTTTACAACAGCGCATCGTCTTGGTGTGTTGCCAGAGTTGCAGCAGCATCTCCAACAACATAGTCCGAAGATATTGGAACTGATTAATGGTTCGATGCCTAAAATGCCACCCAAGGCTTACCGCTGGGTTCGAGAAATGGAGGAAATTGATGCAACACTGAGGGAAGATGGTGGGTTCGAAGAAGAATCGATCTTTAGTGGCATCGCTAGGACGTATGAGTTGGTTGCCCACGGCACAGACCTAGGTGAAGAGAAGACTGAGAGGAGAAACCGGGGCAAGACAACCGAGGATGTAGCATTGTTGATGAGTGAAGGCATCGAGAGACGAAAGCAAAAGACGGATTAGACAGACCACATAGGACTTTACATACATAAATTTGGGCGAATATTCAAAATGAAGGAAGCAGTGTTCACGCAGCCACGCGCAGCGCTCGAGCCTCGGAGTCCCAAGCAGCCAGAAAACAAGCTTTCTCGGCGTTAAGGGTCTCGACCGACTGGGACTTTTTTACATCAGCGATTCCGTGCCTTCTTCACAACCCAAGTCATGGGATGTTACGAACATTTGCACATTTCATGACAGGCAGCATGGCGAAGAGAGTCCCTATCCCCAAGAATGGCGTCGATTACCGCGGCAAGGTGGTCCTCGCGCCCATGGTCCGCAGCGGTGAATGTCCCTCGCGATTGATGGCCTTGAAGTACGGTGCTGATCTCGTATGGGGTATGTCATTCTCGTCCGAATCAAGTGAAAAGCGCATTGTACTGATTAGATCGATTCCAGGTCCTGAGACCATCGACAAGGCACTCATTGGCACAACTCGTCGCGTCAACGCAGTCACAAACACCATCGACTTCACTCGCCTCTCCTCCAACGGCTCCAAGAACCCAGACGTCAACCCCTCTCAGCGCGAGAGCATAATATACAGACTATACCCTTCGCGCGAAGGTCGTCAACTTATCCACCAAATCGGCACTTCTGACCCGGAAAGAGCTGTGGCAGCCGCGAAACTGATCGCTGGAGATGTAGCTGGCATCGACGTCAATGCAGGATGCCCCAAGCCATTCAGCACTCTTGGAGGTATGGGTGCTGCGCTACTCAAGACACCGGATAAGCTGGTCGCAATCCTCGAGGCACTGGTCAAGGAAGTTGGAGGACCCTTTGAAATTGGCATTAGCGTAAAGATTCGCTTGCTGGAAACACCTGACCAAACTGCGGCATTAGTGCGCAGACTGGTTGCTACTGGAATCACTGGGCTTACACTGCATTGCCGCACGACACCTATGCGACCACGCGAAAGCGCCATTCGCGATCAACTGCGCATGGTTGGCGAGATCTGCCACGAAGCAGGCGTCGCGTGTCTGATGAACGGCGATGTGACAAGCAGAGATGAGGCACTCAAATTGGCCGAGGAGTATGGCGTTGATGGAGCCATGATTGCGACAGCCGCCGAGACGAACCCCTCATGCTTCCGCGCCGAAAAGGATGGTGGCATAGCACCCTGGGATCAGGTGGTCAAGGAATATGTCCAGATCGCCATGGACGTCGAGAACAGATGGGGCAACACAAAGTATCTGCTCGGGCAGATGATACCTGGAAAAGCAAAGGAATACCGCCTCATGAACCAAGCCAAGAGTTACACCGATCTAGTCGACATTATGGGATACGAAGAATTTAGAACTCAGGCTCGTGAAGTGGACGAAAAGCTCGAGATCAGCTTCGGCAAGAAAGAGACGAGGTCAGAGAGGAAGCAAAGAGGTAATCAGGCAAAGAAGGAGAGAAAAGCAGAAGCAAAGGCAGCGGACGAAGAGCAGTCGCTGAAGCGCAAAGCAGACGATGCCGAGCTCAGCATGCCTCCAGATGCCAAACGTCAGACAGACGATAATGAGCCTAGCATGCCATTAGACGTCTCACGATCTGAAGCACCAGGATCGGTGACTACTGAGCAGGTCCTCGCAGTATGATAGATATTACAATTAATGATTCGAGTTTTGATATTATCCATCCTAGACATTACTTGCGTTGATTTCATTAATCGTAAGAAAGCGTAAGGGTATAGTGCTAGAAAGAAGACCGCCCAAATCATCATGAGGAACTGTCGTTACCAATGTGCAGCTTGCTCTTTAACCGGTCAGTGATACTGCTCTGGCGCTTGGCCTCTTCGTCTTTCTTCGCTTGTGCCTCGAGTATCTCTCGCTCTTTCTGAGCACTCTTGCTCTTGTCCTTCTGAGCTTCTTCGCGCTGTCGGGCTTCTTCGGGATTGATAGCATCTTTGATCTTCTGCTCTCCTTGCTTGAGACTGCGCTTAACGCCAAGGTAGCCTTCAAGACCAACGAGCACAGCGTATGCCCTTGAGATGCTTACGCGAGACATGTCAACACCAGCTTCTCTAAGGCTGTGCACAAAGGCTCTGAAGTTGCTAGCTGGCGGTGCATAATGTCCAGACAAGGGACTAAGTCGTCTCAGTTGACCTCGTTTGATACGGATCAATCCTGCTGATAAAATTCGAGCTCCTTTGAGGAATGAAGAATGTTGAAATGCTCCTGACTGTTTGATGCCGATATAAAGGCGGAATGAGGTGTCGGCCACGAATATCCAGGAGTTCTTTTTGGTGGTCTTTCTAGAAGGGTTGTTAGCTGACCAAAGGATCAAAAGATATCGACGACGACTTGTACGAAGTCTGCTTACCGTAGAAGGTCATTCATGATAGTGTTGGTCGACAGATGCTTGAGCTTGCTAAGACCTTTCGCGTCATGCAGTTCTTGGTTAACGTATCGAGATGCATCCTCGCTACTGCCCACACTGATGTCCGAGTCACTCTCTGAGCCACTCGAGGATGCGGAAACTTCCTGACGACCGGTTGTGTTGCGCCATGTCGGCGTAGTATCATCAGTGATTGGAACGATACCTTCCATGGAATCCTTCCATTCGGGAGATGTTGATATGCGTTGACCGTTTTTCGCCCAGCATAACATTCCATCGTCGTCGATTTGGACCAGATACTTTTGGCGTTCCTCGCGCGACAAATACCGTACTCTCTCTTCGTCCAGACGGTTTCTCGGACGTTCTGGTAGGTCAACATCTTTACCGCTCCCAAAATCCAGCCAGTAGAAGAAGTTCTCCTTAGTGTCGCTTTCTTGCCAGACCTTGTGGTATTTGCGGAGGGAAGATCCGTAGCGATGTTTCTGGTCAACCTAGAAGCGTGTAAGGTGATGCTCAGGGGAAGTGGCATGTGTACATACCATCTCGAGGAAGTATTCTATACCCATGGTCCTTGCCATCTTTTCCCGTTCAGCCTTGGCCTCTCTTTTGCGCTGTAAGTAGTCGTCCCGTTCTTGAGGATTCATAGTTTCGACATCCTCATCCGAACTGGTATCGTCATTCTCCGCATGTTTGGCAATTTGACCAACCCGCTTCCACTTTTCGCGAGCCTCACAATTTCCAGGAGTAGATATGTGAGTCGAAGCATGCCGGGCACGCTCATCCCGGGACATAGGCTGCGTGGAGTTACGGTAACGAGCTACTCGAACATGAGAGGTGAGCAATGGAATGGTGGAAGAAGAATCAAGTACCTTCTTGGACGGCCTAGACTGTGTCAGTTTTGAATATGGATACGAGGACTGAACGAGCAACATACATCAAACCATCTGGTTGAGGCAGATAAACCTAAGCCACGCATCTCTCTACGTTCGCGATAGCCGCGGTAATTGCGCTGATCGGATTCAGCAACAGATCTTGGTAACTTCGTATGTTGGTCGTCACACACTTGGATGATTCCAGCAGCGGCTTCTTGCTGGTCTGGCGGTTGGTTACATGTCGACAGATGTCTGGCGCGAGCCTCTCTAATCTCCTTCTCCTTCGCATCTTGACGAGCAGCAATCTCACGCAGCTTCTCCTTGGGCGGCAGCTCATAAGCCATGGGTGTTTCTGGCTGATATTGCAAAGCGCATTTGCATAACAAGCCACACAAAGTGACAAAGATGGTGAGCGACGAGAAACGGTGTTTTCAAACATCCCCGCGTAGTGGGTGGGACAAACTTGGAATTAAAGCGTGACGGAAGGCACTCCAGACCGCGTCATCCCGCTGCTCCTGCCCATGTGGGTGCCATCTGCGGCTAAAACTACCGACTTGTTTCACCCAGGGTCCACCAAAACGGCAGGCGCGAGTCCGATAGACTTTCTGGAATCTCATCTCCATGTTCGACTGCCATCTCAACATACACGCACGTTGATGCTGTCGCCTTTGCGTGTCCTCACACGCACTCGCCTTCCCCTCAGGCACTATGGACTCACCTCAAACCACCGAACCCTATTGACTCTGGCCATCGAAACTTCGTGCGACGACACATCCGTCGCCATCGTTGAAAAACACAAAGATGCTTCAGCAACCCTACACTTCCACAAAAAAGTGACTGCCAACACAGCCGCATACAATGGCATCCATCCTGTGGTTGCCCTGGAGTCGCATCAATCCTCGCTTGCTCCGCTGCTACAAGAGGCATTGAATCATCTGCCACCTACACAGTCGGACTCTGATCCTCGCCGCTCCTTGCACACTGGAAATACTTCTCGCACTAAGCCAGACTTTATCTCAGCGACAAGAGGTCCAGGCATGCGCTCAAACCTTTCTGTTGGACTAGACGCTGGCAAAGCATTGGCTGTAGCCTGGGATGTTCCTGTCATAGGTGTTCATCACATGCAAGCTCATGCCTTGACACCACGCCTAGTATCTGCCCTCGAATCTAAGGCCGTCACTGGACCTAACTTTCCCTTTCTGAGTGCCTTGGTGTCTGGAGGTCATTCTATGTTGATCGAATCCACTGGATTGACTGATCATAAGATCCTAGCCACAACCGGCGATATCGCGCTAGGCGACTGCTTGGACAAAGCCGCGCGCGCGATTCTGCCAGCTCACTTAGCACTGCCTCCTTACGGACGAGCACTCGAACAATACGCTTTCCCTGCTGGGGCCTCGGACTACAACTATACAGCACCTGCAAAGCGAGACGCAGAGCTCGCGCGCAGAGTCACAAAGTGGGGCTGGGGCCTAGGTGCACCCCTGGCTGGAAGCAAGAACGGAAGTAGCAGTCGCAAGATGGTCTATTCTTTCTCCGGTCTACTAAGCAGTATCGAACGCTTTGTAAAATTCGAGTATGATCACCAGAACTCGACTATCTCTAGCCAACTACGCCAACCTGGCCATCTTTCCGACGATGAGCGGCGTGACATGGCCAAGGAAGTAATGCGTGTGGCCTTTGAGCATCTCGCCTCTCGCATTCTCTTGCACCTATCTTCTCTACCACCTGAAGAGGCCGCCAAGGTCAACTCTGTGGTCGTCTCTGGTGGTGTGGCGGCGAACCGCTTCTTGCGCCATGTAATGCGTGCTTTCCTGGACGTCAGGGGTTTCAACCACGTTGAATTGTTCTTTCCACCTGTCGAGCTGTGCACAGACAACGCAGCTATGATTGGATGGGCAGGCATAGAAATGTGGGAGGCCGGATGGAGGTCGCAATTGTCTGTACGACCGATCAAGACGTGGTCCATGGATCCTAGTGCTAGCGACGGCGGTATTCTAGGCGTGGAAGGATGGTTGAAAGTATGAGTTTGTGTAGTAGCGTCGCTCGTTGTGTCTTCTAGCTGCGTAGTATGCCCATGTGTCGGCTGCTGAGTATACCCAGGTGGTGTTTATTTCTCCTCTTCTTGCTGCTTCTTGAGAGCGGCTGCGACTTGCTCGTCCAAATGAACCTTGAAGCTCTTTCCGTTCGCCATGCAACCTGCTATGACGGATGTCAACATGGTGTGTGAATGGCAATCATAGACAAACTCACAATCTGCACTTGAAGTGTTTGGTGCATCAAGCTTGTACACAGAGCTCGCCCCTCCTCGACTCAACAACTGTCTAACCTCGCCATCATTGAAGTTGTTAACAGGTACATGCGTCTCTTGCACTCCAGGTGTTGCAGCAGGAGCACTCTGTTCCTTCTTCTTGCCAGCATCAGCAGCTTTAGCAGGGGCAGCTTTCTGCGCCGCCGCTCTAGCTGCCCACACGTTTCCAGTAGGCGCAGGCGAAGGGACGGGTTTTGCAGCTGGTGCCGCTGGTGCAGGCGAGGCGTTTGAGGATCGTGATTGTTGTGGTGTGCGTGCTGCGCCTGGACGGGGTCGTGCCCATGCTCCACTGGTTGTCTTGTTAGGTCTGTAGTTGTAGGCGATTTATGCGCTGGGAGTGAAGCATACCGAGGTTCGTTCGCCATTGTTATCTTGTGGTCGTTGTGAAGAGTGTTTGAGATACGATGATGATTAGAAGGCGATCTAAACGACTATGCGAGATGCGGGTTTGAAGTTGCGCTTTGTGAGTGAATGAATTGACAATGTTGTCGGGTCAGTGATGTGGAAAGCTTGACCACGGAGATGTGCTTTCAAAAGTCCGTGGCCAGGCAAATAAAGCATGCTCGTCACTTTCTGGACAACTTTTCCTTCACAATCAGAACTTCAAATGTCTTCCAAAGTTTGTAGAATACGACAAATACAGCATGGATATTCCCCTTCCCAATAGATTTGTACACCCTTAACTCCATCCTTTATGCAGTTCATTTAAATGCTTCACCTTGACTTTTTGCCCTTCTTGCTCTTCTTGCCTTCAAAGTTGGCAGCCTCCTTCTGCACCTCTTCAAGAGCTTCACCTGCCTTGCGCTTGCTTGATGCACCCTTCGACTTGACACTGACAGTTGTGCTCTTGCCGCTACGTCCTCCAGATTTCTGGATTTGGCGCTCAGCTTCGTCCCAATCAGCCTCGCCATTAGCGATCGCGTACTTGTCCAGAGGAAGTGCATCGATCATAGCACGAGCGCGTTCCTTCTCAGCAGCCATGTACTCGTCGCCAGCTTCAGCAAGGTCATCTTCCAGGGTTTGTTGGAGAGGTGCGAATCTTGAATCCTCCTCGCCGTCAATCTTGTCAGCCTCAGCATCACCACCACCAATACCCTTGGGCATGGTCTCAGCGACGGCACCTTCAACCAGACCACGGAAGTGCATTGACATCTTGCGCATCACCTTCACGAACATGGCAAGCAGTTGGCTGCTTCCCAATCCGAGTTCCTTCTCGAGATCTTCAAGAGTCTTGCGTTGCATACCAATGGCATACAACAAGGCTTGTTGCACACCGCTGAGTTTCACAGCCTCTTCGCCCTTGATGCGGCCAGTGAAGAAAAGCTCGGCAATCTTGGGCAGAAGATCCAGAATGACGTGGTAATCCAACATATTGTTAGCATAACTGTCCAGACGCTTCAGATCGAAAGGACTGAACAATTCATCCAACTCGCTCTTGGTCAGAGATTTGGTGGACACAGTGCTGTCGAGCTTGATACCAGCATTGGCGGACTCATCAATGCTCAAAGCCTGGACACTAGTGAACTTTCGGAACTGGTAAGATGAAAGACTGAGGAATCTGCGGTGGAAGTCCTTGGCGTATGCTCCGAGCCAGGCAGGATCCGAGGAAGTAGCGTTATCGAGTGTTCTCAGCATGACACAGGTGTGTTCTCCAGTGAGATCATTGGCAGTCTGGCGGAGGTAGACAGGCACAAAGTTTGCGCGCTTCCAGAATTTGTGCAGAGGCGAGGTGAGGCCATATGAAACACCCATGTAGTCGAGGCGAGTGGGTCTGCGCTCCGACAGACGGGCGAAGAGTGGAGGCATCGTCGAGATGTCACGAACCTTGACGTTGTCCTGCAACAAAGTTGCGCTCTCAAGTTCGGCATCTGTTACACGCACCATGCTCTCACTTCCAGCCTCAGCCTGTCCGTCGTCCTCAGAGAGGGAGGTGAATTTTCCTTCGAAGAAATCGGTAAGAAGCTCAAGAGCCTTCTTACCATAGCCCATGTTCATGTAGTCAGGGTGGGTAGCAATACGAACGACGCGTGCTCCAGAAAGTCCAGCAAAGTCTTCATCCTGGAACTGCTGACTGACCAACCAGGGAATCAAGTCACCACCTGCTCTTTGACCGCGACTCAAGCTGTTGATGACACTCTCTCTGCTGATTTGACCTTCCAGGGCTAATTGAATAACACAGAGAGGCTCGGGAAGACGGTTACTGCCCTCTTCGACCGGCGGTACGAGAACAAACAACTGGTGAGCAGGAGCATCAGACATGAGCTGCAAATCATTAGGAGTATTCTTGTAGTGTGAAGCAACGTAAAGCGCCATCATTTGTTGGAGGAACTTCTCCGAAACAGGGTGGAAAGAGAACAATGTATCTCTGTTAACAGAGAGAAGCTGGCATTGGTCAGGATGAGGGCAACCACGGGTTGTTGATGCGCGAGGCAGTGTAGCATCCAGACAGAGTAGGCGGTTCATCCATTTTTCGACAGAATCTCCCTGGGCATAACGGATAGGTTCCGAGAGGGTAATTTCGCGAAGGGTGCGACCAGCAACAGCGATCTGGTTTTCGTCCTTGGCGGATTTTCCGGTGGAACGATCAGCAACCTGCTCGTCACTGGTCTTAGAACCTCCACGGGACTGCTCACGGAGCTGCTGGATCAGCTTGAGAGACAAGGAGCGACCAGTACCTTCGTAACCGTTGATGGTCGAAGCCATGAAGACCAGGTAAGGACCCATAAGTTTTCTGACGAGAGGCAAAGGAATGGCAGCGGCTTCATCAATAACAAGGAGTTCTGCTTGACCAAGAGTGTAGGCATCCTGGGGTTGGATGTACTGGATTGTCTGCTTGTGTTGACGGTGAATGTTGACTCTAACAATGGCCTTGTTGAAGTCAGGGTTAGTAGATTGAATAATAGTGTAATCGACGTGATCGAGGTAACCCAAGGCATCGAATCCCTTGAAGACGAACTCGAACAAAGTCTTCAAGTTCTCGGGGGTGGGCGAGGTGATGAAGATGTTGCTGTAGCCGTGGGCAACGGCTGCGGCAATAGCTACACCTAATGCGGCCGACTTACCACGACCACGAGCAGCAGTCAAGGTCACGGTGCTTTGCAAGGTCTTCTCGGCGATAGCGTCCACGAATGTGAGAAGGGCCTTGGCTTGGTCGACAGTGCGAGCCAGAGTTACAAGGGATCCAACGGGCTGAGTGTCGGCGAGACTCTCCTTGATGGTTGCAAGTTCTCTAGCAGCAGGAGTTTGACCCTGGGCTTCCGGGTCGGGAGGTGGCAGCTGCTGAATAGTCTTTCCTCCAGAGATGGGCAGAACGTTCATCTCATCATCAATAACCAAACACGAGTCGCAGCTGCCGAGGGACAGGATGAAACGCTCGTTGAAGCGAGCGACGACATCGCCATGTGCCTCTGTACGGTAGCGCGAGTGGATGTCCATAGAGAGTGTGTAGAGCTGCTTCAGACTGCTCATGCCCTTGAGGAGCATAACGACAAGACCTCCTCCTTCGACGGTTTCAATGGTGCGGGCGAGAAGATTAGGAGTGATGGCTTCGAAGTCCTGCAGAATGCACATGCCGTAGGTGTTTCCGAGAATCTTCTCCGTCTCCTTGTAATAGACATAGCGGATGTTCTGGGTCGAAACGAATAGCTCGAAGGGATCCTCGCTGTCGACATCGCGAATGCCGCGCTTGATTTCCTTCTTGATCTTTTGTTCTCTCTTCTTGCGGTGACTGGTGAAGCCGAGCAGCTTGTTCTTGTAGGCCCAGAGGACAGACTTGTTGGCCTTGAGGTTGGCGGTCTGAAGAATGTAGTGCAGGTTGACGATGACATCCTTTTGACGGTCGCCGACGACTACAAAGAAGCCGCGCTTGTGTTCTTGAGCAGCATTGCGGATGAGGGCCGGAATGCGCGAGTCGCTGTGCTACGTTAGCAAAGAGGGATAATACTGGAGAATTAGAGCGGCATAATCGTACATAGCTTTCTTACCCATGCTGAAGCTGCGACTTCTGTCGCCGAATCAATACAAGGCGATTGCTCTGGGATGGTAAAATCTGGGAAGCAAAAGATTGGAGTATCCAAAAAGTTCAAGGTTGCCTTCTCCACATTTGGAAGGCGGTGAGCTGGCCCGGGCGTGCCTGCAGTGACGACTCGCGACTCGAAGGACAATCGTCTTGTAGAAACAAGTTCCTGGTAGTCCACCAGACATGGCCATATTACTCATCTGACTGCTGTAATCCTGTCGCATAACCTTATACTACATCTGACGACCCTCATGATGTACGCGCCTGGCTTCTCTGACCTACTACAACATTTCAAACACCGATAGGAGGAGGAACATTCAAAGCCCTAGTTCGCAATGGAGTCGCTAGCATCATACGCCTTGATCGCCTTGACAGTCGCTTCCTGGTTTCTGGCCATCAATTCAGCTCAGGTCTTTGCATATGGTAGTGTATCCCCGGCATAAACATCTGGACACACGACTTACACTTCCCAGGTCGTACCCTACATGTTCTCGGCCTAATCCTTGCATCCATTGGCGCTTCTTTGCTGTTCTTGTCCCGATACCTTGCCAGATCTTCAACCACCTCTTACGATGAGTTACCACTCGATGAGACGGCCTCCGATGGCTCGCTATCTCCGCGATCGCCCGTATCCCCTAGCCTCAACCACATTCGTGTTCCTCAGACCAGTCTCCGCAAGATGCGACTTCTCTTTGTGCTCCTGGTACTCTTGATATGCGCTCGCGCCGAGACCACAAGACGCCTGGTCAGAGACGTCCAGTGTCTTGGTCCTGCTTACACTGAATTTATACCCTTGTGTCTTGCCGTCGTTGACTTCTGTATATATCGAAGGCACAAAGTCTCCGTTCCTGAGAACAACTCTGATCTCAGCATCTATGAACTCCTGGGACAATCGTGGGCCACCAACCGCTTTCGCTATATCATCATTACCGCTATCTTTGGTGTTTTGAGCGCAAGTATCCTGCACCAAAGCGATAGCCCTTCTTCCACGTATATTTGCACACCCGCCACTCACGATAAAATGATCATGATTCAACGCCTTGCTTTAGTGCTCGACTTTTGCATTTCTTTCTGTCTGGACGCCCTTCTACGTTCTTACCCTAATACTGGCAAGGCCTCTCCCGCCAGATCTCTAAGCATTACTGGGTGGGCTTGTCTTCTCTCTGCTTCAGCTATCGGCATCTGGGGCGTTATCTGGTTCCTCGCTGTCCCTGAAGATAGGTTTTGGGTCCTCGAGATACCTCGTGGCTTCATCTGGAAACTGATCAAGTTAGCCACGTTATGTTGTATTGCAGCATTGTCTACCTGCATCACGGTGAGTCTTACTTGTACAATTGCGTGTATCAGTAGATGTGCTAAGATGTTCAGATCTTCTATTCTGGTGCTATGTCGGCTATTTCTGTTCTCATATTTGTCGCATCGTGCTCGATAACCATCAGCTGGTCCTGGCATACCTTATCGGCGTTTCCGCCTGACAACGACACATTGACTTTGTTGTCCTTCTGCGGTCTTACACTCGCGTTCATCGCGCTTATACATACCCAGGTCATCTCGGAAGACCGTCGTCGCAAGCAACACGCAATCTTTTCTGACACGCCTATTCCTCTCATTGGACTGATGATCTTGATTTTCTGCATTCGCTTCCTGATTTGGCTGGGCCATGTCACTAATGTCGCCTACCATCCCATCGATTTACTTATACACGAAGCAAGCGATCTTCACAAAGCATATACGGGACGAGCATACTCAAGTGCGAACCTTACAGATGCCGTGATCGTATATCGGCATCGTTACGGCAGGAACCCACCACCGAATTTTCATGAATGGTATAGATACGCTATCGGACGTAACTCTCTGATCATTGACGAATTTGACAAGATTAATGAAGATCTGTTGCCATTCTGGACATTGGTTCCGTCCGAGATCCGAGACAGAACATGGCAGACAACATCCAATCCATGGAACGATGTCTCTGGGATCAGCATACGGAAAGGCAAAGCTGAGATCAGTCCACACGCCATGGCTACTCACAGATGGATGCTTGATGGTATTGTCGACATGATTAGTCACTTCAGCGAATTCCTGCCAGACATGGACTTGGGTTTCAATGTGAATGACGAGTGCCGCGTCGCTGTGCCATATGAAAACATACAAGCAAGAAGGCAGGCTGGCAATCAGAGGACTGATCTTGACAAGAGCACACGAAACTCGTTTAGTGAGCAGCGCGGAGATGCTTGGAAACCAATACCAGAAGAATCGAGCGGTATCACTCCATTCATAGAGATGTCGTGGCAGAAAACATTCAACGAGTTTGGAGTGACTGGTTGTCCACCAGGCTCTGCCGCACGCAGCTCGCTGCATTGGGACACTAGTCACTTGTGCACATCATGCGTGGAACCACACTCGCTAGGTGCATATCTGTCTAATTGGACACTGAGTGCGGATATCTGCCATCAACCCGACATCGCAAATCTGCATGGCTTCTATCTCTCGCCTGCAGCCTTCAAAGCGACTCACGAATTGTACCCTGTGTTTTCACAATCCAAGGTTCATGGCTACAACGACATCTTGTACCCATCTGCTTGGAATTACATGGACAAGGCAAAATACAATCCTAACGATGAACATCCTGATCTCTCCTGGGATGACAAGATACGAACGCTTTTCTGGCGTGGTGGCACCTCGGAGGGCGTCTCATGCTTCACAGGTGTTTGGAAGGGCATGGCCCGTCAGCGCTTCATGCACCTGGCTAACAATATCGCTTCCACCCTTCCAGCACAGCCAATTCTTCTCCCTTATCCTTTCGCCAACAGACGCAAAAAGCTTGCTTATGTCGACGTACCAGCCTCCGAGCTCACCAAGCACGTCTCTGTGGACGTCAAGCTGGTGGAACACATCGTTCGCTGTGGTGGCCCTGACTGTGAAGATCAAGAGCATCACTTTGCACCCATGGTCCCACCAACAGACTTCCAAACACATTGGTCCTATCGCTATCTGCTCGACCTCGACGGCGCCGCCTTCTCAGGTCGCTTCATACCCTTTTTGCAATCCCGCAGTCTACCTTTCAAAGCAGCATTGTTCCGCGAGTGGTGGGACGATAGACTGACACCATGGCTGCACTTCGTACCTCTCGACCTTCGCGGTCACGGATTCTGGGCCACGCTAGTCTACTTCATGGGTCTAGAAAGCAAAGTTCAAGGAAAACAAGTCATGCTGCCTGCTCACGACAAGCAAGCCGAATATATCGCTGAAGCAGGACGAGAGTGGTCGAACAAGGTATTGAGAAAAGAAGACATGGAGATTTACATGTTTAGGCTTCTGTTGGAATGGGGTAGGATGACGGATGACAAGAGAGATGAATTGGGGTTGGGTGTTGAAGAGGCCGAGAGGATTGGACAGGAATGGGTGAAGGGTGGGAAGATGTATTATGGTGATAAACATACATAGTTTTAGTGTACATAAGTTATGAAGTTGAACGTCGTAGACATCTGTTAGTGTCTTGCTCAAATAAGTGCTCATAGATGAGCAATGCTGTTGAGCGAAACGAACGGTTATTGCGGTCAATAAGTCGTGTCGACCTTCCATCTCCACCGAACATCTAGAGAGTTCCTTGGTCAAACAACATACAGCGATACATGCTGGGATCAGAAGTGACTGGTACAAAATGTTTGCTTTCACGAGCATCATGTAATTGTTGATCAGAGGGTCAGGGTCGTCCCATCAACTTGGATCTATACAGCTTGAGATCCACCAACAGATCGACACCAACAAGTCCAACAAGTATATTTTGAACATGATAAAACAATCAAATTGGTATATATCTACATGAGTTTTGCGCGACAGGGGTTGAATGAGATGATGAGGGATGTGAGGCAAAAGAGACAGAGAAGACCTCTACTTTCTAACAGGGCCGGAAACACCAGCACCAATGACACTAGGGAGCTCTTGGCTACCCATGGTGTAGAGCAGACCAATACCCCAGCTGACGACGAAGACCATGAAGACCGAGAAGGAGCTGATGAGCCAGAAGGGCATGACGATGTCCTTCTTCTGGCAGGCGGGGCCGCCCCAGCGGGTGGTCTTCTTGGTGCCGTCCGAGTTTGTGCGGACTTCGGCCTTGCAGGCGCAGGAGTAGCACTTGCCGCCCAAGTCGCCGGCGTCCTTGTCGGTGTAAGACAAGACACAAGAGCCGTGGCCAGTGCAGTTGCGGGTCATGGATTGGCAGGCGGACAGGGAGGCGAAGCAGCCAGGAAGGATACCTCTGAGAGGAGCGGTCTGGTTGTAGGTCTTGTTCGAAGAAGCCTCAGGGGCAAGGGTGGCCTTAAGGTGAGAAGCGGTCTTGGTGACTTCGGTGATCAGAGGAGCCTCCTTGACGTAACGCTTTTGGTGCGAGCTGGCGGCACCATCGTAGGAGCCGAATGACTTCTTGTTTGAGGCCTTGGGTACAGTGAGGATCAGAACAGTGTCGTACTGGTTGGCCAGGGTCTCAAAGGCATCACCAAGTGCCTATTACAGTTAGTGGGAGGACAGCATATGGGTAGATGAGATGTGCAAGTACCCGTGAGTCTTGAGCGATTCTAAAGGCAGGGCCAGCCTCAGAGGAGACGGTGGAGTGTTGGACATCGTACAAGTTGTCAACGCCAGATTGTTGCGCGAGATCCTTGAGCAGCTGCTCTGCAGTCTTGAAGTCGGGAGAATCTTTGATTTGAATGGTCTCTAGGTCGGCAGATTGGCTAAAGGAGAAGGGAAGGTCGTCGTCGCTGGCCGATAAGATGAAGGCGACCGAGGCGTCATTGGATGAGAGGAAGGATGACTGTCCAGAAAGGCGATCGATGTCTTGCAGAGCGGATTCGGACTGTCCTTGGAGGGAGTGGTATTGGTCAAGCCCCAATCGCGAGGCGATGACCAGACGGGCGGCGTCGGCCTTGAGGGTGGTGGGCTGCTTGTCGCCCGCGCTCACTCGGTCGTTGTAGATGTAGAGGAGACCAGAGGAAGCCTCGACAGCAGCAGCTGCTGCGGTCAGCAAGAAACACGGAGCCAGTCTCATGCTTGCTGGGTGTGATAAGGTCGATTATCTATCGGTATGGACGCGAGCTCAGTAGGTTTCCTATGATGGAACGTCAGTCGGCGCCTTGCCAAGCATTCTTGTCCGTTCTCCGCGCTCCTTCCACGACCAACGCCTGAAGACTCCCGTCATCGTCATTCATCAAAGCGCCCCGTCTCTGAATTTCCAAGTCTCACTCGCGCCGTAGCGGCAGTCGTCCCTGTTCGCAACATCTGTCTCATCACTCTGTCCAAATGTTTCGCGCCGCGCCCAAGTTCAGATCATTAGCACGCCCCTCGACTCTCTACCGCCCGCTCACCACAACCGCCCATCTCCGCCGTCTCGTGCAACCGAACGAATCTGTCAAATCGCATACCGTCCGCTTCCTACCGCCACCACTCTTTACACCTCTTCGCATCGCCACTTTCTTCCTCTACACATCATGTCTTGTCGGCTATGTCTGGTACTTCTTCCCGGAACTCGAGATTGAGATACAAGAGGAAGGGGAGGAAGGGGAAATCCAGATATCTGATTCAGAATTCGCCGCTGAAGATTCACTCTTCATACCCCTGACCTGGGCCAAGAAACTGCCTCGTTCGTTTTACAAAGGCTCTGATCCAGAATGGCAAGAGTTTGTCAAGGTCTCGAAAGATAAGGCTCGCCACAAGAAGATCCAATGTAACCATTCCTTATAGCTCCTTGCGTCTGCAATATGCTGACCTCTGTGTAGCCGAACTGGTCAAGATAGTCTATGACACCGCCCAAAAGCACCCAGCATTCGTCAAACAGCTCGGCCGCGACACCAAGGTTGGCCAGTGCTGGCTCGACATCATCTTCCCGGACGGTCCACCTCAGGAATACGCTCGCGCCGGCATTGAAGTTGGCTCTGACTATATCGCATACGCCCTTCAGCGCATTGACGCCCAGCAACAACACCGAATCCTTCGTACTTTATGGCCCACAGCCGCCGCCAATGGCCTCTACAACAGCACTAAGGTTCTTCTTGGTTTCCAGTATCATCGTCTGAAACAGTTGCTGGGTTGGGAAGTCGACTCTACACCTGGCAGCCAGGACGCCAAGTACCAACAACTACTCCAATTGCTGCAAGCTCAACAGGCACAGCAAGCCGAACAAGCGAAGACTCAAACGGGTGCTGGAACGCCAGAGGCAGACAAGACGCAAAGCAGTGCCTCATCGCTATTGCCATGGGCAGCCAAGGTGCCTCAGCCACCTTCGAGCATAGAGATGCCGATAGCTCAGCACATATTCCATGCTACCTTGGCTCAGGGGAAGATGCCCAAGAAGATGGAACCACCAAGAGGCAGCTTCGTTGTGCAAGGACTGATTCAGCTTAAGGGCAGCAGGTCTATCTTGACATTGGATGTGCAAGCTTTCTACGATCCAAAGGCTAGCCATTTCCTTGTTGTGAATGCGACCCCCAGGACCATTAAGCAGCGGAAGCAGTCACCCAAGGGTGGTAATTGATGATTTTATACGACTTTTCTAGCAGAAGCATGGCATGGTGTTTGTTGATTTTTGGATTTGGTATGGGAACAGCAGGGCGTCCGGGTTCAGTCTCAATAGGAGCGGGTTGTTACATCGTTTTCGGGCTATACATTGATATCCGCTTCGTCGTACCAGACATGGCATGCATTTGATCATTTTCTCTCCTCAGCTCTTCCTCTTGAACCCTATAAAAATTCTAGCTCCTAGCACATGCATAACTTGTTTTTGGTGTCTGATCGTGTAGACAAGCCCTTTGATGAATTGAATAGGACTTTCCCAAACAGGAAAAAATGGATATCTTGAAAAATTGGTCTGACCCAGCACAAAGATGTACACGTCGCTTACTTCTTGTTCTTCTTCTTCGCGCTGCCTGGCGTCTCGACCAAGACGGCATCCTCATTTTGACCAGCGACGGAAGCGACAGAGCCCTTTCTGCTGTTCGAAGCCGAGGTGACGGAGCCCTTTCTGCTGCCAGCAGCTTCATCATCGAGCTCCTTCATGAATTGGGACTGGATTCCTTGCTTCTTCTTGTCCCACCAGGCCTTCTCCTCGGGCAGTTTGGACTGAATGTCCTCCATGCGTTGCTTGGCCAATTGGTTGTTGGCGATTTCATTGGCTGATTGGAAGATGATCTGACCCCAGTTCGGGACGAGGGCATTGGCCTGAATGGTGGTTAGTATGGGCAGACACATGAAAAGGAGGTAGTGACAGGTGAAAGATACCTCAGAGACAACATCCTTGACCTCTTCCTCAATTTCCTGCTCGGCTCTCTGGAAACGCTGCCATAGCTCGTCGCCTACGCTTCCTCTTTGTAGTAGTGTCTGAAGGGCGGGCTTTGCGTTGCGGATTTGGATAATGCGATGGATGTCTTCGACGGCGCGGCGCAATAGGGCAGCACGGATGATGCTGTCAGGGATTTGGTTCAAAGACTTTTCAGAGCCTTCGGGGGTTGATGAGGGATCCTGAGGGTCGATATGCAGGAGCGACAAGTAGATGTTACGCTGCAGGTGGGGAGGGAACCATGGCGCAAGGTTGGCGGCCTTTTGGGCCTTGCGACGGCGGTATAGAGAGCTGAACGTGGCGAGAGAACCTATGAGGATGGACAGGTATGCCAGGGGAATCAGGAGACCGACCCAGTCGACCATGATTGCGATTTTGTGGATGGACGTGAATTAATTCAAAAGGGTTCAAACCATGACTTGACTTGCGACTTCGAGACGTGGCTCGGACTTTACTCGTAGCCCCGTCTCACTCTCACGTCATGTAGGAAGCTGCAGCCGCGTCCTCATTCACAATAGCAGTCGAAAGCACCTTCCATCACTTACTCGAACGACTTGACCAACTCACTTTCACTAGGAGCAGCACCTCTCTAAACCTCTGTCTTCTTCCCGCCTCTCCGCCTCGCCTTCTCTCCCCTCTTACACTCTCAAACTCGACCTTGACAAGCACATCACCCACCATGATCTTGCGCTTCTCCAGTCGTATTGGCCAGTTTCGCTTGACCGTCGAGCCTTCAACCGACCTCGCCTCTCTACTTCCTCAAGTCATCGAGAAACTTACTCCCGAAACCCTTCCTTCATCAGTTTCTATCAGTCCACAACGTGGTGGCCAATCGAGATCGCTTGAAAGTCTCAAAGGCGTCACTGTTCAGAAACTCGGCCTTGCGTATGTCTTACTGCTTGTTCAACACTGACTAGTGCTGACAGCTTTCAGAAATGGTGCTCAAATCTTCATCGAGTTCAGCGAAGGCCAAGCTCCCACTAACGGCCAGCCACCTGCTCCATCCAACGCATACAGACTGAATGGAAAGGAAGTCACTGCTCACGACACCGCCACCGTCGCCATCCCTAACCTGACCGCCCAGACACGTGTGGACAATCCTTGGGATACAGTCAAGCAGTTGCCACTTGATGATGCTTTGGACAAGGAAAATGGCAAGATCAAGAGACCTCGCGACACCAGAATGTGCAGACATGGCCCTAACGGCATGTGCGATCACTGTCAACCTATCGAGCCCTACGATGCTGGCTATCTGGCCGAGAAGAAGATCAAGCACCTCTCGTACCACGCATACCTCCGCAAAATGAACCAAGGAAAGAACAAATACGAGTCTGGAAGTTCTTGGATGCCTCCGCTTACGGAACCCTACTACCGAGTGAACCCAAGTTGCCCTTCTGGCCACAAGCCCTTCCCTGCTGGCATCTGCACAAAGTGTCAACCTAGCGCCATCACTCTCCAACCTCAGCCGTACCGTATGGTCGACCACGTCGAGTTCTCTTCCCCTGCAATCATCAACAAAATTCTAGATTTCTGGCGGAATTCGGCGGCTCAGAGAATTGGTTTCATGTACGGTCGCTACGAACCATACTCGGAGATTCCTCTTGGTACAAAGGCTGTTATTGAGGCTATCTATGAGCCTCCCCAGGTCGACGAGCTTGACGGCGTGACGTTGAACGAATGGGAAAATGAGAACGAGATCGACCGAGTAGCGTCGCTCTGCGGTCTGCAGCGGGTCGGTGTCATTTTCACCGACTTGATCGATTCTGGCAAGGGTGACGGTACCGTCGTGTGCAAACGCCATGCAGATTCTTACTACATGTCATCGCTGGAGATCATGTTCGCTTCGAGGTATCAAGCCAAGTACCCGCGACCTTCGAAATGGAGCGAGACAGGTTCTTTCGGGTCGAATTTTGTTACTTGCATTATTACTGGTGACGATGAGGATCAGATCGCTATCCAAGCCTATCAAGCATCCGATTCTGCTGTGGAGATGACGAGAGCTGATATCATTGAAGCATCAGCTGATCCAACAGTAATGCTAGTTCGCGATGAGGATGAAGACAACCAGCTGGGCCGTACACGCTACATTCCCGAGGTCTTCTATCGCCGCATCAACGAGTACGGAGCGAATGTGCAAGAAAACGCAAAGCCTTCTTTCCCAGTCGACTACCTACTGGTCACACTCACCCACGGTTTCCCTCTGCAAGCAAGTCCCGTGTTTACCAGTGAGGAGGGATTTGTTGTAGAAAACAGGGAGATGATTGGTCAGTCTCAAGAGCACAGAGCTCTCAAGAGCTTCTTGAGCAAAGCGGCTAGACTCGACACCACCGACGGAGTTCAGAAGATCTCGGACTTCCACGCATTATGTTTCATACATACTATGGGCGTTTTGGGCGAGGTATGTTGCCATGAAGTTCTTCTACGAGAGTAAGCTAACATGTTATAGGACGAGTTCCGTCTTCTTTGTCAGGCGGCAACGCAGAAGGACACGAGCCTTGGTGCAGCGTTGCAGCAAACACCAGGTTGGGCCACACTCCAAACGATCCTTGACATGTAGTGTTTTGGATACGTATTTGCTTTTTTGAAGAGGAAGATTTTGGCTGACGTTTGGGTGTGTGCGTTTGTAAATAGGCTGGAAGTCCCTGCTGACTATCGTTGAGCTAAGCGGTGACCGTCGACCAAAGAGACGAAACGAGTGGTCCAACAGCACGGCGTCAGGCTACGGCAGCGACGGAGAGCAGCTCGCCAAAAGAGTCAAGAACATCGGCCTCAACGGTTCGAGATGAAGATCCGGAACGAAAGAAGCAAGCCGAAGGAGAGCATGGTCAAGCAAGAGGAGGCAGGCAGAGTAGATGCACGCATTGAAAGTAGCATATGCGTAAGGGAGGACGAGGCAGGACAGAACATCCAGAGAGGGTGATGGTTGCTAAGCTATGACATGCTCGTAAAGAGCAGCAGGAGCATTATACCCAGAGAACAGGCTCGAGAAGAGACCACGACAAAAAGAAACAAAATATCACTAAGCTAGCATCCCCAGTCCACAGATCATGATTCCCTACGCCATGTGATGTTGTGCATCAAGAAGTCAAGGAAACGACGATCGAGAAACTTCCTACCCATATGTCAAAGTTTATAACTCCCGATTGATTCCATCGAACTCAGAGAATAGGGTACACATTATGGATAGGCATTCACTGTCTAGAGGCGCGTCCATGGAGAGCTGAGGAATCGTCACTTCTCAGTGGGCACTATTCTGCTTCTTATTGATATTGTGCATTTTTACAGCTACACGTGTTGTATACTTTAGCACAAAGGAGGTTGACACACACGAAACGAGCAGGCGAAGGAACGAACCGAGAAGAAGAGCGGCATGTCAGGCCGCCGGTTACTGTTCTGTCGAGCTATCTGAGCCAAAGGATATTCTGCTCGAATTGTCAGGACATGGCCTGTTCCCTCTTCAAGGCCAAAGGCTCCAAGGATGTTTTGCCAATCACGCCAATCACTTTTCCTCATCACTGCTCACTTCCTCTCCATTCTCCCTGGCCTTCTCCTTCCTCTTGCGAATCCTCTCCCGCTTTTTATCCAACAACTTCCTCAAGTTCTTGGCCACATTGAAAGTACCACCTGTATCCGCACCGCAATTTGCACACTGCTTACCACCTTTACTCTTATGCCTCTTCAACGCACAAGCCTCACAAAAGTAATGGCCGCATTTTGTAACCACAGGACTTTTATAAGGTTCCTTGCAGATAATGCACGCAAAAGGGATCTTTTCCAACTCTTTAGCTTCTTCGTCGTCGTCGGAGTCGTCGGCTTGGTCTGTTGCTGAGCGGTTTGCTGAAGCGACTGTCGTGGCTTTTGCTTTTGACTTTCCTGCTTTTTCCCATTCTTTGTCGAGTTGCCAGCCTTGTTTGTAGTCTTCTCTGGCGTGGAGGAATTTACAACTGTCGCCGAAACCACACTGTTGGGATGAGTTAGCAACCTCTTAATTGGTGTGTTGAATAGTAGGCAAGACTTACGAATCCAGTTTGCTTGTAGTCCTTGCAGACATCAGGTGCAAAGTCGACGAGTGTGATCATACGCATATTCGACGGTGCCTTGACTGGTCCAACACTCTTTTTATCAGGATTCTTTTGTATAAAGTTTCCATATCCTTTTGCGCCCTTGTATGTGCCATCTTTTTCTACATTCTCTTCTTGCTGTTGTCCAGTTTTGGCACTTTCATCAGCATGAACCCAATTACTCGTCTTTGTCGCATCGTTCAAGTCTGTAATCGCAGCACTGCGATCACCAGCAAATTGTGTGGTTTTGCCTAGATCACGAGTGGGTTTGCTAATTGCTGAGGTGGAAGAAGTGATGCCGCCTTTGCGACGGCGTTTTACACGTGCGCCGCTCTCGTCTTCTGAGCTGCTGTAGTCAGAATCCGAGGCTGAGGGAGGGGTTGCGGCGCGTTTTTTGAGGTTGGCTCGTCCTGCTCGCTTTTTGAAGACGACGGGTGCTGCTGGTGTGGCGTCGGCCATGGTGTTTTCGTTGGTTGCTGTTGCGAGCTGATGACTTTTGAAGTCGAGTCCTATACCAGGAGCGTGTCCGGTGTCAAATAGTATCAAAACTACCAGCCAGTGAATTTGAAAGTGTCGAGCGATGTTCACGTTACGAGTTTGTTGTTTGAATGCTGTTGTCGCAACCAAATATTGGAGATGTTCCAGGGTCGGAAGCTGCTGTCCCGAAGAAGTGGAAGGAGGGTTCGAGACTGACGCAATTATTAAGCATATTTGTTGCGCAAGTTGCGACAAACGAGCACGTGAAGTCACAAGACAATAACAAGTTGAGAGAAGAGGAGAGTTGTTATTTAGCAAGACTAATGCTAAGCATCTACCAGACGAACAATATGAAAGTCGTTGATAGTCATACAAGTGTTCGTAACGATAAAGCCATTTCCGCGCAGCCATATTCCGTACAGCACAGCTAGTTTTAGCAATCAAAATAGACTTCCATATCAGACTGAGGCCAGTCCAGCAGCCATAGTTTCCTCAATAGCACGCTGGTTGGACATGTGCTCCTGATGCGCGATGCCGCGCTGTGCCAGTAGCTCGTTCTGATGACGTGCTAGCTGATCAGGGTCGAAATCTGTGTGGTGCAGATCGTTGGTATTCCCTTGCAAGTGTTCGAGCATAGAATGATCATGCTGCATCATTGCGTCGCGTGCCATGAGTGCATCGTGGTTAGAATCATGGGTGTGTAAATCCATAGATAAGCCATTGATTTGGTGATGTTGGGACAGATCAAGACTGTTATCGTCAGGGCCTGTTCCAGTAAGATCAGATGCACCAGCCAGAGCATCGTGGTCATCAGGCTTGGTCCAACCACCATAACCCTCCCCACGACTGATGATCTCACCACTTTTCACCATCTTACTGCGAAGCTGACTCATCTTGCGACGAGTGCGCTCGCGTAGAAGATCATCATGCACTGGTGCATACCACTCAGTGTGATCGACTAGGTGATACAGCTCCGCGAATATGGCTTCAAAGGTCTCGAGTGAGTTTTGGTTGTATGCATAGGTCGAGTGTTTATGCATCAATTGCACCAAGAGTTTCTCTGGACCCTTTGCCCAGACGTCTCGGCTCTGAACCCACTCGGCAGTCAGATGCTCGCGACGGCGACTGCGACGTTCCAAATCTTTGAGCATGCGCTCTTGACGTTCCTCAGTGCGCTTGCGAGCCTCCTGAACCTTGCTCTTGCTGCGAGAATCTCGAGGCTTAGGCGTCGAGGAGGAGTTTCCTGAAGGAAGCGGTGGTGGAGCAAATGGATCATTGTTTGCAGTCGAGTCAGGATGCATGTGCGAAGTTGAAGTCGTGTCAACGTCAAGGTGATCGAACAAAGAATCGTCATTTGGAGTGTGCGATTCACGGCGTTGGCGCAAACGACGCATCTTGAGCTTGAGTTCGACCTCTTTCTTCTGCAGCATGATTTGCTGAAGCTGCAACTGCAGAGTTTCTTCATCTTCAGACAAAGGATCCAGGTGGTCGGCCATCAAGTCTTGGTGCATTGTGGTAGAGTCGGTCAAGCCTCCCAGAGCGCGAGCTAGCTCAGGACTGATGTCCGGTGGAGGTGGTTGGCCGCTGTCGTCGGTAGCGTCAGCCATGGCCATGAGCGGAGCGTACGGGCTCTGGTAAGTTGTGTCTGGTTGCGAGACAGACATGTGTGCTTGAGGAGCTGGCGCAGGGGTGGGATCCTGGACAACATTATGCATGGAGTCGTGGTCATCATGGTGCTGAGTATCGACATGTACGCTAACATCGTTGTCCAAGTCCATGTCGACGCCCATGTCGAGGGTGAAGTGCTTGCGCGCATCGGTACGGAACTTCTTGTGTGAAGTGTTGCGGCGCTCAAAGGCTCTGCGGATGGTGCGGGTTCCGACGACGAGTTTATAAGTGTCGTACAACCACCAGAGCATATCATCGACGGACATGTCAGGCTTCTGGGCGACGCGATCGAATAAGGCCTGCTCGACGTCCTTGTTCATGACGCGGTGTCGTCCAGTGCGGCTCTCGGGCGGCTTGCCAATGCGTCCATAGCGTTCGAGTTCGAGCTAACATTTCAGTCTTAGGCAAGGTCGGTATGGATGCAGAGACTCAGTGGGTTACCTTCCAGCGGCGAATAGTCCTGTCGGACACGCCCGTCTGTTTCTCTATCTCATCCTCGGCAACACCTTGCTGCAGCAGCTGCTTGACTTGGCTGCGTGCCTCTTCGGGGTATGCTTTGCCTGTAACAATGCATCAGATCAGCAAGCTTGTCTGGTGCCGAGGCGCGGCCATGGATACGCACCCATCCTTCTGACAGCGATGCCAATGTCTCTGTCACTGGCACTGTCGTTCAAAGTGACAGAAAGCATGGGTTCGGCCTTACCCGCGCGTCTATCTTCCGCCCACCCACGTGACGCTTCCGCCAGCCGAGCACCTCTTTCCTTGCTCTTCAAGTCTAATGGCAGTCAATCACGCTTAAAACACCTACTAGTACTTTTAACAACTGAGTAGCAAATTTCAATTAATAGGTCCATCAACCTTGCTAGTACAGCTTCTGGTCTCGACTACTTTGGTCGTCCATCAATAATGTACACATTCACAAACCGCATCTGGCCCATCATCAATAGCTATCAATACTAATGCAACAAGTTCCGTAGACTAGGGCTTGCGCTTGCTCCATTCGTTCTCACATCCACTGATCCGTCCCGTGGTGTTGCTGCTCGAACAAGTCCTGGAGGCGGGGTGCCATGTGCAATATTACCGCCAGGAGTTTGTTGCCCATTGGTGATAGGCGCTAGAGTTGGCGGATGATGCTGGTGATGCACTCCGTGGATTCCGTTGCTCATCGGCAGAGGATGGCGCTGGGCCTGTGCTTGTCCACTTGGCTGTGTAAAGGTAGGTGGTGTGCCATGGCTATAGGGTGGTATACTCCCTGGCGTGTAGCCATTTGGCTGTGCATGTGGTACTGAATATGGCCCAGGGAATGCCTGCGTTTGAGGTGGAGGTGGTTGCATCTGACCCGCTACCTCAGCCGGCGCTGCTGTCTGCACCGGCGTTGCTGTGTGTGCTGGGGGTTGCGCCTGTGGCTGAGGGGTTTGATTTGCAATTCCAGTACCCCATCCTATCTGGAGGGGAAACTGTTTTGGAGGTGACAGAGAGACTCTTTTCCGTGTCGACGGCGGCGATGGCGATGCTTCTTGTGGAGCATTGACCCGCTTGAAGTGGCACCTGTTGCATCTGTAGCCCTTGAGATTGTCCTCACTGCGTGTCGTGATGGGCGTCTGAGCTTGGACTCTCTTCAGAGTCTCTTCAGCAGTCCACCATCTAGGACTTGTGTCGGTGTGACATTTCAGACAAGTCTTTGTAGGCTCGTCCTCAGCAGAGCTCACACCATCCAACTCGTCAGTCCTTGAAGCTCCTGCTGGAGAGTCGCGTGCAGATCGTGCCATGTTGCTTGCTGTCGAAATACGACGATTCGTTGCTGCATTTGCAGGGATTGCTTGCGAGGCTAACTTTGTTGATTGACTCAGCAGGTTGGCTTTTCGAGCAGTTCCAGTAAGTGTTGGATCTGCCTGCTTGTAGTTTTCGACAAACACCTGTAAAGCATTCTTGCTTTTGTCGTCGGCCGCCTCGCTGATAGGATGTACCGGAGTCTTGATGGCATGCTCCTTACACCAGATGGCGGCGGTGAGGGATCCAGTTTCTTCGCCAAGGGTTGCTGTGATGACTTGATCCTTGCGCGAGCCTTTGACTGGCGTCACATCGAAACCCAAAGTGTATCCAGCCTGTATCGCGCAGCCAACATGGAAGTTGGCACGACACTGCAGACAAGAGACACAAGCGCCGTGATCGTTCTTCTTGCAAACCTTGCATGTCGCCTCGTATCGTTCCAATGGGATAGCACTAAATCCTTCAGCCCTCTCCAAAAGGCTTGCTTCGCTGAATTTGATTTCAGGCGTCCAAATCGCGCATTGGACATGGACCCAGTTGTTGCCATCAGTGCGCTTCAATGGCTCTCTGGGCTGACTGGGACGATTAAGGTTGGCCTGCTTCTTGTTATATTCCAGCTGCACGCTGTCCATGAGCTCTTTCTCCAACTTCTCCTTCTCACGCTCCCGGTCTGACTTCTTCTTGTGTGTGACTCTAGGCGCCTCAAGCATTTCGTGTGCTGTCGCTTCGATCGGGCACAAGGTGCACATATATTCAGTAGACACTGCTGGTGTTCTGTCATTGGTGCACTGGTCACAGACCCATTTTGTTGGGACGACTTGAGTTGAAAGACCATAACACCTCTTGTGTACACTGAGCTTGCAGTGTGAGCACACGATGGGACGTTCGCCTGCTGATTCGAGGACGTTACAGACGAAACATGGTAGTTCCCTCCATCTAGGCTGGTCGGGCACAATGGGTGGTGGAGGAGGTGTTGGAAGCTTGGGTGCTTTCTTCTTGTCAGCGCCATCAGAAGCAACCTTGGTTTTCTTCTTTGGTGGCTCCGCTCCCTCGACTGATTGAACGACAATGCTCGGATCCACTGACGCAGCCTCATTGGACGCCAAGATTTCGCGCACAACCTCTTCGTCGAGCTTGCGCTTCCAAGCGCGTCCACCAGCTTGGACAGCCTTCTTGGTAACTTCATCAATGTCTTCCCAGACGATCGCGTACCTTCTCCAAAGTCCAGCGCATCTTCCGCACAGTGCCAGAAGCAGACGATTGCTCTTATCCTTGCTCGCTTTACCCTCACCAGAAGGTACAGTCTGGCCAGGAGTAACACCAGGGGCTCTGCGCCACTGTCGAGAGTGTCGTGTAGAGCAATGCTTACACTCAAACCCTCTCTTTTGGGTTCGAGCTTTGTCGGTGTCGAATGCAGAATCGTCCAAATCATCGGCGACCTCGGCTTGAAGTTTACCAGCAGGATCCATGTTCTGGCGCTTTCGTCCCTTGCGACCACCATAGTTGTCCCAAACTTGTCGGCCGCGGGGTGTTTTCTTCCAAAGGTAGTAAAAGCGAATAATCGTAGATGTAGGGTGATGGGTTTTCATGTGTAGTCGGATTGATCTGTGCTCTGAGCCGTATTTCGTCACGCCCTCTTCGAACTTCTTCAGTTCGTCTGGCGTGAGTATGGGTTCCTTGAGATCTTTGACGCGATCGACCCTTGATAGTTGTTCGATTGCCTTATCTGCGTCGTATTTGTTCTGGATCAACAACTCAAGCGCTTTGTCTTGGAGATTGGAGCCCCAAGTCGTAACCTTGAGTGATTTCGCCGTAGCTTTGACGCGATCCATGAATTTGTCAATGAACGCTTCGCTCGATGCAGGGGCGTGTTCATCGTCTTCATCTGGCATCTTAAACATAAGTCTGGCTGTGTTTCTGGGGTCGTCGTTGTCATAGTCTTCTCCTCGGTGGACATAGCCAGGAGGTTCGTCTTGGACCCATTTTGGACGCTTCTCTCGTTCTTTCCGATCCGCTTCAATTGCGGCAAGAGTCTCCTTTGTAAGTTTGGTGTCCTTCTTCTGGCCTCCACCCTTAACGAAGCGCTTTTTGATATCAGCAGGCTTCACTAGTTCGACTGGCCTGCCATGCCAAACGTTGACATTCGCCTGATGACGTGGTCCCAAGCGCGAGCTAGCTCTCGGGTAAATGGCACGGTCGTCGTACTGCAGCGCATCCTCAACTCTGCAGTGTATACCCAAGTACCTGAAGGGCCACATCTTGGCCATGGCGATCTCAGCTTGCGTACCAGGGTGTTGATCAGTGGCTACATCAGGACCACTAGGGCTCGGTGCTCGGGTGCTCGCTAACAATGCTGGATCTTCTTCCTCTTCTTCGATGATCTCTTCTTCTTCATCGACGCCACCAAGAGGAGTGTTGCGCGCTTCGAGTCTTCTTTCCGCGGCGCGACCACAAGGACCACATGCCCAAGCAAAACCACGTGTGGGCTTTTTCGGTAGAGGAGGTCGGACACAATTCATGTGGTAGCAGTTGCCACATATTGCGCAGTCGACAGAATCATTGCTGAGATCTAGGTCAGTCATGATTTTTGGCAGTGGTGTGCGGCGTACATACCTTGCGCAGTACTGAGTACACCGTTTACAAAGCTTGACGGCCGCTGTGAGCTCTTTGACTCTGTTGGTTTCTACAGCGATAAATTTCCATCTTTCATCCAGGGCTCGCTTGACTTTGTCTGGGACATTGATAATTTGTGAAGTCGGGATGACCTCATAGAATCGGCGAATAAAGCGATCAAAGATTTGACTGAACCAGAAACAATTTGGACCTTTGCGGTATTCATCGAGGTTGTCAATTTCTGATCGATGGAGAATCTGACATTTTCCACGTAGGGATGTGAGGGGACAAACGTCAGAGTGCATGGTACCGTATACAAGACGGCTGTCGTTGTTGAGTCGCTGTACGTCGCGCGGACGATAGAACCAATTCACCCGAATCGAATCTACGGGAGATTTCGGATCGTCAGAATTGGTGTGTAAGAACTCCATGATCCTGCAGAGGTAATAAGGGTCGCCAGGTGGTTCACAGACGAGATATACGTGATCTGGGAATGATCCGTCAGCCGTGTCAGGAAGGTGGAGATAACGAGACATTCTTACCGTCAACGTATAATACTGTTCCGTCGTCCGCTTGAAGTCCTCCTTTCTTCAAAATCGCCTTTGACTTTTCGAAAGTCATCATGTTAGACTCACGAGACATGTTTGCCAATGGTATGGAGGTTGCCGGTCGCTTTGTAGTGGGTTGCGCAGCCGCATTCGCAGCGGTGTTACCAGATCCAGATGCAACAATGGCAGTATTGGCGGCGCCAGCTGCCTTGCGCTTTTTCGGGGGGACAGTTGAGAAAGAGGAGGTTCCTGGAATTGTTTCTTTACCAGAAACTGATGGTGATCTTTCGTCCGAGTCCATGCCATTGACTCGAGCAACTGAAGGATCAACATTGGCCTTTTTAGTCTCAGCATTTACTTGTGGATTCCGCTTCGAATCACCGACCGTGGCGTTTTTGCCAGATGCAGGCTTGGCTGGTGGCGGGGGGACTTCGAAATCCATATCTTGATCCTCTGCATAATTTGGTCGAGGGCGGTTGCGCGAACGTGTTCCGTAAGGCATCGCGTCGCCCATTGCAAGATCAGAGAAATTTTGTGCTGATGCATTATCCACTGGCCGTGATGATGACTGTCGTGAATTTGACTCAGTGGGCTGATCAGTAGTGGTTGGAGCTGGAGTTTGCGAAGCACTCATGATTTCATGTGGAGTATCATCTGCTGCAGCCTCGTCTTTGATGGTGTTGTTGCCAGATGGCTCAACAGGTGAGCGTGAACCTGCATCATTCATGGCGCTGGACGCGCGAGATTCCATGTCGTGAAGCCAGCGACGCCAGCCAGAACGTCGAGATGCTGGCGGACTGCTCCACGGACGAGATAGGTTAGATGTATTGAGAGTTTATCCCAATGGGCGGAGTACAAATGTCAGGAAACTACCATACGACGCTGTCAAGGGTGGATGGAAAATGACCAAGAGGGATGAACGATGTCAAGAGAGTAAGAGAGACAACATGCGTGTCGGAGAGCACGGGTACTGGCCCGAACGAAGCTGGTTGCGCGCGCGTGTCAGTTAGGGTATTTGAATGTACCGGCAAGCGGAAATTCAAGCGAGGGCGAGAACGTCGGGGCAGAGTTTGGGTGCAACAAAAATTGGGGGAAGCGTGGTTAGAAAGTTGATGGCGAGGATGATGAGGAAGATAGAAAGAAAGTGAACACTGATGATGTGAAGCTCATCGAATCAGAGCCCCCTGCCCGTCTCTGGTAATCGCCGTCTTTATTGTTACTGTACCTAAAATCGAACGCCCTCTCTTGATCCCTCATTGATACTCTTAAATGCCAAGGCTTGCACAGTCGCTTCCGCCTTGCCGGTCCCATCTAACAACATCAAAAGACATCTGATCTTAATCCCGTTCGCAGATGATCATCCTTCACCTTGCGCCGAATCTTCCATCCAATTATTCACGAAACTGTATATGACTCCTTGTATGCAAGATGGTAAGGAAAGTTGATTGCATTTTCTCGGCTTCAACGGCCACATTCGCCCAAAACGAGATAACCTTCTTGCGAGCCCGGCACACGGCTGGATAATATCACGACTGCTCTTTCAAAAATTGCCAGACAGCACGATTTCTTTAGCTCTCCACAACGTTCTTGTCTTCGTGTTCCTCGGTCGCAGTCGATCTTACTGACTTGTATCATGATTTGCGCTGAAACCAAATTCGCTCCTAAAGCACTCCGAAAATGGCCTGGTTTCTTTCAGGTCTACGTCAGTGTCCCCTTCGAGTGCATAAAGTAGCCACCTTCGATTAATTGCTTTCTCGAGGATCAAGTCATCGTGCTTGTCAATAGTATTCTGTGCGAAATAGCGATCATGTAGAATTTAATGTTCATGTGCTCTGCGTCTTCGATGGCAGCGGCAGATTGTTGAGCAATGTGACCATCACGGCCAGACTGATCGTGAGAAATCATGCTACAGTGGTCTAGCTCCGGCTGAGAATGGTCTGAAAATCCTGCGGTTGTTTGGTACGCTTCGTCGTTTGCACGATTATGTCGCGTTCTTGGCAGGAACTCGAAGGGTCAGGTTGTCGTCGCCCAGATTCGCAGCAGGCTGCAGATAGCCGAGCCAATCATATGCGCGCTGATGTTTGTGGCTTGCAACCGCGATGATCTCCTTCATCGGCCGACCTCCACTTTTTTGGACTTCAGCTCGAACCTCACGTTGTGCTGGCACGCTCCTCCTCGCATGGCCATCTGACGGTACACAACCGTATCACAAATTTCCATCAATATTCCGAAGATTGGTCTGGTCAAACTGGATACTCTGCGTACAAAAATGGGCACAAAAATTACAAAGGCCAGACTCGTATTTAACTCGGGCGAAGAACAAGGGTCCCGTGAGATATAGGTAGCCAAATAAACGGACGACGATATCGTTGGGCCACGCGGGCCAACATCCCCCCACTCGTGACCACCAGCTCAGTAAATGTACCTGAAATTCCCATTTTCACTAGCAATGTCAGTATGTCGATTTGTATATCGCATATATCATGGCAGTCTTACCGATCAGTCATATCGGCGAATGCGGTCGCGTTCAAATCTCTGCCCTCTAAACCACCAGGCAAAGCACTCTGGATTTTGTCCCGACGGCGATTTTCCCTGCTCAGGAGTAGACGCAGCAAGAGGATGACGCAAACCTCAATCAAGTGGCTGACAATCATGCTCCAAATGCCGAGCTCGTAGCGAGGGCTTTGCGATGGTTTATAGAAGAATGGTCCTGCGATGTTGCCTGTGCAATACTGTTCAAGGCAGAGTTGGTCAATATGAACAAGGTATTCGAGCAAAGTGGTGCACTTACACCGAGGAAGAGGATGGCATTTGTTACGACCTTCTTGGAATGTCCAGCCTGTCGATGTTAGTAGTCGATCAAGGTTTGATTACTTCGTACGTTGTCCTTCGAACTTACAACATTGGCAGTAGTCAAAGAGAGAATCATAACAAAAGCTGCATTATAGGGACTAAATTCGAGGTCAGTACGGCTGTAGCCAGTGTCGTTTGTATTTGCTTACCCAGTCAGGTAGTAGCATATCAGTCTTCCAGCTTTGTTATCCGCGCCCAAAAAACGCTATCGAGTGTCAGGCTACCTATTATCCTTGGTCCAAACTTGGAACTTACTAAGCCCGAAAGCTCCGCTGATGTTTGGTAGTAAGAACAAGAGGATAAAGTAGCACCTCGTCTGGCTGCCCTTGGATGCAAACTTGTCGTTCAAGAACACACAAGTGAGGATACTGATGGCTATGAAAATACCTGGGAAGGTCAGAAACGATCTCCACGCAGTTCTAGGTTCTTACCGTAAGGTACCTGCATCAAGGTCGTGACCAAGGTGCTGAATCCGAATCCCTTGATAATGATGGTACCAAAGTTGCTTATACCTCCATTTGGAATATTCCCAACCACTCCAAGCAAGAAGAAAAGGTAAGTTTTGTAACTGTTGTTGAGAGTCTGGTTAGCATGATACCTCAAGGCTCTTCTGAAAAGAGGTGCGTACTCAGTAACTACTTCCCGGACCTGATACCACTTTAGATGCTTATTCTCGATACCAGTCTGGTTATCTCTCAATCTTTCCACAGCTATCCTCCTTTCTCTCTCGTTGAGGCCTTTGGCGGTGACCGGACTGTCGGGAAGAAAAATCATCATCACTATACCCCAGACACAACAGAGGGCTCCGATAATAAGGAACTCGAATTTCCATGAAGGCAAGCCTGCTTTGATGTGGCCAATACTGGAGTATGTCAGTTCATTTCATGCCACAGACCTGGAAATGTATACCCATAGCCCAGAAGACCACCCAAAGCAATACCGAAGCCATTTGCGGTATACCAGATTCCGATCCTAATGGGTTGCTGGCGTCTCGAATACCACATAGAGGTGATAATCATGAATGCCGGATCCGAACACGCCTCCGCAGCACCCGAAAGGGCTCTCAAAATAGCCAGAGTTGTGAAGTTTTTCGCCGCTGCCTGGCACATGAGCAATGCTCCCCACATGAAGATATTGAAACCTAGATATTTTCCAACCGGGAATCGCTGCAACAAGAAGTTTGTCGGCAGCGCCCAAGCCAAGAAGCCAAAGTAGAAGATTGAGGATAACCAGCTGTACTGCTCGCCATGGATCTTCAAGTCCTCACGAATGCCGAAAATGGCGGCATAGCTAAGAGTGGTTTTGTCGATGTAGAAGAAGGCGTAGCAGACAGCTAGGTATGGCAGGATCATGAAATCAATCTTCCTAACCACTCTTGCTTCCTCTGCTGGATCGATGGGCTCGTGGGCCTGTGTTGCAAAGAGTGTTTGGGCAACATCGCCATCGTCTTTCAAGTTGATCTTGCTCCACTCGATAGTGTCTTCTACAACATCGATGTGCTCTCGATGCTCTACGGAATGTTTCGTTTCATCTTTGGTATTGAGACTGCCTTGGTAAGGCACACTCTGAGAAATGATATCGGCCTGTGATGGACGAGAATGGAACCGCATGCTGAGACGAAAGATGAAGTCGCGAGGTCGAGGATCAAGTGGCTACTCCAACTGCTATATATGTGCTGATCATCTGCATTTTCCCATTATGCTGGCACCATCCAATCCCATAACTTTCGGTTGTATAACTCTGCACCTCCACATGACCCCGCACCTTCATGCCCCAGATCTGCAGTACTGTATACATAGTCCGGTAAGAAGTGCGAGCTTGTCGGACGATACAGCCCGAAGAGCAATAATGAGATCACATGAACTTGAAATATTGTGACCACAATACGTGGACACTCAAGTCGAAACAAAACAGTGCAAATTACAAGTGGGTATAAAACAATACTAACATCAATCACGCTTCTCGAAGAGTACCTGAGTCTTTTGTCCAAGAGTCCTTATCTCCAAATCTTCCATCCTGGCTTTTTCACGACGTCTTGCTGTCCAAGAGACTGATCTTCGACGTTTGGTTTGTTTTCGTGTTCTTGTGTACCAGTTCTACCAAAGATACGATCCGCAATGCTTGGTCTGCGGCCTCGCGGCTGCTGTTGATAATGACCATCATCCAAGTCTGACTCAACAAAACTTCCCTCCGATTCTGTATAGTCATCGTCATATTTCGGATCGTTGATCCCGGGTCCATGCTGCTGCCGACGTCCAAATGGATTCCAGAAGCGTTTCTCACGAATTGGAAGCTCTGAAGGATGAGGACCATTTGGAGGTTGGAGTGAGGCCTCGCGAACTTTATCATTGTCAGTGCCCGCCAAAGCAGGGTGGTGGCGACGAGAAGGAGGTGGCCCAATCTCCTTATTGAGTCTGTCTGCGTCAGAAGGTCCATTATAATTTTGATTGTGACCTCTACTTCTGGTATCGGCGGCTGGGTGGCGTTCTCCTATCGGCATTCTCGAGTTGAGAGCTCTGTCATCCAGTCTTCTGGATGGTGGTTGATCGAGACTGTCTGAGCTACTGTGGCTACCATCACTTTCAGAGGAGTACTCTTCGAAACTGGGTGATCTGTGGACCGATTTGCCTCTCAAGCGATCTATCATCGAAGCCCCTCTTGACTTGAACCTGGCTGTGTTGATGTCGGCGCCTCCTTCGTACCACAAAGCAGGCACCAATAACCTGTACGGCCTAGTGATACCTGCGGGATCTTTCTGATCGACCTCCATGTTGAGGCAGATGTCCAGACCACTCTCAAGGTTGATATGTCCGAACTGTTCGCCTTCTGGTCCACCTCTGGCACTTGCTTTGAGTGCATCTTTCTCCGAGAGATCTGTAGGTCTCCTGTGGAAGTGGTCGGTTGGCCTAGAGCTTGTCTGAGGGAAATAAGCTCCACCATCGTCGTTAATGCGTGACGGTGCGCTACCCCTCGCATCATTCGGTCCATAAGCTTCCATGGACCGAACTTCACCACTTGATATGGCCGGCTGCCTTTCTTTTGCCGACGCACCTGAGAGTCTGCGCACCAGATTACCAGGACGGAACCCGCCGCGATTGACCGAAGCAGATCTTGCCATTGAACCGGGTGGGTACTGGCGATCCGTCGCAGCATAGTCTTGCGAATGTACAGGCGGCTGTTCCGCGCCTGGAGAAGAAGGTGGAGTGGAGCCTGGAATGTATTCTCTAATGCTGCAAAAGTTCCGCCTAGGCAGTAGGTGAAGATTGTTACGAGCCTTGCCATTAACATCCTGCTCGAACATCGGAATCATATCCTCGTCTGTCTCTGCATCCAGATGGTGGACCTTGTTGCGCTTATTAAGCACATCACCCATGATATTTGGTGGGGGTGTGTTGACAATCGCAGAAGACACAACGTTGGGCATGTAACGATGGTCCCTATCTTTGGGAACACCCAGCTTCTTCTTCGTGTAGAATTGTCCTACCGCACCCAAGTGCACGTCGCCTCCAAGGATAGTGATTCGTACAGATTTGCTGGCGGCGAGCTCTTGAAGCTCTTGGATGAACCAGTTTCTCTCCAGTTTGTGATGCTTAGCGGTCCAGTGGTCATCGAGATCATCCAGAATTTCAACTCCGCCGTCGAATTTGTTGACAAAGCCACCCAAGAGACCAGTCCGGCCGATTGCCTTGATCGGGTCCATAACCCGCGACGTCAAGATGTTTTCCAGAAAATTGAGTCTTGGATATGCGATCGGTACACCGAGCAGGACGATTAGATGCTTGGTTTCTCCTTTGACAATTTCCGATCGACATCGGTCGAACACAATGTCGTAACTTTGCTGGCTCAGAATCTCATCCCTCATTCTTTCGGTTCGGCAATCCAAACCTAAGAATGCAATCTTCCGTCCAAGAAACATGAAAACACTTCGACTGAGCTCATGTATGTATGGTCCTGGAGATGCACCTAACACCCATGAGGGTTCATCGCGTTGGGTCTCAGACACTACACTCTGGTGCTGGAAAAGCATGTAGTATTTGAAGGCAACCGCGCCCAAGCCAGTGAATATCCTAGTGCTCATGAAGTGATGTGGATAAGATCCGTAACCCTAGAGATAAGTCAGCACATACATATGATGGCCATAAGAAGACTTACATCAATAATGTCATGATCGTCCCAGATGTTCACCATTGGAATTTGGCTGTTGGCCATACCAAACAGGCCTTGGGAGAACCACATACTATACCTATCGAGATAAAACGTTTCTAGCTCGTCTTGCATCTCTTCTGTGAAGTCTGCTCTGTGCTTGTGCTCCGGATTTTTGGTTTGCAACCACTCTTTGAAGTACGTTGTATCACGCATGGCGGCATCGTTATAGATTTGATCTCCTCCACCAAGCATGACATGAAAAGGTCTCGATTGGTGTTTGTTGAGGACGTCTCGCCATAGGGGATCTGGCCCAGTAAACTCATTCGAGTTCACGGACAAGCTGAAACCGTTACAAGAATGAAACATAATGTTCATACTTTGGCCTCTTCCCGGAACCCAGAAGCCAATTGCCGGACCTCGATTAATTCGATACGCAACTCGCGCTTGTTTCAGGCCAAGTTCGATCTCAAGATTGAATCGCCAAAAAGTCACTCCGCGTTCTCTGTGTAGACGAACAGCCTTGACTTCACGATACTTACCAGCCTTCTCGCCGTCACGAGCTCGGATCCGAGGTCTATCGCGCGTGTTGCCAGGAGCATTGGGTTGCTGAGGTTCTTCATTAGATGACCTTGTTCGCTCAAACAAGCCAGACTCGTTCTCAACACGAGAAAGGTCGACACAATCCTCAAGAGCAGTCACAGGCCTCACGAAAAGTGGTTGTCCGGTTCGAGAGATCTTCATCTGGCCAGCGATTGGATCAAGATACTCAGGTGGTGGATCGTGTTGGTGCTCTGCCGAGAGTGGTGGCAACAACTCCATCGATTGCGCGAACAGTCGAAGCGTTGGGATATCCTCATACGAGGAGTACTCATCCTGAGTAACAATCATCACGGTGCCTCTCCAGATCTCTTTCTCAGCATGACTACTACGATTTGTTTGCGAAGTTCTCTCGCGGCGCATACCAGTATAACGCAGCAGTGGGCCGCATTTCAGGAAAAGTTGTGGCCGGAAAGCTTTTGCTGGTTCGTCGTAGGCGCCATCATAAGCTCCTAGGTTGTCTTGTGCTGGGGCGCTCTTTCGAGATCCTCCACCATCCCACCAGGGAGTGTTTGTGTGAGCAGTAGTTTTCACTGAATCTTGAACATTGTGATCATCGGCAAATAATCGTGCCACTCCCCCCTGATACCATTCTTGAAGCTCGGGTCTCTTGCGATAGGTCCCGTCCTTATGCTGGTGGCGGTGAAACAAGTCGCTGACACCGTGATGATGATGCTGTTTCGTAGATCGGTCTTCCTGAGGAGGAGCTACAGGCTGGACATTAGAGAAGCCTACATAATCTCTCGCGTCCTGTCCCGCGGCGGTCTGAGGTGGAATGCTGTACGCAGGTCCATGCTTGTGGCCAGTTTGGACAGCCTTGGGTGGAACAGGATCCGGGTCCTGGTGCTGAACAGCAGCTCTCAGGCCTCCGCTCGCTCCTACGCGCGAGGTATGCAACGACTGTTGGGCGTCAGGGATACGCGATGCATTGTCCTGACCTGCATGCGGGCCTCGAAAGTTGGTATGCTGATTAGCATTTTGTGAAATGTCACGACTATTCAAGCGAGCTTCATCATAGTGACCAGAAGAGCGCCGACCACGCTCGTGGCTGACAAGACTATCCTGTCCGTGGGTACTGGGGAACGGCATAGCAGCAGCGGCAGCAGCTCCAGCATAGCCAGCGTCACGCGCTCGATGGCGATAGCCCTTTGAGTTTGATCTTTCGGGTTGGGCTTGGATTCCAGCCGGTCTTGAGTATTCAGAATAGTTGTGGCCCTTTCTTGTGGTTTGTGCTTGACTCTGTGTTCTCAGAGCGTCAGATGCCCGCCTGAACTTTTGACTGGCGTCCAGTCCATCTGAATTTACGACGTGAGAAGGACGTCCTCTATAATCCAGCGAGGGTCGTCCGTGTTGCATGCTTTCGTCGTACTCTGTTGCTGGTGGTGGCGCAGACGAATGCCTTCGTTCATGACGACGGTAGCCTGCCTCTGGATTGTGAGAAGAAGTCGGTTGGTGACCAACGTGAACCCTTCGGGACTGGTTTGCTGATGATCTCTGACGAGCATGGTACTCGGCGTCCTCAATTCGGGCTCGTTTCTCTTCTTTGCTGATGTCGTCGAGTTTGCCCTCAAGCTTCTGAAGGGGGGACCTGCCAGAGACGGTGCCATGTTTTGAACGGTGGCGAGTTGGATTTTGAGGTGAGATAGGAGATTCACCAAAAGCGAGATTTCTGTTTGTGGAGGTACCTCGAGTATCAAGCTGGGGAAGTGGCTCTAGTAGACGATTTGGACCATGATGTGCGTCTGACTTTCGAGTTTTTGGTACATAAACAGTTTGGTTAGGATCATGATGGGTAAAATAGTCGATCGGCCTGGCATAAGAGCCACTGTTTCGTCTAGCGTCCATGGTACGTCGAAGGTGACGTTCTGTTCAAGAGGGTATCAGCAGTCTTTTGACATATTAAGGTGTGATAAGGTGCAGAAAGTCGAGTCACAGGAGGCAGGCGTCACGAATACGGCGACAGGAAAGGTAAACGGAGAAAGGTCGGTGGGTTTGGATGGGCTATATACAGGCAGCTTGAGAAAGAAGACAGGGCAGGAAATAGATGAAAGTTGATGATGTGCAGACACGATATCATGGCAGAAGAGGAAGCGCTTGCAGTTCGGTGGCTGGTGTTCCGGAGCACGGGGCGGGTTTGGAGGGAACCACCATGGCCAGGGCAGCGAATCGCGTCGAGAGAAGGTCGACAGAAGTTGATTGCGCTTGCACATGTGCATGCAGTGCGGTGTGCAGTACCTAGTCAAGCACAATCAAGATCTGAAAAGTACGGCGACCTGGTATGCTATCCAGGGCCCAAAAACCGTTGCTCACTTTGTGCCAAGCTTGACACGGAGGCTCTTTGAGCAGCTCTCCGTACTAACTCCGCTCTCTTTCAACGCATCGACATGGACAAGGACCTGTATTGAGCCCCCTTTCCGTCCTTTGTTCGCCGAATTTTCCATGTCTCAACCATCATGCATCTAGAGTGATTTCTGACTGGACTTGCAAACTCTCGATTTCACCATGCGCTTCCCGCTCTTCTTCCTCCTGCAGCTGGCTGCGTCCAGCGTAGCCTTAACCAAGCCCGACTATGACAATCACGATTATTATGCCGTCCACCTGTCGCCAGGTGTCTCACCGGAGGCCGTAGCAACTCACCTCGGGTTCGATTTCGACAGTGCTATCCACTCGCTCAAGGATCATTACGTCTTCAAAGCACCAAAGGCCTCGCAGGATGTCATACATGAAGCCAAGCAGGACTTGAAGCGTCTAAGGAGAAAGAGACAGGCTGGATGGGATCGCCGCCATGTTTTAGATGATGTCCTACTCAACAGAAAGCAGGAGCGTCGCTTGCGCTTATTCAAGCGTGTACCTCCGCCGCAGTCTGCCGACTTCGACACCCGTGCCGACAAGCAGCTTGCCGACTCTCAAGTACAGAAAGGATTGGATATCGCAAAGAGCTTGAATATTGAGGACCCTATATTTATGGACCAATGGCATTTATACAACCCTATTCAACTCGGACACGACATCAATGTCACAGGAGTTTGGCTTCAAGGTATCACTGGAAAGAATTCCACCGTATGCATCGTCGATGATGGTTTAGACATGGATAGCGACGATCTACGCGACAATTACTTTGCTGCTGGTTCTCATGACTTCAACGACCATGTTGATGAACCAAAACCACGGCTTTCTGATGACCATCACGGCACTCGTTGTGCTGGTGAAGTTGCTGCTGTGAGGAACGACGTCTGTGGTGTAGGTGTGGCCTATGACTCCAAGGTCGCCGGTGTCCGTATTCTTTCTGGCGCTCTCACCGAACTGGACGAAGCTCTCGCTCTGAACTACGCTTATCAGGAGAACCAAATTTATTCGTGTTCATGGGGTCCTCCAGATGATGGTCAGAGTATGGAGGCGCCCGGCATCATAATCAAAAGAGCTATGGTTGCTGGCGTGCAGGATGGCCGCCAGGGTCGTGGTAGCATCTTCGTCTTTGCCATTGGCAATGGTGCCGCCAATGACGATAATTGCAATTTCGACGGCTATACCAACAGCATCTACAGTGTGTCTGTCGGTGGTATTGACCGCAAGGGCTTGCATCCGTACTACAGCGAGAAATGCTCGGCTCAATTGGTAGTGACTTACAGTTCAGGCTCTGGTGATGCCATTCATACTACTGATGTTGGAGCAAATCAGTGCTACGTCAGCCATGGTGGCACATCAGCCGCTGGTCCGTTGGTCGCAGGCATATATGCCTTGGTGCTTGAGGTCAGACCTGATCTCACCTGGCGCGACATCCAATGGCTTACCGTCCTCACTGCTATCCCAATCGATCAGCCAGAGGACGACTGGCAGGACACTCCTCTTGGACGCCGATTCAGCCATGCTTCTGGCTACGGCAAAATAGATGCCTACGCCATTGTGGAAGCCGCTAGAAATTGGACCAACGTCAAGCCTCAGGCATGGTTCTTCTCACCATGGATGCATGTCAGACACGAAATTCCTGAGGGCGAGAAAGGAATCGCTTCTAGCTTTGAGGTTACTGAACAAATGCTCAAAGACGCCAACCTGGAACGTATCGAGCATGTCACAGTGACCATGAACGTCGAACATACCCGCCGTGGTGACCTCAGCGTCGAGCTACGTTCGCCATCGGGTATCGTCTCATACATTGCAACTAATCGTCGCAGAGACGAAGCAAATTCTGGCTACAATGACTGGACCTTCATGTCGGTTGCTCACTGGGGTGAGAGCGGAGTAGGAAAATGGACCGTGATAGTCAAGGACTCGAATAAGAATGGTCATACTGGTAAATTTGTCGATTGGCATTTGAAGCTTTTTGGCGAGTCTATCGATGGTGCCAAACAGGAGCTATTACCATTGCCTGATGAGCATGATGACGATAACCATGACATTGAGACTACCAGCATCGGCGGAGCCACAACGAGCGTTGACCACCCTGTCGTCACAGGTGAGCCTCAAGGAAATCCCACGGATCACATCGATAGACCTGTCAACAGCAAAGTATCCACGACTGCTGCTCCTGCAGCAGAACCAACATCAGCGACGAGCGTAGAGCCAACACCGGAGCCAACTTCCAAGCCTGATGCCGAAGAAGATGAAGTTAGCGAAAAGCCAGAGTCCAACTTCCTCCCATCGCCTTTCCCCACCTTCGGCGCTTCCAAGCGCACTCAGGTCTGGATATATGGCGCATTAGCGCTCATTGCAGTCTTCTGCACGTCTCTTACCGTCTGGTATGTCCTCACCAAGCGCCGAAGACAGCGCAATGCGCGTGACGAGTATGAGTTTGAGATGCTTAACGAAGAAGACATCGATGACGAAGGAACCAGAGGAGCTGGTGGTGCCAACGGCATGAGTGCAAAGGCCAAGGGCAAGCGAAGGGCAGGTGAATTGTACGATGCATTCGCAGAGGATAGCGATGAAGAGGACGTGTTCAGTGTTGGAGATGATGAAGAGCACGGTCACGAACACGAGCAAAGCTACCGGGACGATGCAGGCCATGGGCCAGGGAGCCCCAGCCAAGGGCATAGCTGAGGCCGTGGGTTATGATCACCGCGGAACATGCATTGGGTTGGCGTCTTTGTATAGAACCACAGTAAAGACAGAGTGTTTGGATCAGAGAATCTACCATCACACCTGATTGAAGGTGTCAAGAATTTTGTGTTGGTCATGTTCGTTTTCGGTTCTGCAATTCATGAAGAGGGAGCTGTAGTTTGACCTAGGCTCTCCATCTTAGCCTTATGGGCTCTTCTCTTTTGCTCTCGCTTTGAGATGGGCTTTTCCGAGCCATCTGTTGGAGTGTCTTCGACCTCGTCAGCTTTTCTCTTCTTCGCACTGTTTTCCTTGAGAAGGGCAACCCTGGTCTTGTCTTTCTGGCCCTGCTTTTCATGTTGCTCTTTCCCTGCGGGCTTCTCGCCCCCATATACGACATCCACCACGCCTCTGAAGCTGGTTCTCTTCAGCTTGGCACTGACAACCACACTCCGAGCTTCTTTGCTGACAGCTTCATAGCCACGGTCTTGCGCCAGACCCCAGATGGCAGCGAGGTTGACAACGTCCCAGGGTGCGCGGCAGCCGACAGCCTTGGTGGCCTCACTGCTGATTATTATACCACGACCGCCTCTGGTTGCGCGAATCAAGCCGGTCGCGTTGCTGATCAGGTTCCGTTTCGCAGCAGGATCAGCCAACAAAGGCTGGCTGTATGGGATTTCGAAGCGGACGCCGCGCTTGACAGCCTCGGAGACAGTCTTGAACTTGAAGTGGTAACCCAAGCGTTGGGTGAAGTCGAGGGATATCAAATCACAATCAGCGGTGCTGCAGGCATGTTGAAAGGTCTTCCCATCGACGGGACGCAAGGCGAGGATGTCGTAGTTGTTTGCCAGGGCGCCTAGGCGGTTGTTGGTGGCTGATTCTGACAAGATCAGAGTGCAGCGACGGAGGATAGTCAAAGAAGCGGGCGTTTTAAATGGCAGAGGATCTGGAATGACACAAGACTGCTGGCTATTAGCTTTGTTGATGGGTGGTTATGTCAATTGGTACTGACGAGGTCTGATGGTAGCCTGCCAGAGATGGTATGGTTCAAGGCAATGACATTGTATCCTACTGATGAATATCAGCGACAATCCAGACCATCTGAGTCGGAAAATTAATGCGCTCACATTCGCTGAGAAAGGCCAGCGTCTTGGACAGATCAGCATCGCTGGTCGACGGGTTATAGTCGACATTTAGGTCGTAAAACATGGCTGGTCATGGTTTGGTCAATGATTTGGTCAGTCCATGGCGGTCGTGCTATGGATTTCACATGTCAAAGTTCTGGGTTGCTGGGGTTTTTGAGAATTCGAGCAAGCATGACTCGCGACAAGAATCATTCGCAGCAAGAATGAGGTCCTTTGCAACTGCCTCAACTAGACCTGATCGAAATAAGAAAAAGGTAAATATTCAGCTTAGGTAGTAGCTCACCTGATAACATAACTTCTCGATATAGACAACTTGCAGTCAATGTCCATCATCCAAACGATTGTGGCGCGCGAGTCAGGAAAGAGCTCAGGGCTTTTGCAAGCGACCGCGACTGCAGAGTTGCGCCATGTCATGGTTTGATGCAGCAGCGGCTTTGCTGTGCTCCTCCACCATCACCACAACATCCACATTTTACCCCTCGTCGTCCAAAGACCGTCGTTGCTTGCGCAACCTCATTCACTTTTTGCTGCTTTCTGCACTGTTCTTTTCCACCTCGCGCGCCTGCCACATCAGCCAACGGCCATTGCTGCCCAGCATGGCTCGCGTCTACGCCGACGTAAACCAGCACATGCCTCGTGCATACTGGGACTACGACAGTGTCAACATCTCCTGGGGTGTCCTGGAAAATTACGAAGTCGTTCGCAAGATTGGTGCGCCCGCCCGTATGCTTGCTGCAGCGCCGTGAGCTAACCTTGACGGCCAGGTCGCGGAAAGTACTCAGAAGTCTTTGAGGGCATCAACGTCGTCAACTACCAAAAATGCGTCATTAAGGTCCTCAAGCCCGTCAAGAAGAAGAAGATCAAGCGTGAGATCAAGATCCTCCAGAACCTAAGCGGAGGCCCAAACATTGTTGGTCTGCTCGATGTTGTTCGTGACAGCCAGGTGAGTTTGTCCCTCTTGTTATCCTGGGCTCACTTCTGACATTGTCCTTGTAGAGCAAGACCCCATCCCTTATCTTCGAATATGTCAACAACACCGACTTCCGAAGCCTGTACCCAAAGTTCACCGATTTCGATGTCAGATTCTACATCTTCGAGCTGCTCAAGGTGATTGTTACAACCCAACCTGATGCTCGTTCGTCTACTGACTACAGCTCAGGCCCTCGACTTCTGCCACAGCAAAGGAATCATGCACCGCGACGTCAAGCCTCACAACGTTATGATTGATCATGAAAAGAGAAAGCTGCGCCTAATCGATTGGGGTCTTGCCGAATTCTACCACGCCGGCACCGAGTACAACGTCCGCGTTGCTTCGCGTTACTTTAAGGGTCCTGAACTCTTGGTTGATTACCAGGAATACGACTACTCGCTTGATATGTGGTCTTTGGGTGCCATGTTTGCTTCCATGATCTTCCGCAAAGAGCCTTTCTTCCACGGCAACAGCAACTCCGATCAACTTGTCAAGATCGCCAAGGTCCTGGGTACCGAAGATCTGTTCGATTACCTCGACAAGTACGATATCGAGCTTGACGCACAGTACGATGACATCCTGGGCAGGTTCCCCAAGAAGAACTGGCACAGCTTCGTCAACGCAGACAACCAACGCTTTGTCAGCAATGATGCGATTGACTTCCTGGATAACTTGCTGAAGTACGATCATCAGGTAAGTGCACAATCCTGCTCCGCAACAGATGCAACTACTAATCGTACCTAGGAACGATTGACTGCAAAGGAGGCCATGGCTCATGCCTACTTCAACCCTGTCAGACAAGCTGCGCAAACAAACTCAGGCTCTTCATGATGAGATATGGCGGCTGCCGAGCGAAAAAGGCTAACAGATCCGAGCATTTCAAACTTGCATTCTAAATTACACGGAGGTTCACTGGGGTTGTTCTTCGTGGCTCATCGACTGCATACAAACAAGTCCAGCATGCTAATCAGCCGGGCGTCTATCCGGTTCGGCGGAGCGATACACCGGCGCGGGGCTAGGGCTGGCGGAGGAGAGGCGTAGGAGGTGAGGTTTTTTTCTATCGTATTGTTGCTGTCGTGAAAGTTGACAGCACGGATTAAGGAGCCAAGGGCTGTAGATATCCCATGAAGTTCTGTTTAATGCCCTTTTTGTAACACGCGATCCAGTGAGTCGTGCTTCGTACCTTGTCAAGGAGGTAGAACAGCGAAGCTTCATGGTGAGAAATCGGCATTTTCGCAACATGGTGTTATTGCGCACTAGCAGCAGCAGCAGAACCACTGTCTGTTCGTGCCAGCCCTGTGATAAAATCATTTCAAGGCCGAATTGTGATCAATACCCAGCATTAGTCCGTTGACGTTGGCATGGAGGAGGTATAGGAAAATTTGACAGGGTCATGAGCACACCGAAAGTCCTGGGTCGCGTGAGTAGATGATTGATGAGATAAGATAAATTGTGAGTCAGGAACCGAGCTACAGAATGCTAACTCCGCGATGCTCTTCACTTTTGGTGAGTCAAGCATTTTTGGCCCGCAATTGCACCACTCTCTACCCAGACCATCAAGATACTTTCGAGAGCGCTATACAGGAGCGCTTCGGTCGTACGGCCTGTATTCCTAAATCGCACAAGAGGTTTCGCAAAGATGGCTCTCAATGCAGCATCGCACAACATTCGTGAGCTCTTCTTTTCCTGGCAGCTAATTGGATTCTACTCGCTGACAGACACCAACAGCGGGCGAGATGACCGGACCCGTGAGTGGCCAGCCGCCAGCTCCCTCGGCCGAGACCACTGAGGCCCTCCTCTCATCTGCCCAGAAGGATCCCCAAGGCCAGAATGCCCCCGGTCAAGACGGCGGTGACGCCGAGGCACCCAAGAAACAAAAGACCGAGAAAGAGCGTACGCAGTCAAATTAAGAGAAGAGGAAGACCGGGGATCTGACATAAAGCAGTTGCGAAGGAAAAAGCCAAGGCTGAGAAGGCACGCAAGTTCGCCGAGAAGCAGGCAAAGCAATCTGCTGCTGCTCCAGCTGGAAAGGCCAAGGAGAAGAAGCCCAAGGTCAAGGAGGAGGCTCTGCCCAAGTACGTCGAGGAGACACTCAAGGGAGAGAAGAAGAGTAAGAAGACGTTTGACTTGAGACGAGGGAGAGCAAGTACTGACAAAGTACAGTCCTCAAGCCTCTGGATGACGAATACCACAAGGCCTACATTCCCTCTGTCGTCGAATCAGCATGGTACGACTGGTGGGAGAAGGAAGGCTTCCACGAGCCCGAATTTGGACCAGATGGAAATGTCAAGCCCCGTGGATACTTCGTTATCTCTGAGCCCCCACCAAACGTTACTGGTGCTCTTCACTGCGGTCACGCCCTTGCCACATCTCTCCAGGATACTTTGATTCGCTGGAACAGAATGAGAGGATACACTACACTATTCCTGCCTGGATGCGATCACGCCGGTATCTCCACCCAAAGCGTTGTTGAAAAGATGCTCTGGCGCAAGCAACAGAAGACCCGTCACGATCTGGGCCGTGAGAAGTTCGTTGAGACTGTCTGGGAGTGGAAGGAGGAGTACCACAAGAAGATCAACAACGTTCTCAAGAGAATGGGTGGTTCGTTCGACTGGACTCGTGAAGCCTTCACCATGGACGCCAACTTGTCGGCTGCTGTCACTGAGACTTTTGTCAGAATGCACGAGGAGGGCTACATCTACAGAAGGTACGTTTCCTCTTTTCCTCTTTTCCTCTTTCCCTCTTCTCCTATTCCATCTTTGATTTTTCCCTCTTTTTTCTTCTTTTTTTGTCTTCATGTTCTTTTCTCCCTCTCTCCCTTCTCTCCCAAGAGTCTGTATCGTCGTGCTAACCCAGGTCAAGTGGGCGCTTAGTCAACTGGTGTACGCAGCTAAACACTGCTCTTTCTAACCTCGAGGTTGACAACAAGGAGCTTACTGGTCGCACTCTGCTGGATGTTCCTGGTTACGAACGCAAGGTTGAGTTTGGTGTTATCACTCATTTCAAGTATCCTATCGAGGGTACCGACGAGATGATTGAGGTTGCCACTACTCGTCCTGAGACCATGCTTGGTGACAGTGGTATTGCCGTTCACCCTTCGGACGAACGCTATAAGCACTTGGTCGGCAAGAAGGCAAAGCATCCCTTCGTCGATCGTCTTCTCCCCATCTTCGCCGATGAATACGTCGACCCCGAGTTTGGTACTGGTGCCGTCAAGATCACTCCTGCTCACGACCCTAACGATTTCAACCTCGGTACCAAGCACAAGCTCGAGTTCATTACCGTCCTGAACGACGATGGTACTATGAACGGCAACGCCGGGAAGTTTGAGGGACAGAAGCGCTTCGATACTCGTTACTCTGTTGTTGAGGAGCTCACCAAGCTTGGTCTTTTCGTCAAAAAGGAGGACAACCCAATGAAGGTTCCTCTGTGCTCCAAGTCAAAGGACGTCATTGAGCCTTTGATGAAGCCCCAATGGTGGATGAAGATGCGTGAGCTTGCTGATGCTAGTATCGACGTTGTCAAAAATGGTGAAATCAAGATCCGTCCTGAAGGTGCTGAGCGCAACTACTATCACTGGATGCGCAACATCAACGACTGGTGCTTGTCACGTCAGCTTTGGTGGGGTCATCAAATTCCTGCTTACTTCGTCAAGCTTGAAGGTCAGGAAAACGATGAAAGCACAGACGATTTCTGGGTTGTCGGCAGAACCGAGGAGGAGGCCAAGCAGAAGGCCGAGAAGAGATTTCCTGGCAAGAAGTACGAGCTTGTCCGTGATCCTGACTGTCTCGACACCTGGTTCTCATCTGGTCTTTGGCCCTTCTCGACTCTGGGCTGGCCCAACAAGACCCCTGACTTCGAGAAGCTCTACCCTACATCTGTCTTGGAGACTGGATGGGATATTTTGTTCTTCTGGGTTGCAAGAATGATCATGTTCGGTCTCAAGCTCACTGGCAAGGTGCCCTTCACTGAGGTCTACTGCCACTCTCTCATCCGTGATTCGGAAGGAAGAAAGATGTCCAAGTCCCTTGGAAACGTCATCGATCCCGTCGACATCATGGAGGGTATCACTCTCCAGGAGCTTCACGACAAGTTGCTCCAAGGTAACCTCGACCCCAAGGAGGTCAAGAACGCCACCAAGTACCAAAAAGACTCGTTCCCTCAGGGTATCCCCGAGTGCGGTGCTGATGCTCTCCGTTTCTCCCTCATTCAATACACCACTGGTGGTGGTGACATTGCTTTCGACGTCAAGGTCATGGCAGGTTACCGCCGCTTCTGTAACAAGATCTACCAGGCCACCAAGTACGTCCTTGGTAACCTTCCCGAGGGCTTTGTCCCTCAAGCAAAGGGCGGCAAGACTGGCAAGGAGTCATTGCCCGAGCGTTGGATCCTGCACAAGTTCACCACCGCTGCCAAGGAGGTCAACGAGGCTCTTAACGCTCGTGAGTTCTCGCGTTCGACCTCGCTCGCTTACCAGTACTGGTACGAGAACCTGTGCGATGTTTACATCGAGAACAGCAAGGCCATCATCCGTGACGGTACCGAGGAGGAGAAGCGCAGTGCCGTTGATACCCTCTACACCGTCCTTGAGGGTGCCCTCTGCATGATCCACCCCTTCATGCCCTTCTTGAGTGAGGAGCTGTGGCAGCGTCTGCCCCGCCGCTCTGGAGACAAGACCAAGAGTATCGTTGTTGCCGCTTACCCCGAGTACGATGCCTCGCTTGAGGACTTTGAGAGCGAGGCCGCCTACGAGGTCATTCTTGGAGCATCCAAGGGTGTCAGATCATTGATGTCCGAGTACTTGATCAAGGAGGACGCAAAGGCCATTGTTCAGTGCTACGACGAGAAGACCTACAAGACCGCCGCCGACGAGCAGGCATCCATCAAGTCCCTGTCCGGCAAGGCTCTCACCAACCTCAGCATCATCGGCCCCAATGACGCCACCCCCACCGGCTGTGCCGTCTTCGCTGTATCCTCCTCCGTCGCCGTCTTCCTCGAGGTCGCCGGCCGTGTCGACATCGACGCTGAGATCACCCGCGCCCAGCAGAAGCTCAAGAAGGCTGCTGACGGCGCTACCAAGCAGCGCAAGATCCTCGACGCCGAGGGCTTCGCCGACAAGGTCTCGCACTCTGTCCTTGAGGCCGAGAAGACCAAGCTGCAGGACTTGATGGCTGAGCAGAAGAACTACGAGGAGAGTATTGCTCAGTTCGAGAAGCTCAAGCTCGGTAACTAGATGTTTTGTTTAGTTTTGCTTAAGTAATATGCCCAAAATGATTATAGTTGTTCAAAGTTAAGTTATTTGTGCCGTCCACAAGTGATGTGCTGAGTGAAAATACGAAGTCAATCTCTCGACTCTAATGTAGAGCAATATATGGACTATAGAAATGCATAATGGTATCGGACCAGGATTGATATCCAGAGAGAGCCCTGGGAGAAAGTGTAACAAGCATATGTTGATATGGTATGTACAAGAAAACGCCGCTATGCATATTACCCCCCCAATCAAAAAGGTGCCGGTCGTAATGTCGTGCTGTGGTATGCTACATAAAAGTGAAGAAGCACACGCTATCATTCGAGGGACGCTCAAGCGTCTAGCCAGCGCAAGCAAGATCCACTCCTAAGCCAATCTGAATCCTTTCCGAGGCTTTTGCGTGTGGAAGACCTCATCATCATCGTCATTGGTACCGCTTGTGTTTAGCAGATCAACCTCGACACGCTGGACCTTTTCGTCCTCCTCTGCGTTGAACATTTCGCCTATGTCTGCGCTGTCGGCCAGGATGAGTCTGGCCTTGTCTCTGTCGCAGTGCATGTCCTCCATGATTAAACTGACAGCCATCTCCGGTACCAAAATTGCATGTACGTAGCCTGAGACGCCGCCAGACGCACCACTAATAGCCATGAGTGGCTCTGTCCTGGAGAGAGAACGGAGTTCGTCTGAAAACTTCTGGATAATGTTTTCGGCCCTGGTATGAATCAGATGTGGATGAGCAGATGTTGATGTATGTTGGTACTTACATGATCTTCTCGCCTTTCGTCCCGTAGTAGCCAGCACGTAAGCCAGTGAAACGGCCTGACGCTGCAGCTGACCCGGCGGAACGACCTTTGCTCTGGGAGACCAACTTCGCATGCTGCTTGTAGTAAGGGCTTTCATAATGTCCATCGAGAATGGCGTGAATGTGGCCATGATGCGCGCGCAGTCGAGAATGTAGAGCGGACCAGTCGATCCTAGGATATCCTCGATCTTGCCAAACGTCGTCTGCAGTACGAGCTTTGTGTGCCTGACAGAATTTTTCTTGAAGCCGCAGGTTCATGCGTCTGTGGCATATTTCGTCTTGGAACTTGTCCCAGAATTCTTGTTCGATTTTCTCACCGCAGAGGGGACAATGAGGGCTCTTATCAGGGGTTCTGGCCGTGTTCTCAAGATCATCGAAGTCGCATATACTGCTGATAGGGGACGAAGGAGGTGGTGAGAGTTGTGATGAGTCGAGGGTTATAGGCTGAGATTGGCCAGAGATGTCGGTGCTGTCTACAGCAGCATTTACGGGATTTCGGAAGGTGGGAACGGAGGCTATCAATGTAGCTTCTGCTTGAGATGATAAAGGTTCGGGGGCTGGTAGAGCTCTGAAGCCGGCCTTCTTCTTGGGTGGTTCGGGTTCAGGCTGTACTGTAGAAGGTTGGAAGGAAGTGGCTAGTAGAGGTCAGACCAGTAGCAAGACGAAGGGGGACAGCTGTGGGCAACCTGTCTTCTCTTGCTGGCGTGCAACCTTGTTCCTGGCTGTAAACTTCTTGCCAAATGTCTTCAAGGGTCGTTTTGACTGGGACGATTGTGATGGTTGAGAAAAGATTGGGTTGTCCAGCTCGTCTCCTGACTCGGCCTCTCTTTTTGCCGGAACGACAGGCTTGTTCGTATTTCGATTGGTTCCCGGTACACGCAGACGGGTCGGTTTCTTGGTAGGCAGCTCACCGAGACCTGACTTGTCGTTGTCGCTGTCACTGTCATCGCTCGAGTCCGGTGCGCGCTTATTATCCTCGTCCGGTTCATGGTCCCTCGCCGTAGCATGCTGCTTCCCGCCCACAGTCCGTAACAACGGCGGTGCATTCTTATTAAGACCGACCATTATCCTCCATCTGGCACATGTTTGTTCGAAGACATTCGTACTTCGTTACAGCTTCTCGGTGTACCGCGACATGACGCGTTGCGGCACGCCAAGCCACTGTGTGCCATTTCGAGCCAATCCATCAAGGTCATCGCTCACTTGGTCCTTGCCCAACTTGTCTGAGTTTAAAACATGTTCTCGTTATTGTCCTGATTCTATGCCTGCTTGATCCTCTATCATGTCCTCCCTCTAGCCTCTGCCAATCATCAAATGGGTATCGTAAAAATGCTGCAAAAATTCATCAAAGCCTCGATCCTACCAGGATGAGCATCAGTACTCTCCTTCTCCATCTCCTTCCATTTCCTCGTTGATCGTATGCTGATTGTTTTGGTTTCTGTGACCAAGACCATCCACCAAGTTGTCTGTTGCATCAAGCATCCTGACAGCGCCTTCCAGCCACTCTGCTCTTCGGCAGCTGGCACCCAATGCCCATCTGTATTCCTTCAGACGGCACGAATAAAATCCTGCTTCTTCCTCGCCGGGCGCTGTCGCTCTGAGTAGGTTGCCAAATGTGTTAATCATGGCAAAGTTCGTTGCCGACGCAAAATACCAGAACGAGTCGAGGTGTTCGGGCTTGAGACGGTTGACAAAGTCCATGGCCGAAATCAATCTCGTCTTTGCTGCTGATCGACAGATGTACAAGACATAAGGATCCGTCGACGAGGGCTGCAGCGACTGCACAATGCGTCTGTGAATCGAAATCTCGGTTGCGAAGTATGCAAGATGCAGGTATCCTGTTTCATGTATGAGCACGTGTCACCACATTTCACAATTTCCTTGTCGCTTACCATTTGAGGACAGCTTTCCCGGCGTGTACGCATCCATTCTTGCAACCGCAGGCAACTTGGCGAACCACTCCTTGAGCTTGAGTTGAACTGGCTTTGCACGCTCCAAAATCAATCGTGTAGCATTGCGACCACCCCTTTCAAACTCTGCGTTGGCCCTTTGAGTGTAAAAGACATCAATAACCTCGGCCATGATACTCGTCAACTCGATCATCTGGATGAAGATAACTCTGCTCTTCTCTTCTTCCTCGCTCTCCTCATCTGCGACCACCTGTTGGTCGGCATTCTCAAATTCCTCGTTGAAGTCGTCCAGGGTAAGAGTAGAAACTGCCCAATCTGCAGCTTGAATGTGAGACGGCCGCCCATGCACCAGAGCGGTCCACTTGTCCTGCATGTATAACGCCCATGCCAATCTTTTGCGCAATCGGCGTTCCCAGATCGGAATGTCCCAGTTTGTGCAGTCAATGTGCAGACCGAGGTCTTGTGCCAGGGCGACTAGTTGTACAGTAAGGCCCCAGTCGGTCGATTGTCGTCTTTGCAACAGTAACAGACCAGCTTGGAGGGCAGATAACTTGGGGTGTTGCATTGCCATGCTGAGCGATCGTGCTGCGAGTTCCTCAAGGCGGTACACTGAAGGTTTGGGATGCTGAGAGAGCACGGGGTCTCGGTGCCACCAACGAAGGGCCAGAAGGTACATTCCAGCTAGTAAACCAGAATGGAATTGACGGTCTCCACATCGATGTCGGTCCATAAAAGTATGTTTTTGCAGAATAGGGAAGCTGGGATGTACGTTGCGGAAGTACAGGTCGATGAGCGAAGGACCATAGGGTGCCACAGTCTGTTCGACTGCAACTAGTGTTTGCAGCTCATCTTCGTACGTTGAGAATGCAGCATCTGTATGCATACTGAAGAAGTCACTGTTCGCTACCCTTCTGATCTTGCCAAAGCCAGTGTTCGTCTCGTGACGGCTACCAAAATCTGAGAATCCAAGAAGAGAAATGTCCAAGGCCGAGGTACGTCCAATAAGTCTGCAGTGTTGTTCTCTTTGTAAGCTCAGAGTGTCTCCCAGAACCACGCCCCTTACGGGTTGAGGGGCATGCTGTGGCTTCTCCAGGCGAATCACAGGGGCAACAGGACGTTGTTGTGGAGGAGGTGATTGACCAGGACTCTTGGAGTCCTTTGGGCTATCATGGTTTAACACGAGACAAGCATCTGATATAAGCACGCGACCCATACCGTTTAGCGTTTGGTGTGTCCTTGTTGGCAGCAGAGTCGTCAACCTTTCGCTTGCGTGGCTGAGCAGCCTCAACGAATGTGCAGTCTTGCTTGTGGAATTCACACAGCACGCAAGGTAATGAGTCTTGTAGTACACACTTGCTCTTACGTCTACGGCAACCGTCACCTTGGTAAATGGTTAGTCTAGAAGCTTGGCGCGGGAGCGATATAGATATATACATACAGGGTCTTTCTCTTCGACCACGCGAGCTGGTGACTATAGGGAAATGATCATTTAGTGAATGGCACGTGGTCATGTAAGAAAGGCGACCTTACTAGACCTGGGTTGTTGTTGATTGAAAGCCATCGGGCCAGAGCGAGGGGCCAGAGGTTGTATAGCTACAGCAGCGGCCATGATGTATCACTATCGTACTTTGTTGAAGCAGCCCGGAGTCCCGAACTCGGACAATCAATTGACAGTGGGGGACTGATAGGTAATGCGCGAGAGGCCGCGGGGCACGAGTTCGATAATGGCTATTATAGTAGGCGGCTTATCGCGAGATAGGCCTATGTAGTTGAATGATTCAAGCGGGCTGAAATTTGATGGATGGTAAAGGGTCCGGGGAGATGGTATGAACAATCAATCAAGCAGCAGAATCGGACGAGCCACAGAGCATTGCGAGCAGGATAAGATGGTGGAAAGCGGCGACAGTCATTTGATATGCCAATGACCGGGTGAAAGGTTGAGACAATTGCTCGCTGCACCCTTTCCTACGTCTACGTTATTTTATGTAACAGATTACCAAATAGATGGGGCCTAAAGCCACTCCAGGTATAGCGTACTCGCTCTCCAGAGGCCCAGAGATAGCAGGTCGAGTGTCCAGAGATAAGCAAAATCCTGACCAATGAGGGTCGCTGCTGCTTTTTGCGCCGTTTGGATCCGACACGCTTCCCGTTCGTCGAGACTGCAAATCGTGTGTAATAACATCTCGCATCCTAAACCATCGCTCTGGCACAGCCCATAGACATCTCGAAGAATGTCGCTGTTCCCTTGGCGGTTTTATACAGCCTCAATGATATTCGGTCTCTTTGTCAAACTTCGTCAATCGTCACCCGTGCTTCTTCGCTGAGTACGAGGCCCTGCTTCAGGAATTCATGTCAGAGCCGCGCACGCAAACTCAAAAGCAAACACACTGGACAATGCTGTCACTGTCACATGTCAACGGTCAGGGTCCAATCAAGCCTGTCGGTTTGGGTCAAAGAGCATGCGACAAGGGCAGCTAGCATCGAAGACGCACCTCCTGAACCTCATCATACTTGAGGGCACAATAGTAGAGACCACTGACTTTTCGCATCAGTGTAAACACTGGCATGGCTAAGACAACGTCCAGGTATATGGACCGGTCAACTCATCTCATCTCGTCTCGTGGAAGCCTAATTCCGACACTAACTCCATACAGTAGACCCAGTCTCGACCTCTTGATGAATGGCTTTTAAATTCTTTCTCCTGTTCCCGACCTGCTGGGCAAAGTCAACCTTCGGTGCTTCGATGTAGCACATATCTATGAGCATGTTCTTCTTCGCATGCGATGTGATAATGTGCATTGAAGTATTCTTAGAGAACCTTTGAGGTGCTCTCAGAATGCCGTGTCTGATAGTCTTCAGCAGCTGTATTCAGCAACGCGCGATCATATGGGATGCTTAGAAGAGTCTAGTAACCAATGCGATTGAGATGAATTCAATGAAGGGCAGTCTTGAAAAAGACAACGCTTGATCTTTTCATGTTCGTCAAAATAAGTCATGAATTTTGCAAGCCAAGTACTTCGTACCCAAGGATTCTAGAGCTCATCTCTTTTCCTCATCTGATGTTTGGTTGCTTCGACGTCCTCTTCCCACATTTTCTTCTTGGGATTGCGAGGAATATCGCCTCTCTCTTTTAGAATTGTTCCATCGCCTCTTCTCTGAGGTTGTTCTGGCTGTTGTGGCTCCTCTTTCTGAGGCACTGTCTGCTCACGACTGGCTTCTGCCATCTGGCCAATTTTTTGTGACATGCTGCCATCGGGACTTGGATCCTTGGGCCGGCCATCAGAGCCAGCTTTTGCACCACCGCCTCCAACTGGAACGACGTTTGCTGGGCGTTGATCCATTGGACCTCTGCGGAACCTAGGTCGGTCACCTGAGGCGCTGGGTTGAACACGTATGGTTGGTTGTGTGGCAACACTTGACGATACGGAAGAGACTGCGGCAGTAGCTGAAGACCCACCGGTGATGCCGAAAACGGCGAGAAGAAGATAGAATGGCTTGAGCAAGAAGAACTTGAAAGGCAGCCACAAAAACCACCAAGCGGGACCGTAGATTAGTCTTCTGAAGACCAGCCAACAAATGGTAGTGACGAGGATATAAAAGGCAGTTTCAAGATACCAAGTGTCACTTTTTTGACTTCTCACGAGGGTTCCAAGGAGGGTTTTACTGTTGTTGAGAAGAGAATCAAGATCGGTGTAACGCTCACCTAGATCAGCGAGGGCTGCTGTGGACTGGTCAAGAGTCTCTTGTGCAAAACGCGAACGGGAAAGTTCAGACGTAAGCAGATTATGTGTACGGCGAAGAGCGGAAGTCACGTCGGTCGAAGCGTTGATGAGTAGCTCGTCCTGGGTGAGTTGTTTGGGTTGAGGGCGGCGAGAAGCGAAAGGATCAGGAGTGGACGAGGTTGAGTCAGGCTCGAGAGGTTGTTGTAAAGTAGCGAAGAGGATTTCACGTTCCTTTTGCTTAGCGGCTTCTGATGCACGTTTTGACGATAGCTGGGCGGCGCGGAATTGGCTTCGAGCGCTTGGCAGGGCATCAGTACAGTGTCAATAGAAGGTGAATGGAAAGGTAAACGTACTGCTTGAGGTCTTCGTCTAGACGGGCTAGTTGAGCAGCAATACGAGCTCTTTCTCTGTCTTTGAGACTGTCGCGGCGACGCTGAGAATAAGTGCCAAATTCTACGACCTCTTCTATCTCCTGACGGAGCGTGTCAAGTGTGTCGTCGTGCTGTTTGAGAGCGTCACGGATGTCGTGAGCAAGCTCGATACGGACGTCACCGTCTCCTTGTAGCGGGGTGGATCCTGGTTGGAAGGAGAGTTTGGAGAGGCGGCCGATGAGCTGAAAAGTGATTTTGATGTTGTCGGACAGTTGCGACAAGGTGTCGAGGACGGTCTGGTTTGTCATGGCTCGACGCTCAAGTGGAGGATGAGCTATGAGCGGCAGCCAAACATGCCACGACCCCACGCAGGCTGCCTGCTTGCTTGCTTGCACGGGTCTTGCCGCCATCTGCGACCTGCCTCTCATACCGTTCCGGCTTTTTTGTTGCGACGAGGTCAATCATCGCCCAGGCCCGCGCAAACACCTATACTGTCGCATTGCTCATATCACCAAAATGATTACTCGCTTTCTGACATCCGTTTCGACCGCTTTCTCTCCATTCAACCCCAAGTCTGGCAAGACGGCTCGCAACTTCCTCGCCCTTCTTCCGCCCAATGCCCGCTCCACCATGAAGATCGATATCAAGCAACTGTCCAAAGCCGATGCCAACAAGCCTGCCCTCTTGGCTCTTAAATTCAGTACTGCCCTCTCACACCCCTTGCTGACATGTTCGACGCTTACACGAATCCACAGAGGATGGCAAAGAGATGAACCTCGACTTGGACACATTGAAGATTAAGGATATCATGACAGAGGTTGACAGACACTCGCGCATGCTCGGCAGAAAGGAAGAGCTGGCCGGTTGATCTACTTCATCTTGTTCATTTTCATCTTCACTTTGCATTGGGAGGAGCGAGGCGTTACGGTTATCTCAGCTACATGCTGTTGTTCGACAATTTCACTCGACATTGCGCCTTTGACAACGTCCAATCATATGTATATTACGCCATCTGACTTTCAAAGATGATTCAAGAGAAACAAAACATGTGCAATTCCTTTTTCGTTGCTTGTAGATTTGTATATCTAAACCATTTTGTGGCCTTGAATCATTTAAACGGCAGCACCGGAAATGAAGAACCACTTGTCAATGCTGGGGTCAATAGGAGCAGGAGCCTTGTTGTCACCCTGAGGGATGTCGAGCTTGCTGGGGTCGGTGCGGTCGTTGGAGTGCGAGACAGTAGTGTTGGTGAGGTTGATGTCACCCTTGTTGGTCTTGCCAGTGATGAGCTTCTCCCAGGCCTCGGCGCACTCTCTGACGACGTCCATGGCGTACTTCTTGTTCTTGCACTCGCCGCTGAAGGCGAACTGGTTCTCGGGCTTGCCATCGGGGATCTTGTAGATGCGGAACCACTCGTTGGTGGCACGGAGAAGACCAGGCAGGTGTCTCTCGACATCCTCGATGTCGTTGAGCTTGGGGGCGAGAGGGTCGTTGACGTCAATGACGATGATCTTCCAGTCAGTCTCGCCCTCGTCGAGCAGGGCCATGACACCGAGGACCTTGACCTGCTTGATCTCACCAGGCTTGGCGACGAGCTCACCAATCTCGCAGACGTCGAGCGGGTCGTTGTCACCCTGAGCCTTGGTCTCGGGGTGGGTGACGTTGGGGTCCTCCCAGGTCTGGAGAAAGCGTCAGCAGAGCTCCAATGGGTCGATTGGATGCATTCTGGAACATACCTGGGGGAAGGCACCGTAGTTCCAGAGGTAACCCTTGTGGGGGAAGCAGTTGCGGACGAAGCGCAGCTTGCCCTTCTTGGTGTCCTGCTTGATGGGGTTGAGGGTCTCCTCCTTGGAGATCTAATGGCTTGTCAGCATGCTTGTGCAAGGCATTGGGAGGAGGGGTTGCGACGTACCTCCTGCTTGGCGTTGGTCCAGCGAGGAATCTCAACGACCATGTTCAGGATGGTCTGCTGCTCGTTGGCATAGAGGGGAATGTCGTGGAAGGGGGAGCAGGGCTGGCCATCCTTCTCGATGAAGATGCGGTGCTCAAGGGTGTGAGGAGCGCCGACAGAGCGGACGGAATACTTTGGGGAAGACATGTTGTGTGATGAACGTGTCGTTGCAGACAAGTGACGAGCGACCTGAGCAGTGCGAGATTTGAAAACAGCAGCGTCGGCGGCTTTGGCCGTGGTGGGGTCAGCACGGCGGCTGATGCGGTGAGCCAGCGTGGAAACTGCCAGTCGCCCAACAGAAGGCCTGGCTTGTGTCGCGTTTAAAGTGAGTGTCAATTGACGTCTGCACACTGCCTGGCTTTTGTGTGCAAACATGCAGCTGGCTGGAAATACGATTATCGGAATCGGGTATTGGGATGCTGACTGCTTGTCCAATGGCTATCTGGGTGCTCAACCTCGGTCTGATTTTGTTTCGCCCCCAAGCACTGGCCCTTCCCCACTCCTTGCTGGCCATCGAACTTCAACTCCTGTCCATGGTATAGTACTGCTAACCAATCTCTTTGTTGGAGTACGAGTGAATCAATATAACCTGTTCGGCTGCCAGAACACAGAAAAGTCATCCATGGTCTCGCCATCTCGAATCTGATTGTCCTGTATCTCATCGTATCGTTCAGCATCATCGATATCCCACTCTAAAGCATCTTCCTTCGTCAGCTCATGATCCTCTTGTGAATCTAGAGACTCCGAAGCTTCATCCATCATCTCTTCTAAGAATGGGGCAGTGTCGTCATGATATTCAGTTGCCACGGGTTGGGTCCAATGCACCTGTTCGCTCATAAAAGCTGTGCTGTTTGGAAAGCCATACTCTGTGAGATGATTAACATCTGCCCTCCAGAGTGGAGGGCCAGCGTGACTGTAGTTATCAAGCGGGCGCTGTCTGCTGATAGCAGGTGGGTTATATTGGGGCAGGTCCTCATCGTAATAGGTGAGAACCGGAGGCCGAGCTGCGAGTTCACAGCTTTGTAGCAGCTCTTCCCAAGGTTCTGAATACTGCTTAACAGGATTGACTTTGAGTTCTGGTTGTGTTGGCTCAGTACGGCAACGCTCGTTGTCGTTAGCTGTAGGTCTAGTTGGCATCGCTTTATCAGCTGAAAAGGTTCTCTTTGCGCTGTGCCGTAGTCTTTCGCTCTGATGGACGAGGGTTGTAGCAGCAGGTGCAGAGTTCTCATGCTTTTCAGAGATGGTCATCGGCTTTGTCTCAGTATCGGCTCCTTGGTCGATTTGGTGCTTGACTGGCAAGCGAGTGATTTGGCTGATCTCTTGAGCAGGTTCGTATATCAGATCCTGATTTTGGTTGTGTTGTCCAGGAATCATTCGCTCTGCAGATCGATGCTGAGCCGTGTCTTGCTCAAGGACGACGGCTTCCATCCGTTGCTGGGCTCGACCACTTTGGAGCTGGCCCACAGCTAAAGGCTCAAGATCCTGAACGAAATGTGCCATTCGTGCTGAGCTTCCTTTTACAGACTCCGACCAGCTATAGTAGCTCGTTGTCGGCGGATGTGAGCCTCTGCTTCCAAATCCCAGAAAAGGCTTTTCGAGGAGTACCGATATCACTGGAGATGCTGTCTGTACATCTCTTAAGACTCTCGATGTGTCAAGGGGTGGTGTATGTCGACGCTCGCCAGTGTTATCATCGCCAGACCGTGTTGCGTCCACATCGAAATACTTCGAGATCTCTCTTTCGGATAGTTGACGACCTTTCTTCTTCTGTGACTTCTTCTTGGGCCTTCGATCAGGCTCCTCCTTTGTTGGCGATTCAGGCTTTTGTAGGAACCTCATTTCGGAGAAGACCAGATCTGGTACTATTCATTTCAGCATTCGAGGATCAACGTAATCCTCTCGCAACTCACAGCCTTTGCCCTTAGTAGGACCTGACGAACGACCTTTGGTATACAACCCGAATCTCGTGCCAGGGTCAAGCTGCGAGTCTCAGCGATTGTCACGAACAATAGATGTAGAACAGAAAATACCGTAAGTCGATCCTTAGGAACATTCTTGGCTTTGAAAGTTTGAACCACGCCCGTCACTGCTTTGCTCTTGCGCTTGTTGCGGCGACTACGCCCCTTCTCCTTGTCTTTCTTCTTCTTCTTCGTCTTTTCTCGCTTCTGTCGTGGTTTTGATTCTGACTTAGAATGGTATTTGTCTGCTTTTGTATGATAGCGTGGCCTCTTTCGATACCTTTTACTGGATGAGGAGGATGGCTGCGAGGTTCGGCGAGAAGATGTGGATGTTGAAGTGGTGCGGCTTGTATCCGAACTTGATGAGTTGACGTAGACAATTGGCTGTTTGTCTTTTGTACCTCGCTTTTTCTGATAGGTAAATGGCTCCAGCAAGGAGCTTGTCCTGGAGCCTTGCCCACGCTTGAGAGGTGCATGAGGTTGGTCAGTGGGCAGAGGTGATTCGTTGGGCGGAACCGCTTGCTCTAAGCTCTCGATCCATTGGTTGATATTCATGTTTAGTAGAGATTCACGAACATGGTAACATGATGATTAGAAGTCGCTTGCCCGCAGACGCCAATGTTGAGAAACAACGCAACGCTCTAAAGGAAAGAGCTTCCTCGTTACTGTCGAGCAACCGCATCATCGATCCACCCAGACTTGTCCAGAACATCCTTCGAGCACTGTATCTATGCTGATCACCAGTCGCTGTTGCTAGGTGGTATCAGAGTTGCACAGAAAGGAGCCGACATGCTGCGCCTTACAAGAATGTGGACTTCTGTACAAGCTGTTCGATGCTCCGGTCTGTTGAGGAGTATCATCTGCGCCGTATTTGCAGCGCATGCAGCTTCATATGCAGTCAAATTGTTGAATACCATGATACATGGTTGATAAGAGTGCTAGAGAAGCATGGCACATGTGATATTAGCATGACCTCTGATTGTTCTCTCGACCTACCTGCCGAGGACCTAAGCAATTACAGCAGCATGGAGAGGAATCAAGACAATCATTAAATATTGCTTGATACGAAGAATTAACACACTGAAAGATGCATCAAATCACTCTTCAAGGACGGCCGCATATTTGTGGACCGACGGTTCATGCAGGTCGCTTGTGGCTAGAGAGCACTTGGCCCACTTACTGCAGTGTCGGATATTATGATGACTGCTCATTGGTGTTGGATGCGAGCAGCATTAGGAACCACAAAATAATGTTCCCACCCAGTTGCCGCTGTGTCCGCAAAGTCATGTCGTGTCATGCCATGAGCTTTCTCCAGCATGTGTTGCCATTCATGACCCCGCCATTCACAAGCCCTAGAAACACACCCGCTCGCACTATCACGAATCAACCTTTACCGGCAGTATTTAGCTTGAGTCTTGGGCTGCAGAGTCGACATTCCACGTGCTCTCGCCTGTCCTCTGTCACCTTTTTTCCATTCCTCACTTTTCTCTCCAGGTCAGTTACTTGCTGGTCAGCGTTTCTTTTCAGTAACACCTACCTCTGAAGGCCCACTGCGCGTTTGTCAATCGTAAGTTGTTTGCACTTCACAACATCAACGCTCACCCACTTGGAGCTACACTTTCAGTCCAAGTGCCCTCCCCCGCTTCCACTTCCCCCAATCCAAGCAACCTACTAGTGAGTTTCTCATCAACCGACGTGTCGCCTGCCAATAATCCTCCCGCTTCGTCATCCTCAACCAAGATCTTGCAGACTCCTCCTAAACTATTATCCTCCAGACTTCACAAAACATCAATCATCATGTCGAAGCTTTTCATTGGGTAACGATCGCTGAACATGCGCAAGTGGCTTTGTGCTAATTTGTACCACCAGCGGCCTTGCCTGGCACACTGACGATGTTGCTCTGCGCACAAAGTTCGAGGAGTTCGGCGTCGTCGAGGAAGCTGTAAGACCTATGCGCACCCGCAACTCCACTCAGAGACACCAATATTGATGCGATATGTTCAGGTTGTCGTCAAGGACCGTGACACTGGACGCAGCCGTGGCTTCGGCTTCGTGCGCTTCTCGAACGAGGAGGAGGCTGATGCCGCAATCAAGGCCATGAACGAGATCGAGTGAGTCACAAGAAACACCATCGACGGATACTCCATTGTGCGCAAACACAACATGCGCATTCGCTTCGGCCTCCCACTTCTCGCATTGGACATGAGGTACTAAACTCTGCAGATTCGACGGTCGTACCATTCGCGTGGACAAGGCTTCTGAGCGCGGCAGCGGCGGCGGTGGTTTCAGCCGTGGCGGCTATGGCGGCGGTCGTGGTGGCTACGGTGGTGGTGGCGATCGTTATGGCGGTGACCGTGGTTACGGTGGTGGTTACGGCGGTGGCTACGGTATGTTCTCTCCGTCTCTTGAAACAAGTCGATCTCAACTGACATTCTCCAGGCGGTGGTCGTGGTGGCTACGATAACCAGCAGGGCGGCGGCTACGGCGGTGGTTCCAGCTGGCGCGGCGGCAACCAGGGCGGCTACGGCGGCCAGCAAGGCGGCTACCAGAACCACGGCGGCGACGGCGGTTACGGCCAGTAAGCGTGCTATCCAGGCACCAAACCACACACATCTCTACGACGGATCATCAAAACGATATGAACATGACGGCCTCAACATGGGTCATTGCGACTTGCCCAAGCTAGCGGAGCATCTCACGGCATATAGTCCAGCTCTCTGACCTCTGCCTCCAGAATTCAGTAATCTCTATAGAATGCCACTCCTCTTTGATTTCCACCTACCTGAGTCTCTCCAGATGTCCTGGCTCAGCCCTGCCAGCCAGATGTTGCGCGTTCGTGATCTCAGGCATTTGTGCCGTCAATACAAACAAACAGTCCTTTCTCGTGGAGAGAGGTCTAATGCATATGGAGATCGGTTCAACTCTGGGCTGATCGGCCAGTACCCATGTTCGAAAGCTGATCTCAGGACCCTGCCATGCCGCGAGCGATGCTTGGAAGTCATGGAATTTGAAAGATTCGAAATTCGAAAAATGCTGCAAGTCTTGGACCCTCTTTGACAGATTGTGGAGAAGCTCCCGCCGCGGGCGGACTTTAGCGTATCAAAACGCCGGACAAGAAAATCTTCCATAGACCGAAGCAAGATTTCTTGAACGACCAAAGGCGGCTCTCACAACACAGCACCATGGCGACTCCGCAACCCACTGCACCGCTCAAATTCAATGGCGCCGGCCACCTTACCACTCGCCTCGTCCTCGCGACTCTTACTGGCCGTCCGGTCCGCATCTCACAAATCCGCGCATCGTCCCATACAAACCCCGGTCTCGCACCGCACGAAGTCTCATTCCTCCGACTTTTAGATGCCATCACGAACGGCTCTGCGATCGAGTTCTCCATGACTGGTACGACCTTGGTATACAAGCCTGGTCTCATTGTGGGCAGCGCTGCAGGCTACGGCGCAAGTGGTGGCGTAGTGAAGCATGAATTGCCTAGAGACTGCACCCGGGGTGTCAGCTGGTTCCTTATACCTTTGTGCATGCTTGCCGCCTTTTCGAAAGCCCAAGTCAACGTCATTTTCACAGGTCCTGGTGTCATCACAAGTGCGACAGACAAGGGCGACGTCAGCGTGGACACAGTACGAACGGCTATCCTTCCTCTCTACAAGAACTTTGGTATTCAGAACAACATCGAGCTTCGTGTATTGAAGCGATCAAATCCTGGACCAGGCGGAAGAGGTGGTGGTGGAGAAGTGCAACTGGTTTTCGGCCACCAGGTCAGACTACCCAAGACGATACACATCATGAACCCTGGCAGAGTCAAGAGGATACGTGGTGTGGCATACGCAACCGGAGTGGCAGGCGCAAACAATGCTAGAATGATCGACACAGCTCGTGGTGTGCTCAACCAGTTTGTTGCAGACACATACATATTCTCGGACGTCTCTTCAGCACCTTTGATCCCAGCTCCGGAAAGGAACAACGCTGCGGCGAAGAAGAAGATCGGAGTTGGATTTGGTCTCAGTCTGGTCGCAGAATCAAATACAGGTGTTTTGTATTCGGCAGACGTGGCCAGCTCGGCAGCAGGTGGTGAGGCGCCAGAGGACATTGGTAAAGCTTGCGCATATCAACTGCTGGAAAGCATCTCGCAAGCAGGATGCGCATCGATTGTGGCCGCACCAACCATGCTCACACTGATGGCTATGGGAAGTGAAGATGTGGGAAGATTGGTTCTGGGCAGAGATGTGCTAGGCACTGAGGAGATTGTGCAGCTGGCACGAGATCTCCGAGTGTTTGGCATGAGCGGCTGGGGCTTGAGAGATGGCAGCAATGCAGGGGACGTGGTTGTGTCAATTGTTGGAAGGGGCGTAGGTAACGTCGGAAGGAAAATTGCATAGAGGTCCGGAACTTGACCCTGGTTTTATATACGATAATGATACCCCATGTTCTTGCGATCAACAGCATTCACAACCAAGTTGAGACTCAAGCATTTATCTAAGATGAAGCTATTTTACCGGTTATCTCCAAAGGACGAGAAAGCCGAACCGAAGGAACGTGCACTCGAACCTCAGGGTCCAGGGCATGTTCATCAGCAGCGAAAGGTGGCTTCAACCACCACAACTCGACTTTCTTGTTGCAGCTCGACTCGACTTTTCCTCGATAGCCGCCAAAGCCTCCGGGCTCGTGAATTGCTTGGATGCTGTGCTAAACTCGTCCCGACCTCCACATTCCTTTCCGTCCACCTCTAGTCTCGTCTCTACGACTCGGACCCAATTCTAGCGAATATCAACATGCCAGTCAAGTCTCGGTTTACGCGTCTGGACGCCTTTACCAAGACGGTCGAAGATGCACGGGTGCGCACGACCTCTGGCGGAATCGTCACTCTCGCCTCTCTGCTCTTGATTCTATGGCTTGTCTGGGGAGAATATGCAGACTACCGTAAAGTCGTTGTACACCCCGAGCTTATCGTCGACAAGGGAAGAGGAGAAAAGATGGAGATCCACATGAACATATCCTTCCCCAGAGTGCCGTGCGAGCTCCTCACCCTCGATGTCATGGATGTCTCGGGAGAAATCCAGACTGGTGTCATGCACGGTGTCAACAAGGTCAGACTTGCTCCTGAGTCGGAAGGAGGCCATGCCATTGAGAGCAAGGCCCTTGAGCTGTAAGATTAGCAGGCATTCCTTCATCCTTATACTTCGTACTGACCTCGATCAGTCACAGCGACGACCCCGCTGCCCACCTGGACCCCGATTACTGCGGAGAATGTTATGGTGCACCCGCCCCTTCAAATGCAAAGAAGGCTGGCTGTTGTAACACTTGTGCCGAAGTCCGCGACGCTTATGCAAGCGTCTCTTGGTCATTTGGAAGAGGAGAAAACGTCGAACAATGTACACGCGAGCACTACTCGGAGCATCTCGATGAGCAGCGCAGAGAGGGCTGCCGTATTGAAGGTGGTATCCGTGTTAACAAGGTTGTTGGCAACTTCCACTTCGCCCCTGGCAAGTCCTTCAGCAATGGCAACATGCATGTCCACGACCTTGAAAATTACTGGGCTGGCGGCAACGGCATTGAACACACCTTCACCCATAAGATTCACCATCTTCGCTTCGGTCCTCAGCTGTCTGATGATGTTGTTGCCAAGATTGGCAAGAAGGGCATGGCCTGGACCAACCACCATGTGAACCCATTGGACGAGACCGAGCACAAGACTGATGAAAAGGCTTTCAACTTCATGTACTTTGTCAAGGTGGTTTCAACTGCATACTTGCCTTTGGGATGGGAGAGAAAGAACTCCATCCTTGACCTGCCCCATGAGCTTGTCGAACTGGGAAGCTATGGTCATGGAGAAGCTGGCAGCATTGAGACTCACCAGTACAGCGTAACGAGCCACAAGCGAAGCCTGGCAGGAGGTGACGACCGCCAGGAAGGCCACAAGGAGAGATTGCACGCTAGAGGCGGTATTCCTGGTGTCTTCTTCTCATATGTAAGTAGATGACCACCATGTTCATTCGCTCTTCCATCAACTGACTTGATTTGCAGGACATTTCACCGATGAAGGTCATAAACCGCGAAGCTCGGAGCAAGAGCTTCTCTGGTTTCCTCGTTGGCGTTTGCGCTGTCATTGGTGGTACGCTCACAGTGGCGGCTGCCGTTGACAGAGCACTGTACGAAGGTACACAGCGTGTCAAAAAGCTGCACACAGGATAGGCTCTGTAGTTGGCAGGTTTCACATTGATCAATACTCTAAATCTAAAGCAAATTCGGCAACGTCAATCATAACACGTGAGATATCATGTCTGTTCAAGACGCAACTAAGCATAGTTACGAGCGCCTTCTAGGACCCAGACTTCTCCGTTGGCGACCTTGTTGGGGATACTTGAAACCTCGATGTTGCCAGGCTGGATCTGGTGTATTCGTTAGTTTGTAAGTGACGGAAGGCGAGGTGAGGCTTGCCAGTTTCTTGCCGTCCTTCTCCTCCCACCAGACGGTATCTCCTCCTAGCGTTTGCACCTTCTGGCCCTCAGCCCAGGGCGACTCTGGTACCACATGGGCCTCGACGAAACGTCTCAGGTTCCTGTGCGCTCTGTCCTCGCCACTCTGACCGTCGTATGCATTCTGGCCCAAGGCAGCATAATCTTGTGGATCCTCCCATGGCTTTCTGGGGAGTTTCGTGATGGCCGAGTTGAGCGGCGCGAGCAAAGTGGTGTTGTGTGAGCCAGCCTCGAGGCGTCTCGACACGGATTCGATATCACGAGTGAAGCCAGCAAAGATGTTGATGTTGCGTTCTCTGCCCAGAACATCGGAGATGGTTACTGCGCCGCTGCCTGCCATGACGTCGTGGGTTGTTCCTGGGAGGATAATCTTTGCCTGTGTGTCGGGCGCGTTAGGAGAGAACAACCTGGCAGAAGTCGCGGTGATCAAGCAAGCGGCAACGAGAGAGGTGGTGAAGGTTGTGCGGGCTCTCATGATTGTAGGATAAGTTGGTAGAGATGGTGACGGAAATCAAGGTGGTTCGTGTCTGGCTGCACTCCACACGTCGGTACGTTTCTTGGCATCTCGTGCGCCAGCAGGCGCGTGACTATACCATCTTTCCTTCCCTCCAACACGATCAGTCTTCTACGCCAACGGCATGAGCCCGGCGTCATGTCGACTCAATCACTACGCATACCAACGGTGACAGAGGTGAGCAGTGACCAATCCAAATCAAATCGCGGCCTAGACTGATGTCTACAGGATGACTTGCGACTCTTCCACGACAAGCATTTTTCTGGTTTGAGCTCTGAACCCTCCAACAGGCACCACGATGCTCATGTAGATCTCGAACAAGACTTTGACGATGATGGTCTTGGCTACTACTCCGACGGTGTCAAGCGTACACTCACCGATGATCAAATTGCCATGTTCAGACACAGTGAGATCCAAACTCTTCTACGAGAGCGCAGGCGGAAACGCGAAATTGCCGAAAGCGAATCGAGCCAAAACGTGCCCAGCAAACTCACTCAGCCGGTAGGTGACATGAGTACACCAGACACAGCCGAAGACTCTGTAAGCCAGCGCTCTGCAAGCACCTCAGAATCCCAAGGCCTGGGTAAGCGAAAATGGCAAAGGTTCATCGATACGTCAGAGACGAACCCAGAGTACTTGACTCACCGCAGAATTGCCCGCGAGTTGGATGAGCAAAAGGCAAGTTCTATCGACCTGGCATATGGCGATGAAGAATCTACATCTTCAGTTGTCGAGAAGCAACCAAAAGACCCTTCAAGTTCACAGACTCGTCGAAAGGAAGTCTCGTATGATGAGGCAAATAAATCTACACCAGCACAACCGCCCTCAAAACCTTCTCAAAAACCAAAGTTCATCTGGCCAACACTGGGAGCTAAGGATGATTCGAAAAATGGACCCACTGCATAGAGCACAATTGCAGAATGAGTGAAAAAGCGTGTAAGTAACACCAGCCCCCGTCCATCATATCCCTGCCGTGATGAGACATCATCCTTAGACCGATGGCTGCGTGGGACAAGCCATGGTCGACGCTGTGTTTAGTTCTTAAGGCCAGAACCAGTGTTCTGACCACCACGAAGTCGCTGGGGACTTTAATCTTCTCTCTGATTGTTTTGTTGTCTTTGTCTGAATTCACTCAACTCTCTGTTCATACAAGATACTGACGAGATCTCAGCAGATCAATAACCTTGATTCGATACAGCACGAAGGGCTTCCTGAGGTAGATATCATTGAGAAGACGTGGGATAATGTCACGTATAAACTTGCTTCTGTAACGCTTACTTGAAAAACATTTCTGAATCACACTGGCTTCGAGGATGTTATTGTCTCAGATGCGCTTGCTACTCCACATGCACCTGAGTGAACAAGTTCAATAAAGATTTACAGAAACCTTTGTCGACGACAACACTGCAACATCATTCAAACATCCAGTCAGGGACTATAAATAGTCGAAAGAGAGCTGCCTGTCTGGTTGTTGGGACTTCTAGAGAATGTAGTCAAGATGGGTACTTATTAGTCGGGTAGAACAGGGTGATAGTCACAACAGGAGCTTTATGGCTGAAATATATCAACTATCCTGTTCATTTTGTAAAGGCACACAATGCATAAACATGAAATGCTACGCAGAATGCAAGATAGGAAACACGCGAGATAGAAAGGGTCAGATATGCAAGATCTTGATGGACCAAGCCAACTTTTATCTGATCTCAAAAGGGTATCTAGCACGCAACTGTGCGGCTTCCGCGAACATATGTCAACGCATCCATATCCTCTGTTCCACCACGTCCACCACCGCATGGTCATTTTGCACCATTCGGTATTACGGCCATATGTGGCGTGTGGGCCGGTCTTGTCCATTGCGTGCGCGTTTGAGGCATATTGGGCGCAATCAAGACGAAGAGCATCGACTGAATGCAGGAGCGCAGGCATATTCGAGTTGAAGACCAATGAACCCGGGAAGCTCTCTTTTTGGTGTTTCAGCAAAACGACTATGCATCTAGTAGAAGGACTCGACCATGGTGTCCTTGTTGGTGGTGTTGATGGCCGAAGGACCCATACCCTCGCCAAGCTTGAAGATGGACTCGACAACGCTGAGCTCAGTGGCAGTGGTATCCAAACCGGTGACGGCCATCCAGTCGTTGACGACCATACCAGCACCGACGACGGGCGAACCTCTGTTGACGGAACCGGCGACAAGAGGGACCTGCAGCAGCGAACTCAACTCGTCCTGATCCTGGATGCTGGTCTTGGGGTGAACAATACCACCAGCATTGCTCAAGCTCATGTAAGAGCCAACAAGCACGTTGTCAGCAATTGTCTGTCTGAAAACCTCGACACCCAGAACGTCGGCAATGATCTCCTCGGTCTCGCGCTCCAAATCAGGGTGAACGAGGGCGACGTGGTCGTTGCAGCAAATGACATTGCCGAGGGCAGAGAGACGCTCTTCGATACGTTGAATCTTGACGTCGTCGGGTATGCTGTTGCGCAAATGTTGCAACTCTTGGTCCGATGTGCTGGTAGGAACGAGCAGACCTCTGCGGTTACCGGCTGTGAGACGACCAATGATGCGAGTGCCGGCGATAGTGGTGTGGCAGATTGGGATGACGTCCTGAAGTTCGGCCTCGAAGACACTGCATTATTTGTCAGTCTCGATGGTTGCGCGCCGTCAAATTCGCCCATTATTACCTGTAGAAGTTCTCAGAAGCGCCGACGGCAACGAGGGCGTAAGAGTTTGTGAGGGTAGAGAAGACACCAACCCTGAGCGATCAATTAGTATTCTCGCGGGTCGAGTCTTTTCGTTTCGCTGCTCACTCGTTGGAGTTTTCGAATTGGGCGCGGACAGCCATGATGTGGTACTGGTTACTGCTGTTTAGGGTGAAGAGTGCGGTGGCGCGGGCGAGAGTGGTTGGTATACGAGAAGGAAGGCGAAGTCAAGAGTGGGTGTAGTTTCTTGCAATTCTCACATGTTCTTTGCCCGCATTTTTGTACGAGGACGTCAGGGAAAGCTCCAACGCCCGCGCTTTCCTCTTTTCGGACACGCCATTGACTCAGTCTGCTTCGGCCAATCACCATCCAACGTCTCCTCTATCATCTTGACTCACCTTTTACCATCTACACTGCAATTGGACACCTGAGGGTCAACAAGAGTTAGGCGGCTGCTGGTCCGCTGGTGAGTACTAATTTCATTGGTTCATCACAGTCACTCGCTGCCTTCTGACAACCAATCGCACGCGAGCTTGTAGTGTCGAGACTTCTGTAGTCTGTAACATGAGCGAAACAAAATGAGATTACTTTTCTTGCTTGTAGTCAAGATCACTATGTTTGTCAAGCCAAGTAGGCGCACTATCGCTTATCCATCATTTCCATCAATCATCGAGGTCCTTGATAATGCTGAAACTCTCGGTGCCCAAGACTCTGGTTCCGCCTCCTCCTTCCATCATGCTGCTGGTATTGTGCAAATGCTGGCCCGGCATTGTTCGTTACCGGTTGTCCATTGGGTCCATATCGGGGATCATGATTAGCCGGGAGTATAGGCTGTCCTCCGTACTGTGGTCCATACGCTGGTGGCGTTGGTGGAGGTCGAGATGTTATAGGTGGGTACCCGCCTTGTTGCTGAGATGGAGGTGGAAGATTGTGAGGCCCACCATAGAACGGAGGCGGTCCTTGACCTTGCTGCATTGGTCCTCCAGGCACTCCTGAAAATCCTCCTGGCGGTGCGTATGGTGTGATTGGAGGGTATGGGCCTCGTTGTTCATAGGCATATGGCGGCGGCGGTGCTGGAGCCGCTCCATATATAGGTGCCGGACCATACGGTCCTGATTGCGATGGAGCGTTAGAAAAGCCTGGCAGTGATGGTGGAGGAGCTGGTGCATAGCTTGTGTGTCGAGACTCCGATGTACTGTAAGGGCCGGTTCCACCAAGACCACTCGATGGTCTCGGGTGGATGCCAGGTAGACTGGGTTGAGAGGGCGCTGTGCTGGTTGTACTCGCCCTTCGGTCCAGTGGGTTGTAGTTCCGACTCCGAGGCCAAGGTCCGTATAGAGACTTCTTAGGTGCAGGCATCTTGCGTGGCTGAGGATCGTCGAGATCACCAGGTCTGTCAAGCAGTGGACCGAAAGAATCTGACGTGTTCCTTAGTGTCTGTTGTAAAGGTTCCAGAGTAGTCGAAGACCCTGTCAACGACGGCCGAGATTCTCTTTCTTCCGTCTTCGCGTTATCCGCACCGTTGCTAGATTGCTCTGTTGTTGGAATCTGCTGTACCCCTGCTTTGGGAGCAAATTCAGCTTTGCCTTGTGAGTTGGTCTTGATGCTGTTCACGGCGAGGCTTGACCAAAAATCGGTAGCAACGGGTTTCGATGGTGTGGGTAGTGACGAAGACGTGGTTACTGGTTGCGGTATTGACTCCGCGTGCGATTGTGATGCCACAACTTGGCCTATGGGTGGAAGCTGCGGAAGTCCTGATTGAGGCCTTTGCTCTTGTTGCTCATGCTGTGTGCTTCGTGGGAAGAGAGGAGCAGTTTGTGTTGTCGACGGCTCAAGCACAGCTTGACTGAAACTGATAGGTGTACTTGTTGGCAGGCGTGTCTCAGGAACAGGTTCTTCCAGAGTCTTCGCCGGTGTATTGGTCGAAGGAGCTGCTGTAGCAACACTTCCAGCACGAGACATGCTGGGTCTGGGCACGCTTAGATTATCCTGTCGTGAGGGTACGTCTGACGGGACATCTTTCTGAGGTATCGATGTGTTCTCAAACTGTGCAGGTGTTGCAGTGTTGGTAGTAGCTGATGCTTCAGCCAGCATTAGCAGACCGAGTGCCTCGTTGTTTGGTATGACTGGAATTGCTGGTGGGGCCTCAACAATCGGTACAGGAGGTGGCCTTGCAACCTCTTCTGCAGCTTCTCCCAGAGCAGCAAGAAGTTCTCTCATCTTTCGCTGAGCATCCGCTGCTTCTCGAACAACAGGATCAAAGGTGGTAAATGGTCGAGGGTCTTCAAGAGCAGATTTCTCGTCGTGCTGGACATGTTCACGAGCAAACAAATGCCGTTCATACATCTCGTTGAACAATCTCTCGGTCTCCAAGGCAGGTCGACTTCGCCAGTGGTATTCAGGGCCCAGAATACCTCGGAGGGCACCTTTAGCTGTGACTCGTCGGAGTGAGGGAATGACATCGTCACCCTGCGACGAAGAGTCAGCATATTCCGGCAAGTTCAAGCCTTTGTGTACGAACCTCGTCATCACTATAGTCATCATCTTCGGCCTGCTGCTGTTGACGCAAAGTGTTGAGAAAGTCGTGCTGCAAGCGCACAAGCATATCGTCTCTGATGTTCAGGGCAACGTGCTACACAACTGGTCAGTATGTGACATTGCAAGAAACCTCATAGCGATGGTGCTTACCTCAAAGTTTCTCCTCCGCATCGCCGTCTGTTCTGCTAGTATGTCGTCCAATCTCTGTTTATTGAGATCTTTCTGTTTCTGAATCCAAGCAAGACGACCTTCAAAATTTTCATCAAGGCCGTTCTTGACGATCGGATATTCTGAAAAGGTTGTGTGCTCTTCAGGACTTTTGTGGATGCTGCCGAGACTTCGCTTCGCGAGCTCAGCAAGGATGGGCTTCAAATTCTTCGCCACTGCCCGGTATGCCATACGTAAATGCAACTGCCTGCGTAGGGCAGCCTCAACCTTTGGGTTGGCATGAGGAGCTCTGCGTCTTCCTGGTAGACGTTTGACCGGCTTATCGCCATCTTGACTTGCTGCCAGTGCGCCTCCGACAAGAACTGAGGCCGATTGCTTAGTTGGCGATTCTTGATCCGCATTCGAGTCTTGATTTGAGCCGGTTGGGGAGGCTGCAGCAGACACGACGGGCGTAGGATCGAGCGTTGCTATGCCAATTTGTTTAGGCAAGGCCAGTTCATCCCGTGAATTGTCTAAGTCTTCATCGTAGCCGCGCTCTGCGTCGTCTCCATCCAATCCTGCTTCTAGCTTCTCTTCCTGGGAGTTTGTAGATTCTTGCAGAGCAGCGTTGTCTGGATGAGTATCGCCTGGCTGCTCTGTAATGTCGTCTGGTACAGATACTTGCTCTGGCTGTTGATCTGGAAGATCCTGTGCTCCATTTCCAGAAGCTTCAACGTCATGCATACTGTCATCTTCGTCGAAGCTGCCCGCTGCACCGTTTGCAATACCGTCGATACTATTGTCTAACGCTTCTTTGTGATGCTCGTTCGCAGAAAGTTGCGAATCATCAAAACTTTCTACCGTGTCCTTTGGATCATCTTCTGCAGCATCTGCATCACTGTCTACGGAGTCCTCGTCGTCTTCCTCGGCAGTATCCTGGTCCTGGGATGAATATGACGACCTTTTGGCCTTCCTCGGCGGCTGCTTTTTCGTGGCCGGAGAATGTAGAGCTCGCTCGAACTCATCCATGCTTTTGATAGGCTGAGCTACCGAGATGTTCTCAGCTGTGACATCTGATGTTCGTTTCCTCTTCCTGCGAGGCACAGGCGACGATTCGGCAATTGAATGGAGATTGCCACCAGACATACTCCTTGTAGAGGGCCTGGAGGACGATGATTGAGAGGTATAGACAGCTCCGGTTGGCGTTGACTTGGATACCATTGAGACTCTTCTTCGCTTGGGATATCTGTCGCCTTCATTTTCCATAGCGGCCATCGGACTGATTTGTCCGTTAGAGTAGAGAGAACCCCGGCGACTTGATCCCCCGTTAGAAGAAGCAGCCTTAGATGCGGCACGTGTAGTCATATGTAAGGGTTCTGTTGGCTGCAGGCGCGATGGCTTCTGCGGCGTGGCAGCTCGTTTTCGCCTGAGCTCCATTATGGCCGCAGGCTACCACCATATTGGATTACTGAGATGATCGATAGAGGAGATTGAAAGACTTACGAATAAAAAGATATGGAAGCTCCGGTCCGCGTGTACTGGATTGGTGCGACGCAGAAGCCTTTTGCTAGATACGTGTCAGCACTTAATTGATGCTAAGGAAATTAGGCCACGTCGAAAAGTTTGACATAGTGTAGGAGTAAGAAATGCAGAGGAGCGATCTGAACTTGACGACTGATAAAGTCATGTGCTGTTGGAAGAAATCACAGCCTGCCGGTTGCAAAGCAACAACAAGGAGACCGAGGAACATGAACAACGTGATTTAGACAAAATGTCAATGAAGATGACACGCCGAACCAATCCGTAGACAGCAGCATAGTCGACAGGATACAGCGACAATAAGGTATCGGAAGATTTACTCACTTTGAATGGTCAAATTGGTCGAGATGATGTTGCTTTTGTGCAAAACTTGATCGGCCCCAAAAGAGACAATTTGCAAGAACGAATAGATAGGTGAAGAGAATACAAAACGAACATATATGAGTAGGAACACAAGATGGATCAAGGAGCAAAGCCAGTCGACTTTTGCAAGGTCTTGATCATGAATAACATATCGAAGTCTTCTCTCACCTGGACACACACACACCTTGAGCCTCCAAAGCGAGTTATGCCCAGCCAATCATATATCGGCTACTTCACTAGCGCCATATCTGGAAGCCGACGGCTCCACCCGAACTCCTTGACGTGGTCAGAGACAAGCCATACCCGATTCACGTTTTGAAATGCAGCTGCTATGGAAGCAGTAGATTCATGGAACCGAGTGCATGTATAAGGGCCCTCCAGATGATTGTGTTGAGAACCATGAAGCCGTCCGCATCCAACGCGGCAAAACTCGTAAAGACCAGACACGGTTTCGCGTGCTTTGACTATTCGTGGAGATAAATGCAACAGCGGCTCTTTGCATATTCTACTCTTCGAGACGCCATTCTCACGACAAAAATGAAAAAGACTTCCATCCAGACAAGATTTCAGCCATACCGCATATTCAAGCGTCAGGCACGTCCAATGTGACACGAAATAGAATCTGCGATTAACGAAAACAATTCCCCGCGCTATGTACCGAGTCCGTTTGGACATGGCAAATTAGAAAAAAAAAGAAAGCCAAAGTATCATGACCATCGTAGGACCGCCTTGACTGCAATCCAGCTCCTCTTGCTTCCTCCGAACGACGATTTTATTGCTCCTCGGGATCTTCAGGCTGGTCGAAGAGGAAGTTGGCAGCAAGCTCCTCGTTCTTGTCGCATGCGAAGTAAGCTTGAATGACAAGATCTCTCTCGAAACCGAGACGGCAAAGCTACCGAGCTGTTAGCAGATATAAATCGATAATGTTTTTAATCAACTCACTCTCTCGATGGCTTCTCTCTCCTCCTCTGTAACGCTAATGGCTTGAGCACCAGCGGGCAGAGCAGCGTCGTCATCAACATCCTCGGCAAGAAGAGACATGAAGGCGTCGGGATTTTGGCCGATAAGCTGTGCAATCTGAGGGTTACCAGCGGCGACTTGCTGGAGGATTGGCTCGAGCATCTGGGGCTGGGCCTGAACAAGCTGGCGAAGCTGCTGGAACTGGGGGTTGTTTCTGAGGAACTCCAGAGGGTCACCACCTGCACCCAATCCAGCCTCACCGCCTTGAGCGGGTTGAGCTGCACGAGTGCTTCCGCGGTTACCACCCTGGGCAGCCTGAGCAGCAGCCTCAAAGAGGTTAAGGCCCTCATCTTCGCCACCAGTAGGCTGTGCTGCAGGAGCTGCGGCGGGAGTCTGACTCTGTCTAGGTGCGGCCTGGTTCTGCTGTTGCTGCTCTTGCTCGCGTTGAGCGCTCTCGGGGATGCCGTTCAGAAGGTACTCGACAGCGCGGTCGGGGTTGAAGAAAGCAGCGCGCATGGCACGGTCGATGTCGGCGCGAGGGAAGCCCATGGCCTCCATGTTAGAGATGGCTGCAGCGCGCTCGTCGCCAAGGGTGAGTGCCGAGGGATCATTGAAGCGACTGCTCTCGTTTGCAGCAGGCGAAGGAGTAGCGGGCACGGGGGCGGAAGCAGAGGTTGAAGAGGACGTTGGTGCTTGGGGAGGAGCAGGAGTCGAGGCAGGGACAGCGGGGGCGGGAGTTGCGGGTGCTGAGGGTTTTGAAGGAGCAGCCTTGGGCTTTGGTGAGTGTTAGTCGGCTGTCTTGGATCAATGGGCAGTGAGGAGAAAATACCTTGGAGGTCATGCAGACAATGAAACCCTTCTCCTCGATCTTGTACGACTCAACGGTCTTGTCGTCCTGCAGAATCTTACCCGAGTAGATGAGCTTTTGTGTCGACGGCTCCCAACCCTTCTCGGATGCAATCTTTGACTTGACTTCGCCAATCTACTCAGAATTAGCGACTGGTATATGTCGTCACAAGTTATAGAGAAAGCGTACAGTCTCTGAGGGCTCAGCCTCGATGACGAACTTCTGTTGCTTGAGATCCTCTAAAGACTGTTAGCGGGGCTTTCACGAGGCGCGGAGTTGAGAGAGAGCATACTGAATGTCAACTTCATAGTGTCGGCCTTGTTGTTCTTGTTTCTGTGTGTGGTTGTCGTTATGTCTTTAGGAGCGGTTGACGGATCAAAGATTAAGAGATCAGAAAGGTGTGATAGTCGTGAGTGTTGTCGAAAGTGTGAAAGTGGCAAGCTGGACGACACGCGGGTTGAGTTGAGCTTCGAGAATGCGCGCCCGCAAACCCAGAAGCGTCATACAGATTCACCTTGGCGCTCTCTATCACTTTTCTTCGCTCTGGCTTGCTTATATCTCAGATAGGTTCCATGTTCTTCCTTTGACCGAGCTATGTCAGTTTTTCCTCCTTGACTGGTGACAATCTTGTTTGGCTTGTTCGGTTCTTGTCAGTCTCGTTGCTCGCATCAATCCTTCTTCTCATTGTCAACCCCTCATTTGCTGCCACCGACACAGCTTGAGCATGCAGTATCGTGTAACAACCATACATATGACAATAATACCAGCAGAGGCCCATCCACCTTGAAATCCTGGAAATGCAGTGAGAGCCTCTCTAGATCTGCGAGAAAGCATTCACTGGACAAGGACATTTGCTCCTAAATTTCTATGACCTCCGACCAAGATGCACTATAACCAATCACTGCAATGCGACATGATGTAGCCCAGGAATACGCCCTGATGCTGGGAGGGGACGAATGCTGACATGCAGCTATGATAGACATGCACATTCATCGTGGTATTGGGAAGATCATTCATTGGGCTCGCTACAGGAGGAGCAGCAGCAGCAGCAGCAGCAGCAGCAGCAGCAGCAGCAGCAGCAGCAGCAGCAGCAGCAGCAGCAGCAGCAGCATGGGGACAAATCCAGACTCTACATGCAAGCCGAGCCAGTCGTGTCAACTCGTCGAGGCCTCCACTCCACTGTACCGTGCGACGAGGAAGCAGAAACTCTCCGAGTCTTTGTACCACCTTCAGGCCGCTTCTCAGCAACCGCTCCCTGAGCGTCATGTTCATTGATTGTTGGTTCTGGAATGGACGGCCTTGCGGTTTCATGAAGCTTTTCAATTTAAGGGTCTCGTCTTCTGACGTTGCCGCTCGCCCAATGTGCTGGAGGAACGGAATTGTGAAGCGTCACGAAAATAGTCAGATGCCGTCGTACACGCTATGTGCTCTTTTTCTCCGTGTGTCTGCATCACCAAAGTTCTTGTGTTGCAATTTCGATTGCTTGCAAGCTGCGTTTTGACTTTCAAAGGCGGCCCCACCTGTGACCTGTCTGTCAAAGCTGACTGACTGCTTCAGAGGCTTCGTCGGCGCCAACATTCGACAACATTTCTCTAGCAGCGCCGAGCGTGTCAAGTCGAAAGGCCCCCTCCTCCTGCATACGAACACAGGCTAGAGATGATGATAGCACGGTAACTCGCAGCTGCACTTGTCTCGCGCCGTCTGCATCTTGGGGAACGGACTTAGATGGTCAATTGCTCAATGCTCGCCAGCCCGAAGAGTCCAAGTTCGCGGCCGAGCGCAGCCCCCATGCTCAACCATGGCTTTTGGTAGCGAGATGCCGCCGCCGATTGCTAACCACGGCATGGACAGCCCCCAGAACCCGGATTACACAGGCGTACAATCCGGGAAGCCCTTGTTGATGATCGCAAACAACGACCGGGCGTGTTGATGGCTTACTGCCGCCTCTATGAGATAATCCTTGAAGAGATTTAGATGAGCCTCTCCATCCTTGCCCGGAGCAACTCTCCTTACATATACTCCTTCTGTCCTCTGCCTTTCAGGCCTCGTGTACTTCTTTTTTCGTCTTGATCATCACCAGTCCCTTGGACCACTATCGATTTCATGCATGAAACCGTGCAAGGACTCGGTATGATATTCTAGCGCACATCCCCGACGACCGAGAATCCTTGGCTGCATACACCATACAACGTTCATGCTTGAGGCTCAAGGCTTGCGAACACAGTCAATCTCGTGTCATCCTGCATCTTCGTTTCTCGCTCAGCTTACAATCGCCCGTTTCACCTCTTCTTTTCTTCCTTCATCCGTCTTAACATCTCCAACTCTAAAAGCATACTGACAACGTCTGGGGACTATCAAGTCTGCAACCTTGGATCACATCAAGCATCATCAGAAGCATTCCACTTTCATGCATCTCTGAAACATCTGGATTCGCTTCGTATCTTTCACAGCTCTCCGAGAAGACTTCCCACCAGTTCACCACGATCATTACACCTCGTGCGCAAGCACATAACACTCCTTAGCTTCAATCCACAATCATTTACTGGAACCCGATTTCTCTATCATGGCATTGATACAAAGGACTCCGGCAGGCATCCTTAGCTGCCTGGCAGCTTGCTTCTCTACAACTGCTCTCGCCACTTTCATCACACTATTCGCAGCCTCCGTCCTCGTACCCACTCCCATACATGTGCACGCAACTGTGGCTGCTGTGTTGGACATTTTGGCCATCACAATTCTTTTCGTTTTCGTAGTCTTTTATACCTGCACTCCTCGCGATCTCAAGTCTCACAGATGGACTCTAGCAGTTGTGGTACTCACGCCATTTGCAATCGCAATGATCATGTCGATCTACGTTCTTGGTTGGATGTACAATAACCTACCGTTGATCGAAACACATGGCCACCCTGAAAGTCTCGCATCCATGGTCGCCGCGGCTCTCGCAATGTGGGTTCTATCACTCATCACCCTTGGCGTTTATGGTGGGCTCTATTGGAGATCAAAGTCATCGTTGCCCGACTCGGTGCTATTCACTTCAGATCCACTTCAAAGCTGCATGGACCTCGGAGAGCAAAAAACTCAAGCGCTCTCATTGAACACTTTATCCCCTTACTCAGCGAGTTTCAACCGACCAGTATCAACGTTTTCCGATGCATCCGAAGACCAATCAAACGGCATCAAGTCTACTGTCCGCAATTCTGTACAAAACTTCCTTCGACACGGCAAGGGCTCGAAGAATGCACCCAAGCACTCGAAAGAGAGTGTGCGATCAGACTCGATCTCTGAGCGCAGACCTTCGGATGGGTTTGAAACCTGGAGCGTCGTACCAACACCTACCACAGCTGAGGCAACAGACGCTTTGACAGCTCTGCGTGTCGCGCAACCCCATCGACTCGAGACTATCCCTGGCAGCAGACCAGTATCCCCTGCTTACCCTCTTGATGGGCCTTTTCCGGAGGCGTGCGAGGAAGACGAGGAGGCTGACGAAGTGCCCGAATCACCTGAATTTCCTGCTTTTGCACCATCCTTGAATCGCCGCCCGTCACACCAACAACTGAACCAGGACCAGACGCATATCCATCCTTTGTTCCGCAGCGATAGTCCTTTGCCATCTCCCGCCGCTTCTCCTGGCACTATCATCACTTCTTCGCCATTCGCTGGCCAGGTCGTCAGTCCTAGTGATCCTGCATTTGGCTCACGCAGCCGTAAAGGCTCTGTATTGGGTTCGCGACCATCCAGCCCAAACTCCAGTCTCATTCGATCTGGTAGTGCTTTGAGTCTACGCAGACCAGCCAGCTCACGGAGCATCAGAGGTCTTGCAGCACAACAGAGACCTCGAGTGGCCATGAGCCCTAGTCTCCAAGACTTGAGAGCGGAGTGCGACATGTCCATTCAAAGGCCAAAGCCAACATTACACAAGCGTGAACGGTCCGCTTGAATCCAAAGCTCATCTCTCACGTTGAAGCTTATCTTTTTACGAAATAACGTCTCCTTGGTCATCTTTTCTTCTGGTTCTTTGGCATCAAGCGCTAGCCTGCATGCTCTACGTTCACTTCTGTTTTCTTTTCTGATATCCCCATGAGCGATCTATCTGTTTCCATTTTCAAATCTTTAGTGTCTTCTTAAGCCGACTTTCCTCTGTCTACAAAACACTCCTTTTTAAATCCTACTATAACGAGCCATGACCTATAACACGAGATCTCTCTAGCCCGTCCCACAAAGAATTCAATGGTGGCATGCAAGGCCAATCCTTTCCCATCAAGCCTAATCTCGTTGTTCCTGCAGCCAAAAAGTGCACCGGCGCACGCGGTGCGTTTTGGATGTTGACGGCCCGTTGAACCTTCGACCGTTATCCAAACTTTAAATTTTGCGTGCAATGAAAATGCGTTCGGGACGCCTGACAAGAAACGTTCTTGCGTAGTCAAATCTCCGCTGCGACCGTGTATGACTGCACGCGCGCACTGCTGCCGTGTTGCTGCGCAAAAGGTGTTTGGTACGGAAGATGAAGGTTCGGATGGCGAATTGCTGTATCTCCTGGTGCGGAGAGTGTTTATGCTTTGTTTGTGGCTGTGTTTCCCGTGCTGTTTAGGAGCGAGTGTTTATAAACATATTGTATTGCTATGACTATTTCGAAGACGTGGAGCATAAATTCGATCGTTCTGATGATCATCGGAAGCATCTAAGACATCTACACAATAGATCGCGATCAAGATTCGTGAGTGGTAGGCATGGAACAAACCCATCGAAAGCTGGCAGTGAGACATCTTTTGCGGTGAAGAGCATTGCTGTCAATGCTTCTATGATCTGAACCACAGGTTCTCCTGACGCTACAGAGTGGTTCAACAGCTGGCTTGCCACTTTTCGCGATTCATAGACACGTTGACAGCTGAAAGATTATATGACCCACCGCTGAACCAAGTGGCTCTAACAGCTCTGGAGTTAACACGGCGTTTGTAGTTTGGACGAGAAAGCAACGAAGAACGAGAATCGCAGCGAGAGGTGCGATAACTTCTTCGAGTTAGCGCGTCAGAAGACTCTCCTCGTTGGTAGAAGAGGGAGGCAGCTTTGTGGGTGATGAGGAAGTAGCAGCCAACAAACAACAAAGCTCGTCTCCCCAAATCATCTGCTCTTCGCGATTCCAACACCATGTTTCCCATCGCTGATCTCCCTCGCATTGCTTCGCTCGTCTCAAAGATACCCAGGTCATCGGATCGCGAGACCGGACACTTAGATATGAGTTTGTCTTTTCGCCAGGGCTGGCTGAATGGCGGCATGACAATCAATCTCGGGACCACAGGAAAACAATCAATCCAAAACAGTCCATGGTGGGGGATCTTTCGTACTTTGCCATGCACGCGAGCTCAACCTTTTTCCAAACAACAACAACAACCTCCACCTCATCTATCAGATCCATGCTTCTCTTGCCACTGACGCGTTTGCCGGGGATGTGCAGGGCTGTGTTAATCTAGCAGGCTTTCGATAATTTCCGGGTGCGTAAGCCGCTTGATGCGCTCGAGCTGGAGTTGGCTTGCTGTTGCTGCTTTTATTTATGCATAAGTATGCATCATGCGAGGCGAATGCTCTTGCTTGATATGGCATGACTGGTTTGCATGTGCTTTGCGATTGCTAACCTGGTCGCTGTCTGTGGATGGCTGCAAGAGTTATATACACTGCAGCTTTCTGACTGTCTTTAGGGCTTGTCTGTTCATGCAACTCTATTAAAGAGCGTCGGAGTACGGTTGCCGGATGAGCTCGTCTTCACTAGCAAAGTCGGCTACAGATACTGGCCAGCATTCTGGGGAATACTCTTACCGACCGGTGCTATGTAAATTTGCTCCATGACAGCGACTAGGGTGAACAGCTTTGTACCAAGACTACGGGAAGACACCAATAATGAACCTTGGCATAAGAGCGTGCCTACTTGAAAGATCACTTGGAGATTTAGATTTAAGTTTGATCAAACATGCTAATAATCCATTAACTGCAACTTCTTGCCAACCTTGTTTCTGGCTGCTGCCTTCTGGCTCGGCTTGATATTGCCATTCTGCTCTTGCTTCAAGGCTTGCAACAACATTCCAGCATCGAAGAAACCATCTGCAAGAGTTGTCAGCATTTTGGATATGAAAGCGATCGTGATCAAACTTACAGCCACCCAAGCCGTCATCATCGCTGACCTGCTCACTTTCCACAGCAGGTGTTCGAGATCCATCAACGAGTATGCCGCGGGACTTCATCCTAGCATTCTTTGGCCTGGCCTTGGCTTTCATTTGCTCTGCTTCTCTAGCACGACTGGCAAGCTTGTCGGTGTTGGTGCCTCTTCTCTGTGTCTGTCTCAAGACCTTTCTCATCTCGAGGAAGTAGCTTTCAATCGCGTCAATGTAGCGCTTGGTCTGGCGGTGCTTGGAGGAAGCACAGATACTGACACTGCCATCTTTGATGATATAGCCAATACCAAAGCCATCGCCTGAGGTTGGTCCAAATCCAAACTGTCGGAGCGAAGGGTTACCGCAGTTCGATGTCGAGAGAATGGTGGTGTTCAATTTGTCCCAACCACCATCGGCGAAAAGTGAGGGCATGACGCCTGTGTTGGTCGGTATGCGATTGATAGAGTCTCGAGAGCTGCCATCGTCGCTCATCACATCAGAAAAGTTACCGTCATGCGCAGCACTATCACCATTGTCGCCATTCTGGCTCATGATATCCTCATCACCATCGATCATGCGCTGCCAAACACAGAACAGAGCGTACAAATGTCTGTCTTGTCCTTGAGCTTTAGCACACTCTTTCGTGATCTCGGTGTGCTTTTGGCATGCTTTGCGCAATGCCTCGACCTTCTTGGCAGGTGGGTTGTCACCCCAGAAGAGTTTGACAAATTCGGTAGACTCGTCAGTGACAGGTCGGATGGCTTCGGTACGACCGTGGTAGAAGACCTTGGTCATTGCAGGTTCGTAAACACACTCCATCTTTCCATACAGACCATAGTAAGCTGCCTGGAAGGCCATCTGTACAAAAGCATCGGGAGAGAAGCCCATGCTAGTCATGAAGTTCTTGCCGTATTGCATGAACTCAAGAGTTGCAAACTCGTTCTGTTGGATCAGGTCCGCAAGGCGAGTCTCGGCAAATCGGACAGCGGTCGAGATTTCAGGCAGCATGTCCCACTCCAATCTGTGTGGTGTCGTCGAAACATCACCAAAACTGTCTGGGTCTCGCTTAGCAGGGTCTGGTGATTCAGTGGCCCATAGCGAGGGAGCTTTGCCGTTGATCGTTCGAGCAAAACGCAGGATCGTGTCAGTGTATACGTCAGATGCGAAACGCAGGACTGTGTGACCGTCGACTCCAGTGTGTTCGAAGTTGATACCAGCACTGCCGTTCTTGCAGACAATGAGTTGCAGCTTGTCGTACCAGCGGTTAGTACATGTGCCAACTTGAAGACCATCTTCAACCTTCGAAGTGCCACAAAGCATGTTCATACAGAGATCAGCACCGGACTTGGGCTCAGTATAATCAAGGCAGAGGATGAACAGGGCAGAATCAATGATGTTGAGACTGTCGGAATTGTTTGAACCTTCCTCTCTGGAGAGGACGTCACGCAGACTGGACCAGATCTTGCGATTCTCGGTACTGAGTACACCAACAGCATTGCGTGCGAACTCTTGGATAGGGATGTTCTGTGCATCATCGACGATGACTTGAAGGTTGACAGTGATATCTTTCTCTGTCATGATCAAGTCGTTGTTGTCATCCAGAACATCGAACCAGTAAAATTGGCCACGCACCAAGACGACAATGTGCTTTGATGAAGGATCCTGGCCGATCTGGCAACCATGTTCTGTGGGAATGCGAGCAGTGCCGAAGAGGCGAGAGTACTGGTACATGTCCAGAGGCTGGCCTCTGAGGGTGTCGGGCTCGAGCTCTTCCTTCCTCACAGCTCTTACAAATGAGAGTGAAGATATGACGAGGGACGCGGCACGGGTGACCTGGTTGTTTCTGGCCGGGGTAGGGTCATCTTCGAGCAAGAAGAACGGATTGAGGTTCAGGACGACAGGATTGTCGAAGTTGAGGTAAGAGTCGTACCCTGAGAGCAGTCAGAAGATGAGATACCACGAGTAAGTGAATTTTGGACTTACAAAACTGTTCAATATAGCTGGATCTGCCTGTGGCATACTTCTTGAGCTTCTCCTGGAGCTCAGGGCCCTCAGCTCTCAGGAACTCCTGCACAGCAGCTTCCGTCTCTGCATGTTCCCTAGCAGACTGCAGGGGGCTTAAAGAAGCGAGGTACTTCTTGCATGATTTTTCCAAATCAGGGATTGGAAGCTTGGGCAACTTGTCCTGAGACGCGAATGTCACTCCTTGAGTTGCCATAGCGGACTTCTCAGTCTTTTGATCTGGGACAGGCAAGGGCTTTTTTGTTTCCTTGGAAGTTGAGTTCGGACGCTTGAACTCGGTGGGAACAGATCTTGGAGGGCTAGATGAGGTAACAACCTGGTCTAGAGAGGTCGTGGGATTGGTAAGTCTTCTGGTAGTCATGGCGATAATTGGTCAGTTTAGGTGTACAGAGGTGAGACAGTGGTTGAGATGGACAAGCCACGAAGAGCGGTGCGGAAGAAATAGTGGCAGTCTTGTAGACAGTAAGGTGGCATTTGAAGTGGGCGTGAACAGGAGAAAAGATCAAACGGGAGGGCAGGCTGGAAGTTGATACAAATATATTGAGGTTTATCGCATGTGGCAGCGTCACGCAGGGTCCCTGGGGATAAATGGAGGGGCACGTGTTGACAGCCGCTGCTCCGGCTCTTTGGAATGGTGAGGGGAATGGAAACGATGCAATCTAAGGGCTTGCCATGTTTTATGCCTCAGGCTTCGGTTAACACTCACCTTGAAATTATGACAAAGGACGGATCAGTGGAAGACGGTTGTTTGCTTGTACATGCATGTACTTATGCTGTGCTGCTATCCTGACGTGGGGTAATGATGTATGTCTTTTCGACACTCGCGGTGCTTGTTCAAAGTAGGTAGCGAAGATGAGCAGACAGCGATCAGAGCCGTTCTCGGAAGAGATCAAAGACCAATCGGAATCGTAAGCTCGGTAATTCCAGCTTCTCGATGAGCAGTGGCTTCCAAATTCGAGTCTTTGACGGTTGACAATTGCTTCGGAGGCTCAAGATGGTGCTGGAGTCACACCTCGGGATGACATCGCCCAGGCCCAAAACCTGGAGAAGAGGCAGAGTGCACGGACCAGATGAGGTCGGGGAAATGGAAGCACGAATGCATGCGCGCGTGAAGGTCGCGCCTTCTCGAACACGAAAAGAAGCCGCCTAGATTGGAAGCAAGTGCGACTCGCGCCGTGGGTGTAAGAGGAGGAAGTTGGACATGAGCGACATCACACAGCTCCTTCCGAACATCGACACCGAACCATTCGAGAAAGTGCTGGAACGACTGGAGAAGGCCAACATCAGCAGCAATGACTTGATGACCCTAGGTGCCGTCGATGTCGCCCGCCGCGCCGATGTGTCTATTGACCAAGTACGCGAACTCACTGCATCTTTGATCACCCAGCTTCATGCTCAGCTCGGATTTGATGCCTCCGAAAACGATCATGACAACCAAAAAGATGAGCCTGGCAAGTCAGCGAAGGAAGATCCGACGTGGTCACATATCAGCACTTTGGACGACGACCTCGATGCGGCTCTCGGAGGAGGCTTTCCTGCTGGTCGAGTCTGCGAGATCACAGGAGAGAGTGCGGCGGGCAAAACCCAGTTTCTCTTGACTTTGCTCCTTGCTGTACAACTACCGCCACCAAAGGGCCTGGGGAAGAGTGCACTCTACTTGTCTACTGAAGCGCCGCTGTCAACCATTCGTCTAAATCAGATCTTGAACAGGCACCCATACCTGTCCTCTCTGGCGAAATCTGAGCGGCCTTCTCTGTCCCACGTGCAGAGCACACAACTTCAAGATCTCGAGACTCAGGACCATGTTTTGCGCTACCAGGTGCCTGTACAAATCGCTCGAGCCAATGTTGGTCTGATCATCATCGACTCGGTAGCAGCAAACTTTCGTGCCGAGTTCGACCGTGTTGGAACCAACTCGTCAGATGCTCTGGCTCGCCGGAGTCTGCAATTGACACAGCTCGGCGCTCATCTGCGCGACCTCGCTCGTTCTCATAATGTCGCAATAGTCGTCGCCAACCAAGTCCTCGATCGTTTTGGCCCCGCCGCCTCACTTTTTGATGCCACAGCAACGCCCCTGTCGCAGAACTCTGTCGCCACACAAATCTCGAGTACCAACAACAACACCTCTACTATTCCACCACCGTCTCAACAGCTCCAGCTGCTCCTGTCCACAAACGATCCGTTGTCCTTAGATCATCAACAGCGCTTCTTCACAGGATGGGGCGACCACCGTTTTATGCGTGATCTCAAGACGCCTTCGTTGGGATTGACATGGACAAACCAACTATCTGCTCGTATTGTGTTACTCAAGCAACCTATACTCAAGCCTCAGGACTATCTTCTAGGGCCAGGCATGGACATAGTTGGCTGGAGACGCCATCTCAAGGTTGCCTTCTCAGCTTGGTCGCGCGATGATAATGGGACGGACGGTGTCGAGTTTGAAGTGTGCGAAGAAGGTATCAGGACAAAAAAGCCAGAGGAGGGCACATCGACGATCAATGAAGCATGAGAAGCATGAACATAACGATACGAATTATGATTGGGTTGCATACAGGAGGCCTGCACATAGTGGGCTTGGATAGAATAATAGAAAGATCGATTAAAATCAAAGTCGGGAAGAGTTGCGAACAGGCCATAGTACTACAGCTCCGCAAACTCTCAAAAACTGCTGCAGCCGTGTAGGCTTGAGTCCTCCTAGGTTACGGGACTTAACAATCTGTTTGTTGTTGAAGTTGATGCATTGCGAGAAGTACGAACGAGCCACCCATCGACCAAGAGCGCGTCACTGCATATCTGAGCGGTGTTCACTTCTGCCAGCAACCGCATCACTCTGTTGAGCCCCTGAGTCCATACAGCAAATTCGACACGAGCAGACGACACTCGGAGTGAACTCAGCGCACTGGACCTCACCACTTTGCGCACTCTTCTCACCGATCATCGGAACGCAGTCCCTCACTTCATTGTCCCTTGCACACTCACTCTATCATTCACAGTCGATCGATCACACAGCTGAGTAGTCCATCACGGTGTCACTGGCTCAACTTCTTCCTTGCCATGCCTGATCTATCTCCCTCTCTTTCGACTGCGCCACACAAGACTAACATGGATGCGTTGCCCACGGAACTCAAGCAACGCATCTGCAGCTTTCTGTCGCCAAAGCAACTCAAACCACTCAGACTCACCTGCAAATCCTTTGCCACGGCAGCCGAACGCTACTTCATCAACCGTTTCATTCTGTTCGTCCATCCTCAGAGTCTCGCCAAACTTCGCAGGATCGCAGAGCATGAGGTTCTTAGCAAGTATTTGACCACAATCGTCTATGATACGACAGTCACTTGTGGAGGCGCCCGACTTCAAAGCTCACAACCTTGCTGGGACGATTACCGACCAAAGACCTTGACACTCAATGCAGATGAAAGCTACTCTGCAACGTCCACCCGGGTGATGCACGAGGCTGAAGAAAAGTTTCAAGCTGCCTGCGCTGAAGCGATGATGGCCTCAAAATCGACTGCCTTGACTTCGAAGGAATATGGTCTCTACTACAAGTACCCAAAAACCAAGTTTCAGTATCTCGAAGTAATCAAGTTGGCATTCGAGAAGTGTCCACGCCTCAAACACTTTGTCCTGTCAGCCAGCCACCCTGTCGAAGTCAACAAAGCAAGGGCTCAAGCCTTCAAGATCACTCATTCGTCAGAGATTATCGATGAGCACACAAGCCGTAAACCATACATGATTTTCTACGCTACGCAGAAGTTGGAGTCCTTTACTTTGATTGAAGTGGAATTGCCTAGCCCAATCAGCCTCGAGAATGCACAACTCATGAACAACTTGAAGCATCTGCATATCAAGACGTCCATTAGCAACATCCTTCGGCAACTGCATCATGTATTCGCTTGTGCAAGACAACTGCAAACTTTGAGCTTGTTTACGCATGACAACATTACTGAGATTGTCAGAGTCATTCGCGTGAGGAAGCCCAGGGCTTGTCTCTTAGTGTGCGAGTATGTCGAGGGGACAGCCTTGATCAACTTCCTTCAGCACCATGCCGCCTCACTGCAACGCCTTGGACTTGCGTGGGCGTCGACTGACATAGGATGGGGACCAGTTCTCGGTAGCATCGCTGGTCAACTGCCTGCACCTAAGCGTGTGCAGCTCGAGGCTTTGCACAAAGATCTTGACCACTCAGTGATAACGGCAGAAAGTGCACACGAGCTTGAGCGTTTCGTAACATCTGGAGGCTCGTTTCCAGAGATTCAGTACCACACATATGAGATATCCGAGGATGACGAGGACTTCACTATGGAAAAGTTTCACTTCTTCCAGGATTCGCCACAAGACAAGCTGCCACCCGGTATCTGGCCGGACTACGAGGATATCGTCGCTACGCAAGAATTGAGCGAGGCCAGCAGATGAGGACATTTCACAGCGAGGCGAAAATTTATAGGACTTGTACTCGATGCAATGGTCTGTGAGACCGGGTGGAGGTGAACGTGAACGAACAATCACAACACGGTATCCTACCAGAAGCAAGATTGTAACCATGTCGAGAGTGTATTCAAAAGTTTCCGTACTGAGAGGATACTGATCATCAATGTCCATAGCAATACAAACGATTACTTCAAGGACTGTATTGCACTGTTGAATGTGATTTTGAAACGTAATCGCCATGAGAAACATGATTTAGCACGTCAAGCTTATAGCTTGGTCCTTGAACTCTCCCAACTCTGCAGGCTTGATGCCCGTCTCGAACAGCCAATTGCCAACATCTTTGCGATCAATTTTCCAGCCCAATGCAGGATTGCTCTCGAGACCATATCTGACGTTACTAACACCCACACCATTTCCATCCATCAGCAAAGTCGGTCGTACGATCGCAAATTCCCCAATCACTCTTTCAGTAGCGGGTTTGTCCTTTTGCTCCCAGACGAGCTGTTCCATGACCCGCTTGTCAATGTGCGGAATATGAAGCAACAAGCGGTAGAGAGGAATGTAGAGAAAAGGGATATCTCTAGGACCACGGGAGATGCCAGTAGTAGAGATTGCGAGTAGTCTTGGCTTTGTCGTAGCTTTGAGCAGATTCAATGCAGAAAGGAGAGTTGCCATTGCTGTACGGCACAGATTTGGATCATCCAGGGTCACTGGCATGATGTGTAGTCTCAGCTTTGGTGCTGCACCTACACCAAAGACGATGGTGTCTACAATGTCAGCAGAAGTTTGGAGAAGTTTCTTGATGGAGTTGACGTCTTTGGCATTGCCTTGGATGATCTCGAGGTTGGCGAGCGAGGACTTGGGAATGCTTTTGGCTTCCAGCATTGTGGTGAGTTTGGAAGGTGTGCGGACAAGTGCACGGCAGGTGTAGCCATCATTGAGTGCAGCGATGAGACAGGCATTTGCACATCCACCTGTTGCACCCAGAAAAGCGATGGTTCGACTCATGCTTGCTTGAGTTGTGAAACAGATAGAGAGACGGATGTTAAGAGCGAGGAAGCTGGTCCTTTTAATCAGGGATCTTGGAATGTAAATTCAGCTTACGAAGAGGTGAAATACATATGTAGTCCAGCGACAGAATTCATAGTTCCACTCCTTCATGAGAGACCGGTGTCAGCGAAAGCAGCTGCCTGGCATTTCTGAATGCAAGAGTAGAGCCGTTCAAAGGTTTCGGTTTCGCGTTAGGCAGAAACGATATGGTGCAGTAGTGATGGCTGACACTGCCCGAATCTTACTGTGGCGTGAAGGATCACAAACTCACATGGCAGATTCGCAACATTTTCTTGGAAAGAAATGCAATATGTTTCTTCACGAGATTACGGGCGTGCGGATCGCAGATTGCCCGACATCTCATCGATATAGGAACAGAGGTGATATTTGGGACGTCTTAGGCAGTCACATCAAGCCCATGAGATTTGCGCAGTGCAGAGAAGCGCATCTTCCCGAAGCTCTGGGTGTGGATGTATCGCCGTACTGGAATCACACAGGGTTATCCTGGGAGGAGAATGCATGCTGACCGAATGCATCGAACTGCTCTCTCAATTTTTAGCCAGAAAATAAACAAAGTGAATTGTCAAGTTGCTGGCGTGAATCGGGTCAATTGGAGCGGAATTGCCGAGGATGAGCCTCGAGAAGAGTCTTGTGGTCCATGTCAGCTCTTGGGTGTCACAACAACGAGACTGATCAGACGAGACGACCAGGGTCGAGGTGTGATGAGCTCACGAGATGGGCGAATAATGAGACATGGTAAGCATCAGCGGGTATATAAAGTTCAGCAGGCATACAAGAGCGGGTGTTGCATAGTGCATGCAGTATGTTTACTTGTGGGTCGCGGGACAGATGTAAATAGAGGCGGACGGGACGACGGTTCAACGGCGATAGAAGCGTCTTGATAAGAAAGATAGGAAACCCCGCCGTTGCAACAACAGAGAGCTTCTTCTTTTCTTGCTTGACTTGACATAGTCGTAATTGGATTACATCCTACATTAGCATGTCTTTCTTGGAACTTCCGTTAGAGCTTCGTCTCATCATTTACGAGCATGCAGCGGTCGAGGGCGCAGCCGTGACGATTGGAGCTTGCGAGCTCACAGGCAAAGATGCTGACCTGGTCGACCGAGTCTATGGCGATCAACAAACTCCTCTGCCAGGCCTACCTCCTATGCACGAGCCCGCCGTTCTTGATAGATACGCGTCTCATCTTCTCTCAGTCTCAAAACCTGCTCGCATCGACGTATCAGCATTACCATGTTCCCAACCATCAGCCCACCACTCAACCTTATCTTCGCTCCTACTGCTCAATCGCCAAATCAATGCTGAGCTGAGCACTCATTTCCGACTAAAGAACAGCAGAAAGACAAGTCTTTTTGTACAGTTCCCTCTAGGCCTACACGTCTTCAAGACAAAATGCCCCGATTTCGTACGACACGCTCGTAGTATCCACATCGCTGGCAGCTATCCCAAACCCTCATCTGCAAAATACTCTCCACAACTAGGTCAGCTGGCACACCTCGTATCCACAACTCTAGGGAAGAGTCCACGTTACCCCATTGAGAAGCTCGAAGCCCGCATCTACTTCCCTGGCGCCGACTCATACCCCCGTGTCTGGGATGACACAAGTCCCGCTTCTGTCATCTTGCGCAACGTTTGTGGCGGTTTCATCGACATGGAGGTTGCAAGAGGAAGACACGGTACTGGCATCTACGTTTCCGTACGACCACACCCAGACAACAAGAGAGTCATATCCACTGTCTGGAGAAGACTAGTTGAGGGAGATAGCGGTCAACCAAGTTGTGGTGACTGGGCTGTTGATAAGCAGTGGCCCGAGTGGAACACTGAGTTTGCCCCCTCTTCACCATTACCCTAATCATCCTTGTCCAAAGAGATACTCGTCGTAGACGCAGGCGTCTACACTTCGAGCATCCTCAATACCATTCTTACAAAACCTAGCATCTGTTCGATGTTCTGTTCTCATGATAATGGTATCTTGGCAGTGATTCCAAACTTTTGACTCCAATTATGTCTTCCATGACCGCGTCGTCTGCGAGCTCGTATTCCAGCACGTATGCATACCTATCAGATCCATTTTGTACTTTACATCTGGATCAAGTTGGCGATAGCCGAAGCGCATCAGGCCAATCGATTCGCACGGTGAACGCTTACAATCTGGCTAGATACACTTGTATGCCTGTTCTCACAAAACAGTCCATAAAAATGACCTCAAATTAGCAATGCGGCACTGTGTCACGACTATAAAAGAACAATCATGATCGTCGCACTCTATTCTTCATCCCACTGCGATTGAGACCTTCCAGAGCATCCAGAATTTGTGCAAGGAACCAGCACTATGACCTCCGTCGAGCGTGTCGACGAGCATTCGTCCCAGATCAAGTTTAACGAGGATATCTTCCACAAGTCCACTCAAGAAACACCGTCCCCTCTAAAGATACACGCCGTCCATGTCGAGGACCGTCTAATTCCCGAGACCATCGACATCTCTCCACCCCCATCGCCATCGCCACCACTAGACAATACGCCGATCACCCGGACGAGCACAGACGAGCTAGAGTCTTTCGACAAGGCCCCTGTCGTAGATGCCACAGAAGAACAGGTTCCAGAAAACCAAATACAGCAGAAACCTCCTGCCATTCCACCCAAAAGCCCTCTCCGTGGCGCCAAAAAGATCAACTGGTTGTCCAGATTGCTCAGCAAGACTGTCGGAAGACTGAGTTGCTTCCATGGAAATAACCAAAAGGAGGTCACCAAGCAGGACCAGAACCGTGAAGCCAGAGCTGGATCTACATTTTGCAGAGGCGGTACTGTCGGATCCGGCCATCCGGTCATCACAATTCCGGATCTTGGAGGTATTGCAGACTTTGGCGATATTTTTGAAGAATTTTTCGCTAATTTAGCAGACTGCGGCGGCGATTCATCAGGTTGCGGTGGTGGTGATTCAGCAGACTGCGGTGGTGGTACAGGGACTGCGCTGGCGACTGATAATTAGTCGTAGAAGTGAATGAGAGCGACAGAATGAGGTCTTTGCCCTATCCGTAGAGACAATAGAATACTAGAGTTCGTGTTCACCATGCTCGGACGCAGTTAGTGACTCCATCTAACTCAATTCACGTGGCAATCTTGCTGTACAGGGCCAGGTGACCATTCAGTCTTGTAATATGAGAGTGCGTGCGTTAGATCTTGATTCAAAATTCGTATATAATGCGGTTCGTATACTCTTCTTGTCTTCGAACTAATATCTTAGAGCGAAAAAGCCAATACCAATGCTGATATAGGCACCACAGACACAAATTGCTAGTGTTGTCTTCGAATCGCCATTCATATCCCATGCAAAACATGACTTCAACTTTCGCACGTACGAGTCCTATCGCCGGGCCTTCATCAGGACCGTCACAAATCGGCAACGTTACGCTTCATACCGCAATTCTCGCAAGCCAGAACACGATACCTCAACAAACAGTCGAATCGACGAAGGCACAGACAACGGATTATGGAGAGCCAACTGCAGCCTCCTGTTTTGCTCTGAGACGACGCATCCTTACCAAAGGCTTCAAGAAGGTCTTCCACTCGAGACGCCCCAAACGTAAGGGTGTGCCATCACCAGCACACTCCATCCAGTTGTCGGATGAGGAAGACCAACCCGTGAGGATGTCTGCGTCAGAACAAAGGGGACGAAAGACCACGGCAAGACTACCGCTCGGTGCCAGGAGACCACCAACATTGTATGACGATGGACAAGGATCCTGGGTTGGCGAATTCGGGTACATCTACAGCGGCGGTTTGGATTTGAATAGATCGCGTCTGAGTCTTGCTCTCTGTAGCGAAGTTGGACGTGCTCCTCGCCCATCACTTGAAGCAAAGGATAATCACCCGCGAATGGGGTCCAGAGCTGTCGCAGGCTTGGAAAACGCCTGCGATGGCGCTGCAGAACAAGATCCAAGGGGAACAAGAAGCTTGGCTGGAGCAGGTGTCGAAGCCGATATCCATCAAGATCAGCAACTGTCAAGAGATGGCGGCGCTCATGACGACACTGAATGCCAGCACATGTCGAACGAGACAACAGAGGTTGCGCCCCTGGAGGAGAAATGCGGGTCATGCGATGAAGACGAGGACCGATGCGAGGACCCCGAATGTAGCTGTCAAAATCATGGCAGATGCTGTAGCGATGGTGGTGACGACTGATCAGTTATATTTGGTCGAACTTTCAGCAGGGACAGGTCCAGACAAGAGGGTTTAGAAATTTCAGAGTTATCTATGATGGTAGAGATGTCTGACAACAAACAAATACGACATGCCTGCAACCCCCAAGGCTTCGTATTGTTCTCTGCTGGGTCAAATATACCATGCCTGTTGCAAATTCATTCTCCCACCTTTCTTCTGCGCTTGTTTTCATGGTCCGCCAAGCCCGCTTCAGCTCAACTTTACAGTTCACGCTCAACCCACAGCCTCAATGGGGTGGCCTAGGCCACCCCAGCCAACAAAGCTCTCACCTCATGGAACAAAACGATGCACCTGATCCGATTTGAAGGGGTGACCTTGTGGATATCTGATTACCTGCTCGCAACGATGTTTGGGCGTTTTATACATAGATAGAACAAATGGTTCAGCAGTGGACCTGTGGCGCAGCGGTAGCGCGTGTGATTCCAGTGTCAACCGGGACATCCACAAGGTCATCCGTTCAAATCGGGTCAGGTTCATCGTTTTGTTCCATGAGGTGGGAGCTTTGTGAAATGCTTTTTGCTTTTGCCGGCTAGACTATTACGAATGGCCAGCAGAACATCGCGGAACAACATGTGAGTTGGTTGGAACGTGCATTTCCGATCTTCTCGCTCTGTTAGTCGGCCGGCGTTCTTTGAGTATACCTATGTTGGGATGTTCGGTGCTGTTTTCCCTTTTTGCTCTCCTTTTTTCTTCCCTTCTCACTAGCATGGAGAGCGAAGATCAAATAGCTGAGAGACACAAAAACATGAGTCAAAGAGTCTGCCATGCATAGAAGAGGCAAGCATAGTAAGAACAAATGCGAGGTTGTCGTCTCTCTCTATGGAGAAAGCAACCACACAGCTGACGCAAACTAAGGGCTTTTATGTTTGACTTCTATGGCTGTCGAAACATAGTACTTCTCCTTTAATGTAATCAGCTATAAAGATCGAACTACCTGATAGATTTTCTCCGGCTGTGAGTACGGATAGGAAGCGTTCGTCCATCTCTATAGCTCGGCGCAATACAAAATATAGCTATCTCCTTGAAAGTATAACAGCCACACTCTGCACTACTAGCAGACTAGAAGTCAGATCTGCAAATACTCTAACCGCCTTGATGGATGGCTTGTCAAATACATATAGCCAAAGAACCAACCCCATTTTTTGGGCTTCGATTATACTTGCATACGAACAACCATCGCTTGATTGCCTATAGCGCCATTAATATGTTAAGGTCTTATCTTATTCCAAATTGAGTTGTTCTTCTCTGTCCGTTCTTGCAGGACGCGTAGAGATTTCATTCGCTGTTCACTCTAAGATGGGTTCGTTCATGGGGCTGAGAGTAAGGACCAAAGTAAATGCATAGTTCTATGCCCCCAGCTGCGATAACACGGATTGAGGAATATTGTTGGATATCGTCAAGCCGTTTGTTGACGTGTAAGCGATCCACGGTGGTTGATGATGCTGTATAGTGGCGTGTCGGTGGTCGGGATTGCAAGTCTTCCCTTCCGATCTTCGAGGGATAGTGACAAGGGTTATCAGTCGACGTCGCTATAACAAGAATTAGACCACGAACAAGGATAAGCCGACGACAATCCAGAAGATAATTGTGTGGTAAGTCCAAAGTTCATACTTTAATAGACGATTCCATGTAAGAATTGCTTCTAGGGCTTCCAGGGGCTAGCGTCGAAGGAAACCTTTCTAGCAGCCATACCAATCAGTGCATTGGAATGCAGTTTGTCGCGGTAATGTGAAAGGCAGAAAAGACTCAAGTGAAAGCTAAGCGTGTGAACATGCAGTAGTGAAAGAAACGAGAGCGCGAGCACGACTGCACGGGTCTTGGCGTTGTGTTGTGCGCTGGTGCCTGCTGTTATATAAACCTCAAGCGTCAACAGCTCCTTCTCTTTTTCATCTCTCTCACCTTGTGTTTCTACCACCACACCTGTCGCCAACCTGGGCCGTCTGTTTTTTTGTCGCTTCTAGAGCTGTTGTCCCAGCTCGCCCCCATCCTCGTTTGGTGTTGCCCGGTCTCCTTTCTCGTTACTCCCCTCGTGTCGGCGTTCTTCATTCATTTCGCATCCTCCTCGCGCCTTGCCCAGGTTACGTCTGCTACACCTTGTCATCTTATTCATCGTTTGCGCTACGCGCAATGCCCCATCTTTCTTCTCTTATTCGCCCCATGGCTTGCCGCTTCGCTTCTACGGTGTACAGGCGGGCCATGGCGCCGCGCACCCCTTATACCTTCGTTACCCTCACTCCCAGGAGTGTTGTATTCGCGGAAGGCGGCATTGCTTCTGGCGTGCTCGACCTGGGTCGATTGTCGCTAACTCGCGTTCGCGCGTATGAAAACTTGGACTTTCAGACCAGTTGCGACCTGGATCCGATGCCCTTTGCCTGATAAGGGCCTGGGGAAGTTTGGATCTGGGTTGTGGCAACCAGACTGTCGCCACTATATCTCAGAGCCGGAAGGTATACCTTGTCCTAGCCGGATGTCCCTGATCACGATAAGGGTATCCAATGGTGGTCCTCTGAATATCGGGAGCGGCAGCACAGTGGGGAGATAAGACAAAACGCAACGTGAACTTCTCAGGGATTGCTGTAATGGCCTGTCCTTGGGGAGGGAGCACCTTGATGGTAGTTTTGTCATTTTCAGTCCCTCTCATCTTGCCCTGGTGAGACGGGAGCTCGTATGTTGGCCGGATGCTACGCGATGCTTGCGTTGCTTAGCAATACCGAAATACGAGGCTGGTGGGAAGTACGTGGCTTCTCTGCTGGTGGACAGTCGGCATAATCTTTGGAACCTTTGGATGAATTCTCTTTCGGGAGTTCACCTGATATCTTTTTCATCGTCGTACTGGCTTCTCAGCCGGGCGTCGGAGAAGTCGTTTCCATACGTCTCAACGAGACAGTGCATGTCATATGATTTGACACCTCACCGTCTCGCTACTTTGTCTTTTGTGACATCGAAGATTTTTCGTCCAACCTAAATTCGCGTTTGCCTTTCTCAGCTGCGCCTCCATCGGCACGAAACATATGTACCTTCAATCAGTCTTTCTTGTATGCCTGACATTGAGCATCCCACAACTGTTACCTACGAACATGGCTCTGTTGTTACGAGGAGACGTAAGACGTTCGCAAGCTGTTGTTGGGAGAGAAGCCGTTCGTGCGGAGAAGACATGGCAGTAGCACGTATTCTCTTGTGCAAAAATCATGAGACGATATCAACCTCGGATCAATCAACCATCCAAATCATCTTTTGACATTCATCAACAACATACATATCCATTCTTCAATATCAAGTGCCACTCTGCGATAATGCCTCCGTCAGTGCCTGCCCACATCTTCAATGCGCTCAAACGCTTCACCTCGTGCGATGTATGTCAAGGGCTTCCCTTCTAATCATCATTACTACACAAGCAAGCAATACTCACACATCCCAGGTCGGTGACGCCCTCGTTAAATTGAACGTCACCTACGGCGGCTACCTACACGGTCTCAAAATGTTCTCTCCCCACCAACAAGCCGGAACCACAAAACTATTCGGACCTGCATATACAGTACAGATGGTCGATGCCAACGACACTACCTCTCCCAAACCCTCCCAACACTTCGTAGATGGGATTGAACAAGGGCAAGTTGTGTTTATCTCCCAGCCCAAAGGATTTTACTCAGCTTGTTGGGGAGGCTTGATGTCGACGCGAGCGAAATATCTGGGTGCGCAAGGTGTGGTTGTGGATGGCAATTTCAGAGATCTGAATGAGCATCGTGAGATGGAATTTCCAGTCAGTATCTCAAGGAAACACTACGAGTTACTCGGTGCTAACAAACACAAAAACAGGTCTTCGGTAAAGGCACTTCAGCACTGGGCTCCAACACTTTCACCCGAGCTTCTGGTCTCAATGTTCCTGTACAATTTACTTCAGAAACGCAGCAAAGACCATTGACTATTCATCCTGGAGACCTCATACTTGCAGATCTGGATGGAGTAGTTGTTGTGCCTGTCGAACATGCGGAGAAGTGTTTGGAAATCTGTGAGAAGAGATTTGAGATTGATGAGAAGACTATGGCTGCGTTGAAGGAGGGCGAACCTATGGGTGCCACATTGGCTCGTTTGAGAAAGTGATTTGTTCTCTTGAGATCATCGTTATCATTTAGTCTATAAGTGAAGTCTCAAGCTATCTTCCATTTGAATTCATTAATTAATTGATTAATCGAATTTCGAAAATTCAGCTCTTTGCAAGGGGATACAGAATATACTATCACACCTCAGAGCGAGCTGGGACAGGCTGCTGCTTGGGAGGTTGATCTATGTGAGCAGAAATTCCAGTAAGTCTAACATCTGCCGCAGTGTTGTTCGTGACATCAAACTTGTCAGCAAAGATGAAAGTCATGGGGAATCCGGGATCGAATGATGATGCGGCCTCAATCTCTTTCAGATCTTCCTGCGTGAGCTTGATACTCAACGCCTCGACGTTAGCCTTGAGGTGTTCGACCTTGCGTTGACCAACGATAGGGAACACATTTGGAGTCTTGTGCATGACGTAGGCAAGAGCAATTCCATGCATGGTAGCCTTGTGCTTCTCGGCGACTTTCTCGAGCGCATCTGAAATGGCATTGTCTTGCTCGCTGGACTGCGAAGCACGAGCTGAGCCTTCGTGCTCCTTGCTGCGAGCTTCCTTGGTCTTAAATTTGCCCTGACCCAGAGGGCCCCAAGGTGCGAGTGCCATGCCTTGATCGTAGCACATCGGGATTATCTCTCTTTCCATGTCTCTGTAGGCGGCGTTCCATTTGCCTTGGTAGACTGAGAAAGGACGCAGACCGTGAGCGCGGGCGTAGTCGTTAGCCTTGACTACAACCCAGGCGGGTGTATCCGAGACTCCCAGATAGAGAACCTTGCCAGCGGTGATCAACGCGTTGAGACCGTGCATGACTTCCTCAACACTGGTGGTAAAGTCCCACCAATGCACGTACAGCAGATCAATGTAGTCAGTGCGAAGCTTCTTCAGAGAACGGTTGACAGAGATGTGCATGGACTTGAACGAGTTGCCGACAAAGTTGGACTGGAGAGGCTCAGCATCGCGAGCATGGTAGCGGTATCCGGTGGTGTATTTGGTAGCAATGCTGTGATATTGGTAAGTCTGCTGATCGACTTTGCAGGAGAGTTGTGGGGATACATACACCATCTGATCACGATTTCCCTTCTTTTCCATCCATTCACCAAGCCACTCCTCAGACTCCTCGCATTGGTATGCATTAGCAGTATCGATGAAGTTACCCCCGAGGTCGAAGAAAGCATCAAGAACTTCAAAGCTGGTCTTCTTGTCACATTCTCCCATGAACTCTTTCCTGCGGGCGAATCAGTATGTTTTGAGTCGGGTTGTACTAGTAAACAAACTTACCATCCATTGCCGAAGTTCATGGCACCGAGGCACAATGGTGAGCATTTGATGCCGGCAGAGGGTGCCAGCACTCTGTGGTAGCCGAGAAGGCTCTTGGGCTTAGGTGCAGGGTCGAAGAAAGCCATTGTGAGTATGGTTCTCAGTTTGATATAGAGCAACAAGCTTGGGACAATCTGGAATGTTAAGGTTGGGAAGCAGCTCTACTTGTAGTTTCGTTCGTTGACCAAAAGAGTGCAATGACGTCCGCGGATGAGCGCGGGGTTAGGAGGTAACCTTACGCAACGGACTTATGAGAACTTAACTCCTACTGAACACGTTCAATGAAATGAGTCTCCACCACAATGGCAACCTATTGGAATGCTTCGGCCGTAGCTTTGGATGTGAAAGGTGAAGCCCTCGAGATGTGGTGGTTGATAAGCGTTTTGAACCTTATCGACGCCGAACTTAACCCCACCACGTCTATTATAGGGCCTGAACTGCTTCTCTTGCTGCATGAGTCGATATTGCAGCCAATCATCTAACACTTGTTCATGGATCAGGACTGCTGAGCTTCAGATGAGATGCAGGATTAATTGCTAGAGACGTCCATTTGGGCAAGTTCCGGATAGGTATCATCGCACTTCTATTGGCCTTCCAAGATCCTTCAATGGAACCTGCGACTCATACGAGCCTCTCCCACTCCTGTTCTGCTCTTTACCGTCCTCGAGACTATCGGAGTGAAAATCGCTGTCCGCATCTCCGACATAAACTTGGACTTCTGTCTGGCGAGAGATGCCTTGGATGTCTTTTCGCTGTGCCTTGTCAAGCTGGGTATGACCAATCACTGCAGTGTTCTGTGGGCCAATGTTCATGTCATCGTCGCCGTGTAGGGTACGTGTATGATGTGATCGTGATTGCTCGGGGAATGGCGTGTGAGAGGACGATTTCGGCTTGACGTCGTTTTCGGATGATCGCGCGACTTTGACTATCATATCTGCCATCTGTATCGAAGAATGTCAGTATCGGTCCCCTGAAGTAGTCGAAGAAGAATGAATGAATAACATACAGACATCTCTATGTTGAGCTTTACCATGTCTATAAAGGAATGTTAGCCATCAGCTTGAGCAAGGTTGTTGGTTTTACTTACATGCAACCGGATGAAATTGCACAAAAAGTAAATGATTTCTCAAGGACATCAGTCCAATAAGCATAAGCTGAAAATACGTTAGTATCGGACATGCTACGCGACATGTCCAGAACATACATCCATTGCGACCGACACCAGACCCAAGCGAGTATAATACCCGATCAGGGGTTTGTACTTTTTAAGACCATGATATTTGACAAGTCGTGCCCGCACGACGTAGACGAAATACCAATTCAGGTAAGCACTGGAAGGCTATCAGCAGATGCCACCCACGCTGCGGGCAATATTAAGCAGGCTTACTCGACAAGCATAATCAAGACTTTCGATAGACGATCCCAGTACTTGTTGATGTTTACGAAGGTCTGGTTCGCCGGAGGTATCATGTGGCTCGGAATGAAGATGCAAAAGACGGCAATATTGATGCATGAGATGATGACGGCTGTTGCGATCTTGAGTTTGGTCGCAGTCGGTTTTCGTTCTGCGATGAGGGCGATTCGATTGATGATGATCTGCATCAGAAGTTGAACTTCGAACGCGTAGAAGACAAGGATGAAGAAGAGAAGGACTGGGCTGTGTCTATCGTTAGTACGTTTCAAGCTTGGCTGATTACTATAAGACAGGTTGCGACTATCCATCCGATCTCTGGTCTGCACAGTGTCGACGGTAGTTGAAACAGCTGAGATGCTGTGGAAGATCGCTGACAAGAGATTTGCCAAAGCTTTGCCTGCATCAACGATTTGTAGATCCGTGTGCTACGGCGCCATCGCAGATGGTCGGCCATTGAAGAGAAGATATCCGGAGGTCTCGTGTGTAGCATCAGGAAGCAAACATGGTACTCACGTAGTCTTCACAACATCCTTGAGGTAGAGCCACGTCATGATTCCAAGGATCAGGTTTGCCAAAATCTCTCCCCATAGCATGTAAATGTACGCGCTCCGAGCAGGAGCTCTGTTAGCCTTCGTCTGCTTATAGGCGCGAACTACAGTCAAGTATCCGAAGCCAAGAGAGAATCCAGCAGCGGCCGCCGCAAGTTGCAAGTCTCCAGATGTCGTCTCGCTCGCCATGGCGGTTGATGAAAGTGAAAGTGCCAGCTCACGAGAGCTGATTCAAGAAAGAACTGCACTCGAGCTCGGCAACAAACAAGGGTGTGAATGCTTCATCATATCAAGCGGCTAGTCAAGATCGTGCACTGTGCACAGAGGCAAGTTGAAATGCTGTCCCACATCATCGCCGCTCGTGTGGTCCAAGCACTGAAAGCTGTGAGCCTCGATCTGGGAGACTCATGATGCGGACAAACGGCAGAGCGGTGCTTGTAACAGTCGAGCGAGGATCTGAATCCTAATAGGCATGATATACAGACTTCTCGTGTGTCGTCGCTGGATCTGAGACAGCAATCGTGGACGCACCACCTACCCGGTCAAAAGTCCCGTATACTTGATAGTGCGATGCAGAGAAGGTCCACTACCGAGTCATACACGTTAGAGAACCCGGTGGCCTGAATGTTCCGCAGTGGGTCTCGTATATCAGACACGGCTATGACCACATTTTATTGTTCGAATTTCGTTTGGAGCATCTGGAAGGTATCACTGCGGTGTCAAGCTGTTAACGCGTCGCACCTATTCTGAAACCTTCATCCAGCCCTACAGCACTAGAACAGGGTTTCGCCAAAAGATCGTCTATAATGGCTGGGCCGATATAGCCGCACCAATAAGATCTAGATCAGCGTGAGCGACCGCAGAGATAATGAACGTCTTTTTGGTAGGTCGTTGTTCGTTTAGTTGTGATGTTGAGTCAACATTCATGCTCTGGTCCGAGGAGAGACGTGAATCTGGAGGGAAAGCGCAACACCCCGCGTTCCACCTTGCCTCGGTCCTGCGAGCTTGCTACACCAGTACATGCTATATGACCTTAGCTCTAGAACCCGAAATGAAAACAATCACGACGTTCTGATCAATTCACCAACATGTCCTTGAGATCATACACAAAACCTGTGGCCCTGGTGGTCGGGGCATCCCGGGGCATGGGCCGACAGATAGCAATTAGTTTAGCTGAAGAAGGTTATACAGGTAAGATTAATATCAGAGCATCTATCTATAGCCAGGAAAGAGTTTACTGATGGTGGACAAAAGTCGTCGTTGCAGCAAAGACAACCTCAGATCCGGAAAAGCTGGCTTCGTTTCCACCAGATCCAAATTCATCTCAAAGCACCATCAACACAGTCGTGAAGGAGATACACTTGCTGGGAGGAACTGCAGTGGCCATGAAAGTAGATACCCGTTCGCCAGAGTCAGTAAACGCACTGTTTACCAGGGTGTCGTTTGAGCTCGGCCGTCTCGATGTTCTGGTTTACAACTCTGGAGCCATATGGTGGTCTTCAGTGGCCAAGACGCCGGTCAAGCGATTCAAGCTCATGCAGGAAGTCAACATCGAAGGTTTATATGCCAGCATTCAAGCCTCATTCCCTCTTTTTGAGAAGGGTAATTGGAAAGGCCGAGTTGTTGTGGTCTGTCCGCCAATCTATAGCCGCTTCTTCAGAGGCAAGGCTGCATATGCTGTTGGAAAGGTAGGAATGAGTGTTCTGGTCAAAGGACTGTCCATGGATTGGATTCGGGAAAGCAAGACTGGTATGGCAATCACTGGTATCTGGCCTGCAGTAGCTATCGAAAGTGCTGCAACTCAAGGCGCTGTTGCGGCAGAAATGGATAGAAGCAGCGATCTCAGGAAAGCCACTGTGTTCTCGGATGCCATCCTAGCCATACTTGGTTCTCCTACGGCTGAGGTGAATGGGCTACTGACCACAGATGAAGACTTCCTCCGAGACTCCAAAGGTGTGACTGATTTTGGCAAATACAGTTTCGTACCTGGGTCTACCCCAAGAAGAATCATGCCCAAAACTTTTCCAGATCTGACTGTCGAGGAGCAGGATGACGAAGGTGTTAGAACGGATAGTACGATATTGCGTGCTCGGCGTCAATCGAAGCTCTAGTTTTCTACAATGTTAGGTCAAGCTTGTCGGTCAGTGGGACCAATAGCTTTTGCTAATTCTGTCTACAAGAAATGATAACTAGAGTTACATCATAAACATAGGGGGATGGAACGAAGAAGCGAGACTTCTTCAAGGGCGAGCCGCCTCCTTGCGCGCGTCGTTACCTACAGATTGTTGGGCAGGTAGTCTGCATAATCACCCTCTTGCATAATCAGGGTATGCAGCCAACCAAACCCGTTACCCAGGCGGCAGTAAATAGCCTGGCGCTAATACCCTTGATGTGAAAACAATCTGTAGCACAACATCTTTTTTCGGGAACGCATCTGCTCTGTTACAACTCTCCATTCGAACAATTTTTCTTTCGAACCGAAACACCCTGCAACAATCATGAATCAGTTTGTTGCTAGATTTTCTACCTGTTCGGCAGAGGACTGCAAGGCTCCTGGTGTGAGAGGCATGTTTTGTCACACTTGCAAGCAGCATCTATGTGCCCGAGATCTGCGACCAGTGTATCACACATGCGCATCAGCTGTCGAGGTATTCCTCTCCTTCTATGTTTGCTGGCGATTTTCTGTTTTTGATTCTGTTTCCTTTTCTTTGGCTAACTATGCTGATAGCTGAGTGAAGAAGAATGGGTGGCCCGAGTTGAAGACGAAATATCACAACTTGTCGATCAAATCAATGTTCCAGAGCTGGAGAAGAGGGCATCGATTCTCAAGGGGGATGTCGCATGCTACTTCAATCCCAGCAACTACCATGACGCGATGCTGGGGAATGCTAATTATCACGCCTGGTTGATCTTTGATGATGGAGACAGATGGCTTGTACGTACTCCAAGGACAGTGTTCTACGACATTCCACAAGACATGGTCGAGTATTTCATCGCAAGCGAATTTGCGACGCTAAAGTTCTTGGAGCCTACCAAAGTGCCTGCTCCTAAGGCTTTTGGATTTGGGCTTGCTTCTGATGAGAACAATGCTGTTGGCGTGAGCTATTTGCTCATGGAATGCCTTCCTGGCAAGCCTTTCGACAGTGACCTCCTAGGAGCGAAACCTCAGCAACGACAAAGCATCCTCGCACAATTTGCGGAGATATTGATCGAAATCTCAAAACTTCCCGTTCCGGCAGCAGGGTCGCTGGTTTCCAGAGATGGCCAAACCAGTGTGTCCAAGATAGCGAGCAACCGCTTTGTTCATCTCGATCTATCCGGACCTTTCTTCACTACGTCTGACTACTTCGCCGCTATATCTGATCAATACCTCGATCTGGTTGCCGATGGTCAGGTACACCCCCAATACCCTACTGAAGCATTTGCATTCTACTTGTTAGCACGCAGAGAAGCTCGGGCCTTCGAACGGTCGACTACCGTCAGTCCAGAAGAATTCTTCCTCAAGCATGTCGATGATAAAGGGGATCACCTGCTGCTCAACGATCAAGGCATCATCACAGGCATCATAGACTGGCAGTTTGCTCGTTTCGTCCCTGCTATCGAAGCATTCGGTCCCTCCTACCTCACCGCCAACCTTGGATGGCTGTACTCGAGTAACACCGGAATCACTACTCTAGACAAGCAGCTTGCGGCAGAACTACGTCAACGAGGCGCAGGCAACCTCGCCGGATACATGGAGAGCCACGAGATTGCAAGACGCTTCCATCATGGTCTTGGTCAGGATGTTACGAAGTCGGAGGCACGCGAAATGCTGGAGGCCTGGCGAAAAATCCTCCAGGAGGTCATACCGTCGGATCTAGACTTGTGGATGGCTGGAATCTGTGATAAGGACCCGCGTTGGGAGAAGGTACTACGACTTTCACAGTCTTGATTGTAAGGATGACTTCAGGCCGACAGACGAATCAAGATTATCTGCTCTCCAGGGTTGCTCAACGAGCATGGGCTAGCGACCCTCTTGGTTGAGTTCTAAGACAAGAATCATTCCAAGGACCGATCTAACTGTCGAGGAGCAGGATGACGAAGATGTTAGAATCGACTACACGGTACCGCGTGCTAAACGCCATTCGGAGCTCTAGCCTTTTGCAATGTCAGGTCGAGGTCGTTGGATGGTGATAAGATGCTGATCGCTTTCATCGATTCTGTTCACCCGTACGTTGCTCGCATGTAGGATGGTTGCGAGAAATGAGAGTCGTGATCGCTTCATGCGCGTAGAGAGAGGAACGCTTCGATCTTAAGGCTCAGCCTGTATCACCTTCATCACCATCCTCGTCGTCGTCATTCTCCTCGTTCTCCTCGTTTATCTTCTCGATAGCAGCCTTATGAACGGGGCTTGCGAGTACGGCCTTGATTATCGACAAGCCTTTCTCCTTTTCCAGATCGATATACCAGTCATAAAAGTAGAGTAAATAGCGTTTGTGACAGGCTTGTTCCAGGGTCTTCCAAGTTAGTTGCAGGTTGACCAAGATCTCGGTTGGATATTCGCGCCAACCAGATTCGTCTTCAATCAAATCAATTATCGCCGAGAGAATCTCGGGAGGCAGCTTGCTCAGGCTGTTGTTCGTCATAATTGAGAGTTCATCTGTACCGATCGCTTGCAAGAGGCATTCCTGTCAAATGGTCTATTCGTCACGTCGTGAAGCAGAATGGCGGTGCGAGGCAGAATCGAGGCGTCTACCTAGAATCCGCGAACGCTCGAATGGAACTGCTCAGTACACCATTGTCGATAAAATGATACCGACCACTAGTAAAAAGTGATGATCACGTTTGGTTGTCATGACTAGAGTAGCACAAGAAAAGGCGAGTTGCAGTCTGGTGTGTTCATAGGAGAATACACGAAGCTTTGACCACTTTCAACCTGGCAGGCAAGTTGGTGCTCACAGGCAGCCTGTCCTACACGTAGATCTCCACCTCATCGTCTGTGACCATCCACTCATCAAACACGCGTGCTGATGTAGTCGCACTTTTCCGCTCAAACCCATTGCACATCCAAGGAAGCCTGTTTGCAACAGCGAATTTGTCGTCTCACGAGTCGCAGCAGCACGAATCAAACTACTCGACCACACACCGTTAACGGGTGCAGGCTTCGACAAACATGTTCGAGGTAAATTCCCCAATTGCTTGAGAAGCAATCATCAACGCTCGATCTGCCCAAGCTCATCGCAAGATTTGCTGCACATACAGACACGGCATGCGGCAGACCGCTATCACCTCCGCCTTCATCGGGCGCGCTCAGTGATCCTTACAAACACCGAGTTGGTCGAGATTCGCGCTGCTCAACGCACTTTCGAGGGCGCATATATCCGCACCTCATTAGGTCAATTCAGCTTTGCACTTGTGGTTCTCAAGATCTTTACAGCCGAGTTTTATTCTATCGGGGCTTTGTTTGCGATTTATGGCGCGGGTGTGCTGGGAGTCAGCGCCTTCAGAAGAATGCAAGGAAACAGGCAGTTCTTTTCTGAAGTTGGTGAGGATGGGCTGAGGAGGAAGAAGTTCAGAACAAGCGGTAATGTTGTGGTTGTCTTGACGGCATTGAGTGTTGCTAGTTATATATGTTTGCTAGTGCTCACTCTGAGATTATGATGAGAGCGGTTCTCGGTTTACTGGCTTCGGGATTATGAATAATCAGAACAGCAGCTGGTTTGATAGAGCATATTTTATGATGTATGAATGATGTTCACATGACCGGATCTGACTGAATCCTGATATTGTTGATCGACGACATGGTCTGCGAGTATCGGAGTTCTCGTGTTCATGGCTACCGTCACTTCCTTCGGAACCCCTTTGGTCGTCCGCTGCAATTGCTGTGTTCATATCTTGTCGGATATACATCAGGGGTGTACTGTACCTTACTACTACTAATGAGGCAGAAGACCAGCTGAAAAGTGGTTGACAATGGATGCTCTTTCTCCTCACGATGACTACAGAATGACTACGAACGAGAAATACATGTCCATTATTGCTACTCTGCCTCAAGCGTACTAACAAAGATGGAAGATAAGTGCATACTGAAATAGAACACACACAAGGCGCTCAGTGTTACTGTATGCATGGAAGTGATGAAGCAAATATTGGCTGAGCTTTGATGGGCAAGGCAGGGCGCGCTTTGGCGGGGTCCGAAGGCGGAGTGCCGATAGTAACACTTGCGGAGACAGCCTGAAGGATCATGAGGAGATCAGATTGGCATGAGCGAACAGAGATACGGAAAGTAAGGAGCTGATGGGTTATCTGGGTAGGCCAATGGGTTGACGCAAGACGACAAGGACGATAGCAATTTCGTGTTTTTCATCTCAACAAGTTTGGGTGGGCGAGACGCAGCGTCGGTCGGCGTGGGAGGCATCCGCAGTTCGATTGGCTCCCCCTTGTTGATATGTATTGTTCTGACGCCGGCAGCCTTGGGGAAAGGAAGGAAGAAGGCAACGGTCTATTCGGGCCTCTTCTGTGTCGTCGCATGTGTTATCATCGGGTCAGCTGCTGCCCTCAAGGACCAAACTTGATTTTTCAATCGACCGTCTCCTGACTTCAGCGACTTCTTCGGCGCATTTCTAGCACGCTTGATTTCATAACCAAACCACCACCAAGCTGAGCTCGTGATCAACCAGGGCGCGCCAGGAACTGGTACTTTTGTACTGGATCTCTTTTGGCGAACCGTGGAAAAAACAGAAGATACTGCAAGTCTGCAACACGTTCTGCGAGAGAACCTTATTGCAAGCGCGGCCTTTGAAGTTATTTATGCTTCACGCGCCAACACAGTCATAATTATTCAGGCTGGTCACACAAAGTCGAGGCTCGTCTCATCAACTTTCAATCATCGCTCATCGACATCTCACGCAATTCTCTTCTTCTTCCTCTTCCTTCGACCAAGGCGCACCGACCATTACCTACATTTTATACATATTCGACAGTCAAGGCTTCGCCTATCAGGATCGAGGCTCAGGCCGTTTTCGGAGTTAGTCAGCTTAAACGAGTACGACTCGTGTACTTTTGACAGGGCGCCGCGATAGGAGGCAGCCAGAAGCAGCTCGGTCCGTAAAGCGTCATAGGCCGTCGAAATTCTGGACCCTCTTTTTCTCATTATGCCACTCATCTGCGAGCCAAGTGAAATCCTGGCAGCTTCTTCCACCTCGTCTACCCTCCCTTTCCACATCCGTCGCCAGAGCCAGCAGAGCGACATTGCAAAGTCTGTGATGATGAGCAACGCACAGGATCAGCATCGCCGCAGCATTGACGAGAACACTCACAAGGACCTGAAGTCCAGTCTCAACACCAGCCTGGGCAGCTCGGCCAACAAGAATGGCTCTCAGACTCCAGAAATCCAACCCTTCCGCCCTGCACCTTCAAACCGCACAGCATCCGCCGTTGGCGCCACCAACACTGGCGCCTCAAACGACACTCCTGATGGCACTGCTCCGAACAGCCCTAGATTGTTGCCGGTAAGGCAAAACTCAGGTTCAAGCACCCCGCGCGTCCGCCCGACAACCCTCGATATTCCTGGCCTCACAAAATCAAAAGTCTCACCCGACGGCAGAATCGCCAAAAGAGATGTCGGTGCCAAGCTGGTCATCGTCATGGTTGGCTTGCCTGCTCGCGGAAAGAGTTACATCACAAAGAAGCTTGCACGCTACATGAACTGGCTACAGCATGATACACGCATTTTCAACGTAGGAGAAAGACGTCGTGTCGCTGCTGGTGGTCCGAACACTCTTGAGAAGACGAGAAGCCGCACACACCGTCCTTCCTTCCTCCCAAACGAACATCGCCCAAGTCTGGCCAGTCTCAATGGCATTGTCGACGCAGCAACACACATTGGTCCATCTGGCCTTGCCGCACAAATTCAGGCACACAGCGATAAGCATGAAGACAAAGACAGCCAATCACGCAGACTCACAATGCCAACCATCCAGCTCCCGCCAGCTTCCGAAGATGACGGAGTCCCTGAGACCGCTGATGATGGTACAGACGGCGTTGAGCTGACCAAGGTGTCGACTCCTGAGATGCCTGACGCTGAATCAATGGACCAATCTGCCAGCTTCTTCGACCCTTCAAATAAGAGAGCCGCCTTGATCCGTGAACAATGCGCCATGGATACACTAGACGAACTTCTTGACTACATTCTCGAGGGCAATGGATCCGTTGGTATTCTTGACGCGACGAACAGCACCCTCGAGCGCAGAAAAGTTATCATGAAGAAGATTCGTGAAAGAGCTGGTGCTGAGCTGAACGTTTTGTTCCTCGAAAGTCGCTGCGTTGACGAAAACTTGCTCGAGTCCAACATGCGCTTGAAGCTTTCAGGTCCCGACTACAAGGACCAAGATCCCGTCACTGCTCTTGAGGATTTCAAGAAGCGTGTCGCTATCTACGAAAAGGCCTACGTGCCGCTCGGCGAGTACGAGGAGAAGAACAATATGCCCTACATTCAGATGATCGATGTTGGTCGCAAGGTCATCTCGCATCAGATTCGTGGTTTCCTCTCTGCACAAGCCAACTACTATCTCCTCAACTTCAACCTTGCGCCACGTATGATTTGGATCACACGTCACGGTCTATCCATGGACAATGTCTCTGGCAAAATTGGTGGTGACTCGGACCTCAGTGATGAGGGCACTCAGTACGCCAAAACTCTTACCAAATTTATTGAGCACGCACGCAGAGAGTGGGACATGAAGCAGCTCCACAAGCTCACTCACTCTCACTTCCCTCCCCAGCCTGGTGACACCACTCCTCCCAACCCTCACTACCAACCCAACGATAACAACGAGCTTCCTCAAAAGTCTTTCTGTGTTTGGACTTCTATGCTCAAGCGTAGCATCCAGACGGCACAGTTCTTCGACGACGAGGAGTACGACTCGAAACAGATGCGCATGTTGGATGAGCTCAATGCCGGTATTATGGAAGGTCTCACCTACTCGTCCATCGCCGAAGCTCACCCTGCCGAGTATGCTCTTCGCAAGAAGGACAAGCTGCACTACCGCTACCCCGGCCCTGGTGGTGAGGGCTACCTCGACATCATCAATCGCCTGCGTCCTGTGATCGTCGAGCTCGAGCGCATGGAAGATCACTGCTTGCTTGTCGGACACCGCAGTGTCGCTCGTGTTCTGCTGGCATACTTCCGCGGCTTGAAGAGGGAAGAGGTTGCCGATTTGGATGTGCCCATCGGTATGCTATACTGCCTCGAGCCCAAGCCCTATGGCGTGGACTTCAAAGCGTACAAGTGGGACAAGAAGACCGAATGGTTCTACGAGCAGCCCAACTTCCAACTCAAGCGCGCAGAGGACGATATGCAATGAATCTAAGGGGGATGAACGATGAAGCTTTTTCTTACCTTTCCTTTTCTTTTTCTTGTATGATGACAATTTCTATCTCTTTGGGCAGGCAAGCGGAGTTTCAGAAGGCTGGGAACTACAAACAGGGCGTTTTCTGCATGTGATTCTTCTTCCAGGCTACATGGGCATTGCGAGCGACAATATGGGTGGTTACCGAGTGTGGACGATTGTGCTTTTAGAGGATTCGGTGATGAATGATTCCTGCCTCCCAAGCGATTTTTTTTCTTTCTTCCTTGGTCATCTTCGAGTATCATGTGCCAGTTTTTCGCCGTCGGTGCCGGTGTTTATGCTAGATCATACGTCGACAATTATTCACTCGTGCAATGCCAGCATCAGTATGTCTCCAACAAACCGTTGTCTTCCTTCTCATCAATGCATTGCTGATCATCATCGCTTTTGCTCAAAGCTTCCCTTGCCTCGGTCCCAACCTTGTGCGCTCCCAGTGCCATGATGAAGATCCTGTCCAAGTATCCCGACCCAGATACAAAATTCGATGATCTAAGCGTCTTGCCAGCGAGCAAAACGAGCTTCCGCAATACAAGCTGACAAGTTGTTCCAAGCATCCTTACGGTCTTGCATAACAGTCCTTCGGTCAGTATATGCATACTCTGCAAGCCCACAGGTAAATCACTCTCTGCTCGCACCAAGGCAATCAATTCGCGACATCTAGCTTGCAAATCAAGAAACTCGGAACTGGCTTCCAGCATACGACTTGCGCAATCAGAGATATCGAGAACTCTGGTTTGGTCCTCGGTCATATTGAATCTGCTTGAGTAGGTTCTTTTGGTGAGTCTTCTGGCGTGGTTGGCTGCTAGCAACACTGAAGGTGGGTGATCTCTTCTTTCGTCTAGGAAGTGCACTGGGTATGTCAGCATTGTGTGACAAAAGCGGTGAATTTACACTTACTACTTTGTGGATCTACCGTACCGCCGTTGGTGATCTTGTCGTGTTGGATCATTAAGTGGTGACCCACGAGTTGTAATTCAGCGATGGAATCTGCAAACATGATGTCCAAGGTCTTGAGAGTTTCTAGACATTTGACCTTGTTGAGGAGGAGGAGTTCGCTGTGTCGCCATTGGGCTTTTTCATCCACCGCGGCTCTGATATCTTTCATGGGTCGTACATATTCTGGCGAGAGGGCGAGTACGTATTGGTTCTTCGAGTCCAGTGTGTGAGGAGAGGTTGATGAGTTGAGGTCTGTAGAAATTGTAAGTTGTCAAGGTCATGACAAGATGTGATGGCGGCTTACTGCATATACTGCGTACAATAGCAGTGATCTTTCTCAGTAAAGACAATTTGAACATGGATTGTGGTATGTATACTGAACAGTAGAACCACAACGAGATTGAAGACAGCAAGAAGATAACTAGACCAGCGGTTATCCACATTGCTCAGGAGATGTGCTTACTTTGTTTTCCTTCGTCGAGACTTACATCAAGACCTTTATATGCATACAGTAGGAGAGAACATGTTAGATCATCAAGACAGCTCTAGAAAGTATCAAGACACATGTCTCTGCTCAGAAGCTATATTTGGATATGAAAAACTGGCTGCATTGTTCCAAGCACTTTCTTCGATTAGGAAGTTTTGATCAGAAACAGAAGTATCATGTCGACGAGACCTGAGTTTGCCATATCATCTCTATCGCGAAGTCAAGCAATTGGCATGATGTGTTTAGCGAGATGAGACACGGCAGTGACCCTGAAAGTCAGTTGAGGTTCGCGCCAGCCGCCAGGAAAAAATTTACCTCGACCAAATTTTTCTTTTACCTTTGTCTTCTAGTTTTCTTATCTTTCGCGCAACACAAAGCCTCTGTTTCTGCCGCATAGCACAAACATGTCTCAGAGTCCTCAACGCTGGTTCTGATTACAATAGCTGCGCCTCTCCAACAACGAGAACGGCGCTCTTTTGCGTATCAGGATTCACTCTAGTGAGGGCTTCATATTGTCAAATTGTGGTTCTTCCCACAACCAGCACCAAGATCTCAAGTCTTGGCGTTTCTCCTAGGCGCTTTGGCGGAGTGGTTAACGCGATGCCCTGCTATCTTCTCTTCGAGATATCGGTAGGCATTTCCTTCGGGAGCGTGTGTTCGAATCACACAGGCGTCGAGCTTTTTGCACTTTCTCAATGTATCTAGCATGTATGATGTGTTTATCTTTTGCTGGGAAGGTGTACAAAAAGCAGGGGGTGGAGTTTGGTGGTGTTATGGTGAGATTTTTGGCAAGTGAAAATGGCTCGGCGTGGAAGCTTCGACACCAAGCTTTGGGCCTTTGGGTCCTGCTTTTTGTCTCTTGCATCGCTGCCTCGAGTATAGTTGTTTTGTTACCTTCAAGAATACTGACGTTTGTTGTCTTCTGTGTCGACGGTTTGTATTTGCATGAGCGCGAAAGGTTTGTTATTGCTGGCGAGAATGCAGTATAAAGTACTTTACATAAGTCCAATCGTGCCATCGTGTCCAAACCCAAAATTGTCATCAATCATATCTCAGTCATAAATCGTAGGTCGTCAAATTGTCCGTCTCCATCTAGAGGGTAACAGTGTTACCGTCAATGTTGAGCATGCCAGTATACATAAATCTGCGTCCATCATCCTGCAGTCCGTGGAAAGCAACATGAGTCGCATCTAAAGAGGCATCCAGTCCACCTCTTCCGCCTCCCACAAGACTTCCTCCGCGAACAAAATCTGCAGTGGGAGAGTTGCTTGTTGCGTAGAGTGTATCGTAGCTGTCTGTGCTGTAGCAATGAGAGCTGAACATCAGAATGTACGTGCTCCCTCTTCTGATCATCGCGGGAGCCTCGATATCGGGACCATCTGAAGCTTGTAGGTTCATAATGTTGGATGGACTTCCTTGTTTGCTGATGCCGTCTGCGCCAACCTTCTGAATCATGATAGGTGTATTCATGATAGGAGCGACGCCATTGTTGCATACGCCTCCATTACCTCGGGCGTTGCCGTCAATCTTGTAAGTGATGTACCAGGTTCCATCTGCATCTCTGAAACCAGATGCATCAATGGCGCCGCCCTGGTCAACAGGACAGTACCATGGATTGGGAGATGGGCTGTAAGGGCCTTCTACATTGGAGCTGGTAGCAGTGCCGATGCAGTGATAGTTGCCATTACCACCAGTGTTTGTAGTGGCACTAAAGTACATGACGAAGGACCCATCATCCTGTTGATACGTTAGTTGACTTGACTCAAGCTAAACAGGATGTGTTTCGTTAACTTACCAGGTGCAAAACATCAGGAGCCCAAACCAGAGGATTGCTTTGGTTGACCCAGCCAGGCAAGTTTGGCAAGGCATCCTGACCCTCATGAAGGGACCAAGAGTTGAAATCGGATGAAGAAGCAACTTGGATGTGGATGTTCTTGTAGTCATAGAGTGACTGGGTACCGAACGCGAACCATTGATTGTTGACGCTGACAATCGATAGATCAGGAAAGTCAGTGGTGATAACAGGACCACTAGTTGAGCGCCTATCAACTGGAGCTGCGGAGCATAGTAGTGCCGTTGCCAGCAGGGTAAAGGTTGTGCTCAACATTAGAGAAAAGTTCAATGTAGGAATAGATGCTGGGTATGTGTATAACACAGAGATGAATCTTGTAAGGATAAAAATATTGTGTAGAGGCAAGGATGGTCAAGGATATGTTCGAACCAGCATCATCAAGGACTCAACGACATTTATACCATTTGACCCGCTCTGGATTTCTCTTACCATAGACTTACCACATCGATATTCATTGCTCACATCACGTATTGCTGCCAACCTAGGCTGGCAATAACAACACACGGCCGTAGTGATGTGCAATCACTTGACCAACAACATACTTCCTTCACAGCCGCCATCGTCATCTTGGCGTTCTTGCATCTGTATACCTCAACTGTAACGAGTAAGGGGCTATGCAACGTGAGCAAAAGCCCTTCTGTTCATTCCTGACAGGTAATTTTCTTCTGTGGTATGACGTCGAAAGTATTCGGTGATTGTGACCACGGCTGCAGGCACACCCGTTAACCCTGTGTCCTTTTCTTGAGCTGCAGCGACGTTTGAGGAACAAGATTGTAGCTATGTGCTGTAACTACAACGCGCTGACTGGTTGATTGCTAGAATGGCTGACAAAGCCAAGGCGCTGGGCACTTATTGCTCCCCGTACCAGAGGAATGTCCAACGGCCAAGAGGTGTAGTTGATCTACTGAGCGATCATCTGAAGAAAGACTCGGGACGAGATCTTGTTGATCTCAATTTCGTGTTTGAGGGCGAACGTTATTCTGATCGTTAAGGTTATGCGGCGCGCGCAGTTGGCATGCGCAGGGTGCCGAGCGGAAGATCACCAACATGCCCAGAGGCTTGGATGTTGGGCTTGCACCAAGTGGTACCGAAATAGCATGATCTCGCTGCTTATTCGTTCTTTGAAAAGCGCCATGTGTATAGCGTCAGACGGATTGTGTTGCCATGTCAGAGTTGCTTCAAATAGGAGTCTGAAGAGTGTGCGCCTTGCTCTAGAACGGTAGGCCCTCGAACGCCGGCAAAGCACTGCCGTCCAGGCAATGGCAGCCTTTCACGCATGTGGCGCCTCGGGCTCGCTCGCTCGACAGCGACGATTGTCCACAAGGCTCGTGCAGCTGACAGAGCTACTCGCACGTAAGGAAATAACACAGACACGAACCGGTGATACAGGCACGAGATCAGCTCGAGAGAGATCGTTCTATGATCGACGAGGAGCGGTGGAAGACAAATCGGAATGTGGGGTCCCCACGTCATGGTGCACGTTGTTCCTCCATCTTTCATACGCGAACACTTCACGTGTATTGATGTAAATGTGCGGTGAGATGGGGTAGCACTGCAGCGTAGCTATCAACACATAGACGATGGGTGAATAGTATCAAAGATCTATGCGAAGTTGAGCGTCAAGTGTTTTGGAGTCCATGAGTAGCTGATTGGATCAGAACAGAGCGAATGATGGCTCAAAGATCATTCAAGTCCTGGTGTTGCATGACTTAGCACAAGACAGATGTAGATCTCGGATTGACGCCTAAAGACAATCGACGAAGAACCACAGTAGAGGCGAAGAACAAGTGCTAAGACACACCGAGCGTTGTTGACAGCTTCGAAGGATGCTTTGTATCATTACATCCAATTCGGTCAAGAATGCGTAGTGACTGCATCAGGTATCTGGGCAGGAGAGAAGCAAGAGCCATAGATATCAAACTGACCGCTCAAAGCAGCTTGATTCGGCCCATGAGCATTTGATTGAGGCGCATAGCCATGTGACAGACCACTCGAGACGTCCTCGTGAAAATGCCGAGGGGAACACCCTGGCATATTTACGAATCGCAATGCGACAAGCGTAGAGATCTGTTGCGGAAGATCGCGACTGCTCAAACACGTTGAACAGCATCACTCTCACAGCAAGCCTACCAAACAAACGAATGTGGTGCTATTGATATGTAGCGACACCGGTAAGGAACAATACATCATCAGGTCAAATGACTTCAACCCTTGTTTGCTCCAGCTGTGGCGCATTGGCATTTGTCTGCGGTACATGTGTAGAGGAGAAACCTTTTGAAACAGACAAAGTCGGCGAAGGATACTCCTACAATAAGAACCGGTAATGAGTTGAAGAAAGAAAGAAGAGGACTGAGAGACGCCGACTGGAAGACTTTGTCAATGGAGAAACCTCGGCATAACTCAAGTTTGGCAGGCGCAAGTGCTTGGGCGTCATACGGGGATTAGAAGGTGCTGTTTCAGCTAATTCCGGGGTTGTCGTCGGGGAAGGCACCAAGGCACCTACGCCTTTGTCTCTCTTCGAGAAGGAACCATGTGGCACTTCTGGCTTTGCTCAAGTGTCGACTTTTGCGGTCTTTTCAAACTCTCCTGAACCACCTACTAATACTCATACCACCATATTCTATTCTCAAATACTCCGACCACCTTGACCGCCAGATAACTACTTCCCACGCCGAAGCTTCGCCACTGCTGGACACTGGTATACTTGTTCATGCAATAGATCATTGGTTGAGACATCAGGATGGCAGGATCCATCGACTATGCGCGCCTGCGCGAGCAGACCATGGGGTCTGGTCTGGATGAAGAGGCGGTTACAGTCAACACACGAGCCTTGATTGACAAGGTCTTGGCCAGATATTCTGGAGAATGGACGACTCTGCGTGAGCTCATACAGAATGCCGCCGACGCTCAAGCCACAAAGGTCACGATCAAATTCGAAACTCTGCCCTCCCCGAATGTCCCTGTACCGCCAGCTAGCGACCCTTCCGCCCAACTCAAGCACGTTTTGACCAACCACACCCTACAACGACTGCTAGTATCAAACAATGGCCAGTCGTTTGCCGAGACGGATTGGCAACGTTTGAAGAGAATTGCAGAGGGAAACCCAGATGAGACGAAAATTGGTGCCTTTGGTGTTGGCTTCTACAGTGTCTTTGCCGATTGTGAGAACCCCTTTGTCAGCTCAGGCGACCAGACCATGGCGTTCTACTGGAAGGGCAACAGCTTGTTCACCAGAAGAGGCAAACTACCAAAGGAACAGGCCACAGGCGAGACTGCCTTTGTCCTCGACTACCGCAACACAACCTCTCCCGTACCCAACCTAATGTCCATCTGCCAGTTTCTTGCTACTAGTCTGACCTTTGTTGGCCTTCAATCCATCGAGCTGTGGGTTGACCATTGGAATATGATCACGCTCAACAAGAAGATGGCTCCGTCTGCTGATGTTAGTATCCCACACGACGTGAATCCCAAGACGAAAGAAGGGCTCATGAAAATCGTTGGTGTGGAATATCAAAACGCTCAGATCGACGCAAAATGGTGTAACGTCATCGGCTGGACTCGTGTGGCTGGTGCTCAGCAACAACTGCAGGCATCCTCATCAGAAGCACCAACCCAATCCCTACGAGGCTTCTTCAGTCGCTTTACATCAGCTGCTACCGGCCCTAGTGCGGCTGCCAAACGTGCTGCCAAGGAAGAGGAAGCTGTTCAGAGAGCTATATTCGAAGATCTTGCAGGTACAAGTACAGCTTCCGTCTTCTTGCGAATCAGCACTGTCAATGTGCAAACCTACGTCAACAAGAGTCTAGCCGCTGAACTCGAGCGTGCTACGAAAAAGCCTCCACCAAAGCATACAAGGATTGCCATTCTGACATCTTCATACGACGAGAGCTCCGTGTCCATGGCAACTCTTTCAGGCTCATCTTCTGGCAAGGCTTCTGAGATCTTTGCTTCCGTACTTCCTAGTAAGAATGGACGTGTTTTCATTGGTTTCCCTACTGCGCAGACCACTGGTCTCCTCGCACACATCTCGGCTCCCTCCGTCATTCCTACTGTCGAACGTGAGAGCATCGATCTGAACGCCCGCTGGGTACGCACCTGGAACGTAGAGATGCTACGTGTTGCCGGCATAGCATGCCGTGTTGCTTACACAGGAGATATGGCCGAGCTCAAGAGCAAGTTGGAGCGACAAATGAAGACCTCAGGCAACAAGAAGGTCCAGAAAGAGGATCTTGAAGCTGTCATGGCTTCTGCTATCCACACCTTCAAGCAATACACTTTTTCAGAATCCACACCATCTTCACAGGTTGGCGCCATCATTGAGGAAGCATTCTGGACATGTAATCAGAAAGGATCTATCAACCTGTTGTCCACTCGTGGTGTGCTTCCTAGCTTCGAAGTTCGTGTTGCAACCGAAGACCTCAGCTTTGTGGATGGCATTCCTGTGGTACCTAACGAGATCATGGAGAAGGCCTCAGTCTTCATGCGCAATCTCAAAGAGTACGGGCTGTTATCTGATATCACTACTCATGATATCAAGAAAGAGCTAGAAGCCCGAGCCTTGGAAGAGAAACAACTGTCTGAGCTGATCAAATGGGCAGCCGGCAAATTGAGTCGAAACGAACTAGATGTTTCCGCTCTTCACTCACTCTTCGATGGCACTGTTGCTACAATTGTCGAGGAACACGCTAGCACGTATCCCGGACCGGTTTTGCTCTTAGGGAGCATCGATTCGTTCCCCAATCCCAGCAAAATCCCTGCAGAACTCCCTGCACCACCTACAACCATTCCTTTCCGCTTCGTCAAGAATATTCCTAAAAATCAACTTGAAGCGTTTGGTTGGACTGAAATGCAGATCGTGCCTTGGCTACGTTACATCATTGAGAAAGATGGTGCTGGTCTCTCTGCTGAGCAAAGCATTACTAAATCGCCGCAATTTTCTGGACAGGTACTTGCTACAATCTCCAAGTCTTGGGATGGCCTCAGTCAATCCTCCAAAGGTACTGTTGTACAACTCCTGGAGCCAAGAACAGTCATACCTACCAAGCTTGGTATGCGAAAACCATCTCAGTCCTACTTCGCCTCTGTTAGGCTTTTTGACGACCTGCCTACGGTTCATGGCCTTCAGGGTGTCAAAGAGAAGTTCCTTGTGCCGCTTGGAGTCCGTAAAACTGTGGAGCTGTCCGTGGTCTTTGACAGACTCATGGCTAAGTCATCTGGTGCTGCTGAAGGGAAGTGGAGTCACGTTGACTTGATCAAATACCTCATCAGTGTCCAGAATGATATTCCGAGTGAAGACTATGAAAAGCTGCGTAAGACGCCAATCTGCCCTGCAGAGAATCAAAGCGATTCGAAATCAACCGACAGCAAGCTTTACAAGGTGTCAGACCTCTATGCGCCGCTGCCTGTCCTGAGAGAGCTCGGTGTGCCAGTGCTACAATGGCCTCGAGAGTTAACCAAAGACAGTCCAGAGTCCAAGTTCCTAAGCGTCTTAGGTCTCAAAGCATACCCTGCTGTTCAAGATCTGATACCAATCATGACAACAGCCGCCGACGCAAATGACTCGAAGTTGTATGAAAAGGCTCTCCAATACTTCATCACCAACCACTACGCCAACGGATATCGCAACTTTCCGATTGAAAGGGTTACAGTGCCTTTCTTGCCGCTTAGAGATGGAGATTTGAAGAAGCTGGCACCACCCTCAAAGTGCTTCGCGAATAGCAAATCTGCTACCCTCGGCTTTCCAATCATTCGAGATGATCTGCAGAAGCATGCTGCCTTGCTCGGCGTAGCTCAGGATCCTCCTATTGATATTTGTGCTGAGAGACTCATCAAGAGCCCACCTAAAAGTCGTGCGGATGCTAAGAGCGTCTTCGGCTATTTTGCAGGTCGACTCAATGAGATTCGTTCTGGTGGCACCCTTGCCGAAAAGTTGGGAGAATCACGCATAATCCCGATTGTTGGCTCTGGCCTCAGCTACGAGAAGAACGAGAACGTTCGGTACGCTGCTCCTAAAGCTTGCTTCCTGGGAGACAGCGCTACCTATGGGGAGATCTTCGACTTTATCGACTTTGGCTCTGAAGCCAACTCTTTCCTGTTGAGAATCGGATCAAAGCACGAACCCAGCGCCCCCGAGCTTGCGGGTATGCTCGTTCGTGAACCCTCGCGCTTGTTGAGCACTCTCGGCCAAGAGAAGTACCTGAGCCTTTTGCGTCGTATAGCAGACAACGCAAATGGCCTAAAGAACGACAAAATGCTTTGGGCCGCGCTAAAACGCTCTCCCTGTTTGCTTGCTGTCAAGGAAATTGCGCCCGCAGCTAGCAAAGCCACGGAGGATGAGCAAGACTATCTCGAAGAGAATGAAGCAGCCATCAAGGAATGGCATCTTGCTGTGCCCTCGAGTATAATCCTTGTTGATGACTTTTACAGCTACCGCCTTTTCAAGGAGAGATTGCTTGCTGGACCTCAAGAGGAAATACTCGAGAACTTGTACGCTGGTTTGGGAGCTACCTGGATCAGTAGTCTGATTGAAGATGACCAGCGCATGGGCGGACTCCTACCTGACCAGACTGGTGCAGCTAAACTTCAGAGCCTCATTGTTGAGCGTTGTCGTTTGTTCTTGCACGATCACACCGCAGAGGTGATTCGTCACGACGCGAAGTGGCTTGAGGGAGTACTGGCTGTCAAGGTTGTCAGCTCGTTGACTTTGACCAAGACGTTGCGCGGCTACAACGCGACATATAAAGAGAAGAGGACAGCTGCTCTACACAGAGACACGAAGAAGGATGCTACTTTGTATGTGACCGCTCGTCCTGACTTCTACGAAGTTGCTCGTGCGATCATGTCTCTTTTGCTCAAAAGGCCAAAACAACAAGACTTCCTCGCTTTGGAGATGATCCTGGATAGTGATCTACGTCGCTTGAAAACGAAGGGCTATAATGTAGACCGCATCCTACGTCAGAAAGCCGCTGAGAACCGTTTGGCCGAGAACAAACGACAACAGCAAATTGAAGAGGAACAGAAAAGGATTGCAGAGCGAGAGGCAGAATGGAACGCGCAGCAACAGTCAAAAGCTATCGATGTACCTCAAGCCACTCCTGAGAGACCTAAACCGATACCTGGTGCTTTCGAGGCTTCGCCCGAGAACACCATTGCGCAGCGTCCCAAAAAGAGCACTGGGTTCTTCTCCAACCTTCAAAGACAGCTTGGATTCGAAACAAGTTCAAATGAGCGGGAAGTACAGCAGCAGCAGCAAAGTCAGAAGCAGTTGCAAGACACATCTCACTCAGAGGCAGGACCTTCCGACGCCCCACCACCCTACTCGGAAAATCCTGGGCAAGTCGTGAAGAAGTCTACAGTCACCCAGCAACCTGAAAAGATTACCCCACCTCATCAGATCACTCAGAACCTGATCTCCGCAGTGAACTCCTCACGCGCGCACGATTCGTCTGCACTGTTCTCTCCGCCTACAGAAAACACAGTCAAGGAGACCCCATCCTACTGTGATTCTACCCCTGGTCAGGACCTTACATTCATCGGGAACACTTCTGCAGGTGTCAAGATCTTTCTTGCTAACGCAATTCCTGCGTCTACGAGAGCCACTTTCTTGCAAGCTCATGCAGCGCAATTGAACGCATTTGCGGCTCTCTTGCTCGATGTCGGAAATGTCTTCCTTCTTCGACCACAATCCTTGCATATATACTACAATGAATCCGGTAGCAGCATTGCTTTCAATCGTCAGGGCTCGATCTTCTGCAATCTACGCTACTTCCTGCAGCTGCATTGGCAGAATTTCGGCACTGCTGGAGGTGTAGGCAAGCAAGCAGCAGCGGTGTATTGGTTCGTCACTTTGTGTCACGAGTTGGCGCACAATCTGGTTTCAGAGCATAGTCAACAGCACGAGTTTTATACTGAGAGCTTTGTGACCGAGTACTTTGGAAAGATGATGGGCAAGTGTGGGCAGTATGTCAATGAAGCTGCCATTCAGGGATAATTGTTATGGCTGCATATGAATAGATGAGCAGGAGTTTGGGAGGCTACTAGAAAGCATACACACGGCGCCTCTTGGGAACTTGACTTGGTAGCATAGCATGAATCACTAGACTTGTATTCTTGACTCACGACTGACTTTAACAGTTGGTTAGCAATTTCTCATGCATATGTCCTCGTTTGACACTAGATCCATGGTTCAAGGAGCGGGAGCAAGTGCTTCTCGGATATGGAGCCTTTTCTCCTGTATCGAGTCAGAGTCACTCAACGACGCAATATTACGGCGGTCGATAGCTCAATGTGTGACAAAATTATTTAGCGTCTTTTTATGTCGGATATATGCACGCTACGGAATTTTGCGGAGTGTATGATTCGTGCGAAAGGTTACCATAGCAACCATTAAGACAGAAAGCATAGTGATGTTTTAATTAAGGCCTTTCTTATACTAAGACTATATTTCTACTCTATAAAATAGTTGCCTTTATTATTGCTACTTTATTTAGTAGTACGATAGTTAGAAGGCCATCCGCTATACCCCTAGAGCTTTACTAAGGGCTACTCGAGGTAGTATAACATAGTACTATTAGCGATAGCTAGAAGTAGCTATCTTAGGAGGGCATTAAGTGCTCTACCCGTACGATTCTTTAGATTATTACTAAATATAATGCCTAATCGTATATTACTATAGTCGACTTCCTATAGCTTCGCTAGCGTATCGCCTTACTATACTTCCTTAAAGTATATTAGGATAAGCAAATTATTTAAGCTCTTAGGTAAGAAGGGTTCTAAATCTCTTTAGAAGGAGTCGTACGCCTTAGAAAATTAATAGGGATATACCGCCATATTATATAGACTTAATAGGAGCAAATTAAGGACGAGTAGAGGCATATTATTAAGGATACGCTTAACGTAGGCACTATTAAGCAATTTAGACGAGAGTTCTTATTTACATACTTTTGCTTAACTTACTTAATGTAGATAGTAATCTTATAGTTCGTATAGCTATAAACTGCCTTATTTATAAGGGTAACTAATATATAATAGAGATAAGATGTTTAGTCTAGTTAAGAAGATTAACCTAGTTAGCGTAGCTTTACGCTATCGCGATCTCTAGCGCTATCGTAGTAAGTATTATATAGGCGGAAAAAACTACATATAGTTAATTAATATATACTATAAGCTTAAAGACTTTAGCTTCTAGGTCTATAGTGTAATCGATGCATTTTCTAGATATATTATCTAGTACTATGTTAGCATTACTACTAATATAGGGATTAGGTATGTTTCCTTAGCTATATGACGTTTTTAAAAGGCTTTAATATATAATACTAGTATGTTTTATTAGTACTACTAAGTAGTAAAATCTATAGGTTATATTCTATACTTTATTTAATTAGACTATAGTAATAAGACTATTATAATTGCTAACTACTACTTTAAGCTATTAAAATGTGTTTATTTAGGTATATAATTTAAAGACTACTTCTTATTTAGAACGAGTAAAAAAAACTAACAAATTAAAGCCTAGTAGAACTAATTATTAAAGGGCATATTAATAAAGTGGTAGGTAAGTAATGCAATTAATTTTAAAATAATTATATAGCTTAGTAACTTAGTAGTAGTAAGCATTTTAGAGCTATAAAAGCTACGGTCTTTTTAATAAAGTATTAAAAGCTAACTATATTACTATGCTCTATATCTATACACCTATATTATAGAAGGCAATTACTATGTTCGTATGCGTATAGAACCTTTATTATATCTAGAACTAAAGGAATAGGCCTTATATAGTATTAGGTTAACCTACTTACCTATATAAGGAGGAAGACTAGGTTAAAGATCTTACCTTTATAGTAGACTAAGAGCTACTTAATAAACTCGACTATATTACACTAGAGTTTAGTTTATATAGTCTAAGTTAGCCTTATACTAGCTAACTAGTAGTAGATATCGATAAGGTATTACCTAAAGAGACTATAGAAGTCTACTAGGAAATTCTTAAGAGCCGTAGTTTCTTTAATATTAACAAGGTAGACTTCTTCCCTAATACTAGTAAGCAACTATATAAAGAGGCATTCGTATAGCTTAGAACTTTACTTTATAAGCATAAGAAGTAAGGCCTACCTAAGCTTCTTAAGATACTACGTCCTATAGGTAACTATAATTAGGAGCCTAATGCTATTATACTTAAGTCTTTATTAGATAGTATAACTCCTAATAGAGACCTCTAGGCTAGCAATTTAAAAGGTAAGCCTTAGAAGAAGGAGGAAGATTAAAGGCATAATCTAAGCGAAGTAGGCCTAAGCGCTATAGGGTTCGACTAGTTTAACTATAAGGCATATATAGAGGATTTTAATTAAGAACTCTTTATGCTTTAAACTACATGTTTTTTTTTTATTAAAAAGGACATTATTAAGCTATACGATTCTTTATAACTATTATACTAGAAGTTTAGACCTACTTTTATAAGCGGAAGATAAATTATAATTATTAGATAAGATGCCTAAACGCCTACTTCTATTAGTACTTATAAGAGTAAGGTATGTAGCAACGTATGAAGTTCCGCTAGTAATAGAGTTGCTAATAGTATAGACTAATCGTTGCCCTAATTCCGGTATCTCTAATTTCTCGAGATATGCTAGTGTATACTAAGCTTTGCTTAGCTCGGCGACTCCTGTTAGTTACGCCCTTCGGTAATAACTGTCCTCCCTCCTAGGTTAACTATCTATAGTTAAATCGTTACGTTACACTAGGCGCATGCTTAGCGCATTATTAGCGTAGGTACCCTATTCTCGCGGTTTCTAGCTTAAAATGATTTACTTACTCCGCGGTTCAAACACGCGCCTTATATACGTCTCGGAAAATTTGTGTCGTGATTCTAGAATTTTCGTCGGTTACGTAGGAGTATAGGCTAACGCCGCTCTACGCGCGCGCGGCTACATAATAATAATAACGCTTATATCTTAGCTCGCTATACTAGCGACCATTATATATAATAATTCTTCCTAATTATTTTCGCTCCTCCTATGCATAACCTACGCACTCTTTACCATTCTTCTACTATATAGGTACTCTCTCTTATCCTCTTTACTACTATACTAGCATTTTTCTTTTAGTAAGTACTCTCCTTCTACTCTATACATGCGCTATTCTCTTCTCCTTTAACTATTCTCTTACTCCTATAAGGTAGAGGCTACGCGTACTCTACTTGCCGTACGCTCTAACTTCTCTATAGATATGTCTACTCCCTACTACTCCGGCACTAAAAAGGCCATTAACGACATCTAGCGCTCTACCTCTCTTTATCTACGTATAGATCGCGCCCGCTACTAGGGTGCTATCGAGGCTCTTAATAAGCTACGTATACGCACTCCTACTTCTTACGTCTCTAAGCGTAAGCTTCGTTGTTTTTCTAGTCGTCGCTCTAGTGTCTGCTTTAAAGATATCTAGCCTATCTCTACTCTCTTTCCTAGTCCTCGCCATAGTAGTAGTAAGTATAGTTCTTTCTCTAGTTCTTCTCTTATTACTACCGACGAGATGCTAAATAGTACTATCTTCGCCTTCGCTAAGCGTCGTTAGCGTATAATTAACTCTCTCTGTAACTAAGTTACCTCTTAGCCTAACTTTAGTTCTCGTAGCCGCTCTAGTCGCTAGCGTAATTAGCGTAGGCTCGACTACTCCTTATCGCCTTTTTACGACATCTCTCCTTCTCGTAGTACTAATCGTCGCTACTACTCTTACGAGCGCCGCCTTAATATAGGCTACACTCCTACTTATGTACCTATCTCTAAGGCCCCTATTCGCGACAGCCTTAATACTAATAGCTACCTTAACTAGTTCCTTAACGACATAGATACTATTCTCGACCACGCTAGCCGCCTTTATAACTACTAGTTACGCGCTAAGCCTACTCCTATTATATTAGGTACTAACCCTAATGTCCTTAGTTACATACCTACCGCTCGCGATACTAGTTGCTTCGTTCGTTTCTCTTATCCTCTTAGTAGCTAGTACGATCCTAAGGACCCCCTACTTAATACCGGCTCTAAGTACGACGCCGCTCCTACTATTAACCTTAATAGCTACTTCCGCTACGCTCGTCGTCGCTCTTCTTCGATCTTAGATAGCGCCTTCTCTCTTAACGACGGCACTAGTAAGCCTACTCCTCTCCTTTCTAACTTTCTTACTTAACGCCGTCGCGATTATTAGCGCGAGCGTAAGGCCGGCGTTAGTCTAGCTACTCCTACTACTACTCTCGGTCATAGTGCTCCCGCTAGCTCTACTCCTACTCCCGACTCTACCTTTCCGGCCTACTTAGGTTAGTCGCCTCCTCCTTAGTAGCGCTCTCTTTACGCCGTTAGTGCTACCGAGCCTATGCTTAAGTAGATGTGCTTCCGCTATACCTACTATATCGATAATACTAAGGCTCGTAAGTATATTCTCTTAGGTACGCCTACTATACTCTAACCCTACACTAACTTTTACCTAGCCGCTTACGACAGTATTTTTAAGCCTAGTATATCTCGTCGCTATACGCGCTACGCCGACGCTAACCGTAGTAGCTACTACCTTCTTATGCCTACTCTAGTCCCTTACTTAAACGACGTTATTCGCGCCCGCGACGAGCTAGATGCTACTATTACTTATAACTCTTACTTTATTAAGTAGTACTACGCCTACTACGAGGCTACTCTATATAAGTTCTTCGCTCGTCGCCGTACTACTTATACTTCCTCGACTATTCGTATCGGTAGCGTAGCTCTACCTCGCGTCTTTAAGAAGGATATGCGTAACTCTAACGTTTTGGGTCGCGCCTAGCTAGAGAAGGCTTAGCGCCTACGTAAGGCTATCGCTAGTAATAATAGTGTCGCTACTCTTACTAGCGAAGGTGCTAGAGAGGCTTTTCTCTTCTATAGTGCTCGCTCGGCTAGTAAGCGCCCTATTCGTCGTGTTCTCTCTAACACTAACGACGAGTATAACGACTTTAACTACTACTCTAATAAGTAGTAATTATTTTTCTATCGTGCGCGCATCCTACTCTAAGCCGGTACGCTCTCCCTTTTTACATCCTTTAGCCTATTCTCTATTATGCTCTAACCCTACTCTAAGCCGACGTTAATAATTCGATTGGCTATCGGGTTTTATTTTTCTCTTAGGGTCTTCTAGGGTTTAGAATAGTCCTATTTTTATTATAATGATACCTGCGGTCTTAGAGCTATAAATAACACTCTCTTTTTATTCCTATTATCTCCTTTTCTTACCTATGACTTTTACGTTATTATAGGCTTTCTTTAGCTCCTCTACATAAGCTAGCTTAGATATAGGTAACTACTAGTTATATTCTTCTAGCTATCCTAACCACTTTACTAGGTAGGAAACTTTTCCTTTTCTTATTTGATCTTTAATGATCTTCTTAATCTCCTATTCGACTTCTCCTTTTACTAGCTCTAGTGCTTATAGCCTAGGTAACTCTACGCCATCTCGGCGCATGTATAGTTCGAGAAGGGATATATAGAACACGTCGTGTACCCTATATATATTTAGAAGAGCTAGGTAGTAAGCCTACTTACCTACTACGCCTATTATCTAAAAGGGGCCGATAAACCTATGCGACAGCTTTCTATTTAGTTCTCTTAATCTTAGGTTCTTTAAGGATAACATAACCATGTCGCTAAGTGTAAAACCTTATGGCTTATAGGTTTTATTATAGCCTCTCGACTATGCTTCGCTTACTTTCTTCTACCGTTCTATTATTTTATTCCGAATTTCCTTAATTTTCTAGATTCTTTTAGTTACTATCGGTACCTCCCCTTTATAGAGCTCGTCTCGAGTCTCTACGAACAATTCTAGGTAGAATCTATATAGGGCATAGAATAGGCTTTAGCCTATCGATGCATTTACGCTATTATTATAAGCAAACTCTGCTAAAGGTAACTAGTTTACCTACTAGTCCTACTTCTCTAAGTAGTAGTAGCATAGGTACTACTCTAGCGTTTAGTTCTATCTCTTAGTCTAACTATCCGTTTAAGGATAAAAGGCGGTACTTAGCTATCTCTTAATCTAACCGATGTAGTAGAACTCTAACTAAAACGCACTTATAAATACTAATCTACAGTTAGACATAATGCCTATTAGTACTCTATAATATCTTATGATCTTATCTATAAATAGGTTTAACAGATCTAATGTAGTATAGGTTTTGTTTGTTAGTAGATACCTTACCACCTTAGTAAATCTATCCATAATAATAAGGATTACGTCGTACACCTCGCCTCGCTACTTACTTAGTAGTAGGTCTATAATAAAGTCCATAGATAACTCCTTCCATAGCTATATAGGGAGTAGTAAGGGCGCTAGCTCCCTATAGGGTCTATGTCTCTTTATTTTTGTCCTCTAATAGATGTCGCACGATTCTATGTACTTCTTAACATCCTTCTATAGGTCTAGCTAGTAGAACTTCCTAGCGATTAAGCTTATAGTCCTATCGCGACCGAAATAAGCCGTAAGGGGATCGTTATAATGTCTTTTTATAATCTCTATCCTTAGAGCATTATCTAGTGGTATCTATACTCTAGCCTCCTTATACTAGAGGCCGTTCTTCTACTCTAAGGGCCTACGACCCTTAGGTTTCTTATAGCGCTTTTATACTTCTGCCACGACTTCTAATAGAGGTTTACTAACCTCCTTAAACGCATCCTCGCCTCGCACTACTACTATTATAGCGTATCTAGGTAGCCTAAACGATATCGGCCTAGGTGTAGGCTTAGAGCACTACCTACGTAGGCACCCTATCCTCGGCATATCCTACCTTGCCTAATTAACTACATAGCGCATAGCCGGTTCTAAATAGTCTACCTATATTAATAGCTTATTTTGTAATATCGGAAGAAGATAGTCGGGTTTAAGGGCTCCTATATTATAGTCTAGTTACCTAGAAGGAGCGTCTACTAGATTCGTACTCCCTAAACGATATTCGATTACCTAATCGAATGACTCTATAAACACGGCCTACCTAGCTTGCCTCTTATTTAGGGTAGTCGCCTTCCTCTAGCCTTAGAGGTTAGCGTAGTCTATTAGGACCTGCACTTAATAGGGGGCTCCCTTAAGGTAGTGCCTCTATTACTTAAAGGCCTCTATAATTGCTATTAGCTCCTAATCGTAGGTTTCGTAACGTTACTCTATTTCTAAGAGCTTCCTCGACTAATACGTAACGGGGTGCTAATAGGTGACACTATCCTTTATTACCTTCTACGATAGGATACCTACTATTATAAATGTTAAGGCATCGGTCTCGATCCTAAGTAGCGCCTTTAGGTTATAATGGGCTAAAATAGGTGTACTTATAAATGCCTCTTTTAGGGTTTTAAACGCATGCGCTACGTCTACGCCTATCTTAAAAGGTCCTCCCTTCTTTCTATTCTAGCTTCCCTTTAATAGGCTAGATAAGGGGTATAATATCTTTACATAGTGCTTAATAAAGCGTCGATAAAAGTTAGTAAAGCCTAGGAAGACTTGCATATTATAGAAGGATGTTAGTTCCTTCTAGTCTTAGATTGTTTTAACCCGGCTCTTATCTATGGACACTCCCTTAGTACTAACGATATAGCCTAAGAACTCTACTTTTTCTATAAAGAACTCGCACTTCTTTAGATTCGTAAATAGCATATGTTTCTATAGCCTTTTACATACTAAGCGTAGGTATCGCTTATACTCCTCTCTAGTCTTACTAAAGATTAGGATGTTATCTAGGTATACTACATAGCATATGTCTATTAGCCCTAATAAGGCTTAATTAATGTACGCCTAGAAGGTAGCTAGAGCGTTTATAAGGCCGAACGGCATTACTAGGTACTCGAAGTGGCTATATCTTGTCCTAAAGGTAGTCTTTTATTTATCTCCCTTCCTAATGGGGATATAGTAGTATGCATCCTTTAGATCCATTTTAGAGAAGACCTTAGCCCCTACTAATCGGTCTAGTGTCTCGCTAATTAGCGGTAGCGGGCATCGGTTTTTAACTATAACATTATTAAGCCCCCTATAATCTACGCATAGTCTTAGTATGCCGTCCTTTTTTAGGACAAAGAGGATAGGTGCCCCTATAGGGCTCTTACTTCTTCTAATCTAACCCTTAGTTAGAGCATTATCTAGGTATTCTCGAAGCGTGTCGAGCTTTGTATAAGATAGGTTATATAGCAGCCGGAAGGGCAGCTACTTGCCTTCTATTAAATTTATCGCGTGCTTAGCCCCTTCTAGGAATAGCTAGTTAACTACATCTTTATAGTTAAATACGTACGCAAAATCTAATAGCTTAGGTAGCACGTCGGCACTTTCTCGCGTATGCTCCCTACCTACGTAGCTATATACGATTGCATAAACTAGGAGCTCCTTACGAAGGGCCTTCTTAAATAGCTAAACCGAGTCTACTTAGATAGAGTCTTTTATGATTCTATATCGCTATCGGCCTTCTCCTATGTTAATAATAAGGCTCTACTAGGTCTGCTATAGACATCTAAGCAGGATAGGTAGTCCTACTATATCTATGGCGTAGAAAACACCTATCGTTACCCGAAGGGCGCCATGTAAGTCTCTAACGCGTAGGGTTAACTTATGCGCCCCGTAGTAGTAACCTAACACCCCTTAAAAGCTTTAAGGCCTTAGGAGCTTAGCATTTCGAATGGGTTCTAACCTATGCTTTACTACGAACGCTTAGGATACTACGTTTACGTCTACCCCTCTATCTACTAATATCTTATACTATCTATTATGTTCTAGGGTCTTATACACTCCGGTAATTACGAGGGCCTATTAGGACTCGACTTGTTCTTCTAGCCTTAGTTAATCGGAGCTCTTCCTAAGGCCCTCCTATTTCCCGACTTTAGGGTTAGAGTAGTAGTTTCCTCGACTCGTCTTACGCTAGGGCCTAGCTTAGGGCAGTCTTAGATAAAGTAGTCTCTCGACCCGTAATAGTAATAGGCTCCGTACGTGCCGGAGGGTCTAGTAGCGGCCCTAGGCCTCTTTATTACTAGCCTCGGTATAGGCTTCGGAGCCGAGTTAAGCTTTACGGCGATACGGCGCTAAGCCTAAGTACTCGAGGAAGTTCTTAGGAACTTTAGGCCTCTAGGCGCATTAGTAGGTACGTCTACGTCGCGCTTACGTTACCCTCCTAGAGTACTCCTAGCGTTCTTAATCCTTTTATAACGTAAGATTAACGCCTCCCTATTACTAGGGACCTTAGTAGACTTGATAATAGTCTGTCGTAGGCTAGGACGTAGCTTAGCTAGTAAGTACTACATGCGCTACTACTTTATATATTAGTCTAGGAATTCTTTCTCGATATTCTCTAGTCTCGACGTAAAGTTGCCTATAGGTTCCGTACCCTATTAGGCATCTTTATATTCGCACATTAGTGTAAGCTAATGGTTAACTAGGTCCTAGACAGTGTTTATAATGAACCCCTTAAAGTCTTCCTAGGTCTTAGTTCTCTAGGCTTCTACGTCGAATTCCCGTATGCCCTTCTTTTCTACGTCGCTACGTAGGTAGTTTATCGCGTAGATAATCTTCTCCCTATCTATAGGGTATGTAGCCTCGTTATTATTAAAAGCTAGCCCTAGATAGTTTAAGAATAGGATAGCATTATCCATTTTCTTCCTAGTAAATAACAAGATGTCTAGCTACTTTCTTCGCACGTGCGAGGTAACGGCTATAATATAGGTAACCTCTAAGGGAGCGTAGATAGGCGTTTCTAGGCCGCCTAGGCTATCTATAGAAGGGTACGCTAACCCTACGCCTAGGGTACGCTCCTACTACTCCCCTTCGACTTCGTTTAACTATTCGCCTATATCGGATCTAGGTTACGTAGGAGTATGTCCTACGTCGCAAATGTTAGCGGTAGGTAAGTTAATACTCTAGTTCCTCGCCCTAAGGCAGATTAGCTCGGCGTAAGCTTCCTTAAACGCGATTGCTTTCTTAAGCTCCTCGAGTGTTTAGGGATCGTATCGGTATTAAGGTCGAGGGTAGGTTAGTAGTTCCGGCACTATCGATGTAGGGGGAATACCTACGCTAGGTGTAGATGTTACTATCGTCTCCCCTATATAAATAGGTGTCGCTTAAGTAGCTTCGCTACTAACTATCTAGTTTTCGGACTCTATAGGCTGCTACCTTAGTAGAACGATTAGAATTGTAAGAGTAAGGTATGTAGTAACGTATGAAGTTCTGCTAGTAATAGAGTTGCTAATGGTATAGACTAATCGTTACCCCGATTCCGGTATCTCTAATTCCTCGAGATATGCTAGTATGTACTAAGCTTCGCTTAGCTCGGCGACTCCTATTAGTCGCGCCCTCCGGTAATAGTACTACGGCTTAGAAAATAGAGAGTATCGCTTTCCCTCCTCCTTAGTTATAGAATAGTACAATATAAGTATAGAAACTTCCTCTATCCGTTATATAAACATACCTAAAATTAACCTTACTAGCGATAATAGTCCTACTCCTAAAGCTACTATAGTCTATATACCTACTTAATACCACTTTCTATAAAGAGACCGAAAGTAAATAACTATAGGTTTATAACGCCGTATAGAGAGTATATAAAGGATATTAAAGTAAGAAAAGTCTATATATAATGCTTATAGCCCTCTAATCTCTTTCTAGCTAGATTAGATACTATACTTTGCTAGTATAAAGGCTATTAGAAAGTCTAAAGAAAAGGTAGACAATGTAAAGACCCTAATCTCTCTATATATTATTATAGCTTCTAAAAAAGAAGGTAAAGTGCCTAAAGCCTAGTTATAGATTAGTAAGTCTCTCCTTCTAGATTACAAATTATTAAGCTATATAACTAATAACATAGCGTTTCTTACTATGGCTATTATAAACTAGTAGATTAAGACTAAGGTAGAACTTATTAGGACCCTTTAATTTATCTCTACTAAAGTAGTACTATAATAGTCTAAGTAGATAGAAGAAGGAGCTAAGGTCTACCTTACTATAGTATATGATCTAACTAAACCTACATAAATGCTAGGGCGACTAAGTCTTAAGTTAATTAAGCTTCTAATAACTTTCTTTAATCTTGTTACTAAGTAACTACTATTCTTAAAACTAAATAAGGTAGCACGCTAGTCTATCGCCCTTATAGTAGAAACGACTACCCCTTAATCGTACATACTAGAATAAGAGGCTAATAGAGAAAGCAATAGTAATCTACTAGTTACGCCTAAGGTACTAAAAAGGGAGAGGCCTTAAAAGGTAGTAGTAAAGCCTAAACCTTAGGAGATAAAGTAGAGCATTAAGAAGGAGCTAGAGAAGGATATAGAGGCTCTAGAGGTATCGTATAGCCTCTATGTTACTATAGTATAAAGCTAACCTTTATAGATACTATGCTATATTACATTAATAAAGGTACTAATACTACGACGAAGCCTTAACAACCTATCTAAAGGCCTATCTAACACCGAATCTAACTCTTATTATATATATAGCCGCTACCTTTCTAATAATAGAGACGTCGAGAGAGAGGTTAAGAAGCCTTAGCTAGAAAATTCTTATAAGAGCAAATAAGAGGATAGAGTAGAGGAGCTAGTAAATAAGGAGTAAGAGGAATTAGATAAGGATAGTAAGGAAATTCTATAATTACATTATATAGCTTAGTTCTAAAGTTATTTAGCAAATCTCTTTTATCTTAAAGAATTATTATGTAAGTTCTACTTACTAAGGGTATAACCCTAACTAAAATTTATATTATATATTCTTTTTATTCTTATATAATCTCTTTATAATACCTATATTCTACTTTAATTATATACTCTAATTCTATATATGCCATTAAAAATTATAAAGAAATAAGATAGAAAGTTAGAAGAATATTAAAAAGTTAATTAAGAAAATATATTTTAGATCTCTTATATTGTTTCTTTTAAAATTTATTAGCCTTCTTAATATATAGTATGTCCTATCTATATAATTCTTATATAAAGTAAGGTTATATATTTAGATAGTGATTATTAAGAGAAAAGCATAGAATTTAATTACTAGATTACACTTCTCTTAATTCTTTCTATAATTCCTTTTCTATCTTTAAGTAAAATAGAGAGTCTCTTAAAGCTCTAGGCTTAGCTTATAAGGCCTCTTTTACTTTTCTTTCTACTTTGACTTTAACTTAGACTACTTTAGCTCCTCCTAACTTAATACTCTATACTTATCTAGTTTCTTAATTATATAAGAAAGGCAACTATTTCCTCTAGTTATACAACTCTTATTCTTATTAGGCTCTTTAATTTTTATAGTCCTTATCTACTTGTTATAGCTTAGAGATTTATTATAGTAAAGAGCAAAGTTATCCTAGATATAGTTATTATAGGCATTATTAAAGTATCTATGCTAGATAATGCATTCCTATTTCTTTATATTAAATTATATAGGCGAACATAAGAATACTTTTACTTATACCTTAAAAGGACTATATAGTATACTATTCTTTAGACTCTTTTTACTACTATAGATAGTATATAAGCATTCTATATTACTACTATACTAAAGTAGTAAGTATTTTTCGATCTTATTATAGGTCCCTAGCTATACAAACTAAGTAGTAATAAGTAGTGCATTAATATGCGACTTACGCTATATAGGATAGAAGTCTTCTAGATTCTATACTATAATACGCTTAAGAAGCTTCTCCTTTTTCTTTAGCGTATGTAGTTTTTCTTACTCTTTACTTAGATAAGTAATATAGAGGAACTAGAGAATCGTATAGGTTAGCGCACTATAAAAGTACTAGGTATATATACTTACCTTGTCGCTAGTAATGTCCTAGTTCTTATCGACATTATTCTAGAGAGTGCTTATATTAAGTAGATATAGAGCTATTATAATGTATAGTTAATATATTATTAATATGTTATTAATGTATATAAAGAATGGTATAAAATATAAGCTACTACTTAAAGAGAAGAAAGAAGTAGTTATAGTGTTATTAATAATATAAGATTATAGGAAGAAGTAGGAGTTTATATAGCTAGCTAAAATGTAAGTAAGATTAGCTCCAAGTTATATAAAGTAAAAAAGTAGTTCTTACTAGAAGTAGAAGGTATTTATAAAGAAAATTAATAAAGAAATAGTAAGTAAGTAGGTATACCTTAGAAGTAATATAAGACTAGATATAAGATTAAGAAGGTATAGATAAAAGATAGAAGAGGCTATGTAAGAGCAGAATATGCATAGTGTATTATATAGCCTAGTAATATAGAGAGTAAGTAAAAGGAGCTAACTAGAAGAAGGTAAGGAGACTATTAAAGTTTAAAAATGGTAAATGTCTAAGAGTATAAATGTTCTTAAGCTAGGGCTATTTTACTATTTAAAACATGTATTATATAGCTTAGAAGTGTGCTTAGTAGTATATAACGAAAGCTAATATAACTCTATAACTCTTATTAAGGGTATAATAAGAAAACTAGAGTAGTAAGACTATTCTAGTTATCGGGTATAAGCTAGTAAGCGTAGATAGAGATATATAGACATAGCTTAGAAGTAGAAAGCTATCTAAGTAACTCTAATAGATTATTAGGTTTTATTATAGAAACCTTTCTTTCTAAAGCCTAGTTCTAAGGTTTCCCTAGTAGATATATATTATAGGCCTACTTTTACCCTAGTGTAGCAGATAATAATCGTATAGCTTAAGCACATAACTAGAATTATAGTTAGTATATAAAGAATTAAGATCTATCGTTATTATAAAAATTTATATATGTCTCTTAGGTAATAGACTGCCCTTTTCTTTCTTATAGTATAATACCTAGCTTTATATGCTACCTTAATATAAGAAGGTATTTAGAAGAGTATTGTCGCGTTAGGGATAGAAAAAGTTAGGTACTATAATCTAAAAGTATATAATAGTAGTATTAGTATTTAGAGGTAATAACTTTCTATAACTTTATATTTGCCTACCTATATAATGCGCTTTCTATTCCTATATATATAGTATCTATTACTTTAAAGAAGGAAAGATAATAAAGAATGCTAAGAAAAAAGGAGCAAAAAATTCTAAAATATTATAGAGAGTACTAAGTAAATTATTTTTAGGTATATTTGTCTTTATACTATTCTTATTATATTATACTTTCTAGATAACATAGTATTGCTACATATATTTAGAGTTAAGAGATTAAATTAAGATTTAGTAAAAAAAAAGTTATTATTAATAATAAGAAGGACTTTCCCTTTTTACTTATAGGTATTTCTTATAGGTATTATATAGCTTAAAACTCCTCCCTTTCTACTCTTTAAGCTCTCTTTAAACCTTTTATTACTTTTCTAATTACTTCTTTAACGACTTATGGCTATATCTCTAACTATACTTAACTATACTAGGTCTAGAGGGCTTCTTTAAAAGGTAGATAGGGCGACTATTTCCTCTAGTTATATAACTCTTATTCTCGCACTTCTCTTCCTTAGTAATTATAGCGTCTAGCTTTATAACGTTATTAATATTAAAGGTGTACTTAGTACTCTTATCTTACTAGCAGTAGTTATTATAGACATTATTAAAGTAGCCCTTTAGAACTATATAGAGCTATTACTTCCTATTAGATTATATAGGCATATATAAGAATACTCTTCCTCTTACCTTAAAAAGACCTTTACTAATAGTATTATTACGCATCTTTTCCTTATACTAATTATAGCTATCCTCCTCTCTCTTATTATTAGTACTATACTATTACTACTTACTACTAATTAGTTAGCTTTTTTTAATACTATCTAGCTTACCTACCTATACGAACTAAGAAGAGATAAGTAGCGCTTTAATATAGCATATATGCTAGAGATACTTTAGCATGCTTAATTAGTTATAGTAGTAGTAAAGAAGAACTACGTTTTTACTTAGTAGTGCTATTACCTCTTTCTAGGCATTATTAAGATAAAGACTAATAAGCTTAAGCTAAATCGTATAGGTTAGTAAGTCGTAGTACAGCCGGGTAATACTACTTACTTAGTTACCTCTAACGTTAATAAAGCTATCTTCGTCGATGTCTAAGCTATTACTATTAACTATACTAGCAGTATGCTTAATATATACGATTAGTATTATTAAGAATGTAGAAGAATAGAAGCGGCTTAAGTAGTAGTAAAAGAGAGATGTTATAGTAGTAGTTATATAGAGGTATAAGGTATAGAAGAAAAAGATTATATAGAAGAGAGAATAAACATAGTACCTTCCTAATTAAAGTAATAGTAGTTATATAGGCATACGGATTAGAGTAGCTACTAAAGTTGTTATTTACTACTTAGGTAAAATTAAGTAATAACTTAATAACTTATATAAGTTATATAATTTTAAAGGAAGTATAAAAAATAAGGAGAGAAAGTAAGAAGTAGTTTAAATGCTAGTTATATAGGCTAGCCTAGAGGTAGAAAGGAGGATAGAAAACTTAAAGCTTAAGAAAGGTAAAATAATTATATAGTAAAAATTATTTTAAGTGCTAGAGGTTCTAAGAGTAGGATAGAGGGCTTCTATAAAATAGGGAATGTACTATTAAGTAATATACTTTAAAGTAGAAGAAAAATTCTTATAATGTATGTACTATACTTTCTACTCTCTTAAAGGGTAATATAAAGAAACTATATAAGGATCGAGATTCTATATATTAGGCTACTAGAGATATTTAGAGATAATATTATATAGCTAAGCCTCTTAATTAAAAGAGTAGTGCTTAAGAAAATAAGGATATAAAAAAGTCTTTAGTCTTTAATCTCCTTTTTATCTATTATAGCTATTTCTTTCTACTTTTGCTTACCTAAACGATTAGATAATAATTATATAGCTTAAGTAATAATTTGTATATAATATTTAATAAGTAAGAAAGAAGATCTATTACTATAATATAAAACTTTGTCTAGCTCTCTAATTATTAAGTCTCTCTCTTTTCTAGCTTTATAACATACATTGTACATACATATAAATAGTTAAGTAAATAAAGAAAATGTTATGCCGGCTATTTATCGTGTCCGTGCGGAAGTTATGCACGCTAAATAATTTTGTCACACATTTAGCTATCGACCGCCGTAAATATCCTGAAAACCAGTTCTTAACTTCTTGCATTAGCCTGCAAGATCTAGATGGAGTCTCCGAGATCTCAAGGTCGGGACGTCCAGCCGAGATCGGATAAATGACTCGATAGCGTGCATTGGGAGTTTCATGAATCGTGGGCACAAAGAGCGCAAATGACAGCGGTCCATGACCTCAACAAGAAAAGGATAAATCACAAAGTGGAGTGGAAGTAGTATGAACAAACGAAACAAAAAAAAAAGTTGGTATCATAATATAGAAGAAAACATAACCAATCCCACTGCCAACTCATGGCTCATGGCGCAGCCTCAGAACTAACCTGAATCTCGACATCCTTGCGAATAATCGGTTCCTGGCTGTCACCACTAGAACTGCTCTTCGTCCTCCTGGGCACATTACCCTCACTAACACTATCCAACCCCGGTCCATAAATCTGGGCTTTGTAATTCGGCCGATCCGGTCTCAGCGGCTCGCGATCACAGGTTTCTATCCTCTGAAGACCAAACACTGCATCTCCTCTTTCTTCTTCGTGGCGGGATTTGGTCATTGTGGAGAGGTGGTATGTGGAGGTTGCGGTGCGAGAGGCGGCGGTGTTGTTGCGGACGTAGTAGGAGGATTCCCAGCCCATTGCTTTTTCGTAGCCGCGGATGAAGGAACGTAAAGTAGGAATCGTGGCGGCCATGAGGGCGTAGCCGAGTTCGATTTGTTGCCAGAGGAGGGAATAGACGGTTGCGATGCCTGGGTCGGAGGAGGAAGACCATTGGGAGACGTAGTAGACGTGGATGATTGCGAAGATGGCGACACTAGGGTTTGATGTCAGTAAGGTTTTGTAGAGTTTATGGGAGAAAGGGTATACATACACGAGGCGGAAACTAAATGCAAACACGACCGAGAGTTTGATTTCAGTGGTCATCTGAAGGGGCACCACGAGGATGATGGAGAGAAGGAAGATTGCGATTTCGAAGAGCGAGTCGAAAGTTGCTACGACGCTCCATCGAGTGATCTGTATGATATGGTTAGTCGTGTCGTTGACAGCTGATGCAAGAATCGTGACTGACCTGGCCGCTGCATCGGTCTTCAAGATCAAACTTGGTAGCTGCACTGCAGGAAATGCTCAGTCCCAGGATCGAGGCCAACATCCAGACCGCGACCGAGATCAGCAGACTATTACACAGGATTTTTGCAGTCCTGTTGTCTGTTGAGAAGAGACGCTTCATAAAGAAGATGACTGAACATTTTGTGAGGGCGTTGGAAATGAGGAAGAGGTCGATACTAGCAATAGCGGACTATACAACAATCAGTCAAAGATTATGGAACGAGAAAGGGTTGCTGTCAATAACATACCCTGGCTGCATTGAGTTGGTCCTTCTTTGACATGAGAGAGACTGCTTTCCCCAGCGCAAAGTGATCCAGCCCTACGAAAATAGCTGCATATTGACCTAGTGCAACGACCTAACAGCGTCGATCAGTACATGAAAGGCTTGCAGGATTTCCCGATCGCATGGGAAGGAATACACATACCGTAGCAGCGACAATGACCCAAAAGTCAAGTCCAAAAGTCCTTCGTTGGATGTGCCATCGCACGATAAGAGTGATGACCGAAAACAGCAAGCTCAAGATCGTCGCAACATATAGTATACCAGCACGGTCGTTTGTGGAAACGGGAGAAAAGGCGTAGAACCCATTAATGTAAGCTCCCATATCGCACAGAGGGGAGGTGCCCTTGCAAGGGCCCAAAGGATGGTTGACTCGGGGAGTCAGAAGACCAAGGATGTCAAGAAGACCAGTGTCAGAAGGAGTCTGGGTCCGAAAAAGTAGGGAACTCAAGAAAAGCAATAGCCGGGGCAGGCACCTATATTCATAATAAGATCATGCTCCAAGTGGTGTGTCTTGTAGATCCGCCCAGCGCGCCCAAAGTTCGCTAGAACGAACCGTTTGGATTTCAGCCTCCTCCCCTACCACAGTAGAGTACCACCCACTATTATCCAGCGTAACATGGCCCTAAAATCATAGAGCCACACCACGAGGTTATGGCTGTTGCTGCCGACGCCGGAAGGATGCGATCCCAGGTTTACTCAACCTAAAAACGATTTAAGACCCATCGACCGTTTCATATGACTGGGTGCTTGGACTCCTTGGTGATTTGCGAGAGGACTTGTTTTCCGGGTGCTGGTGCTTGGGCTTTGGCCGGCTGAACACGTCAACCGTCAGTCCACAAACGAATGGGGAAGGTTCTATGGAAAAAGTGTGTGTCCCTGGTGAACCTGGTGGGGTTTGGGCAGATTTTTGCGCAAGCCATTTGCACCGCCGAGCACCAGCGTCGACCGACCTACATTTTTGAATTTACCGCTAACCGGGAAGACGAAAGGGTTGAACCCGTCAACAGAGAGTCAGCAGCTTCCGTGTTCCAGCTTCCGAATTGCAACAATTGTGGCTTGAAGGATTGCATAACGCGAAATAGCCAGAATACCGACAAAGATAAGATCCGGCTCCTTCGCTCTGGCAGTTGTCATGGGCAGACCCAACAAGGAATCTTTCTACTGTGCTCTCAAGTCATGTTCCAGATCTGATAATCAAATACGTCCGTAGTGGCGCGCAAGTATTCGGATTCATTGCTGTTTCGGACAAAAGAGACGAGTCTTCGCTTCCTTCGCGCATAATAAGATCTTGGACTCATTAGTCGGGGCCGACCCATTCACTGATCAAGTGCAAGCGAGATTCCCTGAACAAAAACAAAAAAACTTCTCTAGCGATCTCGGCAAGACCAGCCCAAGATCGAAAGGTTAGCAAAGATTGTAAGCGTGAGCATTGATATGCAGAGTAAAGAAATCAAACACGACAGGGCTGAAGAACGGTGGAAATTTGTTTCGAGTATACGGTAAAATACATCATTGGTCGGGTGTCGGAAGTGAGGGCAGGGTCTTTTCATCTACTCGAACCTACTCTGTGACATGACCCCTACCTGCACTGTGTATATGACAAGGGGAAAATGCGCTCGTGCGGCTGAGGAAATCTTGCAGACACGCAATGCACCATCATCGAGTATCTATGCTCTAAGTATTCCAGACCGCTTTTTACTGGTCTCACGTGTTCTAGAAGAACACTGGGAAAGTGGCTGATATATCTGGTCAGGGTGACGATTGATAGACGATGAACAGCCTTTGAGTTTCTTTTCACCTTGATTGGATCTGCCGGTGTCTTGCTCATGCGTTTACTTCATCCCAAACACCAGGGCGTCTTGACCACCAATCACATCACGATCAATGCTGTCAGTACAACAACTTTCATATGCCTTTGTAATTACGAAAGTCAGAATCAAGGCCCAACATGCATCTGCAATATGAGAGAGTTTCAACAACATGTATTTGAAGCATTTATCTTGGAGTTTTGATATGAACAAGCAGGGCTTTGGGTGAGTACCAGCCTCAGGTAGGCATGATTTATTGGCGTTCGAAAGTGGATTTGGAATTGTGGTATCGTACGGATTTGAAAGGGAGCTCCTCAAGTCAAGGTCTTGTGGTGAGCGTATGTTTGTCTCTTGCGCTCGTGGACTGGAATCTCGTTTGCCGGGGTTCCGGGGATGGTCTTCTCCAACTTCTGTACAGCAACTAAGGTTAGTAACAGCAGAAGGTAGTCTCAAAGGATGGGATGCCGCACCAGGTTGTCAAAGACACACTTGTTGAGAGGTCTCTCGTATCTTCTGCACTGCCACAGCTGCTGGTTGTTGTTGTCCAAGCATGACCAGTGTTTTCTGAATTCCTCGAGGCAGTGCTTGTCAATGTCGCTCAGGCTGTTCTGGGTCAGAAGATGGATCATGACGGAGTCTGATTGACGTACACGCTGGCGGCGCATCTGGTGACCTTGCGACCCTCCTTCAAGCAGTCAAGCTCTCCCTTTCCGTTGGCCTCGGCCTTGCACATCATGTAGTCGTCATTGTATGTCTTGCATCTTGCGCCAATGAAGAAGGAGGCCGAGAGCAGAGGAGCGGAACTGGCACCAACTTCTTGGACCTTGGGGATGTCGTCGGGTAGAGGAGTGGTGTCGATCAGCGTGTGCTGGTTGAATCTGCGCGGTGGTCAGGTTTGAGCGGAGAGCGAGGAGCAAAATGCGGACCTTGGCTGGCGCGACGACATGGTGTAGGGAGTGCAATTGACGTGAGGCTGTCTCTTGACGCTGTATAGACCAGTGTGAAGCTGGAAGTCGACGGTCAGCGCTCGGACTGAGCCGATTGGCTGGACGGACACAGCAACCCGCGACGCCGAGTTGCGTCCTGCTCCAGCAAACAGAAAGCGCGTCCATCTTTGCTGAAAGCTCCAAGCTCCTTCTCCCTTGCATTCCTTACGCGCCTTCCCGAAACACACAGCCATGTCATTATTTGGCAATCTGGGCAACAATGCCCAGCAGCAGTCCTCTGGTACTTCGCTGTTCGGTAATGCAAACAACAATAACAATACTCAAACCTCGCAACCTGCACAAACAACCTCGCTGTTTGGCCAGGCCCAGCCCGCGCAATCAAATACCACTCCTTCTCTTTTCGGCGGCGCAGCACAGCAGAACCAACAGAACCAGCAACAGTCGTCAACTCCATCCCTTTTTGGCGGCGCTGCTGCTGCCCCTCAGCAGACTTCTACTCCCTCTCTTTTCGGCGCATCCGCTCAGCAACCTCAACAGCAACAACAGCAGCAGTCAGGAGGCATGTTCGGCTCTACTAACAACAATGCTCAGACCCAGCAAAATGCAAGTCTCTTCGGCAAGCCTGCTCAGCAGACGAGCAGTCTGTTCGCGCAACCAACCAACGAACAGAACCAGCAACAGCAGCCTGGCATGTTTGGAACCAACAACGCAAACTCTCTGAGCGCTTCCTTACTCAGTGCTTCCATGTCCGCCTTGCCCTCAGCTCTCTTGAACAAGCCTACAACTATCGGGTTCAATCAACAGTCTATGGCTCCTCCACGCGACAAGACCATTCCTCAGCAAATCGAGGCCATCTCTCAGAAATGGAATCCCGAAACTGCCGAATGCCTCATGCAACACTACTTCTATGTCCAAGTACCTCCGGAACAGACACCCTTTATTAGCATGCCACCAAACGCCGATGAACGCGAGTGGGAAAAAGCTTTGCGCAACAAGCCTACACCAGGATCTGTACCCGTCATCGCAAAAGGATTCGAAGCTCTGGGCACGCGTCTGAAGACACAAGTGGAAGCAGTCAAGCAATTGCAGATGCGCCTGCACGAGATGAACAACAGTCTGGGGGCTATGATGCAAAAGCACGAATTGGTGTTGAGTGTAAGAGCGGCAGAAGCAAAGAGAAAGCACATTGGTCTGAGTCAAAGATGTCTTGCGCTGGCAGTTCGCGCTCAAGTGCTCGCCAACAGAGGATTCGTGCTGGATGGGGCTGAGGAAGAGCTGAAAAAGAAGTTGGCAACTCTGGAGAAGGCGGTCTTTGACCCAGCCTTCTCAGGCAGAGAAGAAGAGATCTGGGCACGCATGGTGGCCATACGGGAAAGAACAAGATGGTTGCAGGAAGAGAGCGAGAAGCTTGGTCGTCAGGCAACTGGAGAGAATGGTGGACTGGATGAGCAGGTGATTGAGAAGACCAAGAAGGTAAGATTCTTCACAAATCAGATACTTGTTGGCGGATGAAAGCTAACATGTTTGACAGATCCTTCAAGATTACGACACACAGATCCAACACTTGCGCAAGGAGCTGGACCAGATCAAGAAGGAGTATGAGGAATGGGAGGCTGCCAGCAAGCCCAGCAAATAAGGGCGTGAGAAAAGTTGATGAATATGATACCACGTTTTGTTACATATATCTTCTTCCGGCATGTCTAGGTCTTGGATACGGCGGTCAAATTGGCGTGACTAGGAAAAGATGATGCTGTAGGCAAAGGATGGTAGTTTGGGTGACAAGATTCGACAACGACCATGTTCTGAGACGAATCGAACAAAAGAATTTATCGGTATCATTTTGTACAGTATGTTGTTACAAGTGTATCGTGACTAGTAGAGGGTGGTGGTTGCGGATTTAAACGAGCTTCTGGATGTACTCGACGGCGAAGGGCGCTAGAACAGTGTTAGACTGTGTTGGGCAAGAGTCGAAGAGGGGCCGTACAGAGGTAGAGAAGGACACAGGTGGCAATGGCCTGCTTGACGGTGACAGATGCGGTCTGCTCCTGGGCCTGGTTGTCTTTGGATTAGTATGCGCTTGATCGACTTGTGCGCGCGCGATGATGACGGGACATGCGTACCTCCATCTCAGCCTTGCTAGGGGGTTGCGGTGCTGTGAATCTGTCAGAATGGAGCATGAATACCCATGAAGGCTGAATGCTCACCGAACATTGTGAATATGTGAAGTGACTTGATGTGCTGGTTGTGCCTTGGGTTGATGGTTGCCAAACTTCTAATGAGAGTCTTTGCGGTAAAATCCGGAGAAGGCACGACGTCAACCTGAACGCTGAACGAAGGCGCGACTTGGACCAGCCAGTTCAGAACAAACCGACAATCACAACCAGCACAACAACTTCTATCTTCACACAATCACCCGCATCCGATTCAAACTCTCCATCTCACATCACACTTGGATCACGTAGACATCAGATAAAACATCGCCAATATGGAAGATCTTCCAGGCGCAGACTCTCCTCCCGTCAACGATGTTGGTCATGAGCCTGCTGGCAACGACGACCCCCAAGATCCCCTTCGCCCTGAAATTGAAGAAGAAGACGCCGCTCGCACACCCCCGATCGCTGATCCCCAGCTAGACACCGAGGTCGCTGAAGATGACGAGAACCCACAACTGTCAATGCCTGGAGCTGCTGACAACGATGACAATGACGCCGACTCGGACGCTCTGAGTGATGTCGACGAAGCCCAGTTCCAGGATTTCGACCCAAATGCCATCGCCATCGAGGAGCGCCCGAGAGTTGTTGATGCCAGTGGTGTAGCCCTACTTGGAAAGCACAAGCGCAAGCGTGATGATGCTGATGGAGAAGGCAAGAAGAAGCGCAAAGAAGGCCGTCGTGAGAAGCCAAAGCGAAGCAAGCGCACCGGCGACGAGGGTCAAGACTTTGAAGGCGATGAGGATGGTGAAAGACGCAGCAGAAAATCAAAGGCTCCTGGCGAGAAGCGCAAGAAGAGAACACCTAGTCCCGAGGACGACTCGAATCTGACACCAGAAGAGAGTGAGTATTGCTGAAGGTCAAGGGTCGATCACTATACTAATATATGCTTAGGACGCAGAAAGGAGTTCTCTCGCAAGCTAGACGAGGCTCTCAAGAAGCCAAAGACGAACAACAGACGCAAGGCTGGCATCGATCTAGAGCAGATGGCCGATAGCGAACTTGAAGAGATGCGTCGTCGTATGGCCGAAGCAGCTCAAGCCGACACACAAGCGCGCGACGAAGGAAAGCCTGCTATGCACAAGCTTAAACTCCTCCCAGAGGTTGTCGCCCTGTTGAACCGCAACACGCTGCAAAACGCCCTCGTAGATCCCGATATCAACCTTCTCGAGTCGGTCCGTTTCTTCCTCGAGCCGCTAAATGATGGCTCCCTGCCTGCCTACAACATCCAGCGCGAGCTATTTGCCTGTCTAGCAAAGCTGCCCATCTCAAAAGACGCTCTCGTCGCCTCTGGCATCGGCAAAGTCACCCACTTCTACACTCGCAGCACCAAGGCCGAACCGGGCATCAGACGTCAAGCTGAAAAACTAGTCGGCGAATGGACACGTCCCATCCTCAAGCGCACCGACGACTTCCGCAAGCGCGAGTACGTAGAGGCAACCTACGACCCTAGTCAACAACCCGTTCGCAGCACACAATCCGAGCACAAAGCCGCTCGTGCTGCTGCTGCCAGAAAAGCCGCTCTGGCATACCCTACCACGACTAACCGTGCTCGTGTCGATGGCGGTCTTGGTACCTACACCATTGTGCCCAAAAGCGATCTCTCCAGAGCTCAACCTGGCGTTCGTCGTTTGGGTGCTGCTGGAGATGAACTTACTCGTAAGTTGCAGGCACGTGCCAAGAACCAGAGAAGATAAGAGAGCGATGAGATATTTCTACCAAGCGAAGCAAAGCAGAGCAGAGCAAGAAACATGGCATGGAAAATCATAGGGAAGGTCATGATATCAGATTGGGACACAAAGGCGTTTATTCAACTTTCCTTTCTCACCCTTAGGCATTGGACGATTGGCTTTGTATCGAATCGGCCTTTCCATCTTCTTTAAAAAGGCCTGTCCACAGGCGCACGAGCAATAAGAACATTACTTCCACCTTGTCAATCCGTGAAGTCCACAACATGACCAACGAAAATTCGGCTGCTCATGCGCATCACGAAGTTGACAAGATGCTGTATTCGATACTGGGAGATCACAAGGTGGAATACTGAATCACGAAGAGGAAATAAATCTCATTCGAGGAGAAGGGGGTTATTTGGGTATCTTTGAAAACCCCACCTCTCACTCTCCTTCCTTCTAGAATGACAACAAACACCTCTCTAACCCACGTCCCGTGTATTCGTGCCCGTCCTCCTGAGGACCAAAGTTTGACAAAGGAAAAAATCTGAGAGAAGAGGATCTCAAAGTGTAGACAAAGGAAAAGAAAAGTCATGCGAGAAGCCATGTCCGGCATGTGTGAGTAAAATGTGAAGACGAAAGACAAGAAGAGGGGGGGAAAAGGAAAGGAAAGAAGAAAAGGAAAAGAAAAGAAAAGAAAAAAGCCACCACATCTCTATCCCAAAGAAACAAACGCAGGATTATCACCCTGTCGTACCAAAATCTCCCCTTGACCCAACTCTTCCCTAGCTCTATCATTCATCGTGCCGGAGTTCAAGAAATCATTGTTGGAAATATTGCTCGTCGGCGAATTGCTTCCCATACCCCCAAACGGATTATTCGAGGAGGGCGAAGAAGAAGCATTAATAGCCGCAGCACGTTTCTTTTCCTCTTCCTGCCACGTCGCAGCCGTGGAAGCAAATTTAATGGACCCAAGAATCATGAGAACGCAAGCTAGTAATGCCACTCCAGCGCGTTTGGTGATTATCCAACGCACGCCTTCGACATCAGACCTCGAGTCCGAATTCAACAGGACGGTGATCCTATAATTCAATTCTTGGATCTTGCGCTCGATATCGCGTTGTTCGTTTTGCACACTCATTTTTCTGTCGTCGAACATGCCTTTGAGCTCGTCTTTCATGTTTCCGCTGTCTTGGGACATGCGTTGGCTGAGGATGTCGACTTCATGTTCCAAGCGGGTGCGTTCTGTACGCGCTCTTTCGGCTTCTGCGCGGCGTTTTGTCATGATTTCTGTGTGCAGTTCGGAGCAGGCGGCGCGGAAGAGGTACGCTTCGTTTTCGACGTTGCTTTTGCTGACGAGTGCATTTCGTGCTAGGTCGATGTTTTCGGAAAGGATTGTGCGGGTGGCTTTCATGATTGTTATTGCTTGGGCGTTGCTCCATCCGCCTTCTTCGAGGCGCTTTACCAGGCCATAAGTGTCGAAGTGGTGCACGTAGTCGGGTGCATCGATGTGAGGTGGACGTGGCCGTTGTGCGGCTTCTTCCTCGATCTGCTTGCGGATTTTTTGGAGGTCGGTGAGGGGTTCTTGTTGGTCTTTTGATGACGGTGGAGAGGAGGAGGATGTGGAAGAAGCAGAGCGTGTAGAGTCGCTAGATGGCATATTCAAGACGGTGTCTAGCGCATTCGTATGAGGCATCCGAGGCGCAGGCGTAGGAGGCCCCGGCGGTTGTGATTCAGAAGCATCCAAGACGGGCGATTCAGGCAAGCGTGATGCACGTAGAGGCTTCTCGCCCGGCGACAGACCATAGTCATTATCCTTGGGTGTTGCGGTATCGATGTCTTTCTTGGTGGGTTGCGGCAAGGCTTTGGCATCGGTAGGAGCGACTTGACCAGGGAGAACGGCGGCAATGCCCTTTGTTCCAGCTAGATATGGCGGAGGCTCGTTTGCTTTGCCATAGCGGATGGGTTTCGTGGCCGTCTGACTCCTCTTGGAGGCGGTGCGGAAGACCTGGCGGCCGGTTCTGGACACCTCACGTGCGAAAGGTGTTTTGCCCACGGGCGTAAACAGAAACGGGTAAAGGAATGTGAGACGCGGTGTCGACATTGTGGGCGGCGACGACTACGACGGTGGTTGGAGTCAAGGAGACGAGGTTGAGCAATCGCGACGACCCAGGTGTAGATGCTGTCACAAGCCAGGCACAAGCCACTTTGTTTTGGTGGGGGCTCGGAGGGCGTTGCTGTCCGACGCGGCGACCGCCCGCCAACGTTAACTGACCCTGACCACGCTTTGTCCAAGACCCTGCGTTAGACACTCCCCGTTGACCCGACCAGACGCACTTGACACAGGGGCGACCATCTGGCAGAATCCATCGTCTTTATCCATTAATCGAGGCCGGCCTATTCTACTGTACATACACTACGCAGCCATTCATAATCCTCCTGCCATCCACCTCGCTAGATTCCAGTTAAGTTTGTCAACTTTCTACCTTGACAAGTAATCGACAGCCTATGCTTTGGTGTTAGCCCTTATCTTGTAACCGCATATATTATCAGGAGAACATACCCTATCAATATCATAGTCGTGTTTTTCCAGTGCCGCAAGAGCCTTGTCACGCTGATATCCCATACCCGTAAGTCTTTTGAGGATTGGATCATCGTGCTCGGTTCCCATACTGATTGCGCGGCCCAATGGTGGCATCGATGTCTGTGCACTTGACGCCTTGGGGGTTGAGGCACCGTCATTGGCCCTGCTAGTGGAGCCAAAGTTGGGAGTGGGCTCTACTTGAGGTGCTGGCGTGTCGAGACCAGAGAAAATGGCATCCCAGTCGTGGGGCTGCTGTGCTTGAGGTGCATGTGTTCCCCCGAAGGGAATGCTGATTGGGGTTGGCTGCGCTGCGCCAGTGTTGGACTCGAAGTCAGAGAACCCGTTGGGTGCAGTCCTCGTTACTGGTGTCTCTTGAGGGGACGAAATGGTGTGGATGGTTGACTGTGCTGGCGAGTCGAAGTTTGCGTCAAACTCGTCAGTATTCTGGTGGTGAGGGAAGCCAAACTCGAATCCTTCACCACTAGCTTCCTTGGCCTCGGCGAGATCATCAAAGTCGTCAAAGTCATCATCGAATGCATCCTTGGTAGACTCTTGAGGAGCGACGGGGGCTGCGTGTTGAGTAACATCGCCAACATTGGCAAAGGAAGTGGCGCCCATGTCGGTGACATTGCTCATGGGTCGAGAGTGAGCATCGTGAAAGTGATCCGATCCGGCCGTGCTAGTCATTGGAGTCTGAGGCTGTTGCTCCTGAGGAACTGAATGTGGCACAGAAGACTGTGTTGGATCCTCACGAGCAGGCAGCAAGCCAGTAAACTCGGGAGGGAAGCTGTTCGAGCCACTACGGTGTTGTCCTTCCTGAGCTGCCTCATACGAAGGTGGCGATGTTTGTGCTGTGATGGGTGGGAGCTCGGACACGTTGGCGGCCGATTGTGCTCCAACAGCACTTGGACGACTTGCTTCAGCTGGGGCGATTTCACGATGCTCAGCAGAAGGCACCTCAGTTGTGGTGGTGGTTGCCTGAGGCTCAGATGATCCAAAGTCATCACCAAATCCACGCTCGCTTTCGCTATCATCATCACTGCTCGAATCCTCACGCTCCAGACTTTGAATAGGAGGGAATTCGGAGTTCGCGTAGCTTTGAGGTGCATGATTGACCTCCTTAGATACTGGTGCAGGTGCGAAAGGATCACGAGCAGCATTGTGGTCGCCATTCTGCTGTTGACCTTCTCCGAACCCAGCGAATGCAGAGTCAAAGTCGTGTGCAGGGGCCTTTCCGGACTGACCAGTGGTCTGAGTCTCCATAGGTGTCTCGGGGAAGGCGCCAGGAATCTCTTCCTCTAATTGCTCAGGTAGGTCTCTGGATACACTGTCGTGAGGTTCATCGTGACTTTGAGACTGGATGGCGGGTCCAGATGTCTGAGCAGGAGGGGTAGCAACGTCCTCACCGCCCCAGGGGTTTGAGTGGAAAGAGTTGGTGGGTGCAGCATCCCAGGGAGAGGCGACACTAGCAGCATCTTGCTCACCCATTCTACTAGCAGGTGGGGCTGCACGGTTGGATGAGGCAACAGACTCGTCTCTAGTCAGAGGCTGGCGCATAGGCAGAATGTTGGGCGTGAACTGTCTGGACTCTGGAGGAGGCGGAGGAGGCTCATCATGAGTGGTAGCAGACAACGTAGGAGATGCAGGAGTCATGCGACCATCAGACGAAACCGAGTTACCAGAGGGTTCAGATCTGAAAGACGTGACGGGTGGCGTGTGTGTTCCAGCCTGCTGTTGAGCGGTCGAAGGACCGAACAATGCGTCAAAAGCACTAGGGCTAGGCGCACTCGACAAGAAACCTCCAGGTGAAAGGGTGCCCTCTTCTCTGGGGGCGGTGGCCTTTCTGAAGAATGGGTTAGTGTTTGAGGGTGCAGGGCTGACAACGGTGGAAGGAGGCTGAGGTGAGACAACAGCTCGGGAGCGCTCTTCTTGCGCTGCTTGTCTGGCACGCTCCTCTTGCGCTGCTTGCTCCCGCATCTGCTGCTCATGCTCCTCAGCAGCCTTCTTCAGATCGCTCATCTCAGTCTGCATCTTCTCATGCTCGCCCTCATTGGTTGCGAGCTGCTTCTTGTTAATTGCAACCATACCCTTCTGCTGGCGAGCATCAGATCTCATCTTATCAAGCTGTGGCTTAAGTTGAGCAATCTCGGCGTTCATCTGCGAGATACGCTGCTTGAGACTGGCATTTTCCTGCTGATCTGCTGAAAGAGCCTGGGCCACTTGCTGATGTTGGTTCTGTAAATCTTGATAAGTACCCTCAATCATAGCAAACTCCTGTTGTAGTTTCTTGGTCTCATTTTTTGAGTTGGCGAGTTGTTCTTCCAATGACTTAACAGTTCGCACTTCCTGCTCGTACTGAGTACGGAACTGAGCCAGACGCTGCTCAAGCTCGCGCTTCTGCGCAGTCGAGGCTGCAAGATCGCGCTCGTTTGTGGTCTTCTTGGTCTGAACATCCTGCATCTGAGTTCTAAGGTTGCCGAGCTGGTTTGACATGTTCGCCAGCTCAGTCGTATCTTCTGTAATGTTCTTGGTCTCTTCGTCATTAGCGTCACCAAGAAGATCATCCATAGCTGAAGGAGGCTGAACACTTCTAGCAGTCGTGTTTGGGGCACTGCTAGGAGCATTGCTGCTTCCAGTGTTCTGCGCTGCCAAGGTAGCGCCGAATGCCGAAGTTGGGATAAAAGGTTTGAATACAGATGAAGGGCCGCCAGTTTGCTGAGGAGTGAAATTTCTTGGGGGAGAGTTTGGTGGAGGAGAAGAAGGCTTGCTGCCACCAGCAAATGGATCAGCGCCGAAAGCGCTGCCAGTGTTTTGCGCTGAGACAGGAGCCATAGGCTGTTGGGAAGGGATCTGAGGCATAGGTTCATCCAATCCAAACAAGTCCTCAGTGGCCGACTTGGGGAGTTGAGATGAGTTATTCGCATTGTCAAAGGCCGGAGCAGTTGTCTGAGGAGCCGGACGGGGCTGATTGCGCATGCTCGGAGGAACAAGCGCCGGAGGGAGGAAAGCAGGCAGAGGAGCACCGCTGCGTTGTTGGCGAATGAGATACATGGCGACAGCAAACTCGTCACGGTTCAATTGTCCCTCGGAGTTTATATCGGCAAGATCCCAAATAGAGGCAAGGGTATCCTCAGGTAAACCAGAGTCGCTGAAGAATTTGACAGCCTGCTCTCCACTGAGATAGCCGTTGTTGGCTGTGTCGATGCTCGAGAAGAACTGATCGTACTTGGCCTTCTCGGGAGGAGCGATCAACCAAGTGGGACCTGTAGTTTGCGCGGCCACAGCGGGTGGGGGACCAAACGCAGCTCTTGCAAGGGGGCTCTGGGCACGAGCCTGAGGGCCAGTGAACTGACGAGGAATGGCGGATGGGCCTGCAGGAGGCACAGATGAACGGCCAGTAGGGTTGGGACGACGAGCGGCGGCTTCAAAGAGAGCTGGAGGTAGGACGTTGGGAAAACCAGCCAATGCGCGACTCTTGTAGCAAGTAATCAAGTGCATCGCGATGCAGAACTCGGTCTTGTCGAGGGAACCCTTTCCTTCGCGGTCGGCCAGTTGCCAGATGCGTCCCAGTGTCTCGTTGGGGAGACCTGCTCTTTCAAAAATGGCCTTTGCTTGTTCGCCTAACGGATGTCAGAAGATGTGATTTACAAGGCTTCTTATGAGACTTACCTGACAGGTAACCACCGCCGGCCGACTGATCGTATAGATTGGCATATTGTGTCAACTTTTCAGGATTGAGCGGAGGTATCCTGATACCAGTGCCTTGTGCTTGGATTGGAGCAGCGGGAGCGGCGGATGCGATGGGAGCAGGAGGAGGTGGGGGCATGCCCTCGAACTTGGGCAGCGGACCAGCTGAAGCAAGTGTCAGTACTGTGGACATGGAAAAGAGTGTCGGATGTTTCAAGACATACGTCGGAAGGCCAGTTCAGCAGTGGGTTCGCGACCAGCCTGATAGTGGCCGATAAGACGAAGAGCTACGCTGAAGCCAGGCTTGGTGAGGAGACCACGATTCTCATGGTCGGCAATCTGCCAGATCTGCCATGGCGGGTCAGATACGTTCAAGTCGCAATGGTTTGGGATCTCGACGTACTTCGCCCAGGACATTGGGAGCAACCTTTGTCTTCTCAAAGAAGCGCACAGCGATCTCGCCTGTCACGACTCCCAATCGCTCGGTATCAGCTTGCTGGAACAGCTGGCCGTAGTAGCGTTTCTCGTCGGCCGATAGGTTGAGGTTGTTTTGATCTAGCTCCACGTCAGTCCAGGTGATTTTGGCAAGCAAGAGCTATATCAGACTCACTAAAGTGGTCAGCCATTATGCCGTAGTTGGTGCCCTTAGCCTCATGCGGTTATGCTAAGGGGTATGACGTGGTCTTGTCGATGTGCGAACTGTGGCCGGAGGCAGTATTAGGGGGTCCAGTATACGCGCGACCAGCGATGCAGAACAACGAGATAAGTAGAATAAGAAAGTGCACAAGAGGTGGACTGTTAAACAGAGAACGGCCACGGATCTGGCGGAGTAGACGGCATGGCCATGTTCCAGCTGCATGGCGGCTTGAGCTAGGACCAGCCGATGCCATCACTGGGGGGCTTGCAACTTGCGCCCAAGCTAAAACTCTCTGTACGACCGCCAGTCCATCGTAATTTCGACTCTTGATCACCACTCTATTCAAAGCATTCTAGAATTGCACAATCTGCTTGAAATGGTAATTGTACATAACTCGTCAGAGTAGCCATGAATTTATTTGTACACAAAATGTTTGATGCTTCGAGTTGAGATATCCTGCCTGCCCCAGCCACCAGAACGCCGTTGCCTGTTCGCCCAGATACCCGTATGTCCAAGAAATGCTTCCAACTTCACTCTCGCTTACGCCGACCTTGGAACGTCCTTCTGATCTGACTGTTTTTGCACCACGCGAGGCTGGGAACATGTTCTTCTCGGTGTCCATTGACCTTGCCGAGTAGCCAGTCCGTCACGCTGACCACTCTGTTGGTGCGTTCTGAGCCAGATCCTTCGTCCGCGTGTTCGATCGTGTGTTTGACAATTCGACCTTCTTCGTCGAACTCAAAGATGAAGAGACCACAGAACTCCTCGTCGTCTCTTGCCTTGCCGCCGAGGACGTCGGTGATTCTTTCCACTTGCTCATTGGCCCCAATGCCACGATATATACCAGCAGAGTTCTTCTTTCTAGCCTTTCCACATGTTTTCCACTTGACTATGAGCTTCTCATCACGGAATGCCGAGCTCGCATTATTGCCGCCGTGTCGAACCATACGTTCCGAGATCACTGTGAGCTTGACATTGCCTACCACAGGTACTCGTCCCCAAGCAACAGGTGCCGTCCATAGAGCAGCGAGGTAGGCAATTCTTCCAGAGACAGTCGGAAGATGTGGGTGTGTCGAGGGAAATAGATGGAGTGAGATCTGCGGCGAGAGTATCTCTTGTGGCAGCGGCGACGCAAGCAGGCTAGGGAGGCGTTCGTGGAGTATACGGACAGCTGTCGCAATACACTGTTAGCCCATGTCTAAAATAGGGACGAACAACTGAGAAAGTACATACTCTTGCCTAGCTTCACAGTGCGTTCATCCGGTGGCTTATGATCGCTCTCAGCAGCGCTGTCTGACAGCGAGTATGGCGCAGAACTACTGAACCAGACATTGTTCACAACGGTCTTAGACGGAGCTGGTGTGTTGGTGGCAGGATGGGTATCAAGCTTGCTGTGACAGAGAGCGGCCGCTGTAGGAGCAGCCGTCACTGAGACAGCGGCAGCGGCGGCATTGCGAGTGGGAGTGCGCACGAGACGATTTGCTAGCGACGGGCGCATTGGCCAGACTGTCATGTATCTTCAAGAGCGTCCAACATGGATTGAATGCAGTAGGGTTGTTGTGTAGGAATGCTGCTCAAGAGTTGGACAGCGAAAGCACTGATGATCTTCCTTGTTCCCCACCATGCACATCCATGGACCAGGTGCAACCTCCAGAAAAAAGAAGCTTCGATGCTGTTCACTGCACGGTCTTCCTTCCGCACAATGACGTGTATCCTTCCACGATCTTCACCTTTGCATTTGACCTGTTCCACCCGCGAAAGGCTGTCTATTCAGGCTATTGTAGAGTAGGTACAGTATATAGCAGGCACGGCACTTGACTTGTTTTTGACTCCTTTTTCGTCTCCCACTTTTTCTCAGAACCGTATCGATCACCATCATCATGTCTTCGGGAAAACGCATTGTATTCACTGGTGGTTCTGGTAAGGCTGGCAGACATGCCATCCCAGAGCTCATCAAGAAGGGCCACAAGGTCCTCAATCTGGACTTGGTCGATTTCCCTGGGACTGAGCACAACGTCTTTACACTCAAGACCGATCTCACCGACAGCGGTCAAGTCTACAACGCCCTCACCACCCACTACAACTTTGCTGGTTACGACGAGCCACAAGTGCCTCAGCCCCCAGATGTGGTTATCCACTTTGCAGCTTATGCACGCAACATGCTGGTTCCAGACAACGAGTGCTTCAGAGGCAATGTAACAGCAACCTACAATGTCATCGAAGCTGCCTGCAAACTCGGTGTCCCCAAGATTATCATCGCGAGCTCCGAGACTACCTATGGAGTCTGCTTTTCTCAAGGTGACACCGACTACCACTCTTTCCCATTGGAGGAAGATTACGATGTTGACCCAATGGACACTTACGCGCTCACTAAGATCGTCGGGGAGAAGACGGCAAGAACATTCTCTCGCCGCTTCAACAACCGCGACATCTATGTCCTTCGCATTGGCAACGTGATCGAGCCCCACGAGTACGAAAGGGACTTCCCTAACATCGTCGGTAAACCAGAGACCAGAAAGCGTAATGCATGGTCCTACATTGATGCCCGCGACCTGGGTCAGATTTGCGATTTGTGCATCAAAAAGGATGGCTTGGGCTTTGAGATTTTCAATGCCACTAACGATACTATAACAACTACGGTGCCGACTGAGGAGTACTTGAAGAAGGTGTGCCCAAACACACCTTTCACTCGCAAGATGGGCGAGTTTGAGGCGCCCTTGAGTAATCGTAAGATCAGAGAGGTTCTGGGCTTCAAGGAAGAACACAACTGGCGTCAATACTACAAGGCCGAGTAATGACTGGAATTCATAACGAGTCACGATAATTGAGAAAAATGTCTTCTTTTTGATCGTTGTATGCGCCACTATAGTGCACCTGTCTTGGTCCTCTTTTCTACTTGCACGCTGTCACAACAAGCACACCCGATCATTTCCGGTTTCTGCAGTCCAGCCGCAAACTATGCTATACCTCATCAACCCTCAGCAGTCATGTTGACTCAATTCATGCTTCGTCTTCTTCATCTTCTCACTAATCCTCTTCATCCTCATCATCGAGGCTCGGCGCATAAGGCACTCTGCCGCCCACAGCAGCAACCTCATCCTCATCATCAGACCTCACCATCCCCATCTCCACCTCATCATCCGTCATCCCCATCATCTCCGCGATCAACTCTCGGTCCTCTGCATCTTGTCTCGCTTCCATGGCTTGGGATTGCTCCCACTCTACGAGTTCTTCTTCGCTGAGTCCTGCTGGTGGTCTTCCAACTTCACGAAGCTCAAATCCTGCATCCTCGTCTTCGTCTTCATCATCGGAGGTTTCGTCGTGCGTGTTGGTTAGTAGAGCCATTAGTTGCAAAAGACCTGCTTGCATTGCTGCACCGCGTGTGGGAGGTGCTGGCATTGTTCTGCCGCTGCCATCCCGGGGAGTGTCATCGTATCTCTCTGAGCCTTCAACATAGGAGAGCTCTTTTCCTGGACGAGATAGATCTGGCGCTAGACTCAGTATTCTAATCGCTTTTGTGGGAAAGGCGCGAGTGCGCTCCGCATGATCATCGTTGGAATCTCGTCGCTGTCGGGGACTGCGGAACCCGAGTGTTGTGTAGGTGTGCATGATACAATCATCATAGATACCCATGAAACTCACAGGCACAGCGAGTTGTGGTGCCGAGCTGATTGGTGTAGCCCAAATAGGCCTTTGAGCTTCTCCTGTCGCAGGAAGCTGTCCAAAATCAGGTAGTGTGAAGACATAAATGCTGTCGATGATTTCAAACAGACAGCGTCCATTCTTTATGCTTAGCCAGCCTCCGAGTTCGAAAGTTGAGCCGTCACCTTCGGTATGTAGTATTGCTGTTGTTTCTTTGAAGCGTGCGGGTTCAGCTAGAGCACCCATGAAATCTGTACAGACAAAGACCCGGCCACCGCGAGAAACACCACACATGTAGTTTCCTGAGATGATACCAGAGCCCCACTCGTCGTTCTCGATTGCTAGTGGGCTTCGCGGTACTGGATGAGGGCCATTGTACAGTTTTAGTGGTGCAAGGCGATCTTTGCGTGGGTTCTGGGGTGGGTTTACAGACGCTGTGGGACCGTGGTTTGTTGCGCCCATGGTGAGATTTGGTTGAGGAGGCGGATGAGCGATGTGGTAGATGTTTTGGCAGTCTTTGGGGTCGAATTTTCCTAGCATCTCGCCAGTGGTCTTGGAGCACACATGGTAACCTCGTTGTCCCATGCTGTAGCATACTGTGTCTTCGCCCTGATCTAGATGACCCACGGCCTCGTTCTCGATGTCCAGGACCCTTTGTCGTTGTGGTGGATGTACAGAGAGGTCCCAGACAAAGCCTTTACCCTCGGAAGAAACAACACACAGTGTTTCCTTGTCGTTAAATCTCGAGAGCTGGAACCCTCTGGTTTCACAATCGTGTTCGAGAAGACCCACACGGTGGAAGGTTCCTCTCTCAACCTCATCGGCTTTCCAGACCTCGATTGCATTGCCAAAACGATCCCAACATGCAGTCCCGCTTTCTTGGTCATATTCGAGATGCGCACACATACGGACGTCTTCTCTTCTCAATCTCCATAGCATACGTCCATCATCCATGTCAGTGACACAAACACCCCCAGACTGCGACGTCGAAACGATAAACCTCCGCTTGAAGTCAGGCTTGAATCGCCACACCGGGTCATAGCCAACCTGCACCACACTTTCCCTCACCACTGGCCTCTTGCTATTCCAGTTCTTCTCCAGCAGCATCAGTCTTTTGCAAAAGTCCTTCCAGTTCTCGACACCATGAAAGTATTGCACAAAACTCCTGTCTGCTTGAGGTTGTCCGAATGCTTTGACATCACGACCGAGTTCTGTGACTTCACGATCGCTTCTGGGGTGTTTGTTGTATAGTTGCTGAGCTTGTGATGCGTATATCGCATCTTGATGTGTGGTATCCAGGAACCCGTGCCATGCTTTTGTAGTCGAATTTAGAGCTGCAATGCCAGAGAGTGGTGTGAATTCGATGCAGCGGAGAATAATCTCGGCTGGTAGTACTTGTAATGGATCCGGCATCTTTTTCTGATTGAATGTGCGTTTGTCAAAAATTGTTGTTGGTTTGAGCGACAAGTGTTTCCACTATTTCTTGAACCCTCGAGAGACGTCATGTGGATCGGTACGAAGACCCTGAATTTGGCCGACGTCGCATCATCCTTGGGAGAGTGGACATTCAGGGTTTTGCAATACACCAGCTTTTCTTTGTTAGATTGTGACTGGGTAAAGTAACACAACCTGAATGACTAGACAACAGGTGGGAGACGTACAGCTATTCAGAAGCACTTCGTTGTAAGTTTGTTATATATCGTGGACTCCACGTCATCCGCGTCTATGTCGAATCCGCGCTTTTTCCACACTGGAGTATCCGATATCAGAGGGTGTCCATACTCCTTGTACGACACTGTATGATTCCTTGCGTTGTGAGTACAATTCAACTCGGGATCTTGTAGAAGACTGGAAAGGATGCTCTCTTGATCGCTTCTACCTTGTGCTTTTGCCATGCGATGTTCTTGTCAAGTCAACATTCATCGTGCTTCGACCGCATCAGTCCGTCGGAAAGGTACATGATCACAACCAAAAATCGATAAACCTCAAATTGCATGGAAACATGTTCATTAGAGCAGGTCGAACAGCAAGGTGATTCGATCCCGATTGAGAACTGCCAAAGTCACACAATGGACAGTGATCAATGCTGCTCGTTGGTCTCACTGCCCTCGCCGTCGTTCGCGGTTAAGAGAGCAGGGTCACACCCCCTACCACATTCGAAGCCCGCAAATCTTCTCACTGATGAACACGCTTTCTCATCTCAAGAAAAGCCAAGCAAGCATCAAAGCCTACAGTCGCTTCATGAGCATGTTCAGAAAGAAGGGGCATGATCATCACTGGCTGCCAAATTTCCAAACTTCGATCCGCCAGCCTTGCTGCTCTCGCAGGCTTCATTTTTCGTGATCCTTTCAAGTTTGCACCAAGCCTTACGCCCCACTCAGTTGAGTATTTTACATCACGACACAGTCTCTATACCATGCCGCCCCTCGCAGAGTGGCCTGTGTGTCCTCTACGGTTTTCTGTTGGGATATGAGTCTTGAGAGGCTTCAAACAAGACAAACTCACCCGAGCCACTTACTCAAGGGTATATAAGGCTTCCCCCCCATCGCCCTCCTCTTTCTCTCCTTAAGTCTCTTGCCTTCTGGCTTAGATCAAGTGTAGTATCTGTTCTTCATAGTTTAATCGCTGTGACCGGTCTACGGACCGTCAAAATGATTATTCTTATTTTTGGAACCCGCTGAAAGACCTCTGGGCTTGCTCATGTCTCTTAGCACAGTGTCGCTCGTATTGCACTACCTCGAGCTGACGCGAATCTACCTTTTTTTTCATCGAGTTTCCTGGCTATCGCTGGGTCTTGAAGAAGAAATCCTGAAGCTTGTTCGACAATTCTTGAATGCATATGTGGCAAATTTGGACAGGTTCGCAAATCTTGGCGTGCCAAGATCTAAGCCTGGTTATGGCGATTATGTTTATACATATCTAAGAGGGCACCCGTGGGCAGCTGTCGCTAGTAAACACAAAGCATGTTCATGGTGAGCTCTGCATCCGATTCGCATATCATGTCTGACCAAAGTGCCGTAAACCGCTTGTATACTGGGCTCGAAGCGTGTCAGAGAAAGCCTCGCTTCTGCAGGCAGGTATTAATAATATCACTGTGATTCTTCTCTCATTCATTGGCATCCAGTGGATCAAAGGCAACAAGACCGCTCGCAACGTCCTGCTCATTATCCTCACAATAGCACTAGCTAGGGCCAGATACGTGGCTCCGTCTGACATTGTTCCCTGGGCATCTCATGGCTGCTTGGAATAATGGAGCGCCGAACAGGTTACGTGTAGATATCTATATGCATCGTGCTTGATATGAGAAGGGATGTACCTACAAAGCCTCTGACCACCAATCACGACTGGCTATTCAACTATTCAACATGTTCTGACTTTATCTGCATAGTGGACTGGGTTTGGTCAGCGTTGAGTTGCGCTTTCAACTCAGCTATATGCCCTTCGAAAATGCGAAATTGCTCCTGACTCGCATTGCCAGTAGCTACTATCCTCATGAGTGCCTTCAGCTCAGCATTTTCAGATGCATGTGAAGCAAGCAATAGGATGACAGGATCTTGCGACTGCCTGACAGGTGGTGTTGCAGTTCCACGGGCTCGAGTCTGCCTGAAAGCACGCCGCGACGGCCCAGTGGATTCTCTAGTAGGAACTCGTATCCTTCTTGGTTTCACACTTGGGAGAGGGCCAAGGAGCGATGTATCATTGTCATCTCCAAGCTCATCTGTGCTACGATGGGCAAGACTGCTTTTAGCAGCAATGAAGCGTGCCATGGAGTCGAAAAGTCGACTGTGTACCCGCTCCAAATTCTCATATCGAATTTGTTCTACTTGTCTCGCTTGGTCGAGTTGTGCCTTTGCATAGGTCATGTTGTCCAGACAGCAATTTGACAAGTCCTCGTATCTTCTTTCCACCTCTTGACGAGCTTTGTCCAGTTGCGCTTTGGTACTTTTCAGATCTTCATAGTCGTGCAATTCGATTTGCACACGAGAAACATTCGCGTCATGCAAGGGCTCGGGCATATTGGTGTCGGTGATGATTGTACTAGTCGAATTCAGTATGATATGGGTCACGAAGAGACCAAGTGATGATTGTTCGTGAGTGACAGTTGTAGCAGATACCAGACTTGAATTGTTATGCTTCTTGGAAGCTCTCCTGACGATCGTTTCTATGCAAATGTGCTCTTGAAGCCAAGGTGCACGACCATGATGAAGGAGGACGGAGGAACCTCGGCATCGCAGTCGCTCCTTACGGACAACAACCACTTCCTTTCTTGGCATAACACTCATTGTATACAACCATTCGCTGGAGATGACCACAAACCAGGCTCCCAACCCAAGGGAGTTCAAGTCGTGGGAAGATGCTTTCCAGTACCCTGTGCCGGTTGTGCGCCGGCTCGAGCAACAGCTTCGCTCCAATATCAATGAGAACAAGGACAAGTTGCGCTCCCTGGTCGGCAACAGTTACCGCGACTTGTTGAGCACTGCCGAACGCATTGTCGAAATGGACCAACAGATACATTCAGTCGATACACGCCTCGGAGAAATTGGTCAGAAATGCAATGCTCGTGCTATTGAAAGAATTGCCGCCAATCAACGGAGGACCACCAATGCTCAGAGGCAGCGCATTCATGCTCGCAATGCTCTCGCTTCGAATATTGCCCTCCTTCAACGTTGTATGACTCAGGCTCTGCAACTAATCAAAAGAGGCAATCTTGCGTTGCGTGCTGCAAAGCTTCTTGTCATTGCCAGGTTGTTGTACAGCAGTGCTTCGAAATCTCCGGATCCACCAGCATTGCTTGACAACCTGAAGTCAAAGCTGACTTCGCTCCGTCGTAAACTGCTAAGTCATATCGACAAGCGCCTGGCCTCTGCAACCTTAGAAAAGTCCGCTTTGATCGACACATTGGCTGCTTACTCTCTTGCAACTACTTCCACCCCAACAGATGTTTTGAACCACTTCTTGCACGTACGAGCCTCGAGTCTTGGTGACATGATTGAGAATCCTACACAGACCGACCTCCACAACGCTTTGGGATCACTCATCACGACCATCAAAGAAGTGCAAGCCATCTTTCCCAAACAGCTCTCCACTCTTCTTGGCAGATTACAGGATGAACCACTACTTCAAGACTCAGCAATACAAGACATGCCGGAGCTGAATCTCGACATCTACGAGCCTTGGATTCCTGATGATGTGCGCAAATTCACCCCTTGGCTTAGACATGATCAGCTGCAAGTGTCTGCTTCCGCAATTGTACTTAAGAAGTGGGTTGCCAAGGCAAGATCATCGCTCATGCAAGGATTGAATCAACTTCTCGACGACACTCAGGACATCTCGGTCATTGTCACGCTTCGCAAAGAGTTCATAACGCGTTCTCTCTCTGCCGATCGAAAATTACCAGGCCTCGATCCGTCAGAGTTCTTCGAGGAACTGCGTGCCTCCTTCAATCGCCGTCTCCGAGCATTGGTGGTCGAATTTGTCGATGTTGATGACATCGTCAGTCCCTATTTGAGGGGTGAGAAAATCCAATCCACAATCAATTCTGAACCCGCTCCCGATTTATGGGATCCTTCGAACCTGGACATCGAACCTGGAAAAGGTTCAATAATATTCAGGAATTTGGTAAACAATGCTTCACATGGCAAGGATGCTTCTTTGCAAAGTCTTGTGCAGTCGTTCAACATATGGTCTTCAGACTTGGCTACTTGGTCCACTACAATCAAGGCAATGCGTGACGACAGATGGCACGATGATCTCGATCTTGACATTGAAGATGACTTCGAAATTGATTCTCCTCAAGACTTGTTGGCTAGGGAGGATCCTGATGAATTGCAGAAACTGCTCGCATCGGAAAAAGCCAAGTCGCTCAAGAATGCATACGAAAACATTCAGTCGTATGTTGAGAGAAAGGGCCGTACGGTCCGAACATTGCGACTCGTGAGAGAGTTAGCTCATCAGGCATCTCGCGGCGAGACACAACCGTCGTCTAGCAAACCACCATCATCACTTGTTCAGAAGCTACACGAAATGCTTGCTGAGCAGGTTCTAGAAAAGTCACAAGGACAGAACAGAGCCACAGCCAAGCTTTTCGTTCGTCCTCCACATACAGCATTGTGGGAAGGTTCTCCACCGCTTCCCGTTCAACCATCACCAGCCTGTTTCAAATATCTGCATGAGACGTGTAGGACAATGAAGACTGTTGGTAGTGATCTATGGACGCCTCCTGCCGTATCCATACTCAAGAGCAGATTACAAAAGACTATCCTCGATTCGCTTAACGACAATCTGCTAAACACAAGCAACACCAATGGCTCGACCGCAACCACAGATTCATCCAACGGAGACAACGGGGTCATTCCTGCGAAGGACTCTGAAGGAGATACCGTCAAAGAAGGAGACGACACTGATGTTACCACACTCTTGAACTCATCAGACGAACGAGCCCCCAAGCTCATTCAAGCAACCTTTGACCTGCTTTATCTGGACAAGATCCTCTCTGTCTCAAAACCCAGCATCAGAACACCTGGCTTTGACGATGCAATCAAGGATCTCACACACAAGACCGAATTGGAAGATGCCTCACTCGAGCGTCTGAGAAAGAGTTCTGGCGACTACTACAAGCGGACGTATCTTTTGTTTGGGTTGCTGGCGGTCGGATGAGTTTAATATAATTACTTCTTCATCGTATTTGGCTCGAGGCGGAATGGTTGTGGTGTTGGCTGGCAGTCGCATAAGAAACCATTGATAGCAAATAGACATACGATGAATTAAGCTGTCCAAATATCTAATACATTGTGAACTCTAACTCAGTCTGAAGGAATGTTGTAATTTCCACTCTCAAAGAACATCTCCATCAATCTGCGAACTACCGTGCGCCTCCAAAATCATAAATCCGACATGAATCATCATTGAAATCAAGCATACTGTGCAGAGGCCTTCTCACACCACTCCCACAGCTTCTCATCACCACCATTCTCCATCGCCTCAGCGACGTCCGAACGCACGGGGCCAAATCGACCCCATGGAATAATGAACTTGCCAGCATTCTCAGAACGTCCAGCTTCCTCACCCCAACCAGCGAAAAGCTCGGTATAGGCACCAAGGTGAACTGGATAGGTAAGCATACCGATGAACATGGCTTCTACAGCTGACTGGTGTCTCTGAAGCTCGGACTTGAGGTTTCCGGGGTTCCATGCGTTGGAAATGATGCCGGATTTTCCGTAGCGGCGGCGTAATGCGCTGGCGAGAAGAGCGTTTCCGGCTTTGGATTGACCGTAGTTGGTTTGCTGCGAGCTGTGAACGGTGGGTTCGCCATTTGTCCAAGTTACGGCTCCAGTTGGGGACATGAGGTCGACGGCAAGAGAGCCAGCGAAGGTCACGCGAGTCGATCCTGCAGGTGAGGAGGCGGCTGTCTTTTCGATGATGGGAAGTAGGAGCTTGGTGAGCAGGAAGGAGCCAAGTACGTTTGTGCCCATTTGGAGTTCATAGCCTTGGGCAGTCTTGGAGCCACTGGGTGGCGTCATGACCTTTATATCTCCGTCAGTAATCTTTAGCACAACATCAAATCATCACTACAACGTACACCAGCATTATTAGTCAAAACATCCAACCTCGACTCTTGCGCCAAAAACTTCTCAACACCAGGCTTGATAGTAGTCAAGTCTGCCAAATCAACATGCATGAACACAAGCTTGCCCTTCGAGTTAGGCACTGCATTGCGAATTTCCTCAATGGCTTTGTTTCCCTTTGCTTCAGAGCGTCCAGCTACGTAAACGGTGCCATCATGCTGGTACAAGATTTTGCTGAGTTCGTAGCCGATGCCTGCGTAGCCGCCAGTGACGATGAAGACGCGGCCAGCTTGGTTAGGCAGGTTCTTTTCGGTCAGCTCGGGGTTAGGGATCCAGGTTGATTGTCTGAAGAAAGAAGAGATGGCTGCCATTTCTGCGAGTTTTTGGATGGGTATTTGAATAGAGTAGGATGAAATAAGTCGATTCAAACTTGTCAATGACGGCGGCAGAAGGACGATTGATAAAGTCAAGCCAAAGTAGAGTTCCGGAGATTGTGTGAACGGTATATCCGATGTCTGCCTTTGAATACTAGTACAGGCGTGCTATCTACAGCATGTGACAGTATGTGTTTTTGACAATTGAGCTTTTACAGAAGTCGGGAGTGTGCTTAATTGATCTATGAGGAAGGATCGGAGCAGAAGGGGGATGGATATTGTGAGCGAAGGGAGGAGGCCACAAGAAGCACTTGATGCACGTCATTGCCAAGAAATGCTACACATATTTGTGCAGGCTATATAATTAGTTTGCATAAGTTACCACCAAGCTCTATAACATTACAATACATCCTAAGCTCGGTGAGTGCAATCGCAACAGCCCAGTATATTGGCAGGTATTGAATCGACAGCAGAGGAAATCTACGTGAGCGTGATTCCAATCATCAGCCCGATCAAGTGGCCGAACGCAGTATTCTACATGAAACTATGGGTATAACAAGTCTTCTGCGAAGATGAAGATGGAATGAGCGCAAGATGTAGACTTGAGCCGCTGGTAGTATCATGTTTGACGGTATTGCTCAGCAGCAGCAATGCATTGTTACATGCTGTAGCAATCAGGGCCAAGCAATCCAGTTATTGTCAGTAGCAAACAGCAGGTCGAAAACCCAAAAAATCATGCTCGACGACTAAGCGCATACGATTTCATATGTCGAGGGTTTGTATAAAATGCTGTCTTTCATTCTTCCACCAGCACTCACAAATCGTCACGAAAAAGACGACAACTCCTACAAACAAACCAGAAGCACAAGGAAACAGATCCAAACATCCGTCTTCAATCTTCCAGAACTCATCATGAACTACCACCCACCTACCGTGAGTGCAGAGCTCGACAGCGAGATCTCTCGCTACAACATCTTGAGTACCTCACCCTCTTCCCCCTTTCTTCAGATCTTGGCCCCTAACACCTTCCAGACTACTGCTCCATCATCTTGCCAGGCAAGACCTGCAGCATCGTGGTGGCAGCCTGCTACACTTGCCGTATGCGCGGTCACCAGCAGTATCAAGCAAAGTTGATCGTCGACGGCAGATGCATTCTCAGGGGTGGATGCAAGAGCACCAGCGAAGAAGCACTGGCTGGACTGTATTACTGGCTGCAGAGACGCGCAGAGTGGAGGGCTGAGAGATTCCATGGTTGAAGCAAAGGAAGGCCAGGTGCTGAACGGAGCACAGGCAGTGCGAGGCCAACGAGGAAAGCTCTACTGTTGTGAAGTGAGAGTGCTTCGAGCAGAAATGAGCTGAAAAGATCAGTCAAATGAAATGATCTCTCCTGTTGACATGATGTTTTGAGTTCTCTCCCTGTGCCAAAGTGTGTGACATATGCAGCTATATAAACGCACAGTAGTATCAGGAAACATGACATTGGCCACAATTATTAGCTCTCTGTGGACACGTCTATGCTTCCGTAAACGATTGTGCCTTTTGATGGTACAAAGTGTGTCCTTTGTTGTGATGAGGATACGAGAGAAATTACAGACCTGCAAACATGGTGAGGGCGTACCCAGGATCAAAATTCCCCCTTATAACGGTGAGGTGACAGGAGTCTGATGAACTGCACGATGTTTAGCCCACTGCTCAAGAGATGATGGCGGCGTCCACTCGACACGATCAGTCGCCCGTGTCGATGCACGTGCTCGAGCGAAAATGTTCGATGAAAGCGGAATATTGATTTGCGCTGTAGTCAGTACCATCACCTTCGATCCAAAGTCTTCACAACCACGCCGAACAACAACAACTTTACCCATCTCCAACAACTTGTCGCGCCAATAACAATCATGACTGGGCCGAATCGGGAGGTCATAAAGAGACGTTTCCGCCGCATCGGCGCATTCTTCAAAGGTAGAGCCACCGTCAGAAAGGCTGACAAGGCTGAAAGCGCTGGAGGCTGGACTCTCTGTCGTGGTCTACACCGTAAGTCATTGATCCTCACTCCTGTCCAAGCCTCTAATAACACTTCTATCCAGAGTCAGCCCAGGAGAAGTTTCCAGAGTACGGCGACAAGTACCAGGTTCATGTGCAGAAACCCTTCGACAAGGTAAACCTCTACACTGCAACCCTTACCATTCTCGGCGAAGATGAGCCTCTTTTACAGACGAAGTTTTGTCCTACTCCTGTTGAAGCACTCTCAAATCTGCGCATCATGATCATGGTCTGTGAGGATCCCAACACCAAGGCCAAAAAGCTCGCCGAGCAGCGCAAGAATGAGGAGCGCGCTGCAGAAAAGGATGTTGAGAAAGAGCATGCTATACAGGAGATTGATGAGGGTCCTGTGGACAGCGAAGAATCGGACAGAAAGCAGCGGGAGGATGCAATGCGCGCCGAAAAGGAAAGACTGGCAAGGGAGCAATGGGATTCGCTCATGACTCAACTGGGTTCGAAGAGCACGTCACGTCGCTGCAGGTCAACAAGAGGAACACCCATGCTGCTCAGTAAGATTTCTCATCGCAGATTCAAAAACTGGACAAAAGCAACGGCCCGATGAATTTTACGAGGTTGGGCAGCAGGCAATTTGTCGAAGAGCTGAGATGGCATGTCCAGATAGGATGAGGGCCTCCCAAACCAATCCAATGACATCCAAGTTGCAATTCTTAACACTATCTCTTTCTTTGTGTCTTGATGCATGATAGCGACTTTGCTGTACATCAGGGGAGGAAATTGAGCTACCTACCAGACCAAAGTGGAGATGAAGAGATGCAGGTTCCCGCAGACTGTAACAAAGGGCAGCCTATAGAGTGGTCGTACAGCCACGTCACAGGACCTTGATTTGGAGCATCGGCTCTCCAACTTGAAGAACAAGGAAATATTGTACTCACCATGCTGTGCCAGATATCTTTGGAGCCCCGCCCTGGTTCCCAGTCTTATCACCACCTCAACGATCTTTCTTCAACATGCCGTCCACGATGTCGTCAAACACTACTCATTCGACGGGCATGAAAGTCTCGACATTACTTCGAGACGAGAAGAACTCTTGCAAGCAGATGCAGAAGAAGATACTGAGTAAGCAAGACCAAACTGTGTAAGCTAGCACAGATGCTGACGGACTCGCAGAAGACATGCCGGCCGCCATTCCCCAGGGCAAGAGCTTTTCTATCCAAGCTGAAAATATTGCAGCAAAGACGGGGGATCCATCTATTGTGGCCAAAGTGCTTTGGAAGGAGAAGAGAAGCGGAGCGGATTTTCAAGGACACATGAATGGACCTGCAGCTCACAGCGTCTTGCTGGCTCTGACCGGCTTGAGGGAGAAGACACAGGAGATGGCAAGAGCTCAAAAATGACAATCCGGAAGCCAGGCACATGCGACACAGCGGAGTGATGTGGCAGCGAAGGAAGGAGATGTACGAACAGCGAAGGAGGCTTCGCGGGATGAGATGTTCATGTTGCCTGGCTTGTCGTTTTCTGGCTTCTCCATTCCGCTACGTGATAGGCGTTGGAGTCTTGACCGACAATGATATTGAGTTATTTCATGTCTTCTGAACGAATGCTGTGCTGCAAGAGAAGTTGACCTCGTGAGCTTCTGCCGAGCTAGACGGAGATAAATTCACCGTTGGATTACCCCCGGTTATCGGTGGCTTATCGCATGGTCGCATGACGTCGACAGCCTTACGACGGCAGGCACTCGAGGAGACGTAACTAAACGGGCATGACTAGCAGGCAGGAACACGCGGAAGAAGGAAGAAGCAGTCACGTCATGTTGAATTGAGATAGATTGTCCTCCAGGTCCAACCCCACCATCTCTCCTCCTTCTCTTCCAGAATCCAATCTATTCCTAGTCTTGCCCTATACCACGCTCTATCTATAGGTGTGTTCTTGCTGCATGCAATCATTGGATCAAGCAAGCACTAACATCGCATCAACAGACCAATCAATCCGCAACAATGGCCGAAGAAACCTTCTTCCGTGATCAAATCCTCTGTACGTCTACCTGTCCTGCCTACCATCTATCAATCGCTGACCGTCTCTTCCTATCCAGCCAACGCCGCCGTGCTCTTCCCCGACACCTTCCGCATCGTCCTGCGCGCCAAGAAGCAAGAGGGCAAACAGACTTACGAAGCCGTTCTTGTCGACGGTTCATCCCACAAGATCCTTCTCGCCGGCGGCCCCGGTCTTCACTCCATCCAAGAAGCCCTGTTCAACCTGCTCATCGCCACTAGCAGCTCCGTGTCCGATTATTTGCAGAAACAGACCGATAAGGAGGCTGAGGGAAAGCACCACCATGAGTCTGGTAAACAAGCCTCTACTCAACAATAAACGCATGCCGTAATGTACATACTTCGCAATGAATCAGACGCCCCTTTGAAGACTGCTCTATTTCGCATTTGGCCCTCTTTGTGAACCTTCTGCTCATCAGACATGGTTAAGACAGCTGCTTATTGACGGCCCCAGCTGACAAAAGAAGCATAAAATCATGTTCTGTATCGTGTCGATAGAAAGTGGTAGAAGATAGATTGAATACGAATTGTAAAGCTCGCTCGCTAACATCAAAACCCAACCACAAACGCCCTAACCACAACCCCGTTGTATACAAACACGTTTAGAACTGCCACTGCTTACACCAGTTCACCATCAAATCAGCATTTACAGGTCCCAACTCTCTCAATGTAACACTAGCCTCTGCAGTCCTATCAGTCGCCAATCTAGGAAGACTGCCCTCCTCAACAGCCAACCCTTCGTAAAAGTCCAGCAACTTCAATCCAGGGATGTTTCTCATGTTTTCTTCTGTGACCTCGAGTCTCTTCATCTCATCCAGCCAGTCAGAGAACTCAACAATAGAGATCGAAGTACCTTGAGAAGCGTAAAACTCCACAACGGCAGGAACAAGCTGTTTCCACTGCACGGTGCAAGGATTGACCAAGTGGAAAGTATCCAGTTTCTCTGCTTCTTGTGTACGCAATCTGGTGCGAGTGAGATCGATCAAGATCTTTGCTGCTGCGTCTGTAGGCACCCAATCTACGATGTCTTCATTACCAAGTGTGCGAGGGATTTTGCCAATGGCCTTTGATGAGGCGACAATGGATGGAAGCCATTCTTGACGGTTCCAGAGGCCTTTTTCTGCGGCGGGGCCGGCTAATTGACCTACACGTACGATGGTGGAGGGAATGTTGGACTGTTGGGCTGCAATAGCCAATATCGAGCTGGCGATATGCTTGCTTTCGCCATAGCCTTGAGCGAAAGGCAAGCTGTTGTCTTGCATGAATACTTCAGGGACAAAGCCTGAGTGTCCGCTACCAAGCCAGTTACCAGTACTGGCGATGGATGAGATGAAGACAATGTGAGGATGGTACTGAGCCTCAGCGCTGAAGTCAATCACGCGACGAGTACCCATAATATGAGTCTCCTCGAACGACTCAAGACCCATGTTGAAGTCCACTGCCCACGCATTGTGAATGAACACGTCGACCGAGTCTTTCAGCTCGCTGTATACCTTTTCAGAAAGACCAAAGTTCTCCTTTCCGAATGAGGCTTGTAGGAAGACGACTTTAGAGAAGTCTGGGTTTGCACCGCGTTCTTCGAAACTGCGCTTTTGGCGGCTCTGGGCGTCGGAACGGTTGAGACAGTATACCTTCTCCACTACAGGGTTTGTGATCAAGCCTTCGAGCAGGTAGTTACCCAGGGAGCCTGTGCTACCGGTGAGAACAACTACATGGTTGTGCTGACGAGGGTTGTATTGCACAGGCGAAGGTAGGGTTCGGGTGTACTTCTTGATAACCTCATCCATGTTCTGCTCTCGCGATTTGGTTGAAGTGCCATTCGCATCCTGGCCACGAAGGATGTTACCGACTGCCTTGGTGAGAGCATCAATGGTAGGGTTACTGTAGACCATGCGAGGCTTAAAAGCGGCATCACGCGAACCCTCCTTCTTGGGCAATGCATGACCGATAGTGTTTGCGAGCGCAAGCACCTGGAGAGAGTCGATACCGAAGGAGAAGAGGTCAGCTTCATAGCCTTCATCATCGAAATGCTCAGGAACCTTGGGCAGAGCAAGACGGATAGCTTGCTTGACAAAATCGCGAATAGCAGCGTCGTCAGCGTTGACATCGAGCTGACCAAGCGATTCAGCTGAGCCTTCGTTGGAATACAGAGCCTCGATCTCGGCCTTGTAGAGCTCATTGGTCTTGCGACGCATGATGCTGCCCTTGGGAGCTCTCTGGAATGGCTTTTGAGGATTGGCAATAGCAATCTTTGACTTCCAGACTCTGCCATGAGCTGCCATCTTCTCATTGGCTCTCTCAACCGCAGGCCAAATTTGCTCGAGGAATGCCTCGGGATCGGTCTTGGTGTTGGTCTCAAGAATCAAGCCGGCTTGGAAGCGGCCTTGGCCAACTACCATAGCACCTCTGACTGCCGGATGTCCCTCAATGTCCTTCTCGAACATGACAGGGTTAAATTTCTCGCCGTTGCTGAGGACAATAACATCGTCGTTGCGGCCCTTGTACTTCCAAAGACCCTTCTTGGTAGGATGCTCCTCATAGAGATCCTTAGTGCGGTACTCGTCGAGCTCGGGGAAACTCCAGAAAGCGCCTTGGGTTGGGTTGCCGGGCATACGTTTGATGACCATCTCATGGAGGTCGCCAGAAGGCTCCATGACAGCTCCAGTGTGTTCGCACCACTCGAACCAGCCCCAGTCCTTACGGTCTTCAGTGATGTGACTGTCCCACAATGTGCCTTCCGTAGAACCAATGATGGTCTGAATGCGGGTAACCTCAGCAATTCGATCACCGACTTCTTGAGCCAAGGGAGCGCCGGCGAAAAAGATCAAGTCGAGCGTGGAAAGTGCTTCCATACCGCCGGGAGCATCCACGATATCTTCAAGAATGGCGGGAGGGAAGAAACCAGTCGCCGGCTTAGCGACTTGGAGAATCTGAAGGGTGAGATCTGCGTTCGGTGTGCGGCCGACGGGAGGGAGCACGAGGGGTCCTTGTGAGAAGATAGATCTCAATGCCATGAAGAAGCCCATAGCGTGGAACCATGGCAGACTGCAGAAGGATCTATCGGTTCCAGCAAACTTTTGTGCTCTGGTTTGACGGCCATTAGGGGCGGGAAGTTGGCGCATGCGGTCGAGACAAGCGATGTAGCCATTGCGGAGGTAGATGGGCTTAGGAATGCCGGTCGAGCCTGAAGTATGAATGATAGCGACGATCTCATTAGGGTCACTGCTGACGGTGCCCTCGTAATGTTCGACATCGTCTCCATCGAAGAAGTAATCCATTGGAGGAACCTCAAAGGCTTCAAGCGGCGTCTCCTCGTCTTGTAGGGCAAGAATCTCCTCTCTCATGCCTTGCCCATGCAGGAACTTCTTGCTTTGAGTCCTTTGAAGGATTGCGCGTTGACCATCTTCACTATTGCGTGTTGAAGCAAGGAGAATTTTGTATCCAGTCTTCATAGATGCAATAATGGCGAAGATATATCTTATGTCATTCTGACGGTCCATAAATGTGATGGTTTCTCTCGAAGTGCTGGTTCCGATAGTCTTCTCGATCCAGCGAGCCATCCTGCTGACAGCTTGTGATAGTTGGCCAAATGTCAGAGTCTTGTATCCATCTTGGAGGTTGTCGTTGTTTCGCGGTACTTCCACCCATTTTGTGTTAGGCGCAGTATTTGCAATCTCATCCACGATGTGAGGGACGATGCGAAGTGAGAGGTTGTCGTAAGAAGTCATGATGCTAGAGAGGAGAGTTGGACGTATGGTATAGATATGGTCGATTGACTCGATGTTAGCGAAGTAGTGGTTGGATATACGGTGTTTGTGATGTGGTGTAGGGGGCTGTTAGGAGGAAATTTTATATATTGCTGAGAAGGACCAGCATCGTGTTTATATATCAGACCTTTGCGCACACGGCATCGAGTATCCGGCAACTGAAGCCCTATCATATCTACGTTAAGGTGCCTATTCTGTTCTACACACGTACGCTCGAACAGTGCACAGCGAATGCAAGAGGTGGTCATCTCTCGGCCTACGATCCGGTAAGTAAACCACTCATCAAAACAGCAGTAAAGCGCGATTTTGCCATCACAGCGCAGGGGCTTTTGATTAAGGTCCAACAAAAGAGAGCATTGGGACTGGCCTCGCATAGAAAGCGAAAAAACATAGCGGTGACGTCGGAAAGGCGTGCCGATATGTGGAGCACCATTCCGAGCTGTCAACATTGCATCGATTGTGTTGACTCAACAAGCATTATTGCTGCTTCAGAATTGCCTGAGGATCGCCGGTATCACCAGTCATCTGTGATCGTAGCGTTACGCAGCTTTGTCGTGCGGGATGCGCAAAAAGAACATGGTTCTGCATAGTCATGTCATTGTCCGGCTTCGAGAATGATTCGAGAATACGTCAATCGAGCAGTCTGTCATATCGCGTGCAGGAATATCAACATCATCTTCCTCTCATGTGTCTCATCGACAAAGGGTTCGTCCGCAATAACGATTGAATTACCTCGTCCGGCCCGAGCCTGCCGTTCAGTACCAATCAATCAGGCCAGCCAACTACGTAGATATCGTAGCACAATAGGGTTCGCTGTGATGCGAAACACAGATAACAACTCCGAGCGATGCAACAACGTCGCCACGAAGGATATGAGCTTGGAGCTTGGTGCAGCTTCCGATGCATCAAACAGCAGATACCATCAACTTGCAACCCGAGACTTCTCCGTCCAAGGGCCTTGATATCCGCTCAGTAACGAACGACGACATATGCAACGAAGAACGACCGAGTGGTTCAGAAGCTGTCGTTCCAAGTAACCAGTTTGACATGCAACATCTCCACAATTGTGGCTTGGAAACAAGATGGAAAGGATCGAACGGATCTTGGTTGTAACTCGGCATTGCTTGTGTGAAGTGCTTGGCAAAACTCGGAAGTGCAAAATATGGACGCTTCGGCTCCGTTCTTTGTCCGCGACATCGACGCTGACTACCATAGGGTCTTACATATCGGCTTTGTGCCACCAGCACAATTATCATTGATTGCTATCACGGATGCCACGACTATCGCCTCGTATCCTGCATCAGGCACGCAAGATCGACTCATTGTTGCCTCTTGTACTACAAGGCACACGCGACCTTGCCTCTGCGAAGAACGAACTACGATGGCTGAAAGAACATGTCTTGTCGCAACAGCAAAACGAGCAAAGTCTTGACAGCTACAGTACACAACAACAGCTCAAAAAGCTATGTGTCGATAGAGCTCATGGCAAGCCATTGCAATACATCATAGGCACTGAATACTTTGGCGACCTTGAGATTGCTTGCGAGCCAGGTGTTTTGATACCAAGGTAAGGCTTTTATTTGTAGGTGTTTTCTCTCCGTAGATTCGTTATCGTTTACGCAAAGGAGGGTAGGCAAGAAACTGCTGCTTCGGTGACTTTCTTGATTGAAAGGTTGCTTCAAAGGAAGAATCTTCCAAATCATCTCAAGATCTTGGATTTGTGTACGGGAACTGGTTGTATACCGTTACTAGCACATTACGAAGCCAAACACAGACGAAAACACGGTCAACCTCCTCAATTCTTGGAGGTTGTGGGTGTAGATATATCCACTCAAGCCTTGAACCTCGCAAACAAAAATCTGCATCGTCTGGCCAGCGCAGGCTACCTGGGCTCAAACCCATCCCTGCACTTCCTGCAGGCAGACATCCTCGCTCCCGACACCAGCTCCAACAAAAAAAGCAACAACCCACCATCCCTAGCCTCTGCACTGCACAACTACTCAACCACCTCACCTTACCCCCACTCTACCCACTGGGACATCCTCATTTCAAATCCCCCCTACATATCCCCCCACGCCTTTAACACCACAACCCAACGATCCGTAAAACGCTACGAACCGCGTTTAGCCCTGGTCCCTCCTTCTCACCCCACCTCCTCTGCAGAAATCGACCAAGGCGACATCTTCTACCCTCGCCTGTTAGAAATTGCAGCGGAGGTCAAAGCCAAAATCGTGCTTTTCGAAGTTGCGGATTTGGAGCAAGCAAAAAGGGTTGCTGGGATGGCGAAGAAGCAGGGGGGTTGGGATGGAGTTGAGATTTGGAGGGATTGGCCGGGTGAGGATGATGATGATGATGGGGCAGAGAGTGGAGATATGCTTGCGATGGAAGAAGTCAAGACACGAGGGACGGGGAATGGTCGTTCGGTTTTTGCATATCGTGGTGATGCGAGAGATTGGCTGGGTGCAGAGGAGACACTTGACACTCTTTGAGACGGACGAGGAAAAGAAAGGCATTCTTGTCAGAGTCAAAAGTTTATACCAACGTTACGAATCTTGCAAAATTTTAATCGTGGGACATCGTTACTTTCGTTTGAACTATCTTTTTACTTCATGATATGTTGCAGCGCAGTCCTCTTCTCCAAAAGCGCTTCTTAGTAGACCTGGCAGGCGATGGAATCGTAGGGATTTGTCTGCTGGTATATCCCTGCCTATGCGCATGTCCAGAATGCCCAGGCAGCGCACCAATACCTCTACTCTTTTGCAACACACTCGACCTTATCACAGCCTTCTAAGCAGAAGCACCAGGTCCAGCGCCAACTCTCCAGCCAACCTTGACAAGAGTCTCACAAACCTCCTTTGTAGAGTTACGAACCAAATCCTCATCCAAGGTAACGTCTCCTTCCTGGTAAAGATTGATGACTGTACTGCCGCCATACTGGAAAGCGCCCAAACACTCTCCCCTTCTGATTTCTCTACCAACATCAATGCCAGGGTTGTATTTGATGCTGCCAACCAACATGGCACCCACAGCGATAATAGCAACCCTTGAGTTAGTGCCAGCGCGCTTCACAATCATGACACTGCGTCTGTTTTCACAGAACACATCTAGCGTGCCTGCTTCGTTGATGGCTTGCGGGTTTACGGTGTAGTATGCACCAGGAATCTCGGTGATGCTCTCGATCATACCGGAGACGGGAGAGTGCCAGCGGTGGTAGTCTTGAGGCGCGAGACGAGCGATTACGATAGAACCGTTGTTGAAGGTGGATGCGAGTTGGGCTGAGTTGAGGAGTTTCTCGATGGTGAAGCCGAAGCCTTTGATCCAGTACTTTGTGGCGAGGTCGACGGTGGGGAAAGCTGTCAGACGGCAATCTGCAGGGGAGGAGACGACGAGATCCTGTTTGACACCTGGTCAGTGGTTGATTGTAGAGTGAAGTAATGAGTACGAGAACTCACATTGCCTGGCTCGTCGATTGGTCTAGCATCCTCGCGAATCTCTCTCGAGAAGAACTCGTTGAAGTTCTTGTACTTGGCAGGGTTTGGCTCCTTCATCTCAGACATGCTCTCCTGCAAGTCGAAGCTCTCGATGAAAGGAACAATGTGGTCGACACTGGCCGGGTCATCATATTGCTTTCCCATCTTCTTGCTCTGGTCTTCCAGAAGCTTGATCGTGCGTTTCCAGTGCAGGGCTTTCTCTTGCTCGGATCCATAGTACAGAGCATGCATACCCACACGCACATAGATGCTCATGGGCTCAAAGGACTTTTCGCCAGTCTTGCGGTCCATGACGTAGTTTCCCATGTGCCAGGCCGACTCCATTGCCTCGAGACTATCGTAGGGGAAGATGCGCTTGAGCCATGAGTGCGACTTTTGGTGGTTGGAAGGGCTGTGTAGAGTATTCTTAGGGTCTTCGGGAGTGGCAGCTTGGTTGGTGATGTGGTCGAGAGCTGCTGCGGTAGCATCGAAGTGTGCGTCGCTGAGCTTGTCCGTCATGTTTGAAATGGAGATGTGAAGATTCAAGGGTCAATGAGGAGGGTTTAGAAGAATGCAGGGACTAGGGACGGAATAGTTATAGGTAACAGACGGTTAAAGGAGAAACTGCATGTGTTCAATTGCATCAATGGCGTTAATGGCATTGCGTGTCCCTGAACGAGCATGCATATGATGCACTTCCCCGCCAAACTTGGCCTCCACCATCAGCAAACCAAGCTTTTGATCTGCATTATGATGGAGCTTGACTTGCAGGGCCTTGATCTTCCAGGCTCTGCTGGTTCCCTCAGCCTTGTCCACATCCATGCTGTTCCTTCAGCCTTGTTCATAATCTGGCCGTTTGGCCAATCGTCTAGTCATTCAATCATAACGCCTGCGTCTCTCTCCATCCCTTTCCCTTCTGTCCCTTGGTGAGCGACTTCTGTGTCTCCTGCGCTCTCCAGATCTCGACCTTGAGCGCTCGCGACGGCTGTGATGATGTCTGCGTTCCTCCTCATCATGTCTGCGATCGCGGTCTTCTCGTCTGTGTCTGTGCCGTCTGTGCTCATCTCCATCTCTCGAACGTGACCTTCTCTTGTGTCTTCTCTCGCGACTCCTGCTGCCGTGCCCATCACGCCTTCTATGTCTTCTCTCTCTACTCCTACTCCTGCTTCTCTCGCGCTTGTCTGGCTCTGCAGCAGGACCAGTTTGTCCTCCCATCCCAGGCCGCAGCGCCACAGGCTCAAAATTCGCATTATCTCTATCCGGCACTGGCAACCCCATCGCCCTCAACATCTCATCCTCCTCTTGTTGTTTGATCTTTCTCATTTCTTCTCTTCTCTGTGCCTCTGCGTCTTGCTCTGAGTCTTTGTCACCTTTGGCGTACCAACTTAGATCTTTGCCTTTTTGCCATCTGCCGACGGGGGCCATGAGGGAATGACCAAGGTAGTTTTGTCGGTGTGGGTCGTTCTGGACGTCTTGCCAGGAGAACTCGTTGCGTCCGCCTCGTGAGCCTTCTTTGCGCACTGTTTGGAGAAGATCCATTTTTGTGATTTGTAGTCAGACTTGCTGGTGTGCGCCTTTGACCGACTATGAAAGTCCTTGTGCGGAAGGTAAGGATGGAAGATTGATCGATGCTGAGGTCGATCTCAGTGAGGAGCCGGCTTCGTGTATGAGGTTTAAGATTGTGATACAAGGATTTCTCGTGTGCGAGCAGGTGAAGATTTGAAAGAAAGCGGTGTCTTGAGAAAAATAAACTGGCACTTGTGTTGATGTAAAGTTGAAGGTGTAGCTCAGGCTCATGGCTTCTCCAAAGCATCGGCAGCTTCGAAGACTGACTCGTGCTTGGCAGTCAGAGCATCACCACAAACACATCTAGTCATGGCAGAGAAAAGCAAACAATTCTACTTTTGTTCCTATCTACACCTTTGATATTTTTCTAATCGTAAAAATAAAGTCTACAGCTCATCATGTCCACTTCCTGCCTTGACACTCGGCACCTCAGGCATAGCCATGATCTTAACAACCAGACTAGTCCAGCCAGTGAAATGCTGGGTACGCTGTCCCTCTCCAGTTTCTGGGTTATATTGCTCCCAAGCAAATCCAGTCTTCTCCCATGACTTGTACACTGTATCCACAAGGTTCTTGCGCAGCTCGGTGTACATCTTGGCGGCACGCTTCTGGTGAGGTCCAGTGGCAGAAGCTGTGTTGAGTAGTTCCTTGACGACGAGGTAGTTGATGGGAAGCCAGACGGGCGAACGCCAGTAGTTCTCCTCAGTACCGTAAAGGGCATCTTGCTGTGAAAGGGAGCGGATGCCATGAGGCGACCAGAGATGCTCAGGTGAGCTGATGAGGTCAAGGACTTCACCCAGATGAGGGTGGTCCGGTGCCAATAGACCAGCGAAGAACGGTGAGAGTGAGATGTAGCCCTTGTGGCAGACAAGAGCATGCTCTTCGTACTCATCAACTGTAGCATCGCAGTATGCTTGCTCGTCAGCAGACCAGTGCAGGTCGTCAAGGTTGCGAATGATGGCATTCTCGATCTTTGCGTAGGTCGATGCATCGTCGGTTTCGGTAAGAGTCGTTGCGATGCGCTTCATGGCACGGGTCATCATGCCCATCCAGGACATCAAGTCGACGTGCAGCTCACCAGGATGAGGAGGTTGAGGACGAGGGTAGTCATCGAGACCTGAGGTCAGGAGATGGGTCTTTGTGCTTCCCCTCCAGCGATAGCCTTCCTTCTTCGAGAAAGCAGGACGATCGTATGATTTGAGGTCACCAGCTTGAGTCTTGCGGAACCATTCGTAGTGCTTCTTGAGAAGAGGATAAAGATCACGAAGGTATTGCAGAGCAGCATCAGGGTTGGCGAGAACACCGTTAGCGTTCTCCGAGCCAAGAATCTGTTGGCCAGACTTTGCAGCAGCAATCTTGTCCAGGAAAGAGTGGATGACGAAGAAGAGAGTAGGAGGGTTGGCGTAGTGAGGGTATTGAGTCTGGAACTCCTGAGGAACCTTGCTGCGAGCCTCGGGTCCGAGAATCTGTTCACGGCCAATCCAGCCATCGTCATCCATCAAATTAAACCAACTCTTGATGATCTGCAGGGTGAGATCGACGTCCCAATCAATAATGGGGAGCAAGTGGAAACCCTCGTCCCAGAGGAAACCACGAGGGAAGAAGGGTCTTGAGGGAGTACCAGTAAAGAGCTCGTATGGACCCTCCAGTTTCTGTTGGTTCCTTGCTCTTGCTTCAGCAGTCTCTTGCCAGAATCCTTCGTTCTCCTCCTCGTACTCGGGTGCATATGAACGATCCACGACCGAATCACCGTGGAAATAACCAATGCCTCCGATCAGGTTGGAGAAGAGCGACTTGGCAAGACCGGTGTATTTCTTGTCATTGAAAGGTTTCTGCGGCTTGAAGGATTGGATGAAGCGCTCGGAAAAGGATTTGATGGTTGCATCGATCTTCTCAGACAGATCTGCTGATTGGATAGGCTTGGGACCGGAACCAGAGGAGAAGATGACGTCGAACTCGAATGCGCCTTCGAAGACCTTCTGCACGAAATGCATGTTACCAGCGCCGGGTGCATTGGGGATGGTGAAAGCTTGCATTGGGGGAGGCATGGCTTCGGCGGTGTAAGTTTCGATGTACTTGTCGAGACTATTCTTCATCGAGGAGAAGAGAACGGCTGCTCAAACGTCAGCTTCGAGACATGATTTTGCAACGAGTACAACATACGCTTGGCCTGCCACAAGGCAGCCTCAGGGATCTGCACACTGTGCACCAAAGTCCTGTCGATGGGCTTTTCCTGGAACGAAGGATGGACATGGTTGGGTTTCTCTCCCTTGCGATCAACGATTGTAACAGTGAAGGTACCCAACTCAGGAGTTTCTCCAGTGATGACAACGTCTCCATCGAAACCATTTTCGTTGTCTTCCTCTTCTGCGTTATCAACGACCAAGCTTCCCAATCCTTCGACAGCAATGTTGAAGATCATGGTAGTTTTGAGGTCGTCTGAAGCGTCTTCTCTTGGTACGCCCCTGATTCTTGCACCCCAAGATCCTCCATTAGAGCCATGGTCGGGGAACTTGACGAAGTCGGTTGTGACATCAATTTGGTTTCCAGCATCGTGAATGGTTTGCGAACCACCAGTTCTCGGGTCGTATGCATCCCAGCCGTAGCCGGCCATGCCCTCGTGTTGCTCGCATGTGTATCGGAAATCTGTTCACATTCAATCATCAGCCAATTGGCATTTCTGGTCAAGTTATGTAAGACACACTGTTCTGGACAGAGGCAAAGTCTTCAACCTTGGCCCACAGCAAGCCGGTAAGCACACTCTTTGGCAGTCTCGGTCTTACACCAAAGTACAAGTTTGGACGGTAAGGACCCCAAAGAAGCGAATCATTGGAAGCCTTTGTGAAGGGCGAAGCGACATCCTGAGCGACTGCTGTCTCAGGCAACAGCTGCAACAGAGTCACAGCGGCCGATAGTAACCACGGAGCCATGTTGACGACTTTGTTCGAGGAGAACTCACAAAGTTGATATCAGGAAGCAACACGTTTCGCTGCGTCCCTGATCGTCATGGCCTCGCGTTTTTGCGGGGCGAGCTCTGAGAGTTCGCTCTTGTTGCCGTGTTTAAGTCCGAGGCGGCATAACTTTTTGTGTAGCGCGATGTCGGCGACGGCCCCAGACTCTGTACCAATGACTGATTGGTGATTGGCCTGCATACCCCAAAAATTGTTCCCCTCGCTGTCGCCTCTTGCATCTGTCAATCCATCTTTGTGCGGAGTGGATTGTGTTGATTGAGTTGCTTTTCCAGAGATACCCCTTGTGTTTTGTTCGTTTCCATCCCAAACATGCCTATCCTCCGCTTGAATGCGGCGTCTGGCTCAAGACTGCGCTTGGTGAGTTGCTTTAAGCTTGTGCCTATACCACCGACTAATGACATACCAGGCCACAGCCAGACTTAGCACTCGTCGCCCTGCCATAAGAGCTACTGTTGCTGCCTCTCAACAGATCCTCCGTCCTCGTCTCTACACAACATCGACACCGCTACGAAATGCTTCCTCTCCCGATGTCTTCCCTTCGCTTCTCGAACAGCCCGGTATCTCCGACTACCTGAACGCTCAGCAGCCCGTCGCCGTCCCTCAGACCTTGACCGAGAAGATTGTCCAGCGTCACAGTCTTGGTCTCGCCGAAGACAAGTTCGTCCAATCAGGCGACTATGTCACCCTCTCTCCCCAGCAATGCATGACCCACGACAACTCATGGCCCGTTGCAACAAAGTTCATGTCCATTGGCGCCACAAAGATCCACGACCCCAAGCAGATTGTCATGACTCTTGACCACGATGTTCAGAACAAGTCCGAGAAGAACTTGCAGAAGTACCGCCAGATTGAGAACTTTGCAAAAGAGCAGGGAGTTGACTTCTACCCGGCTGGCCGTGGTATTGGTCATCAAATCATGGTTGAAGAAGGTTACGCCTGGCCTGGCACCCTCTGCGTCGCTTCAGACTCTCACACAAACATGTACGGAGGTATTGGCTGTCTTGGAACTCCTGTCGTCCGTACTGATGCCGCTTCCATCTGGGCTACTGGTCGTACTTGGTGGCAGATTCCCCCTGTTGCAAAGGTTACCCTTAAGGGCGTCCTCCCTGCAGGTGTCACTGGCAAGGATGTCATTGTTGCTCTGGCCGGTCTCTTCAACAACGACGAAGTTCTCAATCACGCCATTGAGTTCGTTGGCTCTCCTGAAACCATGTACTCTCTTCCAATTGATGACCGCCTCGCTATTGCAAACATGACCACCGAGTGGGGTGCTCTTTCTGGTCTCTTCCCTATCGACGGCGTTCTCCAAGGCTGGTTGCGTGCAAAGGCCACCGAGGCCGCTCTCTACGAAGACGCTGCTCTCACTTCATCCAAGACGTCCACTCGCTTCAACCACGAAAGACTTGACGCATTGTTCGAGAAGCCTCTGACTGCTGACAAGGGCGCAAAGTATGCAAAGGAGCTGTTCCTTGACCTCGAGTCGCTCTGCCCCTACGTTTCAGGCCCCAACAGTGTCAAGGTTGCTACTCCTCTGAACGAGCTCAACGCACAGGATATCAAGGTCAACAAGGCATACCTTGTCTCTTGCACCAACAGCCGTCGTTCTGATATCGCTGCTGCCGCAAAGGTCTTCAAGGATGCTGCTGAGGCAAACAACGGTGTCATTCCCAAGATCCCCTCTCACGTCAACTTCTACATTGCTGCCGCCTCTCTTCCCGAACAACGTGCCGCTGAGGAGCAGGGTGACTGGCAGACCCTACTCGATGCTGGTGCGCAAGCTCTTCCTTCTGGTTGCGGACCCTGCATTGGTCTTGGTACTGGTCTTCTCGAGCCTGGTGAGGTCGGTATCAGTGCCTCCAACCGTAACTTCAAGGGTCGTATGGGTAGCACTGACGCAAAGGCCTACCTCGCCAGTCCTGAGGTTGTTGCTGCTTCTGCTCTCCAGGGCAAGATCGCTGGCCCTGGCACTTACCAGAAGCCTGAAGGCTGGAACGGTGTCATTCGTGGAGAAGGAGACGGTGTCCCTGAGGACAAGCGCATGATCAGTATCGAAGATGCTCTTGACATGCTTGTTCGCCAAGCAGAAGAGGCTGTTGAGTCTGGCGAGAAGGCTCTCGGTGCCACCGATGAAGCTGCTCCTTCAGATGAGAAGCTCACTGATATCCTTCCTGGCTTCCCCGAAAAGGTTACTGGTGAAATTGTCTGGTGCAACGGTGATAACATTAACACTGATGGTATCTACCCTGGCAAATACACTTACGATGATGCCTTCTCTTCATCGCCCGATCGCATGGCTACCGTCGTCATGGAGAACTACGACACTGAATTTGCCTCCATCGCAAAGGCAGGTGACATTCTTGTCGCCGGCTTCAACTTCGGATGTGGCAGTTCCAGAGAACAGGCCGCCACTGCAATCCTCGCCAAGAAGATTCCTATGGTTGTCGCAGGAAGCTTTGGCAACATTTTCAGCAGAAATTCGATCAACAACGCTTTGATGGGTGTCGAAGTTCCTCGCTTGATCCAACGTTTGCGCGAGACTTTCGACACTCCTGCCGCTCAGGATGGAACCAAGCCTATCACTGAGCCTAGCGAAAACAGACAATCTCTCGACACACCGCCACCAGCACCTACATCAGTCCCTAGCCAAGAAAAGAAGTTGACAAGAAGGACGGGCTGGACTTTCACCTGGGACGTCAGACGCAGTCAGGTTATCGTGCAAGAAGGACCTAACGGCAAGAGCTGGAGTCAGAAGGTTGGTGAGCTGCCGCCGAACGTTCAGGATATCATTGCCAGAGGAGGCCTCGAGAAGTGGGTTGGCAAGGAGTTGGCTGCCGCGAGCAAAATCTAGAGGGAACCAATGATTGTTAGGATTGTACAAAAGCGGATATCATGGCGTTTTATGATTTAGGACATTTGTGTAGATGACATACATATCCAGAGCATTTTCTTATCGAGGGTCGTTCCTTTCTTATCGAGTTATAGCGCGAAGGATCGGCCGAGGTTCTCGTATTAGCAAGCCTCTTCTACCATCACTTCAAACCCGACCTCCCAAGCTCATAGCTAACACAACCATGAACAGGATAGACAACTTGTCCCCAAAGCTTTTATGCGACATCATTGGCCTCGCAGCAACAACTCAACCTTTCTCTTACAAAATTCATCTCTCATCATATGCTGCGGTCTCCAGGAAATGGCAACAACTCGTCGAGCCCAAACAGTTCAACAGCATCAGAATGACTAATGACGATATAGACACCTTTGCCAGTGTCTTCGGCAACGATACGACTGGCGAGCATCGTAAAGCATCATTACAGCAATTATTTCTCCGCGTATACTCATCTTATCGGTCAATCAAGCCACGGACTGAGTCCACCATAGAAGAAAGGAGAAACGAGGTCGTTGCCAACGACACGGTTTTTACGAAAAGTCTACAATCACTTTTCGGTGCCTTGCAGTCGTGGTCGTTGGAGCACTCGCTTGTTCTGTATCTTTTCGTACCAACAAAAGACAGTGATGGAGTGTTTGCTTGCCGTACGGAGCCTCATATCCTGGATCTTGAGTCCTTGCCGCTAGTCTCTTGTATTGAAAAGTTCGTGTCTACGAGTCAGATGTGTCTATTGACAGAGACTCTGGTTGGTATTGCGTCGAGGCTTCCGAACTTACGACACGTGGAATGGCAGATTGCAGATGGAGATGGACTGATTCAACGGCGACAAAATCGTTCTGGTGAGTCTATCACAACGCTCAAGCTGAACGTGCCTGCCACTGTGCTCTTGCAGCTGCGCTGACACAGCCTCTTGATCTTACAAGACCAATCTGACCTGCGAAGATCCACTGACATACATTTCCAGATTTTGCAAATCAACTTTTAGCTCTGGAGACCTTATGTCCTTTACTTACGACACTTGAATTTATTTTCAGATCTCCGTTCCCTTCGCGTAGTCCAATCACAGAAGTCCCGAGTGTGCTCCTGCCATATGCGTCTATCGACCATCTGTGCGTCTCCTTACGCAAGCTCTGTCAGTCTATGCAACGAGTGGTTTTGACCAATTTACCCATCTCCTCTCAATTGTTCTGGCCTTTACAAAACGACGACGAAGCTGGTGAGGAGGTTGAACCCTTCTGGCCAAAGTTGACACATTTCGATCTCGAGTTCAGTATCTGCGCTGCTGAGGGTGGGCTATGGACCGATTTTCTTACTTTGCCTTCTTGCTCGTGTCGCGCAGGTCCAACAAACATACCGACACCTGACGAGAAGCAACAACCAGAACGTCCCGCTCATACGACTGAAGCACCTTCACCTCCCTGGCCCTCTGAGGAGCTGGAGGATCTATTGCTTGTCATTGCCAAAGCCATTGCTCGCATGCCTTTGCTCCAAGTCTTCAGCGCCAGAGTGGGCAAAAGTTCTTGGCGTGAGACGCTTGACCTCGAAGACCATGGCTTTGGAATGCGCTATTCGAGCCCTGTAGAAGGGGAGACTGGTATTGATGGGGCGATTCTTGCGAAGCGCTTGGAATGGACGGCGCCGTCTGAATGGCGAATGAGTAGCACTCTGGAGGAGCAATGGAGAAGCATTCTGGGAGACACAGGAGTGGTCGAGTATCTTGTATGATGCTACCACAATCGTTCAGGCTAAGAAGCTCTACTGTTAAAATCCATTCAAGGTCTGGTACACAGATGCTGCCATCGACGCTGTTGCGCATATTGCCTTGCATGATACTTCTGAGTCGACCATACACTACCAGGAGCGTGTCATGTTTACAGCACTCGTCAAGAATGTCAAAAATCACCATGGCATGAACGACGAACAGATTGTTGCAGAGGTTGACTACGCCACATCAGATCTTGCACATACAGTCCACAGCCTCCTCGAGAACAACGTTCTACCAACTGGCTGCCACTTGCCATGCTCGGGAAAGAAACCAACTGTCACGTCTGTTGCTTTTGCATGCAACCCTCTAGGAAGTCACTGGATTGCTATTTCGATCACTAAGGAGGGCGGTTTGAACGTATTCAATCCCTTAATTGCCTTAGAGGGAATTGCGTCTACGATGGCGATACTAAACAGAGCTCTCCCACTGCATGTGACGTTGCTCTGCTTGCGTCCTGGATCAGGCTGGAGTCCGGCTGCTTTCCGTGGCTCTGAGATGGTGCAAATCAATGCTGTTCAACAACGCAACAGATCAGATTGCGGACCAGCTACTCTTGTCACATTACCTCACAACATTAATAACCAGCCGGAACAGCATGCGATCAACGGTCCTGCCATCTGTCTGTCGCAGCTCAGCATTCTGCAAGCATTTCTGACAGGCAGCTCGTTTGTCCCTAATACGACAGCTGGAAAGCCAGAGTCACGCTTACCAGGACACATGGCTGACGATGTTGCCAGAGAAAAGGAAACTATAGCAAGGTTTACAATGCTCCGAAGCTTTTATCTTTGGGCTTCGGACAGAAACACTGGCGATCAATTTGGGATCCAATTTATGATACGGAACGTTCTTATCACAACAGGTGTCATACCGACGGAGATAACATACATAATCTCTACCCTGATCTCTCAATACTTCGATTCTGGCACCGTTTTTAGATCAGATGACAACATAGCAGACATTCTGTTCTAGCCTCCACACTTCCTCTACAACTCCAAGGACTTGGTTACTCCTCCTCGTGGCATCAGATCTCATGAACCATTCGCCCTTGCAACTATGCTCACTCCGCAAGTCTCCTCCGTCTACGCTGTTCATAACATTGATGATGCAAGCTCCATCGACTATTCGCTTGTGATCCTTGTTGAGAATTACAGCGCCAGAAATAATAAACTTGCTTCAAGAGCCAGTTATGGCCACGGTCTTATGTTGCTTTAGGAAAGCACTTTTCAATCAGGCAAGGAGCTTCTTCTTCTCTCTAACAAGCCAAATAAACTTCTTCCTGCATGGTGGTATCTCCGATGCACTTATTCTGCTCAGGTCAGATCTCTCGACGAGCATACCAGATGCCTGCGCGATATTCGTCTACAGTGCGCATCTCTTTCAGAGTCGACTCTACAAGACTGCCGCGCTGAGGTTGCGATTGTGACGAGCAGTGTGAATGGTGTAACAGCAAATCCTCTAACCTGGAATACTCTATGTACAGAGTTCCCCGAGCTGCACTTTAGCTTGCATACATTTGTTACTCTGGACGATCAGCGCTCGTGCATCCAGGTCCGTCAGTCAAAGCCGGGTCGTCGATGGTCTGTATGTGATGTAGATCTGCTTGCCCAAATGTGCCAGCCCGCGCCACATGAGCTTACGGATGTGGTTGCGCCAACGACTTACGACATTGAAAATTGGGATGGATAGTGGTTGGAATCAAGCTGTCTTTGATGCTGTCTTATATAGCTTCTCGCCTTAAGAAGTCTGGGCTTGCTGTGAAGTGACTGGCATGTGATCACTGTCTTATGCGATTGCGTATGAAGTAGATGAAGGCGCAACTGGTTGGAGCATAAGTTGGAAGGAGCATTGGATTGACCCGTGACCACTCCTTGACAGGAGAAGGTCGCATATCGTCGACTTCAACTGACTGTTCAAGGCCACAGGCGACTCGCTGAGTGTTGTGTGTTAACCAATGACCATCGAATCCAGTATGTTTATTGAAGAAGCTACCTTGTCGTGGCTCTTCTAGTCTCAGCTTGAAGGACATGTCATCACTGATTGCGCAAAGAAGGGTATGCTGCGGAACAGGGTCTTATCTATGGTGCTTCCAAGTCATTGTCATCTTGATTTAGTCGTTATTGGGAGAAGGTATGGAAGTGGCCTTTTGCCTCTCTATTCTGCAAATCGCACTTTCTGTGCTTCGAACTTCTTGCGCTCGTCTTCTTTTTCAAGCACTCACAGCAACTCCATTGCCAATACCGTTTCCATGCCCGTTCATAGCAACATCTCCATCTGCATCCCCATTAACCTGATTTGCAGGAGGAGTTCCACTAGTGCAACCTGGACAATTATGCACAACCTCGTGACAGAAAACATCACAATCGACGCAAAAGTGTCTTTCGCAGGAGGGACACTCGTAGCGTGAACTCTCACTTGCGCCTTCTGCTCTCTTCTGCACTGGTCCTGTACCATCTGTGCCGTTTTCTCCATCGCCTACGGTCGACTTTGGCGGCTGTGGGAATGTCGATAAGCAGCCAAAACACCTTGTGCTCTTTTTCTGCACAGCTCTTGACCAAGAGACTTCGTTCCAGAGCAGAAGAGGGAACAGATGATGGTAACTTCTCGCAAGATGTGTGGAGAGAATGAGTGTCAAGTCACAAGCTGGACATGTTTGTGGTAACGAGCAGACTTTTGCTTTGCAGCGACTGCAGTTGTATCCTCCTTGTGTCAATACGCCATGGCAAGCACATAGTGTGGCTTTGGGCTCGGTGTAGCGAGATGGGAAGCCCATTTGCAATAGAGCGGACCGCGAGACGGCAGCAGTAGAGGAGGTTTGACGCATGACGGGTGGCGTAGTGATAGCCATGAGTAACTCGCGGTAATGAGGTTCGTCCAGCGCAACATTGTAGCTGCCAGTATCTCCTGCGTTCGTGCGAGCGCATAGGTCGGCGCAGATGTGCATCTGAGCCGCAAGTCCAATAACAGTGACCCGTAACTTGTCTCTAACGCAAGCATTGATGGTCTGATGGATATCGCCCGGATCCGAAGAGCTCAGTGCGCCGAGAATGATCACCACTTCCCTGGTGCCGTGAGAGGGCGTGTGGTATAACGCCGCCCTTGCCATATCGAGGGCATTCTGCAAACTAGCAGCTCCCTTTGGTTCTGTTTTTCTCAACTCTTTCAAAGCAGTAATGTGATCATTAGGATTGCCCGACAACTCTGAAATCCTGACTGCTAAGCCATCCCTCATTCCCAAGATGCCAAGCTGCGATATAGGATTTTGCTCGAAGAACTCCCGGACAAATGCAATGGTATATGTGAGTGTGAGCAAGAACCTCGTCGGTCGTAGATCTTTTTCCGTCATCGCAATGCTCAGATCCAGCACAAGCAAACAATGCCGTATGATGCCTCGTTGCAGAGGCGTAGTATCCTTTTGTAACCGTAGACGTTTGGTGGCTTCCTCCATACCACCCAGCACACTGGTGAGGTTTCCATCGTCGCCTTCGTGCAAGTCCCAGTTCCTTTGGGCGCCGGCTTCCCAGCGCGCGCGGTTGCCTGAGCCGCTGTCTTTCGAGGTTGCTTTGGCCTTGCCAGGATCCTGGGTGCGTGACCGATTGGTGGAGCGAGAGGTGCGGGTATTGAGGTCCTCGTTTGCGTCGTCAGACATGTCCATATCATAGTCGATGTCGTGATGCGCCATGGTGAATTGTGACGCTTGTCGCGTGCGCACTGGCTGACGGAAAGGTGTATTGAATGTGTGGGTGGAAGGCGAATGTGTTGTGATGAGAGTGCAGGCTCAGCGGGCTGAGCTGGTCTGACGGTGGTTGATGGGAATCAGTTCATGGCATTCGGTGGTGGCCTTCACTTGAACATGTTTATCGATGGACCTTTCTCCAGATTCACATGGTGCGCGTCATCGCATGCACAATTTCCTTTCACAAAATCTTATGCTGCAAGCCATCTATCAAGAATATCAGGCGGCCATCATTGAATCGTAAAGTACACTGATGAAACACAACTTGTTACACTCCAAACAATAGAAGGAAAAAAGTCTCAATGCAAGTGAGACATTCAAAGCTGCTATCTTCGCATCCTCCTCTTCTGCCTGGGTATTGAAGAAAACAAGGCATTCGATAAAAACACATTAACAAAGAAAAAGGAAAAAGTCATTAGGTAAGAAAGGTTAGTTCCCCCCAACCATCAATCAATCCAACGCCGCTGCTTCATGATATGACAGTAAAGAAAATGTGTGTAAGATCAAGAATGGTAGTCGTCTTCGCGCGGGTATAATTATCAATAAGTGTGCTTTGTTGTTTTTGAGTTTTGTTCTTTTCAGTTGTATGTGCTGGTCTCAGTCGAGGGTAGAGGCCAGTCGTCTTCGGTGATGCTGGACCAGAAGACCCAGATCATGATAATGGCCAAGAGAGTGAATAGTGATTCAAAGAGACCTCCGTTGATGGCTCCGTTGGTCGCATTACAAAGGTGTACGCTGATGACATATTGGAAGATCTGTCCGATAGCGAAGAGGAGCACTGCTGCGATGAGGTAGACTAGAAAGCCATGTTAGTCATGTGACGGCACATGTTGCATACACCAAACTTACACATGGGTCTGATCTCGCCGAGCACTCTGATGACGATAAAAGCCTCCAGAATGAAGAAGATGAAGAGAAAGACCAGCGGAACAAGCTGGTACAATGTGTATAGAGCGTATGCGCGGTTAGGAGCAACAAGCGTGTCATCCCAGTATCCAGTCCAGCTGAAACCAGTGTCGAGCGCAATGTAGCCAGTGCCGATAAAGAGAATAGCAGCTGAACCAAAGATTAGAGCCAGCGAGACGAAAGTTCCATCGTCCAAGAACTGATAGCCAACAGCAGCGTTCATGAGGAGAATCCATGTAGTTGCAATGATGGCAGCAATGTGTACGGCAGTGAAGGCCTGGTCTCGTTAGTTTTGAATTGCAAGCAGGCTTCATAAGACAGCAGACTCACCCTTCGCACGCCACCATTAAGAGGAAACCAGCCAATAGTGAAGATTTCGCAGATCGAGATGAGGATGAAGCCAACGAGGAACAATTGCATTTCCCTGATAGCGCGGTTAGCTTGTGTTGACAACAGCCCGACAAGAGTATGAATACCTTCTTCCAACAGCAGCGCGCTTTCTGTTCGATCTCCAGATCAGGAACAGGGCGATGAGGATGGCCAGACCGTCGATCAATATGGAACCAAGGTTGGCGAGATATCTGTCGCCTGACAGCGAGATGCCTCGAAGCTCGCATCCACCAAAGCCATTGCCTCCTCTTGATATCGATTCGTCAAAGAGCTGTCGCAAAGGATTAGTTGGGGTGGGTAGAGGTGGACTGTCGGAGAGGTCGTACATTACACACTGGCAGTGTTGATCGCGCGCTGCCTGTATCGCGACAAAAGTTCTGTGGACATTGTGTCAGACTTGAGAGCAGAGAGTGGACGAGGTAGGCGTACGTGAAATTTGCCGTATTGGGACATGTCTGGTGAAAGCAGGCGTTGAGCGCCTCGACGTGGGTTGTGTTTATTACGAGAGAGTGATGTAGCGAAGGTCTTTGTCGAGGAAGATCAACTTGAGCGAGTGAACTGCGAATACCAGCAACGGCAATTGGGAGGATGCGTCTTCAGGACAGACAGAGGTCGTCTTCGAGGCGCGGCCGTCGGTCGAACTTCTCGCAGTTGCAAGGCTGGCACTGGGCAGGGCAGCAAGACTACCTCCTGTGCAGTTTAAGCCAAGCCAAAGCTAACGTCTAAACAGGCTTTTTGGCAAAGTGACCGTGAACTGGCGGTTTCGCAGGTTCGCTATGATACCCGCCTTTAGCTTCATCCACTAGTTGTCGCATCTCCCGCGAGCCTCCCATACACGCCATTGTCTGGGTCTGAGCATCTCTTCTTTCCTCTCTCTCTCTCTTAACATTTTCAAACGTTCATGCCGTTTCTAGTTGCTCCAGACATACCCCGAGCGATTATCGCGTATCTCGACCCGTCTCAACGTCTTCCGTTGTGTATCTCGAGCTGTGACCTGGGTGGCTGGTAACGATTATGAACTAATTATGAACAAGGAACAAGAAGCCAAGCTCCCTCGCTCCCGCAGTTCGTGAGCCAATCGTGAGCTTTGTACTTTAGCGCTCTTGCCTACTCGAGTAGCCGATATGAGCTCTTTCTTCTTCAACATCCTTGTGGCACACTCCTTACTTGTGCTTGTCCCTGCAAGCTCCGTTCATGATTGTAGCACTGTGCGTCTATCTTTCAGTTACTGTCTTTGAGTACGGCATTGCCAAACTTGCAGCAGTTCACCTCTCAGAGTAGCCTTGCAGACTCCGCTATCCCGCAATCACGGCACAGACGTCCATCGACAAATCGATAATTGTTACGCTCCCCCAGTCATGCTTTCCCAACCACCTGCTTTTTCTTCCCCTCATGCCGTCTTATGGTCCAGCTCTGCTCAACAATATCCTTGCGTGTAACCAAAATCTACTGCATCTCTTGTATGCCGGTCCTTGTCCTTGTTCCTGCATACTAAAGGCGCTATCACTTTCCGCCAGCCAGCCGGGAAGCGCTTGCATGAACGCAATTTCCCCTGTCAAATTGTTCGGATGTGTGCGACTAGCCAACCATCCCTACAACCCAGCAGCCTCTATGTGAAACTCTATTGCCGACACAAGAGAATCTGCGATTCTTGCATTTCTTCGAAACATATTGTCAGCTTCTGCCCTCTTGTAGAGTGTCGATGGCAGCAAATGTTCACGACAAGTGCGCATTAGGCTTGTGTACTCTTGCGCAATTCTTCCAGGACTCCTGCGACCATGATCGCTTTCTCCTCGCCGTAGTGTCCGGTAACAAGTTGCACGCCTATAGGCATGCCTTGCACCAATTCAAGATCATATTGAGCATGGTTGAACTCATCACTCTTGTTCTTTGGTTTATGATCTTTCCATCCAGGACAGGCTTCAATGCTGTCCAACTCTCTATCTGCAACCACGCCAGTCGGCACAGTTAGTGCAGAATAGTCAAGCAGATTCCAATGAGCACTATAGCCCACATATTGACTACTGACAACCCATTGCTTAGGTTTGTAGCCAACCCAAGGCAGCACAGGCGCAATGATGGCGTCGACGCCTGAGTCGAGCATCTTTTGAGCATACATCTGCTTGTACTCCAAAATCTTGCGAGCCAAGGCTTGACGCTGTGATAGATCGAGTTTGTGCTCCAGTTTACCGACTAGCGTGCCTTCGATCAGTGGTTGCGGAGGGTCTGAAAGATTGCAAGCGGCTTCACAGCCTTCACCTCCATCCGCGAGGATGGCTGGTTCCCAGAGTTCGTAGTAGGATGTTGGTTGCGAGGATGAGTCCCAATCGATGCATTCGTGGCCAGCTGTGGTAAAAAGTTCACGAACATGGTTCATTGCTCGCTGGACGGGTGGCTGAGGCAGCACGTAGCTGTCATTGTGGATGAACCCGAGTTTGAGCTTCTGGCCAGAAGGTAGCTTGGTGAGTTCGGTTCTCCATGGGATAGGCGGGAGACTAGGGTCAATTTGCCAGGGACTACTCGAACAGTAGGCTTCCATGTATGTCTTGAGTGAGTCCAGAGACCAAGTCAAAGGCCCGGCAACCGAAGGAATTAAATATTCCTGGTGGTTGGCTGCTCTACGCCATGACACTCTGAAGGCAGAAGGACAAAGGCCATATATGCCTTGCAGAGCAGCTGGGATGCGGATCGAACCGCCAATATCAGTGCCAATACCAATGACCGAGCCTCGACCACCCACTAGTGCTCCCTCACCACCTGAAGAACCACCTGAGACAAGTCCACGATGCAAAGAGTTGACGCTCTGTCCAAAAACGTGATTGTAACTGTCCGACATCATCATGCTTTGTGGGACGTTGGTTTTGACATACAAGACAGCCCCAAGACGTACAGCCTGTGCAATGGTAGACACACTGTGTTGCTCAATAGGCTGGAAGCATAAGCCTGCCCAGCCAACACAAGCATCGTAGCCTTCCACCTCACAGCAATCTTTTAGAGAAATCGGTAGACCATGAAGAGGACCAGATGGCTTTCCAGTCTTTGCGAACTCTTCATCAAGCCTTTCGGCAGTCTCCAAAGCATCGCCGAACATGAGCTCAGTACAGCATTTTGTCAATTGCTGCAGCACTGCAGCTCGTTTGCAGAAAGCAGTGACGACCTTGACGGCAGTCAACTCTCCAATTTGTAGCTTTGGAACCAAGATCGAAGCGTCAGTATTAGTGATTGCCAGTTCCTCAGCTGTCAAGATGCCACAGCTTTCGACAATTGGTATGGATGACTTGTAGTCATCGGGGAGCGATTTCAGACGCCAATTGAAGGGGATGTTTCCAGCTTGCAGCCCGCGCTTGAACTGGCAGATGTCTTGCCAGCTGGACATATTGATTGCAGTAACCCTAAGTAGCTGGAAAATAAATCAGAGAAAATGTAGCAGGATGTCAAAGGAAGGAAAGGAAGGTGGGTGGAAGGTGGTGATTGAAGATCATCTTATCAATCTAAGCAGATCGAACGATTCCACTCTAATCCAATTTGGAGAACAAAATTATGCAAAAGTTATGAAGAATGACGACACCAGGCTCACTCATCTTTGGTCATGCTTGACTCGACCTCTTTCTCCATCACGAGCACAAGGGTCAATGTACGCTATCATGTTGCAAAATTGCAATTCGAAAGTGACTCTGGTCAAAAAAATCACCTCTGTTGAGGCTCCTCTGTGGATGCTCTCGCACGTTTCTGATAAATTTGACCCTCTGTCACAACGAACTCGCTCTCGAAATGTGTCTCTCAGTGAACAATTTGCGTGCCTCTGACATCGACTGGTCATGGCCCTCATCAACGCCTCCACTCACAGCGTCAGCTTCTGCTGCCAGGTCAAATCGTGGCAGCTGAGCAGCAGAAGGAAGAGAAGACCTGATGCTATCGCCAAAAACATCCTCGGACTTGTATCCAGCTTGTTGCAAGATCGCAAAGTACTTATCCGAAACATCGAGTGCTTCTGCTCGCATGTCTCGAAACCTTACGGCCGCATCGATCATGTGTCGTTTGCATTCTTTCACATCTACGCTTCTGGTCTCTTCTGTGGTCATGGCAAAACGCATGGGATAGTTGCGGGTCGTGACAAGGTAGTGCGTATGTGCTCTTGCCAGACCTCCTGGAGTCGTTGGCTCTCTATCGTATTCAAAGCGATCAGGTACTGCGAAGTCCGTTAGAGTTTTCTAGATCAAGAAATTCTGAACAACCTACAAGGACCCACTGGCAACCCATCCGCTAAGTCAAAGAGGATGTCGATTGCGTCTTCCAATTCTTGTATAGAGGACCCGAAAACCTCGCTGGCTTCTTGAGCTCCTTTGGCATATCCTGGGAACTTGTTGTCGACGTCACCTATCTTGATGTTCGGTGGTCGCCATGCCCCGGCGAGGATCTTCAAGTGGTCGCATATCTCACCACAGAGGCCTCGAATGTATGGGTTGGTTGCGGTGTCATAACCCTGAATTGCGTCAATGTATAAATCATCTGACATCTTGCTTTGACTGAAAGGTTCGAGCAGCAATACTGAGGAAACAGCACGATTGATATACCGGTGTTGTTTGCTGCTTGCGAGGTTTAATATGCGTTGATCTGTTTGCTGACCAGCGCGATAGAGATTCGTTTCCCTTACTCTTCTGTTATAGGCTAAGCAGCAAACCTCAATGCTGGCAAGCAACGAAACAAGGTTCAGCAACAACGTCTGCTGCCATTGGACGAAAGCATACGTCCTCATTTGAAAAAGCCATTCGGCTATTATCATGACTGCACATTACTAATATAATATGTATATACCTCATTGACCCCGCCGACTATCAATGTTCTCGTGTCGAAATACGCCAATATCGAGGCCATCGCTAACTAGTCATCACACCTTCCAGAAGTTGCCAGCACGAGAACTGAAAAATATGTATTGACTGGGCGTGCAGCAACACGATGTCATGTAGGATTCAACCTTCTAGAGATTCTCCACCTAAAATCTGCATGCCAAGCACTAATGTCCCTAATTTTGTCCGGTTCCGCATCCAGGAATAACAACAGCATGCATCGCTTGATTTTTACGAGGACGATCGTCTGACTATAGATCTTGCCAAGTCAAGTTTGAGTAATGGTCTATTGGGTTCCTGATCCTTGGAGGATATAAAATGGTGCATCAAACCATGCTCAGGCCCTCGGTCACCTTCAGCTCGATTTCGCATTCAAGTATCCTTGGTAGTCTTTATTACGTTCTGTGCATACCACACACACATCAAATCCTACCATGAAGACAGCATCCATTGGCGCAGCAGCTGCTGCCATGCTCATCACCATGGCTGAGGCTCAAGCTTTCACACTCAAGATTCGTTCTTCTTCGGATGATCTCAACAACGTCCCACTTATTGCCTGGAATGGTATGCTCATCGCACAACGCCCAGGAAACAGTACTACGGCAACTTGCCCTCCCTGGGACAGCAATTGTCCCGGGAAATCCACCACCATTTTCTCAGGACCTACTCTCGACGATGCTCCAACTCAGATGTGGATGGGCATCCTCCAGGAGCACGGCCAGCGTGTCTACACACACGCACCTCCCAAGGGACTTTTCGATGCCGAAGGCTATGGCGACCTGATTAGCTACACAGCAGCAGGCAATAATGAAAAAGCCAACGTTCCCTTGGTCGACGCATATGGCGATCTCTGGAACATTGTCCCCCTCGAAAATGATGGTCTCCTTGGCGCTAAGAGAGGCGAGCATGTCCTCGCTTTCGGACCAAACAACTACACTGTCTTCGATATCTGCCAGGCGTACCGTAATGCCTTGGGTGAAGGAACTTGGATCTTCTCAAGGGTGTCGAAATATTGCGAACCTATCCTCGTTGTCGCCGAGGAGACGGATGTGGCCGCTCCCCAGTTTTACAACTGTGATGGCTGCGAGTTAAGGGGAAATTTTGCTAAGGATGGCGTTGCTTGCTACCCTCCATTCTGCGGCAGCAACAATAGATTCTTGTGGCTTTGAAGCGGGTTATACAATTTCTGTTATCCTGGGCGCTTGTCTCCAGGCTCCTCAAGATTTCGAAGAGGTCGTGAATTGGAGCGCATCTCGTTGGCGCCTTGTCATCATCAACGAGCTTCTTCGAGGCTTGCTCTCAATCTCTGGTACAGGGCGGACTCTCTTTCCTTTTTTTCGTCGAGAGTAACGATTGTATGATGTATGAAGCAACAATATTTTCCTGCGCTCACTCCATCTCCTTGATACTTTCCAGTCTATCTCGTACAGATAACTTGATAAGCTTATGAACTTATTATTAAACGTCTTTCCCCTGTCTGTTACATTAACATGCGTGTGACGCTTTCTCGTGATCCCGACTGGCTCGTGTTTCAAATCTGCGAGCGTTACGCTTCTACACCTGAAGAGACCAAAGTTGTCATGGTCGTGCTACTAAGCACACAAGTTGGGAGCCACAAGGGCACATCTTCACTGTTGCACTCTGGCCACACTCAAACAACAGGAACCCATGCAAATTTCAACTCAAGATTTAACAATATGAAGTGTTACTCTTTCCTATAGAGTAGATTGAGAAAAGATTGTTGTCTCAAGGATGAAAAGGCTTAGTCATTGGGATGACCCTGCTGGTCACAACTTATGACCGCTCGGGGAAGATAATTTGACAGCCCGTCTCTATCTCTTCCGTTTCTCCGGCGGGCCGATGATTCAGCTAGCCGAACAAAAGAAAGATGAACTTGCCGTTAGAGACGCGTTGTCTACTAGAAAAAAGTCCAGATGCCATATAGATGACGCCGATTCATGGGCAGTTGCCAACGCTACAAAAACAATTCTATGCTTGTTCTAGAGGCCGTGCCGGCTTCATCGGACCCGAGGGAAATGCATCATAAGGTGATAACTTGGTCATCAATCGCCCTCCCTTCCCTACATCCGTTTCTCGACAACCCAAAGCTGTATTCAGCTTGATCTCAGCGCCTCATCATTACGCTATCTTCTTCATCCATTCCTTCATACACATTCTAATCTACCCTTCGCGCAACACGATGGCCTCCCTTTCCCGCTCCGTCTCGTCATTGGCGGTTAGCTCGAGAATCAATGTCGTCCTTAGAATTGGTTCCCGAGTGCCACGCGCTGCCAACAGAGTGAGCGGCACCTACACTCCAATCGGTTGGCGATTTGGAAGCAGTGCTGCGATCCCAAGAAAGGAGCCTATCGTCGGTGATGCAGAACCCCCTACCAAGCTGGTTGGCAACTCGAAAGTCTACAAGAGCGCCGAGGATGCAGTAGCAGACATCAAGAGTGGCTCTACCATCTTGAGTTCAGGCTTCGGTCTTTGCGGTGTTGCAGGTACGTCTTCTCCATGCCCAATAAAGTCATGATCGAAGTTTGACACCTTTCGACAGAAACCATTATCCAAGCAATTGCGAAAAGAGGACCCAGCGAGGTCACCAACCTGACCGCAGTCTCCAACAACGCTGGTGTGGGAGATGGCGGTCTTGCTTCTCTGGTCAAGTCTGGTCAAGTCACAAAGCTGATCATCTCATACCTTGGTGGTAACAAAGTACTCGAGAAGAAGTATCTCACAGGAGAAATTGGCATTGAGCTGTGCCCACAAGGTACACTGGCAGAGAGAATCAGAGCAGGTGGTGCAGGTATTCCAGCTTTCTACACCCCTACTGGTGTCAACACCGCCATCATGACTGGCGACATTCCCGTCAGATTTGGACCTCCCGCTGAAGGCTCCACCGAACTTTCAGTACTCGAGTCAGGCACCCCTCGCGAGACTCGTGAATTTGACGGAAAGACATACAACATGGAGCGCGCAATCAAGGGTGACGTCGCTGTTTTGAGAGCATGGAAGGTCGATGAGGCTGGTAACTGTCGCTTCCGGTAAGCATGAGAACCTACAATTGGCGCATACGCACAACATCTGACATTCGTATCAGCTACACCACTCAAGCCTTCGGTGTTCTCGTTGCAAAGGGCGCCAAGATGTCCATCGTTGAAGCCGAAGAGATTGTTCCTGTCGGCTCGATTCATCCAGACGACGTCCACCTTCCCGGTATCTACGTCGACCGCATTGTACCAGCTACAGCCGAGAAGGGCATCGAGGCAAGAATGACCCGTCCTTCAGAGGGCACCTCGACCGAGTCTGCACCTGCTAAGGAGAAGTCGCCCGCAATGGTCAGAAGAGAGAGAATCGCCAAGCGCGCCTCGAAGGAACTTCACAACGGCATGTACGTCAACCTTGGTGTTGGTATGCCAACTTTGGCCCCCTCTTTCCTCAACCCTGATGTCAAGGTCTGGATCCAGTCTGAGAACGGTCTTCTTGGTCTTGGTCCTTACCCTACTGAGGACGAGGTTGATGCCGATCTTATCAACGCCGGTAAGGAGACTGTTACCATGGTTCCTGGTGGTGCTACTTTCGACTCTGCCGAGTCTTTCGCCATGATTCGTGGTGGTCACGTTGATGTCTCTATTCTCGGCGCTCTCCAGGTCAGCGCCAATGGTGATCTGGCCAACTACATGATTCCTGGCAAGGTTGTCAAGGGTATGGGAGGCGCCATGGATCTTGTATCCAACCCTGAGCAGACCAAGATTGTTTGCTTGACCGACCACGTTGACAAGTACGGCAAGTCCAAGGTTGTGCAACAGTGCTCGCTGCCCCTTACTGGAGCTCGTGTAGTCAGCACCATCATTACCGACATGTGTGTCTTCCAGGTTGATCGCAAGAACGGTGGTCTTACTCTTACCGAGTTGGCTGAGGGCGTCACTGTCGAAGACATCAAGGCCAACACCGATGCATCATTCACTGTTGCAAAGGACATCAAGTCGATGGAGTAAACTGTCGTCTTTGAGAAGACTCAACAATTCTGATCTCACGGGCACTTTTCCTAGTCCGACCTCGATCTACATTGCTGCCCACTTTTGGCCAGCTGATATCGAACTGCAGCTTGATGGACTTGGAGAGCTTAGCGTCAATGACTAGCTCACCCGAGCTCAGCCGCAATGATTTTCTATACGAGTAATGTCAGCATACTCGAATGCGTGATGGGACAAAGCATTTCAATAGAGGGCATTAAAATTTATATATAGCGTTGCCTTACACGGTGGATATTTTCGAATAATAGAAATGCATGTTAACAAAGTTCTTTGAACCTTTGTCGGTGTGTTTCACCAGTATACCTTGGTCCCGGTGGTCAGAGAGAACACAAGGTAAGGTGTCTGTCTGATAGATCTGTCATCAGGATGCACACACGTCGTCCTGTAGCCAGAGGTGTTGCTTTCTCTACGTCACGTTCTGGACCTCGTATTGACTTGGTGAATTTCAAGCAGATCCAAGAAGATCAGACAAAGCCGTGCTTTCGTGTTGACGATTGGGACTCTCGATGGTCAAGCGTTCATAGGCACAGGGACCATGTCGAAGTCCAGATGGTGAACAATGTCTAGATTTGTCTGGGTCGAGCTTCTTGGAGTAACAAAGCTCCCTCGATCCATTGTATGCCATTGGACTAAGTGAACTCGAGAGCGGACTACCTGCCAACAACAGCATCAAGGTAGAGCTCTGTCCACGTCCCAGCTTTGACCTTGTGTCACTGTGTTACTCCGGGGTCGTAGATCAGCACTCTATTGGACCTCGTGGCATGCACCAGCCACCTTCGCATTGCCCGCGGCTCTAAGACTCTTGCTTGGTGACTCGTGAGTGAACAAGCTACGGCTGACATTCAACGTTGAGAAAGCCATTCTCCACTCGAGAAATCTGGATGACAGTGACAGGACGTCCCTCGCAGAGCCATATGGTGCACTTTTTCTTAAGCTTCTGTTGGTGCGACAGGCCGACAGAGAGACTATTTGGCCCTGAATCAATAGCAAATGTTCTCATAGTCGGATGTGCCCAGAGATCTGCACTATCCGGAGATGAATTCCAGCGACCCCCACATTGGCACACCTCTTTAGGCTCTTTAAACTTCTTCTCTGGATGTCACGAGTCACAGCTGTCTACAATATACAACTATTGTTTTGATATGTCTTGTTTCAGTTTGATTGGCAGTACGACTGCATCATGAAGACAGAGCGTGGCAGGCACGCAGCCAAGGAAAGCGCAAGCTGAAGAGTGGGCTTTCTACGGCCTCCGCCCCAATTGACCACATCCAGATCGCTCGTGCACGACGACATCTGCGCTTTGGAGGTGCGTGCCACCGTAGGTCGGTATGTACGGTATTGTATCTCAAGAAATGTCAAGCTTTGTTGCGCACATGATATTTCGCTCTTGGTCTACCTGGCGTCTCTGGAACTGTACGAATCACCAACAGAGCGGCGACTGGAAGTCACCATAACAGACATTGCACATGAACTTTTAACTACTCGAGTGATATAGTTCCAACTTACTACATGCATAACAGTAGCTGTCTCCATCAATGCTCCGCGGTCCAACGGCACTTGTTGATGGGGGAAGAGCTAAGCTTTCCTGATCCACATCAAGCATCTACCTATTTTCTAATCAGGATCCGCAGTCAGTACTCAGACCTCTCTGACTCGACCCCTCGAGAGCAGACTATCCCAATGGGCGGCTTTGACAGCAGCAAGCCTTTCCACACTCACCCCCAGACAATGACTCGTCAGCAGTCCCTTGATTGCAATCAACGTCGAGCTGCGTCTGTCACGGACCAACAACCTGGACTATCGAAATCAAGTCGAGCCAGATGTTCATGAGAGCTTGAGCAGATACCAACGATCGCCTTGTCGAGATGAATATATAATATGTGAGAACGTCTGCCTCTTCGTCAACTCATCTCAGCATCAACTCCTTCACTCTCTCATCACCTTCCTTTCTCTACAAGGCTTCCACTCTTTACGGGCCTCTTCTCCACTCTTTTATCAATCAACCTCGAATCTTTGAAACAAGCACAATGCGTTTCACTCAGGCTATTGCTACTGCCATCCTCTCGGCCTCTATGGCCTCGGCCATGCCCATCGGCTCCTCTGGAAGCATTCTCGGAAACGTTGCCAGTGGAGTCCACCCCATTGTCAACTCTGCTGGCACCTCAGTCGACGGTGTTGGCACCGTTGTTGACGGTGTTGCTGGTGTTGTTGGAGGTGTTTCTACCACCCTTGGAGGCACTGGTAGCACTGTTAACGGACTTGGCAAGCACGTCGAGAATGCTAAGCGTCAGATTCTCGCTGGCGTTCACCCCATTGTCAACTCTGCTGGCACCTCGGTCGACGGTGTTGGTACTGTTGTCGATGGTGTAGCTGGTGTTGTTGGAGGTGTCTCTACCACCCTTGGCGGTACCGGCCATGTCGTCAACGGACTCGGCGAGCACGTCGAGCACGCTAAGCGTCAGATCCTCGATGGTGTCCACCCCATTGTCAACTCCGCTGGCACCTCAGTCGACGGTGTCGGTTCAGTTGTCGACGGCGTCGGCGGTATTGTTGGTGGTGTTGGCCTCACTGTTGGTGGTGTTGGTTCTACTGTCAACAACGTCGGTCAGCACGTTGCTGGCGAGAACGTCATCAAGCGCGATGGCATCCTCAGCGGAGTCCACCCCATTGTTAACTCAGCTGGTACCGCAGTCGACGGTGTCGGAACTGTCGTGGACGGTGTTGCCGGAGTTGTCGGTGGTGTTTCTACCACTCTCGGTGGTACCGGCCATGTTGTTAACGGCCTCGGCCAGCACATCGAGAACGCTAAGCGCTCTCCCCTTCTCGACTCGGTTGTTGGCAACCCCCTTGTCGGCGGCGTAACTCACACTGTTGGAGATGTCGTTGGCGAGGTTACCCAGGGCGGTCTTGTTGGCGGTGTCAGCAACGTTGTTGGTGGTGTTGTCAAGCGCTCTCCCCTTCTCGACGCTGTTGTCGACACCCCCCTCGTTGGTGGCGTAACTCACACTGTTGATGAGGTCGTCGGCGACGTCCTCAAGCGCTCTCCCATCCTTGACAACGAACTCGGTTCCGGACTCGGTGGTGTTGGTGTTACCGTTGACGGCCTGACCTCTGGCGGTCTCGTTGGTGGTGTCAGCAACGTCGTCGATGGTGTTACTGGCCCTCTGATCGGCAACATCAAGCGCGACCTCTCTGCTGGTGTCAACTCTGTCGTCGAGAACGTTGACGGCCTCGTCCGCCCCATCGTCGGCGACGTCCTCTAAATTCAACCCACCAAATCACGAAACTCCTTTTACTTCTTCTTCAGCCGGACGGAACAGAATACGATCATGAGGTGATTGTCCAGGAATATCTACGAAAGCACTACCAGTTGTTGGTGCAGGTTTTTCTTATGTCCAGCTTTTTATGTACTATACCAGACGTAGTTTTTATTTTAATTCATCTGCTTGCAAGCTTCAGACTTTTCTCCGTTATTTACAGTACATCTTGCTTGATTTGTTGCAACGAACAAAATGAGGAGGATGATAAGCTCATCGACCTTAGCTGGTAGTGTCTCTCCTTTCGTAACAGTCTATGTCTTCTGATGACCTCTTGTACTGCTGAGTGTCGCTGCAACAGGATCATCAACTGTGAGAAAACCACAGAGCAGATGACCGAAGGCTCAGACTTATGCTTGTTGAACAATTTTGTCTTGATCGATTGACCAGATATCCACAAATGAAAGAAGCCTTTTTGAATTCAGAAAAACTAGTATTTACAAGAATAGAAACCTTCTCCCAGCAGAATGGGGATCAATATATACAAATCTGCTCAAGCATATCGGCTCAACAGCCACTTAAAATTCCAGATACTCATGACCACGTTTAAACCTGTGTCAGGTTCACTCTTCGTCAGACGAACCATCTGCCTTGACGACATATGCGATAGCATCTTCGGCTGTGTTGACTACGGTATCAACAGTCTTTCCGACGTCTGGCAGCAGACCCTCTCCCTTATCATTGTTGCCTGGAAAGACGAT